ACGGAGGTAGTGGGCCAGGTGGCTAGGCTAGGGCCCACGGGTACAGTTAAGCTGGAAGAATATAGTAAAGCTGGAATATTTAACAGCTATACTCATTCCTTTAGGCGCTCTTAATCCAGCTAGTTTAAGAAGCGCACAGGCCACTGCGTGTGAGTCGGCTAAATGGGTTGTATAAGTTAGCTAAGTGAGTCGTATGAGCCGGTATAAGAGTCAGCAGCCCGCTTTTGCTGACTACGGACGCTATGGTTGTATGAGTACGGGCTCCCCCAAGACTTTCATATGTTAAGGCTATTAACAGGTTTGGCTGTTGGCTCGCTGGAGAGGCTGTGCATGGCTCTTGCACATACAGCTTTGGTTTCATCTTTTCAATCTTTCTCACATCCAAGCTATCAAGCTAGCTAATAGATGAAATATGAACGAAGCTAGCCTTATGAAGAGCTAGGGAACGAATGGATTAGTTCTCGGAGGTTCCTCTTCACATTCAATTCAAAAAAAGACTCTGGTTGAAAAGCTTGAATCTCTTTTCTCGAGTGTATCTCTGCTACAGGTGCTTACCTCTTCCCTCTGGTGATTTTCAAGGTTCAAACGGTATAACAACAATGGTTTCTTCTTGATTTGAAGCCTTTTGAGGGCTGGCAGTTCACAGCTACTCAAACGGATGGACTAATGATAAAATAGCACTTGAATAGCTAGAAAAGATCTTCATCCCAAGCAGCCTACCAGCGGATCCCTCAGAAACCAAACTATTAGTTCTGAATGGCTACAACAGCTATAAAACTGACGAGTTTATGTGGAATGTTTATCAAAACAACATTGTCAGGGTAAAAAGGGCACACAAGTGAGGTGAAGGGGTGTGAGCTGCTCCCAAGCCGCTCTGTCGGCTCTTCTATTCGAGAGAACTACTGAACCTACTTCCTTCCTCCTTTTTTCCTCAACCTCTTGTTTCCCTTCTCCTTATGTACATAATCGGCCTGGGCTGGCTAAAATAATAGTGGCCTGATGGCTACGCGGCATCGTACGAGAGCGCTGCTTCGGAGCGGAGCCCTCGCAGCAGCTCTGGACCGCCACCAGGGGTCGCAAGGGCCACCTATTTCGTTTGTGCGCATACAAGCCCTGACAAACATCCTGTTAATCTACTTGCTTCCTCATACTTCTTACATACTTCAACCCCTCGATCTAGGAGTCTTTTCATCTCTCAAACAGGCATACAGAAAGGAAGTAAAGGAAGTTAGCAATATGAGCTAATGAGGGGATTCACTATTGCAGGCAAGCGGTCATTCCTTAGGAACTATCATCTGGCTCGACTGGAAGGCTTTTCAAGCCAGAATATCAGATCTGGATGAAAAGCAACTGGTCTGTAGCCTTTCAGACTCTTAAAATCCCTTCTAAGCTCTCTTCTCCTCGAGAACAGTCAACCAAGCTGTCAGATCCAATCCAATTCAAGCTCAGCACAGTCAACAGCACCTCATATTTCCCCAAAAGCTTCCTCAAGCTAGATAGTCCTCTTTTTAATTCCTTGAAAAGCTAAAAAGCTGTACTATTAGCTGCTAGAGAATCAGCAACAACTTCGAACAGAACCAAGCCGCTGTATGCTATTCAGGAAGATAAAAAAGGCTCAGAAGGAGAGGGATCTCGAGTTTGCTAAAGCATTGGAGGAAAATAAAGCATTGAAAAAGCAGATTGAAGCTCTGAGGCCTAGCAAAAGAAGAAAGGTTGATATGAACCCGAATTCGAAGTTTGCAGGGATTGAGGATATACAGAGAGCTCAAAACGCAGTCAATCGCCATGAGAATAGTCTGAATGAAGAGATCAATATCGAATTACTACTGATGAGGAGGATTGCATCGTGGTGAGTGAATAGAATAGATAAACAGTATATATATATATGGGTGTGTGTATTTGATGAGGGTGGCCAGGGTGGCTCAAAACTACCCCGGCCCAAACCCCCCCCCCCCCCCCCCCTCGACTTATACTACACGTTCTTACCAAATATATGTGAGCATATGCAGTATGCTTGTGATTAGGCTGTATGCATAGTTTATAATATCTCTGTTATTGATTACAGTGTGCGCTCTGTACGCAAAATCCTGCTAAATCCAGCATAGTGCTATGGGGGCGGGGGGGAGGGGTTGATTTCTCCTAATCGCTATAGCCATGGGCGGAGAAAGAGGCTTACATAACGCCCACGGGTAATCTAGAGCCTGCCGGGACACTTCAGGGAGACATAATCCTCCCCACCAAGTCACAATCCTCCCCATCATAACAGCCAAACCGATCATGAGAATCGTCAGATTACAGCATGGACAGGTTCAAGGCGACATCTGCACGGAAACCCTCCGCTCGTGAAGTCGCTGCTCTCAATGATGCGGAGCTGGATCGATATCTCGAGGAGAACAACTGTGTGATTACTGTCTGACCCCCCCTCGCCGGACACCCGTACCCGCCGGACACCTAATTTTCGACAGCGCCATACAAATATCAATATCCTCACACACATACACTTCCCTCAATATTGAAGCTATTTAAATAGTATTTTGATAGATAGATAGTCCTCTAGATGACGAATCTATTGATATAATTATATTTGTAGTCAGACGCCTTATGACGCAATTGTAGTGATATCGGAAGCTAAGGTCTGTTCCTTCCTGTCTTGATAACTGTGATCTTTTTCCTTCAACACTCTTCTACCTCAAGCCAGCCACGATGCCTTCTCACGCCTGGAATGAGGAGAATATGGCTGATGCCCTCTTCGATATCATAGATAACCATTTATCTTTGCGGAAATCAGCCAAGAAACACGGAATCCCCCCCCAAACGCTGTCAGATCGGCTGCGTGGAGGGTCTTCAGTCCAAGAGGTAAAACAACCTCAACAACGCCTTTCTACGACCGAGGAAGAGAATATATCGAGATGGATCATCAAGCAGGAAAGCCTAGGATATGCTCCATCAGCTTCTGCTGTTCGTGGCGTTGTAGCAGCCCTCCTCAAGCAGAAGGGAGATCTGAAGGCTCTCGGCCGCAAATGGATAGAGGGCTTCAAGAAGAGAAATCCTCAAATTCGCCATAAAATAGGCACTCGCCAGGAAGCTACCAGATACGATGCCTTCACCCCGAAAGCCGTCAACTAGTATTTCGACATTCGCGAGAAGGAATATGGGTGGATCGAGCCACAGCTTACAGTGAATGTGAATGAGGATGGCATTATGACTGGATATGGTGAATTTCTATGGAATCCTCATCTCAGAGCCTCTAAACTGATGCTTTTGCTAGGCCTGAACTCGCTGGTCCTTGGTTCTTCTGAAAAAAAGAAGGCATTCCTCAAAAGTAGCCAGGACAGAAGCTGGGTTACCCTCATTGAAAGCTGTACAGCTACAGGCCAGCTTCTGGACCCAGGAATCATCTTCAAGGGCAAAGATCTTCAAAAACAGTGGTTTTCTGAAGATATGGAGCAGTCTGTGCCAACCTGGCGTGTGATCACAAGTCAAAACGGCTGGACAAGCAATGAAATCGCGGTGGCGTGGCTTGAGGATGTTTTTCTTCCTCAGATGAACATCCTCCGTGAGAATGATATATCTCGAGCTATTCTCCTCATCCTAGATGGCCATAATAGCCATACTTCAGTAAGTTAAGCCTTGTGAAGCTCAAGGTAGTGAACCTCGAGGATAACGTGCTGATATAAAACAGCCAGAGTTTATAGCTTCTTGCTACTTGAATAACGTTTTCCTTTGCTTTCTCCCTGCACATACCTCCCACAGCCTCCAGCCACTAGATAACGGCATATTTGCTGTATTGAAAGCAGCCTATCGGAAAGAACTTCAAAAGTTGCAAGATCTTACAGACTCAGCCCCTGTTAACAAGATCAACTTTCTACAGTATCTCATTACAGCCAGAGCAGCAATTACTCCTAGAGTAGTAAAAGAAGGATGGAGACATAGTGGCAACTATCCAATTAATCGCCATAAAGCCTTATCTCATGAGGAAATCCAGGAGGACAAGCAGAAACGAGGAGCAGACGAGTTAGAGGAGGATGAGGAGTATGAGCCTATTTCCCATGGGTTTATCACTGCTATAGGCCGAGATCGAAGCTATAACGAACGCAGCAAGCTGAGGAGGGTTGCAAATCACCTTGAAGACCTTCAGGCTGAGGTTATCTTGCTCCGACAGCAAAATGCTTCCCTCAAGGCCCAGAACGAGGCCATCTCGAAGACCCGGAAGCGCAAGAAGATCCCCAATCCCAACAAGCGCTTTATGACTATCTCAGAGGCACTTGCGGCTGGAGAAGAGGCCAATCTAGCCCAGGAAGAGGAGGATTTGCCTGTTGAGGATGTTGTGGAGGTTCAAGACGAGGTTGACGAGGAGGACTCTGAGGACGATAATGCAGACATTCTACGTGAGGATTCACCACCAATTCGCACATCTTCTGGACGGGCTAGCCGTATGCCAAATAGATATTTGGAATGAGGAAGTTTAGATCATTTCGATGATATATTTATTATTATTATACAATTTGAATTGAATTACTTCTGTGTGTTTGAGTATATAGCTTTTGTGTGGGGCATTTCGCATTTTAGTGTCCGGCGGGTACGGGTGTCCGGCGAGGGGGGGTCAGACAGTACAGTTGAAGACCCCGATCAGCTACCGGAAACCTTCATCGAGCGACTGAGGTAAGCTGCATTACTCGGCTTCCCAAGCTCAAGCTGAAGCCTTCTGACATGGGAGAAGAGATCGCGTACGACGGCTGAAAGAAGCTCCCGCTATCAACCTTGATAAAGTAAACACTCGACTCCTCGCAACGATACAAGAGCCTACCCCCTCAGAGGAGCAACCCATCTCCTGCTCCCGCACTCGTTCCCTATCCCCCATCGAAAACAGAGAACGGGAGCAGTACGAGGAGCTTGTTCGCCTAGGTGGCTAGCCAGGTTATCCTGTTGACCTGGTGGATGATGTGTTTCGCAATCCGACAAAGCATTGCAACCTTCTGCTGCCCTTCCTCACAATACCATCAGACTGGGATTGCCCAATCGTTTTTACAAAGCAGGTTGGCAGATGGGATATCTTCCGCGGATAGCAGGATGCTGTGAGAAGGATACGTCGTGGCTACAGCTGCAGTTATGCTCAGAGTCGCGCTCAGGATCGCGCTCTTCTCTCGCAGGAGTGCTTGCAGGCTCTCAAAGCCTTCAATCAGATCCGAGCGGATAACACTCTTGCCTCTTACGCTGAGGCTGAACAGCGCACTGTTCTCAACTACTATCACTTGGAATATACATTCCATCCCATAGCAAATCCTTTGCAACAGAACGAGCTATCAACATGGTTGGAATATCTTATATATAAATACTGGTTATCCCGTTATTGCAAGTTGAGAGTTACGACGTACCAGGAGCAGTACGACAAGGCATGAGCCAAACTGTCCGGATTCGAAGTATTGACGCCTTCAGAGAGGGAGACGCGGCAGATCGGGGATGATGTTCTGCAGACTGCGTATAGGAAGATCGAATCGGGTTTGGAGGGTGATATGAGGTCTGCCGAAGCAGCTGGTTCCCTTGCAGCCTGTCTGCAGCTAGAAGAGGTCAAGGTAAAGCTTGAGTGGGTCAGAGCCAGGCTGAGCGCGGTTGACGAGTTTCTGGAAGAGACTGTGGAAAGTAGGGCGCACGGATCCTACTGGGAAATGCTCGCCGACACGCATACCAAGGAGCTGCCCTGGGTCTTGCAACAGCTCCTACTATTGCATAGTAGTACGCAGCAACGACTGCACCGGGCAGCCGAAACCCAAGCGCCTCTCCGTCGTAGTGCGCGGATCGCCAACCGGTTAGAAAGCATCCCCTTTTCCAAGGCGCCCCAACCCCCTCGGAAACTAAGGTCTGAGGAAGATGATCTAGTAGCCCTGCCTTGAAAAAGGAAGCGGTTACTAGTAGATGTCTCTCAGCCCTTGATAGCTTCAAGGGAAGGAGTCCGAAAGCAGCGGCGGATAAAATGATCAATAGCAAACACGATATTTGTTACTGATACTCATATAATTCCCAATCAATGTGCATTCAACCTGGCTATTATGGATCTAAATCTGTTTGTTCCGTATTACAGCAATTTTCCTCGTTATAGAGAGGGGTGGTACTATCTCCGGTACTGTGAATGCTGAAGGCGGTCAGCCGGAAGCCGCTGGACCGTGTCCGGCACCCGTTTCTACAAAAGGGTGCTTCCCAGACGGTCTTGTGAACATCTTTCTTTTCTTTCTCACTTACACCCCACCATATATATCCCATGTACGCTCTCAGGCCGAAAGTTCCCAGCTGCATGGATACGCTAGCTTTTCACAACAGTATTAACAAGCCAGTCCATTATTATATCATAGTGCTATATAGCTACAGATTGTACCCGAAAGTGCCTCCTATGACATAAATGGCCTGAGTGGCTAAAAGCGAGTTCGATCAGTTCTATATCCGAAATATAAGCCCTGAACCGCGCAGCTGTGGGAACAGTTCTATACACTCGACTTCAGACCCACAAGCGCGTGATTGCCGGAATTCATGCTGTGTAATGAGCACTGCAGTAATCTAAAGATAACTAAGTACACAAGAGGTTTATGATAACAAAAGCGGTGTCGAAGTGTAATCCCCTATATACCGAACGTTAAAAGAGTTCGTTGCAATGTCACAGCCTTTGGGGCTATCGTGCTAGGAGTAGAACAATACTTAGATTGACGACTGAAGAGCTATGTACAAAATCTATCTCCTAGGAACGAACATGAATAATATGACTAGGCTTACATTTTAAAAACTTTTTTATAAGGAAGCCCCTGGGTAAGGTGTCTGTCCTCTGACGCAACTATTACATTAACTCTGATATCCCGTTGGTACTTCTATTACGCTCTAAACTCCGGCTCAACAGAAGTGCTACGAGATTTGTGGGCTTGAAATATGACCTGATTGGCTACAGAGCCTTTCCCTTGCTTGGATGTCTCCGAGGTACCGGCTGAAGAAATGGCATCCGAAAGCATCTGCCGAATATTTTCTGTATGGGGTATGAGACGTGGGGTACGAGGATTGGGTGCAAGTAGACTCTGATTTCCTGGAAGTCGTTCCGATATCCGAGCCGAACCAATAGATTATCTCTTTCACTTAATTACGAGACCGATGGTGAACATTGTCCCTAGGAACGAGCGGCGCAATGTATGATGAATACCGGGCAAGAAAAGACCTTGACGCGTTGATGATCAGATGACTTATATGACTTTGATGAAACTGGTCGACAGGAGTTGGCATGACAGCAAGCTCGACCTCTTCTACAAACACAGTGGACCGGGCGCGAAATAGCGACGACCTCGGTAGGGTTTAAATTGCTATTTTATACACTCTAAACCAGCGTCCGCGAGGCTATAAGCTAGATCCTCGTCAAGAGTCGTCAGTAGTAATATTAGTTATATCGCCTTCTACCATAGTCGCTCTCTAACTAGCTCGACGCAGGCATACAATATGTATAACAACGACAGAGGGATACGCTCTCTGAAGAAGTTCTTTAAGCAAAAGGGGAGCATCGAAGGACTCAATAGTATCCAATGACGTATCTCAGATTTACTCTTAGCTATAGAACATGGGTTCCAGAGACAAGGCCCGGATAGTGAGTCAACCCCAGGATCAAGCCTGGGTAATTTAGCATACTATCAAATAGCAATCAGCCACTCGCCACCTCGAGCACGTCCCGAGCTCATATAAGAGGCGCGTCTCCTGTAATTCGACTTTCTTCTGGAGTATTATTGAAGATTGCCTTGCCTGGTACGAGATAGTCAGCATTCCAGCTCTTTCCGTGTGGGCACAAGTCGACATTGCGATCGCCAAGTTCCATGTCTGATAAACTCTGGGTCGCATCGGACTAAGTCTCAGTCATAATACTTAAGGCTGTTCCAGCCGCGAGTGACATGGGGCGGAGTACGCCAATTCATACTGCAATGTCTCGATTTTTAAGTGAGACATCTTAAGCCAAGAGAGCTCTGGCCTTACACTAATCTCTGCCTTGATTCACAAAACTGCTGTTGCTGCGGCAAGCAAAGACGCTGACCTTTAGGACTCGAATGAGTAAATCGGGGGGATACACAAATGGTATGATACACACACACACGGTGTGTCTCAACTTCAAGAAGAGTGGCCAGATTAAACCCCAGCCCTTGTAGCGTCAGTCTGCCACACGCACTACCACATCCTCGAGCTGTCATCAACTTTATAGCAAGTAAGATAGCTCTGAACCCGTTTTTACGACGCCCATTTCTCTATTAACAAGAATGTTCTTCTTATCGCCGTACTTTACATACTACCGAAATCGCTGCGCCAACGTGGATTATGTCCTGCCTTAGCAGCACCGAGGACGACAATACCCTCGGCGAGCCCCTCCTTCAGAAGTCAATGATCAATGAAGAGAGATCAAGGCCGATCCCTCGTCCATTCGCTGCCACGTCCAAACGCTCGCCAGACGCCATTGCGGCCAAAGTCGTCTTCATCTTGCGCTCTGTGGAAGAGCGCGGCGTCGTATTGATCCAACAGCTCGATGAAACTCTGGATACGGAGGGTTGGACAGAATGGGTAGCAGAGAAGGTGCTTGCTGGCATCGAGACAGTCTTGAAGGAAGGTCGGGAGAAGATGGGGCCGCGATGGCTATGGCTTATGAGGAGGCTTCCCACGACGCGAATGAGCTGTTCCAGTTCGCCAAGGACCATCCGTTAGCAACCGCAGGACTCCTGACTATCATAGCGGTTGGCGTTCTAGTCCTGCTTGCTCCGACGATTGTCGTAGCCTTGGGTTTTGCAGAGCTTGCTCCTGTTGGAAATATGCTACCTAGCTGTCTTGAGCATTAGCCAGTCTCAGTCAGTGATATAAACCTGCTAACTTGATAGGATCGTTTGCCGCATGGTGGGAGAGCACGTACGCTGGCTATATCCCGGCGGGTTCCCTGTTCTCGTTCCTTCAGCGCCTAGGCATGATCTGGGGAAGAGCATAAGCGGAAGGGTATGAAGATAAAAGACGGCCAGGACAGCCAGGGTACTTCTTAAGGCCTACAGGTGATGTCGACCGGCAGCGATATGTGGTTCTTGGGGTCGGATAGAGTATGCTTGTTGATACTGGAGCTTGATCCAGCCTCGATCCAGACACTTTGAGGATATTTCTGCGGTAGTCGCTGGACGGTTGGAAAGAAGTCGGACGGGAAACAATATATTACCTTGCCGGTTTGTTAATTCGTTTGGCTTTCCGTCCGCCCAAAATAAGGAGAAGGATATAAGTTTAGAATAGCTGGGATTCATGCCTGTGATGAAGAACTTTTCAATTTTCACCAATCTTTGGAAGTGATTTCTTGATCCTTGACTTTGGCTGTAGTGGTGCTGAGCTCAGAGATGGACGTCACTGGGCTCTCAAGCGCCTTTCTCGGCGGACTACAAGCCGGCGTCACCACTGTCCATGTACATATCTACCACGTTGCCGTCCTCATCAATCACAATGCGCACCTGGGACTCAAGGTTTTCTACCTTTTATATGACACTGCATGTTCGTCTGCCAACGAGGTTGCCGTCCACGTCGACAAAAAGGAGCCTGTTATAGTTGAGGTGAGCATCGGTATGCGGAGAGTTGTTGTTCTATAGTTTGAGATCGATTTGACAGATTGAACTCTGCTAGATGCCTGCGCCTGGCGATGGGCCTCAGTAGTGTCGAAGTATCCAGTCTTATGGATCCGCCGCACAATGAACAGTAGCAGCTCGACGCGATGCCCTACTGCAGCATAGCAACTGCTTTGGTCACCCCGTTGGCCGTACCGATGCTCAGACGGTCGTTCATATTATCGCTAGCCGTGTTGTCCCAGTCAACCGTCCACTAAGGAAGCAAATTCCATCAGTTGGCCGCCAAGTCTTCAGCAATAGAGTCTTTATACGATCTACTACTATGACAGTATAGTATAATCTTTGTCTACTCCGTTCCCACTACTCAGATGAGAATTCTCCTGCCCTATTTAGGAAGTCCGGTCTGTCCTACTCGCCGCGAAGATGCGCCAGCTCCAAGGCGTTCAACTCCAAGGTTTCGCTGTCATTTGGCAGCTTGTATTTTGTCCCCGGAAAACTGCTGTTCAAAACCTGCCGTGAACTTTGGTCGCTGTATTTGGTCCAGCCAGCCTTTGTAGATATGCGACCGATTGTTACAAGGCCCTCCTCTTCTGTTAACCTTGGCTTTGAAAATCTTCGCGTTCGCTTTTTGACTTGTACTCGTACGAGGTTGTAGAGAACGGGCAGGCAGGCGCATATAATGTATAGAAACATTTCCACGTTGGCCCACAGGTAAACCTCCCCAAGGCCATCTAGACACAAAAGATTAGTGAACTCTCCACGAGTATCTTGTTTCGAGTAAGTTCAGGCGGTACTTGAGAGCCACGATAGGGACTTACAGTCGTAGTTATCCGCCTTAAGACGTGCCAGAGTAAGGAGCCGAAGAAGACTGGCGACGATGGAACTTTGTGCATAGCAAGTTGAGTTAATAGAAGCAAGACGAAGATAGGGACGAACAATACATACAAAAGACCCAATACAATAAGTAGAGATAACAGGACCTTGCGTCGCATGCTGAGCTGTAGCAGCCAGACCTTGAATTGTAGCATCGTAAAAATGGCCAAATCCACCAAGATGGAGCCAATAATAGCAGCTAATATGCCCCCAGAAAGCCCGCGGACACCCGCAGAAGGGTAGTAGGCGATGAAAAAGACGACGACAAACCAGGCAACAAAGATAATGAATAGTATGACCCGCATCAGAATCAGGAATACTTTGTCAACAGAAAATATTCTGCGGTAAAATAGCAAGACTGATGTTTTGGAAAGCGCAACGCTGGTAGTATAGAAGCTATCGCCAAGGTCCGAAAGCTGTCCAGTCAGTTCAAGTCCTTGTGTGTTAAGAAAGTCAATCTCTACTTACTATTCGGTAAGTACGAAGTTGTGATGGCGTGAACTCTGCTGTGTTGTAGCCCCCAGCACCCACATTGGGCAAGGCGAGTAGAATGTCACATATGAAAACACAGAATGCAAAAAAGAAAGCAGCTAGGATAGTCCAATCATCCCAACCCAATGTTATATCCCGCTGCAAACGGCGTTGAATGAAGCGGAGCAAGACGCAGATGGTTGCGAGAAACGTAAATACCGATGAGACGACATCGGTGATGACATAAATAGAATTGATTCGGTCTGGATGCCGTGCCTGAGCCATACTCGTGGTGCGTGTAGATGAGATGATATGAGCCTGAACGGGTATCAGCGAGCAGCTGGAGAAGTAATAGTTTCGAGTGGGTAGCTTAAAGCATATATAAGCTAGGAACCATCAAGTAACACTGTGGGAAAAGGATCTCCTGCGAAAATGGGGGCAGAAAATCGCCTTGGCTGGGGTATTGTACGTGACACCTCAAGGGGCTAAAGGGGGTCAGAAACAGAAAGAATCTCGGCTGAAACGTCAGCCCAGCACGTGTACACGCCTTACCACAATGCAACTTGATTCTCGACTAATGTAAGATGGTGTGTTGGATGATGCACAGCCTAGACTATTTACTCCCGTTCTGTAAATATTGCCTGGCTCCCCACCCCTGTGCGCTCAGTAGCGGTTTGAATGTTAGTCAGGCATAGCTTTCTTCTGACAGCAGTCGTTTCGTTAGAGAGTCAAGCTGTATTCATGTCTGTCAGTATTATCTGATATTGCGTGCGCGAAAACCGTAGCCAGTCGTTCCGAAAGTTTCCCAAGAGGTATGGAACACGCTGGGTCAGGCCAAGCAGATATATTTTCAAAGAAAAATGAACTGGGAACGCTTGTGAACACTCTTGGATTCCATGTTCTGAGAATTTCATTAATCACAAAGTCCCGAGTTCTCCATTTGAAAGAGCTGCAGGTAGTAGGCTGCCAACATATTCATTGCCTGCAGCTTTCTCAACGCTTCTAAGCAGGCTCGCAAAGAGGACTCTACCTCGTGTAAAGTCGCTGTCTGCAATGGAGAAAGCTCCAAAACCTTCTGTCGTCCTACATAGCGGCCAAGCCTGATTGCGCTCAGATAGATTGGGAGAGCTGTGAAAGTATGAGCCCGAAAGTGTCCAAGATGCTCAAGCTCCTGTGCGAGGCGGGGGATCTCCTGTGCAGCCCACACGCTTCTGTCCTGCATGTTCCAGGATGGAAAAGAAGACATAGAAGAGTCCGTAGTCTCAAGAGATAGTGAATCACCCATGGCTTGAGATACATGCATATTTGCTGTGCGCGCCATCAAGTGTATGAATATGGTCATGGGATCGCCTGCTCGGGGTGCTGCGCGGTAGTGAAGCTCAATGCTATTGAGACGTGTGGTGAGCAACGAGTTGAGCCAGTCGTTTTGAAACTTCAACTCCATAGGCAAGTCGTCATAAGAGGCTTCACTGGATGCATCGTTTTTGCAGTCAAGGGCCCGCTCACAAATAGTCATTAGGATGCTGCAATCGGCCAGCGGAGCAAACCCCCGCGCGTTTCCAGTGGCCATCACCTCGAAGAGGAAAGGCCACTCGGTCAAAGACCCATTACTGAACTCGTAATCGGAGCAGGGGAGGCGGGTAAGGATCTAAAGTATCTCCTGATCAGAACAGGTCCCGCACAGGTACCACCGACTGACCCTCATGAGGATGCTTACCCTTTGTTCGGTAAACGTCACGGGCGTGTTATTGCCAATACTGAGGAAGCGGTCCAGACAAAAGGCAACCCAAAATGTGCGCCGCTTCTCTTCGTGTTGCATAGCTTCAGCAGAGCTTCTCTTTCCCTTTTTTGATTGCTCCTTGTCTAATTCGTAAAACCGTGCTAGCTGGACTAGGCGAAAGACATGTCCACTGCTCAACCATGCCTGTCGATAGGTGCATTTGGACAGCTCGTAAAGCGTCAGGAGAATGCGCGCTTGGATTTCCTCGACGTGACAGGTTGTCATATTCGAGCCATTGCAGTTGAGATCCTCGAGCATTGCACGTGTTTTAGAGTACATACTGTCCCTGATGTTTCCGAATTGACTGGAAAACGTGATTGATAGCGTCCACATGGCGTATTGGAGACATTGACGCTCATGGCTCTGAGGTTTCTGGGCCAGCTTCATAAAACGGCTCTGGTTGAGCATAGGTGCTACCGGGTGCGCTCGCTCGAAATATATTTGTGTCCTGTATCTTCTATTAGCATGACAAGTTCGTCTTAATCTTAATTTTGATTCCCTTACAAGTCAGCCTTCATAAGGTCAGTGATCTCCACATCAGCGGTCCCTGCATAATTGTCTGCTGGCGACTTTTGGCTTAGCACGGAACTCATTCCTGTGGTATAGTCTGTGGATTTTGGAGATCCAACGCAGCTCTCTGTCTCTCTTGTTGTACTTCCGCCTGTGCCTGAGCTGTACGCAGTACCAGAGAGAACTTGATCCGGAGGATCCCAGTCCAGAACTATACCAAATCAGTATCTGATTGCTCCCAGATTGCGCGAGGCCATCACGAGTTCGAAATGATTATCGGGGCTATACATTCAAGATCCTCAAGGTCAAGCAATGGATCATGGCCTGCAACAGCGGTGCTGGGAGAAGATTGTAGAGTCGCAAGATGAGACTCGAGCTCCTTAATACGCCCTCTGAGGGCTTCGACTGTCCCTGTCTTTCGAGGCCGAGGCAGACGGCGATCGTTCACCTGGCAAATGACACCGGCGTTGGTGCATGCCCCGCACTGTGGCCTCTGCCTGTCACATCGCAGCTTTTTCTTGCGGCATTCTGATAGTAGATCTCATATCAGGACTCACAGTGCCCAAGACGTGAAGGGGATACGAAGAGGGGTTCACGTCACCTTCGCAAGCAAAACCGGGTTGTTGGCGGGACTCAGTACGGGCAGACATGATGTCGCTGGCACGGAACGGGGCTCTCACCAGATCATGGGCGCTGTTGTCTTTCAGTACAGACGAGACGCTCAAATTCTCCTTATCGACCCAATCTACGCTAACATCGAGAGCTCTCTGTCTTGATTAACAGCATGACTGCCTATCTGGAAGTGGGGGCCGGGCTGTTTCCTCATGCACACCAGACAGACAATATGCCTCCATCTCAGGGTGCTGCATGCCGTCCCTTGTGCTCGAACGCAGTCAGCGCCGATTTCCAGGACTTGGTGGCAGAGAAGGATTTAGTTATTGTTGGGGGCCATGCAGGCAAATTTCAGTGCCTCGGTTCTTACATACCACCTTCTCATACGCGCACTGCGCTGTGATGTATAGGAATTTCGGACAACAATGAATCGAGCAAATGATGGTTGATAAATGCTTTTTGTTGGCCTGCGGTCTCGGGCATGGAGCTGGATTAGGGATCGCCCCGGCTCATCTGCCTGAACCAACGATTTTCTAGCACCAGGTGTGGAGGCGTGATGAATTTCTCATTGGCTGAAGGCAACTCAAGTTCTGCTTGGGTAACGCAGTCCGGTTGCCTGGACCGGACCCTCACATGCAGCCCTGTTAGGTCTGGGGGCGATGGCGATGGCGAAGCTCGCTTGACGCTCTTTCTCCCGGAAATCCGGCACACTGTGGCGTCCTCGACCCGGCCATGAATGAGGATTGTGCGTCAGCAATGTGAAAATAAATAGCACCCGTTGAGGCAGGTAGTAGCCAGCAGCAGCAGTCTATCAACTCATCACGCCACCTTGTCATCAGCGACATCTAAGGCGCCAGTGGTTGCTCCACTGGCAGCTGCGGAGGAAAACATCGCGGATGATTGTGCACAGCCTTCGTAAGAGAGATCTGGACGTTAGTCCTAGGCTCCTCGCATGCATGCATTTTACAAATGGACATGTCTGATAGACTGAAGCTGGAGATTAATCATAATTGATACGGCCCTAATCAGTACAAAGGTACACTATAGGGACCCCTAGGGTGGTTTATACAACGTGGTGTAGCTGACACTGCGGACTCTCGGCCGTCATGAACGCATGACTTCCAGCAGCTCAGATGGATGAATTACCCCTGACCCTCGTGAACTCGCCTTGCGTGTAGGTCCAAAGCTTCTCTGCCGTACCATCCCGTGCATACTTGGCCAGCAGCTCGTCCACTTTGAGGTCGGCACTCTCTCCTTCTTCTGTAAGCGAGTAAACGCCGGTGCCGTCCTGGCCATCAATACCCCTCGCAACGCCTACGCCTTCCGGCAGCGCGACCCCTAAGGCGCCTTCCCCTCGGCCAGGGGGATATTTGGCACTAGTGCAATAGAAGGCATGTCTCTCGCCGCACTCTAGGACGGGGGTTTCCTTGAGAAATCTGAAATAATTGATCACCCTGAAGAAATACTTGGAAAATTGCAGCACGAGACCGTCATCGGATCGGATTAGGTTGGTCCTCACTGCACCTGGAAAGTTGTGTATAAACGAGACTGTAGGTGCTGTCTTGGCGAGATGCTGGAGGGCCATGGTCATCATTGACGTTCCGTGGCCGCGAGCAGCCGTCAAGGGGACCTTGATTTTCGTATTGCCTACTACCCAATTGTCGTCGTATACAGGCCCTTCATTACCAGCCGTCCAGGAGGACACGACGCGGCGCAAGCCTGCTGCCTGCTGCATCAATGGAAGCAGGTTGGCGATCATGCGGATGCGGCCAAAGTAGCACACACCGGCAAGGTAGTTCAAACCCTCATCGGTGACTGGATGATGGTAAATGATTAGCAGCTTGCCAGGCTTGGTCGCCTCGGTCTTGCAGAGGGGTGGGGGCGAGGGCGGGGAAAGGGAGACAAGGAACGAGGCTTTGGTTACCCTTGTACCAGTTGGCCGTGCCCTGGCTCATGAACAAGACGTTGACAGCCGTCTCTCTCTCTTTTATCTGGGCGCAGACATCATCGACATTGCGTAGCAGACTTGTATCGGTCCGGAGGAAGCTGTACGTCCCACTTGGATTAAGCTCCTTCAGTTCAGCATCAAGTCGGTCACACGCCTCCTTGGATCGCCCAATGACATATATGCGAGGCTTGACGGTGTGGCGAGTGAACTCGCGAAGCGACGTTTCCCCGATTCCCGAGGTCGCACCAGCAAACACAGCCACGAGACCCTCGGGATATGTCGTCGAGATGCCGGCGTTGGAGGCTTTGATCTGCTCCAGGCCCACCATGATAGCGCTTATGAACAAAAGTTTGGGCGACCGTGGCAAAGGGTCGGGATGAGATAGCATGCGCAGAGGGTAGATGAGATGAAGGAAGATGCGAGATGCAGGAGTGGTGTTATCTCCAGAGCGGATGAGAATGTTGGGCCGTCTGTGACGTAAGCACCGGAGAGGTAGGCTTTTTGGGGGCTGAGACCAAAACTCCGTACACACTCCGGCGTCCAATAGGAGTTGCGGTAGATGAAGTCCGGCCGCCATGTGAGGCAGAGGGGGCGCAAAGTAATGTCATGCACATTCCCAGGCTAGTCCGAAACTGCAGCTGGAAGCGAGGTCTGTTTCTTGCTCGTGATATTGTCAGGATAGGCGCTCCAAACAAGGAAGAGCGGCAGGCTACAGCAAGTTTCGAGTAATTCATGATTAATGGAACTGCTGCGTTGACTGTCGTCTCGCAAGCCACTGGCCACCTGTCCTGCCACAGCCTGTTCAGCTACAGCTTTCACTAGGCAGGCAGCTTGCCTTTGATCCGTTTGTATGTGACGCTCGTGGCTACTCATGTAATTAAATAGGAGAATATCAATGGACGAAGAGACACGAAAGAGCAAAGGGTGGGAGACACCCAGCGACTTGAGGCATAGATGATGAGAATGATTCGAGTCTGAATTGGGAATGGCTACATTTATAGTGCTCGCATATTGATGAAAAGTGCAAGGAGCGTACCCAGTAATAGTACGGTCCGTCATGAGCTGGCCCTTTGAGAGATTTCCTTTGGCTTTTTCCTGATGTCCTGCCAGCCCATGAACAATGCAAACACAAAGGATGGAACGGCGATGGCCCCAGAGAAGTACCAGACCCGTTGCAGGCTCTCCGCATAAGCCTGAAGAACACCGCCGAGTGATTCTGCAGGTACCACGGACCTGAATCTCGTCGATCCGATGTCTATCACCGTTGAGGCGCTGACAGCGGGAGTATACCGAGGGATCAGCCGCACAAGGCCATTTGTGAAGATGGTTTGTGACACCGTAATCATGATTGCGGCACTCAGGTTTTGCAAAAACGTCAAGATGGACATTGCTTCTGGGATTTGATCTTTTGGCAGGCTGCTCTGGATTGCGATGATTGGCTAGTCGTCAGATGGTCAGCGTCTTGACCGTATCACATATAGAGATTCATTTCACTAGCAACTCACCACTGCACTGGCAAGGCCACGGCCGGCCCCGAAGATGATTTGATACCCGACCCATCTGGCGGTTGGGGTGTGCACGGCAAGCAGTCCAAGCAGCCCGCACCCGAGACTGTTGAGCATGGCGCCAGATACCATAAATGGGGTATAATAGCCCAGAACTTGGACTGATGTCGGCGGACACAGAGTCAGTAGGCATCCTAAACCCTTTTTGCTTCATCTAGGACTTACTTCCGGCGCCACCAATCACCCCAAGCGCCATTTGTGCAAGGATGTTGGCCAGAACGTCAACGCCGCTGGTAAAGGGAGTCCGCGCGAGGATTGCTTGGAAGTATATCGGCAGGTAGTATCCCGTCACAAAAATGGTGCCGGACAGGAACGTGGCGCAGATTGTGGAGGTCCAGACAATACGTTGTGTTAGTATCGAGAAAGGCGCCATCCCTTTGTCGCCAGCACGCCAGTTCCAACCGAGCCACAGGAGGAAGGTCACTCCCGCCCCGACAAAGAGTCCGACCATATGAGGGCTTCCCCACGAGTACTGGCTGCCACTGTACTCGAGTGCAAGGAAGAACATGATCGCGGCTGGGGCAAAGAGAGCGACACCAAGGAGGTCGAATTCCTCGACCGCGTTCTGGAACGCGTCTCGGAAGCTTGGTTTCGATAGATGGTCCGGGACACGTATGAAGGCCAGTCCGAGGACAACAGCTCCGAGAGGCAGATTCATATAGAAGCACCAGCGCCAGGTCACGTATTGCGTGAATGCACCGCCAAGAAGTGGACCAGCCGCAATGCCCAACTGCCCGAGGCTCATGAGGATGCCAAGCAGGACAGGCTGTTTGTGAGGAGGAACGCACGAGTTGGCTATGATCAATGCCCCGTTGAGAAGCCCCGATCCTCCCATACCGGCGACTGCACGCCCCACAATGAACATTTTCGACGATTGCGCTGCACCGCATATGGCTGAACCGACTTCAAACAAGACCAGACACCCAAGGAAGAACCATTTTGAGTTCAGGCGAGCATAGACCTTTCCTGTGGTCGGTAACAGAGCTGCGCAGGCGAGTTGATAGGCGCTGCCATACCAGCCTATATCTAGCAGGGAGTTAAACTCGTCCGTGATATATGGAATAGCCTGACGTTAAGCAGAGGCCTGTCAGCTCGTTTCAAAATGTGATTTGCGTTTCGGGGAGCCTTGAGGGTACGAACAGTTGCTAAGATCGTATTATCAAGCATAACAAGGAAAAAAACCAGTGTCAAGGCGCCGAGGATCAACACCAGGTTGAGGCCATTGATATATTCTTGTTCGTCGGGCTCTGGACCATCTGCTTGAAGAGTTTCGGTCTTCTCCACGGTCTCTTGTGTACTGTCATCTTTTTCAAGAATTGTATTTTCTGCGTCCATTTTAATATAACGCGGGCCGTTCTTGGTGAATACTCTCAAGGAAGGAAGAAGACTCAGGTGCGGAGTTGGAGACTGAATCTTTTCTTAAAAGTTTAGGAATTAAATATCAAGGAGCCGGGTAGGGGCCAAATAAGTAGGTGAGCGGATGCGAGCATTGAAGCTGAAAACTCAATACACCATTATATGCAGAAGTGAAATATTCGATTATTGCATTCCGCTTGGTGTGGCAGAAAACTAAGAGTTACCTCGCTAGTATGTAATAATCAGCACTAAATGACATGTATTCTTTTTCCATTGACTTCCCTCCTGCCTGACCCAGACACCCGGTATCAGTTATTGTCCACGTTTTTTGAAACAACATTTCTCTTGCTGTGTTGGAACTGCCTTCAGGGCTCACATTGTCCATCATTGATGCTCCTGTATACTTGTAGACAACCAAAAATACCTAACATGAGACTCGTGTGCATATTCAAGAGCAAAGTAGTCATATCGGGCTCGGTCACAACCACAAGGAGTCGAAGCGAGTGTGCTTTACAGATGTATATGTTCATGAGATGGAGAGTCTCTCAAGCTTGTTGTCAAGCATCTCCAGCGCGCTGGCTACCATTCTATCGATGTCGAAGTTCCAGATTGTACGACAGCGCCACTCGAAATCCTTGCCAAACTTTTCCTTGTCTCTCCCGATTTCTGGGTGTTGCCACTCATACATCTCGCCGACCTGGCGGCTAGTCTGTACTATCCACTGGGAACGCTGGTATCGTGCATCATTGTACACGGCAAGCGCCCCAACGATGCCTCCAGATGTGGAATCCCTCCCCACGGATCGGCTGGCGCTCATTGCCAAGATCTCTGCTAGCAAAAGGGCATCCTCGATACCGCAACCAGCACCTGCTCCATGGTGAGGTGAGGAGGCGTGGGCCGCGTCCCCGGCGAGGCAAACATGACCTGTTGAGTACGTCGGCACAGGATTCTCGTACATATCAAATATGGCCCACTTCTCCAAGTCCTTGGGCAGCAGAGACATAAGATTCCTTACGTCTGAAGTAAACCCGGAAAATGCTTGGATGGCCTCATCTCTGTGCGCCGGCTTGACGAATCTTTCTCCATCGGCTCCAGAATCCCACGGCTCAGGATCTGTGACGAAGCTGACCACATTCAAGATTTTGCCATCGGCCACCGGAAACGTGAGTGTATGCGCATCTGGCCCAAGATACATGATGCGTGTTGTCGTCTTGTCTTCTCCCAGTGTGGCTCGTGCAATATCCATCGGTACTAGGCCACGGAAGGCAAACTTGTGAGTATATGAGGCCTCATATTGGCCTCCGAACATGCACTTTCGTACACATGACCTGATGCCGTCACAGCCAACAACTTTGTCGCGTTAGTGACAGGACTGTGGGTGCGCGCTTGGTAAAGGCTTCAGCACTCACCGACGTCTGCATCTGCAACTGATCCGTCCCGGAAACACAGTCTGACTTTGCCAGCACCGACAGGTTCATCCTTCAGGGACGCTAAATCTCTCCCGAACTTGATCATTTCAGGCGGGAGCATGTCGACAAGGCCTTTGACGAAGTCAGATCTCCGACACCCCTCGAACCCTCTCTCCCCGAGGTGTATTTTGAACATGACATCTTGATGCTGTCTGCTTCCTTCTCCATTACCTGATGACAGCCCGTTAACATAACGAAACCAGTCATCGCCATTCTGAACTGCTATTTGCCGAAAGTGTTGGAGTACCCTCGGCTCAAGTATCTTCATGGCACGCTCAGCATTGGGTGTGAATCCGATGCCTGCGCCTATCTCTCTAATCCCAGAAGCTCGTTCATAGATGGTGACGTTGACATTACGGTATAGTAAGCCAACAGCGAGGCTAAGGCCGGTAATGCCACCCCCGACTATAGCTACCGTGAGCTGTGTTTTGTTTCTCGACGTAGCATCGCTCGTCATTGTGCCTTGGATTGTATGGTCTCAAATGAAAAGTTACACTTGAGACGCGGCATACGTTGTTGCAGAGCTTATTGCTTGAGGGCGGATATCTGAAGTCAATGCGAGTATCAGCATCTTTTGCCTTGTCGATTGAAACTTTTGGGGGCGGTACTCAAAACACTCCGGCGCTACTGAAAGGTGCCTGTCTACGGAGTTCGGAGTACTGAGACGGGTTCGGGCTTCGTCTCGCTTACTGAACATGAATACAATACTCTAACACGATCTATGCTTTTCATGTTACCAATACTGGCATTCTGCTGCCCATTCAACTAAATACACACGCAGCTTTTCTTACGCAGAAAAAGACATGGAATTATTTCATAAAAAAACGTATGATTGCTTGGCAGATATTGCTATGGATTAAAAATCTTGTACCGAAATTATGCCCCAGGCAACACTGTTTTATCGGTGTTGACGACCATTTCTTATATGAAGCCCATCTTAATAAAAACTCCCTTATACAAAACGCCGTCATGAGCAGCATAGCAGTAGGTCCGGAAGTGTGGAGCAATTTCGTAGCTCGGAGTCCAGCAATAAACTCCTTGCCTCACCCTAGCACATCAAAAGAAATTTCTTTCGATATTATAAGTCGAATTGTATGCTATCATATTGCCTCACCTCACCTCATCAGAGCAATGCCCCCTCATCTTAAGCTGATCTCGAGAATCTGTTAATTACGCCAATGGACCTCACCTCGAATCGTTGGCAGGACGTTGTTGGTCAGTTTCCACAGCTGAAGACATACAATCATGGTCTGATGATATTCCCACTGAATGACGGCATTTCAGAGGAGTCCGTAGTGGATGAGTTGAGAACGGCCCTGGCGAGGGTCGTTGCAGCTGTTCCCTGGCTTTCAGAGAGAGTCGTCGGGCACGTTCTTGATACCATATCTTCTGCAACATTCAACACAGTTCCATGGGCAGAAAATGTTCGGGGCGCCAAACAGCTATACGTGAAGGACCTCAAAGACGCTTGTGCGTCGTTCGAAACCATATCTCGAGCGGGTGGGCCAGTATCACTACTCGACGGCAACATCTTGTGTCCATTTCCAGGCTTCCCACTGAGTTATGATGAAGAAAAAATCGGCCCTGCTCCGGTTGTTGCTGTCCAGGCAAGCCTTATCAAGGGAGGCTTGATCTTGTGTCTTTCCAACCAGCACAATCTGATGGATGCTACGGGCGTGTTTGCGTTCGCCACACTACTGGCTACTGCCATGTCGCCTGATGGCATCCCCGAACACCTTATCAGCCAGGCAATGATAGATCGATCTAGGGTAATTCCACTGCTGGATCCTGGGCAGCCTGTCCGAGATCACAGCCACTATTTCAAAAAGATCGCTTCTTCACAGCAAAACCAACCCTTATCATCTTCAGCAAAATGGTGCTTATTCCGTATATCCCAGCGCTCGGCTGCCGAGATCGAAGCAGCCGCTTCAGACCCACTGGATTTTGATCCTGCTATCTCGCATATCTCAACCAACGACGCACTCTGTGCCTTTTATTGGAAACGATTGGCTGCCATCCGCCTCTCGAACGGGAGCGCGAGCCGACACTCGACGTCAAAATTCTTACGGGCAATAGACGCCCGGTCAGCAGTCGGTCAGCCACAAGGCTACATGGGTCAGATGATTTACCACGCGGCAACGTCTTTCACGTTTGGAGAGCTTGTTGATGATGAAGACCTTTCGCTGTCAGCACTGGCATCACGCATGCGGGTGGACCTAAATGAGTCCAACAACGAGTGGGCGGTACGAAGCTACGCCACTTTTTTGGCGGGTGTTCCCGATAAGTCGCAATTGCTCTATGGCGGGGGGCTGGATCTGAACCTGGACGTGGGCAGCTCAGCTATGACACATCGATCCACGGCATCTGGTCACTTTGGCATCTTGGGGAAACCAGCATTGGTACGGCGACCCGACCTGACACCCGTCCCAAGCATGCTGTATTTCTTCCCGCCTGATACAGAGTCAGCCCAATTGCCTGTGCTGGTATGCCTGAATGAACCAGATCTGACGGGCTTAAGGGCGGACCCAGAGTGGAATCACTACGCTGAGTTCATCGGGTGAAGGAGTAAGGTAACAGAAGCGTCTCAGCAGCCCTCAAAGGACTACCTATAATAACTTGCGCCAATCCCTGCAGTCCGTATTTCGTCCACCCTTTCCATTTTCTTCTATTCAACGAGATAGCGTTTTCCGAGAAGAATATTACAGGCTAAAAGAGTTCATCTGTGCGGGCGTTATGGAATTGTGTGCTGTTGCTGGGTAGTAGTACACTTCTTGCACGAGCGATGAGGGCCAAATAGGGGCCAAACAGGGCGCCCTCGGACGACACAACTCGTCGTCCATGCCCAGATACCGTCTAGACTAACAAAGGCCATGCTCACAAGGGCCCGGCAGAAAATGTATTTGTTAGCAAAGTCTCGGGGGCACTCCCGGAGGCCCCCAGCAACAGCACCGGACTTGTCGCTCGGAAACTCCGGGATTGGGAGGTTGCAAGACCCGGAGAGGAGATACAAAAATTGGAGACATTTTCAATCATCTGCCTCTCAAAACTATTTCAGTTTCGCAATTTATCGTATGAAAATTCAATGACGGCCTAAAGTCTTTGAGGAGAACTTGAGATCTCCAGGAAGAATGGCGAGGTGCCATGTTCTCTTGACAGGTAAGACTAAGGATTGCCAGGCTCTCAGCGTGAGAAGCGATCGAGCTGTTGATTTTTAGACAGGAGGCAACGGCTTTATAGCGTTCTATATTGGGAAGGCACTTTTAGAGAGCAAGTAAGTGAGGCTGTAATTGCTGCAGCTGGCTGTCAAGAGTACTAACACGTGAACATAGATTCTTGGTGACGGTGACGGTGAGATCTGAAGAAAAAGGTCGTTGTGTTCTGTCAAGCTATCCGAATATCGAGCCTGGGACCTTGCATTATGTAACTGTGCCGTGTATCACCGAAGAACATGCATTTGAAGACGTAAGGCTTGTCTCAGAATGTAACGACCGAATGGCCATGTAAGAACAACGTGCTGAAAGGGCAGGAAAAAAATCTTTTAGGTTCTTCGCTCGAGACCCTTTCGATACGTTATCCACGCAGCTACCCCCTACCACTTCGATATAGTCGATCCGGTGGCCGATTTCATTGACCCAGCTGTGAAGGGAACGCTGGGCATTCTTCAGTCCGTCATCGATGTTTGCCCGAGTGTCAGGAGGTTTGTACTTCTCTCATCGTCTGCGACTATCTTGAACCCTTCCCGGCACTCCAAAGTCTACGACGAAACAGTCTTCGGAACCACAACGCCCGAGGAAGCAGTCTCTCCCAAGCTATGTTATCGTGCAGCGAAGGTACGCATCTCCTCCTCTGGCCATCGTCCGACGGGATGTGCAAAGACTGAATTAGTCAGATCTATGCGGAGCGCGCGGCGTTCGACTTTGTTGAAAAACACAAGCCTGCCTTCGATCTCGTGGTCCTCAATCCGCCTTTGGTATTCGGGCCTGCCGCACCACACCTTGATTCCCTTCAGAACCTGAACACCTCTAATCAAAGAATAAGAGATATGCTTCAGGGCAAGTTCCGAGACATGCTTGCCCCGACAGGCCCGGTGTATCTGTTCTGCGATGTGCGAGACGTTGCCGCGGCGCATGTGCGGGCGCTGAGTACGCCTGGAGCAGGTGGGCAGCGCTTTCTTGTGGTCAGTGGTTATTTCTCCAACAAGCGTATTGCAGATCTTATACGAAGGCTATATCCTGGAATGGCATCACAAATGCCGCCGATCGATGTGGCAGACGACATGCCTCACGACGTCTACGGGTTTGATAATACAAAGTCCTATAAGATCCTTGGGATGGAGTATAGGGATCTGGAGACATGCGTGGGAGATTCTGTCCGCTCTTTTCTCGAAGTAGGACAAAGGACCAGTGCCGGGAGAAATTCTTGAGGTTGAAAGTTCACAAAATAGTTTAGATAATCCAATCCAGATTGTCCCGAGGCCAACACCGCAGGTAGACCTGATCAGAGCCCGTATGTTTCATTCATCAGCAACAACAGCGTGATTGCATTCAGGTCTTTCTGACTAGGTCTCAATGAAATCATACTTCTCGTTAGTTTAAAAATCCAGTGTCCCTCCATGCGCGTATATACCTCACCACGGCATTGCTGTCGAGACTCTTGGCCTGCCTGAAGGTTTCCGAGTGCTCGTGGGTGTGCCTCGTGCCAAGGAGGACGCCACCGCAGGACATGCGCTCAAAGTCCTGCTCAAGGAAGTCCATCAACCTGACTGCGGGATTATCTCGTTCCTGCCCCTGGAAGTTCCTCACGCGCCGCAGCCAGTCTCCAAAAGGGATGATGTCCTCTTTTTGCATGAGTAACGTCTTGACAAAGATGGGGATCATCTCTCTCCAGCCCATCTGCAGCCGCCTGTCGATGTGGTAGACCGGATAACACGGCTCCTCATGATTCAACAAGAGATCTGTGCACACAGCAGCCACCTCGTTGACCGGAGTCCAGGACACAGGCCCCTGGAGATCGGGGAAAGTGCCAAGCGTCTGCGCTGATCTGACGATAAATGGGAAATGTTCGAGCGAGTTCCAGTACCCGGTCACATTCGACCCAGCCACCTGCCCAAGCCGCACGACCATTGGGCGAAAGCGCTCGGGATATCTGTGAAGCGTCTCGTCGAGTATCCGCTCGCAGATAAACTTGGCCTCCCCATAGCCGTTTGCCAGGACCGAGGCATAGTCCATGCGCTCTTCAGGCACGTCGGCGCATCCACTGACCAACGGATGATAAGCGACTGTGGCGATGGACGAGATAAACTGGAACGTGATCTTGTGCTGCAGGGTTATATTACGACGCACCACGATCGATGAGGCGAGGTCAACGAGGTGGCGCATCGCCCTGAACTGTGGTTCGAACCCTTGCACAGGTCTCCTGCCGCTCATGGGCCATGCATTATGAATGATATGGGTGACATTGTCCACCAGCTCATCGTGCACGTCAGGAGGCAGGCCCAGCAGAGGTTGCGCTGCATCGCCCTCGAACACCTTCACCTTGGACTGCGCCGTGGCGTCGAGGGCGAGCTGCTTTGACTGCAGCGACGCGGTCTGTCGTGCCAGCGGATCGCCACCGCCGCGCCTGTTCAAACAGTACACGGTTTGAACCTCGTCGAGATTGGCAAGGTATGCGACCAAGTGACAGCCCAAACTCCCGGTCGCGCCCGTCACGAGTACTGATCTTGTTCTGCTTGAAGGGGCCTCGGTCTTGTCGAATCGCGTGGCGCTGGGTATGGGTATGCTGAATCCCTCCGAAAAGGCTGACACGTAACCGTTGACTTCATCTTCCCGGGAGCAGGACCTCCTTCTACCTGGGCCACGTACCGGTTCTTGTTCGGAGGACGAGAGGTGAGGTGGCGCCTCGCGTGCTGGGCTCGAGGCTGTGGCAAGAAAGATTCTCTGGATGCTGGCCTCCGGGGTCGCGCCATCTGTCCAATCCACATGGGCGAAGCCCCCGTCCTGTAGGGCTCTCTTCCAGGAGTCTTGGTCCACGATGGCATGTTCTCTCCCGTCGTCAAAAAGCCACCAGCCCTCCAGGACGCCAAAGATCATGTCTACCCAGTGCAGCCTGTTAGTCATCTCGAGCATCAGGAGGAACCCGTCTGCCCGCAAGAGGCGGCGTATATTCCTGGCCGAGCCTACCAGCGAGTGCGTTGCGTGTATGACATTAGTTGCTATGATGATGTGCTGGGATCCTAGGAGCTCCGGATGGGACGGCGGCTTCTCGATATCCTGCACGCAGAACTTCACAAAGGGGTACCCTTTGAGTGCCTTGCGTGCTGCCGAGACCAGGGAGGGTGAGATGTCTGTGAATGTATACCGAATTGGGAGCCCCAGCTGGGCCAGCATCGGGAGTAGCCACTGTGCAGATCAATTAGTATAATCAACCAAGATGATGTGGAGTAATGACTATTATTAATCCCATGGTCAGATTACTCGCCTTGGTGGTGCCGCCAGTCCCTCCCCCCAGCTCGAGAATATTGATGGGGCCGCCACTCCGATGTAGCCCATAGACCTGTCTCAAAAGCCTGCTGAGAAAGTCTGACATCAGGCTATAAGATAGCCTGTTCAGGAACGAGTCTCCGTATAAGCCTGCGACCAGCTGGCGCCCCCTCTCACTGCCAAAGATCAGCTGTAGGCCGTCAACCTTACCACGAACAACGTCTGCGAGCCTGGAGCCTGTCCAGTATGCCAGCTGGTTTGCGAAGTGGTGGTCAGGACAGTCTCGCATCAGATCCTGCAGCATTTCTCTGCTGCCTGACGATGGCACTGCGGTATCCGTACGGGTGATGTGGCCGTCGACGATCTTGACGAGCTCTGCGTCCTCCAAAAGCCTGTAGAGGTAATCCGATAGGCGCCCATGCTGTGGCGCGTGGGGGATCCGGACCAGCTCTTCTCCAGGCTCAGCCGTGACCAGGTTACATCCTAGGGTTCTGAAAGCCTCCACGGTAAGAACAGCGCAGAGGTTGTCCTGCCTCGGCAGGACGTCCTTCACATATCCCAAACACCGATGTTTCTGGACAGCTTTCTCCGTCAGTATCCTGCAGTCTTTGAATATTTGAAGAATAGTGTGAGTCTCCACCCACTCAGAGCATTGTAAGGCTGTGGTTTCGGCGTCGTCGCTGCCCAGCACAGCTGGCGTATGCATGGATGCTGAGGCAACACTGACGCCGCTGCTTACTGAACTCTCGGTCGATTCATCTTGAGTAGGGCTTCTTCTACTGCTGCTGCTGGTAGTCTCCAGGTTCTGGGCGTCGGCGACGGGTTGTTGATATATGCCCATTGCTTTCTCGAGACAGGCCAGGAGGCCTGGGAAGTCAGCGATGTGCATCAGCTCGTGGGCTGGTAGGCTGCAACCAAAGCTTGACTGGATGTCTCGACCCAGCTCTATGCTCATGAGCGAATCGATCCCCATGTCTGCCAGCTGGACGGCGTCCTTGATCTCACTGGCATCTATCCCGCTCAGATCGGCAAGGACAGTCTTGAGTTTCCACGAGAGACTCGTCCCGCCGTTCTCCTGACGAGTCGCGCATCCTGGCCCCAGAGACACATCCATGGGTGCAATGGGCGGCCCCTTTCTGGATTCTGGCTCCTTGCCTAGGTACTCTGCTTTGGGCAGGGTAAGTTCGCCGCCTGTGGCCGGCGGTGGTGGTCCAGAGCTGAGGCGGGTCAGCAATCTCGACATGGAGGCCTTGGTCACCCTGGAATATCTGATGCCCAGGATTACCTCGGCGAGCAGCCCAGATCTCTCCTCAAAGACGAAAATGTCTGTCAAAAAGTTCCTGCCAGCTTGGTCCGGGCTGTTTACGGCAAAGATGTTCCACGCCTTGTGGCCATCCGAGTGTTTCGGCTCGGGGTCAAGAGCGGCCACCGGATTCTTGGTCCATTCTTCGAACCCACAAGCGATGAACATGTCATCAGGATTGTCATTGGCGAAGCAGTTGATCCAGATTCCCCCGACCTGGCTGAAGCAGTCTGCCTGGAACGGGTCAAGGGCCCAGGGCTCGGAGCTCTGCTGGCGCACGACTCGGCCGGCCACCTCATGTCCGTGGCCCACGAGCTTTTGCAGGCCGCGAAATGCTGGACCATAATCGACCACATCCGAAAAGAGCCTATAGATGGCCTGCCCCTGGAGTATATTGTCCGCATTTTGCCTTTGTAGGAGTTCCAAACACCGCTGGTGGCTGACCAGCCGTTCCAGACGGCCGAGTCCCGCGCGCAACTTTGGATCTTCCGTCTCGAGGAACTGGACCTCTCCGGTGACGTACGTCAAGACCGTCTTGTTGGCCGTGTCTGGCTCGCTACTAAAGATCTTGAACGCCCACGCATCAGGTGCTGTGCTGATTGGCTGAGCTTCTAAGTAGACAGTCCTACCGGGTCCATCGCAGACGGGCGCCAGGTTGTGCACGTCTCGGATCTGCGGTCTAGACCTTGTCTGAGAAGACACGCCACGAATGCTGAGTATGGCCTGGACGGCAATTTCGACCTCGAGGGTTGCCGGGCAGATGGGTGCCGTCCTCGCAATGATGTGTCCAGACACGATATCTCTATATCTTTGTGTTTTCGTGTTCACTCGGAATCTGGCGCATTTTTCGTTGCTGTCTCTGTAGGCCAAAAACGTGTGCAGGTCCTGGGTCTCCTCGATCTGTGTGTCGCCCTCTGGGCGCGGTGAATCTCGGGGTGGCTCCTTGAAGGTAAGCCAGTGATGCTGCTTGTCGAACTGGTAAGGAGGCAGGCAGATGAAGTTGTATTCCCTGGATTGTGACTTGTGATGCGCCCAGTGCTTGGCTCGTATTCCCGCCTCCCAAAGGCTCATGGTGGCCTCTGTGAGCTGCTGCAGTGGGTGCCCACTGGTGATGTTCACCGGCAGCAAAACATGGCTCTTGAGGTCGGACAGGGCCCTGCCAGCCATGTTTGTGATGCTCGAGTTCGACCCAGCCTCGACCCACACGGCTGAAGGATATCTCTGCTGTAGTCGCTGGACTGCGTGAGAGAAGTGTACGGGTTGTCGCATATGCTCCCAGACGTAGCCTGCCATGGGTAGCTCGTTACATGGGAGCTCGGTTGCCCGCTGCAGTGGGATCGTCGGCTCTGCAAAGCTGAGACCTCGACCCAATTCCTGTAGCTTGTCCTTGAGAGGGTCAACCAGGCCCGAGTGGAAGGCATGAGTAACGTTGAGCCGTTTGTACCGGATAACAGCAAGTCCGTCCTTGCGGCTGCGTAGTACCGACTCGAGGGCATCAGCAATGCGTGTCGTCGAGGCGACCGTGAAGCTGCGAGGGCCGTTGAAGCATGCGATAGAGGCCCCCCCGCCTACAGCAGCCAGCAGGGCCTCCACATCCTGCAGCTCGCCCTGGATGGCTATCATGGCCCCCTTCTCAGGGCCCCACGAGTCTCTGATGATTCTTGATCGCCCGAGGACCATCCGGAGCGCGTCGTATAGGCTCAGGCTGCCCGACACACAGAGGGCGCCAAGTTCGCCAAAGGACTGCCCGACGAGGGCAGCCGGCTGGAGGCCGCTCTCTATCCAGGCCATAGCACATGCGTACTGCATCGAGAACAAGATGGGCTGTAGCTCAGAAGGGTCCGAGATTGGTTCGAGCTGGAAGATGCCAGGAAAGATGCTGGTTGCTCCGAGGTTCTGACAGACCCGATCGCAGCGGTCGAGGTGAACCCTCAATATCTTGCAGGACTCGTAGACCGCCCGGTCCAGCCCTACAAAGGTCGAGATCTGACCACCAAAACAAAAAATAACGGGTTGCGGCTCCGGCAGTCGAACAGGCAAGATCCTGCCCTCTTCTATGCCGGCCAGGGTCTGGCCCAGCTCCTCGAGCGTGCTGCTGGTGAAGATGGCGGCTGTCTGTAGTGACCAGTCGGACTGCCGGGCCAGGTTGAAAGAAAAGTCTGCCAGGCTCATGTCTTTCGCATTGATGTCCCTGCTCCGGAGAATGAAGCGGCACAGCCTTTTTGCATAAGCTCGCACGCTCCCATCGTGGCGCCCACTGATGCAAAACGGCACCTCGTCGCGGTGTACAGGGACATGGCGTAGACGATGACGATCTCGGCGCCACAGCCCGGGCACCTGCTTCACAATCATGGACGCGTTTGATCCAGATGCTCCGTAGTTATTGATCAGGGCAATCTGCGGCCCTGTGCGCCACAGTGCGGCTTGTCTGGAGATTTCCAACACCCCTGGCGAGATCTTGATGGACGGGTTCGTGCTGTCGAAACTGGCCTGCGGGACAATCAGGCCATGGTGCATCATCAGCAGGACCTTGATGAGAGACACGACACCGGAGCTCCCTTCCGTGTGCCCAACGAGCCCTTTCACAGAGCCCAGTTGTGCCGGGCCAGGTGGGCTGTCCAGGCCCCGAGACCCCGAGCCCAGGAAGGACTGGATGCTGTCGAACTCTATGGGATCACCGACCGGCGTTCCTGTGCCGTGGGCCTCAACGTACGATATCTGGCTCGCGGGTGTCTGTGACTTGAGAGAGACGTCCCTAAACAGCGCGGAGAGCGAGCTCCTGTTGGGCACAAAGATGGGCGTGCTGTTGTCGTTCTGGATCACGGCAGTAGCAGAGATGACGCCCAAGATCGGGTCACCATCGGCAACCGCCCGTGACAACCTCTTGAGGAACACAGTGGCGATGGCCTCCCCCCTGCAATATCCATCAGCCCTGGCGTCGAAGGGCCGGCACTGCCCAGACGGGCTGAGAAAAGAAGCTGCGGCTAGGTTTTGGTACCACAGCGGAGAGCTGATGAAGTTTGTTCCCCCGGCCAAAGCCGCCCTGCACTCGTCGTTTAGTATGGCCCGACAGGCCTGGTGAATAGCAACGGCAGATGATGAGCAGGCTGTATCAATAGTAAGCCCAGGCCCGGTCCAGCCGAAATAATGGCTAACCTTTCCGGAGATGAAGCTTCGTAGGTTGCCCGTGGCTGAGAAGGAGGTAGGGGCGTGGTGCGCGACGTTTCCCTCGTAGTCCGTGGCGCAGACACCGATATAACAGCCCACGCTCTGGTCCCGCTGGTGAGGAGGGTCCTGGAGATAGCCCGACTGCGAGACCGTCTGGTACGCATTCTGTAGGAGCAGTCTCTGCTGGGGATCCATAGAGACGGCCTCGCGGGGACTGATGCCGAAGAAGTGGTGGTCAAAGGCCTGAGCATCCTCGATGAAGTTTCCGAACCAGTCTCGTCCTGGATCATGGTCGGGTCGGAAGACGGTGTTGAAGACGAATCGGTCTGTTGCGACTTTTCTGTGCTGGGACTTGCCCGCCAGGAGGATCTCCCAGAAGCTCTCGAGGTCCTCTGCGCCGGCTACGTTGCATGCCATCCCGGTGACGGCAATGTCGTCGTCGCGTATCTCGGCATCTTCATGTTGGCCATCAAGTTCGCCAAAGTGCGTGACATGGGTGTGGTGCTCCTGAAAGATGGACGGGGGAACGCACCGCTCAGGTCCAAATGACACGACCCGCACAGTCGTACTTGATGACGAGCGCCGTGTAGTCTCTAGCGCCCTGGAGAATGTCCCGATCCAGTTCGAATGGTCTAGCAGTATTGCCCGCAGTGCCTCCTCATGAGGGGCTGCTGACATGGAGAACGCATGCACTGTCGTCCGGTCTGTCGAAGTCATCTGCAGCGGCATAGCTGGGCTCGAGGCGTTTGGAAATCGAAACCCCTGTTGTTGGCTGCAGAATCGGAGCAGGGACTTTAGGTTCTCTTGATGGACTGGGTTATGGAATCGGCCGTGAAGGCCTAACTCCGACGTGGTGATTCTAGCTGTGTCAAGCCTCCCCCTCAAGCTCATGATCGAGGCTCTAGAGGCCGTCAAGGTTGCTCGGTTGCGGTCGTAGGACACTGCCAGGTACGCCTGGTAGGTTATCAAGCTTGTTAGCCATGCCAAACTCGTTCTTCTTTTACTTTTCATTTTCTTCACCAGAATGAGAGGGACTCACATCTGGGAATTCCACCAAGATCTTTGCCATCTCTAGGTCCCCTCTACCGATTGAGTTCCATGCTGCCGCAAGAGAGGACGAGGTGCCCGGACCAACATTCTGGGCGTCGACAATCGCCCCGACAGCCATGGCCAGGCGGAGTGCTGCTGCGCCATTCCTTTGAAACTCAGGTCGGCTGAGGCTGTAGGTAACTACAACCGAGCTAAGAATCCCAAGGCAGAAGCCCAGCGCTACTTCATTTTCTCCCCTGGGCCCGTCCAGCCGTCCTTGTTGAAATTGCTCATATTCCCAGAGATGCGATATGATGACCAGAGGGCCCAGTATAGTGTTGGAGAGATGAGGCGTTGACGGGCCTGCCAGGTCTGGGATCTCGTTCTGGAGCCAGCCCAACAATGTTTCCAGCTGTGCTCTTCCCTGGATCTGCCGCAGGTCGGGAATGGCATCTTCGAGGGCATCCCAGCTGTCGAGACAGTCCTGCACAGCGTCGAGCACCCATCGTGCCTCTGGGTCGGTCTTGACGTGGGACCGCACCCTGCTGAAGTAGCCTCTGTGGAGCGACAGTGCCTGCGGACCAAACACATATAAAGTTCCTTCTGAACCAGCTGGAGTTGCGTTCCTCTCCATCGCGATGAGTCTTGGCAAAATACTACTCAATGCAAGAGACAGCCGTCTTGTCGTGGGCCAGTAGATTGTGCTGGTGGCGTTTTCCCGGTTTCTTGGCAACTCTTGTTCAACATCAGAGTAACTGGGGGGAAGAGCGTAGGATCCAAAAATACTTCAGCCAGGGCTTGAGAACCATATTTTCTCGACATCTTTACCACGGCTGTTCCTCACACTCTGTCAGAGGAGAGGTCGAAGCTGGTCGTTATCTCGAGGACCGTTACATCGGCAAAGGAGCCTGGCAGAAGAACTTGACCAGGTTAATACCGCCCCCAACCCCCCCCTCCCCCCTTTTTTTCCTCTTCACCGGAGTTGCGGGTGGAGTTGATATCGGACTTGCGACCACGCCGTTTATATTCCGTAATGAAGTTGTTGGGGGCCGGCCTAGCCAAGGTCGCATTCCTCCCTTGAGCGCAGCACGAATGCATAACAGACGTGCTGAGATGCCCGATTGTAGAAGTACATTACGAAATGCTGATCACGTCTGTTGGGTACCGCAGAAATTCCTTCTGGGCTTTACTTGATTGAACTTTGTAAATTCTTACCATAGTTGCTAATAACCACTCCCCTTACCGGTGACACCACAGGAACAAGCAAGTATAAGTTTGTTCATGTGACCTCGGCATCATCTAGTGGTTACCTCCCTCTGGACTGGTTACTCTACGATAGTTGAGCTATGGTAGCGTCTCGCGCTACCATCCATGTTTGCTTGCTCTTTGACGACAGTGGTGCTCCAGAGGCTTTTGCACCTGAGTCTCCGCGCAACATCAGCTTCGGTCTTGTGTGTGTTCGCACGGAAAGCAACGCAGATACGCCCAGGAACATAGTATCCCGATACCCACACATAGAAACGACCTGGGGTGTTTGTTTTCGATTTTATTTCTTCTCTCTTTCTTCACACGAAACATGTCAGAACCCATTGCTATTATTGGCATGGCTTGCCGGTTCGCCGGCGGCGTGGATACGCCAGAAGCATTATGGAGGATGTGTGCTGAAGGGCGGAGCGCGGTAAGTAAATCTCTGAATGTTATCCAAAAAGAAGGCAGATAGTGAGATTAGTATGGCTTGCGCTGATATGTCAGTCGCTGTGATGACTTCCTCCAGTGGAGCGAAATTCCGCCGTCCAGGTTCAACGCTGCGGCGGCGTACCACCCAAATCCCCAGAAGGTTAACACGGTACGTGTTCCAAGATGAAACATACAATTGTAAAGATGACAAGCGGCTCAACTAATAAATGACCGAGCTATCATCAGCACAATGCTCGTGGGGCTCATTTCCTGTCTGAGGATCCTGCTCTTTTCGATGCCAACTTCTTCAACCTGACGTCTGAGATGGCAGTGGTAAGATCTCTCACTCCCCGCCCCCCCCCCCCCCTCTCTCCAGGCCGAAGATACAAGAGGTTCAAGTGGGTTAAAAGGCAGGAAGATGTATATGTACATATATATATGGCTGACACCTGGCTTGTTGTCTTCAGGCCATTGATCCTCAGATCCGACTGCAGCTTGAGTCCGTATTCGAGGCACTCGAGAGCGGTGAGTGGACACCCAGAGAAGCAGAGCCTGGAACCAGACTAGAGGATGAAGAAGACTGACCGGACACCCTCCATCAAAGCTGGTCTCAGGCTTGGAGACGTTGCCGGGTCCAACACATCGGTGTTTGCCGGTGTATTCTTCCACGACTACGCCGAGAGCCACCTGCGCGACCCAGAGAGCCTCCCTCGGTACTCTGCCCTCGGCTCGAGCTCTGCTCTGGCAGCAAACCGCGTCTCCCACTTCTTTGACCTCCGGGGTCCGAGCATGACCATAGACACGGCGTGCTCGACCACCCTCATAGCACTGCACCAGGCATGCCAGAGCCTGCGGACGGGAGAATCTGACATGGCCGTGGTGGGGGGGTCGAACCTGATCCTGGATCCTGGCGCATTCATTGGTATGTCTTGTCCTCGGGGCAACCTCTGTGCTGCTTTGCTATGCTTAACCTGATCCTGACTGATTACCACAACGATGATAGTCCTCTCTTCTTTGACGTACGTGGCACAAATAGATAACCCATCCCGCTCCTTCCAAGCCTGATTATTACTTCTACTTGATGAGCAATCTTTTTTTCCCTTGTCTTCCCCCCCTCCTTTTTGTCTGGGGGGGGGGGGGTGTCCTTCTGTTTTTTGTCGCTAACGACAACACTTTTCAGCCTCCTGTCACCTGATGGCAAGTCTCACGCTTTTGATAGCCGGGCTAACGGATACGGCCGCGGCGAGGGCTCGGCGACGGTGCTGCTGAAGAGGCTAAGCGACGCTCTGCGTGATGGTGATCCAGTGCGCGGCGTCATCCGTGGGACGGCGGCCAACTGCGACGGGCGGACAGGAACCATCACGACACCCAGCGGCGAGGCGCAGGAGGCGCTGGTCCGAGAGTGCTACCGCCGGGCAGGGCTCGACCCCTTGGGAACCACCTATTTCGAGGCCCACGGGACCGGGACGCCGGTTGGCGACCCCATCGAGGTTAGTTCCATCGCTGCCGTGTTCCAGGAGACCGGCCGTCGGGCAGGCGGTGGTGTGCCCCTGCGCATCGGCTCGGTCAAGACCAACATCGGCCATACAGAGACGTGCAGCGGCCTGGCGAGCGTCATCAAGGTCTCCCTGGCCCTGGAGAAGGGGATGATTCCCCCTAGTATCAACTATGACAGCGTGAACCCGGCCATCAACCTCGAGGCGTGGCATCTCAAGGTGCGTGTTATCATTAATCATATGCAGGAAGAACAGCCGCGTGGACGAGCCGGGAGGGAGGATCTTCGTGAATGGGCCAGGAGACAGCTGACAAGGTCCATCATGACAGGTTCTAACAGCGCTGGAGCCCTGGCCTGAGGTCGACGGTGTCCGCCGGGCCTCGATCAATAGTTTTGGGTACGGCGGCGCCAACGCACATGCCATCCTGGAGAGCTACTCTTCCTTCTCGGCCTCGACGGGTGTTGGGCCCTTGGTTGAGCAGCCTGTGACAACAACATCAATAAAAGCAACAAGAACGAGAAGACCACGCGTCTTTGTGCTCAGCGCCAGGGACGAAGAGGCCACCGAGGCGGCGGTCGCCAACCTGAAGAGGTACCTCACCGACGCGGCTGAGGGATGCTGCGGGGAGGACCGAGAACAGCAGCTGCTAGATGACCTCGCCCTGACCCTTGGCCAGTGCCGGAGCAGATTCCCCTGCGTCTCTGCCACGCCGGCCCACGATATCGCAGGTCTCACGGCGGCACTCGGTTCGGCAGGGATGAAGGCGACCAGGCCGCAAGCTGAGAGGCCGAGGCTGGGCTTCGTCTTCACGGGTCAGGGTGCCCAGTGGTGGGCCATGGGCAGAGAGCTGATTGGCATCTACCCGGTCTTCAGGGACTCCCTGGCCGAGTCTGAAGGCATGTTGCAACGCTTTGGGTGGAGCTGGTCCCTCATGGGCAAGTCTCTCTTCTCCTGATTCTCGAGTGACCTGGTGAGCGAGCTGACATGTCCTACAGACGAGCTGACGAGCACTGCCGAGGCGTCCAGGCTGGACAGCCCGGATGTGAGCATGCCGGCGTGCGTGGCGCTCCAGATCGCGCTGGTGGAGCTGCTCTCGGCCTGGGGCATCGAGCCCTCGGCCATCACCAGCCACAGCAGCGGCGAGATCGCCTCGGCGTTTTCAGCAGGCGTCCTGAGCAAGAGGAGTGCTATCGGGATCGCGTATGCGCGGGGCCAGCTCGTGCCAGAGTCCGAAGGAGGTATGATTGCGGTCGGGCTCGGTCACGAGGCATGCAGCGATTACATCGCCAGGGTGTCGTCGAGGGGAAAGCTGGTCGTGGCGTGCATCAACAGCCCGACGAGCACGACCCTCTCTGGTGACGTACCGGCCGTCGTCGAGGTCCAGCGTCTGCTCGAGGCTGACGGGGTGTTTTCCAGGCGGCTGCGGGTGCGCACAGCCTACCACTCCCACCACATCTCGCCCCTCACCTCGGCAGCGTACCAGAGGTGGATCAGCGACAACGTCGATCTCAGCGTGCCAGCGCATCTCGGTGGAGAGACAACCACTCTGCCCCTAATCTTTGCCTCGCCCACGGTTGGCCGGCGCATCACATCGGCCGGGGAGCTGCTGGATGCCGGCCACTGGTCCAGGAGCCTGTCAGATCCCGTTCAGTTCGTGGGTGCGCTGTCTGCCCTGTGCAGGCCTGATGACGTGCAGCCCTCTTCTTCGTCGCCATCATCATCATCATCATCATCATCATCATCATCGTCTCCGCTGGCTGTTGACTTTATTATCGAGATCGGCCCTCACTCGTCCCTGGGAGGGCCGATCCGGGAGATCACATCATGGCTCCTCGCCGGCTCTGCTCTTGACAACAAGAACAATCAAAATACAGCAGGACAACAACATAGACCTGGATACGGCTCGTGTCTTGTCCGTGGCGTGGATGCGACGGCCACCATGCACGACCTTGTGTGCCAGCTGCTCAGGCACGGCTGCGACGTCGACTTGGCCGCCATCAACTTTCCTCACAGCATGGGCCGCGGTGCAGCACGGGTCCTCACAGACCTGCCTCATTATCCCTGGAACCACCAGGTGCGCTACTGGTACGAACCCCGCCAGAGCAGAGCCTACAAGCGGCGGAGGGAGGCCCCTCATGACCTTGTGGGCTCTCTCGACCCGGCGTGCAACCCAAGCAGGCCTGTCTGGCGCAACATAATAAGGGAGGCAGACGTACCATGGGTGAGAGACCACACGATCCAGTCCAACATGGTGTATCCTGGTGCCGGCATGCTGTGCAGTAAGGCAGGCCCCTTTTTTTCCTTTTTCGTACTCTTCGGTTCACAGCGAGATTTGAATGAGATAACTGATTACTCTGGTTGTCTCTTCCAGTGGTGATCGAGGCAGCCGTACAGGCATACGGCGGCACAAGGCAAGATGCCATCGAGGGCATACACCTCCGTGATGTCGAGATCCCACAGGCGCTCTTCATTCCCGACACACCGACGGGCATCGAGGTGACGGTGGAGTTCCGTCTGTGCAGCGACAAGGCCATCTATTCCAGCGGCTGGGCCGAATTCGTTATCCAGTCGGTCACGGCTGACAACGTCTGGACAGAAGTCTGCCACGGCCTCGTCAGGGTGATTGTTGACCCTGCCAGCGACAAGCAGCAACAGCAACAACCGCCCTGGGCAGCTGCTGGTGATGTCCTTAGGGGCCAACCCGAGAACCACGAGGCGTACCACGTCAGGATCTTTCCAGAGGACGTGTACAACAACCTGCGGACTCTGGGCATCTTCCACGGGCCCAGCTTCCAGAACCTCAGGTCCATCCGGGCGCGGTCCCTCGCGTCTGTGTCCACCCTGACCATCCCTGACATGGCATCCGTCATGCCCCAAGGCCACCAGCACAGGCACGTCATCCACCCGGCGACCCTGGACACGGTGATCCAGAGCACCTACTGTGCGCTTCCCGAGTCCCAGGCCGGCGGCCTCGAGCAGGCCCTCGTGCCCACATCGGTCAGGTCCCTGTGGGTCAGGTGCGGCCTCGCAAGCCGCCCAGGACACGCCTTTGATTCCTATGCTTCCGTCTCGCACAGGACGGCGGACCACGTCCAGTTCTCAGTCGCTGTCCTCGACCAGGCCACCAGAGAACCCGTGGTAGGCATCGAGGGGCTCACCATGCAGTCGCTTGGGGGCACGTTTGCGCATGACTTGACCGGGCTGGGCGCATACAGGGACGACAAGGTGTCGCTGGCCTTGTGGGTGCCAGATATCACCTCTGCACCGCTCTGCAGCGGCCTGGAGCACGAGCTCGAGCACACCATGCCCGAGGGGGAGGCAGAGGCCATGGTGAGCCTGCGTCGTGTCTGCGTATACTTTGTCCGCCAAGCCCTGCGCTCCCTGGCCGACGCAGAGGTGGCTAGTCTCGAGCGGCGTTTCCAGCGGTACCACAGCTGGATGAGGACCCTGGACGGGCTTGCTCGGGATGACAAGCTCGCTCCAGACAGCTCAGCATGGGCCCAGGATGATCATGATCCCAGGTCTGTCAGACGGCTCCTGGCCCGGGTTAAGGCTTCGAGTGTCAACGGCGAGATGGTGTGCCGGCTGGGGCCTTCGATTGCCTCCATCTTGCGGCGCCACAAGACCCCAGAGCAGCTCATGCTGGCAGATGCCCTTCTCAGCCGCTACCGCGCCGACGCCGTCAAGGCCCACCGCTCCCGTGAGGCGCTCGCCGCCCTGGTGAGCCATACGGTGCGCAGGTTCCCGAGGGCGAGGATACTAGATATCGGGAGCCAAGGGCTGCTGCAACAGGACCGAGGCGCTCTCAGCCGTCAGGTGCTCGGCGTGATCGGGTCTGACAGCTCTGGATGGGGCCCTCTTGCCGCGTGCTATGACGTGGGGCTCTCGAGTGAGGACATGGAGTCGTCTTCCCAGCTGGACGCGCTCAGGAGCCAGCTAGGGCCATGGAGTAGCCTGGTTCAGTACAGACAGCTCGACCTGGGGCGGGATACAACAGAGCACGAGGACCACCCCGAGGCGGCGTCCTACGACCTGGTGGTGGCATCTCACGTTCTGCGAGGCTCTAGAAACCTTGGAGCCGTCCTGAGGACGGTTCGGCGGCTGCTGAGGCCGAGAGGTATGGTTTTCTTTCTTGAGGCCGCGCGGGACCAGGTTGACACGTCCTTTGTGTGGGGGCTGTCGCAGGACGAGTGGTGGCGAGGTGAGTTTCTACCCCACTTCCTTGCTCACTTCCCTCCTCCTTTCAGCTTTATAAACTCCATGATTAATCAATTCCGCATCCAGATTACACAGTCGATACCACAGACGCCCATCCCGACGTCTCTTTGCTCACAAGGTCCGCGTGGGACCACATCCTTCAGGACGCCGGCTTCAGCGGAGCCGACCTGGAAGTCCGTGACTGCGTGGAGGAGGAGTTTTGCGCATATAGCACCATAGTGACAACTGTCACGGCCGTCTCGGCTCGGCAGAACGGCTATGATGGCGACGACGTGGTTAATGGCCGCGACGTTGAAAGAGAGCCAGCCATGCTAATAGTGACGGCTGATGACGCAGAGCTGAACCCTCCTGAGAGCTGGATGCACGCTCTCGTCGCCGAGGTGGCCTGCAGCACACGCAGGGCGCCTACCACCGCGGGTCTGACTACGGCCGACCCGCAGGACAAGCTGTGTGTGTATGTTGGCGACCTGGCCGGCCGGTCCGTGCTCGAGGCGCCCACCGGTCCGGAGCTGGATGCCATCAGGCGCCTCTGTGCCCTCTCCAGGGGTCTGGTCTGGGTGACCAGGGGAGCGTGCATGGGGTCTGAGCTGCTGGGCGGCGCCTCCATGGTAACGGGGCTGCTGCGGTCTGCGAGGATGGAATACGGCGCCAAGGGTCTCTTCAGCCTGGACCTGGACCCAAGCACCGCCGAGACGTGGCTGCAGAGCACGGCCCAGCTCCTCTGCCAGTTCCTTACGGCTACGCTGGTCGCGACGGAACCAACAGCCACGATGACGACGACGACGACGACGACGACGACGGGCGAGGGGCAAGGCCGAGATTTTGAGTTTTGCGAACGACATGGCGTGATTCATGTCTTGCGCTATCTCAAGGACATCGATAAGAACCACTTTCTCTCCTCCTCCTCCTCCTCCTCCTCCTCCTCCTCCTCCTCCTCCTCCTCCTCATCATCATCATTAATACAAAGGCCGAACGGGGAGCCCTTTCGTCAGCGAGGTCGCGTGCTGCGCCTTCATGTCGGTGTGCCTGGCCTCCTAGACACCATGTCGTTCAGGGACGATGTCGACTTCGACTTCAACTCTGGCCAGGACGACGGTGGCGGCAGCATGGATCCCGACCACCTTGAGGTCGAGCCGCACGCCTTTGGGGTCAACTTCCGCGACGTCATGGTGGCCATGGGCCAGCTAGGCGCTTACACCGCCATGGGCTTCGAGTGCGCCGGTGTGGTCACCAGGGTTGGCGTCCGTGCTGCCTCAGAGGGCGGCTTTGCGCCTGGGGACCGCGTCGCGACGCTCCTGGTGGGGTGCAGCTACGCCAGCCGCGTGCGCACCTCTTACACCAACGCCGCGCACATTCCCGACCACCTCAGCTTCACTACGGCCGCCTCATTCCCCGTCGTCTTCTGCACTGCTATCATCGCCCTGGTCGACAAGGCGGGCCTGCAGAGGGGCGAGCGTGTTCTTATTCATGCTGCAGCAGGCGGCGTTGGCCAGGCTGCCATCATTCTGGCCAGGTCTCTCGGCGCTGACATCTTTGCCACAGTTGGCACGTCTGAGAAGAGAGCTCTGCTAGTCGAGCGATATGGGATCCCCGACGACCATATCTTCTCCAGTCGTGACACCTCGTTTGGGCCTGGCATCCAGACTGCTACCCAAGGCCAGGGCGTGGATGTGGTCCTGAACTCGCTCTCGGGCCTGCTCCTTCACGAGAGCCTCGGCTGTCTGAGCCGCTTTGGCCGTTTTATTGAGATCGGCAAGCGTGATCTGGTGCGCAACAGCAGCATCGAGCTGGCTGCCTTTGATCGCTGCATCACCTTCCTCCACATCGACGTACTCCAGCTCTGCCTATTCCAGGGCGCCACCGTGCGCCGCACCATGCAGACCGTCATGCAGCTCTTCTGTGACGGCCACATGTCGGCACTGGCTCCTCCGATCGTCTACGCTCTAGCTGACCTCGACAAGGCGTTTCGCCTCATGCAGGCCGGTAAGCACACCGGAAAGATCGTTGCCTCAGTGAGGAACGACGAACATGTCATGGTAAGGGTTGCTCAATCTTGTTGTTATCCCCAGCGGGCTCTCGAGGTACAGACCTGCACAGTCCAGACCAGACAGGCTGACTGAGAAAATAACTGTATAAAAAACCAAACAGGTTCAGCCTCGTGCGCCGGCCGCTGTCAGGCTTCGCCCGGATGCCACCTATCTGGTCGTCGGCGGCCTGGGAGGGATTGGGCGGTCCGTCTGCAGGTGGATGGCCCAGCACGGCGCCAGGAACATTCTCATCCTGTCTCGAAATGCCGGCACAGTTCATGCGAGAGTGGCAGCTCTCGAGGACGAGATAGCTGCCCTAGGGGCCAAGGTGAGGGCGTGCAGCTGCGATGTTGCTGACGCGCGGGAGCTGGACGAGGTGCTGCGCTGCAGGCGAGAGGATATGCCCCCGATTCGTGGGCTTGTGCATGGTGCCATGGTACTCCGGGTAAGTTCTTTGCCTTTGTCTACGTCTCACTTCCAATGTATAACCCCGAGGCTGAAAGAGGACGGGGAAAAAAAAAAAGGACACCCTCTTGGACCGGATGACCCTGGAAGACTACCAGGTGGTGACGGCACCCAAGGTGCGAGGCAGTCTGAACCTGCACCGTGCATTCGAGACTCCTGGAAGTCTTGACTTCTTTATCCTGCTCTCCTCAGGCGCCGCCGTCGTGGGAAACCTCGGCCAAGCACACTACACCGCCGGCGGGACGTTCCAGGATGCCCTGGCCGCGCATCGAAACGCACGCGAGCTCGTGGGCGCCTCGATCGACGTCGGCCCTGTCCGCTCCGTCGGCTTTGTCTCCGAGAGCAAAACAACAATCGACTTCCTGCGCGGTCTGGGCTACAGCTTCCTCTCAGAGGCCGACGTGCTCCGGGTCGTGGAGCTTGCCGTGGTAAACCCCCACTGTGGACAGGTTATTCTGGGGCTGAACACCGGCCCAGGTCCGCAGTGGACCAAGACCAGCATGGGGTGGGACATGCGTTTTGCACCGCTTCGGTACCGCGAGGCCGTCTCGGCGCAGACGCTGGCCTCCTCTGGGGACAGGGCGCTGGAGGATCGAGACATGGGTAGCAAGATTGCCCAAGCAGCGAGCTTGGACGCTGCGGCCCAGGTCGTCGTCCGAGGGATTCGCGAGAAGCTTGTCGAGATATTCACGATGCCCGAGGCCGAGGTGGACGCCAGCAAGAGCCTCGCATACTATGGCGTTGACTCCCTGGTGGCCGTTGAGCTGAGAAATATCCTGGCTGTCCGCGCAGGCGCCGAGATCTCCATCTTTGATATCCTACACAACCCGTCACTCGATGTCCTCGGCCGCCTGGTTGCGTCAAAAAGCCGTCATCTGAATGCATCCCTGCGGCCCAGGGATGGTTGAGCACGTGATGAACAGAACTACTATGAGCAGGAAAGGTAAGACTCGGAGTCCATCGGATCTGACGCATTATTGATGACTATTCTCACGGTGCAGCTGGGACAACAAGCTATTTTATTGGATATGAGAAGATCATTATCCTTGAAATTGGGAATATCTGGTCTTTATGGGAGGATTAGCTGTTGTTGAGAGCCAAGGACTTTGTATGTGACAGCTAAAAGGAGTGACCACTCCCAGCTGACTGGAAACGGCTGTGGCCTATATAGCTGCGTAACGGTCGGACTCACACACTTTGTGTGTGTGGGCAAAAAGATTGCATTGCTGAGCGCTGAAGAGAAAAGAGAAAAGGAAGAGAAACGCCACGAGGCCAGCTATCTGAGGCTATCAACAGGTCTGGCTGTTGGCTGGCTGGAGGGGCCGTGCACGGCCCTGGGCCAGTGACTCACTGGCCTTCGCACACTTTGCGTTATGAACAGCCCATGTTTACTGATTCTCACTCTCTTGCTATCCAGGTCTGAAGAGTATTGGATTAACTGCCACAAATTCTCATGCACCGAATGTCGATACCACTCGCTCTTGCTGATATCCTTTAGATATCCCCTATGTATTCTGAATTTCCCCAGCGATACGATAGGCAAAGTAGGTGATGTTATGGCTAGTCTGCTGTAGCTGCTGCGTGTCAAAAGTGTGAATGGTGTATGCGATGAAATCGTTGACCTTCTCAGGCATCACCTGGATCAGCCGGGTAGTTGTCTGCGTGTCGAGCTCTGTGTATGTGTACGGCATTGTGGGAAGACCAGTCGAGTTTCTAAGCTGCAACAAGTTGATTTAGTTGATTAATGATATATGAGTTGCTAGAGTCGCTAGTTGACTCTATCGATTATTCTTCTTTTATAATCCTAGCTCTGAGTTATATAGGCGCTGTGTTAGATTTTGGATCTAATAACTGGCTTTCTTGAGTCTACTGTTCCTGTGGCCTGTTTCGTGACCTGCATGTTGGTTTGGATTATGGCAGTTTGTTCGCAGCGCTCAGTCTTCTGCAGGGCAGGACTCGTACCATGCCATGCAACGTCCTTTTTTACGTCCCTGTTGGTTCGTTCGCAGCGCTTGGTTTTCTACAGGTTGACGCCCAAAGATATCCTGACGGGCGACGGCTTTACTCCACAGCTAGGTAGCATGCGAGGAGTCAAAGTGTCTGATTGGTCGCTCAGCTAGCGACGGCAAGCACGCAGATATATGCAAACGATGTGAAATTAATGCTCGCGGCACGATATTGGCCCGTATTGCTCCGGCTCCAATTCTCAAGATTAACAACAAACTGTTTGCGCGCTGCTCGCATGTTTTTCTTCTCGAAAGATTCAAGTCAGCTGCTGCATGTTCGGAGCATCCAACCAACCTCGCTCCCAGCTAGAAATTACTGATTCTTACTAGCCTGCTCCAGCTTCCATCTTTCCTAGCTTACCTAGGCACTACGGTAGGTGCAGGTGGTTACTTCAGTTAAGACAGCTGTGACCGCGTCACGCACCAAGGCAAAGCATACGGGAAGTAGAGGAAAAGGCGTCTAGCGGCAGACTGAGAACTGCTGCCGACGAGCTTCCCCGCCGCCTACAGGTTTGGCTTGTTGTAGCTCAGCCAGCCCAAGGGCCTGAGGCATCGCCAGACACTCTCTCCCACCACTCAGACCAGGGCTAGCAGCCATGGCAATCCAGGCACCCGCTCGCAACCCAGACGTGGACGGCAGCAACAGCAATAGCAACAGCAGCAAGAAGGCTGGCGATAAGGACAAGGCTGATGCCAAGGACGAGGCTGATGATAAGGACGAGGCTGACGATAAGGAGAAGGCTGATAATAACATCGCCTCAGGGGATAATAGTGAGAATAGCAATAGCAGCAACAGCAACAACAACAGCAGTAAGAAGGCTGACGACAAGTACAATGGCGTCACCAACTTCAAGCCCTCGCCCCGCTTCTGGGCCATCCTCATCACCTGCGCCGTCATCGCCCTCCTTAGCGCTCTGGAAAACACCGTTGTCATCACAGCCCTGCCTTATATCGTCGCCGACTTTGAGATGGGCGAAAACTACGTCTGGATCAGCAATGTCTTCTTGCTCACAGGGTATGTATCTGGCAAGCTGTGTCGTGTCAACCACCCGAGACTACCTTTTTTACAGGAATGATAAACCTCGCTGACCTTTCCCCACCTGTTCCAAACAGGGCCGCCTTCCAGCTCTTCGGCCAGCTGGCCAACATCTACGGCCGTAGATGGGTCACCATGGCCATCGTTGCCTTCTTCACACTCGGCAGTGGCATCAGCGGCGGCGCCACCAACAGCGGCATGCTTATCGCCGGTCGCGCCGTTCAGGGCATCGGCTCAGGAGACAGTGGTGCCCCCCAATCTGTTCAGCAGCCGCACCACCGTCGTCATCTTCCTCGCCACCTTCCTCAACTCGACAATGGTGTACTGGACTCTCTTCTTCCTGCCCGTCTACTTTCACGCCGTGCTCAGCGCGTCAGCGTCCCAATCGGGCGTCCACATCCTGCCCACCATCCTCTTTGGCCTGCCCGGCTCCATCGTTGCAGTCCTGATGCTGGCGCGCTGGGGTGAGTACAAGCCTCTGCACATGTGAGGCTTCGCCGTCACCATCATCGGCAACGGCCGCTTCACCCTCCTGGACTGCAACACCACGACGGCGCAGTGGGTCATGTTCCAGATGATCCAGGCTATCGGCACCGGTTTCGTGCTCAATGTTGAAGTTGATGATGGTAAAGACGATGGATTGAAAGATGAGGAGAAGAGGAAACTAAAAGACTGGTAGGCCTGGCGGCCGAAATAACAAACAAACGCGCACGGACCAACGTGCGTACTAATGGAAATGCACCTTCTTCACACCCCCCATTTTCAGTAGTAAAATGTAGCCAAAACGATACCTCCAGAATCGTCCTCGACTCCGTCCCATTCTGAACCGCATGCGAAACTCCTGGGTCAATTCTCGCAGAATCGCACCCCAAAATCAACCGATGAGCCCCAGCATCTCGACCAACCTCGTCAGCACCGGCCTTGGGAGAGATTTGGTGCAAATGTCCGCCAAATTATCCTCTGATCTGGTATATGCAACGTTGTAATCCATGCTAATCCTTTCCTGCACGAAATAATAGTGAACATCGATGTATTTCGTCCGCAAAGTGATTTTCTAATCAGTAATGAGAGATAATGCGGGTTCATTATCATAATACAGAATAGAAAGCTCTGCAATCCTGAATTTCAGATCTTTGAGCGCCTGGATAGTCCACCGGAGGTGAGATGCAGCGCTGAAACATGCCATATATTCGGCCTCACAGATGGATTTCGCCACTGTAGATTATCGTTTTGAGCTCCAGGCAACAACAGCATTATCAATCTTCATAATATATCCTGCGAATAACTTCGAATTGTCCGGATCCATATTGTATGAAGCATCCGAATAGATGTAGGCAGTGAGAGGACTACCAGTTGTCTTCCTGAAGGTAATCCTGTAGTCGAGCATGCCTTGAAGATATCTGAGCACCTGTTTGGCACAGTGAGCGTGTTGTTCTGTAGGATTCGCGTTGAAAGTCGCGAGCATCCCGCATAGAAACGCCAAATCCACGCATATACCGGTTACGAGAAAGTTGAGGGATCCGGTGATGCTCTGGTAGGTTTTGATATCAGTGAACATATCGTCATTCTCAATGCATCGAGAAAAACAACCCGGATCAACTGGAGTCTGATGGAGTTTGCAGTTAGCTATGCCAAAACGCCTGAGAATGCGCTCAGCATAACCATGCTAAGAGATCGTGATCCCATCACTGTTCTGATAAATCTCGAGGCTGAGAAGGTAGCAACAGAGGCCCAAATCCTTGCATTTGAAATAGTCCTTCAGGAGAGTTTTGCAGTTGTCCACAGCAGTGGGGGTACCCGCTATGAGAATGTCGTCCATGTAGACAGCAATAATAAAATCCTCGCTAGTGAATACGCATGGATCAAAGTGTGTAGAGGTGCTAAACTTAAGGAGGGCGTCTCGCAGGATTCCAAACCATTCGCAGCCCAACTGCTTCAGGCTGTAAAGAGCTTTCTTGAGCTTGAGAACTGTATAAAGGGATGCGTTGTATCCTGGGGGTGGCTGCATGTAAACATCGTGGGTAAGATCGCTCTGAAGATATGCAGTCTCAACATCCATCTGATAAACTATCCATTCCCGCAAAGCAGCCAGCCTGATAATCAACTGTAGACTATCGTACTGCGCAACGGGGCTGTATGTATCATCATAGTCGATACTGTATATTTGCATGAAGCTATGCGTGATCAGACGCGCCTTATATCGCAGCAAAACTCTCTCAGCATCGTATTTCTTTGCAAATACTCAACGAGGGTTGACCACATGGATGTCCCATCGCAGTAGCACCTCTGTCCATATGCTGTTGGCGGAGTGAGCAGACAATTCGCTCTCGATCGCGGATATCCACTGATTGCGCTCCGAATTGGCTATTACTTGGTTGTAGGTTGTGGGAATATCGTCATTCTCGACAGCAGCTAGCGCTGTTGCGTGGATATCATCGTTGGACTCGTATCTCTCGTCAAATCCGTAAGCAGTGAGTCCCTGTGCCTGTTCTGTGGGTTTCACCTGCTGCCCAGAACGAGTTATCATGGAGAAGGCTCTGAGTGTTGGTATTTTGGATGAGCTGGGTTGTTTAAGCGTTGTCCGTTTTGACGAGTCAGAAGAGTCCTCAGAGGAAAGTGAAGAAGAGGGAGCTGGAGGAGAGCCCGACGACAATGATCTTGGGAGCTTCACAGGCACCGGAGATTCCACATCCTCAGACTCCATCGCCCACTTGACAGGTGGCGATAGGTGATAGCCCTATTGAATGTGCGTCTTGGTGGCTGTCGTGACAACTTTGCGCAGGGGAACGTAGAGTCGACAGACTGAATTTCCCTTGCCAGCAGGATTGTCAAATCCCACGAACTGAGCTTTTTCAGCCCTATCCAGCAATTTTGTCCCTAGCTTTCTGGCCTCCACAGGAATATGAAGGTAACAGGGCTGAAGGAAAGGCTGGATGTGATCGATGAATGGTTTGTATCCGTGAAGGCGCTCGAAAGGCGTGATTTGACACGGGAGACTTTGGTATGGCTTTCGATTGCATAAGTAGACCGCATACGCAACAGCTTCCGGCTACAAAAACAAACAATCATCATTACAAAGCATAGCCCTCGCATCCGTAATAACAGTTCAGTTAAAATGCTCAGCTAAGCCATTGAACTCATAATGGTAAGGAGAGGATCGCTGGTAGGCTACGCCTCGTTTGCAGAGGACCTCAGTCATCCGCTCGTTAACATATTCACCCCCATTATCAGATGCAATAGCCTTCACTTTTGCATGAAAATGTATATCCACCATCGCAAGAAAGTCCTCAGTAGTCCTAACAGCCTGCGCTTTGAACTTAAGGAAGTATACCCAGCTGTAATGGGTATGATCATTGATGAAGATCATGAAGTAGAGGGAACCGCTGAGTAATGAGATCAAGAATTTCCCAAACAAATCGGAGTGTATAAGGTCGAATATAGTAATAGAATTGTATTGTGCTGGAAGAGATTTGGATCTATAGCGCGTTGATTTGAACAATTAGCATGCTTTGCAGTCAAATTCTGATAGCTTGACGGGCACAGAATCGCTATCAGAGTACAGCCATCACGCCAGATTTAGCGAGATATTGCTATGCTCAAAAGCCTCATGGAAATGTGTATATGTAGCAAACAATGCAGACTCATTGCCAGCAGTCTGAATCTCAAAATTCCCATGTTAGAACCTCGCTCATAGCACTATTAGCTGTGATTCGTCTCCGTTTGGAATAAGGAAGATATTGTTGCCTTGAGCGATCATTCTGAACTTCTTTCGAATAGTTATCCAGCTGAAGAATCGAGTGGATTTAAGTTAGCAACTATAAAGAACATTAGACAAACAGCACTTATAAGTAGAACTATCAGATATCCGCAGAAGGATTTCCACTGTGCCAACGCCCTCAACGGAAAGCCGTATGCTGCTGGCTACAGTGATGGTGCTAGTCCGAGGCTGGAGACTGGAGAAATCCTCGATGCATCCTGTCATATGTTTTGATGCGCTAGAATCGAAAATCCACAATAAGGGAATGATACTTGCATCATCCAGTTATGGTGGCAGGTTTACAGCAAAGGCTATAATCTCGTGAAACGCATAGAAGGCAACAATATCATCGTTGTTGTCCTCATCTTCTGCATAACAAGCAGTATCACGATCTCATTTCTTGCCCTTATTCTTCTTATAGTCTGCTAGCTTGGTACAATCAGTGTATAGATAGCTCACAAAGGTGTAGTTGCGAGCACAACACCAAGTACATTCTTTTCCAGCCTTATCCTTGTCCTTGCCCTTATCCTTGTTCTGTGTCCTGCGCTTGGTATTCTTCTTTTTAGCCGTAGATGTATAGTAAGCGGCCTCATCTTCGAGTTTGTTGCAGCTGGCAATATCGAGCATTTTGGATTCAATCTGAGAGAATTTGGTAAGATTTTAACTGCTCAAGTTGTCAACAACATAGTTCATACTGTCCGGCAGTATAGTAAGGAAAAATGATCCCTTAACATCATCAGATTCGAAGATTCTCATCATAGCCTTGCTCACAGACTGGTTCGATGTAGTAGTCCTGGTATACAGTTTGGTTCATAACTATCTGAAGTTGTTGAGATGGAACTGCAGATCATCGCCATTCTCAAACCTCATGTTTGTCAACAAGCGGAATAAGTAGATCGTAGAGTTTCCAATATTACAATCAAAACAGTTAGCCAGTATTATTCATGCATCCGCTGCACTGTTGCAATTAGCAATAAAGATTATCAGATCGGAGTGGATAGAGCTGAGTAGCATCACAAAGGCCTGATCATCCTGATGATCCCAGGCAGCTCGTCCAGCCTGATTCACAACATTTGGGCGTACTTTCTCACCGAACAGAACATCTGCCAGGCCTGCAAACCGGAAGGCCCTAATCCAAGCAGCTCTCCAGTCCAGAAAGTTATCGCCCTTGGAATCCAGCTTTAGCAGAGATGAAGGATCCAGCTTGAAATTAAAAGAAGGAGAATTAGAGGGATTAAGAGCTTGGTTGTCAGCTATGTTGAGTAGTTTGCATTGATATACATGCCAGACTTGTATCCCGGTGCTTCGACTTTACCTGGGGGCGTCGTTCAGGCGTCGCGCGCGCTCTTCCTCGTGATATTGATGGGGAGTAATTTTGCGATTGGTACCAATAGGGGTGTTATTGATGATCCAAGTCCAAAATTTTGATGAACCGGGCCTATAACCTGTTGAAGTTGATGATGGTAAAGATGATGGATTGAAAGATGAGGAGAAGAGGAAACTAAAAGACTGGTAGGCCTGGCGGCCGAAATAACAAACAAACGCGCACGGACCAACGTGCGTACTAATGGAAATGCACCTTCTTCACTCAACACCCTCCTGCCCGCCGTCCAGGCCCAGCTGCCAGAGCGCCACCAGGCCTCAACGACCTCGGTCTGGGCCTTTGTGCGCTCCTTTGTCAGCATCTGGGGCGTCGCTATCCCCGCCGCCATCTTCAACAACCGCTTCGCTCAGCTAGCCGGGCGCATCGAGGACCCGGCCGTGCGTGAGCTCTTCCACGGCGGCAACCGGGCGTACGAGAATGCGTACGCTTCCTTTGTCTGGTCGTTCTCTGAGGCGACGCGGGACCAGGTCATCAGCGTCTACCAGGATGCGCTCAAGCTGCTGTGGCAGATCTCCATCGGGTTCGCGGGCGTCAACTGCCTCATCGTCCTATTTGAGCAGCGCGTGCCCCTGAGGACCGAGCTCGAGACAGACTACGAGCTGGAGCAGGAGGAAAGGAAGAAGAAGGACGGCGAGGTGGCCGTAGATGTGGATAACGCGGCCGCGAGCAATGTTGTGACAGGGGAGCTCAAGACCGGCGTTGTCGCCTGACCATAAGATGGATGTGGTTTCTGTTAGACGGGGTCGCATAGACGGACGATATAATTGTTGCCGGCGTCATTCTCAACGTGTCTTAGCATGGCTAGATTTCTGGGGTTTCTTCTTCTTCTATCTTTGTCTTATTCGTGCCCTCTTTTCCTTCTTCTTCTTCTTCCTCCAATTTATTCGTCTCCTTTTTTGCTTCCTGGAATAAAGTCACCGATACGGGCAATGTTGCGGACAGCGCTGGAGCAATGGAACAGGGCGGTCACTGGTGGATCATAGGTACCTAGACTTTTGTGATTAGAGAAGATAGAGTGGTCCCAACAATGATTCTGTCAAATGTGGGGCAGTGAACTCATCGGGGTGAAGGATGGGTGAAAAGCTAGGTCATCGATTTCTTGTACTAATCCTTCTAACTATCCTGGGGCCAGAGGTACTGGTGCACCCGTTTCTATAGGAAAAGTATAACAAAGGGCCGGCTAGCCTGAAACCTAGTGAAAGGGCCCTGGTGTTAGAAGCCTGAAAGGCCCTTTCACCCACATGAGACCAATGCCTTTATTCCGATACTCCCTCCCAGCCAGCATTATTGTGATGCTGGCTGCTGTTCTCTTTAAGGTCCTCCATCCCAGCCATTTTGAGGAGCCTCTGGTATTGGCCGGGCTTTAGCAGCTTGGTAAGGGCATCCGCGATGTTCTCCTCAGAGAGCACATAGTGGAACTTCACGTTCTCTTGTGCTACTTCTTCACGAACGTAGTAGTAGCATGCTCTGATATGCTTGGTTCTATTTGTAGTTTCCAACTTCTCGATGATCTTGAGAGTGGCCTGGTTATCTGTATAGATTGGGATTGCTTGGTTTACTAGATTGCTTTGATCTATTTCGATAAGGAATTCTTAGAGCTATGCTGCTTCCTGTATAGCAGCGTTCGCAGCATAGTATTCAGATTTAGCTGTTAATTGAGAGATTAAGATTGTTAGCTTGGAGGCTTACAAGATAGATTCTTCTGCTAGGGTAAAGATGAATGTGATTGTGGACTTGCTAGTATCTTGATTGTTGTTGTATGAGGCGTTGCAATAGCTTTTAAGGGTTAAGCAGCTAGCTTTGTATTAGATATTACAGTTCTTAATTCCTTAATAATAATGCAGAATTCTTTTTATAGCTTTCTTATAAGCTTGTAAGGGATTTGATATAAATCTAATCTATATACTTGCTGCAAAAGCAGTATTAATTCTTATGATGCATAATGGGTAGATAACTGATTCAATGATCTGTTGATAGTGTTTACAGTTCTCAGTTGAGGCTTTCTTAGTGTTGCATATAGCCTCAGCTATAGCGCTTATAGCTATAGGGATGATTGCTAGCTTGCATTCGCCCTAGCTTCATTCAGCAAGCATTCTAGCAATATATGCGTTCTGGCAGATGATTATATTGCTGTTGAGCTGTTGATTGATCTTTATGCTTACAAACTATTCAGCTAGGCTTAGATTAGTAACTTCGAGCCTTTCGGATAGCTTCTCGATAAGCTATTCGCTCAATACTTGCTGGTTTAGCTGTAGAGCAATCAGGAAGTTATTAATAAATGAAGCTACAATCATCTTTGTATTCTTATTGAAATAAATAGCTGAATTGCTTACCAGCAGCTTGAAGCCTTCAATCTTCAGTTCCTTCTTTGCTTTGGTCTGCCAGTTATATCCTGCCTGCTTGAAACCATATAGAGATGCTATTAGCTTAATCACTTTAGCTCTTATATATCTTATTTGTTTCGCTATTTTAGAATATTCGAATATATAATTAGTAAGAAGATTGAACTATTCGAGGAAAATGCAGTATTCGAGATTGCTATATAGATATGCTGCTACAAAGTTGATCTGAAGAATCTTCCATTCTCTTGCTGCTACTAATACTATAAGAATCCGCTACGAACTTAAGCATGCTATTAATGCAAAGATCTTGTTATAATTAATGCTTTTAATCTGAGTATATCCCTTCGCTACAACTCTTATCTTGAGCTTTGCAATATTTCCTTCCAGATTGCATTTGCAGTATGGAATAATCTTCGCTTTAACCAGGCAGCTAGTATATACTTCCTTGCATTCTCTGAACTTGATAATGCTTATTCTAATGAGATTCTTGATCTTCTTATAAGCAGCCTTTCTTTAAGCTATTCTCTTCTAAGAGTAGCTTATAGCTTCTTTAATGCTTTCTGGATTTAGCTTGAACTTTATTGCAAAATTGAATAATTTATTGAATGTTTAGTTAGTTGGATTGAAAGCGAGGATATTGAATACTTGTAAGTAGCTAAATGCAAAATTTTTAGTATACTCTCCCTCTGCAAGCAACTCTTATACCTCATTAATTATCTCGTTCTTATACCAGGCTAGGGCGCTATTGTTTTGAACTGTTATTATAGCATTCTCGTTTTCATTAGGAATATTATTGAAGTTTGGGATTCTCCGCTATTACTCTTTTACTCCCTTCTTCTTAGGATAGCGATGCGCTAGCTGTCTTTTTGCGTAAAGGGGCAAGAAGCGAAGAATCTCGAGGTTTTCTTTGTTAGAGTTGCATTGCTATGCAGTAATATTGCTAAAGTTCTTGTAAAAGGTTATATAAGGGGTTCGAAGAACTTGTTATTCGATAAACGAGTAAATGTGAAAGTTGTGGAAGCTTGAGAGCTGTTTCTGAGCGTTAGCTATTGCAAGGAAGATGCTTGTCAGGTGGAAAGGTTGCAAAGGCAATGTGGCGAAGTCTTTCTCTCTTTCAGGGGTATACAACCAGAATAACATTGAGGCCTAAGGAGCTAAGTTCTGCTCAGCAGTGCTGACGTGGCTAGAAAGCCGCTTTATAGCCGCATATTGCTTAGTCATCCGTAATCCAGCTGGCTTAGCTAGCCCTGAGCCTTGCTGGCACAATCAGCCCTGACAGATTGTCCCCCCTTATCAGGCCTTGTCCTCAAGGCCTTTGAGGCTTCCGAGCTTTCGTTGCTTTCAGGCTTCCGTTGCTCCCAGGCTTCCGTTGCTCCCAGGCTTCCGTTGCTTCCAGGCTTTCGCTGCTTCCTAGCTGCTCCTACGCTTTCTCAATGCTTCAGGCTCTTAAGATCTCTCAGTGCTTCAGGCTTCTCAAAGCTTCTCAAGATCTCTCAGTGCCTCAGGTTTCTCAAAGCCTCTCAAGATCTCTCAGTGCCTCAGGCCTCTCAAGATCTCTCAGTGCTTCAGGTTTCTCAAAGCCTCTCAAGATCTCTCAGTGCTTCAGGCCTCTCAAGGCCTCTCAAGGTCTCTCAGTGCCTCAGGCCTCTCAAGGCCTCTCAAGGTCTCTCAGTGCCTCAGGCCTCTCAAGGCCTCTCAAGATCTCTCAGTGCCTCAGGCTTCTAGGCCACTCAAGGTCTCTCAAGATCTCTCAGTGCCTCAGGCCTCTCAAGGCCTCTCAAGGTCTCTCAGTGCCTCAGGCCTCTCAAGGCCTCTCAAGATCTCTCAGTGCCTCAGGCTTCTAGGCCACTCAAGGTCTCTCAAGATCTCTCAGTGCCTCAGGCCTCTCAAGGCCTCTCAAGATCTCTCAGTGCCTCAGGCCTCTCAAGGCCTCTCAAGATCTCTCAGTGCCTCAAGCCTCTCAAGGCTTCTCAAGATCTCTCAAGGTCTCTCAGTGCCTCAAGCCTCTCAAGGCTTCTCAAGATCTCTCAAGGTCTCTCAGTGCCTCAGGCCTCTCAAGGCCTCTCAAGATCTCTCAGTGCCTCAAGCCTCTCAAGGCTTCTCAAGATCTCTCAGTGCCTCAGGCTTCTAAGCCACTCAAGGTCTCTCAAGGTCTCTCAGTGCCTCAGGCTTCTCAAAGCCTCTCAGAGTCTCAGGCTTCTCAAAGCTTCTCAAGATCTCTCAGTGCCTCAGGCCTCTCAAGGCTTCTCAACCATCTCCCTCCTTCTCTTCTGGCTTCGTCCCCGAAGCCTGTGAAAAAAAAATCTCTTTTTAATCACATTCCAGACGTAAGTCTTCCGAGTGCAATACCCGCGCTATATACGCTGCTCAGTCGCTGCTCCCTCAGCGCTTTATCCAGGCACTCTTCAGAACTTAAAGCTGTTTGATGTAGGTTGCAAGCCTTCTACCAGGGACTTGGTTTGCAGCCAAGGAGCCCAGCATCCAGGATAGCATCCCTGTAGCTATAACGGATAATTACAGCTTTCCATCTTGAGAGTTGCTCTCTAGCAACTCTGAAGCTGTTGCCATGCTTTGCTCCACTGCTAGGCATAGAAGGATAATTGGTTTGCAATCTAATACCCAAGCAACTTCAGTTGCCAAGCGGATACTCCGCTTCAACTCTGCGCTCTTGCTCAAATAGCGAAGAGCATACTCTCGAAAACAGAAGATACTCAGATCTACTGCTTGCTTACTCTGCTCTCTCGCTCGAATAGCAAAGAACACACTCTCGAAAACAGAAGATACTCAGATCTACTGCTTGCTTACTCTGCTCTCTCGCTCGAATAGCGAAGAATACACTCTCGAAAACAGAAGATACTCAGATCTACTGCTTGCTCATTCTGCTCTCTCGCTCGAATAGCGAAGAATACACTCTCGAAAACAGAAGATACTCAGATCTACTGCTTGCTCACTCTGCTCTCTCGCTCGAATAGCGAAGAATATACTTTATTCTAGCTTAGCAACTCGAATGCTCTAAATCTCTTCTGAATGCTTCTCGCATGCTGCTTGCATACTGCTTGCTTGCTATTTGCTCTAGCTTAGCAACTCGAATGCTCTGAATCTCTTCTGAACGCTTCTTGCACGCTGCTTGCATACTGCTTGCTCGCTATTTGCTCTAGCTTAGCAACTCGAATGCTCTAAATCTCTTCTGAATGCTTCTTGCATGCTGCTTGCATACTGCTTGCTTGCTGTTTGCTCTAGCTTAGCGACTTGAATGCTCTGAATCTCTTCTGAATGCTTCTCGCACGCTGCTTGCATACTGCTTGCTCAACACTGCTTGCTTGCTGTATGCTCTAGCTTAGCAACTCGAATGCTCTGAATCTCTTCTGAACGCTTCTCGCATGCTGCTTGCATACTGCTTGCTTGCTGTTTGCTCTAGCTTAGCGACTCGAATGCTCTGAATCTCTTCTGAATGCTTCTCGCATGCTGCTTGTATACTGCTTGCTCGCTGTTTGCTCTAGCTTAGCGACTCGAATGCTCTGAATCTCTTCTGAACGCTTCTCGCACGCTGCTTGCATACTGCTTGCTTGCTGTTTGCTCTAGCTTAGCGACTTGAATGCTCTGAATCTCTTCTGAACGCTTCTCGTACGCTGCTTGCATACTGCTTGCTCAACACTGCTTGCTCGCTGTATTCAAGGCTCGAAAGCTCGAAAATCGAAAGCTCGAAGGTTAAAGGCTCGAAGGTCAAAGGCTCGAAGGTCAAAGGCTCGAAGGTCAAAGGCTCAAAGATTCGAAAAGGATAGTGGTCTGATCGTTTGCTCTGCTCCTGCTCAGTGTTAGCGCTGCTCCTAGGAAAAAAAAAGATAGAAAGCCTCGCCGGATTGCCTCCTTTAAAAGGGCCAGGCCTCAAACTGTCAGGTGGAAAGGTTGCAAAGGCAATGTGGCGAAGTCTTTCTCTCTTTCAGGGGTATACAACCAGAATAACATTGAGGCCTAAGGAGCTAAGTTCTGCTCAGCAGTGCTGACGTGGCTAGAAAGCCGCTTTATAGCCGCATATTGCTTAGTCATCCGTAATCCAGCTGGCTTAGCTAGCCCTGAGCCTTGCTGGCACAATCAGCCCTGACAATGCTTAGCATGTCTTTGGCTAACAGCTTTGCTAAGCGCACTCTTCTCTGCTCAGATACGTGAATTGTTATCTTATATCCTGATATATAAAAGGCTGAAAAGTTTAGCTTGTTATTCCTCTTCTTATTAATGCTGTTCCAAAAAGCCTGGTATAGTATTTTGCTTTCGAGGGTTTTGGTGCTTATTACATTTAGGATTAGAACTGATTATTTCATTAAATAGCATCAAAATATCTGTGGAATCTGAGTAAGAATAGCGAATTTTGTTACAATGCTTATCAAGAAAAGGATTTCCTGTTCTATAACGGGATTCTGATATGAATTATATGGAGCTGTATTCTTGTACTAGATATCTTCTTCTTTATAAAACTTTCTCAAAGCAGCTGGAATAAATTTCTTCTCTTTATTAAGCTTAATCTACTTTATTGTTCTCTGTATTTGTATACTGAGAATTCTGATAGTTGCTTTAATGCTATTCAGAATCTTATTCTTCTTGGTTCTAAATCCAATAATCTTGTATTGTATAGCATTATCAATTATTAGATATGCATATTGATATTCTCGGATTGAAATAGAAGTTATTATGATAATGTTGATATAAATGCTTATAGCAGCTTCTTCTTTTCAAGCTATAGAATTATAGGACTGGTATTGTAAAGCTATTGCTTTATTATATATATTATATAGCAGATATTCGATCTTCTTGAGATTAATCTGCATTTCAGTATTCGCTTTGATAATCTTTGCAAGCTGTTCTGAGCTTAGATGCCCTAGATAGCAGTGCTAGAGCTTGAGATGCTTCTTTTTCTCGTTGCTTAGTATAGCTATTGTAGCTTGAATCTGTTTTTGGTGCAAGCATTGCTCTTGTAGCGAATTTCCAATTATATTTATGAAGAACTTCTATTTTAATATATTAAGCATTGTAATTCATCCGCTTTTTCCATTGAAGAGAATATTCTTGCTATTAGTTCTCAAGCTATACTCTTTACTGAAATATAATCATTCTCTGCTGAAGATATTAATAGGGAAGCTATTGATTAGCATATAGTATATTAGTTCAATAATTCATTTATTGATCTTTGAGTAGCTTGTTTTCAGAAGCAGCTAAGCTATGCTTATAGCTATTGAGTATACTGATCTGCTGCTCATCATAATAGCTTCCTTTCTATCAATCTTAGTCTATTAGCTTGGAAAGTATCAGAGCTTAGTATTAACAATATAGATATTAGAGCCTGTATTATACAGCTAGCAGTTCCTCAGAGCAAGCATTAGGCTGTTGCTGCTGTATATTTGAGCTACTATTGCTATCTCAGAGCTAGGCATATCATCTCCTTCAGCAGATCTATTGATAGCTTCGAGATAGCAGTTCAGAGCTTCGCAGATGCGCTGCTAGGAGCTCTTAGAAATTAATGCACTTACAGCACAGCTTGTTAGGCCTTCAATAGAGTGATTGAACGAATAAGGAGATGCAGCCTGGTTGCTAGTTTGGGCACTCTGTTCAGATAATATCTGGAATGCTTCTTCTTCCTTGTTTTAGTTGCTTTTCCTTCTCTTCTCTTCCTTACCATTGCTATTATCTGGATTGTAAGCGTTTCCATTCTTTTTCCAGCATTCTCTCTTGATATAGCCCTTTTTGCCACAGTTATGGCATTCTACATTCTTCTTCCAACTATCTCGTATTTTCAAGCTTGAGATAGAGTTCATTGCCTTCTTCCCCTCCTTGCCTCCGCCCTTTCCAGCTTCTTATACTATGAACTCGTTGGTAAGATTGCTAATTAGATCTGATAGGGGGGTAGAGGGGGTTGTTCTGAGGGTCGTTCTGGCGCGTGCTGCTCACTCAGAGCGAGCTTGGGAAACGCCTTGTACAAATATTAAGCATGCAAGAGTGCTTGCAAACAGTATATTTGCTCTATGGATATTAGCAACGAGGCTTCTAAACTTTGAGCAATACTTAATAGGATTGTTTTTGAGCTTCAGGTTTATCAGCTTGTAGAACCAGAATATCTAGCTAGCAGAGCCTGTAATACTGTATATATTCAGCAAGGCCTGCTAAAGCTTTATACTAGAGGTAATATTAGCGAATCGCTTCAGAATATCCGTTAAGATTATCTTTCTGAGCCTTACATCCAGATACTAATTAGCCTTAAGCATAAGAACTGCATTCTCAGCTTATAGAATGCTAGCTAGATTCATCATGCTAGCTACTATAACCTTCCAGATGCAATAATTCGTTGCTATCAACATCTGAATCTTATTCAGCTGAATCTCAGTCCAGTTAACATCTTCATTCTTAATAGCTGAGCTTATCATAGCCTCAGCTCTGGCCTTAGCTTTCGCTGCAGCAGACCTCGTAATTACACCCTCAGCCTGCTCTGGATCCATGCTGTCCAGGGACCCGGCGCTGCGCTGGCGAGGCTTGCGATAGTGTGTAAGGAAACGTGTGTGTAGCTTGAGCTAAGCCGGGCTCATAACCTGTCAAATGTGGAGCAGTGAACTCATCGGGATGAAGGATGGGTGAAAAGCTAGGTTATCGATTTCTTGTACTAATCCTTCTAACTATCCTGGGGCCAGAGGTACTGGTGCACCCGTTTCTATAGGAAAAGTACAACAAAGGGCTGGCTAGCCTGAAATCTAGTGAAAGGGCCCTGGTGTCAGGGGCCTGAAAGGCCCTTTCACCCACATGAGACCAATGCCTTTATTCCGACAGATTCTAAAAATTCCACGGCGAAATTGTGTGAATATTTGTTTCGTTTTTCGGCCTATCACAAACTCTAGAAAAAGAAAATCGTTTCTCCCTTTCAGATCTCAAGCGCATGGAAGACGGATCCAAGAAAACTCACGAAGCTTGCAGGATCGATAGAAGGAGAACTTCTACAGATAGACAGGGGCGGCTATGTCCGGTGTGAGCACTTACATTCACGTTGTAGACAAGACGAATGAACTCACTTGCCTATTCACTCGATGCTATCTGTTGCGTGCATGCTTATAAGCCACGTGCTATGTTGTTAACACTCTGACTATTTCAGATCCTGGGAACGAGTTAGCAACACTCAGCGCAGTGAGAGAGAGAGGCGCCATTTGACATGGATATACACAACGAAAAGAGCAAAAGGATGAGATGACGCATCTCGTGTTCTCTTTGTCCCACAGATGAGCCGAGGTGAATTATATCCTCGATCCGCAAGGGCAAGTTGCTATCAGTACTTAAAGTCCCTCTGCTTTTCTATTCCATTACACCCTACTTGAGTAGTCAAGTACCTAATGCAAGACAACCTCCGAGAGGTCACACAATCACACACAGCCCAGCCACCGCTGTGACCCGAGTTTCACACTCTAGTGCAAGTATCCACACAGATGAGTATGTAATCAGGATGCCTGTTATAGAGCAGCGGCTGCTCACATGCTGCAGAAAAGAAAATAGAACAGCATATATAACAAGCCCAAGATATATCCCAGGGCTGGCTACGATGTACTGCTGGTAACGCTCTTTACAATGACTCGTCCAGCTTTCGTCGACCCCGACTACTGGCACCTGCTCGGCGGCCAAACGCCAGCACCGCCGCCTCCACAGACGGACCTATACGCCATCAGAAACACGACCACGGCCGCGACCAAGGCAGCATCCGACGCGCTATCTTTCCCGATCGGCATGACCACGACAGTGAGCACCGCCACAGCGTCTGATGGTAGCAGGTTCAACATCACACGCTTCGTACCGCTCGCCGTGCAGCAGAGCCAGCACACGGCCCCGCCGCAAAGGGCCGTCGTCTATGCATTTGGCGGCGGCTTGATTGCGGGCAGCGTCGCTGTTTCTTACAGCATAATTGCAAACTTTGCTGAGCAGATCGCGACCCAAGTCTTCGCGCCCGACTACCGCCTGGCGCCAGAGCACCCCTACCCGGCGGCTCTGGACGACGTACGTCTACACCTGCATCACCTGGCTACAGGCGCATTCGGTCGACTTCAATGTCAATCCCGCTCGCATCATCACCTTCGGCCAGAGCGCGGGTGGCGCGCTCACTGCTGCCGCGGCGCTCAAGGCCAGAGACGAGGGTCTGAACCCTCCCCTCGTCGCCCAGGTCCTGCGCTACCCTATGCTAGACGACCGGACCACAATGGATCCTCAGAACCCCCGGTTTCCATTCTTGACTTGGTCTCCCAGTAGTAACACGATCGTATGGAAGGCGTATTTGGGGAAGATCAACGAAACGAAGCAGAGCTTAGGTAAACAAAGGCTTTTGCATACTTCAGCCTACATTGTTCGGACAAACTATTACTGATCTCTCTTTCTCTCACCCTACCGTTAGGGTGCGCAGCTCCGGCCCCCTACACGGCCACCCCCACTCGTGCCGATGCTCTGCACGGCCTACCTCCAACTCACCTAGGCGTTGGGGGCCTAGACCTCTTCCGCGACGAATCCGTGGCCTTCGCAGCCAGGTTGTCGTCGCACAACGTCAAGGTGCAATCTAAGGTCTACCCTGGCGTGCCACACGGCTTCGACGGCAGCCCTGCTTTCTCGCTCAGGTTCGAGCTGTGGAGTGATGAGGCGAAAATCATTCAGCAGTATTAGACCAGCCTGGGGCCCATATTATCTACTTACTTCGTACTTGGTTCGGTTAGTGGCTCATTAGGTCGGAGATGGCACAAGATCGTTCAAGCAGATAATGCAACAATATCATCGACGCGTGGTTATTATATTGTATTCAGTACAAGCTCTAGTGATTAATTTTCAGACTTTGCCACCTGAGCAACACATATTTGTGGACGGATTAGTTGTGTCTTCTTCCAATTTAGATAATTCCTGGCGTTGTACTGTAGTGTAGGTTGTACCTTCATACGCTTTCACACACTTGGGGTCTGATGGTCAGGCACCGTTTCGCAGCTTCCGAGCCTTGCTGGTGATCCGGGAATTCAAGGCTCGACTTCAGAAGCACCTCCCAATGTGAGCCAGACTTTCGTCCAACGATGTGAGTTGCGTCACGACGTGGAGCGCCATTACTCACGCCATGACCAATCTTGGATCAGTACAGCCTCTTGGCGGTGATGAGCCACGGTGTCCATGGGCCTGAGCGTGGACATGCGCCGACGCCTCGACCCGCAGATCCCCAACAATTTCATAGGCAACGCATTGGCGATGGCATGGCCGACCGTTGCCCGGAGCAGCCTTCTGCACGCTGCCCACGCCTCCTGTGAGAGCTCCTTGTCTCCGTTGGTGTCTCTGTCGCAGGTCGCTTCTTGTGTCCGCAAGTCCCAAGTGTCTCTGGGGTGGGAAATACTTTGCCGACCTGGTGGCCTATCTCGGCACCAAACACTGGCGTGAGATTGCTACTTCAGTGCACAGACAGCCCGTATGGAGTGCATGTACTGAGATTTGTACTGGTACATTCTCGGAGTATTGATCTCTTTTCTTAGGATTTGGCCACCTGCCCTCAGTTACATAGTACGCGGAAGGACGACGCAGCAGTCCGTCTCACCTCTCTCCGAGTGACTCGCACTTTACAACGGCCCGTATGATAGTGCGGCTGACACAGATACATGGTGGCTGCAGCACCTCGGATAAAGGAGGAGGGGGCGGGGTTGGGGCGGTAGGCCCGCGCTGGGGTGGAGCGGGCCACGATTCTGATCCTCACAAAGGACACCAACGTTATACACAACACCAACATGAGAATTGAGCCATTCAATATTTCTTTCCCTGAGTAACTAATTCTCACAGGCAATATACGGACCGTGCTCCAGGTCATCAGGTAGAGACTCGCCGAGATGACTCCAGCAACCTCTTTCTCGACCTTCTGGACGCACTTCTTCCCTCCAAGACCCAAATTCACTGATAAGGATGTGCCAGACCTGACTGGCAAGGTCTGCGTGGTGACTGGTTCCAACACGGGCATCGGCAAAGATGTGGCCCGCATCTTGTACCTCAAGAACGCCAGAGTCTACATGGCGTGTCGCTCTGAGCAAAAGGCCCTCCGAGCTATTGACGCTATCAGGACTGACAAAGAAGCCGCCCACTCCCGCGGAGAGCTGATATTCCTGCCTCTCGACCTGTGCGACTTGTCCAAGACTCGAAACGCGGCACAGAGCCTCGTCAAAAAAGAGGATAAGATTCACGTCTTGTTCAACAATGCAGGTGTTCTGAGCAGCCCCGGTGACCCATGGCGGAAGACGAAGCAGGGTTACGACATCGCCCTGGGCGTCAACTGCGTAGCCACGTTCCTGTTCACCCGGCTGCTGACACCCACGCTCGCTGCCACAGCTCAGGCCGAACAACAGCCGAACACGGTACGGGTTATCTGGCTGTCGTCCTTTGGCCTGGAGCTCGAAGGCGTGGGCGTTGTCCTGGATAATATTCACTACGAAAAGCCTGAGAGCCATACCCGGCGGTACGGACTGAGCAAGACAGGCGCCTGGGCGCTGGGAGTCGAGTACGCTCGGCGCCACTCCCGCTCTGACGGCATCGTCAGCGTCCCTCTCAATCCTGGTAATCTCCGATCCGAATTGGCTCGGGACCAGGGCATCGCGATAAAGATTCTTGTTGAGCTGCTTTGTTATCCTGTGATCAATGGGGCTTATACAGAGCTGTTCGCCGCCTTCTCGCCAGAGGTGACCGTCGAGTCCGACTGGTCCAAAGAGTGGAGTACGCTCTCCCCTCAATGCTTTTATCTCTGTTTGTTTTCAACATTCTGTTCATGAATGCTGACAGTCATTCATCCAGTAATCCCATTTGGCCGGTTCTACCCCCTGCGGCCTGATCTTCCCAAGGCAACCAAGACTGAGGCTGAAGGTGGCACAGGTGGGGTCAGCAAGTTCTGGGAGTGGTGTGAAGACCAGGTCAAGGAGTATCTATAGAGGTGATAAATGTTCCCTTTATTTACTATGTAATAAGGATTTCACAATGCACAGTGGATGTTGTATTTATGTATATTCCTTTGTGCACAACCGGAGTCGACTTCCCAGACCGAGAAGTTGCATTAATGCTTAGTAGTGGGTGGTTTTTTTTTTTTGGGGGGGGGGGGGCGGGGGGGGCGAGGGTTCACCTTCCAGAATCATGTTAACTAAATCAAAGTATTACACTTGCAGCAGACCACCCATTCCTCGCCCAAGCCAGCGTACGGCCTCCTCAAGGCAAGATCACTCAAGAGCGAGTGATGGCATTGCTGCCCAGAATCGACAACATAACACGCTCCGAAGAACTGACCCTATCTGTCTCGCATACAATATCCGTGCTCATCGTGCCATTGCCAGACCACGTGCTCGTCCGCGTGCACGCCGTGTACTTCTCTCATAGTCAATCTAAGGCTGCCCCCCCCCCCCCCCCCCAAAGCCCTCTCTTCCTTATCTAGGCTATATCATTCTGGGGTGAGAACTTTACTGTAATACACACATGAGCCCTTTTTTTTTTCTGTGCAAGTAAACATTTTATTCTGATAGTACCATAGAGCTCTCAGCCCGACAGATTACAAGATTGTCTCGTATTGCTGCCATTAGGAGATCTCACCGGCTGCAACTTCTGCGGCGGCGTCGTTGAGGTCGGTTCCGGGATAGCACTATTAGTCTCTTGTAGCCAGTAACTCGCATCTACGGAGCAATTTGTCCCCACAACAAGGAGACAGTGCGGATGGAGAATTGAGGAGCGGCTCCTTGGCCCAGTGGCTGATGGCCGGCTCGCATGTGCTGTTGCGAGTGCATGACACGTGGAATGACCTCGAGGGCAAGGCATCGGGTGGTATGGGCTAGGGCTCCATTGGTCTAGCATTGTCGGCACAGGATTACCTGCTGCCACTGAGTTATTCAATCTTCCATAATACTAAATCTTATCCCCCTGTCAGATACAGTGACTGTGTTTTGGCCGTCATGTCGCCTCAGTAGCCCTAGCCCTGACCGGCTGTCAGATACTGTGCTGCAGCAACGGCGAATTACACACCTTCCAGCTGCGTCGAAGATAGTCGAACATGGCTCACACGACCGGAACGCCCTATTCGCTACGTCCTTAACTTTCTCACCAGCACAGACTCAGTAACCAAGTGTCAGGCGGCCTTGACGCGCACAGACGGGCGGTATGCCTATGTGTAGTTTATGCCTTCTGCCTTCCGGACTCGGAACGCTGTCCGTGTCAAGGAGGTAACAAGTTACGAAGACCTAGGGAGGTGCGTATTGCTTGAAGCACCTGGCACAGGTTCTGAAGAAACTGACGGCGATCAGTCAGCTAAGCTCACATACAATCTTGAGGCCAATCTCATAAATTCAAGAGCAATGGCAGCAGCTTAGGAGATCACATGTAGTACTTACCTCTTACTATAAGAAGCCTTATCTTAAAGCCACGCATCTTATTGAGCGTTCTTTAAAGACTACCTAATCATTAGGAACTTGACTGGGACGAATTTGACTACGGATACCCTCCTGAAGATGAGTAAGTCAATATGCAGAAAGCGCACTCGGCTTTGATTATCACTTGAAATGCTGTACTATATGCAGACCGGCTGTGATAAGCACTGCCGTACTTAGTTCGCATATCTTATAATAGAATAGTATATAGTCTTGGCGCATATCAATACCACATAACTTAGACCTAGCAGCTCATACATATACAACTGCTTAACGAATTATTGTAAGTTATTCCCTATTCTGGCTTGGCTCGCGCATTTCAATCTTGCTAAATATATACATAATAAATAATACAATTCTTTTAGCAGACTAGTTTGACAAATGATATGGAGAACATTATATCTTGCGATCTTTCCTACATCGCTTAAGTTCAAGCAAGTTAGTACCTTGCATCTTTTGGGAAGCACTTCATTAGAAACATATGATGAGTGATGTTGTCACTTTTGGTGCTTGCATTAATTCTTGCTTCTGAAGGCTTGAACGTCTTTTTTATTTTATTTATGATATTTGCAGGCACACTAGCAATGAGACGGATGGAGCTTTGAGAAATAATATGGGAACAGACCAAACTAATCTCCTCTATTTTTGATACCACACTATATGTACACCACCATATGGGATTTTCTAATTCCCTCCTATCTATAACACAAGCTAGTTCCAGTACCACCTGCAATGCCTCGTCCCAGGCGTCTAAGCATAGTTCGGAAGAGTGACCTCGTAAACATCGCCATCACGAGTGAAAGAGTAGCCGTGAACTCCGTCGTCTGCCAGGACCACACTCGTGGGTCCCTCAGTGGTTGTGAAGTTAGCAACAATAGCCACTTCACCGCTGGTGATGTTAACCATCTGGATATATGTAGGATTCATAGCTCCGAAGATGAGGCTAGAGTTTTGAGCGATAGCCATATCATCCCAGTTGTCGGTACCAGTCTGGTTGGCCACAATCCTAGAACGTGTATCATGTCAACAGCTGCTCGGAATAACTAGAAATAGAAGAGTTTCAAAATATGTGGGTTTGCAAAATGGAGGCCCAACAGGTGAGCCTCATTTCACAAAGCCTGCTAGAATCGATCGAGAAGATAGAGTAGATAATAGGTTGATACGTACTCTGCAGCACCCGTGGCGGCGGTACCATTGGCAAGGATGGGCATGCGCGCAAGAAAAAGCTTCGACACATTGGTAAAGTAGACATAGAGCTCGCCTGTAGCCTCGTCGATATAGAGCTTAAGGCCGTCGATGCCGAGGTCGACACCGGTGGGGCTGTCGGTTGATAGCGCCATCAACTCGTCGGAAATGACCTGCACAGCTGTCTTAGCCTCCAGGTCGATACGCCAAATGAGGCCGAGGACCGAGTCGGCGACGAGCAAGACGTTGGGGTCAGATGGCAGCGACACCAAGCCGTTGAAGTTCTCGGCCTCCGGCACAACCAGGATCGTCTCGGGCGTGACAGTGCCGTTGCCGTTAGCCAGATCAATCGTAAAGACTGTCTCGTTGACGTAGATGTCACCACGGACACCGGCGGTCACAGCATACTTGTCGTCTCCGATCGAAGCAATCCCCTGCACAGAGTCGACGCCCGGCAGCGTGGCCACGACCACAGGGGATGGAGTAGCTGCGGAAGGGTCCAGGTTGTACACAGTGTTAGTGGACAAGGGAACCATAAGGATTTGGCCGTTAGGACGCAGGACGGCGTTTTCAATGTCGGTTGTGCTGCCAAAACTGTAGAGGAGTGTCCCCTGGTCTACAGTCTCGGCACACGCGCTGGTGGCCATGTAGATAGCGGCGAGAAGGGCGGAGCGGAAAGCCATGACTTCTTGCTGGAAACGAGCTGCGCTGAAAAGGCCGTGAAAGATTTGAAGCGAGAGGCTATTTGAAAAATGTATTGGGGAATGAATGTGTTCGTCTCAAGAACGTGCCAGTTTCGAAGAATGAGTGAATATGCTAGGAAAAGACTGTGTGTTGGGATGAGGCTATGATCATTGTCTTGTTGATGAGTAGGGTATGCGGGCTCTTATATATTGGACATTGTGCTTGACTTGGTGACAGTGGGCTCAAGAACACGAAAGCTAAAAAGGCTATACGGGTCCGTACTATTCAGCATTTGCATAGTACTTACATGGTCATTACAGAACGAGACAATGCCTCCTATGCCGGGTTCGTGCCGATTGACCAGGGTGCTGATGTCTAAGCATGGGTTGCGCGGCAAGCTAGAGATATTAATGACGAATGCTACACCGGACTGCAGCCTTCACTCAGGTAGAGCTCCGAATACGCTGCAATGCTGCACGATCGTGTGCTGCAATTCTGCAGGCACACTGCTGCATGGCCGAGTAGGCGAAGTGACGATACTACGTTATCCTCGGCTGGTATTCGGAACTCCGCACGCCGTCATGAACGGGAGAATATGCCTCCAACCTCCGCATCCTTCTGGTGACAAGGCCCTTGCAGGCTATTTCTCCACCCAACCCATGCTGTGTCGGGGTACGCAAAGGTGCTTGCGACACGGAATATCTAGACGCGTCAACAGTCCTCGAGAGGGCTACACTGTAAGAAACTCTATCCGCATTGCTTGCAAAGAAGGGACTTTCACAGCAATGCCAGTGAAGGGAACCGGCCTCCTGGCGAAGTCAACAACACCAACGCAACTATCATCAGAAACAGGGACACGATATAGCTACAATATTTTACAAAGTTACCGTTATGTACTAGTATCTACTAGTACCACCATCACCGGCCATTTTCTCCACTCAAAATTCAACCTGATTGGCCATAGAGCCTACACGCCCTGGTCTCGCTTAATTGGCGTCTCTATAGTCGCTAAGGGATGGACCGACGGCAGTTTGGACGCATCTGAAAATGGTTTGAAAAAACTACCCGACCGAACCGAGTGTCGCGCCGGCAAACTTGCCGCGAGATTCTTGGTTATTGTATCAATATACTTGAACACGCATGTTTTATATAAAGGTCTATGTGTAGATATATTTATTTCTTAGCATGGTTTTCGCTTAATCAATTGTCTTAGATTGGCTCACATTGACTTTATACAACAGGGCATATGGTGCACTGCCAGCTCTATTTATATCTATCCATGGGTTGGTGCAGGGCTTTGGATAGCCCCTAGCGAAGAAAAACACCACTGGGGTAACCACGACATCGTAAAGAGAATTTGCGCTTTGCCGAAGTGAGCATAAAGCTTGCGTGTACAGTAGGCGATACTACTCTGGATCAAGATGCTCGGCTCTAAATCTATCCAGGTGCTTTCTATTTCGATCCAGTCGCTCCTGTTAACATTTCCCTTGGAGAGCTACCCCTTATTAGTATCGAGCCGGACCCGTCCCCGGGCCCGAATCTCGACATCTGAGGAATGTTTTGCCGAAAAGCCTTGCTTCACGTAGAATGAGTACAATGTTGGTCAGCTATTAGATTAAAAGCCATATTTAGTGAACTTCTCTCGGCCTACATAAGCTTTAGCAACACTAGGCATTCACGTTACTACCTGAGCACCGGTCATGAATGGCTTTTATAGCACTACAAGTGATCAGCTAGGAAAAGAAAATAAGGGCACCAATCGGGCAGCAATACTCTATAGCCTTGTTCTTTACAACCACATGTATTGGCTCTCCGACAGCCCTTAGCATTTCCAATCAATAACTTAGCACATGTAGAGAAGCAGGCATAGTTGCCGGGTTGCCTCATTCAGCAACAAAATTCACGTCAGAGCCACGGCCACCAGAGACCCCCGCGCAGATTCCGACTGGCATAATTGTGCTCTTGCATGTAGTTGCTTAGATTCTGTGACATGTTTGATATCACGCTCACAGCGCAGCACCACAAGCTACTCAACCACGGGAAGACCAGCTTCAATGCTAACCCCCAAGTTCACCCTTTGATCTCATCCGTCACGCGTGGTGAGAGCATGGACGAGGTGAGCGACTGGCATTGTCCTGGCGGACGACCCTGAATCGCCCAGTGCTTTCGTCGGACGCCGTGGCCGGCCTACTAGATACGACGCAGGCCTCAATATTAGACCTAGTAGGATCAGGTCTGCACCTGCTGCTGAGGAGTAGAGCCCCTCGGAGTAGCCACGTATGCATTGGCGCTGAAGCGGCACAAGGGCGCGCGCGTTTCTATGCTGTGGCCAGCCGGGACCCTTTTCAGCCTGAACGCGACTATAGCCTAGCAGCTGTCCAGACGGCGGACGAAACCCAACAGAAGGGGGCCAGGAACAGGTTAACACCCGGCAACAACAGTATAATAAACCGCACCCGCTTGAGTTAGGGCTATCTGCTCGCATTGATGCGCATCTTCTCTGCGTGCCTACAAATTGTCCGCAGAGTAATGCCATCACTCAGCCAACTCGCTACTAAAACAATAACATACCAACTGATTTTCATTATCGAGATCTCACAATATGAATAATACTAATACTTTGTCAATAACGGTTCTTCCAATTCGTCTTAGGCTCAAGCTTGACGAAACCTTTCTGAGCAGTATATTGCTTTCTAGCGCTTGAATTTTCCGACTAAAGTAGTTGTCAAAGTGGCTACTAAGCTTTTCTTCTTGCGAAGAGGATATCGACGTTTGATTAAGTCGGCCATTTTGTCATCATTCTCCTGCCAAATCGATCAATGTCTGCCGTGGCTCATACCACGCTGTGGGGAGGTCTTTGCCTCTAGTGAAAAGAAGTTCCATAACATCATACCGCTTCCGTTGTATTGCAAAACGCATACAACATACAACGCCCCAGTGATAGCCCGCGTCGAAGAATTGCTCGAAGGTTGATAGTGGCAAGTTTCCAGTCACCGCGTAACTGATATCGGTACGGTATAGCGTGCTCTGGCGGCCGATTTGGGTCAGCACCGCACTGCAGCAGTATTCTGACGATGTCCGCATTTTTCTCCGAAAAGCAAGCTAGCGCAAGAACATTGCTGTGTCCTGATGGCTGATTAGGAGCGGTCGGATCGGGTATGCATACTGTTTTGACGAGTTCGCTATTCTTAGTACGAACAGCAGTTCCAATCGGCCCATTTGCAAGGCTGGTACCGGGAAATTTGGACCATAAGAAGTAAAGTGCATCGATTTGCCGCTACTAGACAGCATGCTCTATCATTTCAAGAACGGGTGGCGTATGCTCGTTTCCAGCAAGAGTTTTATCCAAATCCTAAAAATTCTTAGGCTGATTAGGGCCGATACCGAGCGTCTGAAACAATGTTTCCAGGGTATGCAAATCGCCACTTCTGCACGCAGCGAGGATCTTTTCGTTTGACTCCCGAAAATCTGGCATAATGTCGTTCCAATATTGCTGAAAAAAGGTCGAGATGATTTGCGAGCCTGGAAGCTCTCTACAGCGCTCAGATCAGGTGCGATAGATATAATTTAGAATAAACTTGTTTCCGACGATTGCTAAGTTATCAAGAGATTTACGTTGGTTGTTGAAGGATTACGATCGTTGTTGAAGGATTGCGTTGGTTGTTGAAGGAATACTCTAGCTATCAAGAAAAGGGGGAAAAGGGTCTAGGACTTCTGTGGCTGTGCTAGGACTCTAGTCATCGTTCCACATAAGCTGTTATTCTTCATAATATGCGCTGGCCCTAGCTATATCGACATGAATTCCTGGCCATTTTTGCATGTCTTAAACGCGGGTAAGTGCAGTTTTTACATCCTGAAAGTTCAGAGGCTGCTTATTAAAAAATGTAGTGTGATTCACTATGAAAAGCTTATAAATATCCCTTGTTTTTCCATGCTAAAACCACTACATGAATTGGAGATCTGCGCATTATATCAAGATTTGTAACATTATGAAGCGATACCGAGGAATTTCTGTGGCTAACATTATTAGAATAGAGTTTATGAACTCTATTGAACTTACTCATATGAACCTGAAGGGGCAGAACGAGCTTTGAGTCGATGATACCGCTGAATCCTGTAGTCGGACAAGATTTGGCAGCTCTAAGACCCCAGCCGGAGGCGGACAGTTTCTTGGGAATTTCTTCATCTGCTTTGAAAACACGGTGCTTACTGCTTACATCAAGGAACATTATCCCTGAGGAATAAATAATAGCGGTGAGTCAATGCACCCGACGTAATTCAATCAATCTCTCTCAACTGATGCGCATATTAATAGTTTATTCGTCTATTTGTCCAACGATTCGTGTGTTGCTGATGGCACATGGTACAACAACGTAGATTTGGTAACGCTAACTTGTCTTCTTTTTCGAGCATAGAGCCAAGCAACGAGCCACAACTCCGACGCTGGGCTTGTAAAGTAGTAAAATCCTGTTCCGCCTCTTAGCCATAGACACTTCGCTTGACCAAAACTGGAGGGACACCGAAGATAGGATTTGGCTCAAGCTTCCTGGACCCGCCTGAGTCTTGTTGCTCGATCGTCATTCGGGCTGCGAAATTTGAACCTTTGAGAGGTCTTTCCAGTATGAGGCCGCCGAATTTGATCTCTGTTGGGGGTGGTTGTGAGTGGCCGTTGCCCTCCAACGTGCTGCTTCTGTGCTATTTTCATATTTCATCGGCGGTTTCAGTGCCTCCTAACATGAGACAAAGCTCACAGGCTTCTTGTGGTTGTTGCTATCAACATCTTACCAACTCTGCCGGTTTCTTCCATGGCTGGGTCATTCCTGAGGCCGCTTGCGCTGATCATAAGACTGGTATGTTTCATGCGACCGCTTCGGAAGTACTTGATGTCAAGCCCAAGTGAATTCTCGTTCTCCAGGTTCGCCTTTCCTTCTCTAGTGTAAAAAGCCGCGTTTCTTCTGCATATTTTCTACAATTTCTTGTTATTCACTTTTTCCTGTTAGTACAGCCTTTTCTACTCCCTCCTGACGTCTGTCATTCCTCCTGCAATTCTGGACCGGGTTTCGCCTTCATTCGTTATTTGTTCCTACTTCATTAGTCTCTGCCGATTATCATGATGTCTCCTTCCAATCACGTCCAGAGCATATCCTGGCTTAGGAAAACCATGCAACTTCTTGTATACTGCCTTTTTGTTTTCCTTTCCGCTCCCGGAACACAAGCTGGTCCCGATTTTTGGAATATCTGTCAAAGTATGAGCTGCTTCAGTCCTTCTGATGATATCCCCCCAAGAGAAGTATTGGACGGTAGCTTCAGCTCAGGCAGGTCTTTTTCTCCGCGCCATTTTCGGTCGATGAACCGTGCTTGTCGATGTTGGAACTGCAGGCGACTATATCTGGAAAGTTTGCGGACTCCATCCCGAATAATCTGTGGGGGATCACATCGACATCATTCCTACCCTCTACAACTGGCGCCAGCATGATAGTGATACTGGCGAAGAAAAGAAAGGCCCAGATGAACAGAACGAACAGAACAATCACCCAGCTGGTGAAGAAGCTTTCGGAGAAGACTGTCGTATATCGTCAGCAACTAATAACCAGCTTCCAGGGGTTGGTTGAAAATAATACCAGAGGAAGTGCTTACCGTAGTCGGTCCCGTGCATGGGGATTGACCACAAACTGAGAAGTGTAAGATAGAGGACTGCCGCGTAGACGACCGCCTTGCCCCGGGCGCGCTTCAAATATTTCTCAGTGGATATGTGGGTCTCAATATTGACACTGAGATGCGTGCAAGAGCCTGAGACCGGCTCCTCCGTGGTAATGGTGCCTGTTACTATCGCGCCATCATCTGCAGTATAGTACTTAGTCTTGAGAATCTTCAACTTCCTAGTCGTAATTCTGAGGTTGGATTATGCTCAGAAGCGGGGTTAGGGCGATAGAACCGCACAACGACATCATGTTTCCCGCGACGAGTGGGTAGATCTGGCTGGTGCTGATGATGGTGGCTTCGCCGTACGGATCACCAGTCAGAGGTACAACCCCACCCGCATCGCCACACCGTCAGGCACAGTAGGCTTCGGCGGGGCCCTGTTCTGCATCTACCCGACAGAGCAGCCAGGCGGCTACATGATACTTTCCCGATCGATTCCAGTGTAGAAGACCTACGAACTCCAGTTCGGTCCATCATTGGCAGCTGGCGGCGACCCTTGGCGGCGAGCCATTCGACATCTACGAGTTCCATGAGGTCGAAATTGGCTAGTTCAAGGACGTAAAGGAGTGCTTCGAGGCGGGCACGTACGAATTCCAGATCGAGGGTAGCACCTTCGATGTCGTGGCGGAGCTCGCCTGGGAACGGGACCAGCAGAGCCTGCCCTACGTCCAGGGTCTCAAGCGCAGACAACAGGCTGCCTTGGAGCGTATTCGTGTCCCCAAAGAAGTCCTCCTCGTGGAATTGCCTCTCGAGCAGCAAGAGACCCAGGTCACTGTGGTGGAAGACGCTGGCGACGCGATGGGTATCAAAATCTGCTCACCACAGGTTCGAAATTTGTGAAATGTCGAGGTTGACGACCGGGTTGCGGTTGGGCAAGTACGCGCTGTGCTCGAGACGATGAAAATGGAGCTACCGGTGGTGGCACAGGCAAGCCACGAGGGTTTGACTATTGGGGATACTATATTGAAAGCAAGTGCACTGCTGTCCACGGGCAGTGTCATCATGATGTTAGAGTAGAGCATCTATGTTGGATGTATATTTGTCAAGAATTGTCCTCGTGACTACTTCAAGATCGAAACGTTATACGGTCGTCTGACAAAATGAATTCTGCGACCCTAGCAACAAGCAGGACAGATTTCGTACAAATGCCAGTGTTCATACTGACTATTATATATATACTCCGCTTAGGAAATGCTCTTGTGCTTTAGCGGGTAGTGATTAGTCTACCGAAACCATCTAGAACAAGAAAATTAGTACCTAGGAAGGAATCAACCAAAGTTATGCACTCCGCAGGAATCCATCCAGTTTTAGCTTGCCACGATCAGGCTTTGAGTCGTAATGAGCTGATACTATCACCCTATTCTCCCTACGAAGTCTACTGGCCAGGACTGCACAACATCCTCTCCTACAATCAGGTCTCGGTCTCCACGACTCTATTGCTAAACCCCTTAGCCGGACCTTGATCATCCACTAGACAGGATAATTCAAAGATTATTCACAGTGAATGTTTCTTTTCGATCCACCTTATATATGAATATATGCGCACATTGCTATCGCGACTGTTGTATTCATGCAATAGCGCCAGTAGAGCGAACAGTGTGGACCACAGTGACATAATGAGGTAGGGTGAGGAGCACTCTTCTGGGTGTCTTACATGAGGACTATTGCAGGTAATTCGTCACGAATGCGGACTCCATGCAACCTGTGCAGCCTTTGCAAAACGAGTGCCTGCCCTGGTTCGGAGCTAATAGTCTGCTCTTACTGCCTGTGAATACTATGAATGTGCATCGACCGTCTGCTGCATACTCTGGGTGGAAAAATTGTCTTATCTTGACAGTTGTCGTTGGTGAATCTGCATGCGTGCGGTGTAATATGTAAAACTGTATTTTTCATAACATAGCAAGCGGTTAACATGGTGCGTGGTAGCCGCTGACCGCCCTCCCTTCCAACCGCGTTGGTTTTGAGGAGAAACGGTGGGTGTTCCCCCGGACAAAATGTGCGCTCATTCCACGCTACGATCCAACTGGCCTCCTTTAATGATATCTGCTCGATAAAGTGTCAGTTGACGGGGCGGAAGCCAGTCACTCCAGTCTGGTCAACAGCATTGAACGGTACCTGGACCTCCGTACTGTCATGCTTCTCGAGTAGCCAGCGCCTCGTCATGTCAATTGTTGCGCAGTGCAAGAATCAGCTTCTGGACCAACAGACACTTAGCAGCCAATAATCAGACTTAGTCCTCATCTGTATCATTGTGCCTCTGCTTGGTCAATTTTCCGATATGTCGCATGCAAGTGTCCAGCCGGCATGATCCCCGGCCATGTCTTACCGGTCTCAGTGCTCAGAGACAATGTTTGAATACCATGTAGCCTCCGTAAGCAAGCTTACTCCGGTCGCAGGAGCCATTTGCTACTACCAGGGACTCTGAATAGCTATCTATTTTCATTCCCTCCTCTCTTTCCTCCTCTCTTCTCTGTTCTCTTCTTTTCTATTTTCTAAGCGGGGCCCCTGCTTCGCAGAGCCCCCCCTCCCTGCACCTATCTCGCTAAAAAAGATGCTTCATTTAGCCCTCTCCTCTACCTATCTTCTGGAAAAAATGTGCTCTTTCTATTGAAATATTTTAACTTGAAAACTATGTATTTAATAGATAAAAACCACCTTCCTAGCCTAGCGAAATCTGAACTAATTAGAGCTCCGCATCCTGATAAACGAGAGCCAATCACTTTCATGGGTCATTCCTTCGCTCATTTCCCCGCTGTTCCCTTAGTTATCAACCTTTTTCCCTGTGTAGCTACGTCTGATAAGAAATCATTTTAATAAATGGCACATCTAAAGGATATTGCGGCGCCTGTTTAGTTAGCTGTACAACTGTGACACGGCCGACACTTCTCCGAGGCTCCTAACACACGTATGTAAGAAGATCGGAACCCACCCCTTCCCAATAAGCATCACCGCTTCCTGCCCACTCAAAAACCACTGGTAGACACATGATGGCGCCTGATCCCATACCTCAGAACCAGTCCAGCATTCTTCACTTCTGGTACGAACAATACGTATCCAAACCCGCAGTAGTACGCGATGTCAGCCTACAAGGGCAGACGGCCATTATAACCGGTTCCAATACCGGAGTCGGGTACCAGACCGCCAAACAGCTCCTCGACTTAGGACTTAGCAAACTTATCCTCGCGGTCCGCGACGAGGAGAAGGGTAAGGCTGCTGCCGCTAATCTATCTTCAAGCCGGGATCTTGCTCCAAACGCTATCGAGGTCTGGCTGTTGGACCACTCGTCGTACGAATCGGTTGTTTCCTTCGCAGAACGTGCCAAAAGTCTTGACCGTTTGGATTTTGTGAATCTCAACGTTGGTATCATTCTGACAAAGCGCACCTTCAACAACAACACTGGTCATGATGAATGTATCCAGGTAAACTATCTATCGACTGCTTTACTGGCACTCCTCCTGCTTCCAGTTGTAAAGGAGAAGATGGCAAACCAAGCAAAACCGAGCGGCATTACCTTCACCTCTTCCGAAGTCTCAGCCTGGACCAAATTCACGGAAAGGACAGCAAAGGGGTCTTTACTTGCTGCACTGGATTGCAAGGATGGTAAGGTGGATATGTTGGACCGCATGTGGGTGTCAAAATTACTCGGCCAGTTCTTTCTCGCCAAGCTTGCGGCCGAGATTCCTCCATCCATTGCCTTGATCAATGGAGCTTCGCCAGGTGCTGTCCACGACTCCGAGTTCAATCGTGAGATTGAGAAGACATTCATGGGAAAGATTATCAAGTTGATCTTGAAATTTCTCGCCAACTCGTCATCTGTTGCTGCTCGTATGATGACGGATGCTATGGTCCATCATGGCGAGGAAACTCATGGGCATTTTCTATCATTTCAGAAAGTGGTGCCGTAAGCCTCTCATCACCTGTATTCCCCCAATATCAAGCCTTCTAGCTGATATAAAGCGATCCTACAGAATGAGTCCCATTCTCTATACAAACGAAGGGCGGGCTATTTCAGAACAGCTCTGGAAGGAGACATTGGCCGAGTTCTCATTTGCCAATGTTGATGATATTATGAGAACTATCAAAGATTGAGGACGGAGGAGACCCATTTACGTTTCTTCCAAGTTTTCCGCTGTTTGTACGCCCTTTCTTCGATCGATGTCAGGCATAGAAGAAGACAATATTTACAAAGATGCAGTATCGGCAAGCTGGTGAACGGGGCTTGGAGAAATCTCGTTGGCGTCGTATCAGGAGGCCAGCGATTCATGAAAAGATGTATCAAGCTTGTAACGCAAAATGAAGACTCCACAGCTTTCCTAGAGAGTCGTTTGCTCCCCACATATTTTGTGATTACGCTTCGAAGAACAGAGAGGTATTTCAAGAGCTAGAGGCATCCTGCTATCTGTGCACTAGGTGACCTAGTCTAGGTCCTCCTAAACTACAGACGCTCCCTTAAGCTCGGTTTCCCTGAAAACACGTTCCTCTTTTCTTCAACTACATCAACCTCTTGCTTCAAGTGACTACCAGTTTACACGATTTCCGTCTCATTACTGGGTACTAGAGCCTCTGTAATGGAGTCCAAGCACTTGCAAGCTGCCAAAACAAATTGTGGAGCATTCTGAAACGGCTTTGATGCGTTATTGCTCGTGACACGTCCCCATGTCAGTAAAATGTGCGAAATAATTCGTGACTGCAATAGTAACATTGAAGAATAGCCTGATGCAATATTATTTAAACTTGGAATATGACAATGTTGTCTACAAAGCCGAAAGTATAGTCCTCAAAATTGATATAAAACAATCCAGGGATCAGAAGTCTTATATAGCCCTGGAGATATCACTTATGGAGAATGGGATCCGTCTTGGGTGATCGATACGACTTCTCAAGCTAGCGATGAGGTTTCTTGAGCCTCTTAGTAATAATGCCCATACTGAGACAGTTTCTGGACTTTATAGATACTCTTGAGTAAGAGAACGTCCACAATGAGTGTTGGAGCAGACCGAAAGCTTAATTCCTAGCTACTCGCCTATTATTTAATGTGCAAACACAAAAATCATCTTGAATCAAAACAATACTGACACCTCTTGCCTGGCAACAATCCATTCACTTCTGTACTACTTCTGCATGCCTTTTACAGGCTTTTACAACATGTCTGGTTCCAAGAAGCTGGCGTAAGAGCGTAGTGTTCTTGATCGCACTTCGCATGTAGTTCGGTCAGCTTCAACTTGAGTTCCCGGATTTCAATCCGGCTCTCTTCCGAATGGCTGTGTGGTTTGGGGTGCAGCATATCCATCTCAATAAGGTTGAGAAAATCGTGCAAGTACTCGGTACATTTTGAATGGCCATGTAAACTTCTTATGAACTTTATTCGTAACGTTAGGCACCCAAAGTAGCTTCACAGAAACGTGTAGGAACGCTCTTACTCTTTTGACAGCTGGCTTGACGGCAGCTATTCTTTCATATCCTTTCCTCTTTATTTCGAAGTAGGTATCGGTAGGCAAGTCCTTCCAGTTTGGATCCACCGCCGACCGTTCGTGTGCAAAATTTGCTACCATGTCCCAGCCGCCTAGTAACCAGGTAACGAAGTCCAAATACACGCATCCCAGGGCCCATATGTCGTGGGAGCGGCCGTTCTGTCCCGTTAAGTCATATTCGGGTGGACGAAAACTCGGAGAAACTGGAGAGCGGCTTCCTGCTTTGTGGAACGTGGTATGGCTTGCTTTGAATTCACTCAGGCCGAAATCTGTAATCTTGAGTGTTCCTCGATCAGTCTTCTCTTCTGGGTTCTGGAACCATAAGACGTTTTGTGGCTTGATGTCGCCGTGGTGACCGATGAGATGGTTTTCTCCAGTGTCTAGTGTGGGAACGACAAGGTTCTGTTGTCGTCCTCGGGTCCCGTTAGTGTCTGGTGTCTTGGGAAACGAGTCCCAGCGGTGAATTCGGGCCAATCCATCCGCAAGGCCTCGACATTGTTTTGCTATCCAGAGAACAGTCTCGTGGTTCATCGTCGGATTAGGTTCTCGATTTTTCCAGTATTCTTCAAGATTGGCTTCTGCCCATGGGAAGATGAGATAAAATTTGCTGAATTGCTCATAGGTTGCCAGCAGTGATACCAGGTGGTCGTTCGTCTCGTCGTTGAATTTCAAGAGCACGTTTGCTTCTCGCTTGAACTCGTCTCTATTCCTGGACGTGAGGCACTTGACAGCGAAATGTTGACATGAGAACTGCCGGGCGTCAGATGTGTCTACACTCAAATTTCAGTCCATAGGATACCGGTACATACGCCGTACCCATGAAAGCCGTGCTGCTCAGGGTGCAATTCCACTTTGAAAACACAGCTGAAACCGCTTTCAACTTCAAGTTGACCCAAATCATCCCCGTCATATCGACTGTCTGATGTGAATGGGAGAGGGATCTGATCTTCGAATCGGAATTGAGCAACATTCTTGCGCTCTCCTTTATAGAAAAAGGGAGGTTGGGTGGTCCATTGCCATTCGTCAAAATTCAAGATAGCTCCTGAAGTCCAGTCCTTGAAGCACTGTAGGACTTGAGAATGTCCAGGAGTGTCGCCCCTGCGGATGAAATCGAAGAGGTTGGATTTTCCGTTGTGTCGAAAGACCTTTTGGAGAGGTAAGTCTCGGTCGGTGACTTCCTCATCGATGAATAGTCCTATAGAAGAGAGTTTCTCACTCAGGACCAAAACGGCGAAGATTTTCCTAAATGATGTAACTTCTCCGTGCTGATTAGTCCAGCTAAATATTGCGTCCGTATACCCGTTGATAACACCAGGGCCATGAACACCTTTGAAGCATATTTCTAACTCTCTCTTCACAGACTCCCTGGTGATTAGAACGTTGTTGAAAGTTTTCTCGGGAAAATAACCTTTCTTCTCAGTATGGCCCGGAATGCGCTGGCGAGCCTCCACTAGACGATCCTGCAAGGTCGTGGGTCCTTGTAGAGTCTCCAGTAGAATGGGTACAGGGGTGACAGATGCTGTATGTGCCTTGGCGATGATGCGACCTTGAGCACCCAAGTCCGTGATATAAGATTTTTCACTTGGTAATTGGGGGCCCTCAGACTCGTGTCGAATTGTTGGAACACCCTCCCCTCTAATGGCTGCTCTGTCGATGTTGAAGTCTCGCACGTCGATGGGGCCGTTATATGGCCAGGTCTTAGACGCTGAAGTTTTATTCTGCCGATAATGTTTAGAAATCAGCGGAAGTATGCCTCAACTTTTGGATAATATGTATGGATTTACTCACAATTAACAGGCCATCATCTTCCTCGACAGTCAATTTACGAGCCGGCAAGTCCACATCAGACGAGAATAAACTCGGCAATTCGAGGGTATTCAGGCCTCGCGACGGCGAGACCGAGTACTCGGGTGAGGATGTAATACTAGTCCGAGGTCGCAAACTTGATGTGTCCCTCCTGTTTTTGTCGCCGACAGTATAGATTGACTGTGGATCTTTCTGTTGTGGTATGACGGTTGGCATGTTGGCTGTTGGGTTTGCACTCGATTCTTGAGGTTCGCGGATGGTTCAGGTCTGGGGGAGCAGAAGTTTTGCGGCCAGCTCGAGGTGTTTTGGCCAAAAGTAAAAGAATGCTCTAGACATCAAGTACAAATCTGATGCGACATAGGATATATCATGAACCTCACTTGTTTGAAGGATTATTGTGTGTGCCAGGGTGTGTGTTGCTGCGTTGGGGAATCATGTGTTTGCAGCATTTGAGTAGAGTACCGAGCCGAGCGTGAAAGAAGAAAATGGAGCCCGAGAATATTGAAATATCTGCCAGCAATCACTTCGAGAGTTCTTCCACTTCATTTGGACAACTGTTACTAATTTAGTATCAGGTGGCCTTGTGTGTTTCCTTTCATGCTCCAGTTTTCCCATTCAACCTGAGATTCTCAATAATAGAAACATACAGCATGGGTACAGTAAGTAGACTTTCCAAAGAACGGAGCTGCTAGCTCCGATGCAATGTCTGGTCATCAGCCGCGACCGTCCTGGCGGGCAAAAGCTCGGTGCAAATCAGCCTCAGCTACTGGTATGTTGGTCATACGGGTACATGTCGTGTGGATGCAGCTGCCCATTTTAAGGGGCGGAGGGGGGGCGGTTTGACTTCTTCGAGACGTCGGTGAGGCTCCAGGAGGCATCCTGCCCTAGCAGTATGAAAGTGCAGAATTGCCCGAAGGCACTTGGACAGAGCTCGAGAATTCATGCGTCTTACTTAAGTGGTTAAAGGCCAGAGCACAATTCAGATTCATTGGAGAAGTGGGCAGCCCTTCCGGAATTAGTTTGCGACACGTGCCTCTCCAGTAGTTGCAAGAGGCTGATTATGTGTTTTTACACTTCAAGTGGTGCGCGATGGGGGCGACTATAAGAAGCATCTCAAAAGTTGTTCAAATCATGGCGGACTGTCAAGGAAGATCAACCTCGTCACGACCTTCATGCTTTACAACTTTCCCACTTTTCAAATTGCAATGGCAACCGAGGCTATAAGAATCACACAGTTTAGGACTCCAACTTCGGTTGAAAACAACATCTCTTCGACTGAGAAACCTCAAGCATATGTCCATCAGGACATTCCAGACAGGCGGATCAATGCAGAGAAATTAACAGCTTTGCTAAGCTCGAAGTTTCCGGTGAACTCGTATGAAATACGTGTATGTTAAGTGAATGTATCCAAAACTTGACTGCATTGCAGGAATATTCTGACATAGACCAGGTGATCCGCAATGTCTACAGCATTACTGCTCCAGCGAATCTGTCCTTGAATGACATCGCTTCATGCAGGTTTTGACACGAGAGGATCAATGGCCAGACACAGGAAATCCCAATAATATAGACTTGCTGTAGCAAGATCTGGACCGGGAAAGACAAGCAAAGAGAGGAGGTGGCACGCAGTCAGGCTGGCTGTCTGTTGACCGAGTTGGATAAGGTTAAGAGGGTTGTGGGGAGCCTAAGTAACGCGAGGGTGGTCAGACGGACAAGGATATGGAAGGTCAGCCAGGTTCAGCTCAGCCTAATATTTCATTTTCCATAGGCCACACATTTCCATTCTGTGCTGAGGATGGTGATCCTTGAAGTTAGATCGGACGAGGGATACCCACATGCTATTTCTGTGTGAGGGCAAAAAGATTGCATTGCTGAGCGCTGAAGAAGAAAGAGAAAAGAAGAGAAACGCCACGAGGCCAGCTATCTGAGGCTATCAACATGTCTGGCTGTTGGCTGGCTGGAGGGGCCGTGCACGGCCCTCGCACAATTTCTCCATAGACGCTGCGGTACTTTTATAAACTTTGCCTACCTCGGTAACATCCTCGACCGTGAGTGTGGCTGGCGGCGTCATAGTGCAAGCACAAAGGACGCCTAAAGCTGCATCCTGGTGTATAAAACACATAATAACAATAAGGCAACTTGATGCGTATCGACTATTGGAGTCATGCAGGAGGTGGCCACTTTTTGTTATGGGCGCAATTCGTCTCATCTGTGTGAGGCTCTGCGGAAGAGCCTCATTCATCCCAACAGGCACATCGCTGATTTAATAAGGCTTGCCCCAGTTCATCATCTTGTGCAACAAAGTTACCGGCTTGTGAAGCTGATTCGAATATTCTCCCACAGAAAGTAATCACAATGTCGTTCGAATCATTAGATTCTGCACCGCCTAACCTAGAAGACCAGCTCGCAGAGTGCCGGGTCAAATCTGTCTTTCCGGAGGGCAGTTGGTTTTTCCCTGACGGGTCTGTTGAAGATTTGATCAATAGAAATTCCATTATCCATGAGTTCTATCCAAGCGGCAATGAATGCCCCGAAGGCAGTGGTGACGACGAAGTCATTGACTTCATTCTCGAATCGGCGAAGAAGCTTTTCGCAATCTGCGTCTACAGCCGCTTCAAATCGAAAGACTTGAAAACGGTAATGGCCAATTTCAAACAACACCATGTCAGCGACTATTCATTGCCATTCGACAATAGCATCGATAAGTATCCTTGGTTTTCTACAAAGTTGTGGCGCCCGGCTCGGATTGCGGACGTTGAACAGAGACAGTGGATGTTTTTGGCACCGGTATTTCCGAGTTCCTACGTACGCCTTGTGCTAAAGGAGGGACATATCCTCCCGTTCACCTTTATGGATTCGGAAAAGAAAGAGGGTACGTTCGGTGACGTCTCTCAGGTTACTATCCATGAGTCACACCAGGAGAAGATCATGAGAAAGGTCAGACATTACTGCTTTTCCAAAATTACCATGCCTAGTACAGTCTTCCAACACTTTGCTGACTACATGTAGGTGGATGGCTCACCTGCAAATGCCGCTCTCAAAGAGCTCAAGGCATCTGCGAGCGTGAAGAAGCAGTCCGGAAATCAGCGGTCACAGCAAATTTTGGCCAAGTGGGAGGCCGAGGCCAAAGCGTTGGAGGAAACCAGCGGTCTTGGACACCCGCATATCGTCTCAGTTAAGGCTATCATAACAAAAGGAACAAGGCGGTACTTCTTGTTTCAATGGGCTGATGGAGGGAGCCTTCGAGATCTGTACCAGGATGAAGAGCGACCTTCACTATCGTCCAACCTCATCAAAGAGGTAGTGCATCAGCTGAGTGGCCTAGCAGACGCTCTGCACAAACTCCACAACTATCAGAAGACAGAATCCTATCGACACGGCGACTTGAAACCGGAGAACATTCTCATGTTCAAGGACAACACCCATGTGGGCGTCTGGAAGATCGCTGACATGGGGCTGGCAAAACGCCATATTTCTGCAACAGCACAGCGAGGACCGACAAGCACACGAGACGCGACACCATCATATGAGCCTCCTGAGGTCAAGACCAGGCCAAACGCCGCCTGGTCTCGGCTTTATGACATATGGTCTATGGGATGCGTTACTCTGGAGATAATCGTTTGGTTACTCTACGGACACGGCAAACTTGAAGAGTTGAACAAGGGTATCGTTAGCTCTGACGGCCATCCAGGACCGTATTGGTTGTATGATCAGCCGACCAAGACAGCCAGAGTTCACCCAACAGTCATTGCATACATGGAACACATCAAAACAGACCCGGAAGGACGAGCCTCAACAGCCATTAGAGACCTGCTTCGTATCGTAGAAGACAAGCTCCTCGTTGTGCCGCTTTCACCGCGCAGCGAAACATTTCGGTTGGCCCCTGAATCTACAACGGACATCGATGACCCCCAATACACAGGCGCGCAACACCCTCATATTGTCGTGACTGATGACTCGCAATCTCGGAACCCAGTACAGCCTCCACCACCTGAACCGATTTTCGGACCATCAAAGTTCCGGGCCACAGCTGAGGATTTTTGCAACGCGCTCCGAGCAATTGAGGAAGAGGGTGAGAAAGATGACGCTTACTGGTTCACAGGCACGAAGAGAGATGGGCTCTCCAGCCCTTCATTGACACAACACGGGCCGCAACAATTATTATCGGCTCCCGCAATAGAGCAGAAAGTAAGTGGCTCTGATCGTCACCGACGTAAACTTCATGAAGAAACTAACACGCTGTTAGAAAATGGTGCGTGTCTAATCAAATTAGGCCAGCTGCCTGCTTGGGGTTAAAGACTTGCTAATTCAGCGGCCTTTTTCGCGCCCATAGACCGTAAGTACCAGCTGGACAAGGTAAATTATGTATATACTGACACTATTGCAGTACGTAAGTGCCCGATGAATCCACCTTCAGCCTCAGGGACAGGTATATTTGCGCAAGCTGTCTAATTCTTGATTACAGAGTGTAAGTTCTCTGTGAAACCTGCGACACTGCGGTCAAGGTTACCGATCCCCGCGCAATCACTGTGTCGAGAGCTGACTGAATATTACCAGCATGTGAGTGATATATACTGGTTAAGATCTCGAAATACCTCTTACTTCGCCAGCGATAAATACTTACATAGCTTACAGGAAGTAAGTCATGACATCAATATCTCGACCCTGGACATCACTGACGTACATCAACTTTAAAGCCGGTAGGTGGGTGTCGTCCACTATGCGAGTTGCTATGCTTGACTAATCTTCAAGCAGCTTGATAGTGTATGGAATTTCCCCATAGACAATGCGTTTGCCCAAAGTGTCCTCAAAAACCGTGTTTGGTATGATACTGTGCCACGACACGGGGAAGTCGCAAAGCTTTGTAGCAAATGCCGGACGTTGGACCTTTGGGCTGGTACCCTGGGTTTCCAAGACAATTTAGAAGAGCTTGAACGTCGATCCATGACCTGTGATTTTTGCAGGATGAGATGGGAAGTCTGCAAGAATATTGATCGCAGCTATGGATCAACGGTGTATTTCGACAAAGACCAGTCTAATTTGAGGCTAAATGAGGGCCATCCCCCGGTCTTGACTGTGCACATAAGTCCAGGTACGTATCCATCAGATGGATTAGTCGAGCGGTTAATTGAGATCTTACTGATGGTAAACGATCTTCAAGAACACGATGAAATGTCTCAGTCCAAAACTTGGTGGCAAATAGGTCTTCCACAATTGCCTCAAGTCGCTAGCAGCTCATATTTCGAGATCATGAGGCAGTGGCTGATTGACTGCGATCATAATCACCCAAAATGCAGGCGCTCGAGTGCAAGGGACCTTCCTACAAGGTTGATATATGTGGGGACACTCGTTAATCCATCTCTCAGCCTGTATGAAACGCAGCCTAGAGACAACATGAGATATTCTGCTCTGTCTCACCCGTGGGGCAAACCTCCTCACTTTTGCACATTCCCGTCCACGATTGACAACCACAAAAAAGGCATTGACTTCTACGATCTACCGCTCACATTCAGAAACGCAATCACTGTCACTAGGGAATTGAACTTGCAGTATCTGTGGATCGATTCGATTTGTATCATTCAAGGCCCTGATGGGGATTTTGAGAATGAAGCTACGCGCATGGAAGCTGTGTTTAGCAACGCTTACTGTGTTCTCGCCGCATGCTCAGTTTTGGGACAAGGGGATTCCTTTCTCAACGAGCGTAAGAAGAGAAAGAATATATCCCTGAAATACGAAGGGAAGCCCGCTATATTTGTGTGCGAATTTATGGATAACTTCAACCAGGATGTGCTGGAGAGTAATCTCAGTCAGCGTGGGTGGGTGCTTCAAGAGAGAGCATTGGCTCGAAGAACGATATATTTCACGGACAAACAAACATATTGGGAGTGCGGTGGAGGTGTTCGATGTGAGACAATGGCACGGATGGACAAGTAAGTGTTTCTGTCACCTTCCTTCGCCAGTATTTGCAAAATATCTAATTTATCCTGTTTTTAAGTACGCTTGCATCTTTTCTCGGAGACCCGAACTTCCCCAAAGTTGCCATCGAGTCCTCTCGAGGGGGAAAAATTCTATTTCACCAGAGCCTATGCAAGCAATACTCTCGCCTCGCTTTCACTCGACAAACCGACCGTCCTGTTGCGATATCAGGACTCGAAAAACGGCTCGTCCAAAGCTTCGGTGTCTCCGGCGGCTATGGGGTTTTGAATGATACGAAAAATCCCGGCATGCTTCGACGCAGCATGCTTTGGCACAGAGCTTCCGACTGTACTACTCTAAGAAGGATCAGCTTCGCCCGTTCAGCACCACCAACATGGTCTTGCATGTCGTACGAAGGACCTATTGATTACCCAGATCTGCCCTTTGCACAAGTGGAATGGGAACAATGTGACATCCAGTCACAATTCTTAGAGAGTGGGACGGAATACTGGTATAGCAGTGACAATAAGTCAAGCTCAATGGGAATGGCTGTGGTGGTACGGAATGTGGATGTCACAGCTGCAGCGACAGGGAAGACCGGTAAAGTCATCTTGGATGTCACGGAGGGAGCGGAAACAGAGATCCCGTCAAAATGTGTAGTGCTCGGAAAGCTCAAGTCTTCTATACTGCAGGGAGAACATGGGAGAACCTACGCAGTTCTGCTGGTAAAGGCAGGCGCATTAAGGCCAGCATCCGCAAAGTCAGTTTACGTTCGGATTGGGATTGCGTTTGTCTCAAGTACTTGGATTCCCGCTCGGGACAAGGGAGTCAAAGGGATGCTTGTTTAACTTATGGATATGTAATTCAATTGTTAGCAGATGCGTTGTGGGGGGGGGGGGTTTCTTTTTTCCTTTCTGATCTCTTTTTCCTTCCTTTTTTTTTTTTTCTCTTTCTTCCTTTTCCTTTTGTACTCAAAGTAGCAATGAGATGTAACAGGCTTTGGAACAGTTTGCAGCCACGTCGTAACACTGATGATCAGATATATAGACCTGAAATACCCCCTGCAAATATTTTGGGCAACGTTGTAGCACTAATGATTAGGGGCATAAAGCTGAATCCTGTCAGCAAGACCAGCTGTGCCAGCTTCTGTAATGCGTGCGATGCTATCCAGAGTGATGTCTCCTAGTTAGCCCGGCACGCCACGTCGCTGGTGGTATTGTCCAAGCTCGCATGGACCTCGACATGGGCTTTCGATCTTGATTATTTAATCTCTGAAAATTATCATGGCTGAATTTAAATGATGATATGCGCAGTTGTAACTCTTCATTTAGTCAAAGTGCAATAGTCTGCGGCGATGATGACGTAGCAAAAAGCAATACCGCGACCAATATACATCAAGCTATTACCAGACACATGGAATTGACGCCATGCTGATTCTCCAGAATATGCAATACTTAATGCAGTTTGCAGCAAGCTGGAGAGGGGGCAAAGGCGAAAGCGAAGGCTAGGATCCTTTACAAATGATGAGTGGAGATACCTATATGAGAGCAGAAGCACTTGTTGCTTCTCAGGTACTAAATGGCTTTTCTAAACGAAGTGGGCTTGCCCATCTAGGCTCTACGCATCAGCCTTGATCTTCACGATATTCTGCAGTAGAAACTCGAACCTCATTAGGATTGCCTAAAGAACCGCAAGTGAAAGCTGGATGGCGAGGCAAGCAAATTGAATGATACTATGTAAAATGTTTTCAGACTAATTGACAGAAAGGGAAACCAGGAATGGCAAGGAGCGTATACAAAAGTGGAAATACGGTTGACATTAGACACCCTCCGAAAATGCCTTGCCACCTGCGCCATTGTCGACCTCCATCGCGTCTTGCAATCCGCAGACCTCGAACAGACGAACAGGAGTGATTCCATCAGGCGTGCCTACAACACCATGGTCCCTAAGCCTGACCAGCGTCTCACGGATGGCTGCATAAGCAGGGGCCAAGGTGGCGAAGGAGAAGATCATGATGCGGAACCCCATCGCCTTGGCTTCCTCAACAGTGATCAGGGGACTGTGGCCGTTCTCCACAGAATTCAACAGCAGCGGCCACGGAGCCAGTGCAGCGACCGCAGCAGCCGCCTGCTCCTTGCTCCGGAATCCCTCAAGGAGACCGACATCGGCACCCTCGTCACGCGCGGCTCGCAGCCGCTCGATGCATTCCTCGTAACCCAAAGACTGCAGTGCGTCCGTGCGTGCGATCAGCACAAAGTCGGAACGCAGCCGACGTTTAGTGGCGACAGCCGCGCGGATCCGGACGAGGTACTCATCGCGAGACACAACTTTCTTGCCAGAGAGATGTCCGCAGCGCTTGGTCAGAATTTGATCTTCGAGATGTGCTCCGGCAACACCAGAGCGAATGTAGTGCTCGACAGTGCGGGCAACCATGATAGGTCCTATGATTGGAAGATTTGGTTTAGTATCTTGCGTCCAGGCTATGACATGGGCTGGGAAGGAAGCAAATGTGACTTACCACCATAGCCCGTGTCCATGTCAGCAATAAGAGGAGGGCCAAAGGGGTCGAGGTTGGCGATCATATCGGCGTTATCTCTCATGTCATGAAGTTGCGCAATGGCAAGATCAGGCTGGCCAAGACGAGACGCAGTTGTTCCGGCTCCGGTCTGAGGTGAATATCTCGAGGTTAGTAAAAACTTTTGTAACAATCAAGCTGCTCAATCTTGAAGTCTCATAGGCTTCGCGAAGAAGGGATTACACAGCGACTAACCATGTAAAGGGACTTGAAGCCGAGCTCCATGGCCGTGCGCGCAGAAAGACCGTCGTAGACACCCGGGCAGACAATGAGCTCATCTGTGTTCTCGAGAAGGTGTCGAAGCTTCTTAGCTCCTGAGAAGGGCTCATCTTCCGCAGCTGTGGAACCATTCTGGACCTTTACGTAGATGGGCGCAGCACTGTTGAGCTGCAGCCATGTGGTGGAAGCCTTCAAGGGCGACGAGGATCCGGTTGCATAGAGTGGTCCAATGGGGCTTGGAGTCTCAGACCTGTCCAACGAGTGAGACGTCGTGTCAAGTCTGATCTCTTGAACAGCAATGGTGGACGCCATGATCAAGTGCTACCGGTGTCGGATTTAGCTTGCGAGAGAAGTAGTACACAATATGTCAAAGAAGAGTTTCCTGAGGTTGACTTATCGTTCAAAAACAAACCAAATCACAGCCTTTGAAGTGAAGGCATCCGTGATACTTATAGTTGCCTGTCTTCTCTGTCTCATCCTGCGACTTGCCAAAACATTATTAATACAATACCTGCATTCTCGTAACCTCGTATCTGGGTCCGCGGAGTGCTTTTCCTTGTGTAATCTGCCAAGAAAGCCCCCTCAAATCACTTCCATCCTCGCCACGGACGAAGCCCGAAATGGTGTCAATGACTCTCTTCCGTTTTGGTTACTTTGCAGAAACACCAAGATATGAGGCGATACCAGAATGAAACCCGAGGTCAGCAGTCAGCGAATGGGCCAGGGTTCAAAACGATGGACTCACTGATAACACGAATAAGAGCAGGTCGTTGTGTTGAATCGCTGGTCCTGCAAGGAGACAGCCAAGACTCTACGACCTGGGCAGCAGACCTTATCACGTACGGGGCCGCGCGCCCTTGGCATCACCTGCATGGTCGGATCAAATTGATAATCACGTCCAAATAGGAACTTGCATCGCGGACTGTGGGCCATGTTCCTGGCCTTCCATCATGCACCTCCAGCTCTGTACGTCCCTACCTGCGTGTTCAGTCAGCGCCTGATCGTTCGGCCAGCAGGAACATTTAACTTTCACCGCTTATTCAGCCTCGCGAGCTATACATACCGGTTCATTTCACACCAGATCCAGCTGCGAGAGCCACAATCAAAAGGTCGTCATATATATTATACCATGTCTTAAGAGAGCAAAGAGAGCAGGAATCGACAGTGGCTTTTGGACGACGCCGTCGTAGCCCTGTTTCGACGTTTCTCGCTCAGATTCACAGACGCGGCTACTTCAGCCATTCTGGTCTTTTGAGAAGTGATCTGCACATGTAAGCTGATTAGATGGGTGTGTCACTGCATGAAATTGAAGGACCGAGATAAAATGGATCACTTCCCTGGTCGTTGATGGGGTTCGATTCCTGGGGGAGATCCTCTGGTGGCGAGGGTGATGCTCATCGGCCGAGAACTTTAATTGTTACCACTCATCATGGAACCTTCCGAGTGATCATCTGGCAACTCGGCCGACTCATGCCCTGCTCTATAATCCCTGAGATGAGTAGAGGACACACAATAGCCCGACCTTGCAAGATGCTGACTCGAACAATATGCCGAAAACAAGGATCACGATATTCAGCCGTGTACCTCAAGCCCTCCTTGGCCATAACGTGGGATTTCGGGAACGTCCGCCGGATTGTCAGTCTAGACTGTGCTCGAGAGAAAGATGAGGAAGGCATCGTCGGTACAACTTTCGCAACTGTTCTGATAGGCTGGACGATTGGCTCCCTCCCCCCCACCCGGGCAGGTCAGCACCCTGAGGGGGGGGGGGGGGGCAGGAGATGCGGAGGCAAAGTTTGGAGCTTTTGTCATGGCCCTGCTGCAAGGCATCTCACGGGAGGGCCGCAAGGCTAGCTGCATTGCAACATCGGGGAGGCAGAAGATAGAGCCAAGGGAGATTCTTGCCGCTTTCGGACCTCACGTCGCATCGCGCATCAAGAAGCCTTCGTGTCCATTTTTTTATTTTTTTTTATTTTGGGATGGCGTATGGCTGTTGCTTGTACTGTGGGCGTAATGGTTTATCGTGCCAAGGCCTGGCCAAGCCTGAACTCGGTAGATAATGGCGCCTACAAGGCCACGGGTTTGGGCCGCGGGACCCTCTCTGATGCTACGCCGCTACGGGAGTGCCCGCGCTTTTAAATTCGAACACCCACGACCCGAGATAACCGTGCTTGGCTGTAGCTTTAAATATGGGTCGTTCGGACAGCAAAGTCCCGGATGCGAGAGCCAATGGAATTTGGCGGGAGGCCATTCGGAAACAAGACGACATTCGTTGGGCTTTCGGCAGGCAGCGTTGCCTGGTCCCGCAGGGCCTGGTCTTTGCTTGAAAAAAAGGGGGGGTTAGTTGAAGAGAAATACATTGATCTTGTTATAGCTGTTATAGATTCCCCTTCCTCGCCATGCATTATTTACAAACATGTTTCTTTTCGAGCAAGACCACTTCCAGACATTTGATTTGACTACAACAGAGATTATGTATGTATTCCAAAGAGCCGTACTTAGTTCGATCTTTGAAGAGATCGGATGAACGTTGCCCACTCTTCCCTCATTCGGGTCTTTGGTTTACAGCGGGGCAGGGGATCCATCGTGGCAGGAGGGGTCTCGCTGGCTATGGATGTCGTGACAGTAAGCGAGTGGCTTCCGTTCCACCGGAGGGTAAGGATTCCGGTCCCTCTCGGCAGCTCTATCTCGACTTCATGGTTGCGTCTCGCAAATCCTTACCTGGTTTCTGTGCTGTGGATTCGCCGGCTTACCTTTCTTGTCATCTTTCGCCTCTCAGCTGCTCGGGCACAGCTTCCTCTTTCTGAACTTGTTGACACGCGCGACGCGTGGTCAAGAAGGGGCCAAGACAATAGATAGTGCACCTTGGACAAGCGACCCCATTTGCGAGGTAGCCACATCTTGAGGAAGGGCCGATATCGAAATTTTGGAAGAATCTCGCAACTTCGATGGCATCGAAACTAGTTTGAGCTCTCAACTGCCTCTTGTCTCCTTTCCTATCCTCGACGCACGTCGCTGATTGATCCTGAACTTTGTGATCCACGGAAGATGTCTAGCTTCCTCCGTACTTGCATCGCCAAGAGCCCAGGTTCCGGTTTTGATAGCAGACGTTACATGTTGTTGGAGTCAAATTCCTCTCACCGGTCAATAGGAGAGGTTCTTCCTTGGCGCCGAGCCAATACGCCCATTGCCAGTATGTCTCTCGTAATGGAGATTCATGCATAATGTTAACAAAAAGCTCAACAGCTTTGCACTTCCCTCCTCGTTCTCTTCGTCGTTGACACACACCTCTATCGAAATCCACGTTCATGTGATCCGGCCCATCATCTCTTGGTCTGTACCAGCCGAAATCATTCACAAGCTACACAATGCAGACGCAGTCGCAGGCTGAGGCTGGCAATGCTTCCTCTGACTCCCAGTCGGATCGGAGCTTTGTAAAGCGCTCTTTGCAACAATTGCGGTTGCCCGTCGATGGGAACCTCGCCAATCTCCCTTTGTTGGCTTGTTGTTTTATCACAGGTCTTCTGGATACAACTATGTTCGAAGGTAAGCACGCATACAGAACGAATATGAATTATCGCAACCTGCTGGTCGGCACATGCTTCGACCGTGAGACTCATCTGGCTAGAGAGTTCCAAAGTCAACTCTCAAGACCAGATAAGAGTCACTGATATGGGATCCGTCAGCTAACCCTTAGTCCAGCGTATGGCACGTTTGTCTCCATGCAGACGGGCAACACCATTTTTCTGGCCCTAGGGGGGTCCAATCAGAACAACAAGCCATACGACTGGGCACGCTCGCTGTGTTCAATTGGTTGCTTCGCGATTGGTGCTCTCTTCTTCAGCCGGTTTTACCGACGCCTTAGCCCCGGGCAAGCTCAGCGTGGGTCTCTTTCCCTCGGCTTCCTGATTCAGGCCGTGTGCGTGTGCCTGGCTGCCGCATTGATCCAGGCCGGCACTATCAATGAACGCCAGAGCAGCACCGGCGCCACGGATTGGCGAGAGATAGCACCCATCGCACTTTTGAGTTTTCAGGCTGCGGGCCAGATTGTGGCGTCTCGCGTGCTGGCCGTCAATGAGCTTCCGACGGTTGTCATCACAAGCTTACTGTGCGACCTCATGTCGGACCCCAAGTTGGTGACAATGCCTATATTTCATGGCAATCGCAAGAGAAACAACCGGATTGCGGGCTTTGTGTTGACTCTTGTTGGTAGTATTCTGGGAGGGTGGATGCTGAAAGGAACTGGAGAGGTCCAGCCCGTGCTGTGGCTCGTCTGTGGAATCAAGTTTACCATCAGCTTCGCATGGCTAATCTGGAAGGTTGATCAGGTCGAAGAGGATTCCAATTAAATTCATATACCAAGTCAATTTCTTCCAGAACAACTCAAACAGATTGCAGATGAATAATCTATCTTCGCATTCAATTAGCATTGCTAATAGTCGTGAAGAACGGAAGAGTCAAATGGCGGAGACAGGACACAAAATACAAATCTTTCAAGACCAACCCTCAGCTCTTGATCGCCCTCAAGGGTTTCACTGGCACAGTTTCAACGTTGCCGGGAGGCCAAGTACAGTCTAATCCAACTCTAGCCGCTACGAATTTCTCGTTTGGTCTAATTGTCAAATTCTGTAATTTACAAATTCAGTAATTTACAAATTCATCTCTAATCATTCGTCCTTACAGCGCGATACAAGCACTATGTACTGCGGGTCTACGTAGCACGAGCGTAGACGGAAGATATTTCGACCCCAGCAGATGTCACCGTGACACAGTTCATAGATTCAAGAAAGGGAAAATGGAAGGCAAAATCATAGGACGATGTTACAGGCTCGAGTCCACAGTCAACCTGCAGCACCCCCGTGGAGTAAGCTACCCACCCACTGATACCACCTTCTGTTTAACATCTTTGGCGTAAGCATTGCGAGGCGCTTATTAAAGCGCTATAGTTATGCTTATATCAGCAATTCAGCTTGCTTCTAGGAAGCTGACACTAGATTGAGGATCCGCTCAGATGATGCACGAGCTTGAGCGAGGGCACCAAGATTCCGAAAAAGTCCTTTGTCTTTGATAACTCTTATCGGCATCAGTTTCGAGAGCATATAGCCTGAGAAAACTGTGCGAGTATGACATTCCTTGCCACCCGCAATATGAAAAAAAATGGCTTTCACGCTCTTAGGTAGAAAAAATTCATGGGTGGTGAATAAGATGTCCGAGACAGCTGCAAGGTAAGTCTAACCCAACCTTAGGTCACTAAAACCCGAACCGCAGTGAAGTTCAACTTGCGCTTCAAAACCGCTGTGAGCCACGAATTGACATAAACTGTCAATGAAATGATTCACGTCCAGATGCAGAACAGACTCTATTTTGTTGCTTATTACCTCTTTCGTAAGCTACATGCCAATTAATCTATGACAAATGAGCTAACGAATATTGCATCCCATCGCCAAGTGGAAAAGCTGTTTTTTCAAACCAACACGAAAGAAGTCGATAAGATATTCCCCGAAGATACAGCCGAAGGATACAACAGCACCAGCCCGATGCGTTTGTACTCTTCCCCGCCACCAATGTCCGTCTCCAGTACTATTGCCCAAAGAATATGTCTCGAACGTCCAATCTGTCGAAAATCGACGGAGTTAGGCTGTTGAAGTGAGACTGTACTCCGACCATGTGCTATGGGATCCCAATGTAGGCTGTAGACTTACATCGTCGTGGGGTAAGTCGTCAAACTCCAATCTGCGAGTGTCTTCAGGGGTATCAGAGCCAGTAGAACCAGCAGACCGAGCAGAGTCATCAGAGTCATCAGGAGCATGAGAGCCAGCGGTGCTGCTCGAGACCCTATCTAGGTACGGCCAAAATTGACTTTGCTAGAGTGTGTGTGAGTCCGACCGTCTACGCAGCTATATAGGCCACAGCCGTTTCTAGTCAGTTGGGAGTGGTCACTTCTTTTAGCTGTCGCATAGAGTGCCTATCCAGACTTGGTCACGTTAGATGCTTCATTGGTACTTCTTCTAAAGGTGTCTTCTGACTACAATTAGCTTATCAGAGGTCGTGTAAACTACGTTCACTCTTGCCTATGATGCAGCAAAAAACGCACTCGTGGATTGAAGTAGATATTGGCTTGATCGAGTCTTGATCCATTACTGTTAACCCGAGGATGCTGTTGTTGCTTTGCAGAAGGCTTGGGCGAACGATCCTGGGATTTACCCGAAATATATTGGCTTCCATAATTGTAATATGTTTCGTCCCAAACGCGACGAGACAGTGGTAGTCAACATCTCTTTGTTTGATATTGACCTTCAAAAGCTAGCCAACCACACACAGGGACCCTGCTGGGGTCGTACGAATCACTGCTTCATCATCGTCGACAGTTGAGAGGCTAGCAATCCAGTATTTCGAACCACCGGTGGATGCCCAAGACCAAGATGGAAGAACAAGACTGTCATTTCCCAGAATCTGCCTTCGGGTTCAGAAAAGATGCCGTGGGATATCCCTTTCCTACACTCCTTCGTCCAAGAATTGGACATTACCATTCCATTATAAACCCTGCTCCTCCATCAGTCGAGCACATGTCTCTATAGCACGCTTCCACAAAGGCAACTCCACCATATGTTCATGCCAGGCACGGACTGCGGCACACCAGCCCAGTTCTCATCCCACAGCTATAAGAGGACCTCTTTCAAGCGAGATTTATACAATACAAAGGCCATATCAGCAGAGGTCATCTTATCACCCACGAGCTACTGTGCACTTGCAGGCTTAGCAGAAAGCACGATCTCCAGCATACCTAGTACACGCCTGGTTCCGTATGAATAGCGCCTAATCACTGAGAGGATCTTCTCTAGAAACAAGTGCTAAAAGAAGCCGCATTGCTCGTAATAGAAACCTGAGCGCTTATTTGAAGATAAAGGAAGTGATTACATAAGTGCTTGTCTTTGATAGTAGTATATATGAGGCGCCTGTCTATGTTGTATTGTTCGATGATATATTGGTTGCTACCGCCTGAATCCCGTAGATTCAGGTCGAGATTGGGATCTTCGATCGCTGGCACGCGGCCGTCTGTTACTGATTAGAATGAAAAGTTCAATATCCTACAGAATATCTTTGAGAAGCTCTTACGGTTTGGAATACAAATCAAGCATTAGGTTGCTATGTCCTCATGCTGGAGGCGGGGAGAACAATGAGAAAAAGAAGAAGGTTGACACGAGAGTACTTGCTGGGGTTGATGTTGATGAAAGGCGGCTTCTTAACATCGTTGACATGAAATGATTTGATCTCGTAATTTAATCCAAGCTCCTCAAGCAAGAAAAGCACCTAAGAAGAGCATTACCTTAGCACTTGAGCCCGAACGCATCTCTTGAAATGCTTACCATTCTTGGATTGGGGCCAGGAGCTGTAGATCCTCGTCAGCACTCTTTCCGTACATCTCATCCACAGGAAGATACGCACGAGCCATCCACGAGCGGATGGGCTTGGGAGGATTGATTACCATCGTCGTTTCAGTAGACGACGGACTCTTCGTGTCTCGGCGGGAGCGAATGCAATCTTGGCTACAACAAACACCGATCAACTCCGGATCAATATTCTGGAGTTCTGCATCACGTCACACCCCTTCAATCAAATGAAATTTCTATTAACAGGTGATCGTCTGCCACAACTAGGTCTGGATAAGCCAACCGACGCATGAACATTCGTGGACGTAAGGATTCTACAGCATTACCAATACATCCAATGATGACCAATCCGACAGCATGATCTGCCTAGCAATCCCGTGATGGGTGCACTTATTGATTTCTTCGCATGCTGATAATATGATATTGTCCCACGTTGCTCATTTGGTTTCTTGATCGTTACTCTACGAAATCCCGGCGTTGACGCCCGGTATTAATAAATTTTCAGTCTCAAAGTTGAGCGCAAATATTGGCTTCAGTACAAAGGCTCAGTAACCGAGGAAAAGTGATAAGTAGGCGGAGAGGTTCTCTTCTGAATAAGGTGTCTGAGTGGTCGTCCGCGCAACTTCTGCCTTAGCCAGCCCACCTTGGTCAACCATCACTCTCTCATCAAGCTGTGACAACCTTTCGTGTATGAGGGTTTTGTGATTAATTTTTTTTTTTTCCTAAGTAGAAGTTGTTTCTTGCCCCCCACCCCTCTTCCTTGTCCCTCTCCTTTGCTGTTGGCGCTTGATACCGTTGATTCCATTGGTTGATTCGCGTTGGTAACTTATGTATGCTGGTACCGAACATAAAAGCTGTTCAAGCTTTCAAAGCAGCCGATCGAAAAGTACGCATACACGGAAGTTGTGATTGGAAATGAAGACCGCATTTCAAGATTTGCCTTTCTTACAACATACAAGACGCAGAAATATCAAATTACACATGTGTATAGATATTAATCTACTGCTCTGATTCCGAATGCGAATCAAGAAGCTGTCATAATCAAATGCCTTAACAGTAGCAATAAACATCGAGGCATAGTAGTTCAAAGGCCTCAATCTGCCACCAAAGTCATTCTACATAATTGCAGAGTTGCAATGCGCCAAACCCAGAACGTTCTATGGCGTCAAGTGCCCCACAGACAGCTGGACTACCGTACCATAGTATAACAACACAGCTGTATCCACAGTTCTGAGCTTCTAGCGCGTGAACCTCCATGTCTTCTATTAAGGAATGAAGCCACAGGTTACTGTATGTAATCAAGTTGAGCTAGGCATAATTGAATAAGTGGTCGTAACGAAGAGCGGCTCCCAAGGGCAGTCCTCATGGCCTTGTGATGACTTGATATGATCACTGCAACGGAGACCCCTGTAGATTGAAGGATAGAGAGGCAGCCGTATTAGTAGAAACAACAGGGAAACCATAAGCCTAAAATTCACCGAGACACCTGATGGTGGTAGCTGTAGAGGTCATGAGTGAAAGTACATATTTCCAGAAGGAGCTCGAGCCGCTTGCAGAGCTGCCGGGGTTTTTTTTTTTTTTGGTTTTTTTTTTTGCTTTCCTCCTCCATTCTTGACAGTTTTATGTGTTTATATATATATATAGAAAATGGAACCCCCTTTCCTACGGAGTGCTTACGAGCGCATAGCGTCAACGCTGAAGTATTGACTTTGTGCATTGCAGATGAGAGCATGATAGGCTAGCCATCCACGGCGCTAACTGGGATGTAGTCGGCATTGTCGGCAGGCTGGATATCTCGTTCTCGCATGATTATGTTTATTACAAGGTATGGGGCGCTTCGTTGTAAGAGGGCCATGGCCACTCAATTATTCATCTACTCTGAAACCACCACTTTTTCTGGTTCAACTCGGAGAGCTTCTCTTGCATGACCTGTCCTTGTTCCCTGGTAATGGCTGGACCTCCGCTGACTGCACCGAGAACGCGTAGATGCTCCTTCTTCAGCTCTTCAAACCCAGCGTCCAGCTCCTTATGCCACGGGTACAGAACGAATACTTGGAATCCAAGAGCTGAGCTTGCAACCACGAAATTGGTCAAGGATATTACCCTCGTTATGACAACCATGATGTGATTTGTGAATGGTAACTGCTAAATCTTGTCAGGGTCCAAGTCGCAAGGATTTGTGGCCAAAAGAAAAGAAGAAGAAGAAAAAAAAAAGGGGGGGGCGGCTGAAAAGCGATTAATCCATGCACTTGAACATACTCTATTTTTAGGATATGGTAGGGTTTAGAATAAGAGGTGCTCGGACAATGGCTAGGGCCGACCTGGCCTGCTTGAAAGTCGGTTTCGAGAGTCAAGAGGGCAGAGTGCGCGTTGGTGTGTTATGAGATGAAGGGTGTTGTGGCTTACTGTGGTAGTAGAGAAGAGAAAAGGAATGGCGAAGACGATTTAGCAAAAGAGCTACCATAGTGTATATGTCAGAAGCCAGTGTGGGGGTAGGGGGTGGATATACTTTGCGGAGTCATGTTTTGTGGAGTGGGTAAGAAGTTTACAGTGGAGTGGTCCCTCTCAACAGGTCAAATTTTGGCCGGTATTGCCCGATTGGAACCTCGGGATGCCCGGCTGAGGGTGTCAATCAAGGGTGCATGACAATGAATGCTACTAGTACCATGATGTACTATGTTTGGAAAGCTTGCAGGTGACCAGTGTCAACGTCGAGCTTTCTGGAAAGGGAATCGTAGAAACTAGTACCGTTACTCGTGATAGCTTCAGTACATGAATATGATTCCTAGCAAAGTAACATGCGGCGCACGCCTCGTTCTGATGTTCTGAATGGAGAGCAACAAGGCTCCTTGAGTGGGCTGTCTAGTGGGCTCGAGACCGCAATCCTCGCTGCAAAAGTCGGAGGAATATCGGCAACATGGTATTGGAGAAATACTGGTAGCTTTGCGGAAGTACTTATGGCGTAAAAGTTTTTGTGGAGTTTCCACGCAGTAGTGCTTTGTCAAAAGATGTGTCTCATCCCCTAAGGCCCCTAAGGTTGGTGGTTTGTGTGTGTGTGGCTCAGGTTTGAGACCGGCCTGACTGCCTATTTGGCCGGATTCGTTTTGGTCCTGATCATTGGGCAGCATGGGGGTCGATAGCGTTAGAGTGTCAGCCTTGAGCTGGGCCTGAAAGTGGCGTGATTCTTCCCTCCCAGTTCCCACAATATTCCGGAGGCCTGCAAATCACATTCCTAAGCAAAACCGTCAGAAATCAAAAGGCTGCGCAACCAACTTCGGGAAAATTCGTACAGGTTCTGTTGGCATCTTGCAGTATTGATTCTGTTCCGTTTGTCATTTCTCAATCCTCACTGGCTTATCGTACCATTGAGCAGAGTGGAACAGCAAGAAGCTCGTCGAGGGGCTGCGTACTCCTGGTACTGTACGCCGCACAGACACACTATGCTTGTAGTGTGACACGGGTAGGGCCTCAAGGTTTTCGTGCTTGTGCGTGGATTTCCAGTGGCCACATAGCCCGAGCAAGAGTTGTGAATGCATCTAAGGTACGACTTGCTTCTGATATGCAACACAATCCTTATGTGCCATAAGTTCCAGCGAATACATAGTATAAATCTAAGGCATGAGCAGCATATACAGTCCCACCTCCGAGGTCGGCCTAGTTCCGTGGCAATGCGAGAAGAGAGGTGTTTGTCTCCGGTATTCTACTCCGCAAACCCCCCCCCCCCCCTCCCACAAACCTCATTTAGCCCCCTAATGAAACCACAATCACAATCGAGAGACCTCAGCTGGAAGGCGTCCACTTTCACAATGAATCCTGATCGTGGGCAAGATACCATCCATTGGTGCAGATGCAGCGTCAGGCCCTGACCAGGAGCCTCAGGCGGGGTCACAAGAGCAACACGAGAAAGATCGAACCCACATACTATGCCGCAATGTGCAGTCGCATTGGCGAGGTTGGTAACCTCGAGGTCAAATTTTCCAGATGAAGCAAAAGCCAGTTCGTGCTGCAAAGAGGGAGGGCAGCAGCTCTCCACACTTTTTCGAATGCACCGCCAGTGATTGGCTGCGGGTTGATTCTGTGCATGGCACGCCTTTCACTTACATCTTCATCCACTATCCCAGCTTGACTGTTCTAAGGAGCTCAGCCAAGCGGGAATTTGAAGTATTCCGTATCATGTTGGAACGATATTGTCGTTTCGCACACGAGCACCGCTTGGGACACGCAGGGCGATTCCAAAACGCCGGGTCCATATTAAGAGCTGCTCTTGCCATTCTCAAGGGGCTATGTAGTTTGAGGTTCACGAGAACAAGACAACGCATCAGACAGCACAAATAGATGTCCCATCGCGGCGCAGTGTCTAGGCTTTCAAAAAACCGTCCCGATCTGCGATAACAGGTGCAAAGACACCGAGAGTGGTTCCGGAAAGCAAAGACACTCGAAAACTCAGCTGTACACGTTTCAGCCTCGTTCGAGATAGCCAGGAGGCTGGAAGGCTCCTGGGAATCATCGGTTGGAACAGTTACTCCGATATGCTTGGCTCAGGCGGATTCTCTCTGGGGAGGGTCATCATGACTATGACTGAAAGACAACACAGGACCGCCGGCAATTTTCGAACCGCAATCCATCTGGATCAGAGTTGTACCGTCTCTCAACAAGTATCATGTGTGACGATATAACGGGTCTAGTCAGTGCATGCACTGGCGATCGCTTTTACGACATCATGACATTCCCCAAGCCAAGATTCACCTGCATGTGATACTAGGTCTGTTGTTCCATCTCTTTATCTTCCAGTTTCTCACGAGCTGCTAAAAAAAAAAAAAAATCAAGGTGAGCAGGTGGATCCAGCAGCATTACAATGGCCAACAAGAGATATCCTCTCACCGCCTCACCTTGATTTTGTGCGAGGGCCAGTGAGTCACTGGCCCTAGGCTGTGCACGGCCCAGCCAGCCAGCCAACAGCCAGACCTGTTGATAGCCTCAGTTAGTTGCCCTCGTGGCTTTTCTCTTCTTTTCTCTTCTCTTTAGCGCACTGCAATACGAGCTTTTTGCCCTCGCATAGATTTGATCCGAAATGGAGGCATGAATGTCAACGCCAGCACTCTGCATGCAACAGATCGAGCACAGCCCCACGAATGCTTAGTAGGGTGGTTGAGCTTGCTTCTGCAGGAGAAGACAAGCTTACTGCACGGCTAGTTGAGACATTGGAAACAACCTCTGGCCCCTATATCTGCCTATCCTATTGTTAGGACCAGGAAGAGCAGAAGAGGAAGACAAGACAGGGAAGCCTGAAGGATCAGCTACGGGCCGTACTCATTGATGACCTGCCAAGCACATGGAAAGATTCTTTCGTTCTGTCCTTTCAGCTTCGCTACCAGTACATTCGGGTCGACTTCCTGTGCATAATCCAAGATGATCCTGATGATTGGACAAGGGAGGCTTCAAGCATGTGCGATGTGTACAGGAAAGGTGATTTGACACTGGCGATTCCCATATGTGACCGTGCTTCTCAGAGCTTCATGCACTAACGGAGGTTATCTCGGACCCCTTTGCCTGAGGTCGCTAAAGTTCGGTTCACAGATCTACAGTCGGGGTACCAAGGCATGATGCTGATTCCGCATATGACCTGACCCTGGAAATCCGAGGAGGTTCCATGGGTCTTGGAAACATGCACCTTCACGGCCCTTCCTGGCCCGTTCGGGAAGATTCTGCCTGACCGTTCTACATGGTATTAGAGAGCTTGGACATTACAGGAGTGGATGGTCTCCTCGAGTCTTACACATCCATGAGATGACTCTATGGGATTGCCTTGAGGGATACGAAAACGAGATCACAGGAGGTAAAATGGGCTCTGCACGGCAGCCAAGACATTTACAACGGCTGGGGCTTGGTTTCCACTTGAAAGACATTGTCGAGGGATTTACCCGGAGAAAGATCACAAAAGGCGAAGACAGGCTGCCAGCACTTGCCGGCATCGCTAACCAGTATGCTCAAGCGACGGTATATACGTATCTATCCGGTCTATGGCTGGAGGGATTGCCAATGATGCTTGCATAGATTTACAACCACGGCTATGGGAGTGGCCGACGCGCATGCGGATCTACACCGCCCTCACGAACCTGGGTGTGCAGAAATAACAAAGTCCGGTTCTTTCTTGGCGCTGAAAACCCAGGCCATCAAAAAGCAGCGAGCTCGGTCATTTGTCATCCATAAATGCAGCCACCCCGGCTTCATTTGTGCGTGTCACAGAGGCGTAGCTAGAAATAGAAGGGCCACTGAGAACTCCGTCCTTCTCGGGTGATACCACACTCAAACATCCCACGCCTCATTTTTTCGGCGTCCTTTTGCATTGTATTGGAGATTGCGATTGTGGCTATGCACTGCACACTTACTATGATGAGGTCAACGATGATGATGAGCATCGGTTCCTGGACTGGCAGGTCTCCTTGGAAGATCGCAGTATAAGCTTTGGAGGTTGGCTTGTCCATAACTTTAGAAGGGTCAAGCTGCTGTTTCTTGGCTCTGGGACTGGTATTCCCGGCGGAGCGATGTTGCACGCGCTTCTCTTAGAGGAACGCAACCGAGCTAGATAGGTTGGTATTTTTCGCAGACTGGGCTGCGCAAATGCATACACGTTCGTCCCATACCTAGAACATAATTGTACGTATTCAGAGATTGTTGCATCATGGGAATCGAGAAAGGTCCGTCTTGTCTAGGCAATTACATAGAGCCACTGTTGGATTCTCGTTCTTTCCTTCTTCTTGGCTCTCAGCTGGTCTGGGCCCATGTTCTCTTATAAACAAATGAAAAGGAAAAAGAAAAGGAAGAAGAAAAAAAAAAAGGGGGGGGGGGGGTTTCAAGGAAAGGAAGAAGAAGCAGCAGGAAAGACGAACAGCCCTACAGAGGATCCATCCAGTCTGGCCGCATGACTAGGGCGGACCCAGGAGCTCGGTGCTGTTCGGGTATTAGTATTTGAGGCCCAAGCCGAGATTCTCGTTGGAGTGGCTACATGCTCGAATTACTCAGTCCGTAACTGGTCACGACAGTCTACAAGATGGCTCCCAGAAAGAATCTCTTAATAACCAGCAGGGGCGTAACTGAACTCATTCTCTCTTCTGGTCTCGCTCATTGGAGATATTGCGTACAACACAACGCCATGGGGTAGAAAGTGTCAGTCTATCCAGCACTTCGTCATCATCCTCGATGGATGAGGGATGATATTCTGAACTACATGGCAGCAGACAGATGGCAACCTGTCATGGATTGGCTCAAACTTAAAGATAAAGCTTGTGTAAACAGCTAACCGGATCGTACCACTGTCAAGAATTCGAGTTGCAGTAATATGCGATAGCCGGCCGCCACAATTCTCTAGGCTCAATCGTACAGCAGAACCGTAGCTGTAAAGAAAAGGAGTCAGGAGGATAAGGACGATTCGGACGATTGAAAGTAAAAGCAACGTCGTGAGAGTCGCCTTTTCAACCTATGTGGGCCTGGTAATTTATTGCTTCAGCAGGTGGCTGAAGAGCTTAAAGCGTACCCAAGCTGAAAGAAAAGCCGGTGATTGGTTGAAACTCTCCGGAAGCCTCAGCTGCAACCAGGGCCTCCATTTCCTGCAGCGCCATACATGGTCTGGACTGCCCATAGTTCGTTACGTCGTACCCAAAGGAAGCAAGCTTGAATGACAAACATAAACACTAGCTCGACACTAATAGACAGACCCGCAGGATAGCCGCCGGATCTGACCGACCTCACATCACGTCTCGCTCGTTCACGGTAATTATCGCGAATAACCAAGTCAGAAGTCATCAGACTCATTGTTTATTATGATTTCCTCCGAGGCTGCTCACAGTATGATAAGGGACTTTTGCTTCATTCAGCAGGCTGAGCTGAACTCTGAGTACCCTGATCAGGCCATACGCTATCTTAGCAACAGTGGAAATCCCAGGTGTCCCCGAGATGCCTTCACGTCGCCTCGGAGGTCCCTGAGCTGCACCAGAAGGATGTAATTTGAGGCCCCTCGGAGCCCCGAGGAGGCATCTGCTGCTCAGAATGCACAGGCTAACATTGACTAGTTCCTCCCCACTCTATCTGACAATATGTTCTGCATCTTACTTGTACTCTCTGCGTTGGCTCGACGTGAACTACATATAGCCCAGCCACGAAACCCTTCCCTCGGTACCGCCCCTCTTGGTCTCTACCAAGCTTTTCGAGGGCTCCTTGAAGCCGTCCATTCTTTTGCAAAGGTGCCTGGTTGGGCGTGCTAGCCTCTTCCATTCTTTTCATCCCCAGCCCCAGCAGCAGCCATCTGCTCAGGTCATTCTTTCATTACCTAATTGACTATTCAAGAAAGCTGTACGACAGCGTCCATTCGTTTGGCTCTCGTGCCGATCCCTCTTTGCCACATCCTGCGACATCATGCTTCGCAAAGCCCTCATTGCGGCCCTGACCGCAACTCTCCTTGCTACTGGATCCGGCTCTGCAGTTCCCGAGGGCAAGCCAGCTTGCAAACCCAGATATCCGTCGAGCTCGGGGCTCTTGCTCTCCACCACTGCCGGTGAGACTGCAGTGCCGACTTTTACTCCAGGCTTGCCGGCCTCCGGTATTGTATCTGGGGGTAGCTCGTCCGTTTCCCGCCGTCCTGTTGTCTCTGGTGGTGGTGGCAGCAACGAACTTACGACACTGTCTTCTGGCGACTCAACCACTCCCTCCGGCTCGGCCTCGACTCAACTCTCTGGATCTGGGTACGCTTCTGGACACGCTTCTGGGCCCATCTCAGGGCATCCATCTGCTACTACCAGACATCCTCCTGTTGGCCATCCTGTCACACCTGGTAATTCAACTCGCGTCTCTGGAGTAGCCCATGTCTCTGGGTCTGTATCAGGCTACCCTCCCGGACACGCTTCGGGATCAGCACATGTTTCTGGACATGCTTCAGGCTACCCTTCTGTCCATGCTTCCGGATCTGGACACATCTCTGGGCCCATCTCCGGTTACCCTTCCGTCACTCGCCACCCCGTCTCTGGGCTTCCGGTGGCGTCTGCGACCGGTTCAGCCTCGGGAGCCGTCTCGACTGCCTTCCTGCTCCAGGCTCAAGGCACCCAGGAGACTACTGTCGATGGCTTTTACCTGACTCTTGTCTCCAATGGTGATGGCACCTACCATGGAGAGTTCAAGGCCAGCATAGCCACTGCAGAAAAGTTTGTTCTCCACTCTGATGGCTCGCTTGCCACCGCCGATGGCACACTGGTCGCCGTCGTGGCCTATCAAGGCTCTGAGTTGCTTGACAACCAACTCTTCGTCCCGGCTTCTGCTCTCGATACTGTCAGTGTTGCTGACCGTCGTTCTCGTCAAGCTCCAGTGCAGTACTACGAGGACGTGTGTGTTGCCAATGCCAATGCAACCTTGACCTGCAATCTACCAGTGTGGCCCTCGGGACTTTTCCAGGTCTCTCAGGGCGCCATCATACTGGAGATTGGTAGCCGCAACGAGGGTTTCGAGCTGATTCTGTACATCGTCCCCGCGGGTTCTGCTGCCCCGACAAGCACGCCTTCTTCCACCCTGCGATCCACCTCGTCGTCCATGTCATCTCTCGCCAGCTCAGCGTCACCCACTTCTTGCGGTCCTCCTGGGCCGACTCTGCTGCCTGTTGCCAACACAGATATTGACAGGTCTTCCATGTCCAATCTCGAGCCGTCGATGAACACGACTCTCAACTACGCCGAGGCCTATCCTGGAACCCAGGCACTGTCCTTGTATCTCACCATGACGTACAAACAGGTCACCCTTGAGAACTCAGAGCTGATATCTGTTACATGTTCTGGCGATAATCTCATCGTCACAGCAACCAACAACGATACGCAGCAGTACATTATGAGCACGTGGGGCTCCGCCAACCTTGTCTTGTTTACCAACACGGCCAGCTGTAACAACGCCACGTCTCGAGGTGTGTATTATGTCAACGGTGCCTTTGCCACCGCAGGCACACTGGACGTTACTTTTGTCGTCGCTTCTACCGATTTCGGCAGCGTTGCAGAGGCTATTGCCATCAAATATGGCTCTGTCAACTATCCCAGCGCTGTCAGCCAGGCCGCATCATCCACGGCGTATACCTCGACCTGTTCCGAAACCGGTTCTCCTCTGCCAACTGCCTCCATGACCACCGATTCATCTGTACAGATGGACCAGAACTCAATCAATTACTACCTGGCACTGAAGGCTGCTATCCAGTACGACAGCGATGGCAACATTATCGGCCATCCGTCTAACCCTACGAACCTGACAGTGCCTGTTGCATCTTTTGACCCTACCAACACCACGGCGCAGGCCGCTCTTGAGCAGGCCCTGGAGGACATGGGTCTCTCCCCGCCGTCCTCTCTTGCCAGCGAGGCTGCCCAGGCTCTCCAGAGCACCGAGAGTTCGAGCAGCAGCAGCTCTGGCACATGCAGTGCCGCTGTCTCGAAGAAGAAGCGGGGTCCTACGCCTACGGTCCCTGGTGTTGGCCTCAGGAAGCGTCTGACCTGGGATCAATTCACGGATTACGCTTGCGACGATGATGTCGATGACATGCTCGGTATCTTTGGCGAGGATGTGGAGAACGGCGTCGAGGCTGCTTGTGGTATCAATGACCTGGCCGAGAATGGCGATTCGTTGAAGTGCCTGTTCAGCAACTGCTGTGAGTAATCATCCCGGATTAGTGATTTCCAGTGCTGTTCCAAGTTTGATAGATTCATTAATTACTGACGAACGAGTGTCAAGATACCACTACCACAATCATTACTTACTACACTCCTCCGCCGGCTACCAAATACGATTTCGACTACTCCTGGAATGTTCAATTCCCTCCAATTGAGCAGGATGTCGTCTATGACCAGGGCAATACCGTCTCCTGCGTCAACTGCGGCTTCTCCATCTCTAACCTTGAATTTTCGGGCGAGATCATCATCAACATGACAGCTGGGACAATCGATGAGGCCAAGATCTCGGCCGACATGAGCGGTGTTGCCACCATGATTGCTGGCATCGATTCCAGTGATGCCTGGTCTGGCAACTGGAGCTATATCTACTCAACGACGACTCTTGATGCCATCACTCTCGACAACGCCTTCAAGATTGTTCCCACGATCCTGTATGGTATTGGCATCAACTACGAGACGGACTCGGCCGTGTCGACATCTGGCGGTGCTCAGTTCACATTGAATAATGCTCAAGTGAGCATGGATCTCCTCACGTCGACGATCACCTCCAAATCCAACTGGCAGCCATCCATCGTCTTTACAAACCCAAGCTTCACAACCGGCGCCAACATCCAGCTGACGCCCTACATGCGGTGGGCAGTCGAGCTCAGTGTGTCCATCTTTGGCGTCACCTTCCTCTCTCCCAGGATCACGTCCGAGACAGTAGTTGGTCTCGACTCGACCTATTCTTTTGAGGCCACCTCGTCCTGCCCTGCAGATCGATTGGGAGTTACCTCGTACGTCAGCACGACGAACTCCATGTCGGATGGCAGCAGCGCAGCCCAATCTCTGTACTCTGCTCAGACATATGGCAATACGCAGTGCTTCGATGTGCCAAGTAATCAGCCGTCTCCAGAAGAGATTGTCGAGCTGGCTGCCTCGGGCGGTGCCTTTTGCACAAGCTACATCAACTACAATCCCGCGACGGTCTACTCGTGGACGACAAGCACGTCCACTGCGCCGAGCAGCACATTCCATAGCTCGACAACTACAGTCACCGTGACCAGCACCCCTACCATTACTCTGTCACCGACCGAGGTTATCACCACCTGGCTTGGGCCTTACACCGAGTACGCCACCACGGTGACTGCCGACACGACCATTGCCACCGTCTACTCGATGGACTCTTCACTCCTTAAGCGAGGCTTCGTCGGCAAGGAGCCACCACTGCCTGCCCTCACTGCTGCTCCTGCCACTGGGGAGCAGGCAATTCAGCGCCGTGCTGTTGCAACGCCGGCCGTGGCAGCGTCTTGGTCTGCATCTGAGATTTCGTATGCCTGTTCCCAGGTTGCAACCGGCAAGGTCACCGTCACGTCAACGCAGGGTGTAACAGTCACTTCTGGCGTGAGCACCGACGTCCTGACTATCACCGCCAATGCCAATGGCCCTGTGCAGACCGTCACCTCCACACAAACCTCCTACGTCTACGGCGGCGTATCCATCACCACCGTTGCTGCGACCGCAACATCCACACCCATGAGCTGTCCGTTCCAGAACGAGGTCCCCTCTTGTGGTTGCATGGTCGTCAAACTTCACGGCGCATCCTACATGGAGGGCCTACAGCTGCGATACAATGGTTTCACGTCCAGCCCTGCCGCCATCCCCGACGACGATTATACGGGCTACATCTGGTACCTTAGCAGCCGTGGCTGGCTGACGACGCTGACATGGGACTATGGCGCGTCCTACCCATCCTTCCTGGGCGGATATACACACGCGCCCATGGAGGCCATGAACTACTACAGCGCCGACATCTCAGATCAGTTCTTCGAGCCGGCCGTGTGCACCAAGGATCCCTCGACCATGACGCTTGACTGCAAGCTGGCGGGTTATGGTCCGATGTATGCACAGCCCGAGTCGGTGGCTACATCGACCCTGTACGACAACCCTGAGGAAGACGACATGTTCGAGGATGGCATGACTATGCCCAAGTACATCGATGCACAGGTCCAGATACCCTACTGGACGCTGGGTCAGAACTTGACGGGCTACACGCCGCTGACGCTGAGCTATGAGGAGATTGACTGTCTCTGCAATGCATGGATCCCATAGATGAAGGACGTTGTTGGTATTTGGGATGCGGACTGAGGAGAGTCGAGCTGAAGGCACAAGCATATTATACGGAGAACATAAAAAATATTTAATCATTATCAAGTAATTACATGTAGGCATTAGCCGAATCTCGTGTCCGTAATTCCAACGATACTGTATCATCCTCAGCTGAAAACAAAAATAAAATGATGCCTGAAGACATATTAGACTAGCTAAATTAACATCTCTTCACAATACACATTAGTACCTTTTTCTTCCGAAGCATCTGAAGTTGTTGAGAATCCCATAAGTGGTATTTCTTTCTTTCTTTTTTTCTTGAATTTTATTGCTAATAAACAACTTTGGCGATCTGGCAGATTGGCAATCACCAAGTGAATCCTCAACAATATGCGCACCCATCCGTTTACTTATATTATAACCAACGATATGGCCGATTGTCCACACACTCATTATCCAGACTTTGACAAGCAGTGAAAACCATCAGGCCAACGCAGACTAGAGAAGTGCGAGAGGGCAACCATTGACTTCCGAAGCGTCCTCGCATTAAAATGATATTCTGAATCTTGATTATTCAAACCAACTGCGTACTTCGTCCATGCCAGCTGCATTACTATTATGCAGCAAATTCAAATGTAACATGTCTGTGTTTTTTTCTTTCTCGTCCAGTCAGGTTGATGTCCAAATTTCGATCTCGCGTATGACTTTTTCGGGTTAAAGCCTTTGATATGCTCGGCGGAGTGTCTCGTGCTCAAAGCGGCCTGGTTGTGGGATAAGGAGTACCAGGGCCTGTGGTTCCTCCATTAACCAATGTACCCCACAGTATTCAAGTACCCATTCCCTTCACCTAATTAGATCTGAAGGGCACCAAACAGCACCGAAGTGAACAAGAGCGCCGAAACAGTGACACCGCTCAAGGTCAGGCCCAAGCCGGAGGGGCCGGTCCCAGGCGCGGCATTAGAGCTGCTTGTCGATGACGAGGACGATGCGCTCCCACTCGCGGAGCTCCCTCCGGTGCTCTTGCTGACGCTCGCGGTGACGACCACGCTCGCACCACTCGCAAGCGTGTCACTGGCCGTCGCAGTAGCAGTCGCGTTGCCTGTGCCGCTACAAAAGACGTCTTGAGGGGCGGCGCCGTCGCTCTTCATGCAATCCGCAAGGCCAGTGACATTCTGGCCTATCGCGAGGCAGTAGAGGCCACAATTATTCTCGTAGACGACAACGTCGGCTGATTTGCAGCAGTCGGCCATGATATCTGTATGATTTCCCCCGTACGGCAGTGCACACGCAGCATCCTGAACGGGAATTTCGTACAGGTACACGCCGCAGCCCGTGGCACTGGCTGCGGCCGACGTCGCGGTCTCAGTGGGTGTGGCGGTCGACGACATTGTTTTCTAGGTTGATGATGCTGTGTCGTAGTCGGGCGTGTGGTAGAGATTCCAATTTTTCATTGACGAGAGAAGCAAGGCTATCTTGCGTGCATAATACACAGAGAAATCAACGAAGGCGAATGTTTTTGTTTTTTGTTTTGGGCCCACGTCGGCTGTCAGCTCGTCAATATATTATGCCCCTGATATATTTGCAGGAATTAGATCGGCACAGGATTGGGACCAGGGCCATGTCAGGGCCACAAGGTCTCTGGTTGGCTCCGTAACCAAGACAGCCAATACACACAGCTCCATTAGCCCAAACGGTGGCACCACCCTGTCAACCCAGTGTGTCACACGAGCTCGTATTCATTTCTGGGCGATGATGTTGAATCCGACCCCGACTTCCGACATCTTGTCAAGTTTTCCATCCAGTGGCTGCTGAAGCCTACAAACGATGGGCTCCATTGTTTCACAGCCGAGTGCCCATGCATTTGCTGTGTTGGGCTTTGGTGGTCACCGTGGTGGAGCCCGGAGCAAACCGTGGTTCCAGCTGAACAACTGCACCCCTGTCTGCCAACTCGTTCCTGCGCTGCTGCAGCAAAGAGGCTCAGCTCATTCAGCGCGGGAGGCTGATTGGATCCCAGAAAGTTGAGAGGACATTGTGCATTGTGCACCGGTCTAATAGGTCCCCGTATTCTAGGGGGATAGGTTGATTGGACTACAACCATGGTGCAGATGGTTTTTGGGTGTGTCATGGGCAATAATTAACCCCTATGCCCAGCAGACAAACCGCCCTTAGTTTCGATGTAGGCAGTCAAAAGGAGAAGAGGCCCAGGGAATTTGGATGGCCTATAGCCCAACCTAATTGCAGACGCTTCAAAATCACTCCCTTTTTCTCAAAAGCAGAGGCTTTCCAACTCATCGAAGACCTGGGGGTCGATCCACTTTTTCCGAAGGACAACAAGGCAGTGCCAAGATGGACACATGCGCGCCGTCCCTCAGCTGGGATCAAGACGGAGAGGCGATGCATCAAGCTGACGTTGAAAGGATCTCAATTCATCGACCTTTCCTCGGCTTCTCCTTCGAGTCCTCGACCAGAATCTTTCGGGGCCACTCGGCAGCAATATCAATGTCCTCCCTGGGTGCAACCCACTCGAGGAAAAGAAAAAAGATATAATCAATGACAACGCACAGACAGAACAGCTTGCCAGCCCAGATGCCGCAGCCGTAGTAGCGCTTGAGTCGATCGATCAGCGCAAAGTCCCTCTGGACGCCGCCTCTGCCCCTGGTGGCCGTGGCGCCCATGCTCGCCGCATTGTAGAACTCGGACTCGTCAATGTCGCCCGAGATGCCCTTGTAGACCCTCTCGGTGCGCTTGGCGATGTCGGTCCAAGAGTACATCTTCTTGATCTCGTCATGGAACCGCTCTGTGCGTACTTTGTTGGCCCGGATGTCGGCAATGGCCTTGCCCGTGGCGGCAACAATGTCATCCTCCTCCGGCTTGGCGAATTGTGTCATGTACCCTGGTAATACCTCAGGGATACCACCGACCTGGGTGCAGACGACGTACAGTCCGCAGCTGGCCGCTTCGACAATGACGGTGCCGAAAGCCTCGGTGAGGGAAGGGTGCAGATAGATATGGCCCCTGACCATGACATCGCGGACCTCCTCGTGCCGGACGGAGCCGAGCATTTCCACACGGTCCTGGAGGACATTCTGCTCGATCATCTGGTCGAGATCGATAGCCTTGGGTCCGTCGCCGGCGATGATAAACCGTGTATTAGGGTGGTTCTCGAGTATGCGAGGAATGGCAGCCACGAGGAGGTCGGTCCCCTTGTTATAGAACAGACGTGAGATGACAACAATGGTGACTGTGTCGTGCGGCCGCAGCCGATGAGCCGGGACGGGATAGTGATCAATAGTGTAATTACCATTCCCAGGACCTTCGGACGAGTGATCAAGAGGTCTGAAGTTGTCTGCCACGACAGCATTCGGGATGACAGAGACCATCAGGGGGTCAAGGGAGGCACGGAGAACTGTGTTCTCCTTGCTGCACAAGGAATTCAGTCAACCAGGCCGTTCAGTGTTGTTTGGGCGTGTATACGTATCTGATTGGAGGGGCCATACCTTGTATTGCTCACACATATGACATGATCAACATCACTGAGAGTGAACTTGAGCAGCTTGTTGGTGAGGATACTGGCAGCATCCGCAAAGCCAAACAGGGAGTGGTCTGTGAAGACGGTGCGGATGCCCATGGTCCGGGCATGCAGTGTAGCCTCCCAACACAGACTGCTGAGAGAGCCATGGCCGTGCACGATGTCGATCTGCTCTCGTATGATGATGTTTCGGAACATGGGGAAGAAGGAAAACACGGTGGGCAGGGTGGCAGCGCGATAGATGACCCAGAACGGTACGTAGTAGACCTTGAGGCCATTCGTAAGGTAGCGAACCCCTGTGCGGTCCTTGTAGGCGTGGGTGATGACCACCACCTTGTGGCCTCGGTCAATCAGCCGCTGTGACAGCTGGTAGATGTGACTCTCGACTCCTCCTGGCGCAGGGAAGAAGAAGTCGCTGACCATGGCGATGTTATACGTTGGTTTCGACATCTTGTGTGCGTGCGTTGACCTTCAGATTTACACTGGCCTGGCCTTGAGTTCGTTCCCCCATGCATGAGTATCTCGAGTCATACCAAGCAATATCTGGATGCCATTGGAGACTTCTGTGTAGCTGGCCGATCCGGTGTGCTTGTATGTGGCAGGGGGCGAGAATGAGGAGGTGATGCTTCTGCTGGTTTTGTTTGTTTTCTTGCCAAATGTTTAAAATGAGGCTTAAACCAATGCAGTGAGATGAGGTACCTGGGTAAGTACTTGTGCCATTAGCGACGCTAAATGCAGGGGGTGTTCGTAGCGGCAGGTACCACTGACATGGTTGAGTTGAGTCCTGCCGCTGCCCACTGTCCGCCACAGCACTGATAACTAGACGATAAGGAAAAGCGGTCGATGCCATGGCAGTGGCAGAATCCGCGTCTGCCAAAAAATTCATGGGCCAGCAGACAAACCACAATCTACTCGCCCAACGACGACCATGACGATATCTGCTTGAGGCTTTGCATAAGCTCCTCTGCCAAACACATTCTAAGGGTCAGACACCAGTCACATCAATATGTATGCAAGGTACATACCACCACCCAAGCCAGCCAAGGCTGCGGCTTCTACGCCCATGATCGAGCAGCCTTCTCCAGCTCCAGCTCCAGCACCTTCTTCTACTTTCTCTCCTGCAACGCCTTACGCCCGATACGTGCCCCCAGCAAGAAAATCCTCACATGGCCTGGCTGCGACGCCGACGCCTGCACCGCGAGCGGCACCTCCGTCCAAGACACACCTCAACGCCGCTGCCATTCCTCCTCCCGAATCCCTCCCCGCAAAGATTGTCTTCAACTATAATGATGACGACGCACCTTCGCCCCTCAAAAAGCGGAAGCTGGAATCACCTGAGCCTGTTTCTACATTGGCAGAGGGGGAAAGCACGAACAAAGTGAAGCGGGAGAAGAAGGAAAAGAGGGGCAAAGGCGAGGCAGATGCTACCTTATCGAAGACAAAGCAGGAGGGCGAAGAACGTCACAAATCGAAAAAGCGAAAAGGAAGAAAAGACCAATCAACCGAAGAGTCCTTTGCTTTTGGATTTGATGAAAAGAGTGTGGAATCAGAAGAGCCCATGGAGAACAATACAACCATCACAAAAGCACGGAAAGAAAGGAACAAGACAGTTGAGCAGGAGGAGTCAAACGACACGGTGCCAGACTCTCTCTCGCCTCCCACCACGCAATCACAACCAGTCTCTTTCAAGCCAAAGGTGCCGGATGATCTGGAGGACGAAGCCGAGACCAATGAACTGCAGCGCAAGAAGAGCAAGGGACAAGAAACACAAAATGATCTCTCGATCAGGCATAAGGCTGTTCTCGAAAAGGCCGCTAAATCCTTGAAAGATGCTTCAAGAAATGCCAAATTGGAAGAGCCTACAGAACCACAGGAGGGTGACGAGGCTGATGCCGTGGAGGTGCATGGTCTTGAGCCCTTGCCACAACCAGAATTTGTCGTTCAAGATGGGCTGAAGCCAGCCTATGAGACACTGCCGCCGTGGATAGCAAACCCGGTACGGGTTACACCTCAATCCAGAGCATCATTCACAGATTTCGGCATCAGCACGGAGGTGGCTACAAGACTTGAGGCCAGGGGCTACAAGGATGCCTTTGCTGTGCAGACAGCTGTCATGCCACTACTCCTGCCATCTCGCGACCGCCAGGGAGATGTTGTTGTCTCCGCTGCCACTGGCTCCGGCAAAACGTTATCATATGTCCTACCGATGGTGCGGGACATCGGCCAGGGTGTGGTGACGCGACTGCGCGGGCTGATCGTGGTGCCGACGCGTGAACTGGTCATGCAGGCCAAGGAAGTGTGCGAAATATGTGCCAGCGCCTTTGGTGGACCCAACCGCAAGACAATCAAGATTGGGATTTCGATGGGAAACAAGCAGTTCGAGCTGGAACAAGCTGACTTGGTCGAGGATGATCAACGATTTGATCCTGCAGGCTACCAGGCCTGGCAACGAGAGCATTTCAGCCGGGATCTTGATGTGAGCCTGTTCGACTTGGCTCCTAAGCCTCTCGTGGACCACGTGCTCGAGTATACCTCCAAGGTAGACATCCTGATTTGCACCCCGGGGCGGCTCGTGGATCACATCAAACGGACGCCTGGCTTCAGCCTGGATTATGTTCGGTGGCTAGTCGTGGATGAGGCCGACAAGCTGCTCGCCCAGACGTTTCAGGATTGGCTGTCTGTCGTAATGCCTCTTCTCAATGCGACCAATAAGCCCGGCGCGAGGGACTTCCCGGACTCAAACAAGAGCGGTGTTCGAAAGGTCATCTTGAGTGCAACCATGACACGTGACCTCAGTCTTCTCAATGGGCTCAAACTCTTCCGTCCGAAGCTGGTTGCTCTCGAGGGCGTGATGGACAACGCTGAACCGGCACGAGACAGCACTACGGAACATGTCCTGCCAGAGTCGCTGGTGGAATTTGCCGTCAAGATTCGGGACCCCGAATTGAAGCCACTGTACCTTGTGGACCTGCTCAGTCATGATCGTATGGCCTTGGTGAAGGATGCCGATGGGGACGTGAAGATGACGGCGCTGGAAGATGATGACTCGGCATCTGCTGGATCAGACTCCGAACCTGGCGCCTCCGACTCGAGCAGTGATAGCGGTGACAGCAGCAACGAGTCCGATAGCGACTCTGAGGAATCGGATGATGACGATGACGATGATATCGACACAAATTGCCACGAGACACTTAGGACTGGGCCTTCACCGACTTCAAAGCAAATCACCTTCCATGGAACAGCTCTCATCTTCACCAAATCCAACGAGACGGCCATGCGTCTCTCTCGTCTCCTCGGTCTGCTCTCCCCGGGCTTGGCACCTGTGATTGGCACCCTTACCTCCACGACTCGCACTTCAGAGAGACGCAAGACACTCCGCGCCTTTGTGTCCCACAGGCTGCGCATCCTCGTGGCGTCAGACCTTGTGGCGCGTGGTATCGATCTGGTGGACCTTGATCACGTCATCAATTACGATATACCGACCAGCGTGGCATCGTATGTTCACAGAGTTGGTCGTACGGCAAGAGCAAATAGCAGAGGCAAAGCGTGGACGCTATTTACCAAGACAGAAGCAGGCTGGTTCTGGACTGCGATCGCCGGCAAGGGCGAGAGCAAGAGCCAGTCTGCTTCTGGAACCGGGCAGATCAAGAGAAGTACCAAGGTGGAAGAGATCCGAGTCAATGACAGATGGGAAGAGGATAAGCTCTCTGAGTTTGAAAGAACGCTTGAGAAACTGGGCAAGGAGGCCAGCGAGATGAGGAGGAAACGGTGATAATGCTCAGGGTGCAGAACATCACAGATCAATCAAAACCAGTCCTGAAATACCCTCCACTAGCCATGAACCTTTGGATTGTTGTCCACTTATTATGCATTGCTTATACTTTGGGGGGCTTCTGTTCTCGGATTGAAAATGACAAGTAGCTGTCGCCCTCCCTGGCCCCCCTCCCTGGCTTTCCCAACCACAACCTCGAGGGGAAGCCGGGCCCTCATTGTGTCGTTTGGCTATTACTATCACAAACACGTTCTCCTTTGCTGATCTGAGTTGTCTTTGTTTGTTTATCCTTTCCTGTATTCCTTCTTTTGCAATCCTCACAAACACAACTACAGAGTCACACTTCACATACAACCTCGAGACCGAGGCTTTGTCCTTGGGTCATCCTGTGTGGCACAATGTACATTTCACGCCTTAAGAAACAACTATCTTGGCCTCGAGACATGTTCCAGCCGAGCTCTCGGGCAACAGCACTGACTGCGGTAAGCTACCAGACCCAGCCTGATTCAGCTCTTCCACTCTTGCAGTTGTTGGTGCTGCTTACTGCTGCTGTTGCTGCCACTGTTGCTGCCTACCCTGCAGACCCCTCACCACACAAGACCAAACCACTGATGGAAATAACTCCTCACAGGCTCCCGAAGAACGTCCGTACCCCAGTCTGTTGTTTCATCCTGTGCCATTTGAGCGCACCGCGTTCACCACGCAACCGAGAAAGCGATTCTGCACCGTTCACACCCACGATGGGCTCGGAGAGATGATCCAGAGCATTGTGTCGACAGACCATGCGACCCTCTACCTCTACATGAAGGGCGGCGTGCTCGTCATCGCTCTGGATCCAGCCGAGAGGATCTATATGGTGGACCTACAGAGACTGGGACTGACGGGGCTGGGTGTGAGGCAGCCCTTCAACACGGCTCAGCTGCAGGCATCGTCGAGTGGTGGACCCAGCGATGGTGGTCCTCTGCTCCTAGATCAGGACCGGCTGCCCAGCCTGAAGGGTCTGCTCGAGAGCCCATCCATAGCCAAAGTCATGTTCGACTCCAGGGCCACGGTGGCCGCGCTGCGGGATCCCTGGGGCATCGCGCTTCGTGGCGTGCAGGACATCCAGCTCATGGAGCTTGCTGGCAGACCTCTCCTGCCGCCTGGACGGCCCTTCCACCGCAAGCTTGAAGGCCGTGCCATGCCCAGGAACCTGCGTACATGCCTGGAGTAGGACTCGAGCCTGTCGCTGGTGGAGAAGAGACGGTGGGTGACGAGCAATGCGGAGAGAACTATAGCGGCTGCCGAGAGTCACCAGGCGCGACCACAGGGAAGCTTCATGGTGGAAGTACACCTCGTGGACCAGGTTCGGCATCTGCCTGGGCTGCACAGGCGATATTGGGCACGGCTGGACGATGTCAGAAGGGAGGCACTGAAGTTGCGAACAGAGAGGAGGGTGCGCGATGCTTTGTGTGTCATTCAGCCATTGGTCTAACCAGTGTCTCACAGAACATGTCCAGTGACCGTTGTATGTAATTAGTACAATGGCGGACATTCCTGAGAGTAGTTCTGCAGTATGGCAGGTTATCATGAGGCCTGGAGTCGTTGAGGGGCTCGAGGGACATCTTGAACGCAGAAATGTTGAATGAAGTCGACATGAGGGCCAGTCCACAAGTCCAAGAATCAGTGCCCTATGTATCGTGTGATGCCGCTATGGTCCTCAATAATACACTGGCTCATGCAGTCACAATTTTGTCCTCTGCATATAGTGACCACTTATTTCCGTACCTTTGTTGGTCACTGTTCTTCGGTGGACGCAACGCTGAGATTCTCCACGTTTCACAATTGCAGCGGGATGCTGTAGGGACGGGCCTCTCTCACCTTTCGAGCCCGCCTGAATGACGTAAAATGTGGCCCACGCGTTCATGAGGGGCTCCTTCCCACAGTGAATCTTCAAGACACAACAACAAACTTCGAGTTTTTGTATAAGAACCCATTTTAAGTCACTGCGCGAGCAAAACTATTCTTGTTCGGCCGCGTCACAACATTTCATCCACAGAAGTCATCTGGAGCTGATTCGTATATCTCTTGTATGTATTATCCTGTGACACGTGTATAAACAGAATATGTCCTCGCCATCCTATCCTCGTCCAGACTTTCAGCGCCCAGGTCTCAATTGGGCTTCCCTCAATGGACCATGGGACTTCTTTTTTGATGACAAGGACGAGGGGCTCTCGGAGAACTGGCATCTCTCAAGTCCTCCCGCGTCTTTGAGGCGCACCATCGAGGTCCCATACGCTTTTCAGACGCCCGCATCAGGCATCAACGAGCGCGCCGCCCACGAGGTGCTGTGGTACCAGCGAACACTCAAAGATATCCGCACAGATGATTCCAAGTCCCGTGGGGACCGCCTACTGCTCCGCTTCGGGGCAGTGGACTACGAGGCGACAGTATGGCTGGACGGTCAGCTGGTAGGAAGTCATCGCGGTGGACATGTGCCATTCGAAGTCGATGTAACCAATGGAGTGGCCAAAACCACGGCTGGCGAGGCTCGATTGACATTGCGCGTCCGTGACTCCCCATACGATCTGACGCAGCCTCGAGGCAAACAATACTGGGGCCCCGAGCCTGAAAGCATCTTCTACACGCCCACCAGCGGCATCTGGCAGAATGTCTGGCTCGAAAGCGTTCCCTCAGCGCGCATCGCCGACAGCAGTGCAGGCACGGTCCTGCGCTCCAATGACATCAACACGGGCAACCTCCACGCCAAGGTCGCTGTCGTCGGTCGTAGGGCCCAGGCCCCGTGCTCCGTGGAAATCGAGGCTTCATTCTTGGGACTTGCTGTGGGGAGTGGGAAGGGAGACTTAGCCAGGGACAGAGACTACGCCAATTTGGTGTTGAACTTGCGTCTGCCAGAGAACGAGCACAACAAGGTCGCCGGCACCCTCGCCAAGGACGACAGCGTGTGGCGGAGCGGTCTTGCCCTGTGGTCACCGGAACATCCTCTGCTGTATGACCTGACCCTTCGGCTCTTGGACCCCGATGGCAACGTTTTGGACCAAGTTGAGACGACCACGGGGATGCGCAGCATCGACTGGCTACGTGGTGATGGCACCTTTCGTCTGAATGGCAGGCCTATCTTCCAATCTTTGTGTCTTGATCAGGGGTACTGGCCCGAGACCTACATGACACCGCCGTCTGCCGACGCGCTGAAGGAGGACATCAAGCTGTCCAAGGATGTCGGGTTCAATGGGTGTCGCAAGCATCAGAAGGTCGAGGATCCAGTCTTTCTGTACTGGGCGGACAGGTTGGGATACCTTGTGTGGGGTGAGGCCGCCAATGCGTACGAGTTCAGCGACGAGTATGTGGAACGTTTCAACGCCGAGTGGACCGAATCGATCAAGCGTGACATGAACCATCCTTCGATCGTGGCCTGGACGCCTGTCAACGAGAGCTGGGCCTATCCCAAGCTGTCAGACAACTCGCAGGCTGGGCTTGACCAGCGAAACCATATCCGACAGCTGTATTATCTCACCAAGTCCCTGGATCCCACTCGGCCTATCAATGACAACTGTGGATGGGAGCACGTACTCACAGACTTGAGCACCTTCCATGACTACGCGGATGGCCCTGCCATCGAGAAGATCTGCTCTACGTTGCCAGGTATCATCCACAGGACCATCCCGGACCAGCATCCAATGTTTGTTGGGCCCATCTACGGACCCAATGCGCTGGTGCTGGACCCGGCAACCGAGCACAAGTCTGGCGCCCCCGTCATATGCACTGAGTTCGGAGGCGTCAACATCGCGCCGGCCACCGGCGGCGGCAGCGGCAAGAAGTTCAGCACAGAAGACTGGGGATACACCACCGCCGCCGACCCAGACGATCTGCTCAAGAGAATCGAGAAGCTGGCGCTTGGTGTGGTGGGAGGTGGACATTGCTGTGGACTCGTATACACTCAGCTGTAAGTGTTGCACCAGCGAATAACCATCTTGTCAGTCAATGGGAGTACAAAAGCTGACGTTGACCCAAATCCAGAACCGACATCGAGCAGGAGGTAAATGGCATATACTCGTTTGATCGAAAGGCCAAGATTGACCCTGCCAGAGTGAAAGCTATCTTCGACAAGGCGGCTCAAGTCTATCTGGAACGGCACAGGTTTGGATTTTCCATGCTGTCTTCCGATGCGCATTCGGAGTCGGTATTACCCACTGGGGTGGCAAAGCCTTCCTGAAAATGCATGTGATTGCTCACTATTTACTGCCTTGCTTGGCGTTTCACTGAGGAGATGGCACGTTATATTGAAGTCACACGAATGATGAAAGGTCTTCTGGCCCAATATGATGGCGATATCAGGAAACTATGGAGTAATCTCTACAATGTTCTGGAATTGTTCCTCAATTAGAGACTCTTCTCCAGCAGCAATTTGTTGCAATATGAATGATTTGACAAATTAAAATAATACATTTCAGTATGCTGTTGTGTTTCCTCTTCAATATTGACATCTGCTGGCGTCCCACGTACCGGCATTCCTAGGCCACTGCAGGCACCCCTGCAAGGCGGCTTACAAAGAACATAGCTTCCGCAGTGACTGCATCTCCCTCTCTCTAGTCCTCCCACTAATAATAGCACACCATCACGAGCCCAAACAAGGCCTGGGGCACATACGCTCTTTCGGCTCATTACCCCCATTCCTGCCCTGCGATCTCATCTCCTGCCTGTGAGCATGGCTCGCTCCGACGAGGCGGCGGCGTTCTTCCATGCCGTCTATACCGCCATACAAGAGATTCCGCAAGGCAAAGTCACTACTTATGGGCACATAGCAAGGCTGATCGGGACGCGTACGTCTATTCTGCTTTTCATGTGTGTTGGTGTGTCAGTTTCCATGGATCCTAAACTGACCTTCTATCCACAAGCCCAACGACCTCGACAGGTAGGGGTCTGTCTGAAACACCTCTCGCAGGACCCGAACATGCGGTTCAACAGCACCACTGTTCCGTGGCAGAGGGTAATCAACTCCAAAGGCACCATCTCACCTAGGTAATCTAAATGATGGGGGAGAATTCTCGGTCTCCCCACTCCGGAGGGCTCAACGCTGATGTTGTTGCTCAGGTCTCAGCCTTCTGGTACGCAGAACCAGGCAGCTGCTCTTCAAGCAGAAGGGGTCACGGTGACGACGGGTGCGTTGGGTGAGCTGATGGTGGATTTTGCAATATATGGATGGTTTCCCGACATGTTGCCGTCGGAAACTGCTGGTGAAGATCGATTGACAGAGGAGGGAGAATGAAGAACAGGGGCAAGTGGATGGATGTACAAGTGGTGACAGATCCCCTACTCTCTGAGCAGGCTTCAACGTTCTCAAGGCTCTCCTATCAAGGGTGTGTTAATCCATTCCTGTCCTTGGACTTGGCCATACTGATTAACAAGACAACCTCCCAGGGTAGCCCATCATCATTCGTGTGCCTTTCACTGAGGGGGAGTTATCACACGTTCTTCACCCCTGACTATTAGGACAAGGACGAGCCATGCATACGCAGTAGTGGCAGCCCCTTAACACATGATCTCTTGCGCGACGCCAAATGCACGTAGGATGGAATGAATAGAACTCATGTATCATTTAATATATTCATAAAGTCTACGTGCTACGTGCACCACAAAATCGGCGGGCGAGCAACACCCGATAGATGAGTATAACCTGTCAGAAGAGCAGGAGGCCTGCCAGGATGAAGCGTGCCCAGTGAGGATCACGAATTAGGAGCCTTAAATGCGACTTTGACGTAGGCTGGGTAAGAACAGGGAGGCAAGGGGCTGCCTCGACCCGCTACGTACGCCACTAGGCAGCAAACATCTGAAGAGCTATTTCCTTGTTAGCAGCTGAGTCTCAAGGAAACTGGCAAAAGAAGCAGGAGGCAGATGGTTGCGTCAGACAGCGGTTGAACAAGTGACTCCACATGTGGAATTTCAGAACAGGTCTGTGAACGTTGATTTTCTCATCATTGCAACAAATAGAAGCGGTAGGAAAAACGTGGGCGAGCTTACCATGTGAGCATACTGAACTCAGGAAATATGTCGTCAATGCATAATGGTTGGCTGTCGGATGGATAGTGTTCATTTGCCGGTCGAACGGGAGAAGAAAGATTCCATGGTTCTCTGCTTCTCGTCGAATCCCGCACTCCCAATGCCACCGCGGGTCTTTTTCAAGCCCTGTAGATGGTCGACGGAGTTCACCGACTTAACGAACAGCTGGATTTCGGGGGTAGCAAGGTCAGCTCCAGCGGGTGAAGGAATCTCAAGTGAGGCAGGGGGTGCCACCGGGACTGCCACTCGCAGCTCCAGCTCAAGGTATCCAGTATTGGACCATGCAGCGAGCCATTCAGACCTCCATGGTGCAGTCCCCGGCCTAGCGAGTCTAGGGATCTCCTCGGGCCCAAATCGGGTGAGGAGGCATCTCAGCAAGACGTTCAGAATGATACCATGAGCGACGATGGCAATCGAGCCGGGTTGTTCGTCAACAGTGGCTTGAATGGCAGTCTGCACGAACGAGTCGTCGACGAAGCGATTGATCCTGTCGCTCATGGACTGTTGGGACTCGGTCTCAACCCAGGCCGCAGCAGCAGCAGCAGAAGCAGAAGCACTAGATGTGGCCGTCTTCTGCGCGCCACGGGTGCCAAAGCGCATCCCCTCCTCAGAGCCAAAGTCTTTCTCTCGGAGCATGGGCACCTGGACTACCTCGAACACCCGATTGACCCCCTGTACCCCATGCTGCGCCTCAGCAATAGCTTCGGCAGTCTTTACAGCACGTCGCAAGTTGGAAGCGAAGATGTAATTGACTGGGCCGATGGTAGCAGAGCGCGCAGCAAGGTGGGCGCCGAGGCGTTGCGCCTGCAGGACACCGTGGCTGGTCAGCGGCGAGTCGCGAGAGCCTGCACTTTTTTGAGAATGTAGTCAGCATGGAACAGAACCACACAACAGCAACCCAATATGGTAGCTTGACTTACTAAAGACCAGCGACATTGTCGACGGACTCGCCGTGGCGAACCAGAAACACGCGAAGTGCCATCTTCGTCAGAAATTTTTCAAGAGCGGAATATGCAATTAGTAGCGGGTGCACGCCTCTGGCATACAAACAAGTGTCACATATTGGCAACCATGGGAGGGACTGATGGCTTCTTGCTGTTCAGCAAGTGTAGAAGCGTGCCATAGAGTATGTTGATGTTAGTGGTGAGGTTGGTGGGGGAGAAAGAAAAATTCCGTCTGATTGAGCTTTGTTTTTGTGTGGACTGCAGAAGCTCGGGCCTTGTGTGCAGCTCCGTTTACCCCCTGTAGCTTAGCGCTAGAGGGTACCACATGGCGTACTGTCGCTTGCGTGGATTACCTCAGCACGCTAAGTACAAGAGGACAGTACATAGTACACAGCACGTTACCGAGGGGTTTTTTCGGTGGCTCTTTTTTTGTTTTTCTCTTTCTGTCTGATCTGATTCGCTAGAAAGGCTTGATTACCACACACAACTTTCGACTGCAGCGGACCGCATTGCACTTCGGAGACTCAAAAAAAAAGACTCCCAGTTCTTCTAGACTCTAGTATCTGGACATACATATCATAGCTTCTGGGAGTGGATTGACGTGCTTGTCATCGCCTTCCGATCATAGTCCCCGCGTGCGACGGGATACATGTAGGTTCATGGAAGCACATATTTCCGCTAGGCAACACCAAAAGCTTAAATCATGTCAAGAGCACGTCAGAGAAATACTACAAAATAATGGCTTTTAGTAGCAGAGGAGAACAATCTTAATGGCCATCTCCTAATCCGTATGTGAAGTTGTTTAATGCTCTCGCCATCCATGAACGAGCAAGGCTCCTTGCCTACGAGGGTATATCGCATAGTCTTACGGAAGGCCCCAAGATCATTCTGTCCTCATTGTGATCAAGCCAAACAAGAAGGTCATGTCCGGGCGAGCCTACATTTTCTTTGTTCATATGAGATGTTGACGGTGTGCCAAACAGGGCCAAAACTAGAACTCCCCTTGCCCCCCACTCGCCCGAGGGGGGAGGTCTCTGCCGGAAAGCCTCCTTCGTACAACTCTCATCAGTCCAATGACTCACTGACAGTACACTGGCGTAGGCAGCCGCAATGATCTTCCCAACGAAGTTATGATAATCAATTCTGCAGCGGACACATCGCCTCATCCCTTGCATTTTTCGTCTGGAAGGATTTTGTATCCTGGCTGCCTGACCTAAATGCCAGCTGTCCTTAAACAGCGTCATATCCAGTCTAGATATTTGTATGCTGCAGATCCTATGTCTAACCACCCCATAATCAGTCAGCTCATTCAGTCCTCTTTAGAATTCTAGTAATCACAAAGTACTCAAGAACGAAATCTGCACACATCCTGGGCTTTTTATTTTTCTTTCATCAATCTTCCTTTCCTCAGTCCTCTCTTCAATCAGTAGCCTTTCCATATCTTAGAACCGAAAATGTCACCCATAAGCCGTATGCTCCTCTCCTCCTTGATTCTTTACCAGTCAAACTAATGATACGCTTCAGAATTGAGAAAATGGTTCTTTGGCAGCCGCAAGCTCAAAATCCAGATTGTGGGCCTATCCGGAAAAACCGAGATGCTGTACACCTTTAAGAACGCCGTCAACCCAGGCGGTACGGGACCAAGCTTATATGCGCCCTATAACGAGGAAACAATTGATTACCCTTCTGGGTGGGAACTGACCATCTACGATGTTCTGGGTAATTATAGTCTTTTTTTTTTTTATCTTTCAGGCCTATTGTGGTGTTCTTGTGTTCTCGGTGCATGATTACAAGAGCTCCTGTTGACGCGGTAATTGTTCACAGATGGCTGCTCGCGTTTCTCGAAGCACAACTATGTTTCGCACTTGATGGGGCCAGAAACACTGGTCTGGTTTATCCATGACTGCACTGTGGATGTGGATGCGATGTACCTTCTGGAATTTGTTGACACAATGAAATCCAAGGGCGCTAAGTACATCTGGGTTCTGCTTAGCAAACAGGACCTGCTCCCGCAAGAAGGTCGCGAGAAGACCGTCGGACAACACCGACAGAAACTCGAAGACGTCCTCGAGAAGCATGCGAGGCCGGCAGGAATCGCATGGTTCATTGTCGATGAGCCGGGCTTCAACGTCAAGACACCAAGCTACGTCCTCTCCTTTGTCAAAAGCGTGACGCAGACCGTCGTCCAGCTGGACAAGGAGCCGGAGCTGAAGTACAAAAAGCAGAAGAGCGAGGCCCTATCGAGCAAGCCCACGGAAAAGGAGCTTCGCGACAAGATCATCACGTCAGAGATCAAGAGCGGTGATGAGTTCTGGCAAGCCTTCTTGTCTGCGGACATAACGAGCTGGAGTCATCTTGACCATCTTCAGGCTGGCTATCTTGTCATGTTGGAGTCTATTGAGCATGGTCATGGTCTACTCAGATGTGCTACCACCTTTCTTGAACATCTCACACGCCTCCGGGAGGCTCGTCCAGATGTTTTCCGAAACTCGGCCCACTTGTAAGTTCTATGCAGTTTGTGGCATTCTGAGATGTTACAACCACTTCCTGATATATCGCCAAAAAATCATATCATATTCTGACAGGCCAATAGCACTATGACGGCCTTCTGGATCCTGCAGCTTCGTCTCGCCACGTTCAACTTCCAGTACGACCTTCACGACGGAGCACCCCCGTCAAAAAATGATTTCCGGTCAATCCTTCTGCACACACCTTCTCTCCTCTACGGCCAACTCTGGGCATTCTATTACACCAAAGATGTTCTCTTCTCAGCTGATGCCCGCACAAATTTCGCCATGCCAGATATCAAGCCATTTCCCCAAGTGACCAGGCCTATGGTCACCGCCTGGGCTGAGGGCAAGGACGAAACGCAAGCCTACGAGGACTTGGAGGCCCTAAAAGGCCCTTTCACAGGTCCAGAGCGTGTTCCACGATGGGCTTTTGAGCTGATTCGGAACGTCTTGCGCAATGACCTTCGTCGCGGAAAGGCCCTGAAAGAGGGTCTGGAAGAGCTACAGGCTGACACCGTCAGGCTGCGTAGCCTCCATCCTGAACTGCTGGCATCTGGGGACATGCCTCCGTACTCGGAGACACAGGCGTACTTTTGGGCCCAGCTGATCCATATAAAATTGCGAACCCTCTTGGACGAGCCTCGCAAAGATGACGCGTCTGCGACTTCTGATGGGACTAGATATGACGACCTTTCTTATGAAGAATTCAAGGAAATGAGCGGTTTCACTGGTCTAGAGTGGAAAGAATACTACAGCCGGGACGTCTGGGAGAGCGTCGAGGCGAGGATTGCATTTGTCAATCCTGACAAAAAGCCACTGCTGGATGTTCTCAAGGTGTCCTGACGGCGATGAAGATCGCAAGATCATCAAACTTCATACATATCATTTGTTCTAGTACTATCTAATTCTTGTCCCAATTTCATTTTTATTTATTATTATTTCCTCTTGGGGGCCACATGGAAGGAGGGAAGAGCAGGTGTGTGTGTAGGTGCCTTACTGTAAATGCGAGCTGTGACGTCATCTCAAATGACACTTCACCAGACCACATCACATTTCTTGATGAACTCTCTTGTTGAACAGAGCCTCACCAACGCGCACCGTAACAAGTCTCCGTCAGTTGTCTAGTTTGTTTTTTTTTTTTTTTTTTTTTTTTCATTTCTAAATACCCTCACGATGCCACCACCTTTGGAAATACATGTGGACCAAGCCAAGAGCGATTTACAGCCAAATCACCATATCTTACCAGCGACCTCTTCAGCAGGCTGGATCTCGTACTTTTCGGGAGTGCCAGACAAGCGACGACAGCGCACATGGAGGAGAAAAGCCGCAAGTGACGAGATCTCTGGCTTTCGAAATCCCTGGCCGAGCTTCCACAAGGCTACACGCCAGGAGCTCTGGCAATCTCTGGAATGGGGCGAGGATGCAGACCCAGCCATCGACCTGGCAGCGTCCCATCCCCGGGCAGCGAATGCGTCTCTCGCAGGCTCAAGCAGTAGCAGTGCTCGGGCGCAACAGGCTGCCCAGCTGCTTCAGCTCACCAAACCCGACTTCAGCTTCGACTCAGGCGCCGGCAGTGCCAAGACCACATGGCTAGGCCACGCGGGCATGCTGCTTCAGCTTCCTGGTCTGAAGCAGGGCAGCGACCCCATCCGCATCATCTTCGACCCCATCTTCTCCGAGCGCTCCTCCCCGTCTCAATATATTGGCCCCATACGTTCATATAAGCCACCATGCAAGCTGGAAGACTTGCCCCCCATTGACATGCTCCTCATCAGCCACAATCACTACGACCACCTGGACTACGACACCGTCATGGCCCTCTGGCGTCTGAACCAGGATCGCATGCGCTTCATCGTGCCCCTCAAGAATTCTCGATGGTTCGTGGACTCTGGCGTCCCTGCCGATCGTGTGGTCGAGCTTGACTGGTGGGAGTCGGTGGACCTCACCGAGCGGAACCCTGGCACGGGGAGGCTGAAGGTGTCGTGCACGCCGGCGCAGCACAGCAGCCTGAGGGATGGCTACGATGCGGACTCTGCGCTCTGGTCAGGATGGTACCTGAGCCACGAGCTGCCCGACAGGAGACCTTACCGGGTGTTCTTTACCGGAGACTCGGGCTATCAGTGCCATGCTGACCCGAGCTGGCCACCCAAGCCACCGAAAAGCACCACACACAAGAAGTTGGAAGAGGGAGCAGTAAAGAAGGTTGCAGACCCAGACAACATCTCACCGGAGAAGTATCCGCCCTGTCCAGCATACAGAGAAATTGCCACCCGCCTCGGCACACCCGACTTGATCTATCTTCCCATCGCCCTCGGCGCAACTTGGGCGTACGTCCGCAGCTTCTTCTCGAACTACGTGCCGCCTGCCAACGTACCCGTCCCTCGCCACAGCGCTGGTGTCACGGGCGCCATTCACATGCCGCCGTGGGACGCGGTGCGTGTCCTGCGGGACTTGACGGGTGCCGCCGGGGAGGACAAAGATGTACGGCCGCCGGTAGCTGTCGCCATGCACTGGGGAACGTTTGTCACGGAACCTGTTGAGGTCCTCAAATCCCTGGGTCATCTGGAATGGGCCTGTTATAATCAAGGCATAAAATTTGGGCGAGATATCGAAGACACGGAGGGGGTCAAGGCAGGACAGCCTACATTTCTAGCGTTGAACCATGGTCAGAGCATTGTTAGCTGAAGGGAATTTGACGATGATAGATGTTTAGGGCCTTTGTCTGAGCAGCAAATTAGAGCTCATGATTCAATTAGATGCCCCGTCTTGGTGAAATGCCCGTACTCTCTAGCGACCTTTGCCCTTCTTGATTGATCAACGAATTACGCAGTCTGAGTATGTGTGTCTGTGCCAAGTCTTCTTAGTCTAATGCTCGACTCGTCCAAATTCTGATAACTACTTAAGTATGTTTGCAATCTTTGATATACTAGTTCTCTGGCCGGTTTCCACGGCCGTTGGGGTCAACAAGACCTCCCGGTCCGGCATCGCTCACCCGGCCCATCACGCTGTCTAGCGCCACACACACCGGCAAAAGTACTACTACTCATTTGACAGAGCCTTCCAATAGGGAGGTCAGAGGTTTGGCCTTCCACATTGAAGTTACAAATATATGATCCAGAGCTGAAACGGTGCCTCATCGTCGAATCTCTATCTAGCCGTGGTGGGGGTTTGCCCGGCATTGACTTTACTTGGAGCCCCACAGACTGCGGGGAAGTCTACTGCCCATTTTCGAGGGGCAATCATTTATCCCTTTTATTATTATTTTGTGTCCTTGTTCTTTCCCCAAGTGTAGAACAGAAGTGAACGTCTGGAGTGTACGACATCTGTCTTATGCCCAAGTCTTAAAAAATAATGCCAGTGCCAGACAATGAGATCAAAGGGCGCCTGGCCCTCGTGACGGGCGCCTCTGGAGGGTGAGTAGATCGAAAACCCTCTCGTCTAGATCACTCATCTGTGAAATGCCAACATCATCTTTGCTGACACCCTGAGCAGCATAGGAGGTGCTTGTGCCCGTGACCTCTTCGTCAACGGCGCCCATCTCGCCCTGACCTACTCCCGGAACAAGGCCTCGGTAGACACGCTCGTCTCCGAGCTCCAGCAGCTGCCCCAGTGGTCCTCAGCCAAAGTCAGCACGCACCAGGCCGATATGGCCTCGGCCGAGGACATCCAGCGCATCTTTACCGAGATCAAGGACCAGCACGGCCAGGACGGCCCCGACATTCTAGTCTCGAATGCGGGCTACGGGAAGCGCATCCCCAACATCCTAGACATCCCCATCGACGAGTTTGACTACACGCTCACGGTCAACCTGCGCGCGAGCTTCATCCTGTGCAAGCTGTCGATCCCGCACATGCAGACCCGCGGCTGGGGCAGGATCGTCTTCATCGGCAGCCTGGCCGCGTATGGAGGTGGCATCAACGGGTGCCACTACGCAGCCAGCAAGGCCGGGCTGCAGGGCATGATGAGGAACCTGGCGAGGAAACATGCTGGGCAGGGGATCACGGTGAACGATATTGCGCCGGCTATGGTCGGGGACACGGGGTTGGTGCCAGACGAGAACAGTGTCAAGGGCACGGCCGGCGACGTGAACAACATCCCTGTGGGCAGGTTGGGATCGCCTCAGGAGGTTGCCAATATGGTGACCATGTGCGTGAGGACGGGATACCTCACAGGACAGAGCATGTTATTGAGTGGTGGATTGATGTAAAAAAAAAAAAAAACACATCTTGCAGAATGTCCTTCAGCTTGCTCTGAGGCTCAAGTGCTAGATGTACAACAGATATGACCCAAAATTGGAGATGGAAGAATAGGAAAATCAGTGTCACCCACAACAGGAAATCATACTCATCATCACACGGCATAAGCATATATATGTATCTTTTGGTTTGAATGTGGATTTTTCATCTGCCCTAACGTGACAGACAGCAAGCCATGAGAAAAGACCCCTGAACGCGCGAATGCAACCGGAGGAAGAAAGACACCCCCGAGAAGACTTGGTACTATCGTTCCCAGGTTTTTCCAATGCCTCCCCCCTCAAAGACCCAACCGAAAAATTCCGTTTTCGTGAACGACCATGGCCCATGAATGGTACGGGACGACGTGCCAGCCAGCACGTGCGGTCGACGAGTGCTGCTGTTGCTGCTGGTGCTTTCTCAAACCATCCACAACAAAAAACCGCCACAGACCAGCATCTCCCGGAACAGAACGCCCACACCATTTTGCTCCCACGATGGAGGAAAGGGTAGTAGACCATTTACCGGTTGGATTTGGCGACACGCTCCAGCTCATCCTTCTTCTTGATGGCGTACGAGTTGCTGCTGCCCTTGGCGGCGTTGATCAGCTCCTCAGCCAGGCACTCGGCGATGGACTTGACGTTGCGGAAGGAGGCCTCGCGGGCACCGGTGGTGAGGAGGGAGATGGCCTGGTTGACGCGGCGGAGGGGAGAGACATCGACGGCCTGTCGGCGGACGGTACCAGCGGAACCAATTCGGGTAGAGTCCTCACGAGGACCGCAGTTGACAATGGCATCAACAGCGACCTGGATGGGGTTCTGGTCGGTCATCAGGTGAATCTAAGATCGCATTACAGTGTTAGCGAAACTGCACGTGTTTGGTGTGGTGGGGCCATGTTTGGCTTCCGCATTCGCTTCTTGGGCAGGCTGGACACTCACGATCTCGAAGGCGTGCGCAACGATGCGGACGGCCATCAGCTTCTTGCCGTTGTTGCGTCCGTGCTGCATGAGCGAGTTGGTCAGACGCTCAATGATGGGGCAGTTGGCCTTGCGGAAGCGCTTGACGGCATAGCGGCCAGCGGTATGAGGCAGGTAGACGGGGGCGCGGATCTGGATGTAGTCGCTATAGAGAAGATTGTCGTCAGCATTGGTCCACTTCATGACGATATATGTACATGTTCTCTTTGTCCCTTCATCTCCCAAGTCCTGTTCTGTCCAGGTGGCTATGGGGATCCAGGTTTGCAGTGCAATTGCGCCTCCCAGGTGGCTTGTTGAGAGAGAAAGACCATAATCTGTTGGCCCTCCTCCCCCGCTCTCTTTCTTGCATGCTCGCTCATTTGGATCCTCTTCCACAAATGCATCAAGACAAAGCAGAAACGGTCGGTGGACAACACATGATGTCCGATGGTGACGGGCAAAGGGCTTACGTCAGGGAGATATCGCGGATCTCGACGTCCTCGTAGGACCACTTGTTGAACAGCTTGATGCTGCCAATCTCGGCGACAACATCCTTGGGCAGGACCTGGTAGCCAGAGACGGCCTCGACCTCGATCTCTCCGTTGTCAGACATATTGGGCAACAACAATCTCTCGACTGGGCTGGTTGTTGTCGTCGGGTTGTCGAAGGGAAGGGTAAGGCGGAGGAACGTTGGGTGATCGTTTGGGTGGTGGTCGAAAGAGTGGAGGAAATTGTCTGCGTCTTGAATTTTCCAGCAGTTCACCAGAGTCAGGACCCCCTGCAAGTTTGCGGGCGGGCAGGTGAGCCAGGTGTAGGCCACTGCCAGCTACCACTGCGCAATTCACGGGACGGCACCTTTTTTTTTGGTGTGTTTAGCTTACTCAGCAACCGCACAAATCTCATTGGCTGTGGGCGCTAGCCCCGCACAAGAAGAAGTGAGGTTAGGGCATTGAACCTACACGCCCGCCAGCTGCAGCGCTGCAGCGGTCGCCCCAAGTCAGACTTTGCAAGCAGTGGCTCTACCTTCGACTTTTTCCTGTCCAAGACCGCCCATCTTGATCCCTTCCCACCTCTCGTCAACCATCCCATCCCAACACCAACAAATTAAATCAAGATGGCTCCCGCTGCATCCGGCGCGAAGAAGCAGAAGAAGAAGTGGTCCAAGGGCAAGGGTACGTGCAGACTCTGCTACCTTCAATCGGCGTCGTGATCATGGGTCCGGGAGTGTTGCGGCGACGGCGGCGTCGGTGATGAACGACGATATCATGCGCCAACCATCACTCGCTCTGCATCGCCGCATCACTTCCACCCCCTCGGGTCACAAAGTGAACGCAATAGTACTGCAGAGCCCTCGCTGACCTTCTCTCGTCAATCAACAGTCAAGGACAAGGCCCAGCACGCCGTCATTCTTGACAAGGCCACCTCGGAGAAGCTGTACAAGGATGTCCAGTCCTACCGTCTCGTCACCGTCGCCACCCTGGTGGACAGACTCAAGATCAACGGCTCTCTGGCCCGCCACTGCCTGAAGGACCTCGAGGAGAAGGGACAGATCCGACCCATCGTGACGCACAGCAAGATGAAGATCTACAGTAGGTCTACACCATCCAGGTAGTCCTTTTGGTCAGGATGGCACGCATGCTAAATGTTTATTCTCTCTGCACAGCCCGCGCCGTGGGTAGCTCTGACTAAACAACCCTCGTGCTCTTCCACTCGATCAAACCACACGATACTCGAGTCCTTATCCATGATGACGCCTCGGCACAACATCGATGGATGATGAATTGAAGGGAGCTCCCGCAAAGGGGCAGGTTGCAATGGCATGGACAAGAACAAAAATTTTCAGGCTGGGCGTTTCTGGTCAGGTCTGATCTCGGTTCTTTGGTCATGGCTGGAAAGGGAATACGGAATTGATATTACGTTATCTTTCAGCCCGGGGACATCACTTGCTGGGTGTAGCATAACAGCTGGGTCGGAAGTGCTCTGAGCCCATGAACAATGGAGCGGCATTGAACAACATGTTGAACCTGCAAGGCCACAAGCCGACTGTCGTCGACTGCCGTTGCGCGTGATGTGTCCTCGTACAAATGAGGCGGCCTGTTCAAGGGGTGGCTCTGTGAATCTAGTGTAATCCAGCTTCGAACTGTGGCATGGAGCCAGGCTTGAGCGTACTATCCAACCCAATTCGATGGACTTTGCTAACTCGCTCAACGGCGGGCACATTGAGTCCCAGGTGAGGCAGCAGCCTTGCTAGCTGGATCCTGCCACCTGGTAATGGTCAAGGCCACCCAGGTCATAAGCCCGGCACCCCCATGTGTGCCTGGGATCAATTTGTAGTTAAACATAATAGCTTTGTGTGTCTGTAGGCCAGCATCATGGGATGGTAAACCTGAGAAATCCAACAAAGCTGGCCGGCAACAGGTTCAACTCGGGGACGCCGTTAGCCTTGGCCCGGCTTTAAAGGCTACGTCGTGCTTAGGCCTCACTACCTGTACTTTTATGGCTCTGACACGCCTGATAGTAGACGATGTTGGACTCAAGTTAATTCCCAAGAGTGAAGAAAGGCTCTTGGACTTACTACCCTAGTCAACTCCTCATCGTGACGACAGCAGCAATGCACTCCTTTTGACAGCTCACAAGTACATAAGTGCAGACGCACGAGACCAATCTTGAGCTAGAAAGGTTATCTCAGATACACTAAAAAAATCCACAGCCGGGGGCGTTTCGCGACGGGGGACGTCGGTGCTGACGGTAAGGAGGCAGAAAAAGATCCGGGCTGAGTATTTAAAGCGCAGTAGGATTGCCGCCACCGCAGTCCATGTCCCCCGGCAATGAATGTACTCTCCGGCACCGTGCACAGTGCTGTGGTTACATGGCAGCATCTGCGAGACTTACTATTGCACAGGGGCTGGTTGGACTTTCTAGGCTCTGAAAAACGCTCTGACCGGGGCGCTTGAGGGCCCGGATGAGGGTCTTCTGGGGCAAGGTAGGGGCAGCTTGGGGCGTGGGAGGGCCTGAATGGCGGGAAACAGTCGGGAAAAACCGCTAAGACGGGGCTGACCCGCTTTTTCCCTGGTTACAATCGTTTCGTTGTCGCACCCGCGGTAGTGCGACCTATACAGAGCAGCACCCAGCTAGCAGGGGCCTGCTACCAAATTTTTCTTGCCAATCCCCCCGGTCCGTCTCGTAGTCTTTTTTTCCCTCACCTCAAAACTCCCTTCCTGCCAGTTTTCCCCCAGGCGGATTCAACTTTCCTTCTTTCCTTTCTTCATCTCCACTCAATCATCAAAGACCTTTTTGTATCTTTGATCCAGTCCGACATTCACAATGTCTCCCAACGACCAGGTTAAGGTCCTGGGCATGCCGGTGAGTTCTTCTTTGTGGCTCTTTCTGCGTTGCTGTGAACGAAATACCTTGCGGGTGTCGCAGGACAAGCAGTGGCAAGTCCCGAGCTCCAGAGAGGACAGCGAGGCCATTCGCAACACCTGCAGCCATCGGTCTGGTCGTTGTCGACGCTGCCCATTGATGAACGGCAATCGCCTCGACCCGTTTTGAGTGGTTGTACGCGTGGGAACGTCGATTGGGACCTGCCTGTGGCTTATCGCCGCCCGCGAGAAAAAATTTGCCAGCTTGCCATGTGAAGGCACAGCTTGGCAGAGCACACATACACACAGCATGCATCTACAAAGACCTTCATTGCTGACCATTTTTGATCTCATAGCCCTTCGTCGCGGACTTCTTGAGTACGTTATCTCGAGCATCTACACTCCAACAACAGTGCCTCGCCGTCACCTTTCCCCGTACTGGGCACAGACACAAAGCTGTTCCGTATGGCGGGCTGGTGATAGCTTAGGCGCCATATTCTATCTTCCCTATCTGCCTCTGGTGGACGAGAGGAATCGCAAGCTGACATTCCCTTCCAGTGGGTGGTGTCTCCGCCGCTGTCTCGAAGACCGCTGCCGCTCCCATCGAGCGTATCAAGCTCCTCATCCAGAACCAGGTATGTTGTCCTGATTTAGCGCGTATCAAACCAAATGATCGCGCCTCATCAACTTCGGCGATCTCACCCTTTCCCCTGGTCGGCATCTTTTCCCTCGACGTTCCACGTTGCTAATCTTTTTGCCCACTACAGGATGAGATGTTGAAGGCCGGCCGTCTGGACCGCAAGTACAATGGCATCGCCGACTGCTTCCGCCGCACCGCTGCCGATGAGGGCGTCATGTCGCTGTGGCGTGGCAACACTGCCAACGTCATCCGTTACTTCCCTACCCAGGCCCTGAACTTCGCCTTCCGTGACAAGTTCAAGAAGATGTTCAACTTCAAGAAGGAGAAGGACGGCTATGCCAAGTGGATGGCTGGTAACCTGGCCTCCGGTGGTGTACGTGCTGACAGACCCCTTCCCTGTTTGGTGTGAATACAATAAGTGGCTAACACAAGGCTCTCAGGCTGCTGGTGCCACCTCTCTGCTGTTCGTCTACTCCCTCGACTACGCCCGTACCCGTCTGGCCAACGACGCCAAGTCTGCCAAGGGTGGCGGTGCCCGTCAGTTCAACGGTCTCGTCGACGTCTACCGTAAGACCCTCGCCTCCGACGGTATTGCCGGTCTGTACCGTGGCTTCGGTCCCTCCGTCCTCGGAATTGTCGTTTACCGTGGTCTGTACTTCGGTCTCTACGACTCCATCAAGCCCGTTGTCCTGGTCGGTCCCCTCGCTGGTAACTTCCTCGCCTCCTTCCTGCTCGGCTGGTGCGTCACCACTGGTGCCGGTATCGCCTCCTACCCTCTTGACACTGTCCGTCGGCGTATGATGATGACCTCTGGCGAAGCCGTCAAGTACAACGGTTCCCTCGATGCTTTCCGCCAGATCGTCGCCAAGGAGGGTGTCAAGTCCCTGTTCAAGGGTGCTGGTGCCAACATTCTCCGTGGTGTCGCCGGTGCTGGTGTCCTGTCCATCTACGATCAGCTCCAGCTCCTCCTCTTCGGAAAGGCTTTCAAGGGCGGCTCCGGCTAAGCGCTTCCTCTCTTTTAACCACTGTACAAAATCAGCAATGATGCAGTAGAGGCTCGAGAGGAGTCTAATCAGGGGATGAGCCACAGCTGGTGGTGTTGTCGTTTCGTGCTTGGGTCGATACTGACTGGACTGGGTCATTCAACTCGAACAAAAAGGGGCGAGATGATAGAAGTGGTGCAGGGGGAGGGGCGGTGTGCCTTCGGACGATTTCTTTCTATGTGGTTGCCGGGGAGCATTCCGTCTCAGGTCGTGGTCTGGGTTTTGGAGCATGCCTGGCGTTAGTGATACTCGTCTGGGTGGCTTCTAGACCCTCCATTGTAATTTACAAGACGTTCTCATCATTTCTCTCTTCTTGTGCTGTCTTTCCCTTTGCAATATTTCTAGCCTGCACAGGTAGTGATGTTTCTCTGGCAATCTGCGTTCACCGCATACGGCATTGGACTCTTTCGCAACCACATATGGCCCTTCATGATTGCATGTGCTTCACAATAAGATTGGTGACCCAGTATGATTCCCAAACTCAGGCCTAGGCTGGTTCTGGCCTTGACAAAGTGATGGCTAAGCCTATAGAAAGAATGTGAGAGAGCGAGTCTAGCAACACGGAGCAGTGTGAAGATCTCATGACCCTTTGTTCCAGGCTCGAAGAAGTAATCATCATAATATGCCCTTGACATGCCAGGCTCAACATTGCCAGCTATGATTGCCGTTTTGTTCAGGAGGTTCCGAGTGTCATGTAAATCTCGTTGTAGCTCCACATGTCCATTTGCCATATTGCGGTTCGTGCGCCAACCAGCCGTAACCTCAAAACTGATATCAACTTATCCGTACGTCAGTGAGCTGTATCATGCCAGTATTACCCATACCTAGGAAGACGGTACAGCTGTCAAGCACTGGCCGAACAAGGATATAAAAACATTCTATACCCGAATTACACCCAGATGTGACAGGTCGCATACTTGATCGTTGTTGGACAAGGGCCACTCTATATCTAGAGCCACAAGGTTTCATTTTGCGGGCACAGCATGAAGTGGGGCAAAGAAGAGAGTTATGAAGTAAACTTGCAAACAAGTCGATGCTGTTGCCAGCGGGCTTATGCCTAAAGACCTGTCTTTCATCACTTGCGATTCCGGAAAACTGTGTATACACACTACACATGAATGATGGGATATTCTTTTTAAAATGTACGTAGACAGGGCTACAGAATTTTGAGGCCTTTCTACCATTGAGCGCAAGTCTGAATACATAAAGTGATGGTGGACTCAGGAGGGCAGTTCCACCCAATGTCTAGATTTGACAAATGAACCATTATCCTTTGGTAATACATTGTTAAAGATGACCAACCACACTATATGAAATTGTGAGATCCCAATCAGATTCAGTTGCATTTGTGAAGCATATGCCATGGAGAGTATAGACATTACCAGTGCACCAACCCTTGGTGTCTACGTCTCTCTTGGTCCCTTTAATCTAACCGAGAGTCAAGCATAGCTCTGGGGAACATGATACGATTTATATCTGTTGGAATATAATATATTTTCTAGACAGAAGAAAAGTATATAAGGTTGCGGAGTATACAGTCTGAAAGTCATGTATCTGCTAATGAACAAGATTTCTGACTGCAGTGCCGCCAGTCTGAATAAAAAGAAAAGAAGGAAAGAGATATCTAGAGGGGTAATGAATAGGGTACTATCAATATCGCGGGGATGAAAAGTTTGAAGTTGTTCCCATAAGTATCGTGAAAGACGACGTTCGGGCGTTGAGACTCTGGTGAGCAGTACTTGTATACTTAGGTACTTAAAGTCAGTCCCAGACCAATATCAGCCTGCCATGCTCGAGTACTCCCAACAAGTGCCGCCATTGACCCCATAACCGCCCAAGTTTGAGGGCTTCTCCGTGATAGGGACGTTGCAGTCGGCATATGCGACAATGACATTCCAACCCCACTGGGTAAACTGCTGGCCGGACATGATCTCCTGGCCGATATCCTTACCGCTGGCACTGAACATGCAACAGCCTGACAGGATCAGTTCTCCGACGTCACTGACTTGTTCGCCTGAGACGGTCAGCTCGGAATCATTATCCTGCCAAACCTGTTAGTAATTTACTTCATCTTCTTTTCTTTTCTGGCACCCACTTCGCGCTACTCCCGGGGCGGGTCGGGGCTTGGGGGACTTTGACGGCCCTCTGGAGGTTTACTTACATTGCAGACGTAGACGCCGCTTGTATCCCAGCACTGAACACGGTTGCATCCGTGGGCAGCGACAGTATACTGGCGATCTTTCAAGTCGCCCTCGCCTAGTTTGTCGACAAGCTGGGTGGACATGGAGCCGTCGGCATTGGCAAAGTTGCCGCAGTACTGCATTCCATGGACTACCTCTGAGCGAATATCGATAGCACCGGCCATGGCCAGGACAAAGGCAAACAGCCCAAGGAGCGTTGTGTTGAGAAGGCTCCTCATTTTTAGTTTTCTGGTGTCTCTGTAGTGGATTCGAGATGTGTATGTTGATATCAGAACCGATACTTTGCAGACAATATTAAGAACCCTCTGGCACAATAGTAAGGAATGTGAGGACTGTCACTATATAATTGCCCATTTTGTATAGACTTTGACCGTAGGATCAAGGCACGGGAGCGCACATGTTCAAAGACGCGGCTCAGTAGGGTGAAAAGGCCTATTTTCGGTTGCTTGAAGGAGATGGACAATGAAGCTTTGGTAGGCGCTCTTTGCTACGAGAGAGCCATGATGTCCCTATGCCGGCCTTCGGTTGAGTGACCTTTGTAAGAGAAGTTAAAAGAAGAAGAAAGACAGAGGAGTTTCCCACCGCAAGCTTCTGATATTGAAAATCATGAGGTTTGAAGGCGAGTTATAATTGAAATTTCATATACAATAACGTTAAAGTAGTAGATGTTATGTGATCTGTACCCTTGCGTCAATTCGATTCACAGAAATTGAGAAACCTCTATTGACCAATATCATTGTATAATCTTGTCTCCGTCTCTGGGTGTCAGGGCCTTGGGAGGGTCGAGGGGTTGCATGAAGAATTGGTAATACCGGTGTGGTAAGTGCCCTGGTGCCTTGCAAATTAGTGGTTCCGCAAAGCACATGCAAACCCGCCCCTGCCTTGACTGTAGCCTCCCCCTGTAGGCTCTGCACATTTCGAGTCTAGCGCCTGAAGCTGCCAAGGGCCATCGGCTTTGGTGCACTCACCGGCAATTTACTTGACTAAATTGGTACTTTGGTAGCCCATAACTTTTTAGCTTTTCAATTTGCAGGCAGCCCAGTTTAATCTCATCTCTTCTAAGCACATTAATTACTACAACTCTCTCCTCTCTCGCTCTCTTTGTCTCTCACGCTTTCGCCCTCTGAAAAAGTGAAAAGTGAGATTCAGTTTTAGGACATTTTACGCCCCCACCGAAGACATATATCTCTGCGTGCTCCAGTGTGGCTGCGATCATGCTCTGAGGTTCTGATGCGGCGGGTCGGCTGAGAGGAGCCACTGCGCATTTTCGACACGAGGTTTGTCGCTCACTGCTCAAGTCGAGGTGCAGTTCTGCCTCAAGTAACGCCCTGAGGAGGGAGGAGAAGACGGAGGAGAGGAGTAGGAAAGGACAAGAAAAAGAGGAAGAGGAGGACCATGAGGTGGTGCAGCCAGTGGCTGGACACGCAGAACAAGGCTCAAAAGACACAACATATATGAAGAAACTTAAGAAAGAAGAAGAAACCGGGGCCAACATGTCCGACGGACGATCCTCCAACAGTAACACCCCCGCGGCGGGAGACCTCGCGCAAAATCATCACCATCGTCCTCCGCCGCCTCATCTCAGTGCTGGACCGTCCATCAGGCCGCACACCAAGATCCCCGAGATCCTCCCTCATGAGCGCGTTTTCCCCATCCAGATCGGCTCGGAGCTGTTTAAGCTCTCAGGCGCCTCCATCTCCTCGGACGGTATGTCATTTGTCATCGACATCAACAACATCATCATCACCATCATATCCTCATGAATAACATTAACTCGTCATTACTATTGCTACCCTTCTTCTCTCTTGGAGCAAGCAGCCTTCTATAACGTGCTTGCATATTTGACATTGACCTGCTCCCAATTCTTCTTCTCACCGCCCCTCGCCCAATCCCACAACATGAAAGACTGGCAATGCCCCCTTCCTACGCCGTGAACACCCACTGACATCTTTTCCTCAGCGCCTTCCTACTTCTCCCAGTACTTCCTCTGCCAGATCAAACAGGCCGAGGACAATGGCGATGACCCTGCCACCGCCATCCGCACGCTCTACATTGACCGCGACCCGGTGACCTTTCGGGATATCTCGCTGCACCTTCAAGGCTACCACGTCTCGCCGCGCGACGGCACTCACTTTGTGCGCCTCTTTGCCGACGCGCAGTTCTACACCCTGCCCAAGCTCATCTCGCAGCTCCACGAGGAGAGCATCTTCATGTCCATCGGCCACACCGAGTTCCAGATCCCGCGCGACCTCTTCTCCGACCCGGGCAACTCGCCCAACTTCTTCAGCCTGGGCTTCGCCATCTTCTTCTCGGACCCCTCCGACCTCTTCCCCGGCCTCGACCGCGAGGGCCTCATCCGTCCCCCCTCCATCCTGCCCCCCTGCGTTCCTGGCCGCAGCGCCGAGGTCTTTGCCGAGCTGCTCCACCTGCTCAGGGGCTACCCGCTGCAGATCCGCAGCGACGAGCACCGCGCCACCCTGCTCAAGGACTGCCGCTACTTCAACTTCCGCGGCCTCGAGCAGCGCCTCATCCCCCACGCCCGCGCCTTCAACCAGTTCCGCGGCCGCGACGAGATCGTCCTGCGCCTCGAGGACATCCTCAAGAGCGGCGTCAGCGTCATTCCCGACCCATCCAACCTCTCTTCCTCCTCCTCCTCCTCCTCCTCCTCCTCCTCCTCCTCCTCCTCTCCCGCCGCTCTCCACAACCACCACCACCACCACCAGCAACAGCAGCAGCGGGCAGCAGGGGCAGCGGCAGCAGCAGCAGGACGAGGAGGAGGACGAGGAGGAGGACGAGGAGGACCGTCCGAACCCCCGGCCCCAGGCTGGGTCCACTACGCCAGGCCCTTTGTCGACCACCGCTCGGCCGAGCTGATCCTCGAGGTCGGCGGCGAGAACATGCGCCTGCACTTCCACGCCCCAGGCGACACCGGCATGCGCGTCGAGTTCTTCCGCGACGGCCGCGTCCGCCTGACCAAGCTGTTCGAGGTCATCGCCAGCAAGCTGAACCTGCCGCCCACCACCCAGCCCTTGGGCCTGCTGATGAAGTCGGGCGGGGCCTCGAGCCAGCCCCCCACGCCGGGGAACACGCCCCTGAGCGATGACTGGGTCAAGTGTGAGATCCCGCCCGAGACGGCCATCACCCTGGACGGGAGGAAGTACACAGGGCACAGGACGGTATCGTCAGAGAGCAGTGGGGGCAACGAGGCCACCGAGACGCCAAACGCTGTCGGAACAGCACCGACGACCAATACGAGCAGCAGCGCCGGGATGGCCATCGACTCTCCAACGGAGATAGCGGGCTTGTCGCTGTACCCGCCGAGGAAACGCAAGAGAGTCGATGGTGGGCACCTCAACGGCGTGGGCGTACCAGAGGAAGGATACTGGACCCTGAAGACGGCGCAGTGGAGGCTACGGATACAGGGCGTGGGAAGTGGGAGGACCAATGTCGAGTGTGTGCTGATTGCTGTCAAAATAAACGCCCTGAGTGGTGAGTACGCCAGAAACGAGGCAAAATCCTTCTTGATGGGTTGAAAATGTAGTTCGTAACTCTCAAAGTGGTGTAATCAAACACACACAAAAAGAACAATGATGCATAACTAGTGAATAAATGTGGTGGTACGTTTTTTTGATCAGATGAACGCTAGAAATACACCGTCCCCCCTTAGTTTTGATCCTGCAGGCCGTGACCCTACAAGTGGTAATGAGAAGTGAAGAGAAAAGAAGAAAAGTCAAGCCTCGCTCGCACCCTCCAAAACAATCCACCATCCCAATTTCCCAGCGCCCAGTCAATGACCGTCCAACTCATCATCAATACCAAACCAACGCCAGGAAATGCTGTGCAGACGATCACCAAAATGGGATTCCGGAGACACCGACGTGAGCGACACACGCATAAACAAATAACCAGTGTGCAACCCTTACAACAAGAACAGACCGGACAGAATGGAAATTTGCAAGAGCCTCGAGTCCAGACGTCAAAGGATGCTTATGACCCTAGTCTCCCCTTCCTACCAGCAGGTGCGCTCATCTCTCTTCTCTGGACCCCTCTCATCATGCTCTTGTGCGGCGTGGCAGCTGCTCCGCTCTTAGCACGGCCACGTCGCTCACGAATCTTGGCCAGGGCCTGCTCCCTCGTCATGGTCGGCGTCAGAGCAGGATTGTTGACATCCCAGCTCGGCGCGCTGTCATCCGCCACCCGTCCACGTGAGGGCGTCCGCTGCAGGGCCAATAGCTTCTGGGCCATGCTCGGTTCCGACGTCTCCTCGCGCAGGGGTATTGTTGTGGTTGTTGTAGATGTCTGGTAGAAAGAGGTCGTGGTGTGAGGGCGGGATCCAAAGGATGCTTTAAAGGGATATTGTTCTCCTTGGGCCATCTCGACGTTGGGGTCCTGGACTTGGAGGGGCGTACGCGCGGGTTGAGACCGAGAGAAGCCTTCACCACGGGTCTTAGCCATAGTGATCTTCTTGACTTCAACAACAGAAGGTGCCCGACTGTCCAGCGTGGTAGGCGCATTGACTTCGGCCACAGGCGCCATCTGCTGGTGTGATGCGCTCAAGAGCGATGCGAGAGAGGCCCTCTCTGGCCCCACGACTGCAAAAGATGGTGGCTCAACAGACGGCGTGCGCGAGTACCGTTCTGGCATTTGGCGACCCTCCGTCCGTGGCGCAGGCGCATCCTCCATGGTCATATCGTTGTCCTCCAACTGTCGGCGCCCGCTCATCTTCTCCCCTTTCCTGTTCCTCTCTATGGCTTCCGCCTCTTCTGCAAACACCGTCTGGAAAGTTCCCAAGTCCGGCAGGAAGATGGTGGCCCTGCGCTCTTCTTTATGCTCGTTCCTTCTCGGTTTTGCTGGCTGGGGCACGGAATGAGCAGACGTCTCACGTGGTGGAGGGATTGTCGCTTTCTCACTAAGAATCATGCGGTCAGACGGGTCTGCCAGAGGGGCAGGCTCGCCTCGCTTCTGGCGCTTGGGACTGAGCAGGGCCATGCTGGAACGCGGCCGCTTCTTCATGCAGGAGCATGCGTGGAGCCGACACTCGGCCTCAAGGTATTCAATGTGGTCGTTTGCCCGGTCAGCACGCTGCTTCTCCCACTGCCAGAGCCGCGAGAGCTCCTCGATCTCGGCCTCGCTGGCCGCAGACGATCTGACCTCGACGAGCGACAGTGACGACACCCTGGAACCTGTTTTGCTGGGGCTTGCAAACTCATCGTCCTCGTCTTCCATGTTGGATGCTGGCAGGGGCAGCCTTCCCTCGGCGGCGATGCGGGCGACGTCCTCCTCAGTCTTGGCCAGGGTCTTGAAGGCGTCGCGCTCCTGCTCGACGACCTTGATGCGCTCGAGGGCCTGTTCGAGCTCGGAGCGGCCCTTATCCAGCTGCTCCTGTAGGCCGACCAGGTTGTATCTGGCTTGGAATGCCTCCTGCTCGCGGCTGAGGCTCCGTTCCTTCTCCCGCTGTAGGGTCTCCTCGGCGGACTTCTGGGCGGCGCGGGCGGACTTGAGCTCTTCTTGCAGCTTCACGATGACGCTCTGGCTCTTGAAGGTCTCCTTGCGCGTGCGGCGGATCTCCTTCTCCCAGAGGGCCTGTGTGTGGGCGTGGGTCTCTTTCGCACGGCCATAACTCTCCTGCAAGTCAACAACAGGAGGTGGTCAGCCCGTTCCCGAGTCTTCAACATCAGGGTGCATATACAAAATTCTGGAATGTGACATACCATGACTGTCTCCAGCCTCTCACCGACTCGCCTCTCACGCTCTTTGCCCTCCTCGACCTGCTTTCTCAGCGCGCGCACCTCATCCTTGTAGCGGCGGGCCTCCTCCTCTGCAGCTTCGCGACCCAGCGCAGCACGCTTCAGGGCAGCGTCGGCGGCCTTGCGCTCGAGCTTGTTGTTCTGAACGGCGGCGAGAGTGTTGAACTGGTTAATCTTATCACTGACGGAGCTGTCGCGCGAGTGGCCGCCATGGCGGGACGGCGACATGCCACCGTGTGCAGAGATGGTCGAGTCGCGCTTTGAAGGAGAGGTCGAGCCGATCTGTTTGTTCATACGCTCAGATGACACCGGCTCGAGGGGTGCCATGGCGTCGTCTGCAGATGACGCCGCAAGGGCTGTGTCTGCCTGGGTTGGCGTGGTTGGTGCGGGAGGGAGAGAGGATCGGAGTATGATTGGGGTCGTCGAAAGCTCTATGCGATCCAGCGAGGGATCCATCATGTGTGTCTCTATGTGGGGTTTTGTGTACTGTGCTGAGTATGGCTGAGATTCGTTTGGAATGTTTGCGCTGCACCAAAGGCAATAAAAAGTCCCCCAAGAATTGGTTGCTAGTAGTGATCCAATTCCGTTATCGTCATTGGATCGCTGGCGCAACTTATTTAAGTACGCAGCAAGAAAGCAGTCAAGACGATAGATAAGCCCTTGAGGTGTGTAGAGAAAATAAGTTGTTGTACAGCAAGGAAGAGATGGATGGCTGATCTTGTAAAGTTGGGTTGGATGTTTTGGTACTAATTGTTCTCGAGGGTGGGCTGGGCAGAGGTTGGACGACACGTTCTGTTGATGTGCCACTCCCAGCTTTCCTTCCCTCCAACATTTCATTTACCCAGAAAGAGACCAGTGGGGTCCACTGCTGTAATGTGACTCTCCGGGAGCCCATGGCTGTTGCTGGAGCAACCGCCCACTACAATTTGGCAGCTTAGCACTTCCAACCGGTGGTAGCCAATCAGCTTATGCCCAATTGCAGGGATCTAAAAGAGTTACAGTGGTCCCCTACAAGGTGCCGCGCAATGATGAGACCATCTTCTGAAAGTGAATGAACCCCTCCAAGTTGGGCCAGCTCGACAGGAGACATCTGTCCACAGCCATTTCTTTTTCTTTCTTTCTATCTCTCTTGTTTCTCCCTTCTTTCTTTTCCCTTCTCTGCCAACTTGTACCACCAATCAGCCCTGGTAAATTCACACCAGCACGTCTCTAGCCATGGCTTCAGACCCGGATTCCACTGTTCGCCAGCGCAAGCCCGAGAAGGAGAGCAGTCAAGCACCGCCTTCTGCATCTCCCTCCAGGAAGAAGAAGAGCAAGAAGAGCGCTGACGACGATGAGGTTGAATACGAAAACCGCTGGGTCGACTTCGCCCGTGTCCTGACCTTCCTGCTGTTCGCGTCGTGCGGCCTGAGCTACCTCATCTCGGGAGGAGAGTCCTTCTTCTGGAGCATGAAGGTTCCGCCCAAGTATCTACGGCTGGAATGGTGGAAGAGCCAATGGGTATGTGTTTGTGTGTGTGTGTGTATGTGTGTGTGTGTGTGCACACACACACATACACATGAGCATTTCTCTTCCCTCTATACGACGTTTCCTATTGCTAACCTGAACCTGGCGCCGCAAAGAATGGTCCGCTCTACCTCACACCCGAAGAACTGCGCGCCTACGATGGCTCCGACCCTGATAAGCCCATCTACCTCGCTATAAATCACACAATCTACGACGTCACCGCTGGGAGCCGAATGTACGGCCCGGGTGGCTCGTACAACGTCTTCGCCGGCGTCGACGCGAGCAGGGGCTTTGTGACGGGTTGCTTCAAGGAGGACCAGACACCCGACATGCGTGGCGTTGAGGAAATGTACCTGCCTCTGGATGATCCAGAAGTCGACAAGCACTGGACCAAGTCCGAGATGAAGAATCTTCGCGCACAGGAGAAGCGGCAGGCCGAGAAGAAGGTCTATGATGGCCTGAAGCACTGGGTAGACTTCTTTGGCAACAGCAAAAAGTATACCTTCGTCGGCTATGTCAAGAGACCTGCCGACTGGCTGGAGAAGGAGCCCAAGAGGGAGCTATGTCCCCAGGCGGCTAAGGGCAGGAAGCCTAGGAAGGTGCCCGAGGACAAGAAACAGCCATGAGGGCTGCATGAATGGTCTGCCAGAACAGCGGAGAGGGCTACAGCACCTCTTTCCAATGCTACAACATAGCTGTGTTGGTTTAGTCCTTCTTTCCCTCAAGAAAAGGAACCATTGTATATATTTCTATATGCACAAAGAAAAGTCTTGTTACGGTCTCTGTCAAACTCAAACATCTGCTGTCTCTGCCCTGACTGCCTAGCGCTGGGATCACCTCTTCTATTGACGAAGGGAAATCCTGGTAGCTTTGCTGCTTCATCTGCTATCATTTTGTGACATCTCAGGCCTTAGTCAAGTGGCTGTCATGATGCTTGTTCAATGCCCTCTCTTGTTTCGTCTTGCGTTCCGCTTGTCTACCTTTTGTAAACAAAAAGGCTTGAATATCAGATTGAGGTCAGCTATCGTTCAAGATGGGCAACCCTGGTCATCCGAGACAAGAGCCAACAGACAAGTTTTCAGCCTTTGCACCAAAATTGCTCTTGTTTCTGGAACATCAGAACCTTGCAGGGTGGTTGGCATCCAGGTCCTACCAGGTGGCAGGCAACAAACTGGAAGCCAGATGTGTATATGTGAAGTATGCCCGATGCTGCATTTGGAGAAACTCGATCGTTCCAGTTGCTTCCATTCAGAACTTCAGTGCAGCCTTCCTTCCAATCTCTCCTTTGCCAGACTCATTTGGCATCTACATCGATCAAGCCCCGCGTCGGTCAAGCAAAACTCGTTTCACAAATCAAATTCAGCACAAGCTTCATCAAATCAAACGACCCTCAAGAACAAATACATCTGATCACCATGTCGTCCCTCATCAAGATCGCAACCACCGCACTTGCGGTCTTCTCCAGCGCCACTGCTGCTGCTGCCGCTACTGTCAACGCCAACGCCAACAACAACAAGAACACAGGCCTGGTCGAGTTCAAAATCTGCCTAGTCGAATGCAGCATCTGGGAGGCGCGCACCTGCGGAAGCATTTACAATATCAAATGGATTCCCAACCACTACAAAGCGTTGCACCACTGCATGCTTGCCCACACACACTGTCGCCAGTCATGCTATGCAGGCGAGACAGCCATCGATGTGGCAGCGGAGGACTCAGAGCAGCAGAAGTACATCAATGAGTTGCGCAATGTTCGCGACCTCCTGATCTGCTCTGTGTAGGGGGCCTTTTGAGAATACCATGTTGCTGCATTGTGGAACTTTCGCGCAAGCAGGAATGAGGATTCCGCCATATGCTTCTCTTGAGGCACACGTCAACTGGTACTGCTTCGGTTATGGATTCTTGTTCTGGGCGATGGGGCATGGAGCATGGGCAATGGGGACAGGCGGACAGCATGGCTCTCATTTCTTTGGGAGCACATAGCACTACCACTCATATGTCTCTTTCCAATCACAGATACATTTGGTGCTATATTCTTTTCATTTTCATGATATGTCATCTCGGTAAAGGACGGTGTGAATAATGTAGCGCCACTTGATTCAAGACTGAGATCAGTCACAATTTTGACTCAACAATTCCTTCATTCATAATACCTATTGGCAGGTCAAGTAGCTAACAGGTAGGCTGCTGAGCTCTTGCCCTACTGAAAACCCAACATATTGACTGCTCTAGTTGTAATAAGGTCGGGAACCAAAGTCAAGCATGTAGGATGTTTCTTTGCAATCCATTGCCAAGGTACATCAATGTGAAATATGAACATTGACAACAAGTTAAATTCTCAGTCAGCATTGGTCTAAGAAAGGTGATCAAGATCTCAAGGCATGCTAGGAAATAGCCTGGGGAGACACATCCTCACTGCCAGTTTAAATACACAACAAAAAATGCCTACTAGTTGCACAAGTGGTGTTCACCAATTGTTATCTTCACAAAGATTGAAGTAGTATGGCTAATAAGAGTAGTGCCGCCACCAACTACGCTCCTCTCTCTCCTTGCTTGGAAATAAATTCAAAAGAGACTGAAAGCGCACAACAAATGGATATATTTTCATTTCTTTTCTTATCGTACCCCCCAAAAAGCGACGAACTCTTTTCAAGAGAAATCGTCTATAATATAAAGACATATCAACCAAGAACTCCACCACCACCATATTAATCCAGCTGGGTATACTTGTAGACCAGTCCACATGATTCATTCCGACATCTGCAATTGCATGCTCTCACCCTCTAACATCCTGGCAGGGCAAGGCTACAGGAGCATGATGGCAGCAGCAAGACCAGCCAGACCCAACGTGGTGCCGCCAACCTTGACCATGCCAGCGCTGGAGGTCGTGGTGGTGGTGCCGCTGGTTGTGCTGCTGGAGCTGCTGGAGGTGTCGGCGGCGGCAGTACCAGGAGTGACAGTGGTTGCCCCAGAAGCGAGTGACTTGAAATTGGCGAGGGACCGAGAGGCGTTGGCAGCGGTGCTGAAAGGAGAAAAGAAGAATAATGTCAGTGTCATTGTTTCTGTCGGCCACGGGAAGAAAGAACAAGGCAAAATGCTTGAGCCTGTTGGGACAACTCACTTCTCGTTGATGACCATGACCATACCGCTCTCACAGTGGCGAGCCTGCGCGCAGTACACCCAGATGGGCGTGGTGTTGTTGACTTGGATGGTGTACGTGGGGATGTTGGACCCTCCAGCGGCGACGGGCATGAACCCAGAGTGGAAGCCCGTCACGTTTGTCGAGAACAAGCTGATGGGCTGGCAGGGCTGGTCGAAGGTCGACTGCGTCACGGTATGGTTGGCGGCGACAAACTGGAACTGCACCATGTCGCCGACGGCCGCCTGAACACTATCGGGAGAGTAGGTCAGGGAACCATTGGACGAGCCGACGGTGACGACCTGTATCTTTTGCGCTAAATGGTAGAGTGTCAGAAGATGTTTTCCCTCAAGTATTTCAGTGGTCCTCTTGATCTCAGTCAGACGTACCAGAAGCGAAGCCTGCCATAAGGGCCAGAGCTGCTGTCGTGAACTGCATGTTGAATATTTTGTGTAGATGTAGAAAAAGGCTGTGAAAGCTGTAGATGTGTAGAGAGAGAAAGGCAGACGAAGTCAACTTCGACCAAGAAAGTTATTACTGAATAATTAAAGCGACTGGCGCTGTCTGAAGCGGAGGACTAGCCTTTGAGAATCGTCAAAATGAAAGTAAAGAAAGAAACGTGGATGGTCTACTTCACGTTAGAGAAAGGGAGTGGAGTGAAGAGGAGAAGAAGAAGAATAAAAAGAGGGAACGAGCAGGCGAGTGAGGGCATGAATATAAACAAGCAGGTGTAACGGACCAAGGCAAATCATCTCGGAGGTTGAGGGGATCACATTGTGTATGATCGACGCACCCGTGTAGGGCCTGTGTGGTTCAGCCACTGGCAAGTGTTTGCGCCAAGTCTGAAAAGGCAGAGAATGACGCAGGGGACAGGCTTGCAAGGGAAGCGCGGAGCAAAAGAATTTCGAAACACCCTCGAGGTTTTGTTCATCACCTCGTTGGCCATTGCAGTTTACATTGCAAGAGACGGGTTGGGCTGCATTGTCAGGCCTCGTCGCCTCGAGTTTCGACGCTCAGGTACAACTGCGAAGTCATCATACAACATCCAACCGACACTTACAGAAGGGACGGCACGGTTGAGCAAACCACTTGGCCGGTGCATGCGTGTGGTAGACAACTTGATTCCGAGTGAGAGTGGACGTGCTCTATGCACGGCTACCAACCATATTTTGCCATCAGAGTATCAAAACGCGTCCTTGAGGTCGCCAACTACTGAGTAGTTTGGGGGCTTTGAACTCCCTTGGACGACCCTGGCTTATGTAACGCATAGCCCCTGGCAGCCCAGCCGCCCTGCTACCGGGCGCCTGCGCGAAACAACCCTTGGGCTTATCAAACTCAAAAACAAGGTTATTTCCTAGGTTGCGTCTCTCGCCGTGCAGAGGCGTGGGCCCGGAACTGTCTCCCTCCTCGAGGGTCCTGTCCTGCCTCAGATATTACTCGCTCCCATGATTTTGACGACGAGCGACAGTACAGACCTCTTGGACGCCCCTGCCCACACCCGTGGACGCTTATGCGCGTTGTTGTAAGAGCCTGCTGATCAGTCACAGGCTTGTCATTGCTGAGGAAGTTGGATGCGAAGGACAGAAAAGAAAGATCATCAAATCATGTTTACAGAGTTCGGCGTCCAAAAAATGCTGTTTGCGACCACGAGGGTCGTCACACGCCATCCGTACCAATACGGGACGACGTGAGCACCTCACCTGCGGTGATGGGACGGACTGCACAGGCGTTGAGCCCAACAGTCCGTCCGGATCTCACTATGACTTGCTGCACAATGCTCAAAAGTTGGCATGAAATTTCGTCCAGGCTCAGTTCGGACTGGATGGGAACCGGACGACGTTGAAGCCGTAGCCTGAACATAAAGGTTGTGCCAGGGGGGTGCTAAGCCCCCTTGTCCGCTCCGCATAAGCCCATGCTGCAGTGGTGGGTCCCACGAATATGTCAAAAAGCTGTGACGAGTCCGAGACTTTGGGCAGTTTCAGACGACGGAGATGTAACACAGCACTCAGCGACACCGTCTGGGTTCCATTAGCTGCGGCGGTCGGCCTGAGCTCGCATTTACCGCAGCAGTGGTGCTGTGAACTCGAAAGTGCCCTGTCCATCCGTGGTTTTCTAGCACGCAATCTGCAGTGGCTTTTGGCAGTCATTGTCGAGATGCGACCAGACTGGCGCAATTGCAGCATGGGTCAATAATGCATCCATTTCATAGATCCGCATGTTCTGAGAAAAACCTCAAGCTTCTTATTGGTTGGCCTTGACTGCGAACTGTGCAAGCAATTCTTTCACTTCACAGTCCCTCATCGCTAAGCATGCCATGTATAACGGGAGGGAGAGTTGAGATTGGTCCGAAAGGCCTTCCTCAGCCTACAAAGTCCATAGTGCATCGCTAGGTTCTGCCCGATAATACTGGACCCCAAGCGGGCCCGAGACATGGATCTGACCTGACTAGCCATCATCCGACTGCGAAAAGACCGCCGCACCATCCCATCTCTACACGATCTAAGCTTCAGAAACAAGTAGGCGTTCAGCCTCGGTACGCCTTGTAGGTGGCGATGCCATTAGACGAGCTATGAAGTTCGGGGGCTAAACGCCTGCCTTTCCCTGGTCAAGACCGGCTGATAGAATTGGCCAGTATTCGTCTGAATGTGACAAGGCCTGATAACACAATCAGACGCATGTTTTCCGATGCAGACGAGCCTTGCCACGGCACCAAGACCAGTGCAGGGCTAATTGATTGCCTGGCTGTAGATCGATTCTAAGGCTCTGCAGTTCGGATCTGTACGACCTCTTTAGAGCACGCCTGTAAGCAATTGGCACAAGACGACCCTGAGACTCTGGACAGATAGCGGACTCACCGGCCCAGTCCTCATGTCTCCGAGACTACACGTCCCTGACAGAGATATCCAAATGACTGTGTACTAACGATCACCTGGCGCCGCCAAGTCCCTATGTTTTGATCGACGGAAGGGAGCAAGCTCGGTTTGTCACTGGTAAGGTCAGATCAGAGGCCAGTGAAACCTCAACGCCAATTGTTGACCAAAGTATCCATTTCGTTTCTCGTCAATGGCGTCGATCGGTTCTCAGAGATCCAGCAGGAGCTGCGGGGCGATCTTCTCGAGGTCCTCAACCTGTAGCAGCATTGGAGCAATGTCGTCAGTATTTCGGGGTCCCATCCGTTCCGAAAGGATGTCCACGCGTCGTCACTCGAGCAGCCACAGACCTCCATGAACCCGCCGTCCCTCTCGGCCGCAGCGCGGGCAATCGCCTCCTTGACAAACACATCCATGTATTTGGCGAGAGCATCGTTCGCATCCTTCGTGATCCTCGTGCCGTCTTTCTCAAAGAATTCGTAGACGATGCGGGTCAACAGCCCGGGCGGGATAGTCTTCTCGGGCTCATCGTCACTCCCGTCTTCGTCGAGGGCGTCGCCGTCGTCATCGCCTTCAACCTCCATGGGGTCTTCTGCACCACCAGCTCTATGGAGTTCGGGCGACTCGCTTGCACGGGCCGGCTGCTTGCCCTTTGTCTTTGCTTTTGACGCTGCGATAGGCTTGTCGATGGCTGCGGAGCGGGACGACGCTGATGATGCTTTGTTCTTGGAACCAGGAGGGCGGCCGCGCGGAGCAACAGATGTTGACTTCTTGGGGGGCATCTTGGATGCAGAGAAGGAGAGAAAAAGCGTTCTGTATTCCTGGACGGACTATTGCTGAGCGGTGATGTCGAGTCTTAGAGCTTGAATCTTTGACCATTGCTTGAACTAGAAGACGCGTTTCGAGGCAAGAGCGCGTCGGCGCTAACGTGGACGGAAACTATGATGCGTAAGCCCCTAACCCTTAATAGACCTCATGCGACATTGATGGCCGTCTGATTTGTCTTGGGTAAGTCAGTACTTATATACAAAATCGAAATTCCGAAACGGTCAAGTGCTTTTCTTATGGCTCCTATGCGAATTTGTTAGACTCATTGTTTGATATATTATCCAACCTATAAATTTAATAGGAACTGTACCTGCCAGATGATGGAGTCCTCTCGGCATATAGCAACAATCAAGATGCCCATACGTATTCGTACTGATAAATTATGGTGATACCCTAAATTTGTATACTTAAATGCTTACAAGGAGAGAGCGTGGTAGTAAGGGAGCATACATTGTCTTGTAACAAGAGCCAAAAGTCAAAGACCAGCCAGGGCATTGTGTAAATCCGAGAGATAGTAGTATAATGGCGGGGAAGGAGTCGAACAACAACAACAACAGGAATCATCCAGCCTTGATCGCTGCAAAATTCAGACGAAGGTACCTATGTTCAGGATAATCATTACCGACTGGCCAGCAGTAAGGTTACGGGCCTGAGCCTGAGCCTGGCACGTTAGTCGTTCACAGAAACAAGCCGCCGATGCTCCTCCACCTTTTCGATGCCACGGAGCCAGGTTGACAGCATCCGGATATCTCCACCAGATCAAGTTGCTCTTCTTCTGTCAGGACACGGCTAATACCCTCTTGCTTCCTCATCATGTTTTGGATCAATGGTGCTGCCCTCTGTTCCCGAAAGACACTTCTCAATGGGACTCCCACAGGAAATCGCCAAGTCGGCCTCATAACCAGAACCCCGTCGCGGCAGCCCTTCATTCACATCGGTGTGGACCATTGTAGAACCACGGCTGCTGTGGTCGCGAGTCTCGCCATACGGGCTGGGTTGTATACTCGTCATTGTGCTCTTAGACACCTTGGATAGCCACCGCAGCGTCGTCAGGTTGGCCGAAGTCTCGCAGTGTCGGTTATTGAGCCGCCTGCTGGGGGAGCTTGTTCTGGGAACGTTGGGGTTCCGGTGAGCTCCGCTGCTCCGGTTTTGCAGAGTTCTCACCAAGACGTTGACAGATGGGAGACAGGCACAAGCGAGGCCAATAGAGAGCTCCAAAAGACTGCGATGTAAATACTCGTTAGCTTTTTTTTCTTCTTTCTTTTTTTCCCTTTCCTTTTTTCACTTGAAACAAGGAAGGCTAGGGGCTTTCGATATGACCAACTTACGTGAAAATGGACAAAATGGTAAAGTCCTTGGTCAGATCCGTCGAGCCGAGGAATTGAATATTCTTGACCATCCTGTAGGCCGTTGTTGCCGTCGCCACGCCTCCCGCACTGAGAAGTAGAATAATTTTGAGTCTCTGCCGCATGGCCAGAGTCCGCATCGACATGGCAAGTGGGATCGGGAGAACGAGGATCAGGAAATCTGTCACTACTGCAACGGTGATGTCGGCGATGAAGAGATATGTCTGGTTTAGGCAGTAAGGGTTCTTTCCCGTGACACCGATTTTACTTGTAATCTCCCAGTAAGTCAAAGGGGGGGGTTTTGGGCCGGGGTAGTTTTGGGCCACCCTGGCCACCCTCGTCAAATACACACACCCATATATATATATACTGTTTATCTATTCTATTCACCCACCACGATGCAATCCTCCTCATCAGTAGGTAATTCGACATCGCTCTCTTCATTCAGACTATCCTCGTGGCGATTAGCCGCGTTTTGAGCTCTCTGTATATCCTCAATCCCTGCAAACTTCGAATTCGGATCCATATCAACCTTTCTTCTTTTACTAGGCCTCAGAGCCTCAATCTGCCTTTTCAACGCTTTATTTTCCTCCAATGCCTTGGCAAACTCGAGGTCCCTCTCCCCATAAGCCTTTTTTATCTTCTTGAATAGCATACGGCGGCCTGGTTCCGTTCGAAGTTGTTGCCGATTCTCTAGCAGCTGATAGTATAGCTGTTTAGCTTTTCGAGGAGTTGAAAAGAGGACTGGCTGGCTTGAGGAGGCTTTTGGGGAAAGACGAGGTGCTGTTGATTGTGCTGAGCCTGAATTGGACTGGGTCTGACGGCTTGGTTGACTGTTCTCGAGGAGAAGAGGGCTTAAGAGGGCTTTTGAGGGTCTGAGAGGCCACAGACCAGTTGCTTTCCATCCAGATCTAATATTCTGGCTTGAAAGGCCTTCCAGTCGAGCCAGACGATAGTTGCTGAGGAATAAACGCTTGCCTGCGATAGTTGAATCGCCCCATTGGCCCATATTGCTGACTTTCTTTCTGTATGCCCGTTTGAGAGATGAAAAGACCCCTAGATCGAGGGGTTGAAGAACATGAGAGGTATGAGAAGGCAAGTAAATAAGCAGGATATTGTTTTGGAAGCAAAGCTACATAAACTCGTCCGTTTTATGGCTGCCATGGCTATCCAGGACTAACAGCCTGGCTTCTGAGGGGTCTGCTGGCTGGCTATGAGGAATGAAGATCTCTTTTAGCTATTCAACTGCCATTTTATCGTTTGTCCATCCGTTTTGCGTAGCTGTAAACTTCCAACCATCAAAAGGCTCCAAATCAAGAGGAAACCACTGTTGTTGTACCGTTTAGCCCTTGAAAATCACCAGAGGAAAGAGGTAGGCACCTGTAGCTGAGATACACTCGAGGAAAGAAGTCCAGGCTTTTGATCCAGGGTCTTTCCTTTGAATTGAACGCGAAGAGGAGCCTCCGAGGACTAATCCATTTGTTCCTTAGCCCTCCATCAGGCCAGCTTCATCCATATTCCATCTATTAGCTGGCTTAATAGCTTGGATATGAGGAAGATTGAAAAGACGAAACCAAAGCCGTATTACCTCTGTTGTAGCCCCATTCGTTCGTTCAGAGGCAATGCGGCGAGTCTTCCTAACCTTTATCTCTGGATTTCTCTTCAAAAAAGCCTGAGTCCATTGCATCCCGAGGGCCTGAGAGTCTCCCTGGATCTCGAGGATCTGCTGAGCAAAGTATTTGAGTTCTGAATGGCTTGGTGGAACGCCTAGGCTTTCTTGAATCAGGATCCATTCAGCTAGTCTTCTTTCCTGATCAATAGAGAGCCTTTGCTGGTTTTCGTGGGCTGTTTTATGCGATTCCCCTCCTTCTAGGCGAGCCTGAAGAGTACTCCTTGGAATACCCCATTCCCTCGAAGCTTGCCGCTGAGACTTGCCTTTTCTGACAGCCTCAACGGCCTGGGCTAGCTCAAACTCGGAATAGGGCTTCATAACAGTCAGATAAAGGTTTGCTGGAAAGATGAAGTTGTTTGGATCAAAATTGGTTGAGTAATAGCTATCAAACTAAAGGGGGTTGAAGAGGCGGTGAGGGTGGCCAGGGTGGCCCAAAACTACCCCGGCCCAAAACCCCCCCCTTTGACTTATGCCGAGATGGGGACGCAGACTGCCATCTTGGCTATCTGTATAGGGAGGTAGGCAATGGCGAGCCCTATGATGAAGTATCGCAGACCCTTGGCAGTTCGTTCTTTGACGGCGAAGACGCGGCCAATGAGAAGCAGGATCGTCACTTTGGTCGTGTAGGCGGCTGGGATATATACCACAGCACAGATGTACAACCACTGCCACAAGTCCATCTCCTTTTAGTGACTTTTCTTTTGTCTCCTTTGAAGACAGGGCGCGGGGCTGAGGAACTTACTTTTAAAAAGTGTTTGAATGTACCTTGAGACAAATCCCAGACGTGAAACCCTTCGCCATAATGTATCACTGCTCTCCTCTGTAAGTATTACCACAGGAATGACCAAGCACGGAAAGAGAAATATTGCGACCTACACTGAACAACGCCAACGGCGAAGAAGACAGTGATAGCCTAGTTTTTCGTCAGGATAAATAAAATCCTATGCATCAGTCTATTCTGGTCCACGTACCCATGCGACTGAAAAGAAATCTGAGCAATAGAAGTCAGTACTATTTATCTGGTAGCTAAGGAGATGAATTAGGAGGGGGTTTCTCACAATCTTCAGGTAGCATAGAATCGCGCTTGACGCCGAATTTGACGTAGAATCGGATGGCAGCAAAGACCACTATCAGACCAAAGCAGACATACGTATTGACAAGATCGACGGTATGCAACGCACTGTGGAGGTGATCAAAATCTGGAGTGACTCCTGGTGGCGGCGTGGCCGCTGGCACGAATCCAGATGAGGCCGAGCTCATCGTTTTCTTGACAAGCACTGTTCAAATAATGATTTCCGACCAACTTGGACACACAGTCTCCTATTAATTCCGTAGTGTGCAAGAGCGGCACTTGGTCAGGCAAGGACGGATGTGAGACTCTGACATGGTGATTCTTTACATCTTGCAAGGCCTGTGGACGTGCCGGGGAAAAAACGAAAATAAGGATTAGGAGAATATTTTGAACCTTCTTCCACTCATCATAGCCTCGAGAAAGTAATTTGTTGTGCTGGTTAGATCTGCGTCGCAAATGAGGACGCGAAAAGAGCTTTGCCACACTTGGAAACACCAACAGATGGAGGGCATCTCGACGCGAGGACAGTAACGGTCTTGTATGGCAAGGGGCTCCTGAAGAGGATGCATGGGTAAATTCTCAAATGGCTCGGTTGCAAAATAGCCACCATTGTACCGTGATCTCAGGATAGGGTTTGGCTGTTGGCGCTATCCAGGCATTATGACGCTCTGGACCGTTCCGAGATGATGACCTGAAAAACTTCGTTCAGCTGTCTTAGAGGTGGTAGTGAATAAGGTTTTCGGCTCGCAGGACTAGTAACATATGGCCTGCGTGCGAGCAGGGGAGACGAATTCTCCGGGTGGGAGGAAGAGGCCACACGAGTCAGGAGTCGCATATCTTTAGCAATGCTTGCGAGACGCCAGCCAGAGATGTTTAAACACGCGGTTGCACACTAGACGTCCCTAGTCTTCAATATATACTTTATGTATGAATAGAAAACATAGATAGGAAGCGGTGGCAAAGGGTGAGGTATATGTCACGCCAAGGCAACCGGCACGAGATGTCTGAGATATTGAGCAAGCCAAACAACAATTGCCCAAGGGCGGTCGAGACGTACATCATGACAAATGAGCTCCTTTCGAAGGAGAAAAAAGTGCTTGGCCGCTTAAAACAAAACAGGCATCATCTTTCTTTGGGGTCCATGTGCCTAGCTATCACAACCCTAGTCAATACTGCCTGCATCGGGCACCACTCGCTTCGTAAGCTTCAGAGCGTGTCGAGGGTTGAGGATATTAGACATGGCGCTGTCCTGCTATGCTATTTCGTTGAGGCGTATCTCATTCAATTCCACCACCTGAGAGAAATTTGACTTTTCTTTGTGTTGTTTGCTGTGAGGGGCTGCAGTTGCACGCCAAGCCATGACATCCGCTCTCAAAGCAAAATGTCGGTGTAAGGACCGTCCTCTACACTAATTAACTGTCGGGTTGGAAGCATGACAGGCTTGCCTCCCGGTGAGGAAGGATGGTACCTAGTTCCTTGTGGCTGTGGACCAAAGTTCTAGCCCCATCGCCGCCATCGAGTCGGCGCCTCACCAGACTCAGGTTTTGCAGGCCCGGGAAGGATCTCCCGTAGGAATGTGTTGATGTCCTTGCCGGCGTTGACGACCTCATCCCACTGCCTTGGGTAGCCCAGGCTGCATTCCTCGAACCGGACGCCATCCTTCCAGTCCGTCCTCCTCACATGAAGGTGGCCAGACACCACAACCTTGGCATTGAACCGCTTGTGCCAGTCCTCGGTCTTCCGAGTGCCGCACCACAAGCTGAATCTTGGCACCCGGGGAATGTGGACAAGATCCTCCCGCAACGGCCAGTGGTTGAGGATGATGAGCGGAACGCCCTGAGATGCTGCTTCCTCGAGCCTCTTCTGTGTCTTTTCGACGAGGACATTACACCAGGCCTCGCGAGAAGGATACGGGTCAGGGAACAGCAGGAACTCGTCTGTGGCGACGATGTCGGCCTCCTCGGCCCACTTCAGCGCGTCCTCCTTGGTGGTGAGATGATCTGGCCTAAAGGAATAGTCGTACAAGGTGAAGATGGGTGCGATCAGTGCAGGTCCTCCTTCCCCTTCCCAGAGGAAGAAATCGTCCTCGGGGGTGTAGACGCCATATCGGCGCGCAATGGAGAGGCACTGATTGTACTTTTCCTCGCCTCTAGGCTGAGGTTCGGAAGGGCCAGGGATGGAATACAGCTCGTGGTTTCCAGGGCACCAGAAGACCTTCTTGAAGCACCTGGTGGCGGTAGAGAAGGCAAGCTCGAGGTGCTCGGCTTTCTCGCCCAGGTCGCCACACAGAATCAGGCCGTCGTCAAGGTGGAGGTCGAGTTCGGACCAGAGATTGCGGTTGGCTGGGTAGCTCAGATGCAGGTCAGCTATAGCATAGAGGCGCATTGTGGGCGCAGGTGACGTCTGAGATGTTCGGATCAAGATGCATCCTTGTGATGATGGCCGTTACGCTTTGCAGTCGGCCATTTAGACTGTAAGTAAGCGAGCCCACCGCAACGTCGGGTCACAGCTATCTCGGCAGGACCCAAGTCGGGGTTCGGGGAAATGGTTAGTAAGCTGGCACTTGACCTGGCTGCCTGGTCGTACCCTGCTAAGCGAGAGAAAACGGTATATGCAATATTGGGCAATGCAACGGGCGAACGTGTGCAGCTGAAAACCAGGCCTGCATGCACGAATAAAGCAGCACAGGTACAAAAAAAGGTTAGCTTGGGCGTTTTTTGACGACTCGAATGGTTCATTTCTTGGATGGAAGATGGCAATGATCGCCCAGCTGAGCAGCACTATTGATATTCCTTCAAACCAGCATCCACTGGACCCGGATACTCGCATATCACTCGAACCTGCCGCAACAACGAGCCCCTCCATAAGTGCATTCTCAGACCATAACACCAACTTCCAAACACCAAACACCAACCCCTCCCCAGGAGCTGCAGAATCTTGTCACCGTAGCTGCAACGTGCCGTAAAGACACCAAGCCTGATCCACCTGTCGAGGCATCGCTGATGGTATTTGCAGGGCGGCGCACGCAATATCGCACTCGTCCTGGCCTACTGACCTGTTATTGAGTGAACGACCTGCCACGTCTGCTCAGTGAGCTCACTCCCTAGGCATTGCCTTTGCACTTTCCTACTTGCTCATATCACTGGATTCAGGGCTTCCAATGTAAATTGGAAGTCGTCATACTCTTTGAGCCACGCCGCAACATCGGCGCTTCAGTCAATGACCAATGGACAATATCGCCCTGCAAGGCCCCGCGCGGCACGCGAGCAACACTGGTGAGGCCCTGGCTCTTCCCTCGAAAAGTGACCAAGACACGGAGTCTTCTAAACCTACCAAATGTCCCTGGCCTTTGCAATTTCGAATGATATCGCCTCCAACCGAACCTGAGTTACCCTCCGTTGGCACTCAATTTTGGAGCCACAAGCTGTATCGCGGGCCCAACGATCAAACAGTGAGGATATTATATAGTCGGACAAAGGCGGAGTCAGAGTCTATAGCGCAGCAATTCCTTGGGGAGAAGGTCGTTGGATTCGACATGGAGTGGCCATGGCAGTCTGACTCTGAAAAGGGCACGCTCCCACTGCAAAAGAGGATAGGTTTGATCCAGATAGCCTGCGAGGACAAGATTGCTCTCTTCCACATTGGTCTCCATCCCGGCAAGACTTCGACAGACATCTTGGCCCCTTCTCTGCAGAAGATCATCGAGTCGCCAGACATCACCAAGACAGGGGTGGCTATCCTGAATGCAGATTTCTCCAGACTTCGGAAGTGGTTCGGCCTCTCTCCTCGTGGTGCTTTTGAGCTGAGCCACCTCCATAACCTGGTGGTGTATGGGCCTACGGAGCCTCAGTCAGTCACGACGAGGATGAGACGCCTGAGCCTGCAGGTGGAGTTGCACTTGGGCTCACCACTTCACAAGGGCAAGGTGCGGACGAGCAATTGGAGCCGGCAGCTGAACCCTCAGCAGATTGAGTACGCTGCAGCAGACGCATACGCTGGCTTCATGCTCTTCCACTGCATGAACGCCAAGAGAACATCCATGGATCCGATGCCGCCATTGCCTCTTCACGCAGATATATACCAGCAGCTTGGATATGGCATGGGCACTACAACACCAGTCCAACTTGGTCCGCATGGCCAGGCTACAGCCATTTCTTCTTTCCAATTCTTCAGGACACCAGTGCAGGCCAAGCCAAAATCACAACAAGCAAATAGACCATCTACACAGGTTGAGGAGAACAAGTCGGACGGCACAGATCATGACGGACCACCAGCCGCAGCCGCCGCTGTCGAGGTCTCGGAGCAGTTCGTCAAAGTCGGTCAGCGCGGCAGACACATTCTTCTTGAGAGGCGCGCGGTGGAAGCTAGCATCCCGGCCACAGCAGAGGCCCACCAGCAGCAGACTGAGAACACGCATAACACCAGCACTCGCCCCAGTGTTAAGAAGACTGCCGACAAAACGAAAGTACCTCAAGCAGGGGTGCTCGATGAGGCGGATACCAAAGCGCTTTTCGAACAACTTCGGATGCACAGAAAAGATACCGCAAAAGAGCGCAAGTGCTCGGCTTTCATTGTAGCATCCAATGTGTTGTTGGACGCCATCAGTCGGAAATGTCCACGAAACACACAGGAACTCTTGCAGATCAGCGGAATCGGCAAGCGCAAGGCTGAAGACTTTGGCCCAGCTTGGCTGGAAATCACCCGGGAGTTCCTCAAAACTAGGGCACCTGATTTTCTTGCAGCAAGCGAAGCCCCCGTGCCCGAAGCATCCGCTCTTGGTGGGACGAGCCCTCAAGATCACAAGCCACTACCCACCAATACGATGCAAGACATCGCAGGTGGCGCAACATCGGCCCCGCCTGTGCTGCACACGGGCCTCTCATTCACATTGGAAGACACGACCTTAGCAGACAGCGCTGAGGTGCTGAATCTCGTGGCTAGCCAACATGAAGGATCCGACGATGACTCGGCCTTTGGGAGCCCAATACGATCACCGTCTCCATCGTCTCTGAAACGCAAGAGAGAGATGGTGGACTTCGCAGTGGGAGGTCCCATGACGCGACGCTTATCACCAGCTCAGTTGGCAGCAGACCCAGGACCATCGGCTCGTAGTCCTCGAGGGGAGCTGGATTCGGGACCGCCAGGTCAAGCATCTCAACCACTGCAGGTGGCCTTCGAAACAAAGGTTGCCACGTCACTATCATCAACAAACCGCAACATGCAAAACATGCCTTGGGGTACCCAACCGGGACCTACAATTCGGGATAGCAACACTGAGCTGGTGGCGACAGCTCCCAGGCCGACGTCCCGGCCGACGCGTCCGGTCGAGAGACAAATATTCCGCAACAAGATCGTGGCCTTCAACAAGCTCGTCACGCCAGCTGTGATTCTATCCGAGGAGACCATCGACCAGATTGTGGAGAATCCACCAAGGACCGTGGAGGAGCTACTGCGAATACCAGGCGTCATGCCCTTCGCAAATGTCTGTGCTAGATCAAAGCGCAGCTTCTTGGAATTCATCATCAAAGCCACGCCGGACCAGGTCCTTTCCGTCGCTTGATTTCAATATTGGAGTCCAGCCGTCGTCTGAATTTACTTGACCTTAGTTTATGATACCCTGGATAGTCAAAAAAGAAGAAAAGGAAAAAAAAAACCACTATCCGTGACTTGACCATTCTCACAATTGCATGGCCGAGCCGGAGTGTCGGCAGAAGGTTCAATCGTCGTGGTGTCTGTTTTTTTCTCTTCCTTTCGTCTAGATACCATTGCAAATAGTGCATTGTAGGACACGGGTGGAATTCAATCGAAGGCCAATGTCTCAGGAGATTTTTGTCGTGTCCAGCGTACGTGAAATCTGGGCGTGTTTCCCGAGTATGGGAACCCCAGGCCTAATTTTAGGCCCGGTGCCGCGTTGTTTGGCCCCCAGAGAGGGCAAAGGTGAGTGGTCCCAGGAAGGTTGTCTCATACCTTCATACAAACATCGTAAACGCAGTGAGACCTGCTGATAGTCAGCCCATTCATGCTCTTCAGCGGGTTACTTTGAGGGAGTCAGCCCTCCTGGATGACAACAGGGAACCCTGCTGCTGCTATCTTCAGCATGACATCAAAACGAGCAGCCGTGTCGTATGAAAAGCTCATAAATTTTTAAAAGGGGAACAAAACACACCGCTTATCAGGTAATGTAAATGACGAGCGACCGATCCCGGCCTGCATGTTGGGTCCGTCTTGAGAGCATTTTCAGGGGCCAGCTCGCCAGAATGAGCTGATCCGGAACAAGATTCGCTGGATTGCCACCCGGGATTTACAGTGGGTTTGCTGAACAGGTCTCCCGATTCGACTACAAGTCAAGCAATTTTTTCTTCTCTTTTTTTTTGTTAGTCCTGGCGCATCCAACCACGTGTTTCAATGCGGCGCCATGCCCACGCGGGATGTAGATAGCAGCATTGCACCCGCCCACAGGCCTGGTCTATCCTGATGGGGGTTACCCAGAAATCAAGGTCGATGCCCAAAGGAGAAGTCATCGATTTCTGCTTTGAGTTGGGGGTTACATGCTAACAAGTATACTGCTGTTTACCATGGTACAAGGTATGCACTACTTTTACAGGGTATGTTAGTACTTTGTACAGAGCTACTTGGGCTACCTTGTGCACTTACAGGGCAGATTACCGTGCCGTGGGCGTTGGCATATGTCGCTGTGACCACTATGATGTAGCCCGTTAGTTGGGCATCGGGAGCTAACGGGGAGCTGCGTCACGGCCCTAGTGGGGTCCGAAATCTGCCAACGTAACAGGGATGTCAGCGCAAGGGCAGGACCCATCGTCCCTTCCCAGGGTATGGGATTTTTATAGACCATGATCCCCTCCCGCTGGACAGAATAAGGCCTTGGTTGCCATGATTCAACGACTGCAACTTTTTTCTTCTTTTCCTTTTTCCTTGAACTGGCCACCAGTGCCTTGACACTTTCCTGAAGCAGTGGCTCACTCTGGGTCAACTGCCCTTCATCTCTTCAAGCCAACTCATCATGGACCCTCAAGTTCGCCAATTCTCCCCTGAGGAGAAACACAAGGTCGATCAACAACATGGCTCCACAGGTGCTGGCGACGTCGAGCTCGCGCCTCGCGTCACCCTCGAGAGAATTCCCACCTATCTCCAGCCACCGATATCCCTGAGGCAGAGGTTACGGCATTTCACCTTTGCATGGTACACAGTCACGTAAGTCCAAAAGAGAAGAACAAGTCGGGCAAAGGACCACGAAGCGACTGACAGCGTCGCCACAGTATGTCTACGGGCGGAATTGCCCTCGCGTTAGGTCTTACACCACATCGTTTTAGAGGTCTCAATACGATTGGCTTGGTCGTCTTCCTGTTTGACCTTGTCTGCTTCGTCATCATATCAGCCTGTCTGCTCCTCAGGTTTGCGCTCTACAAGGACACCTTCCGCAGGACCCTGACACGGCCCAGGGAGGCCCTATTCGTCTCGACGTTCTTCCTCTCCATAGCAGCTCTCCTGTCGAATGCAGAGAAGTATGGGTCCCTCTTTCTGAGCGAAGATGCCCAGGACGGGCTTGCGGTGTTCTTGCGGGTTACATTCTGGCTCTACGTGGTGGTAACATTCCTCCTCTCCGTGATCCAGTACCACCTGCTTTTCTCCGTCAAGGAGCAGCGACGCCTGACGGTCAACTCAATGACACCAGCATGGATCCTACCCATCTTCCCCGTCATGCTGGCAGGCACCATCGCCGCCTTCGACTCGCCGACACAGGAACCAGCCCAGGCCCTCGCCATCATCTCTACGGGTCTTGCAGCCCAGGGCCTCGGCATGCTCGTTTCCATCTTCATGTACGCCACCTACCTCTCACGCCTCATGGTCTATGGCCTGCCGGCGCAGCGGCCAGGCATGTTTATTGCGGTCGGCCCGCCGAGCTTCACTTGTGCAGCCCTGGTCGCCATCGCCGACGACGTGCCGCGCATCTTTGCCTCAGAGGTCCCTGTTATCCAGGGCATGCTCAGGCCCGACATCCTGGCCAGCGGCGTCCAGCTGGCCGCGCTGTACTGCTCCTTCTTCCTCTGGGGACTGAGCTTCTGGTTCTTTGTCTCTGCTGTTATGGCCGTTGCCGCGGGCATGCCTGATCGCAAGTTTCACCTTAGCTGGTGGAGCTTCGTTTTCCCCAACGTCGGCTTCTGCATATCGACCATCCGCGTCGGCGAGGCGACGGGAAGCGATGGCCTGCTTTGGTTCAGCACGGTTCAGACCATCGTGCTGGTGTTAGCCTGGTTTTATATCGCATGGCGATGCGTCTGGGCTGTGATCCACAGGGAGATTGTGTGGCCAGGACACGATGAGGACTCGGACTGACGTACAACACACTGTCATGCGCCAAACCTGGACGACATTCGGGTTTTGACGACATCGTATCAGCCAAGAGACCACATTTATTCGGTGTCATACTTATCGGTGTGACTCGGCGCGAAATAGAATCAATTGCAACGATACCCTGCGACAGCCACCGGGCACCCGCGCACATCCCGGGGTCCGAGGTACGCTTTGGCCTCATACCTGCTTACAGATCGTCAAGTCGTCGTGCTTCATGTTCATCTTTGGTTCAGGAGCCAGCCAGCCGAATGTGGTAACAAAATTCGAGTCATGCATTACCCGCCGCCGCCTAACAAAGGAAATTGATTCTTAACGATTGACTTGCGGCAGACGGGAATGGACAATAAAAGATGACCGTGAGTCCGAGCCCCGCACCCCTCAGCTTACCAACTCCTTCGCGGTCGAAAGGATGTCCCCTCTGACTGTAATGAGTTCTGTGCGTCACATACTTTATGTACAGATCCACATGCACAATTGGAGAACATCAGAGGAAGAAAACCAAGGCTAAACTTATATCTCCGCTTTCCAGGGAAATAATAAATATCCAGCGTTGGGTGCTTGACTTCTGCATCTCGGATCTCTTGTATCTTCACAGCATCAGAGCACCATCCATCCATCCTCGAACAACTTTCAAGTACAGCTGGCATAAAAGCATCATGGATTCAACCGACGCACAGGCCGTCACGGAAAGTACGCCGTCTCGACAGGCGGGGACGACGATTGGCATGGATCCAGAGTATTGGGCAGCCATCAAGGACAGCGAGTTTAAAAATCTGGAGGTCCCCGAGATGAAGACGGCGCACGACATCCGGGCCTTCAGCAACTCTCTGATGCAAAGCTCAATCGAGATGGGGGCTGCCCGGCATGTCGTCTTGACGGAACCAGTCACGGAGACCACAACTGAAATCAAGACGTTTGACGGCGCCACGATTATTGTGCACCGCTTCGCACAGGAGAAACACCGCGCAGCACTCCAGGATGGAGAGAAGCCTCGTCCTGCGGTCTATCATGTCCATGGCGGCGGGATGCTCGCCGGCAGCGTCGACATCTTTGGGCCGCTCATCAGGCACAACGTGGACCTTTGGGGTGTGCAGGTGTTCGCGGTCGCGTATCGGGTGGCGCCAGAGAATCCCGCCCCAGGCCCCGTGGAGGATGCATTCGCCGGGCTGAAATGGTTGTCCGAAAACGCAGAGTCCATGGGCATCGACCCGGCACGGCTTATAATCTATGGCGAGAGCGCGGGCGGTGGTATTGCCGCGGGCACGACGATCGTGGCCCGCGACAGGGGCCTGAGCCCGCCACTCGCCAAACAGGTCCTGGTCTATCCCATGCTCGACGACCGCACCAAGTACGGACCCGACTGGCCTGTCAGGCCGTACCTGGGCTGGACGGACAACGACAACGCCATCGGGTGGGCGGCGTACCTCGGGGCGGACAAGGCTGGCAAGGAAGACGCAGATGTCAGCATCTATGATGCGCCCGGCCGGGCAAAGGTGGAGGACCTTTTCGGGCTCCCTAAGACGTATATCGACACTGCTGGGCTGGACCTGTTCCGGGATGAAGACTTGCAGTACGCGGCCAGGCTGTTGCAGGCCAACGTGGAGGTTGAGTTCCATCTATACCCTGGGGTGCCTCATGGATTTGAGAGCTCAGGGACCCCGAGTGTGGTTCGGACTGCGTACGAGAACCGGAAGAAGGCTGTTGGGACTGTATGATGAAGGTGTGGTGGTCATTTGTTTCCTTGGGGTGGTATGGAAGCGCGGACTCTCCTCTCTGACGGAGCTTTCACCAAGCCAGCATAAATGGAATATCAGTATATATTTATACTTAGACCATGGCCAACTACATCTTTGCATGCCACTGATCAATCTTGTAAATGGTGTGTATCTGATGTGTTCATGGCGTGGAAAGAAAAGGACAAACAGGTAGAAACAAAACAGAAAAATACAAAACCATGACTCAGCTGGACCCTTGATTTTCAACGTCGCCGCTCTGGCTTAACAAGTTCTCCACCTCATCATAGAAATTTGGTGTGCCACACTGCAGGCTGCCTTTGTCCAGGCCTGTGTCCCTAGCCAACCCTCCCACCCCCCACCCCCCAGAATGAAAGAAAACTGTTCCAATCCACTTACACAAGTAAGGAACGTGCATAATTTTCATAGGCTGCATAAATGGAAGGAAAGGAAAAAGAAATGAAAGAGAAAAAGCTCCAATCAGAGAATAGCACTTGGTCAAATCCGAATCGTTACTTTAAGGCAAGTACCAGAGGCAGGTTCGCGATCAACCCTGTCGTTAGTGGGGTTGGGACTGGAGCAGTCCGCTGTCAGATTTTTTTTTAATGTTTTTTTCTTCTTGTTGCTCTCATCCATCCTCTCCTAGCAAATCGCCCCCCTCCTTAGCCTGCAGCAACGCGGTGATCCATGCAATCCAGCCCAATCAGGCTGCTGCTCAAAACAATATTTAAATCTCATCAGCCCTTCTTTTTTCTCTCCTCTTCTTTCGTGCTCTCACTTTCACTTCTTCCACGCATTCTTTCCTCTTGCACCTTCGCCCCCGTCTTACTTCTTTTTCCTTCCCTCTTCACTACGTGCAAAGAGGTCAACAACAAGATCTCGTCCCCACCAGCCGAAAACCTTTCATCAACAAAAACCCAACCGCTCGATTTTCATTCTGCTTCTCACACACACTCTACTTCTCTTTCAAAACCGCCAGCATGTCGACCTCTGAAGAGTTTGTCATCGACCCTTCTGCTATCAAGGAGCTCCAGCTCCTCGAGGCCAGCCTCTGTGATGTCGACACCGAGATCACAGCCAAGCAGTACCTGATGACCAGGGACATCCTCCAGGCACGTCAGAGCACCATCGCCAAGATCCCCAACTTCTGGGCCGTCGTCTTCGACCACGCGTCCACCGAGCTCGAGGCTGCCATCACCAGCAGCGACCTCGAGGTCTTCGCCAAGGCACTCAAGGGCATCGAGGTCGGCCGTCCCGAGATCCCTGCCTCTGCCCACCCGTCGCAGGTCGGCCTCAGCAACTTTGGCGAGCCCCGCTCCGTGACCATCCGCTTCCACTGGTCTGAGAACGAGTGGTTTGCCGACTCGGTCCTCGAGAAGACCTTCTACTACCGCTACGGCAAGGACGGCTCCGCTGGCCTCGTGTCTGAGCCCGTGCGCGTCAACTGGAAGGCCGGCAAGGACCTGACCGAGGGCCTGACCGATGCCGCCTACAACTTCTGGCTTGCCCAGAAGCAGAACCCCGCCCAGCAGCTCGATGGCGTGCTGGCCGGTGACGCCCGCAAGAGCCGCGACGCCGAGGCCCGCAAGATGCCCGAGTACAAGGCTCTCGCCGACCGCCTCGAGGCCGCCACCAACGGCGCCATCTCCTTCTTCAACTTCTTCTCCTACCGCGGCCGCTGGACCAGCGCCGCCGAGAGCGTCGAAGCCAAGAACGAGCTGGAGGCCAAGCGCCAGGCCGCCCTGAGCGGAAACGGCCCCGATGTGGAGGAGGATGACGACGACGAGGATGAGGACTTCCCCGAGGAGGATGTCGAGACCTTCCCTGCTGGTCACGAGTGTGCCGTGGCCATTGCCGAGGACATCTTCCCCAGTGCCATCGACTACTTTATGGCCGACACCATCGACAGCGATGACGAGCTGGATGGTCTCGAGATTGACAACACGGACGATGAGCACGATGATGATGTTGAGATGTCCTAAGTCTGTGTTATTTATGCCTGGGAAAGGGAGAAGGAGTAGAATTTTGGTAACAGTGGGGGAAAAAAAATCGGCGAGCTCGACTATGGGAAAGGGGGTTTTGAAACGTCATGATCATCAATGAGATACCACTTATTCGGCTTTTTTTCCTTTGTATTTACACAACAAAGACAGAAACTATCACGAGAGAACATAGAATGGGAAATGCTTGTGTCCTGTCCTAAAGAGATTGCAGCTAGTTTTATGTGACTCCCTACAAATCTGTGAGGCACATGGTGGGTGACTCTCACCAAGACTCACGCACAAAATCTAGGAAGCTCCTTGCCCACAAAGATACTCATGAAAGGACAGATGGTAGTGAAGGTCTGCTTTTTGCCTCAAAAGTATTGTCAGCGAGTAGCAGATTTATCGTGACGAGAGGAGTCGCTGGCGCACAACTACTATATAACTATGCACACGCCAACAAAGATGTTACACAAGACGCCCTCTTACCCAGACACTCTACTACAACTTTGACAATGCAGAACCAGAACCTGCGCTCAATACTGTTTCCCCTCGCATCATCAGATTCTGCCCCCAGTCCGAGTCCTACCAAAAGAAGCCCCCCAGCTTATTCCTTCACCGACGAAGTGGAAGACGAGGCACGCTTTACACAGCCGAGAACACCACCGCCACCACTGCGCTCAACAACATTTCCAACAGGTGATAAACTCCCTAGGATCACGACAACGATCCCAGACGTTGTCCTGGTAGAAGAACCTACTGATACTCAGCACAAAAGGATGAGTACGTACGAGATGGGATCCTTCCGCGACGACCTCAACCACACAGCCATCGGGGCCTGGATCAACGAGAAGCGCGACCAGAGCTGCCGCGCATGGACGGTGAAGATCATCCTCGCCATATGTATTGCGCTGCTGGCCGCCGCCGTCGTGGGCCTCTCTATCGAGCTCACCACGCACTGCGGTGCCGCCGCCGCCTCTTCCTCTTCCTCCCCCTCCTCTGTCTTGGTCTCGACAACGGTCACCGCCACCATCACAATGAGACCCAAGCCGACGCTGTACGTCTCGAGCACAACGTTCACGGTAACGGCGACAACGAGCACAACGACAACGGCTCGGCGCCCTACTGTGACGGTGACCCAGTCGCCATCACCGACGCAGCCGGCAGCCAGTTCTGTCACCACGACCGTGCTCTCTACGACGGTCTCGACAACCACATCCTTGTCCACGACGACATCGACGACGACAACGGTGTCAAGCACCAGTGTCTTGGCATCTGCACACACGAATCCAGCCCCAGACTCTATATACAAAACCAAGACCATCACAACAGACGGCTCGTCTTCCTCAACCACCACCTCTTCCACCTCGACCACCTCGTCTTCTTCCGCTTCATCTACCACAACTACCTCCACTTCAGAACTGACAAGTAAGAGTTTTACACAAAACCAGCACCAGCCCTTAAAACTCAACTTCCCCCCCCCCCCCCGCCTTCAACGAGACTGACCCATGCTAACCAGACCATAATTAAATTTCAACCAATCAAGACCACCACTGCACGCCAGGATGCGCCTACGGCGACCCAATAGCAGGTATAACCGTCTTGGAACAACATGGCAACGATTCCACCTGCGCCGACGTAATGATTTCGCTCTACGAGGCTTGCGACGATCCCACGTGTCGCACCGTGCGGAAGCAGTTGGGCACCAACCAGGAGCAGGCTATTGAGAGTGTGGAGAGTTGTTTCTTCATGTGTGGCTCCAACTTGATTACCATGTGCTGTCCCTGCGGCGTCAACTCCGACAGGCTGGCCTGCAACGTGTGCCCCAACAGCTCATGATTCTGTAGGTCCTCATTTATTTACGCCGAATTCAACGAATTACAGGAAAGAATGAGCGGGGTTGTGGATGTTGCCAAATAGTTACATAAATCATCAAGAATAATAATTAAATTAGCTAATGATATAATACTGAAATCGCTGGATATTTAGCATGAAGCAGCATTTAGTTAACCAGCGCATCACTACGTTCAGTCAAAAATAAAAATAAGAAATAGTGAGTTTCATTATTGCTGTCTTTGTAATGAGTATAAGCACTCTGCGGCTGAGGAAGGTATAACAAAGGGCCACAACTCCTAAACACAGTCATATCCCATTGTGACCGCGCCGAGACTTGTCCGTATCCATCACTATGAGAAGGCAAATCTCAGTCTTTCTGAACTCACAACGCCTTCCTTCATCCAGCCCCATCTTCTGGCCATCTTATAGTAGAGCTGTGCAAGACGATCGCAGGCCTTCCGCTTCACACTGGCCTCGTACGAGCACTGTTGGAGCAGGCTGGACACGTGATAAAGAAATTATCAGTGAGCGAATCAAGGGTTAAAGCATTTCAATCTCCTCAGCCTCGACACCACTTGATGCCGAACCCAGTCGGCCAGATCGTCTTGCCCAAAGGTAGTAGGTCTCTGCCGCTATGTAACATGCGGCGCGGCGAATGATGTGCTTTTTACATTGATGCCGCAGACTAATTGCACCTTTGTCATTACCAACTGTCACACGGGCGGAATGGATGGACGCCTTCGCTTCGTACCGCGGGCTAGGGGATTGGGGAGTGGGACAATCCTCAAGGGTTTTCAGTGGTGGTCCATTACTTACTCCGTTTTAAAGTTACCATCGATCATCTTTTTGGCATCTTTGGTGAACCTATCTTGGGCTTTGTAGTTCCTGTAGCCGAAGTCATGTCGCTAGCAGGCCGGCTTGAAGTGGAATCCCATAGGGTTGTCCGGCGCGCGCGTGCAGCCATCAGAGGTCCAGTCCAGGCTTTTAGGGACTCGGAGCTTGCGGTGGACGATGAACTGTTCGAGAGTCAGATTGAAGAGGTACTTGTCGGTGATGCGCTCTTGAGGATCGGGTTCTGAGGCGTCGAAAGTCGGCACAGTCCCAATGGCCGGAATCGCCAAGACTGCTGCAGCGAGAAGGAATAGAATCGTGAGAAGATACATGGCTGGCGATGGATGATTAGTACGAGCATGAAGTTCAGAGTGAATGTGAAATGGTAAGTACTTACCTGAGTAGGTGGAAGTCTGCTTCAATGCCCAAGGGTTTCAGATGTTCGTCAAGAAAGACAGAACTCAGGTACGGGAACCGATTATAACGATACTGAGTGCAGAGATGTGTCTACGATGAATGTTGTTTTCGCCTGTCAAGGGCAGGTTCAGGATCCCTCTTGGACAAATTAATCATCTGCCTGCCTCTGCCACTACATTGCTCCTGCCCATCTGTGAATAGTTTGATATCACATGCCAATTACGTTCAAGTAATGCTCCAATGACGTAGGACGGCAAGTGCAACGAGTTGAGCTGTCGAAAGGTCTCAATTACGTATTTAAGTACCAAGTATACAACGTTCATCGTAATTGCCGCAGTTTGGACGTTATCACTTCACACTGTTCCATCGAGTTGTGTAGACGTCCTCATTCAAGGGAAATGCCTTGTTTGAAGTTGGACCGATGACTGCCATTCAAAGTAGCAGCGTGCAAGTTGCGAGATATCCCAGACTTTCGAATATTCGGCTTGCCGCGAAGGATTCCATTCTCCCGTCTGATGGTCTCACGTGCACGATGCTATTGGAAGTGTCCCTTAGCAAGTTCTATATAAGAGAGGCACAGGCTCATCCCACACACAGCACTGTAAGCCCTTGATTCATCCTAAGGCCGACAAATTAACGTCACGGGTCATGCCATGCACGGAACCCCTTCTGCTGGTTGGATTGATAAGCAAAAGCAGCGCCGACAGGTGGTGCTCCATCAACCCTTGGCACCCTCCTGGGTTCATCGGCACATTTTGCAAGGGTTCGCCAATTGACAGGTTCCAACTGCCTTTTGCAAAAGTCCCTGCGAGTCAAGCTTTGCACCTCGGCTCCAGCTACATGATATATGTACCATGCAGCAATGCTTAGAATTGATCAAGCGTACTATGGAGAAAGTGGAATAACTTGTTGTCCTATTGGTGCCCTCTTTTATCTATTCGACGAGAAAGAAACTGTATTTAATCCATACCGTAGCCACTGCAGCAGCAGCAGTTCATTGTTCGCCTAAGTGTTACCACCAAGTTACCTTGGATTTGTGGTAATCCTGCCTCACCACGTTACCATTCTCATACTACTCCTACTTCTCCTCATCACCCCAATTAACCCCAAAGCGTCCAATCAGGCCAAGCAAATCATGGCATCCAAGCAGCCAGGGAGGCTGGGCGATCCAGACATGTGTCTGGCCACGGATCCTCGCGTGCACCCCAAACTCCGAACCCTGCTCCACCAATGGGGAGTTGAGAAGAACACGCCCGTCTCAACCGTTTCCAAAGACGGGCCGCTCGAGCCCATACGGGAAATTGTGTCCAAAGCCGACGAGGCCCAAGAAGCCTTCTACAGCATAGCAGAACTCCCAAACCTCGAAAGGTTCCCCTTCCCATCCATCACAGCCTCTGACAAGCTCATTCCGGAACCTGACGGCACGCAGCTGCGCCTGACCATCCGAAAGCCCTCAGCAGGCGCTGGAGACGGGCCCCTCCCTGCCCTGGTCTACTTCCACGGCGGCGGCATGGTCTTGGGCCCAACAGACAGCCCGCCGCAGAACAGCTGGGCCGAGGCCCTGGCGGCGACAGGGCTCGTGGTGGTCACGGTGTATTTCCGCAACGCCTACACCAAGACGGGTGATTACCCGTTCCCAGCCGGTCTCAACGACTGTGCGACGGCCGTCCGCTGGGTTCACGAGCACCGGTCGGAGCTGGGGGTCGGAAAGCTCATTCTCCAGGGCGAGAGCGGCGGGGGAAACCTCGCCACAGCAACCGCGCTGAAGGCGAACAAGGAGGGGTGGGTCGACACTATTGATGGCGTCTTCGCGGTGGTCCCCTACATTGCTGGCGCCATGGGCCAGTCCAGGGAGTGGAAACTTGCTGAGCTGCCCAGCCTGGTCGAGAACGACGGCTACATGATGGACATGGCCACTGTTGCGCTGTACGCCAGGATGTACGATCCCTCTGGGGAAAATACAACGAACCCGCTTGCTTGGCCGTTTTGGGCCAGTGACGACGAGCTGCGGGGTCTCCCGCCTCACATGATCGTCACGGCCGAGCTGGATCCGTTCCGGGACGAGGGCAACGAATACGCCAGGAAACTGGCCAGGGCGGATGTCAAGGTCGTAGGGAGAACAACTCTTGGCATGGTTCACGGGGCTGAGTACTTTGTCAAGCAGACTTTGGTGGAGTTCTTTGAGAATAGTGTGTGGGAGATTAAGAAGTTTATTGACGGGCTTTGAGTCAGCAATCTATTATGTACGCAACAAGGGGTGCGTTACGAGTTGACCCAAATACATGTAAGACAAATGACATAGTAAAGATCTCTCGACTCAGGCAATCCTTCCCCAACAGATTGTCTATGCATAAGGCTTGATCTGGTCTTCAGTCCACTGCCAGAATGCCTCTGCCAGGCCAGCTCCTCCCTCTGTCGTTGGCTTGGCAGCTGTGACGATGTCTTTTCGTTCAAGGGATGTAGAACGGCCCCATGGAATGACTACATCCATGTCTAGTCAATATGGGATCCAAAAAATCAAGACCAATGGGGGATTTGAAGAAGGAGGTAAGGATTGGTGACAGGCTTACTCCAATTGTTGGTCTTCACACTCTCAGCAGTGATTTGGTCAGACAGTCCAGCGAACAGCTCAGTGTAGGCCCCATGAATGGGCGGGTATGTTATGAAGGTCGATATCAACTTGCGCACCAGCCAGCCATGGTGGCGCTGTAGTTCTGTTGTGAGGTTGCCTGGATTCAGGGCGATGCTGACCACGCCATCTGAACCAGCACCTGTTGATACGTGTGATAATGACTTGTTAGAAGTTTCAATCATGTAGAATCTGGCTGGCATTTTGACTTGGTTGGACTCATGAGAAGTGATGTTATGATAAAGAGACGTACCATAGCGTCTTGCAAACTCCACCGCATGAAGAAAGTTGCCCACTTTGCTGACGGCGTATTTGACGCCCTGGCTTTGATCAACGTGATAGTCCAGATTATTCAAATCAAGGCCTCCCTTTGGAGAGAGGATCACCGCAAATGACGCGACCCAGATGACCCGAACGGTATCCTTGGGGCTATGTTTGGCGGTGGCTACCAGGGTTGGTGTGAGCAGCTTGGTGAAGAGAAAGCTCCCGACATTATTGGTTCCGAGTTGCAGCTCGTAGCCCTGAGCGGTTTTGGAGCCCTGGGGCGGCGTCATGACACCAGCATTGTTGAACAGGATATGAAGTTGGTCCTCTCTGGCCAAGAAAGTATCGGCGGATGCCTTGACCGTGGTGAGATCGGCCAGATCGAGATGAATGTAGATGAGCTCGCCTTTGGATCGAGGATGAGCCGCCTGGATTGACTCGATCGCAGCCTTTGCTTTCGCCTCAGACCTCGCTGCCATGTATACTCGAGCATTCTTGGAGAAGAGCAGACCTGCCAGCTCCTTGCCTATTCCGGCATTTGCGCCTGTGACCACCATCACCTTGCCAGACAGATCGCCAACGTCCTTCTCGGTGAAGGCCGGTCTGGGTGGCCACATATTTGTGAAGAAAGTTTTGAGACTGGGCATAGAGATACTCATGTTGGCCGCGTGTGTGGTGACTGAATCACAAAGTCGAGACAGGAGTGTGGATTCTAGCAAACGAAGATAAGCAATGGTTCGAAAGGCGTGTGTGTGCGTTGATGTGCGCTCAAGTGTGCGTGTGTTTTCGATCTCCAGCATTACTGGCAATGCGAATGCTTCTGCGTCCAGGTATAAATGCTTCAGCCAGCATTCACCTTAGCACGGCTTTAGGACAAATTCCGCTTTCTTGACTATTCACCGCGCTGTGATCACTTCAGCCAAGCATGGTCTCAGGCACACGTTATTATGGGAGCCTACATGGCAATATAGACAATACCGCAGGTGTCCTTTTGGTGCGTCATTGCAAAACAGCTGCAATCTGTACTTGCAAACGTCCTCTGTCGTGTGCATGTGTAATCACTGTCAGCAGATAGTTCATGTTCGGAAAACAGGTGCAGAAATGTCAGTATTGACATTGAATTGATACAGATGTGCATGAAGAAACACACATTTCGAGTCACCAGGCTCACATTAGCCAATGGCTGACTTGAATAATTGGCTATTGAGCCACTAGCTGATTTGAGCACTGGCTTACTTGAGCCACTGGCTGATGGCCCACTTGAGTAGACAACTCATGGCTACTTAAGGTAGTCATCCATATAATGATGCACTGGATTTAATCTATGGCATTGTTGAAGAAAAAGAAACTTAGACTTGAATTGGAATTGGAGGATATTTCATTTAGCTACGCAGCAGATGGTTGGAAGCATGGCCACAGTGCTGATTGTCAGGGGAATTTTCATTTACTTTACTCAAGCCTACGTGGACAAATCTTGTTACAGATGAGGTGAGTCTGCCCAGAATCGGCCCCGAGTGTAAAAAAAAGCCATCTTAAATAAATATCTAATAATATAATACATTCACTCTGCACCCTTAGTCCTAAGGTCATTATTATGCTGCTAATCAGAAATTCTTGGTGACACCCGGCTCGATGACCTCCAACCTTGCAAACACCTCAGCAGCCACGCGGTCCTGCAGCTTCTTGTTACCCGTAACCAGCGGCGTCAGGCTTCCAATTTCACAATTGTCCACCAAATACTGGCCATGCGTCTCCACCCCGGCAGCGGCGGCGTTCACCTCCGTCCTGCTGCCGACCTCGGTGCTCCGGGCAACGAATAGCTTGAAAAAGAAGAAGAAGACGGCCTGGGACCCGGCAGCCTCCCTGGAGAGTGCTGAGTGGCACAGACCCGGGTTCGCCGCGTTGATGGTGACAGGAAACAGCGGCGCCGGGTGCTTCTCAGCGATGGCGCGGAGGGTGAAGAGGCCCAGCAGCTTCGACACAGGGTACTGCTCGGCCTGGTGCTTCGACCACACGTTCTTGTCATTCACAGTGTCGAGGATCTTGCCCTCTGGGGCAGCCCCCTGAGAAAATGTCGTGTGGGTGTGTGCGTCGGAGGACACCATGGTGAACACAGGCCGGGTGTTGAAGACGGCGGCGGTCTCCTTGAGCTTGGGCATGACGAGCGCCATCAGGAGGAAGGTCGAGATGACATTGACGGTGACCTGCAGCTCGTTGCCCTCAGCGGTGTTGTAGGAGAAGCTGGCCAGGGCGGCATTGGCGATGACGTTATCGACGCGGTCCAGCTCCGCCGTCACCCGCGCTGCGAAGCGCTTCACGCTCTCGTAGCTGGCCATGTCGAGCTCCCAGACCTGGATGAGCCCCTTGCCGCACCTGGTTGTGGTCTCAATGTCGCGCCTGGCATCATGGCCCTTGTCCAGACTGCGCACCGCTATGATCAGGCGGCTGGCACCCAGCCGGACGAAGTGGCGGGCTGCTTCTTTTCCGAGGCCTGTGTTGGCACCAGTCACGATCACTGTCTTTCCGGCAAACGAGGCTTTGGGATAGCCTGGTTTCTTGAAGAATTGGCTGTAGAAGAAGCCCATTTTGAATTGTTGTGTAGCTTCCAAGGTTGCAATAATTGAACAGTTGAGTAAGTAAATAAGTATGTCGTGGATTTGCTGAATATGCTGAATCTGGTGGGTTTTCTTTTAAAACTAGTTTGATCAAGTTGATTCAGCAGATATCAATTCTTCTGCCTGTCGAATCGAGCGATGTAAATACGTATATATATCTGGTTGCCATCATGACACCATCGTGTTGTGAATACACAGGTTTGGGCCATTGTATGTGTGGGGCGGATTTAACGGACTACGAATGTGCGGAAAGGGTCCGAGACGGCATCGGGTTTTGGACCATGGCTCATTATGGCCTGCATCGACAGCCACAGTCCGTTCAATACCGTCAGGCATTAAATAGAAACACCAAGTTGTGAAGCATAAGAAGGAGAAATTGACCCTTTTTACGGACTATAGCTTGATTCTTAAGTCCGTCATTTCGATATTGATGTCGTTCATTGTCACGCAGCGTCGAGAGCGGTTTCAGTTTGTAAAAGGAGACAGCTTAACTCCTTGTCCGATTAATACATGACTAGTGTTTGCTCGTTTTACATCTCATAACAGAGTATTCATTGAGATCTATCCACATATTTCGCACATTAGGAGTAATAAGTTTTTAATTTACTGTGATAATGATTGTTTCTGCCGAGCAGCGCAATCTTTTCGCATTTCCATCAGACCTTGGGGAGCTCAGCAGTTTGAACCTATGCTGTTCATCCCAACTTGATGACACAACACTATGAAAACTCCGTCTCCACTGCCCTCAATAATTTACTGAGCGGCCTTTATGACCACTCTCACAGTACCGCTACAAGCCTCGAGAACTCAATTAATTTATTCATATGTCTTTGTTCGATGTTGTGGCCACTACTTTATTATTTACGAATTTTGGATACAGTGGTGTAAACGCGCCGCATATGTTATTTACGTACTGTGTGCAGCCTCTTGTACGATTTGACCACTGGGATCCCACTTCCGTCACAGAAGAAAGCTAGGGCTGTGTTGTAGTCATATAATAGCAAATAGTATATAGTGGGGAACACCTAGGAAAAGGATAAAGAGAGGAACGACTCAGTAGCCTTCTTTTGCTGCAAGGTCACGGGTTACTGTACAGGTTGGGAGCAGCTAACGCTCTCACCTCACTTGTGACTGTTTCGCCTTGAGGATTCGCGATGCACTTGTGCTCTTTTCTCATCACCCTTCTCTGACTCACTGTCTGCACTCCATTCTGTGCACTAAATGTTCCAAAGGAGGTAGCTTAGATATAATGACCAAGGACGTAACGAGCCTCAGCTAATCAGAGACTCGATACTTTGATCATGGCTATCGTGGATGGTCAACTATAGTTCAGCTGGTAATTTCCGCCTCAAGAGACTCTGCGTTAGGATCATCGACACTGCTAGATATTGTACATATGTCCCAATCACCACAACGCCCTCTGCGCCATGAACCCAAATTTTCAAAATGCAATTACATTTGGTTATGACGCCTAGCTGCCTGGAGAACCTAGAGTGTTTCTCACATCAGCACGGTAGGAGCAGCTCGTGACGATGGGTGCGAGCTATCATTGACTGTTCAGCAGTATACAACCCTCAGCGCGGTTCAGCCATCGTCTGTGACTTGTTTCCCGGGTCGGCTAGAGCTGTGGGGGCGGGCTGTGAATCTGTACGGCCGCATCAGAGGAGCCGCATCCTTGAGAGGCCAGCTACCCTCCTCCGTCTCCCCCGAGGCCCTCTTCTCACATGGTTCCGTGAAAAAAAAAAAAAAAAAAGAATTAGGGTTCAGAAAAAATAACGAACAAAGAAGGAATCACGGCTTCAAGTGCAGGACGAGTGCATTTAAAAATATATACTGACGGTCTATACGTCAACATGATGGCAGGGCCGTCGCCTCATGACGAGGTGTATCATCCTGCACAACCGACCGTCTGTCCACTGCAGCTCAGAAATGATTATGGCTTGCATCTCGCTAGCACGACTTCTCGCTCTTTCAAGTTAAAGGCATGACAGATTCCGCAGCGATAAAAGAAGCTGTGCGAGCAAGAAACAACGGCAAAGCTGTGTGCGTCAGCAAGCCACACACCACGAGGGAGTCTAGAAGGAAAGAACCCGCCGCCCCCCAACGTGACCTGTGCACTGCCAACAAAGGTGTGTGTCTGTCCGTCCTGTGCTGGGGGCCTGGCAATCCATCTGGACCCTTGTCCGGTCTTACAATATGCAACTACTAATGCTCGTTGTTTTTCCTCTTTCGCCCTTGCTTTCTTTCCCCGGCCAGTCGTCTAATACATGAGCCTCGGCTAAAGGACACAACCATAAGCTGACGCAGACTCATCGCGGGCGAGACCAACTAGGCGCAGCATAATTATCCGTCCGTCCGCTTCTGTTAATTTGTCAAATAACACTGAGGAATGCTGGGGATCAAGATCACCTGACAGACATTCGGCATGGAATAGTCTGGCCCTGTAACAACGGCGACAACAGCGGCAGCCAGCAGTGGCACGAGACATTTGTGTGGCTACAGTGGCGGCGCGAAAAGGCGGGAGTCCAGCCCAAACCCTTGCATTTTCAACGTGGAAGAGCGGGTCAACAAGTGCCAAAACGTAGACCATCACCTGAGAAGGAGTGACAGAACGCGAAGAAAAAGAAGGAGGGAAGGCAAAACGAGGCAAGGCGAAGAAGAGGCTACAGCGATTTATGGAATGTCAAAAGGTAAGGAGCCATATCCTAAACTAGCAACTCGAGAGGCCGAGAGCGCTTGCGAGAGAGCAAATAAGGTGACGACAACGCTTCTTTCCAGAACGATCACCAGATTGTCAAATAGACGCTAGGGCTGAGAAGAGATAAGAGGACCTACAAGCCCCCCAAACGGAAAAGAGTATGGCATGGAATGGAAGACGCCAAGAGAATGCTAGTATCAAAGAGGCAGTTCGACACAAGGGCAGAGGCACAGCAAAGGCGGAGTTTAGAGAGGGCGGGGAGGAGGGGGGGGGGGGCATGGGGAATCCTTCATAGTACTGTCGGCCAGTGTAGAGTGCCGACGCCACCCGAGCAAGCGTCCTCACTACTAGGTACCATGTTCGAATGTACCAGACATCATTTGCTGTGTACTGCGCGAACTTGGAAACCTTGGAAAATCCAAAAGACGACATGGTGAGAGGCGGTTCGGTTCCGTTTCCGCTTCTAGAAGCAAATATGGCCACGAGACGAGACGGAAAAGAAACAAGAAAGAGGAGAAACACGAGACAAAAACCAGTCCATCTCCGGATAACAGCCAGTGAAATGCCACCGAGATGCCCCTGACTACCTACTTCGGTATGGACCAAGTCCTGCCAATGGTCAGCATGCCGTCAGCAGAACAGTGGACCCTTCGCAAAGCTTGAGTGGTGGGGGTGGCAATGGGTAAAAGCTTGTACTATTAGTTGTGACCGCAGGCAGAACAAGTCAGTCGACGCAAGGAATCAAGAGACACAAACACACACACACACACACTCCCTCTCTCTCTGTCCATTCCTCTCTAACACAAAAGAAAATAAACAAAACAAAACAGATTAAAAGGGTCAGATTAAACTACATTCCCCACAGTATTGATCCAGCAGGGTCTTGACCCTGTGCTGCTACATACAATCTCGCTTATGCTTTACCTTGCGCGTTGCCATGTCCCTGTGGAAAGAAATCCCCCCCAGCCATGTGCCACGCGGTTCACTCACTGCGACCTTCTCCAGGGCTGGCCCAGCTCGGTGGATCGAACTGCTACAAGGACAGGTTGCTGTGGATGGATGGGCTGGGTGGATTTAGGATGCGTACTTCGAGATCCAGGCTGCCGGGATCGACCGCGCGCTCCCGTAGTTGGGTGGGGGATTGGAATGAATGGCCAGCTGCTGCGTAGTACGTAGTGGTAAGATAACCATGTACACGAAAAAGAGCTGGTTCATCAGTGAGATGTCTTCTTCCAGGACCGACCGACAGTGTTGTTGGACCAGATCAGATCTGCAGGTTGGGCAGCACTTTATATCAATTGTCTAGCTACATATTTATGCATACTTCCATTTATTTCCTGCCTGTCTTTCTCTCGAGATCGGATGTTCGAGTGCTTTTTCACATATCAATTAATCAATCTCGGCCCTTTTTTTCGATTAGTCTAGGGAGACCCACCACATCATAAGTACCTTTGATTTCCTTATCAGTAGGATTGGTATCGCTTACGATTCGAAACCATCCTCCTCACGGGCAGCGTTGAGAAAGAGAGAGGAGGATTCAATAGCACAGACGCCAGAGCCGATACCTTGTGAGACTTTTCGGTCTCTCGCTTCCGCTTCTCGACCATGTTGTGTGTGTATGGGTGTGTGTGTGTGTGTGTGTGTGTTCCCTCATGCATGGAACAAGGACCCTTACGATCGGCAGCACGCTCTGGGGTAACACTGGTAGCAGGAGGAAGAATAGGATGGAGGGTAGGTGATGTTGCACCGGCCGCCCCGAGAGTTGAAAGAAATGGATCCCAGCCTCTGAAGGTGGCGCGCGCAGTTTCCCTATCAGACGACGGATCCGTGGTCTCTTGATGCGCCGACTTGCTGACCATGGCTCGATTTGACAGGTATCTGCAGCCAGGCATGCGCAAGCAGGATGGAGTGGAGCAACAAGAAACGTCTCTAGTAGAGGGCGGAGTGGGAACAAATGGGAAGCGACTTTGGCTACATCCGGGAACGAACGTGCCGGGGGTGGGTGGTGTGCGTGTCTGATCTTCAAGCCACCAGAAACATGAATTGAGCCAAACAAAACCCCACCTTTTTTTTTCACTCACACACGCAGGCGGAGAATCCTCCTCATGCACAGCAACGAGTGCGAGGGTACCATCATTTAGAAACTTGAAGCTAGGCCTTCTTCCCTTTCTGGACATGGGTATCGGCGATGATCGACATGGGTCTTATCAAAAGGTCGCCTTTGGGTCAACCCATTTCCCATTATCTCTGCTGGTGACTATTACTGGTGGCGGATGCTTGCTGCTGGGTGGGCGGCGAGAGATAGGCTTCGCCAGCACGCCACCACCCTTCGTCGCCCTGCGCTGCCCTTCTTGCCCTGCCCTGTCCTGATCCCGTCCCTGGGGCTGCTTAGCAGCCCATGCATTGCATTGCATTGCATGCATGCTTGTTCTGCCCTTGTCCTGTCGTGTTTAGTCGGTTTCCCCTGCAGCTGCAAGTGGTTACGCCGACATTGCGCGATGAGGGCGGCATAAATAAAAGCTGGGGAGGGGATGCTACCTCGTGGTTTTATTTCTCGTGCGCGCCTGTCCTCTCCTCTTACCTGTTCTTCTTTTTGTCCCTCTCTCGCTTCCTTCCCTTTCCCTCCTCTCCGTCTTCCCTTAGTTAGGAGACGTGATATACCAATAGACCAACAAGAACAATAAGAGAGCCGTCGACAGCTTGGTTCATTCGAAGATGTCGTCGCCTGAGAGAGCAACAGATCCGGAGAAGGTGGCCTATACAGGCGATGAGAAGGGCATCTCCGACCCTGAGTCTCCTACCTACAATCAGGATGGCGAGGTCGTTGTGGGATCGATTGAAGATTTCGAGGAGAAGAAGCAGCTCAAGTATGCTATTTCTCTTGGTCCTGGGAACTCAAGATGACGCGGGGGGACTAATCTTGGATGTTCTTTTTCTTCAATCTAGGCAGGGTCTGGCTCAGAGACATATTCAGATGATTGCCCTCGCTGGCGCAATCGGTACTGTAAGTCCATATGCGTGAGATATGAGAGACACAGGAGAGACAAAGAGGCTCGTGATGCTTACAATGTATTCTCACATAGGGTCTCTTCCTCGGTTCTGGAGGTGCTATTGAGGTTGGTGGCCCCCTGGGTGCCTTGTAAGTCGCCATGTCACGACATCCCTCTTAAATTGCGAAACAGCAAAAAATTGTCGTCATACTGACCACAACTGCTCCACCACAGGCTCGGTTACTTCTTGGTCGGTATCTTGGTTGTAGGAGTTGTCATGTCAATTGCTGAGATGAGGTATGTTCTGCTCTTTGTGAAAACCCAGCTTGACGGCTATCTCCCTCCTCTTTTCGTTCGAGATGGAGAGAGAGAAGCATATTGCTCACACAGAATCTCCTCTATAATAGTACCCTCGTGCCTCTCAGTGGAGCCATCATCCGACACGCCGAGTATTTCTTCGATCCAGCTCTCTCGTTCGCCCAGGGCTGGAACTCGGTGTATAACTACCTCGTCTCGATCCCCGCTGAGCTGACTGCTGCGGCGGTGATTGTGTCGTACTGGGATGCGACAACCACAGCAGCCGCCTGGATCATCCTGTTCGGAGGCCTGCTGGTCATCGCCAATCTTCTCTTCGTCCGTGTCTACGGTGAGATGGAGTTTGTGTTTGCGACCCTTAAGATCATGCTGATTGTCGGCCTGAACATCATGGTTAGTGTCCACTCCCATCACAGACTGTTTTGATTAACCTGAATTCTGACTCGGAGATACAACATCATCTTCACCACTACAGGCGATTGTGATTGTTTCTGGAGGAGGTCCCGACCACCAGGCGATTGGTTTCAAGTACTGGCGCAACCCAGGTCCGTTCACCCAGTATCTGGGCATTGGAGGATCCCTCGGCCAGTTCCTGGGTTTCTGGAAGACCTTTGGCAACGCCGTCTACTCCTACTCGTGAGAATCTCCCCCATCCCCTCCTTACTAATTATCTGCATACATGTATTCTAATCTGCTGGGAAACAGAGGTGTTGAGAATATCTCCATGGCCGCATCCGAGACTCAGAACCCTCGTCGCAATATTCCTATCGCTGCCAAGCGTATCTTCTGGCGTGTGGCCATCTTCTACGGTGAGTTTTGTGTCTGAAGGAGAGAGAAAAACTTTTATATACTTTGATGGCAAGGGACAGCCTGACTGACAAGAATTGGGCCACCTCTGAATAGTGCTGAGTATCTTCTTCGTGGGCATGCTCGTCCCCTCCGACGACGACCAGCTTCTCAATGCCGAGGCCGGCACCGCGGCCGCCTCGCCCTTTGTCATCGCCGCCACCCGCGCTGGAATCAAGGTCGTGCCGTCCATCATCAACTTCGTCGTGCTGACGAGCGCATGGAGTGCCGGTAACTCGTACATTCTGGCCAACTCGCGTATCCTGTACGGCATGGCCCAGGAGAACCACGCCCCCAAGATCTTTCTCCGTACCAACAGGATGGGCATTCCTGTAAGTTTTTGTCGCCGTATATCTCTGGAGTGTGAAAGATGAAAAGAAAACAAGAGTTTTTCTGCATACAGGGCTCTGTTTCTTTCCATTCTCTTCCCACCTTCACAACTATTCCTGCCAGACATTTTCGAGAAAGCTGACCTTGTTGTTCTTTTTCTCTCCAATATAGTACGTCGGCGTGTCCTTCACCTCCATCTTCATCTGCCTTGGCTTCATGTCCCTGTCCAGCTCCGCCTCGGTGGCCTTCACCTGGCTCCAGGATCTCGTCTCCGTGGGCGCCCTGGTGACGTGGTCCGTCATCTGCGCCGTTTACCTCCGCTTCTACTACGGCATGAAGGCCCAGGGCATCTCGCGCGACGAGCTTCCCTGGAAGGCCCCCTTCCAGCCGTACACGGCCTGGTTCTCGCTGTGCTTCTTCATCCTGCTGCTGCTCACGGGCGGGTTCACGACTTTCATCAAGGGTGACTGGTCCACCGAGACCTTCATCTCGTCCTACATCGACATTCCCATCTTCTTTGCCCTGTACTTCGGGTACAAGATCGTCAAGAAGACAAAGATTGTGCCCCTGCACGAGATCCCCATCCGGAGGTTCATCGATCTCGCAAATGCCAACCCGGAGCCGCCTGTGCCGCCCAAGCAGGGCTGGAGGAAGCTCAACATCCTTTGGGAGTGAAATCGAGAAGGGAAAGAAGAAGAGATTCAGCACTATCTTGTTGTTATGGTTGTTTTCCATCGTGTGCTGCTCGCCTTGCGTTGCTACCAGAGGGGGGGGGGGTGTCCTCCTTTTTGATGACTCGGGGTAGATTAAGGCTGTGTAGGTCATGGTTGGAGACGACTTGAGGCCTTCAAGTATAGTGTGTTACTGCGTAATTGGAAGATTTGGCTTGATTCCTTTCTGGAGAAAAAAGAGGATGCAATGCTTCCGGCATCGATCTGTTGCTGGTAGAGGCTATATAGTATACCCATTCATATATCAAATAAATTAAGATTAAAAAAACAACTAAAGAGATGAACGAGACGTTATGTTGCTCCCCAGCACAAACATAATTCTCATTTGGTCTTTATGTCGTGTATTCACTATAGTAGTGAGTCAACTAAGTATCTATCGATCACGTGCTATTTCCTATCAGGCAAAGACCTTGGCAACATTCGACTCTCAGCTATTGATCTGAGATTGCATCGATATCTCAGCTGAGATACACACGTCAAGGCTACCTATGCCAAGACTGGACACAATCCACACATATCTAGACATCTAAACCAGAGATCTCCTGGCCGTCGACTGGCGAAGTTTGACTGTCTGCTCGTAGAGGACGTCCTTGAACGCGAACAAGAACGCGGCCGTGAGCACACTCTGGGTGACCTTGGGCCCGATTCCTGTATCTCAATAACATTAGCACCACGTAGATTTATTTTGAAGCAGGGAAAAACTAGATAAGAGGGGACATTTCTTGGTCCTGTCTTTCTACCTGCACGAAAATTGAGATAGCACGCACCTTTGTAGAGCCCGGCAGCTCCCTCCTCCTTCGTGATGCGCCTGATGGCGGCAGTCATGCCTTCTGTCTTGCCATCCCTGCCAGCGACGTGGGCCTGGGACTTGACGGTGATGTATGGGTAGGTGATGCTGGTGGCGAACAGCTTGCCGAGGGCGCCGAGGAAGAAGGCGATGGTTGGAGTGACGCGGCGTCTCCTCTCAACGGCGTTTTTCAGCTGCTCGAACAAGGTGTACTGAAGGATAGGATTGATGACCAGCACCAGCGCAGGCAGAACGCCTGAGAACAGCGCCTTGGGGCCCTCATTGCGGAGGAGGGCCGTCAGCGTGCCCAGGGTGGTGGGCCTCTGCGACCTTTGTTGCTGCTGTTTCTTGCTGTCCACACCCCCCTCCGAGCCGACAACGGCCTCCACGTCCTTCTCCTTGTCCTCTTCTGCCTCGTGCTTGCGGGTGGTCATGCGGGTGTTGACGACCCAGATGGGATTGGTGATGATGACGGTGGCGGAGCCTGCAATGGCACCAGCGATCATGCTCTCAACGGTGGTGAGGCGCTTGGAGGCGCGGCCCGCCTTATCGGCGGCGGCCTCGAAGAAGGCGCGGGTCCATTCGTACCAGTAGTAGTAAACAAAGTTGGTGAGGGAGATGCCGAAGAGAGCCGAGTCGAGGCCTGCGTAGAGGCCTGCGAGGCCCTCACGCTCGACGATGTGGCGGACGGCCTTGAGGAAGGATGAGTCGGCGCGCTTGGATTCGACCTGGGCGCGGGTGGAAAGTGTAATGAGGGGGTACCTAAACGAAGGAGGAATTCATATTGGTTAGCCGGACCTGCTGCTGCTGCCTGGGAGGGAGCCCATGTGAAGGAGAGAGAGGGAGACTGTGTGTGCATCTTCGTACGTCAGGACCATAGACAGGATGCCTCCTCCAGCGCCGGCGAGGGCGTGGGCAACATTGTCGTTCTGGGGTATCACGGGCTTCGAAGCGGCCGGCGCCATGGTTATTTGTTGGATAAATGGATGGATAGATAAACAAGAATAGATAGATACAGCGTCTGTCTGATTGTCTGTCTGGGTCTTAGTTGATGTCCTCGTTCATCATCTGCTCGTTGCCGTGTGAGGGAGATGGTTTGAGGTGGAGGAGACGACGACGATGAAGTCATGTCCTCGGCTAGAGCTCTGCTGCGACGGGAGCGACGCGCTGTCGACCCGTCGTTTTTCGTGGCTCGTGGCATGAGAAGCGCTGAGCCGAGGTCCGAGTTTAAGTGGTAGCACCCACCAGTAACATTTTACTCAGTGACAGCTCTTGTATGCCAAGACAAACCCTGCACTAACAACTGCTGCTGGCGCTGGGACCGGCAAACCCCGGTAAACTGCATTCTGGAGAATCGAACTCGTAGTTTTTGACATATGATTTTCTCCTCGCCATGCGGTCTTCGAACCGTCACAAATCAACCCAGTAGAATAGAGTAGCAATGAACATGCAAGGCAATGGGTCCTGTCAGGCCGTCTTTAGCGTCAGATTGTCACGGACGACTTTTGGCTACGTGCACAGCCCAGGGACAACTGCCGCGAGCGCATCCACAAACAATTCTTTTTCACACACTCTTCTCACTTACTCACACACACTTTCTCTGTCTGTGTCTGTCGACTCAGCGCCTCCGTTTGTTAACCAAGAGACCTTTCAAGTCGCCATCCATCGTTCCTGCGTCAGCCTCGGTTACGACATGTAAGCCTCTTCCCGAGATCTCGGGATCGCCGTTGGAGGGAGGGTTGCACCGGGATGTTTCTGACGTCTTCTGGAAAGACCCCTTTGGGACCTCCCTCCCTCCTCGTCTCGAACGGCCGCAACAACGGTCAGACAGATCTTTGGGCAGAGCAGGGGTAGGTTTTGACGGCATGGTGAAGAGCCAGAGAGGCAGGAATTCGGATAGGAGGGGCCTCCTCCGTCAGACCCAGACCGCCACCGCAAGGCTTACCTGTTTCATTCTGGCCACGGCCCTACAACAAGTGAGAGAGACTGAAAAGAAACATGACGATGTTTGAACACCCGAGATGCCACGCAGCGGTCGCATCTTGCCAGGCCCGGCTGAGACTTCCGCGCTGAGCATAACACAGCAAAGAAGAAAGCGCAATTTTTCTTGTTTCTTGTCTTTTCTTCAATACGCTCAAGTGCCGCTCTGCCTACCTGCCTGCTTGTGTGTCAGTGTACTGGCCAGCCAAACCAAGATGGGCTCCATCCCGGGCGGGGGGGGGGGAGGGTCCCTGGGCAAAGACAGCTTCCGATGACAAAGCAAACCTTCCCGCCAGGAAAGAAGGAAGAAGAAAAGCCTGGCAGTCACTGATAAACTGGAAAGACGAGTGGAGGAAAATTGGGTGTTCCATGGTAGGTGTGCAGATGGTCGGTGAGAGGGAACAGCGGACCGACTTGTTGCGGTACAAAAGGACCCTGATGTTCACCGTCGTTCAAGTAGGAAGTGAGGGTTGCCCCCCCCCCCCCACGCCTTTGGTCGAAATACCGCACAGTATGGATCAGATACGAATGCAGAGAGAAAGAGAGATCTGCGGGGGAAAGAAAGAGAGGGATGGAGATCAACTCTAACCTTCTCCAGATCGAGAACCTAGTCGACCTTGTCCGAAGATCGCGTCGAAGGATTTCCACCCCTCTCCACCAATTTAGGGTAGTAGTACCATAGCAAGGTACAGGAGAACAGCCCCAGCACGAACAAAACGCCGGCTCTCAGCCTTTGTGGGATGAGGCGCCCCAACGGCACTTGAGGTTATAGGTACATGCGTGTACCTGTGCGTATGTGTGTTTATGTTCGTCGCCCACCCTGCTGCCTCCTCTAGTCCCCTCCCCCTCTCGTGTGAAGGTCACCTCATCTCATCTGGTTCTCAACAGACCTAGTGTCATCTATCCTCGACGAACGGACACATACGAGAGAGAGAAAGAGAGGGGGAAAAAAAGAGAGAAATCTCCATAATTAGACTTTGCACGGCGTCCTCCAGACAGCGGCTTTTGGTCCCAGTAGTCGGTCCTATAAAGTCGCCGAAGTGAGGCCCTGCAATCCCCGTTGACCGACACCGATAAAGAAGAAATAGTAGAATTAGAAAGTACGAAACGAAATAGCTTGCGAAGGACAGCTAGCTCTCGTAGCTCTTCCAGGTTGGGCCTGTCATTCGCCAGTTAGCGAGGTCCCACCATCGATGATTTTGGCTCCTCAAGGGGTCAAACCACGTCCCAACCAGGCACCGAGGGAGGAGGGGAGAGGAGAGGAAGAGGCGGAGGCGGAGGCCAGAGGAAGAAGAAGCTACTGGACCACATTCCCACATAGCAATACAACCAAATGTCAGAAGAGCTCTTCCTCAAGCCCGATCCACACTGTAGCAGCAAGGGGTGGGGGGAGTTGTTAGGAACAGACAATGTCTAAATACACATATCATGGTACACAATCATGCAACATCGAAACGAAACCCTGACCCAACCCCGAGGGCGCGGGATCGCGGAGTGTTTCCATGGGGTTGGTGCAACTGCCTTGCATCAGTCAACTTTTGCAGGAGGAAGACATCCTGGTTGGTGGGTGGCTAGTGGCCCAAGGCACAGCGCATCCCACTTCTATTCTTGGAAAACTCAGGTGCCGCTATCCGCTGCGGGAACAGCGCCCTGGTCCCTGGGGCTCCTGGGTCCCTTGCCAAGCGTACTACCACTACCGCTACTACCATAGCACTACTGCCACTACTACATACAACGTTGTACTTATCATGGCAGTAGCGTAGCGTGCAGAATTAAGGTAGGTGCCATGGGCCTGACCCCCCCTTCCATCCCTCTGGGGTTCCCACTGGAGGAAAGCGGTTGCCCACCCTACCGGGAGGCGCCACCCCACTGTCATTTAGACCCTGTCGTTGGTCCACTGCAGCTTCTCAACGTCTCATCATCTGCCTCCTGTCATCTGGACGCAAACAGAGACAGGTCGAACTTCCCACACATACAACCCCTCCCATCAACCTGGAACCCCCCTCCCCCCCCCCACGGCGAGTACACACTAATACCAACAAGCCACCATCCACACTTTCTCATGGACTTGCCAAGATGGGAAGTTCACCTTGTGCAGCCCTTGTCCTCGGCCAACTCCTCTTCCTTATGTGTTCCCCCCCCCCCCCCCACCCCCAAACCAAGGTCCAGGGTGATGCAACAAATGAACGAGCTGGGACCGAGACTCCAGATCCGGACATGCAGCAAGCAACCATGCCGAGATTGTCTGTTGCATCCCACCGCGGCTAAGAAGAACAAGGATATAGAGAGCAAGAGGACGAGAGGGCCAGAGGGAGGGAGAATAAAGAGATGCCTGATGTCACCCACCATGACCCAGCCGCCAGTCGTCTAACCTGTCCCTGCTACCTGGTCTCGGTCTGGCCCGCTTCCATTTTAGGATTGTTATGGATTGATTCTGGGGGAAAGGCATCTCTTGAGTCGAGTCGAGAGGTCTTTTGACCTCATAATATGACAAGAGCTTGTTCTTCCTCTTCTCTGTCGTCATTGTCGTTGTCGTCCTTCTTTTTCCCCTCCTTTCTGCATCTCCGGCCTTGCAGCTTACCGTCCAGGGTCCACGTTGATGACTATTACCAACCAATCCACCAGGTGGCAGCCCTGAGAGGGCCGAGGAGGACGAGGAGGCGTAGGAAGAGGTGTAGGAGGAGGCGAGAGTGACGAATGAAGGAGAGCAAAAGTGGTCGCAGGCAGAGAGTGTTTGTCAGAGACCGCAGCTCTCTACGATTTGACTTGCATGCATGAACGACGGCTGTTCCCATGAGGAAGCTTGTTGGATGACTGTACCACCATGTACTACTTTTGGTGGTCTGTGTCTACTGATGTGTAACACCATCGGGGCTGGCCGTGTACCTGAGGACCGGACCGGTACGAGAAACCCGCTGACGGGTTTTGGCCCAGCGTTGCTGCTGCATGCAAGTGCAGATACGCCTGCAAGGACACGCTCGCTTCGCTGTCTGGGCGTGTCGTTTGTGGACGGGGAAAGCCTCGGATCGAAATCTGAGGCGGGTTTCTATATGCGGTCATGATCTGGCTGCGCCCCATCAAGGTCATCCTTTTTTTTTTCCTGCAAGGCCAACCCTCTTCCCCTTACTCCCTTTCGCGCCAACATGGAAATACCCCATAACAGCGGCCAGGCCCGCAACCTAGGCACCAGGATACACACAGGTACCGCAACGAGGCTGATCCTTCCGGGCTGCCCACTCGGTCAGGCCAAGTTGGTAGGTAAATACGTGAATAAAGTAGGTAGAAAGCCAGGCAAATATGTAGTCGACGTTGGGAGAGAAGGGAGGCAAAGAGAAGATTGATTGCTCATCATTATGGACCCTTGGCGACTGAACATACTTACACACCCACACAAACTCAAAAGAACTAATGTACACCTCCCATGACCACACATCGCATGTGCTCTTCTTTGGAAATCATACATACCTGCCCAGCCCTCGCTTTCTCTTTCTCTTTTTTTGTTTTTGCGCCCCCTCTCTTCGGCCAGATTGACCCGGACCACCTTGACGATCACCCTATTGCTGTTGATTTTTGCCTACTTTTGCTTTCCATTCTCTACACACACGCTCATTGCCTCTTGCATGCCCTTTCACATACACTCCGTCACTCCTTGACGCCCTTCCTCCACTCCTCCTACTCCTACTCGTCCTCGTCATCCTCCACTTTCTCCATTTCCCTATCCTTCTAAGCTGAACATTACAAACGTCACCATCCCCTCTCACCCTGCTCTTGGTGACCCACAGGCTCTACGTAGTCTTACCCTTACAAAAAGACCCTCCCATCCGAATAAGCAACCTCAATCCTTCAGCCTTAGGACATAATCCGTACCGGCTGCTCCGACTCTGGCGCCGATGCGCAATCCCCATCCACCCCTACCTGGCTACTTACACCCCTACCTCCTCTCCCCTCCCTCCCGCCTTTGTTGTGTGTGTGTGTTTGTATCGTAATATTTTAGGGGGGAAGGGAAAAACCAACAGAGCTGCAGGTCCATATGAGGGGGGAAAGAGAGAAGAGCCAGTACCGATGCTCATAATGCAGCATCCGGGCACTAACCTGCTCGCAAGCTCGCCACATATTCTAAGGACGACGACGAGAACAGCAGCCACAAACATCGTCCACTCGGCCTCCTCCTCCTCACCGCCGCCCATCTCCTCGACGACAACAACAGCGACGACGGCGACGAGGCTCGACCTGCCCTCGAGAGATGTCACCGCCGAAACCCTCGAGGATACCTACGTCCAGTTCATCCTCGCCTGCAACCCTGGTGTTCCCTTGAGTGCAGACACCACGGTCCTGAGGGACGCCTTTCGCACGCCGCCCAGAAGCGGAGGCAAGTCTTTCAGCACGTGGACCCTCTTCGAGCTGATCGCACAGTTCCAAAGCAAGGAGATCAAGACCTGGGGCGAGCTGGCCTTGAAGCTAGGCGTCGAACCACCGGACCAGGACAAGGGACAGAGTTCCCAGAAGATCCAGCAGTACGCAGTCCGTTTGAAGGTAATCTTTCCAGCAAAGCTGTAGGCGAGATGTTAGATAGAATGTGGATGATGATGATGATGATGTTGTTGTTGTTGTTGTTGATGTTGATAATGTATGACGCTTTTCACTAAGGGGAAAGATCTTTCTCTGGAGGGCAGAGAAAGAGGGGTGGGAAGAGAAAGCAAGAAAGAGGAGATTGTTGTAGATTTGAGACCCGGTGGCGACAAAAGGTTTGACTTTTACTGACCAAATGTTTTCTCTCTTTATGTACTACAGCGCTGGATGCATTCTATGCACGTCGATGCCTTCTTCGAGTATCTCCTGGACAACCTACACCCATACTGGGTCGACATCCCGACGGATATGAACCCGGTCTGCGAGGAAGGGCGTGACGGTGTGCCTGCAGAGGATGACATGGCACTGCGCTCTCTCCTGCCGCACATCAGACCACGAAGAGGACGAAAGCGACCCGACGACGACAACAACAGCTTCAGCAGGTCACCCACCCAGCGGCTCAAGATGGAACAAGGTGGAGGAGGCGGGGGAGGAAGAGGAGGAGGCGACCAGCCGGGCGTCGACCAACTCGACCTGTGGTCCGGAACTGCGGCAGATCCCGACACGAGAGGCGGTGCGCCGTATCACCACCTTTACCCGACCCAGGACCAGTTCACAAGAGTGGACCTAGGCATGACGACGACGAACACTGGATCATGGGTGACGGGCCAGGACTTCTCCCAACAGCAACAGACGCCCATGACAGCACATTCTTACTCGGCAGTAACGCCAGCGACCACCGCAAACCCCTTTTGGGCCGACCAACAACAACAACAACAACAACAACAACAACAACAGCATCAGCAACAAGCAAACGAACCCAAATCAGCAATGACACCGACTATGACTACGAAGCCCAAGACCAACAGGCGGCACGGTGCCAAGGTGGTCTCTTCTGCGTGGAGGAGCGGCGGGCCAGGAGGCTCGGGAAAAACACGAGGCCGACCACCACTGAACAGACGGACCAGCACGGCAAGTCTGGGCCAGCAGCAAGGCGAAACTGCAGCGGCCGCAGCAGCAGCAGCAGCAGCAGCAGCAGCAGCAGCAGCAGTGGCAGCGGCAGCGGCAACCTCGCCCTTCTCGACGTTTCCTGCTGGACAGAGCAGCAGTCCTCCGGCGACGTTCAAGCAGCATCATCAGCACGCTTCACCACACATGATGGACGCAAGTATCGCACACCCTACGTTGATGACGTTAGCGTCTACAACAGGCCACCACAGCCATCACCACCACCAGCAGCACGGCTTGCCTATGCAACAGCAGCAGCAGCACCACCACCACCACCACCAGGGCGGCTACGACTTATCACAGCAGCAGCAAGAGGAGGCACAGGCCCGGAATCTGAGGATGACGCGCAGCAGGCTGTCGCTACAGGTGCCAGAGAGGATTGGCAGCGAGGTGAGGGGGATGCCTGCGCCACATGGGCAACAACAGCAGCAGCAGCAGCGGCAGGCGCCTGTGGTGCTGGTCAATGGGGCCATCACCAGTGCAGAAGACGCGTCTGTGGCGATGATGGCTCATAGTCATCCTGGACTGAGTGCTGAAATGGCTGGTGCAGACGTTCACATGATGGATCCGTTTGGCACGGCCGCACAAGATTTGTATACCTTACAATTTCAGCAGCAACAGCAACATGCCCATCACCAACAACATCACCCCCAGCAGCAGCAGCAGCAGCACATACAACAACACCTCCCACAGAGCTCCCAAGACACCTCGTCCCTCTACTCGACAACCACTGGCAGCACAACACACCACAACTATCAGCCCAACCCCCAGCAACCACAACAACTTCAATCCCCGCCCCAGACCCTCTTCCAGCAACCCACCCGAGGCAGCATCAGCGTCGCCGGCTCTGCCAGTGCTCTCTCGACCGCTGCAGGAGCCTTTCCCTCGGTAGACGCTGCCGCCATCCAGGGTGGCCATGGCAGCACCAGCAGCAACACCATCAGCACCAGCCGCACCAACATGGACGCGCTCGAGTCTCTCTTCACATACGAGCTACTGGGCGCCGACTGGACCGACGCACAGGGCCACCAGATCCCCGCATGCGGCGTGGACGAGGCAGCAGCCGTGGCACAGGAGATCATCGAGACGGTGCGGCGCGAGGCGAGCGGCGCGCAGGGGTTTCTGATGAACCTCAGCGCGCTGGCGGGCATGACGTGGCTGCGGACGCCTGGACAGCGGCTCAAGGTGCGGCGGGTGGGCGAGTTGGAGATGCCTCCTCCTGACGATGGGGGCGGCGGTGGTGTAGCTGGCGGAGGGGCAACGACGGGCAGGAATGTGTATGACATCCACTGGAGCCTGCAGCTTGGGGATGTGCATAGTGGGTTTGGGCTGAGGGAGGAGGTGGCGAGGGAGAAGTGGGCGCCACATGGGGGAAGCAGGAGGAGGAAGAGTGCGAGGAGGAGGACGACGGGGTTAACAACAGGACTGCCAGGTTTCAGGAGGGGAGCAGGTGTGCAGCGGGCTGGAGGAGGAGAGGGAGAGGGAGAGGATGATGCAGAGGGCGAGGAAGAGGACGAGGACGAGGAGGCAGAAGCAGAGGAGGGGGCGGAGGGGGCAGGGAATGATGATGATGCTAGCCGGGAGGGAGGAACAGGTATTGAGAGTGGCGAGGAGGGGGGTAGTAGCGATGCCGAAAGGTGGCGGAGGAGGTATCGCGATCTCTTGGGCGTAGTCCAAGGCCAACAGGCAGAACTGGATGACCTTCGAAAGGCCATGTTGGACCTTTGCCGACCCAGAACAAGGGATGGGGAGTAACCTAGTATTCTAATGGATGGAGAGATTGGAATATTAGATGCAAGTCACAAGTGAAAGGGGAAAGGGCTTATAGGCATTGTATAATTCACAACCAGGCAGAGCAGCGAAGGCAACCTAAGAAAGAATTGATTGGAGGATCATAAATTCATGGCACACGCTCGTATGGACACACGAAATGTGAAGACGAAACGTGTAACATAAATACTTTATCTGGCTTTACTGAAGTTATCACAGGAAGCAAGATTATGACAGACAGGCAATGAGTTTTACTTTTCAATTCCCTACACGAAAACAGGTTGGTTTTGTGTTTTTTTTTCCTCCCTCGGGGGAGGGAGAAGGAGGCTCGGGGGGATGAGGGGGGGGGGGGGGTGACGAAGGGAAAAACGAGGAAAGCAAGAAGAAAGAAAAGATATATCAGATTTGATGGATCTGAAGACGGGATAGAGCTTGAATCTAAAAAGATGAGATGTCAGACTCACCTTTGAGTCAGCCCACCATCCCAGGCAAGTCAAGTGAGTTTTTGTTTTCAATGTGGGTGGGTCTTTTGTCTTCAAAATAAACCGCTGCAACGTTCAATAGAAATATTAGAAGGATTACGGGACCTACAATTTACAGTTCTACAAGACTTAGTATTATTATTGTTATTTTCCTTTTAATTAGAGCCAATAAAGATGAATACCCGGCCAATCAGGTTTTCTGATCAAATGCTGATGCAGAACAACAAGATTGTATGGTCATAGTGAAGTCTTGGAGAGAAGCTGCTTTGAGAACTCTATTCTCACACAATTGTGCTGTCTCTTGAGCCCTCGAACAGCACAGTTGTCTGTTGGAAGAGAACAGAGCACAATAATGATATATAATATTACATAGCAAGAATGCACTCACCACAACTTGATACCCATCAGCTCTCAAAAGCTGAGTGGACTGTGCATTGATCTCACAAAACCTCGTCTTGAACACAAAGAATCCTCCTGTAAGCGGTGATAAGTGTTTTCAGCACCTCGCCCTAGGTTGCACCGGAACAACAGCATGGCGACGCACTTTTCATCTCCCCTTGCAGCGCACATTGCCGAGGGCGTCGTCATCGCCCTCGAGTACTTCAACCTGCCGGCAGGCTGTCCGTTGGATGACGCCCGTGCCGTAGCCGCCAAGGCAGCCGACTGGTCCCTGACCTGGTACCAACTCCAGGAAGCTGTCATCCCCGGAAGCAGGCGCCCGGTGCAACAATTCAGTGACATTCCGCAGCGTCGAAACGTGGACCTGCGCCACCCGCACATCTGGAACCTCCGGGCCCCAGGCTTCATCCGATTGTCGACTATCCCCACGGCCGTCATCGAGAGTGTGCCCGATTACAGGCCCTTGCAAGTGCGTCTGAACCCATGGCCCTCACAGCCCGGACCGAACCCCCAGGGCGTCCTAAGGGAGGTCTTGACCGCCAGGGCAGTGAGGAACTTCAGGCCCACGATGGGTAGGGGCCAGAGACGACGGGTGCGGCTGGCGAGCCTGTCCAGCCGAGGGAGGGTCATCTACAACTGGCTGCCTGAGTTCTTGATCACGCTGGGCGCTCGTTTCCCACAGTGAGTTTCCCACAGCTAAGACGCGCACAGCCTCTCCTTTTCTCTCTCTTGAACCCACCACAATACGCATCGTACAATGCCCGGCTTGTACATTGCAATATGTAAGATCCTGTTTGTCACATTTTCACGCGGTGAGCAAGCTTGTTTTCCATAGTCTTAAACGTACCTACTGTGAGAAGGAATCTCTTGCCGTAGATGCTTTATCCTCAATCGCAGAGATCATCTTGATGAACAATGCTTCATAAAAGACACCCCAGTTACCCATCTTGTGCCCGAGTGAATGTTTCAGAGCATGACCTTTAGCCCAGTAGGTTATTGGTCTGTGAGTGAGTGTGTGTGTGTGTGTGAGGGGAACAGCATGTATGAAGCTACCATCTCTTACTGAGTATGCGCTATGATCTTCGGAGGCCCTACTCCGTAGTATCAGGATTGGCCCGATGCAGTTGAAGGGTATAGACAGAAGATCCCGTGGTTGGGTAGCGACAGAGAGCTGAGCTGAATGTTGAGTCGCGCGTGTTGTTTCATTGTTTCTTGTATGTGTGCCACCTCGGACGCCAAGAAGCACATCGGGGTCCAAGGGGCCAATGGCATCTTCCACGTGGCTCGCGCTGACAGTCGGTCGCACGTGGAGGGATGAGAACAGCTACATGCATGCATGCATGGAGTACCACCACCTGTGAGCGGTCAGCATGTCTTGCAGGTAAGCGGGTAGTGACCCTCGTGGAGCTACGATAATTTGGCAATGTAACGGATCACGATCCAGCATGTCCCGAGCGTATGGGTGCTTCTCAACCCCTCTCACCTTTCCCCCTCCATCCCTCCCACTTCCACCCTAGGTAGAGCGTTTGGCGGTCGAGTAGGATGCTCCTCGATTGACTGGTAAACGTTGAGTTGCAGCTGTGAGCTAAATGAGCCAGCCTCGTTGAGCCACACACCTCGACGAGGCCCAGCCATATTTACCACCAGTCGGCATGGCACCTCAGTAGTGGAGCCAGCCTCAAATGCCGTCGTACCAAAATTGGCCCCTCTCTCAACAGTTGTGCCAGCTTTGAGCTGAGGTCCGCTACAGCAAGAGTGGCGTGTGCAAGTCGAAAAAGACACGAGTTTAGTTCGTGGCGAGAATCGTGAAGCCTCAGTCTAGAACCTGATCGAAGCGTGTCTTGTGAAGCCATATCGGGATCCACCGGAGCCTATACAATCCTTCTGGCCATGGAGGGATACAAGTACGAGGAGTATGCAGGTGATATGAGTCAGTCATCAAGTAGAGTTGATTCTGGAAACAAAAGTCTTGCAAGCTGCAGCAATGATTGGACGAGAGGCGGAAGAGCGGAATATTAGCTGATGTGTATGCTGCACAGGAGTGTAGATGCATGAAGATTAGATCGTTGCGCGGGCTCCATCGTGATTGTTGGTGTTCAAGTCATATTTTGGATGTCGACACGAGAGAACGTGTGAGTGGATTGATGTTGTGCTGCGTGAGATTTGGAGAGATGGGAGACCCTAGCAATGACCCGCAGGATCCATGGCCACCCCCCACAGCAGCAGTCCAGAGAGGATCCCTGCCCTGGAGTATAGCGTACAACACCACTGATTATCAAGGTACCACCGCGCTGACAACACTGCTGCACGATACCATGAGGAAAGGGTGAGGGAAGGACAGCCCCTCGAGAAGCTAGCCTGGTCTGGCCATTACATTCGGAAGGTGCGACTTAGTAGATGCTTCAATGTACTAGGTACAGTAACCTCTAGGCTTCAGGCACAATCCTCGAGAATCCCATCAAATCCCATTTGCACCTTTCCCAACCCGCCCCAGCGCCAACGCCAATGCCAACCTCAACATCAATACATCAGCTATTTGGCGGTCAAGCGAGAAGGGGAGGGGGTCCCCTGTGCCCTCGTGGATGGACGCGAACAGCCACAATCTGCGATGCCAAGTCAACCGCGCATCGTCCAATTGCTCGCTACTAAGAGCAGACAACGGACAAGAAAGATAATGTACGTAATACGACGCGAAAGCAGAAGAAACAAGTGTGCTACGGCCCGATTTGCCTGCATTGCGCCATTCACCTGCTCTCACACGAATCAGGTCTTCTTGACCCTTGCTAGGACCCAACATCGCCAGGAAGGCGTTCATAAAACCAGCCCTGGCCTTGGTCGAGCAGGTTGAGCCTCGAGTTGTCTCCATGCGACGAGAGGAGGGGAGAGGGCAGAGGGACCCACCCGCCATTCTCCCCCTCACGGTGGACGGGCCACGGCTGGGCTGGCTAGTGAATCTCTTGGCGAGCTTTGGACGGCCTTGATCTATCAAAGGAGCGCCACCATCGCGCTGCTAATCAGTACAGCACAAGCTTTCTGCTGGTGCTCGGCCTGCACCGCGCGCCCCGCCAGTACTTGATCCGTCGGCGGTTCCAGTCTTGGCCTTTTGACTATATTGTTCAACTAGACCAACGTTCACTCCACTGAGGCTCTTCAACGGACGTCCGACCTCGACACGTCCTCAAGCCTTGTCAGCCGCCTCTTTTTCCCCAAACAGATGCACTGGCACTGCTTCGAGGACCTCGTGACGTCAAAGCAGCCTGTGTGTTGTGGTCAACTCCTGCTTGCAGGCGGCGCTGCTGCTGATAGGCGAGATAGCATGGTTGCTTTAGCCTAGGGCATGGAATGTTACCCTCGAGTTTCCGCCGTCGGGTGTCGTCGGCTGTCTCGGTGGCTAGGACAGGCTGTTGATACAGAAGGACTCTCCGAGGAGCGACGCAGCCAGTCCCTTAGTCGGAAGGGGCAAAAAGCGGCTGGATGTCTCAGTTGTCCATGTGTCTATTGGAACAGGTTGGTTCGTTCTTGGATAAAAGAAGACAGTCACATGAGCAATCCCATTGTTGCCTTGTGTGGGCCGCTCGCATATGCGTGCCATCCCGCCTGGAACATTCCGGGAACATGGGAGAGGGAAAACATGAGACCCGTTCGCCATGCTGGTTCCAGCTTTTTTTTTTTGGTTGTGTTTCTTGCGGAGACCAACCACCTCCGCATTCCTGAGCTCCCAGCTGCTTGGGTGCCCAATGAGCACCGCAGCTCCTGTCGATCCATGGTTCCTGGGAGGCCGGTGCTCCAATTCCCGCTGGGAGGACGATGGGAATCTTTCAGTTGCGCAGACAAACAAGTCGCTCAAACCAGGTTTATCACGGTCCAGGTGGTGTTGACGAGTCACGGCCTAAGGAATTCAATCCAACACGGATGAGAATGTATGTCCGAGTGAGTCTCCGCCGCCACGCGGCAACACCCACACAAATCTCGCAGGATTCTCCACTTCTTCATTCATCAAGGCGCCAGGGCCACAGCAGCAGATCTGGTTGGCCCATATTTCCCCCCAAGTCGGCCAGGACGAAGGAGATCTCCCCATGGAGAGAAAAGAGGGTCAAAGAAAGGTTGGACTCGAGGCCAAAGCGAAGCCTAGAGATCGACCTACGTCGCTGGTAAAAACTCGGTGAGCCGTCGTCCAAGCTATGAGAACAAGCATCTCAGAGGGCGTCCTTTCCTGTTGCTTCCCTGACCCGTCTTCTCCACACCACGGCATCCTCTAGCTACAACGGCCTATGAGATACCACCCTGCCCATGGGATTCCGCCCTGGTCGTCCTCCTTACCAGAGCGAGTTTAGAGGACGCAAAGGTCACCTGCAGCATATTGGCCACAACGCGGCTCAGTACGGCCGAGGAATCTCCCGCCTCTTGAGAAGTCAACCCCTGCCTCCTCCTGCTCCTCCTCCTCCTCCCCCTCCTCTCGCCACCTCATTGGACGATGGCTGGGCCCCAGACGGGTTGAGAGCTTGTCCCTCGGGCGTGTAGTCATGTCCAAAAGGTCGACTAGGCCAGAACTAAAGAACAATGCGCTTGTGTGTCTGCTGTGACGTCTCACGGGAAGGGCTGAACACGGACGCGACCAACCACCCCGCAAAGTGAGAGGCAGGGGTGGCAGGGTACTCTGTTGTCTCACTCTTGTGTCTTGTTTCTCTCATTCAAATCACCAGGATGCTTCCGGTACAACTCAGACGTTTCCGAGCCGCTGATCTGTGGAATGTAAAAGGGTCCATCTGCCACGAGCTATTAGGAGCATGCTGTATGTATGTGTGTGTGTATGTGTGTGTGTGTGTTGGTTGCTACGGGCGATGCGGTCTATACGCCAATGGAAAAAAGGTACTTGTTTTGTACACAAAATCCCTGCCATGAAGACGGGGGAAGGGTGGGCAGCTTGTTCATCCAATTCGTTCGGCCCTGGTCACGCAGACCGGATTCAGAGTGTGGTCTTGACCTTGGGGGGAGAGGGGGGGGGGGGCGCACATAGATGCTTGCACGCCTTGGAGGGTACTCGACTTAGCCACTTTTGACTCTCACAATGTTGTATCGGCTAAACCCCCCATTTGTGCATCATACCCTGCTCCCATCGCTGTGAATTCATGAGACCCTGGGGCGTGTCTGGGGTTGAGCATCGCTTGCGGGGATGGATCTTGGTAGTTCATCTCTTCGTTCGTCGTATGCCTGCCATCGTCCTATATAAAGATCGAGGCGGCTGCTGATCCCTTCACCTGCTGCCCATTCACCTACTTCACTTGCTCTCCTTCACTCCACTGCTCCACAAGGTCCCAGAAGCAGCCGAAGCTGCTTTTTCTGTCCTGAACTGGAGAGACGGTTGTTTCCAATTCTCAAATCCCAACCCTAATTGTTTCCTTTACACTTCCCTTTTTGCCCATCTCTCTTGACCAAGCCAAACATTTGCACGACTGATCGCAATGGGTGCCGACGAAACCCCTACAGGCATTGAGCCTGCCCCTCAGTATGTTGATTTCTCCGCAATTGTGTTTTTTGATGCTCAACCTTGGGACGGGGTTGAGAAGGCAACGGGCCGCTGACCATCTTACCCAGGCCTTCCTACCACGACCACTCGCACGCGGAGCATGGCGTCCATCATAGCTCGGCGATCAAGCCGACAGATCTCTCTGAGAACCTCGATGCTAAGATCAAGAACCCCTTGGCTGGTCTGTCCAAGCATGAGCTCCTGGGGCAGGTAGAGGACTTTGTGAACGAGAAGGGCCTCTCGGAGCATATTGAATACTTCAAGAAGGGCGCCTTGGTGGCACAGGACCCGGACAGCTTCGAAGAAATCAGCGGAGAGCAGAAGCTTACCGAGGAGGAGGTCGCAGTTCTTATCAAGGAGGTCGAACACAAGTGGAGAGTTCCCAAGGTCCTGTACCTGACTATCATCACTTGTTCCATTGGCGCCGCCGTTCAGGGTTGGGACCAGGAAGGTAGCAACGGTGCTGTCCTGTCTTTCCCCCAGGCCCTTGGTCTGGACACGAGTACCAACTACGGTCTTTACCTCGAGGGACTGATTGTTTCTGCACCATACGTTGGAAGCGCGTAAGTCGAGACATCTTTTTGGCATTCTCCCTCCTCCTATGATCACACTTTATACTGACCTGTGGACCAGCCTGCTTGGATGCTGGCTGTCGGACCCCCTGAACAACGTTCTTGGCCGCCGAGGTGAGAGCCTACTAATACACTTCTCTCCCTCCCTTTTGGGGTATTAGTGCCCTGGGACATCCCTAACTAATCTTTCTTCCATTCTTTCCAACTATAGGCACCATCTTTGCTGCTGCCCAATTCTGCTTCTGGCCCGTCCTCGGAAGTGCCTGTGCTCAGACTTGGCAACAGCTTCTCGTCTGCCGTCTTCTTTTGGGCGTGGGAATGGGGGCCAAGGCCAGCAGTGTTCCCATCTTTGCCGCCGAGAATGCTCCTGCTTCGATCCGTGGTGCTCTTGTCATGACTTGGCGTAAGAAATCCTGGACAAATAACCCCCCTCTGCTTCATACAGGCGAATGCTGACCACTTCGTTGCAGAAATGTGGACTGCCTTTGGTATCTGCCTCGGCACCTGCGCGAACCTGATCCTGGGCAGAGTTGGTTCTATCGCCTGGCGTCTTCAGTTGGGCAGTGCCTTCATCCCAGCTATCCCTCTGATGGTCCTCATCTTCTTCTGCCCCGAGTCTCCTCGTTGGTACATGAAGAAGGGCCGCTACCAGGACGCCATGCGGTCGCTGCTGCGCCTCCGCAACCATCCCATACAGGCCGCGCGAGATCTCTACTACATTCACGCCCAGATCGAGGTTGAGAGGGAGATCCTACACGGCTCGACATACGCGCAGCGCTTTATTGAGCTGTTTACCATCCCCCGCCTCCGCCGTGCGACGCTGGCGTCCTTTGTGGTCATGATTGCCCAGCAGATGTGCGGCATCAATATCATCGCATTTTACTCCAGTACTGTGTTTGAGGATGCTGGCACCACGGCGTACAACGCTCTGATTGCCTCTTTTGGCTTTGGCCTGATCAATTTCCTGTTTGCCTGGCCTGCTATCTGGACTATTGATACCTTCGGGCGGCGATCTCTCCTGCTCTTCACTTTCCCACAGGTAAGTCATCACCCATGGCCCTGCCCGGCCCTCTCTTCATTTCCAAAGTCTTTCAGTATGGTAACAAGATCTGACATTTGATTGTCCTTTCCCAGATGGCTTGGTCTCTCCTTGCGGCTGGTCTCTGCACCCTCATCCCGGGCGAGGGGAACGTCCACTTGGGACTTGTTGCGCTCTTCGTCTACATCTTTTGCGCCTTCTATTCGCCTGGCGAGGGACCTGTGCCTTTCACCTACTCGGCCGAGGTGTTCCCCCTGTCTCACCGTGAGGTGGGTATGGCCTGGGCTGTGTCTACGTGTCTGTTCTTCGCCGCCGTGCTCAGCATTTCCTTCCCTGCTATTTTGGCGTCGCTGGGCGTGATTGGTGCCTTTTGCTTGTACGCCGGCTTCAACGTTGTTGCCTTCTTCATGATCTTCCTGTGGGTGCCCGAGACAAAACAGAGGACGCTCGAGGAGCTGGACTACGGTACGTATTTCCTTCTTAACTTTCTTTCTCTGAAACCTGCCCGCCCTCCCAAAGTCATTCATCTTGTACTTAAGAAAAAACTGACTTCTGACAATCAAAATAGTGTTTGCTGTGCCCACCCGCACCTTCATGAGGTACCAGATCTTCACCTGGGCACCGTGGTGGTTCAGGCGGTACGTGCTCTTCAAGAAGGATGCCGTGCTGCCTCCACTGTACCACTTTGACCGCGTAGAGAGGGTCCAAAGCGAGTCCGAGTCGGAGAAGCTGGACAACAAGGCGCAGACGGAGATGAAGGAGAATGCGGCGGACGCCGACCCTGTACAGAAGTCGTAGGGCGGCCCAGTGAGCTGCCCCATGCTTTCTGAGCTGGGTTGGAAAAGAGGACGACGCAGCGCGGATTTGTTTATGCGCTCTCAATGAGACGGGTGGTGGTGATCAAACGGTTTTCTTCTTCTCGTCCTTGCTTCGAGATTGATACCTCATTTCTTGACAATTGTGTTTTTTTCTCTCTTGCAATGTTTTCTCTGGCATTTTCGCCTGCCCTGCGATGCGGGCGGAATGACTAGAGAAATATATACCCCAATCTCAATACTCGTGCTATCTCATTCTGTCGGCGCATAGTTGAGAAGTAGTGCGTCGCAGTCGTAAATACAGTCTGTATTGGTCTTGGTGGGTTGCGTTTTGCATGTGATTGAGTAGAGAGCAGGTTGTCGTTAATGACTGCTTGAGCTCAACACTGGTCTGAAGTCGATCCTGGGCGTGCATGGTGACGCATGATTGCTGTACCCAAGGGTACCATAGTAAAGGAGCGAAAACGTTCTGGCCCAGGTCTTAAATGCCAAGGTTTTGGCTCCTGCAGGTCCAGCACCACCCATGTTATAACATGACGGGGTAATTCGAGCAACTTTTCCTGATTTCCCTGATTTCTTGGTTTTGCGCCAGGGGTTCGATTTTGTAACTTTGTAGCAGGCGAAGGAACGGCCCCACTCAATCGTCCTCCAGGCTTGGGGCCCACCAATGGAAACCACAGACGAGACATTGTCATCGCCCAAAGGGGAAGGACGACGTCATCGTCAACAATTAAGCACTGCAATAAGCTTGAAACGACGGTCCAGCCTGCCTTTTTCTCCTTTTGCCTTGCCTTCATCCACCTTAGCTTTTGACTGACTGTCATAAAGAGGACGAGAGAGAAAGACCCCACGACAGGAGCACGCGAACCTTCTTAACGTGTGGCGAGACTTAGTTTGTTTAATCGAACCTTCGTTTTACTTGTAGAGAACGGTCAGTTGCAGGAGGTCGACAGAGGTCCAAATAACATCATCCCATACGACCAACCAACCCAACAACAACATGACCCACACCAGATCTCTCCTGCTCGTGTGGGGAGCCCTCTCGGCTGCCCACCTGGCTGCGGCTGTCCCAGCTGCCCATCCCATGATCACACCGGCGCCCGTCGTGTCGAGGGCAGAGCTCGAGCGACGCATCGACCTGGGCAGCTACCTGGGCTCCATGTTCTCGTCCCTCGGGTCTGACGTCTCGTCCTTCGTCGCGTCAGGCGTGCCGCAGTTCTTCAACGACCTCCCCACGGGCACGGCGGTGTTGTCGAGCCTGGGCATCTCGTCGAGCGACCTTGCAGCGAGCCCGACACAGGCGCTCAATGTGCCACCCTACGCCAACTGGACCGACCAAGGATGGAACGTGCGCGTGCACGGCAACATCTTCAAGCAGCCCAACATCTCGACCGACGACCTCAACAGCCTGGCCAACAAGTTCCTGATCGGTAGCAACATCCAGGACCTGCCGGCAGACGAGCAGGACCAGGCGCGGAACCTGACGAGCGAGATCTTTGTCGTGCAGCAGGACAACGAGGAGGTCATCATCAACTTTGTGAACAATGTGGCGGTCAACTCCAGCACGGACAGCGGCGCCATCAACGCGAGGGGCGGTGCCCAAAATATCACCATGCCCTACAACACGACGGCCGAGGGCGACTTTGACTCTTTCGTTGTGCTGGCAAACACCACGGGCGCCAGTGGGGCCTATCTGCTGCCCGGGAACGAGACGGACAAGCTCCAGCTCCTGGATGTCTACGTGCAGGGCGCCGCCACGACGGGCAACGCCACCGCATTTCTCGTGCCCACCGAGGGGATCACTATCATCTCCGATATTGATGACATCTTGCGTAAGTTTTTGGGACACCCCCCCCCCCCCGCCCCCTTTTTTTTCTTTTTCTTTGGAGAGAGGTATACATAAAATACAAGCATGCTCACATTGAGGTTCGTGGTAGGTGTTACAAAGATTTGGGATCCAGAGGTGGGAATCCTGAACTCGTTCGCGAAGCCCTTCACAGCATGGGAAAACATGCCCGAGGTATACGCGAGCTGGAGCAAGTCCGTCCAGAACCTACACTTCCACTACCTGACCACCACCCCGGAACAGGTGACCAAGAACTACATGGAGTAAGCATTTTCTCCCCATCTGATCGTCATGATGATCCGCACCGCTGACGATGTTCTGTTTGCCAGCTTCATCTACAAGACGTACCCGTTCGGCTCGTTCGACACGCGCCCGCTGAACTTCTCAGACGCATCGGCGACGCTCTCGATCCGCAAGTTCCTGCTCACCAAAATCTTCGAGACATTCCCGCAGCGCAAGTTCATCCTAGTGGCCGACACGTCTAACAGCGACGTCATGTCGGACTATCCCGAGATGGCTACCGACTTCCCAGGTCAGGTCCAGTGCATCTGGCTCAAGAACTCGTCGTCGGCGTACCAGACGACCAACTCCAACCTGACGGACAGCGATGACCCGTTCCCCTACGACACCAAGGGCTTCAAGGGCCTGAACGAGAGCACGTACATGTTCTTTAACAACGCGGACGACCTCATGGGGCTGGACATTGCCAGCGGAGAGTGTCTGAACACGACCATCGCGCAGAACGTCACGTTCGGCGAGCAGAACTTGCCGTTTGGGGCGGCCGGAACGGTGGTCCCTCCAGGATGGTGGAGGAGCCTGAGCGCGGGGCTGGGCGTGGTCTTGATAGTGATGGCAATGTCTTGATGAATTTGGAAATGGAGGGTGGCGAATATGATTGGTTGATAAGGCGTCTGGGAGAATTCTAATATCTTCTTGGGTAATTCATTTTGGGAGATTGAATAGTAGGGGTCTGGGAGGGAATGAACATGAGCTGAGCTCGTAATATATCACACGTGTCCATATCAAGAGTTCTTTTGGGGCTTGCTTCCGTTGTCATTAGTGAACCAGAGAAAAGAATCGAAGCTGGAGGAGAGTAGTAAGCCCAATCAAGGTGGCTTTTCCACGCAGAACGGCTCATGCGCTCTCATGTAGGATGCCCAAAAGTCAGCCGTTCCAGGAGACAAATGAAGGTGATGTTTAGAAGGCTGAATGCCGGCCACCAAGGCAAGTCATTATATAGTTCCGCTCCCTTGACGCTTGGAGTGGAAGAGAGCAGCAGGGCCAGAGCAGTAGTAGGTCCATGACAGCGAGAAGGACAGCGAGGAAGGGAATGGCCAGGATGAAGACTAGTGACCTATAACGGAGGTTTGAGGATAGGCCCAAAGGAGTTCTGGCAGAGGATGAAGATCGAGAAGAGAAAAAGAAGGAAAGCTGGAGGAAAAATGAAGGGAAAGAACACACACCTACCGCTCTGCGGTTCTGATTCGCGCTCACAGGCGGTACGCACTCGGCCTCGGCTCTACGACCCTCGAGGGTAATCTCTTTTCTTTCCTTCCCGGTTTCTGCTTGCATATGGAGGCGAGGGGGTGAGACAGACCAGACTGTCCACAGTCACTACCTCCAGATTTGGAGTCGCTGGCTATGGACGATTCGTGCATAAGGTTTGTGTATATACTTGAATAGCCTCAGCTCAGCTCAGCGCGTCCCGTAGCCCCAGGAAGGTTGCTGAGCGATGGGCCACGCTTTTTGTTCGCCGAGCATGGAATTGAACAGACGAACAAATAAAAATAAAAAACCGACGCTTAGAGTCAAGTTCAATGCAATCCACTTCCATGACCTGGTCTTTGCAATTTACGAACGAATCAAGAAGGATCATTGAGTCCAACCCTTCCCAGTACTCATGGCGAATATATGTACCAGACCAGATATAAAGTACAAGAACGCTTCCCATGACTCGTCCCTTTCCGCGGCCTTTTGAGAGCCTTATTTTACAACAGTTCACATGGCTAAGCTCAGAGGTTTCTGCCTAAAATAATATGTGCAGTATTTTGCACCATGCAAAGCAGGCCGTCATCCTACGAGAGATAGAACAAAAGCTATTACAGCATGATAATGATGATGATGATATGTGCAGCTAGTTACAATTGCAAGAAGCATGGCCTTACTGTCAAGTTGCTCGTCCACCTCTTGAGCTCGCTAAGTGCCGCACTGATATATTTCTGTGAAGATTGCAGAGAAACCGCGTCTTCTTCCAGGCCCAACTTGAATTTTGGCCACAAGTCCTGCGATAGGCCAAAGAAGGAAGAGAAAAAGATGATGAAGACAAGCCCAAGGTGAGCTGTGACTAACAAAACGGTCTTTGAGCAGTACGTTGCTCTGGATTATGCTTGGTCTACTCGATAGTAAGCTGGCACGGCTGGCCCCGCCTCCCCCTTAGCCCTCCGGGACACTGCAAAGCCTGACATGCTTGCAAGGCCAGCGGGCCCGGCCTATCGAGATCCGGCTCACGGAGCTAGCTGCTGGACAAGATTAGATAGCGAAGAAGTGGCTGTATGGCACTTGACGACGACGACGACGACGACGACGACAACGACGCCTGTTCATTTATGGGGGGGGGGGGAGGGTTGGCTTCTTCTTTCACCTCGGTGGTCATTTCTGAAGCAGGTGATCACAATCAGGAACCAGTATCTGGCGTGAGAATTGATATCTCACAATCACAATCATACGGAGCCCACCCCTCCCCCCACCCGCTTCCGGCACCAAGGACCGGCCGAGGGACACGTGCGCTGCAAGGGCAGGACGACGAGGAAAGAGAAAGAAGAAGGAAAAAAGAGGAGTGTGTGTCAGAAATTACCACAGTATACTATGTACATAAGTATATGTAATTGCATCCTCGTCTATTGGTCTGGCGGGACCAAGAGATTAGCGGTTGGTGCACGCGCGACTGGGGTCCATCGGCTGCATGTGGCCTGGGGTTGCCGGTGCTTTCTTAGCACAACGGCGGTGCGCACTGCGGCCTCCTCCGCTCTGCCGCTACTGGTCACTCTTATCTGGAGTTGGAATTATTGGGTAAGTCAGTCCAAGCGTGTAATAAGTGGTTGAACGGATATTGAAAGAACAAAAGAAAAGGAAGAGTCAAGAAAAACCCACCCGATCGGATCAGCTAACGGCGGGCAGAGTCGTGCTTTAGTGCCTAATGACAGTCTGTGTGTGTGTGTGTGTGTGCGCGCGTGATAAATTCTGTAAAGTTGATTGATCGGAGCGCCCGCCCGGTTGAATGGACGAATCGCCTGAATTCCGATTTGGACAAGGTGAGAAGAAAACAAACAAAAACGTGGGGTGAGGTGAGGTGCATGTTGCCTGGAGCAGGACCGGCAAGAAAGTGGAGGAGGGGGGGGGGGTTTGTTTTGTTTAGGATTATGATTAGGCGATGAGCCGGCTGAGGCAGATTGGGAAAATGATGCTCATTGATGGCGTATGACAAGTTCAACAAATAAGTCTATCCTTTCGAGACCGATAGAACCTTGTTCGAAGGGACGTTTTGCGCGCTCTCTCTCTCTCTGCTAGTAGTATGTAAAGTCTCACAGTAGTACTATGTACGTGCATGAAAGAAATAAAGGAACAAAAGTAGGTCGACTGTCCCAGACCCTGCAGATTAACAACATTTCGTCCATGTCTCTCTCTGCTGGTTCAGGCCGTCTGTCGCTTGAAGGCAGTACGACGACAGCGCACCCCAGGTTTCCGGGTTCGGAGACGGCGAGGAACAGCGTCAGGGGTATTGCACATAAGGTGAGCACCAGCCAATCAGAGCGCTATCATCACTTTTCTTATCAGCTGTGGCGCTGAGAAAGGAGAGGGGGTCCGGTTCACCCACCCCTAAAAAAAGACAACAAACACGAACGGGAGAGGTACCGTTAGGTAATTGAAATCCTGTGGCGCCCAAACGGTCCAGAATGTCTAGAGTGATTGCATGCAGTCGCCTTTCTTCTTGTGTCAGTGCCGGCCGTAAATGGCTCAATGGCAAGACCAGAGCCGAGGGTATCCTGTTCACTTTTAATTTCCCTTTCCCTCTCTCTTGCTGAGAAAATGCATTTTATTGTCTTGAGTGATAATATGATTTCTTGCTTTTGACACTTAATTGCTTGCAGTGTTGGAAAGCATGGAATGGCAGGGAGGGTTAGCAGAATGACGGTTTTCAGCTGTGAACGGCCGAAATCGGCTTGCCATGTGAGTAGGAGAGCGAAGAGTGAGACCCCGGATTTGACTTGTACATAGTAAGTCTCGGCACCAAGAAAAAAATCGAGAGCAGACGGAACCCAGCCACCCCACCCTTGGAAGAACAAGGCTGGCGGGTGGGGCTTCTCTTCAGCATTCAATCCTTCAGATTGTTGTCTCGACGAGAGATAAAAATGGCAACCCCGGGAATGGAGGCCCGTGGCCGTGTTCAGCCACGCCATGTTCGTGTTTGTCTCGTTCGTATACGAGGTAACTTGTCTCTTTGGCTTTCATCCTTCCTGTTCGTCTTGGGAGGGAGAAGAATGCGAATCAACCCATCAGGCCACGTGTATGCAGTCTGTGTATTCCGGAGTACATATCATGGTACTAAGTTAGGAGGATTCTGCATCGACGGCGGAGGAAGGCCCTTATCCATGCATGCTGCCCTGGTACGATGAGGGGTGGTGGGTAGCACACACGCGACCAGTGAGGGGTGGTGGTGGGTTACTCCTAGACACTCACTGGTGACGTGGGGTTCCCTCAGCCCCTCCACGTCGTCCGTCCCGTCACCACCACCACTCGTTCCATTCCTGATTCAGGCGAGAGTCGCAGGGCCAACAAAAAAAAAAAAAAAACCCCTCCAACAAATCTTGTAGACATAGTAGATAAAAGTATAAGCGACGGAGAAACAAAAGAAGAGAGAGAGGAGAGGGGCGGGAGAGAAAATCAGCATTCTCGGAATAAACAGGACCGTCACGACTTACCTTCCTTTGTCTTGGCCCCTTGCCTTGTCTTTCTCTCCAACTCGTGGCGCGGGTAATTATAGTGTCACCCCCCCTTTGCCCGAACCACTGACGGATCATAGCACCAAGACCCAGAACCTCTTGGCTTGGGGGACACGAAGATCCATCTGTTCCTTCTGGGCCCCAAGGAAGGGGAAGAAAAGAAAAAGAACAGAAAAGGAACCCTCTTTGTTGTGAACAAATGGCATGCCCGCTTTTGTTGCCCTTTCCAGAAGTCGAGACCTGGCTTGGTGAGCGATTCCAGTGACCCTGAACCCCACCAAAGTGTATATCCTGTGTGTAGCCAGCCCTGCCCAGAATCCTCATCCTAGGGACCCTAGATGATCCAAGGTTCCAGTGTGCACCTAGTACATAGGACGTACTGCCGTAGTCTGCGTGACGTGCTGACGGGCCCGGACCCGGTCGCCTGGGAAAACGCAGAAAGGGCAAGAGCAGGTCACTACTGCGACGTTAGTACTACGTAGGTACTGCTCTGGTCGCCCCTCCCCGCTTCCGTGACTCTAAATCCCTCCATACCCAGCTCAGCTCCACCACGCCTTTTTTCTTTTTAAGACTTTCCTTCCCTCCCCCCCCCCCCAAACAGCTCCATACTTGTAGATCTCCTTTCCTTGTCCATCCTACAAAAAGAACCAACCCTTTAGCTCGCTCGTCGACGACGACTGCTTCACGTCCAACCTTTCTATACCTTCCCTCCAGCGACCTCTTCGCTCCAATCTTTCTGCTCCTGTTCCTCCTGACGAGACTCGTCAGATCTCTCATACAAGATGGTACGTTCACTCTCTCTTGCGCGGGCGCGCATGTCGGCCCACCTTATCTACGGGCCCCAACAAAGTCCCCTCATGGCGGCGCAAAACTCCCCTACAACGATATCGTCGCCACATTCGAGCACAGGACAGTTGAGCTGACCAGGAGACCTCCTCTTTCTTCCCTACAGGCTTATAACGATGCTTTCGGGACCTCCTCGGCCCAGAACGTAAGCTGAGGCTGGCGAGAATATGTATGCCCACACGCAAAGGCACGGGAACTAATATGTCTCATAATACACAGCTGGCCCCCTTCCTGGCCCTCAGCCAGAAGGGAAAGATCATGGCCGAGTACATCTGGATCGACAGTGAGGGCGGTGTTCGATCAAAGTCGCGGGTAAGTTTCCTTGCTCTGTCCGGCTCGATGAATTGATAGAGACAGAGGTGGAGAGGAGGAAGAGACTGAGACATGACGCACCACCGGTTGCGCCTCTGTGTGTCTCTCTCCACATGTCTCTCGTCTTCCGGAACCGATTGTCCCCCCAAAAGAAATAGGATAACCCGCTGACTGGAATGCTTCAAATTACAATAGACCCTGGACGCCAAGTCTGGCGGTTACACACCCGCTGACCTCCCAACAGTATGTGTCGTCCCCTTCCTTCCCTTGTCCTCTTGCTCGCTTTGCTTGCTTGTTGTTCTTCGCTAATCTGGCCCTCCTTTTTCTCTCTTTCCCCCTTTGCAGTGGAACTTCGATGGCTCCTCCACCGGCCAGGCCCCTGGCGACAACAGCGACGTCTACCTGAAGCCCGTCGCTGTCTACCCTGACCCCTTCCGCACTCAGGGCGGCGACAACATTCTCGTCCTCACCGAGTGCTGGATGTCCGATGGCACACCTAACAAGTTCAACCACCGCCACGAGTGTGCTAAGCTGATGGAGAAGCACGGCGCCCACAAGCCCTGGTTTGGCCTCGAGCAGGAGTACACCCTGCTCGACCTCAACGACCGCCCCTTCGGCTGGGTAAGCACACACAAGACCCTGTCGCGTCCCTTCCTCTTCGGTGTCATTATGACATAGGAGATGTTGCTTACTCTCTGCTAACAACTGATCTCTCTTATTTCAGCCCGCCCACGGTTTCCCCGCCCCCCAGGGCCCTTACTACTGCGGTGTCGGCGCCGGCAAGGTCGTCCAACGTGACGTCGTCGAGGCCCACTACAAGGCCTGCCTGTACGCCGGCGTGAACATCTCCGGCACCAACGCCGAGGTCATGCCCGCCCAGTGGGAGTTCCAGGTCGGCCCTTGTGAAGGTATCGACATGGGCGACCAGCTCTGGCTTGCCCGTTTCCTGCTCCACCGCATCGCCGAGGTCTTTGGTGCTCGCGTTTCCTTCGCGCCCAAGCCAATCCCCGGTGACTGGAACGGTGCCGGTCTGCACAGCAACTTCTCCACTGAGGAGATGCGTAAGGAGGGTGGCATGAAGCACATCGAGGCTGCCATCAAGAAGCTCGAGGGCCGCCACAAGGAGCGTACGTTATCTCCCCCCCCCCCCTTCCTGCCTTGACATCATCAGACACGCCCAGCCATGAGCGTCACCCGCAAATAAAAAGCTGACCTCTTTTCTCTTTTTCTGCAGACATCCTCGTCTACGGAGAGGGCAACGAGCTCCGTCTTACCGGCAGGCACGAGACCGGCGCCATCGACCAGTTCACATATGGCGTCGCCAACCGTGGCTCCTCTATCCGTATTCCCCGCGAGTGCGCCGCCAAGGGCTACGGCTACTTCGAGGATCGCCGCCCTGCCTCCAACGCTGACCCTTACCAGATCAGCGGTATCATTATGGAGACCATTTTCGGCGCTGTCGAGTAGAAAGTATACCTTTCTTGGGTCATTGTTTCCTGTTGTATAAGGGGGAAGATTGTGTTGAGCAGAGGGACCTTACTGCATACGGGTGGGTGAAACGAGAGTGCGAGATGAGTCATTCGAGCGAGATCCATGGTACTGGTTCCTTTTTTTCTTTTTTCAATAAACCTGTTGCTTCTGGTCTAAGAGTGTAGCTATACAAGAGCAGTACGCGGGGCAGATATCCGTAAGGATTCGAGTTCGTGAGACTCGTAGATAACCTGCATATGGAGAGATTGGAGGTTAGAATGATGAATCTTGTGGTGTGCGTGTGTATGTGTGTGTCCAGTCCCACGAACAGCCTTGACCCGTAACCCAATGCCAAGAAACTTACTACGTCTTTGCAGATGTTTGTGAAACGGCAACTCACCCTACAGCAGACATCTAAAGTGTCAAGAGGCCGCACCATTGAGTGCTTAGGTCGGCAGACACCGGTCCGAAGCAGTCCGAGAGGCGGGCAGGAGGATCTAACCCGGGGGCATAGCGTCTTTCGTCGTAGTCGGGGCTTCCGAAGTTGCGAGCTAGAATGAGGTCTATGCCCCCCTCTTACATGCATGTGCATAGTCATGTACAGGCCGGCTCGGCGGGGCCCTTGTCCTGCCGGCCTCCCTTCGAGGCTGATCTCGCAAAGATATAACAGGGCAGATGATGCTTATGCTAGGTATGTGTAGCCATAAGAGACCACAATGCAATGGTGAACAGTGATTGCCGCTTTAAAAACCGTCCCCCGCCCCGCTTCTCTCCTTTGGAATTACGTAGATCATCTGCTCGTCTGTGTAGGGATACTTGACTGCCAGAGAGAGACCTTGTTGAGCTGCCGCACTTAGGTTCTTTCCCTCAAAGAAGAGAAATAGAATAAAATGAAAAGAACATTTGTTGTAAAAGAAGAAAGAAAGTTGAAAGAAGAAGAATAGAAGATTTGAGGGAAAAACGTAGGAAGGATTGGGAAAAGGGGTAGAAGAAGAGATAATCCAACCCATCGTCTCTGCTGGCTAACATGTCGTGTGGATGGGTAGTCAAAGTAGTCGGTCGACTGACTATTTACCTGCCTGCCTACTTACTAAGTAATTGCAAAGTAAATATCTTTGACATCATACGAACTTCACTTCGATTCGTCCATTCCCTCCCTCCTTCTCCTTCTCTTTGTTCTCCTCCTCCTCTCCCTCACCACTACTGTAACCTGTACCGACTAAGTTGTCAGCGTAGACCAGCATACATTCAATAAGACTCGATAATTTTGGCGCGAGGATGTCAAGAAAGGGGAACAGGGGAGCGGGAAATCAAAGCTGAGGCTATATTCTGAGATATAACTCGAGATACGTAGCGTGAGAGGAGCCCCAAAAGGGGTTCGAACATAGGTCAAAGAAAAGAAAGGGGAGAAGGCCCCCCCACGACCATTGTTCTTCCTTTACCAAGAAAAGTCATTCCTTTGCGTAAGGACTGTACTTGAGGAAGCTCCGCGGTTCGCGGCTAGATACTCGGGACACAGAGAAAGAACAGGCAAAGCCTCACTCGCGGCTCGTGCGCTGTCACAATGCAAAAAAAAAAAATTTGCACTCAGTACCACGGTAGTGAAAAGCTTATAACCTGGAAGTGAGCTGGTCAAAAGCTTGTATCTATGCACCCCGATTCGGCAGGCCCGATATCAGAGGGTCATGCTGTCCCCCCCCCCCCCCCCACCCCCTCCCTCGTGCCAGACAAAGCCAAGCAAAATCATGATGATGATAGCTTGCAGTGAGATGTAACAATAATAACGTTTAACAGTACCGAAGGAAGAAAATCTCAGATCTCAGCATGGTAGACGAACCATGACACATGCCTCCTAACCAGGTTGCAAAGGTGCACGTGTCAAACTGATGTCACCTAGAGATCCAGCTCGATGGCTCAGGTCCACACAAACAAAACAAGAAGGGATTGGTCGACGACTCTTCCCAAGACACCGACCCACCTCACTTTTAGTACTAATTCCAGCCTCCTCAGAGTTCGCCCACCGAGTTGCTCTCCGCAACCACATGATCGCCTCTCGTACTGATGGCGACATTGGTTGTCCCAGCACCGGAGATTGTCTAGCTTGATTAACTGGGGACGGCTTCTTGGTTCCTGCGTGTGGGCAATGTTGATGGGCTCGGTTTGGTGACGTTGTCATCTTCAGGAAGTGCTCGCCTGGCTTTTTCATCAATCTTGGATTCACGCCCCTTGACTTTGTATCTCATTCGACGAGGGTGTTATGCTAGCCTGGTCACGAAAAAGGGATAGATGCTGTTGATCGTGGTGTGATCTTTCTGTTGATGATGCCTGAATTGCAGTGCACTACCTAAGTAGAGACTTCAAGCATGGAACCGGGAACTCGCTGGCTAATTATGCTATTGTCATCCTTTGCTGAGGATTCTGGGCTGTAATGACTGTCCAAATCGATCCCGCTCATTTGGCTGACAGGGTGAAAAGGAGGTTTCTGATGATTCCGAATAATGAAGTGTCCGTGTTGAGGGAGAGTCTTTGGGAGCTTTGACTTTTGCGTCGTCTCAGAGCCCGTCTGTTCCTCCTCGCATTCGCCTTATATTCCATCTTTTTTCCTGTGGGGGTGGGCCAGGAACTCATAGACACGCAAGTTCTGCCGGGCTGCTGCTCACCGTGTCCTCCTCCCTTTTCCGACCCTCCCCTTACCACACGTCCCCGTCAGACTCGGCGTACATGTACAGTGTCTTCCTCTCTGCTAATCTTATGTCTCCCAGCCCACTCCGCGTCATATTTTTTTGGATTACCACGCTTCTCCTGAAGCTGCTGTCTCACACATAAACCGCCGTATTCCCACCGGTGCTTCCTCTAAGCCCACACTTCGGCGTGCCGTACCATTTGCTACAGCGCCGGACGCTGCTCCCTCCTCAGCCCTCAGCCCTGGAGCTCTCTAGGCGCGTGCCTGTGACTGCACGGCTGTACTAGTGATGAAGCCAAGAGGAGCAGGTTGCGCGTTGGTGGCGGGAATGTACGGCACACCGGGGTTAGCAACCTTCTCCCTGAGTTCCCAGTATTGGCCGCCCTGGTCCGTGATAACGACCTCCATAAGAGAGTACTTGAGAACACCCCCCTCAAAGTACGGCACGTAGATGTCTCTGGGTTGGGAGTCCATCTGGGCCTGGGTGTGGGGTGGGATCTGAATAGTGTCCCGACCCTCAGCCTGGTGGTGAAGGGGGGTGGGGTGGAAGTGATGGTCAGTCATGTCGGCCTTCCTTGGGGGTGGGGATTGTGGATGGGGCAAAGCATCTCGTAGGGGCTGATCAGATCAGGATAGAAGCTCACAAGGCAGTTAGCACAGGCTGAATTATGGACATAGACCCAGTTGCTGCAGTTGTGGGTGTAGAAATATTTACACCTGTACTTGTAAAAACCGCCGCTCCCACTCCCGCTCATGGTGGCTGTTTAGTACTGTTGAATAACGAAGTTTTTTTAAGCAGGGTAGACACGACTTTGAGGACCGAATGAGGCTTGTCACTGGTGCTGTGACAAAAGTCCCTGAACAGGTGGGGTTGATGACACAGGTAGAAGCGGTGACGCAAAGCTTCTGCGAAAGTTTTGAATGCAACGAGGAGGTTAAATATATTCAAGAAACAAAGCAACAAAACACACTTTTTGAGGCCGTAAAGGAGAATGTGATGAACCACAAGAAGAGAAATGAGGATCAGAGACGGAAAGCAGAGTAGTCAGATACTGAGGACGTGGCTGTTGAGGATTTTTATATTGACGAATTGCCTCAATTACCACCATCAAGGCAAAGGGTTCAAGGTACCCGTGTGAGGTTCGGATCGAGACGGAGGAGGGACGATTAAGGTATGCAAGGAACAAGGGTCATGGGCAACATGTGCCAAAGGGTCGAGAAGAGTTGGCCAGTGTGGGCTGTTCCGCCACGAGGTGGGTATGGGTGTGGGGGGAAGAGGTTGTGGACGATGTGGATGGATGCTGGAAGGGTACATGCAATGTATGTAGAACTATGTCACCATAGCACCAGTGGACTTTACCAATGTATGTGTGTATGTGATTAAGGCAGAGATCTCCAAGAGGGAGTGAAACGGCACAGGAATCAAAGAGAAAAAGAAGAAAAAAGGAAGAAAATACAAGGAAGGACGAGGGAGACAACAACTCTTTTTTCCTGACTCAGCTATCTGCAGTCAACAGTTGAAGGCAGTGTCATGTTTTGTTTCCACCTGTGTGGGTAGAAGAAGACAAAGGGCGAAAGAAGAAAAAAGAAAGAGAGAAGAGTAAGATTGAAAAGAGAGAGGAGAAAAAAATGAGGACCGAAAAGGGAAAGAGAAAGAAAAGGAGAGAGGAAGAGGAAAGGTTGTTCGTTCTCGGGGAGCTAAGGATTGGTTGACCTTTCACTAACACATTTCGTAGCCCCCACACCTTGCAACTGCAACCACCAATACGTCGCTACCCGCACCCGCCATAAGCACCACGGTGCAGTAGCCAACTCCACCGAGCCTTACTGTGTTGGGGGTGCGTACCTTCCCTGCCAGCCATTATCCCCCCACGTTCTGTTGAGATGATTCTAATATGCCGTAGTAAATGCCATAGTCAGACAAAGTTTGCAATTGTGTGCCCTGTCCGCCGGGATGTGGGGAAAGGGGAGGGGGCGCTTGTTGCGGAGGAAGGCAGCGAAAAGGGAATATGAAGAGAGAATGGAGAAGGAGCAATGAAGAATGGGGAGAAGGACCAGGCGTGCAGATCCACCGTGTCAGGATATGATAGCCAGTCGAAACAATGATGGGGAGGTGGTTGTACCGAAATATTATTTACGGCTATAGTACAGCCATCATAGTACACAATATATGGATGAGTGACGTTATGGCTCGTATATCCTCTGATTGCTGTGCGACATGCGGCTGGCCCGTCTTGGTGTCCTTGCGCCTCTGTTTCTCGCTACCAGGGATGCACAACCAGTAGGAGACGAAAGCAATCCCGAACGCGGGGATGATCGTATGACGACGGCCGTCTGATGAAATACTTGGCCTCGAGACCCCTCCAATGAGATGAGCTGCTGTACTGTGGTACATTGAGGGGGGAGGGGGCCAGGACCAGGATGCGCGGCATCGGCTTCAGGACGCCGAGCTGTCAGGTGTGGATTGGGAATAAGCTGGCGAAATCTTGAGGTGAAAGAGGGTAAGCGGAAGGAAAGGAATACGCGTCCGGATTCTCGCCAAGAAGCACTGAGGACTTAGTGGCCGCCAGAATGAATATGAGATATGACAGGAGTGGGAGGAGAAGGAGAGACGGAGAGACGGCCATACACGTGAAACATCCTGAACTTCGCGTCCTTTCCATGAAATGATATATCAATAACGTTGGCCTGGTTTGGCTTACCCTCACAACACCTTACTTAGCCATTGTAACCGTACGCCGAAGAAAGCCAGTGGTGTGCCATACAGGCCCTGTGAGCGACAAGGGGGTTTAGTGCATATGTAGGGGTTAACAAGGGAAAAGGGAGGGGGGGGAGTACCTTGGAGGGAACATTGTAGGGCCATCCAGTAGGCCTTCTTGCCGTAGTGCAGATGTACCCTGCAACATGTGTAATGACACGGATGGTAGGATTGCTGCAGGGCTGGCTGGGACGACCAGGGTCAGCCCTTGGAAACATGTCCCAAATAGGCGTGCTGAGCCGCGCGGCAGATGTCGTGCAACGGTGACAGATGACATTCCCGCCTTGCTTAGCAAAAGGCTTGCCGTATGAGGTTGGTATGGGTTGAGGCTGAAAGGTCTGGCCAACTGGGTTTCCATGGCCTTCTAGTGCATTCAACCTCCCACATTTGCTGTCTCCCGGGTTGCTGGCTGCTGGCTTTAGTGGAAAGCTTGCTGGCAGCAGAAGAAGATGCTGCAGATGGCAGTATGCAGGGCATGCTGGTCGTGCTAGTGGGCTTTTGGGACGGGGAGGGGTAGTATATAATAAGCCAATAAGGACACGGCAGGCACGAGAGGGGATTTACGAAGTACGTACCATATAGTTGTATTTACTTGTACTTTGTACTATGTACTTTTAATGGTTCCTGGAACGTACTCTGGGTTTCTGGTATTATATGGCATTGTACTGTGAGGATTATCGAGCGTGAGAAAGAGGGATTATGTGGGGTCATTGCCAACTCTGAGAAGCTCGCTACGCAGGCCTTCCTTCCAATGAGGGTACTTGACGGCAGACAGCAGCACGTGAGCACGCACGTTACATATCACATGGTGCGTGGGTCGAGAGGACGAGTGCTGGTAACTGCGGCCCTGACGAGCATTCTTTCAAACATGAATCGCGTCTGATTGGGGGAAGGAAGGCTCCGGTGGGTGGGTTGTGATTTCTTCAACAACTGACATGAGGCATGGTGAGGGGTCCCTGGCACCTGCCCCTCCACACCCCACCTTCTCCTTCCTCGCTATTTCTCCCTTCCAGCCCTTTCCCTCCTGTGAGAGAGAGCTGGAGCCAGTGTATCGCAGTAGTGGCATGCTACGAGTGCTTGACAGCTGACGCTGGATATTCTCTCCCCCTGCTAAGACAACGGGGGGCCTCAGCGTCACAGCAGTTGTGGGCACCTGCAGTCTTTGCCGACGACATGTCATCCAGACGATTTCTCGGTTTCACTACCGCCGACCGTTTCTGCCGTCAACATCGTTCATCGTCTGCGCCCTCGCCCGCGGTGTCGCAGTCTTGATCTCCCAACTCCATCCTATGCTGCGACTGGCCAGCTCTGTCTCGGTCCTTTTTGCGATGCGTCTACTCTCGACCGTCATCCTTCGCATGCAGGCTGCGCCCGAATACGTCACACATCACCATGGGCCCACTTCCAGACCTGCTCGCTGTGTGGCTGTATGGTGACTGCTGGCTCCTCGACTACAGTTCTATTCGTGCGGCAACCGAATATCCGAGAGAAAAGAGGGTGTGAGGGTATTTACAGCCATGCGATACAAGGGCTTCACGTATGAGAATATCAGCCCAGCGAGCCTGCTTCAACTCCCCCGACGAACAGCCGAGAAGGGTCACATGGAGTGTCATGGTCTCGTGTCGTCACGATGACCCTACGGGTATCTACTTCTAACCAGTTCTTGTCTACCCCTCCTTCGTCTCATACCATGGTGCGTTGCCGACGACTGATCACCTCGACGCGGCCGAAAGATTACCCTACCTATTGATCACTTAGGGGTTTGAGCATAGTAAACCCCTCCCCGCTTTTCCTTCCCAACGCAAAAATAGTTTACTCAACACTTGTTCCTCAGATGCTCGACGTGTGTGCCAAGGCCAGGAACAAGAATGGGGGCAACAAGAGAACCCCTCATGACAGAGCTGCGGAGCAGCTCCACTAGCCTGGTTTTGGCACACAGCTCATGGGAGAGGCTTCGCTCACAATGAGTTGCTAATAGAGAGCGCCTCGAGCGGCCTTCTGTATTTGCTATCGTGAAAGATCTTCGCGGGTCCGGGCCAATTCTCCAGATCCACTTTGCACTACTCCTCCCTGACCCAGAACCGCCTTTGTTGCCCACGAGAGCCGCACCTACTCGCTACCATAGCATTTATGATATCGCCTGCATCATGTTTCCACCTCATCTCCCACCGAGAAACGGCTGAGATGGGAGCACTCTTGCAGCTTACGTGGGGTACGCCACGGTGTGTCAAGGCAGGACTAGGATCGCCACATGGTACTTCGTGTTCGGTTTGTATTCTGGGGGTCAACTGCTCGAGGCCATTGGCCAGTTCGGTTTTAACCAGGGCGTCAGATCACGCCCGTCCTTGTTCAACCTCAGGAGCGTCTTCAGCATCACTGCAAGTATTAAGGCTGCATCCTGTACGTTGACCTCGTAGCAGGGGGCCACTTGATGTCGAGGAGCCCAGGAAGGGTGGGCGGCGAGACGCAACATCCCTCACCTAAAAGCACACAAGCTCATGCATCCATTGCCGCACAAACACACACACACACACACACATATCCATACATATCCACACACCCACCCAGCATTCCTATGGAGGCGATCCATCCTGGTTCCCACCACATGGATGATGGCCTAGGTGGATCAACCACGGGAAGTCAAAATTTTTCGGAAATCGTACCGTGAGGAGACCCATTTCACATGCCTGGCAGCATTAATCAGCAGCGGAAATGACTGAAGGGGCTCTGCTTCGACCAGGGTGAGGTCGTGAGCAGCTGCCCCGACGAGCGAGCTTCTCTCACTTCATGCAAAACTACCAGCTATCGCACACAGAGAAGGGTTTATACCTACTTGCTTTTGAACATGTGCGTAGTAAGGCTCATCTATGTTCTTTGATTAGGGCACCCCGATTCACTGAGATGTATCATGTTCATTACAACTATAACATGACGAGAGCAGCGTTACGAGCCGCACTAAAGGGCAAGCCTGAAGCATCGCTATGTCATCGACATGACCCTACCTAAAAGGACTCGATGATACACATCACAGACCGAGAGTGCCGGTGCATGCGCAAAAGCTGCTCTGGTACAAGCACAGTGATTTAAGCCTGTATCAGCAGACTGCGAATGCCTCCTTGTGTGCCAGACTCCGCTCCAAATACGACACACACTTCCAATCAGGATAGATGGGGCTGCATACGGCTAGAAGGTGGGCCATGCCCGAGGAGATATCTTTTGCAAATTCAGCTCAACGACATGCTCATGAGGCCAGCCAGTAGAGGCAAAGATCTCACTGTAGCGCCAAGAGCGGTCAATAGTATGGTCAGATACTTGCAACGGTGCGCATTTGCGGGGTCTCTTGTTAGGATGAGTGAATCACCAGCCAATATTTCGAATTGGATCCCATCACACAGACGCGTACAGCGTAGCAGTGCATATCGACAGCCTTATGGGTGCGGGGCTCGTGGCCATGGGCCACTTTATTTCACACAGCCCACATGTTTGCTCTTTGGAATGTCTGTCGCCGGCAGCTCTTCGATGACCGCTCAGCTCTTGCGAGCAAACATCTTACCCTCATGGGCCAACAGACGAGAAATTGTTGGAACGCGTGAACACGCAAAAGGCTGAGTAGGCTACGGCGAAACGATTGACTTTCCGTGAGTACTTGTAGACGCACACGATCTTCAGATGACACGTCTCACGACGTTTTACTTTGGAAGTTGTCCTCTCTGGAGCAGGCAATGCGAGTGCCTGTCCACAGAGAACCAGCCCAGTTGAGCTCATAATATTATTTCAGGTATTCAAGAGCCGAAGCCCAGGACAAAGCCATCAGGTTGTCGATGCGCCTCAACGGCTTCAGCTTACATTTAATCTCCTCGTGGCTTACTGCAGCATGTCCGTACCCAGACGAGCACCCTCTCCTGTGGGCCATAGCTGTCAACAGCCTGAAAAGCCAGTCGACTCCAGAGCACTATAACACAAATGGGCTGGTAGTGGCTTGCGAGTTCGAGAGGAGGTTTTGTTGAGTCCCAGCACCCTCTGCGTCACTACGTCCAGATCCTTACGCCCGTGGCGCCCTGCGGCGGCAGGCACTGCTGCCGCCCACCCGAACCGTCCACAGCAGGCGGACCAACGCAGGAAGAGCGTGTAAGGCATATCAGGAATGATATATAGAGAATCTACATTTTTTGCGTCCTGCTCAGGTTGCCCAATTGGCTAATTAGAAGGAACCGCCACCTTCCCATGCACATCATGTTATGCGTATGAGGTCAGCGGCAAGCACGGAAGCCCGTTGTTTTCTCGTCTGTAGAGCCGAGACCAGCGGTCAGACTCTGTGAAGTAACAAGAAAAAGGCAAAAAGTACACATATGAGGTCAGCGGCAAGAAGGGACGCCCGTTCTTTTCTCGTCTGTAAGGCCGAGACCAGCAGAATTTGTGAGGTAATAGGAACAAGGCAACAAGAGGAACGTGTACGGTCGATCTTTCCACCTTTCTCTCCACAATGTCCAGGCCTTCTTTTAAAAGGACGGACAGATATACCGTCGGCTGTCCATATTCATGGACTCATGCAGGCTACTGATCATCAATGTGCTTTCACATGTGCATCCATGAATACGAGGGAGAAAGGTATCGGCAAGTCATGGTACGCTCTCTCTTGCTGAGGCGAGACTTGCTCCTTTTCAGAAGGCGCAGAGGGTTGTATTGATGCATGATACCTCACGACGTAGTCGTAAGTTGAATGAAGAAATGGACTGAAGCGTGGCGAGCTCAGATACAAGTACTTTTGGTACCTCTACACACACACACACACACACACACACACACACACACACGCAAGCATCTCCTTTTGGGGTAACGTTTTTTCCCTTCCCTTTTTCACAGCCCCAGAAGGAGGGACAGGGGCAGAAGGCAGAGGGAGTTGACCATCACAGTGCGTAGTGACAGATCATCTGTGCCCGGGTATGACGAGGATGGAGCAGCTGTTCCGAACCACTGACTGTGCCTCAGCGAGACCCGCGGTGATGGTGTCAAGCCGGGTCTCTCTAAAAAGAGGGCCAACTGCTCGAACGGTACTGGCTCCCCATTTCTGTGGCTGACCACCTGCATACAGAAACTGATCTTGCGTTCCTCCTAAAGACCACAGCACCGTCGCCACCCTACAAAGATGCATGACCCAACGGACGATACAACAAGATTCTTGTACTCGCCAAGCATTGTAGACCGGCGTGTCGTCAGCTATCAAGCGCCCAACATTAACTGTTGATCTACCCCTCCTTCTTGCTGCCACTTCTTATACCTTGATCTTCACACACACACACACACACACACACAGACAGATAGCAGGTTAGTGGTGGGCTCGGCCAGGATTTCTGTCCGTTTAAAAAGGGAAAGGGAGGGATCTCCAGCAGAGTCCTTGTCCTCGACGGTATAAGTCGCATTCATTGTCCCTTCTTCTCTGTTGCAACTTTCTGCACCAACTTCTTGGTTCCAACCCCCACCCCCCTGCAAGGCTGGGTCTTGTTGTTTGCTCATGCAGGCAAGAAGATGTTCTGGATCCCCGTCGTCGTAAGCTCTCGCCTGCCCACGCGGTGGCGTTGCATGAAATTACCCAGGCGCACACACCCACACACACAACACGCACGCACACCTACACACACACACCTCTACACACACAAAGGGAGAGAGATGCGATTAGCAGAGAGGGCTCGCACGAGATTGTGGTAATACCGTGGTTTACGTTTCTTCCCACCCTCCTTTTCTTTTCGTTTGTTCCTTCTTGTTTTTTCTTTTTTTCCTCTTCATTTTTCTCTTGTCGTGCGTAGTGTGTCAACTGGTGTGTGGTGTGTGCGCGCGCGCGAGAGAGAGAGAGACATGGAAGAAGAAGAGAGAGAGAGAGAGAGACCGGAATGCAATATATAACCAGTCATGGACAACATTTATCAATATTTATTACGAGAAATGAGTTCCCATTCAGGTTTAGCAGAAGTTACTTAGTACTTGTAGAAATGTGGAAAGCAAAACGGAAGTAGATTTGGACGCCTATCAAAGAAGTATGAATCAAAATCGGGAGAAAAAAAGTACCATCTTCTTTTCATTTTCATCCAAACATATCAATTAACTGACACCGACGTGTAACCCTTTGCAAACGCAACAAGTGCTCAAAAGTACGTAAAACCCACATAAATACTGAAGGGGGTGGGGAAGGGGAGAAAAGAAAAAAAAAAAGAGAGAAAGAGAGAGAAGCACAGCAAGAAAAGGCACGAATTTGGAAAGAAGTGAGAATCAGCAAACAAGCAATCCCCTGCGAAATTCGTCGCTTAATTGCGCCGCCTCCAGCTCATCTCGCTCCTCGCTCCCAAAATAATACGGATCCGGGAATAAATACGTAATTAAATGTGCTTGAATCAGACACCGGGTAAGGAAATCCTGATTTTATTTCACTTCTCCCTCCTCTGGGCCGAGGACCATGGAAATCGATAGGAACTTAGCCGAAGGGTTGTGTCCTTTTTCTTTCTTGTCCGCACGGATACCTACGGCTGGTGTGCTTATTGCGGACGAAAAGGTCCTGCCTCTCCAGTCTTTGATGAGGGAGAGGGGTGTAAGGCGAGGCTCCAGTGGTTGGTTTCCGTAATCTTCAGCAACAAAGAGAGGGGAAATGCATGCCTTTTACCCAGGTTTTGTGCACGATCTCAAGAGAGGGGAACCGTTTTGCAATATCCATATTCCCGAAAGACAAGGGAAACAAAGTGAGAGAAAATTGATAAATCAAAAGGTAGTGTGGTAGTTGCACTGTATTGTCCTTTTCTTACGCGATCCGCATAAGACACTCGTTTTGTACTGCCTCTCCATGATTAACTCGTCTCAAGCCTTGCTCAGGTAAACGTGTCTCGGCTGTCGGTCTTCTCAAGTAGTCTTCCTTCTCTCTTCCTCTTTGTACTTATTCATATGCACTGTGAAGTGTATGTATGTACTCTGTACTTTGAGGAAACAAGACGTTGCAACGCCATCTAAACCGATTCTGGTGCGCAGTTTCGCCGCCTTCCAAGTTGAACGCCCCCTTCTGTCTGCCGCTCTTTCTCGCCCCCTCGCTCGCCTCTTCGTTTTGTCTCACTTCTCCTCTGACCCCCTTCCCCCAGCCCCACTTTCTTCGTCTTCTCTTCTTCTTCTTCTTCCCCAACACTTTTATGGCTGCTTGACCAGGTTCGGACACCTTTGCATAATAAGCCCCAAGCGTGTTGTCTGCTAATTGGTCTGACGCCGGCCGTAGCGTCGGCTGCGGCGACTGCTGTCTGCCGTCCCGAGACGTCGCTGACCTGTTGTTGGAAGACGGGTAATGCCGATGGCGGCGGCGGGCACTCTTCTACTAGGCTCTGCCCCCTTTCATCGCCTGCTTTCGGCGGACCCTCTCCGTAACGCGCGTGAGAGCCGTCTTGACCTCGCCATTCTCAAAAGATTCCAGTGCGTAGTATGCGGGCGCAATTTCCATCAGCCACTCTGGACGGACGCCGGTGACGGTTCGGATGTATTGCTGCACACAGAACAAAGAAAAATGTCAGCAACCTGGAGAGACGAGAAGGGAGGCAAGAAGAAGAGGAAGAAGAAGAAGCATGACGTACCTTGCTGGTCAGAACGAACTCGTGATAGACAACCCACTCAAAATCCGCCTTAATGACACTAGAAGGGTGGATCAGCACGGGCTGGTTGTCCTTGACCGTGGTGTAGCTCTTGCTGGTGTCCTTTTTGGCGACCTGCATGAAGAAGCCGGCGACCAGGGCGCGGCGGATGTTGGTGTAGTAGTTTTTGTCGCTGAAGTCAGTGCTCATGAGCTCGATCTCGTGCGTCTCCATGATGCGCTTGAGCTGGGCGCGGACGTGGTCGGCTGAGGTCAGGTGGCGCAGGCTGCAAAAGTGCTCGTGGCACCACTGCTTCAAGTCTGTGCCCTTATTCATCTCGCCCCTGAAGGCGTGGTACAGGTTGAGGAGGGTCAGGTGGTCGCCGTCTGGGTGGGCAAAGTGGGCCTTCATCTCGTCGGCACGCTTCCTCTCCCTGTTGGGCCGCAGCCACGGCGAGGGCACGGAGAGCAGGGAGACGACGGAGAGGACTTCGTTGCTGCAGTAGAACTCGGGGCTGCTGATCAGCATCACGGCCAGCTGGGGGTCTAGAGGGAACTCCGACGCCAGCTTGCCGAGCGCCGTGAGCTCGCCCTCGTCGTCCAGACAGGCCAGAAAGTTGAGCTCCTCGAGGGCACGCATCATGGTCTCGGGCGCAGGCGGGTCGAGCAGGTCGAAGTGGACTAGATCCGTGACGCCCAGCCGCTTGAGCTGAAGGATGGTGTTGGATAGGTTGGACCGCAAGATTTCAGGATAGGTTTGCTCGATAAGCTCCTTCTTGTAGGCCGCCTCCGTATATAGCCTGAAGCACTTTCCTGGCCGTGTACGACCGGCACGACCCGCTCGTTGTTGAGCCGAGGCCTTGCTGATGGGGCTAACAAGAAGGGACTCGACTCGAATCCGGGGGTTGTAGATCTTTTGTTTGCTAAAGCCTGGATCGACAACGTACACGATACCTATGACACACATACACAAACACGTCAGCTCGATCTGTCCCAGTCATGGAGAGGAGGCGCACATAAGGGGAAAGAGGGGGAGGAGACATACCGTCGATGGTGAGTGATGTTTCTGCGATGTTGGTGGCGATGATGCACTTCCTCCCTGGCCGACCGCCAGGCTTGAAGGGACCAGGCGCATCGTTGAAGATGCGCTGCTGCTGATGAGGTGGCAGCGTGCCGTACAGAGGGTAGATGGCCATAGGACCGACATCCGACTCGCGGACCATCTCGTCGACCTCGAGCCTGATCCGCCTGCAGGCGTCCTCGATCTCTTCCTCTCCGGTCAAAAACAGTAGGATGTCGCCCTCGTCCTCGGTAGCATGAATCTGGAGCACCGTCCTGATGGAGGCCTCGATATAGTCTCTCTCTGCCTCAGGGGTGTAGTAGAGCGACACGGGGTGCGTACGGCCGGGGACTGCCAGCAGCGGGGCGTCGTAGAAGTACTTCTGGAACTTCTGGGCGTCAAGGGTGGCAGACATAATGATGATCTTGAGGTCGTTCCTGCGCTGGGAAATCTCCTTCAGCAGGGCCATCAGGATGTCGGTAGCGAGGGTACGCTCGTGGGCCTCGTCGATGATGATACAGGCGTAGCGTGACATGTCGTTATCGTGCATACACTCGCGCAGCAGCTGACCGTCGGTCATGTACTTGAGCATGGTCTTATCGGAGGTGCAGTTGTCGAAGCGGACGCTGTAGCCGACCTCCTCGCCCAGCTTGACGTCCATCTCATCGGCGACACGCTGGGCGACGCTGGTGGCGGCGACACGACGCGGCTGTGTACAGGCAACAAGCTTGCCGGTGAACTGGGGCAGCTCGTCGTACAGGACATACTGGGGGATCTGGGTGGTCTTTCCCGAACCCGTCTCACCGACAAAGACCATGATCTGGGTGTTGTGGTAGATATCGAGAAACTCCTGCCTGTGCTTGTGGACCGGCAGATCTCGACGGCCCTGGAGGATCTTGAAGTATTTCTGGCTGTGGGGCTCGCCAGTCCAGGGGCTGTTGTCCGAGTCTTCGAGCCTGGCGGCGTGCTGGGCGGTGGTCTCGTGGCGCGTGACGCCGTTGAAGGCAGGCCAGCCTGAGGATCTCGCGCCGCCACTACCACTGCCATTCTGCGCATCGTATGTGTGTGCCAGGTAGGGGTTGTACTTGTTGTTGTTCATGGTGTCAGTGTTGTCGCCGTCTGCCCTTGCCCTCTTAGGGGAGGCAGAAGAGTCCTCGTCGTCGGCGCTGGGACGCTTCGTGCCTTTTGAGAAGCGTGTGTCAGTCATGATGACAACCAGCAGTCTCTTGTAATGTGTATGTGGGAGTGAAGGAGGTGATGGCGGTGGCAGCAGCAGCAGCAGCTGTTGCTGGCCTTGGTGGGAGCAGGTGTATTTGGAGGGCACAAGGTTGGTGATTGTGGGTGGTGAGGATCTGGGACAGCCTCATCGTACAGCAGTGATCTTTTTTGGTAAAATTTCTGGACCCTGGATCCAGGCTGTTGATCTGCCGGCAGGCAACTTAGGTTAGCACTGCAATGCTATGGAGCCAAATAGTCAAATAGTATGCGAGGCCCACCTAAAAGTTGGTGGGGTCAAGAAGTTTTGACCAAGGGATAGATTTCTCTGCTCACTGGAAGAGTTCCTTGAGCAGAGGAACAGACAAAGACAAGGCTGTGTCTGATGCAAAGACTGGAAATTGATTGCTCTTTCCTTATGCAACATGTTTTACAAGATAAAGTCAGAGTTCCTGGAAGGCACAAACTTGGGTGTCACTGCCTTGCTGATAGTGCCACTGTACCATACTGTCTTGACCCTTGGGGCCTCGTTCTCCCCACCATCGCCCACTGTCACCCACTGTAAACTTTCACAAAAAACAATCACTAAGTACTTACTTTGACTTGAGCAGAACCGCCCAAGGGTTCAGAATGCACCAACGCGTTGACTGAGATGGAAATCTTGCAGAAACATATCCAGGGAAAAATATTGAGAATTTGGACATCATGAGATTCTGCCCATACAAATGTAAATGAAGACCAAATACGCTGCTGTCCATATTGATTTCCCAGGGCGGAAAAACAGCCCGCCCCCCTCTCCATCACTTCCACGCCAAAACCAAAAAAAGAAGGGAAAAAATCATGCCCCATAAATCTTCCCTTCCTCCTTCTTGACCTACCAACACAAACTTCTAGGCGTTGTCATCTTCTCTCTTTCTGAGTAAGACAAATAAGCTGCTTTAGCAACAAGGCCAGGACAAAAAGATGCCCACTGATGGGCCACTAAACCCAGAGTCGGAGGAGTTTCTCCAGCTCCGTCCAGCCTTTTGGATCGGCCAGCACGACTCGTCCAGGGTCGACGCTCTTACTGATGGCCACTACGATCAGATCCTCAACTCTGGGGTGAGTCTAGATAACACTACTTCTTCTTGTGTCTTGTCTCCTCTTGTTGAGCATTTTCTTTTACTGACATTGGCCTCCTCCTCCTGTTCAGTTCGGGTTTGCTACTGCGCCCATCACCAATGAGCATTTCCACCAGCGGGCCAAGGACCTCTACAGGGCTCATCTGAGTGAGCTTCAGGCATCAGGGCTCTCGGCCAAGGAGAAAACAAACCCGTCTCTACCAGGCCCCATCTTGCCCACGCTCACCGACAAGGACAGTAGCCTAGGCCCGTGTCCTTACATCGGCAATGTGCTGGCATACTCCAGCCCGTGGATCGACCTCGGCTCCTCTGACCCCATCGTCGCGAGCATCTCTCGTCAGGCCCTGAACCTGGAGGTTGCCTTTGCCAACTGGTGTGGTGTGCGAAGTGTCATTGTTCCTGGTCCCAGGAGGGATGATGACGCAAGGGCTATTGCTCAGTTTGCACGAGCCATTCAGGAGTCTTTCGACGTGGCCACCCGGGTGAACATCATCATCCACATCCCCATGTACCGTGAGCCAGGCCTGGAGGAGAGAGCTGCACTGTTATCGACCGAGCTGCTCGGACAGGAGGGCGTGGACACCAAAAAGGCACAAAATGCGAAGAAGGAGCAGCAGCAGCAGCAGCAGCAGGAGGAGGAGGAGGAAGAGGTTGATCTTTTCGGTGCATGGGACACCTGGCACACGATCCGGTCAGTCTGCAACTACGCGAACAGATTATATGTTGGTAAGTACAATTCTCTAGTTCTCTCGAAATTAGAGGGCCTTACATGCTAAAATTGTCTGCCTCTAGCTCTCAGAATACCCAGAAGGCTTCCAGAGATGGAACTGCAGACGCGCTGGTTTGCTGAGCCCCTCCACTACCTGACGCTTGGGCCCAACACGTTCCAGCCCAATAAGACAGGCAACCCTTCCCTCTCACGTCACCACCAGGACCTGATCTCTACGTATATGCGCCTTAAGACGGCCCCCTGGTTCCTCCTCTGCGACGTAGGTCCGTCCAAGACAGAGCTGGACACCGCCGTCCTCACAGCAGAAACCCTCCAGTCCGACTTTCCCTCGCTTGCCGACGCCGCGCACAGCACCGCCCTGGCCAGGAGTCTGCCGGGCCTGACACCACACATCATGTACATGAATCACCTGCAGCGGCAACAGGAGCCCTACACGCGGCTGGAGACGGAGACCCTGACTAGCTTCCAGGACTGGCTGCAGTCGCCGCTCCAGCCGCTCTCGGATAACCTCGAGTCCGCCACGTACGAGATGTTTGAGGGTGACCCGGTCAAGTACGACCTCTACGAGCAGGCCATGTACGAGGCCATGAGCGAGTGGAAAGTCCTCGGAAAGCCCACCAGCAGCGCTACCGCCTCGAACGACCTGGTCGTCACCGTTGCCGGCGCAGGCCGCGGCCCGCTCGTGACCCGCGCCCTGCGCGCCAGCGAGAGGAGCGGCGTGCCGATCCAGCTCTGGGCGGTCGAGAAGAACCAGAACGCCTACGTCTACCTTCTGCGGCAGAACGCCACGGCGTGGGGCGGGCGCGTGCATGTGATCAAGACAGACATGCGCGACTGGGCCGGCCCCGTCGAAAGCGGCGGCACGGGCAAGGTTGACATCCTGGTAACGGAGCTGCTGGGCTCCTTTGGCGACAACGAGCTGTCGCCCGAGTGCCTGGACGGCATCCAGCGGCACATTGCGCGCCCGCACGGCCTCTCGATCCCGGAGAGCTACACGGCGTGGCTCAGCCCCATCGCAACGCCGCGCATCCACGCGCACCTCCGCACCACCGTGCTGCCTGGCGATGCCAACGCCTTCGAGACGCCGTGGGTCGTGCGCCTGTACCAGATGGACCTTGTGGCGCAGCGCGTGCCCGGGCGGCCGCGGTTCCAGCAGGCTTGGGAGTTTGTGCACCCGGTCTGGGGCTCGCTGCAGGAAAAGTGGGAGGCCAAGGAGGCCCCCAAACCCATGCCCCGGACGCTCGGGGGCGGCGCCATGAACAACGCAGGCGGCCTGAACGAGCACAATGCCAGGCACTGCCACCTGACCTTCTACTGCCGGCCTCGCGGCGTGATACACGGGCTGGCTGGGTACTTTGAGTCGACGCTGTACACGCCGCAGACGGGCGGTGGCGGCAAGGAGCTGGTGGAGCTGAGCATCCTGCCGGACCAGATTGACAAGAAGAGCAGGGACATGGTGTCCTGGTTTCCCATCTTCTTCCCACTCAAGGTACGTGACTTCTTCTTTAGCCGCCGCCCCCCCCCCCCCCCACCCCTCTTTTTCTGCTTTTGCTCCTCCTTGGCATCTAAGATGTACCCATTGCTGACTGAAGGGGAAATCACCCCGACCAGCAACCGCTCTACTTCCCTCAAGACTCGGAGTTAGAGATCAGCATGTGGCGGCAGACGGACGATACGCGCGTGTGGTACGAATGGATGGTCGAGGCGTACACGTGGGTGGGCGCCAAGACGAGAGTCAAGGTGGGCGCGTCCGAGATGCACAGCAGCAAGAAGGTTGCGTGCCTAATGCAATAGAGATGGATGGATAGATGGATAGATGCATGTCCAGCAGCATGCGGTGGATAGGAACTGCCTGGGATTTCTGGCTGAGCTGAGATGATCCTTTTCCTTTACGAGAGAGGCACTGGTTTTTGACTTATGGCCGTACCTAGAATATGACCCGTACAGCTCTGACGAATCCCCCGCTTTTGGGTCTTCTCCTCGTTATCGATTGGGGGAGTTTTACGCTTCATTTTGCCCAACAGCATTGCATGATCCTTTTCTTCCATGAACGCCGGATCCTCGTAGTGCAATTCCTCTTTCTCCCTCCCTCTCTCTCTAGTTCCCCCCCTTCCACACGTGCGCGGCGAGTCGTGTCTGTGCAGATGATGATATCTCTTCCCTATGCGCGGCCCTGAGCCCTTGCGTGGCATAGATAGTCACAGCCCGGCGGCAGTTTTTTTTCTTTCTTTCTCGTTTCTTCTCCAAATCTTCTGTGCCGCCTTCTCTACCTCATCACCCTGTCTCCCTGTCCCTTCAAAAACAGCGCAACACATTCAACATGGTCAGCCGTCCATCTTGGTATCCCCATTTTCCCCGTCTTGGCCCGCAGCTCTGATCCAGAGCACGTTGTTGCACCTGATGAGCACCTGGCCCAGAGAGCCGGAGAAGTTGTTTTTTATGTACTCTTGGGCCTCGGCGAGCTGAATGTTCATGTAGCTATCGATGGAGACCCTGTGTAACAAAAAGAAGAAGAGGAAGGGAAAAGAGACGTTAGCCAGTGACAAGATTCCTTCGTCTTCTGCCTCTCCTCTGCTAGAAACAGGGTGCGGATGCTTACAGTCTACCCTTGTACTCGGTCTCGTTCCACTTGAGGCGGACAAAGATCTCCTTGTTGACCCTGCGCGCAACGAATCGGCTATGTCAGTCAAGAGGCGCAAAAGTGTCTGGGGTCGGTCGGTCGGGAAACAGCTTGGCATAACGTGCGCCAGATGTAGGTGGGTTTTGCGAACGAGAGAGGGAAGGGGTGGCGGTCGAGAAGGGCAAGAAGACGTACAGGTCCTGGAGGAACGGTCTGGGGTTGACAGGCATGAACTGTGTGGGAGTCTTCTTGTTAGCCACAGCTAGGGTTGTTCTGCTGATCTACTTTTTCTCCTTCTACCTGTGCAGTATGTATCGGTTCAGTATGGGCTGACTGATGACTTACACTCATGATGGATGTGGCTTGGGGTGTTCTCGTGCTTTGTTGTGGAAAAGGCTGGGTGGGTGAATTGGTTTGGAGGTTGTTGGTCTGCGGCACAAGGAATATCTTTAGGCGTGAGGCGCAAGATACAGCAGAACAGGAGGCGGCAGGCAAAAGACAAGGTTAGGGGAAGAGTAAGCCAGGCCAGGGGCAAGCTTGGTGGGCTAAAATTTAGAGCAGGGGTGCTGCGCTTGCATGCGGCTCTTGGCGGCTAGGCCTCTAGCTACAGCAGGTCGCTAGTCCACATTGGGGGTTATTCTCCTCCTTCTGTAGCTTCACATGTGCTACTTTCATCATTGAATCTTGGCATGTAGAGCAGAGTACATGATATTGGAGCTTGTTATTCTATTCAATTTATAAGTAAGTCCACATATTTCTCTAATAATCTTGAGACAGCTGCACGTACAAAGTCTACCACTTATTGCCGGCTTCAAGCAACACTGTACAAGTCTCACAAATGCAAGTCCTTTGGAGCCGGTGTAAAGTACTGATATTGAACGCCAGATAGAGAAATACTACATTGTGCAATGCCAGCATCTATCATTAAACGTAGCATCATAGTAACATAATACTATTACACAGAGTATACAGAAAGGACACCATGCTCACTGAACACTCAGAGAGTGGCCTGTTTCATTCCTTTCAAGCCGCAATCTCCTCCTTTCCTCCTCTTTCCTTGTCTTTCCTCCTTCTCTTCCTCTTCTTCCCTGTTACGTCATCTCCTTCTCATTTGTCTCCCACTCCCCATCTGCCCAGGGTTCCATCCCAGGCACATTAGGCAGGACGAGCCTCAACCCAGGCGTCGAAGGCCTGCTGTCGCCCAGCCACTCCGCCGTGATGACCTCCCTGCGAATGCTGCACACCTCGCCCGCCGTATGTCGGCACAGCTCAAACGGCGCCCTGTCATCACCACCTGCCTCCTTCTCCTCTCTGCTCTCCACATCCAGCCTTTCGAACCTCGTCAGAAACCCCACAGGTATACACACCTTGAAATTATCCACATGCCGCACCCGCGCCAGGCCGCGCAGGTACATCTCCTCCACATGCGCCTCTCCGCCCGGTACCCCCAGCGCCACGTACAGGTTCTGCAGGCCCGCAAACCCGCCATCCGCCAGCGCGTCGCAGAGCGAGGGCCATGCTGACCGTAGGGTTGGTGTGTCGTATTCGGGGGCTGCCGTCCAGCCTTGATCGTCCCATACCAGCTTGAGAGAGCGCACGCGGGCGAGGTGGCGGGGCGAGACGGCGTTGATGAATTGGATCGTGCAGTGAATCCCGCGGAGGCGGAAGAAAGAGGTGCTGTAGAGAAGAGAGGCTGCCTCTTCGTAACTGGATAGGTTGTCTCGCGTGAGTAAATACCGTGAGTTTGTTTGTTTGTGTGTGATCGTGTCGTGTCGTGGTGCAAGAAAGGAAAGCAAGGGATGAGCGGAGGAAGACGATATAGAGTTTAAAACAAAGGCCACTACTTACATGAGCCTATTCGTGAGGAGCAGTGACATGATGTTGCTTTCAGGTCGAATCTCGTTTGTCGGTTGCACCTCTTGTTCGTCTCGCCGCCGCTCGTCTTGCTGCCGCCGCCGCCGCCGTCGTCGTATTCGCTGTGGAGGTGGCGTCGGCGGTGCCCTCAATTTCGGAAAAAGAGTAGGCACCGACATGCCCTCGTCGTCGTCATCTAAGCTGAAAAAGTTTCCGTTCTCGAATAAAATGTACTCGTAAATTTGCACGCGAATTTCTGTCGGGAGTTTGTCGAGGAGTGGGCACGTGCCCAGGCGAACAGGTTTGCCCATTGTGGTTGACGACGGCGATCGGCTTGATCCTACTATTGTTGACGATAATGCTGGCGATGATAATGATGGTGATGATGTCGCCGCTACTGCTGCTGAGAAAGAAGATGCAACCTCGAAATTCCCCTTCTGGCGAGCTTCTTCCGTCCTCCACAAACCCAACCCCATTCTCGTAGGGTTCGTGTCAATTGATTTTGAGGATTCCGTTCAAAGGGAGGGGGAAAAAAGAGCCCTTGGCCCCAAAAAGAATTTAATGTCTCACTTGTCGTTGTTTTATCGGAGCGATGTCGCAGCACTTATGCATTGTGGCCTGATTGATCTACAGAGTGTGGCCGGGGTGCTTCCCAAAAGGGCAAAATAGGAAGCTATTCCGGGTGAAAGCGGCGCCTCCGTCGTTCTGCAGTCTGTGTGGAGAGTTGAGAGGTAAGTGAGAGAGTAGGAATGTGACACCTGAGAAAGACGAGTCATCACCACCTTGAAACCAACAGCGAGAATAATACGATGAAGGAATGAGGCAAAAAGAAAGGACAAAACGGAAAAGAAAATAGAAAAAAGGGGGTCGAAGAGACGGGGGAGGAGAGAGGGGAAAGTTGGGGAGAGAATTTTTGGAGAGTTTGAAATGATCGTAGATTTTAAGCCTTGCTGGAGATTTCCTATAGTTTCCTCCTGTCACATGTCATATTGTCAACGATCCGGGATGCTCTCCATTTACTTCCTTTTCTTCTTTTCCCTTTCATTCATTTTTAAACCCTTAATCAAAAGCAGTGACTACACCTACAAAACACTCCTCACGTCCAGCACTCCAGGCCATTCTGCGACCCCCCCCCCCCCCAAAAAAAAAGCTGCCATCCCCCCGTCAAGTTCCCGGGGTCGCCGGGCTGGGCTGTTTAGCTGTACAAACTTGGCACCGCGGCACGCGGGGGCCTTCCTTTTTGGCTGCTGCTGCCCAACTGTAGCCGCCGCCCTCTACCACTTCCAGGGTCTACCATTTTCAGGGCCTAGAATGCACCCTCTCTTTCGTTTAAATGTCCGGGCGCCTATTTATATGTTATTTATTTATTGATCCGGTTCCTCTAGACCGTTCGAATTTCCTGCGCTTTAATGCCTTGTGTGATTGAGTGGAAAGGGTGGCGGCCTCGCATTTCGTTCTACCCGGCATCGGCACACTATGGGAATAGCCTAAACTTAATTCCAGAGGGTGGAAAGGAAAGGATGTGCCATGGTGTTTGGGATTGGTTTCCGGGCGGTTCTCCACTGGTTTTCCATATGCAAGATGAAACTGAGTTCGGTATATCCTATTGCTTACATACATGTATGCTTTTTACTGGCCTCATACGATCTTATACATCTGATCTATTGCGAGCCTCAGCAAGACTGGTACTTAGTATGCAATGGCACGAAATATCGAATGACAACGCCACACAAATGACACTTTGGTGGAGAGCTATACAGCTGTGGAATTGACTTTTGTTAATAACATAATTCATGTAAATTGTAAGAGCATGCCCAAATGGTGGTCAACACCATTATTCTCCAGCCTCAGAACCCAGCTTCGATCAAATAAATCGATGTACGATACCGAGGCTTCTACTAATAGACATCCTCCCTAATGAAATGCAAAGGCTTCTCAAGCACCTTTGGACAATTTCTTGATTTGCTATCTATTATCTCATTTTCCTCCCACCAAAATCTGGTACAGGCAACAGACACAGGCCTAGAAATGGAGTGATACAACGATGACTTGGTGCACCACAATATCACTAGCGGCAAGTAACAATTGGCAAGTGTCGAACCTTGTCCTGAAGTTTCATTTGACTACTGAAGGCCTCAGGTCGTTCACGCTTTGAACCACATGCTGTCGAAAGCAGCGTAATTGACAGAGGCAAAGTGCACACCTCAAGTACTAAGTGTTTACTTGATTACAATCCTGATATGTTCATTACGAGACATTCGGATTGGCATTGCGGCATAGCGTAATTTACTGCTCTTCGTAGCATCAGTGAATGAAGGTCTGAGTTCCTGTGAGCTGCCAGATGTCACACAACTAAGACATATCAATCACTTAGAAATTGGTTTCAACAGAGTCTGAACTCAGCGTTACAGCATCAAATTACTTTGCAAGTATTCTGCCATTTTTTGTGCCACATTGCATTTTTGTTTCAACCCAGATTGGAGCTTTCCCTTTGAATGCTTACAAGTCGAAAAGCTTACTGCCTTCCCTTTCTGTCTTTTCGGTTTTCTTCCACAGGAAAGATTGCATAAGGATGAGCTCATTGAACAAGCCTTTGATAAGCCATGTGGAAAGTCAGGTTGCTATGATTTAGAGTTCTTATCTTTGAGATTGCAACATCTGCACGCCTTAGTAAGTGCGATATCTGCCAAGAAAAGACGACTTAAAGCCGTGAGTGAGCAACATCCAAGGACTAATGTGTCCATGCGTCAAAAATGTACATATTCTGAGCCGATTACGGATATAAGTCACCAGTGCACGCCAATACCATCGCAGAATCGTTGATGAGGAGCGTTCCCCTCTCGTTGACGTACACCCACATGCAGGTGATCCCGATCACATCATCTGTAACAAATTGACAACATTACAGCTACTGCATCGTAAGACGCCGCTTAAATGTCTATTTAAACGTAACCTGAATAGTGAAATAATTCCAACCCCTTAACTCCAACGCCAACGTCATCTCAATTGCATACCTCCTCGCTTGCCTTTTTGATTTGAAAGCTTGCAGGTGTTGTTTTCAAGCTCACCTGCATCCTCCATAGAATTAAGCCGGCTGCTAGTCGATTGGCCGTTGCCACCTGAACCTGTGCTCAGAATAGAATCTCATACCTTATCATCGACCGGGGAAAGAGTATCACCACCATGGCGGAAGACAAGACCCAGACCAGCCACCGAACTGGAGATTCCGAACCAGGCAATGGCAAGAAGCAAATCCTACTAAACGCATTCGATATGTCTACCATCGGCCACCTGTCTCCAGGACAGTGGAAGGTAAGAACTCACATCCGATAGCACCAGCTCTGAAGTCATCATGAGGACGGATAATGAGCGCCACCTGCATCATCGGCTGACAAGCTATGCCGCAGAACCCAAAAGACAAATCAGCTACAAAACGAAACCTAGAGTACTGGATCGAGCTTGCAAAGCTCCTGGAGCGGGGAAACATCAATGCACTATTCCTCGCCGATACGTATGGAGGATATGATACCTACGAGGGCTCTCTTGACAACTGCATCAGGAGAGCGGCTCAGTGGCCCATGACAGACCCAACGATAGTGAGTCCCGATTGAGATCTGAGAGCCATATTGTGTTTGCCTACATCAGCCACAATGCAGACCTATATCTGACGCAGCAAAAATCTGATGAATGACTTATAGCCCATATCGGCGATGGCGGCAGTGACAAAGAATCTAGCCTTTGGTATCACGGCTTCCACATCCTTTGAGCCGCCGTTCCTATTGGCCAAGCGCTTCTCGACCCTGGACCACTTGACTCGTGGCCGAATAGGCTGGAACATCGTGACGGGGTGGAAGAAGGCTGCGTTCAAGGCGATTGGAATCGACAGTCCTATTGACCACGACGAGAGATACCGCCAGGCAGACGAGTACCTGCGTGTTCTCTACAAGTAAGTCAACACTGCGCACCCACCCTTTCAAGCTGTTACCTGACAACTAATTATCCTCTATCCAGGCTATGGGAAGGGTCTTGGGCCAACGATGCCATCAACCCAGATGCTGAAAACGACAGCTACGCAGACCCAGATAAGATCAGGACCATCCACCACCACGGGAAATACTTCAACCTCGACACGAGGCACATTGTCGACCCTTCGCCGCAGAGGACGCCATTCCTCTTCCAGGCAGGGACATCACCCGCCGGCTCGTCCTTTGCCGCGACGCACGCCGAGGCCATCTTCGTCAGCTCGCACTCCGCCAAGGTGCTGCGACCCAAGGTGCAAAAGATCCGGGACCTGGCCGCCGAGCAAGGGCGAGACCCGCAGTCGATCAAGTTCTTTGCAACCTTCACGCCGATCGTGGGCAGGACGGACGAGGAGGCGCGGCAGAAGCACGAGGAGCTGAAGAAGTACGCGTCCGTGGTCGGCGGGCTGGTTCTCTTCAGCGGCTGGACGGGCATCGACATCTCCAAGATCCCGCTGGACCAGGAGATCACCGGGGCGGACTCGCTCGAGGCGCACAAGGTGCGCAGCCTCCTGGAGACGCTCACGACGCCGAGCGAGGAGGTGCCGCGGTGGACGCCGCGGATCGTGGCGGAGAAGGCGTGTATCGGCGGGCTGGGGCCTGTGTCGATCGGGAGCCCACAGACGGTGGCGGATGATATGGAGGCGTGGCTGCGGGACGCAGATGTGGACGGGTTTAATATTGGCTATGTGACGACCCCGGGCACGTTTGAGGAGGTTGTGGATTTGTTAATTCCTGAGCTGCGGCGGCGTGGGCTGTATGCTGCTGCTGCTGCTGCTGCTGCTGGGTCGGGCGACGAGGAGCCGCTCACTGCCCGGGAGAAGATCTACGGCAAGGGCCAGAAGGGGCTACGAAGTGACCATACTGGAAGCAGGTATAAGTACGACGTGTATCCAGAGGAAGAAGAGAAGTCCGAGGAGGTTCCAGAGGCCGTGGTATGAGTATGAACAAGGGATATTGCATGGAAGCTGGAGACGATGATAGTTATCGGCTTGGTCACGCTCCAGAGAACATTTTTGATTCTGCTTGGAAAGGGTGGATGAGAGACGCCGTCTGGAATAAGTATCAAAGTAGACTATATGTGAACTTTACTTTATTCTCTGTTGGACGGCGCCTCAGCAAAGGAATAGAAGAATAAGAATAAGTCTTGTAGTCGACACTTCACTTCCAAAATCCCGACCATGAGACGAGCTGGAAACCACATTAGTAGAGAAGGTAATTGCAATTGAATTTACCAATGGTTTGAAAAGTGAACTATCCTGTAGCATCGATACATTGATTCACAGACCATACAATTGTGCCAGCCTGAGTATAGACTGCGTGATCACATGCAAGTTCTGCAAGTTGTCTCAACGCGAGAACATTGAAAGACGTGTATGAGCATTGCAATCTTTGACGCGACAGGGGCTTTGGCGTCGACTAGACAGAGGCGGTAGGTTCTCCACCACCGTCATCATAATACATCCTCACGGCAGCCCTTGCTAATTGATTGGACGGTTGCGCCATGCTTAACAATTACTGTTAAACCACCAATCAAGCCTCTGACGCAAGGCAGAGTAGCTTCATCCCAATCCTCTTGATTATTATCATGCACTGTACTATAGTAGAGTGCACACCACCCTGTCCCTCCTATTACACGAAATGAACATCTGCACGCCACCACGAAAAAGGGGGGTGTGTGAGTGGTTCGAGGGTGGGTGTCTTGTCACAAGCTTAGCCCTCCCGTTGAAACCGAACGGCTTGTCGGGGGACTCGCCGCTGCCCTTTAGCAGACGCCACAAACTTTGTTCCTCCCGCAGGCGCCAACCCCGTGAGAGCTTAGGTCTCAACGGCCCCCTTTGCTTGCGTGTGGCCTTTGGTCTCTGTTGAAACTGCTGATCCTGATAAAACTGAAGGCGGTGAGATTTTGAGCTGCGGACCCCGTGGACGCCATACTGATTAGTACATGAGTTGAAATTGGGTACAGTTAGTTAGTTACAGCACAAATAGGTGCAGACAGCCGGGCGCCTCGGGGATCGTCAAGTTTGTCGTCGCTGTTCTTTGAGAGCGAGCGATTTTCACGTGAATTCGGATGGTGGGTAAGTGGACGATAAAGAAATACCCGAGGAATATCACGATCTACCGTTGCATTCTCGGTGATGGTTTGCTGATCGTTGATCCTGTGTGGAGAGGCACGAGAGGGTCCTGGCATCTTGCCTCGTTTTCTCAGCTCAGATCAGCTAATGCGACCGAATCTTTTTTTTCTTTCCCTCTTTCTTTTCCATTTCTCTCTTCTCTTCTTCTGATCGCTAAGCCATGAATGGCATTGCTCTTGGTTGCCTTTTCTCTCTCAGGGCTGATTAAAGTTGATGATCTACAGATTCGAATGGCACCAAACAGTATGATCACAAAGTAGGGCACGTATGATCTGCTGTCATGACCTTGGCACCGTGCGATCCCAATTCTCCACATGCAGCTGGGGAGCAGAGGGAGGCCCGCAACTTTTTCCTTGACATGATATGCAGCTGAACCACTTGATCGGGTTCGCTGGGTGGACACCTTGAACCCCACGCCACCTTTCTCTCTGCCTTGTCGCTTTCCGTCTCACGGCCTCTCTCTTTTCCCGTTCGCCTGTCTCGTCTATAACTACTCTCGGTTGCGTCACCGGATCGTATTAATAACAAACACTAACACAAAGAAAGAGGGGACACGTGACGATCACGATGTTCGGTTAAGGGCGGTGTCGAGCGAACTAAGCGATGTTGTGCGATTATTTTTTAATGAAAAGTTAGTGTAAACGTGTGTAAAAATTCTACCTAGACTAGACAACTGAATGTGTCACGGCTTCGTTGTTGCGGTTCATTCGCCATGCCCCAGCCGAGGACCGACGTACTGTATTGTGGTAGCAAAATGTCGTATTTATTCTGAATAATAAGGTTCTGAGTTGCCTCCCGGGGGAGCGATTGAGCTGCGCCGCATGACGAACAGCGGGTCTCTTCAGCTAAGGCCTGGGCTGGTGGGGCCCGCCGCGACCAAGGTCCCAAAATTAGCCTGCTCGGCCGAATCAGGAAGATGCTAAGAATTTTTTTTTGGTAAAAAAAAAAAAAAAAGGTAAGGGACAAAGAGAAGCAGAAAGAAAAGACAGGGAAACTGACAAGATGGGAGAGGAAAAAACCCTGTGGATAAATGAATGAATGAATGCAGGATCCAAAAGGAGGATGGCGAAGAAGGAGGAGTAGGAGGAGTTGAGCAAAAGAAGCGAGTGCATACTGTGCTGTGGTAGGATCTACTGGATCTGTCTCAGAAGTCTCCGTTTGTCCATCTGTTTTTTTTGTCGAGGTCAAAGTATATGCGGCCAAATGGAGACAGTGGACTATGAATAATGTATAGCCTGGATTGAAGCTGTTGGCACCTTGCCAAAGGGGGCGTTAGAAGAGAGAGAAGGAGGAAGCCCTGAAGCTGATTTGATGGTGATGCTTCCCACTGCCCTCCCCCCTCCTTACTGGTGATTACAATGCAGGCCCAATAAGCTGCAGAGGAGCTGCCAAGTTTCAGGGACCTAGCAGCTTGTTGAAACATGGACATGGACTGAACACTAAGCCTGTTCTGGCTGGTGGTTGTGAAGTTTAGAGGGTGTTCAGTGCTAATATGGCAGGGTAGGAGGGGCGGGAAACTCTGCAGTCAGAAGGGAAGGGGGAACAGGTTGGACCCCTGCAGTAGCCACCCTTCGCGCGCGGCCTTCTCCTTCTCTCCACCCCTGAACTAAACTCTCTAGCAACCCGCCAGGGCTACCACCCCAACTTAGTACGGGAAGAATGGATGAAGACGTGTGTGTTTGCGTGTGTGGGTGGGGATCAGTGACGTTACTTGGCCACCTGTTTCTCTGCTCTTTTTTTCTTCTGATTTTTTCCCCTGCTTTTTTTTTTGTTACATTTACTTCATAGTAATTTTTATCACCTTCTTCTCTATTTTTGATAGTGAAGGGAAGCAGTGGTGACCACAATTGGTGACCCGTGCTGACCTGACCTGAGCTCTGCTCCAAAGAAAGAATTAAAGGAATCTGGGATCTCGATAAACCATCCCGGACGAACCATCTCGGCAATCTCACCCACACTAAAAACAAAAAAAATACAGGGCACTGTGCCACATTTCCAGGCACAGGTCAACGCGCACAGTCCACTGATTGAGCACTGCTTTCTACCTTCATTCTTCTTGGCCCTCCCCCCACCTTCTTCTACTCCTGCCCTCCACCTCCACCTCCATTCATCACCACCACCTCCTCCTCCTCACCTCCTCCAAATCGCTCGTTTTGCTGTTGTGGACCTCTTTCGACCTGATCTATTTTGTTTCTTGTCCACATTTCATTCCGCTTGAAGCGACCAGCTTGCAGACATTGCCATTGGGTTGGATCAAGTGTCTTGTCGATCATCTACAGCTCTCTCGCTTCTTCTTCCTCCTCGCGTAAAAACAGGTATTACATCACACCTGCAGCACGCCTTGTTTTTTTGGGAGTCTTGAACCACTCACCCTCGTTCTTCGAGCTTCGTGGCTTCTAAGAGAGAGAAAGCAGCATCACCAGCAACAATTAAGCCGCGTTGCCTTCCATTTGTTTTTCATTGGGGGTTTCGACACGCCATCAGTAAACGCAAACATAAACGTCAACGTTTCCCTTTCCCCCCTGGGATCATCCGCCTGTCTATCCACGGCATAGACACACACACACACACACATACACAAAGTACTTTCATTGTACACATCAACACAGGCGCTGCTTGATCTAGCCTGGAACGCGCAATATTACACCACCCTTTCGTCGGCAACGCTGTCGTTACCGTTCTACATTACTGTTACCGTTACCTTCATAAGAGAACGACACTTCACACCCCTCATCCATCCGTCTCCACAACAGGCTCGTGGGAAAACAAGGCGCAGTTCTTAATTGGGACCCACCACAACCCCTGGGTCTTTTTCTTTCTTTTTGGGTTCCCCGTCCAGCCTTGTCACAGATTGAGTCAGTGCAGCTCGGCCGATTTAGACCAGGCCCTTCAAATTCTTGGTCCAACCCATTCTCGAGAAATTCGGATGTCTTGAGAAACTTTTTTCTTTTTAGGACCTGAACCCGAACACGTTCATCTCATCTATATCTTTAGTCCGCCGGGGCATATTCCAAGACGCGCCTGAGACAGGTTCCAGAGGGACACAATCCTTGAAACCTACACGCCAAGGGAGAGAGAGAGGTTGGATTGCGTGACCAGGCCCCCCCCCGCTCTCAGAGTTGTCCTCCCTCTCTAATAGCACGATGGGTTTTCTTCCCATCAACGGCCGCTCCAGTGGGGACGCCGACATACCACTCACCCAGGTCCCAACCAGCGGCTCTGTCGGCGCCAGGAGGCAGAACCAATCTATTGGCGACATGTCCAACATGTCCACCATCGCGAGCAACACCGCGTCGGAGAAGAAGGGAGGGCTGTTTCATCGCAAGTCCAAAAACGAGAAGGATGGCGCCGGCGACGAAGGGGTCATTGGTAGGAGAAAGGCCGTGAGGGCGCTCGGCGATGAGGGCAGGAAGGGCACCTGGGGCGACGAGACGGGCCTAAACGCCATGGGCCGCCTCTACAACAAGATTGTCAACTTTTCCGCCATCACCCGCTACCTGGTCTACGTCGCCCCTGTCGCACTGTTGTTGGCTGTGCCGCTCATTGTCATCCCCATCACTGGTCACATCAACGACCTCCACGTCGGCGGCTCTGGCCAGGGCGCTCCCAAGCTATTCTATCTTTTCCTCTGGATCGAGGTCTCGTGGCTGTCCCTGTGGGGCGGCAAGATCGTCGCACGCCTGCTCCCGGCCGTCTTTATGTTTTTCTGCGGCGTCGTCTCCTCGGGCACTCGCAAGTACGCCACTGTCATCCGGAATCTCGAGATGCCCATCTCGCTGCTGCTGTGGGCTCTGGCCTCGTGGCTCCTCTTCAAGTACAAGTTCCAAGACGACACGTACCAGTGGGTCTACGTCATCGTGCGCATCCTGGGCTCGCTCTGGGTGTCGTCGTGCGTCCTCCTGGGCGAGAAGTTCATCATCCAGCTCATCAGCATCTCGTACCACCAGCGCTCCTTTGCCAACCGCATCCGGGAATCCAAGCGCGAGATCTTCCTGCTGGGCCTCATGTTCGACGCCTCCAGGACCCTGTTTCCCATGTACTGCGAGGAGTTTGCCGAAGAGGACTATGTCATCAACGATAGCATCGAGGCCATGCTCGTCGGCAACAAGAAGCGCCGCCGCAGAGGCCACAAGAAGTCGGGCTCTGTCACCCCCATCAACCCCATGAACCTGGTTGCCGGCGCGGGCCGCGTCGGCGGCAAGATCACCTCCGTCTTTGGCAACATCGCCTCCGAGATCACTGGCAAGCAGGTCTTCAACCCCAACTCTGCCCATTCTGTTGTGATTGAGGCCCTCGAGAAGGTCAGGAGCTCCGAGGCCCTGGCCCGCCGCATCTGGATGTCCTTTGTTGTCGAGGGCAAGGACGCTCTCTATGTCGAGGACGTGGTCGAGGTGCTGGGGCCTGGCCACCGCGAGGAAGCTGAGGAGTGTTTCGAGGCCGTCGACGCCGACGAGAACGGCGACATCAGCCTGGACGAGATGGTCCGCAAGGTTGTGGAGATTGGCAAGGAGAGGAAGGCCATTACCAACAGCATGAAGGATATCGGCCAGGCCTTGAGCGTTCTGGACTCGATCCTCTTGTTCATCGTCCTGATGATCGTTGTCATCATCTTCCTCTCCTTCTTCCAGAGCAGCTTCGTGAGCACGCTCTCCAGTGCCGGAACAGCCCTGATCTCGCTGTCCTTTGCTATCTCCACCACCTGCCAGGAGTTCCTCGGCTCCATCATCTTCCTCTTTGTCAAGCATCCATATGACGTGGGCGTAAGTTGAACATTGATAATCATCCATGTACCAAGAAAGAAAGAAAAAGAGTTCTTTACTAACAAGGTTTTTGAAAATGAACAGGACCGTGTCAACATCAACGGTGAAAGCCTCATCGTGGAGAAGATCTCGCTCCTCTACACGATCTTTACCGACCTCAAGTCGATGCAGGTGACACAGACCCCCAACATCATCCTCAACAACCTCCCGATCGACAACCTCTCGCGGTCCAAGGCCATGAAGGAGGCCATTGAGGTCAACATCTCGTTCGACACCTCGTTCGAGGACGTGGAGCTCCTCCGCCTCGAGATGGAGAAGTTCGTTCGTCACGCCGACAACAGCCGCGACTTCCAGCAGGACCTGGTCATCGGCATCGGCGCCGTCAACGACCTGGACAAGCTTACCCTCAGCATTGCCATCAAGCACAAGTCTAATTGGCACAACGAGTCCGTCCGCGCCACCCGCCGCTCCAAGTTCATGTGCGCCCTCGCCCTCGCCCTCAAGAAGGTGCCGATCTACGGCCCCGGCGGTGGTGGTGCTACGCTGGGTAGCTCTGACAACCCTGCATACTCTGTTACTGTGGACGACGGCTTCGCCAGCGACGCTCGTGAGAAATTTGCCCTGACGGCGGACTCTGCGAGGATGGTACCCCTCATGAAACACTCGACCTCCACGTCTAAGAAAATGAAGCGCAGCGACACGAGCTCCACGAATGGCAGCACGGGACAGGTGCAGCACCTCAGCGAGCGGCAGGCGGTGGCCGAGCTCAACGCGCGCCCCGTGCTCATGGGTCTGGACTCGGACTATGGTTACAACCGGAGTAACGTGACTGACAGAGACCGCGGCAACGGCAACAGCGGCAACAGCAACCGTGGCTCGCCGACTCTCAACTCGCGCGACGCCTCCGCCGAGCGTCAGCGTGACGCGAACATCGAGGAGATCCGCCAGGACCTCCAACAGGACCTGCAGCGTAACTCGACTACCGGCCGCAGGAAGGCTGGCGAGACCTTGCCCACCGCACCGCTGGGCGAAGGTCAGCCGGGCTTCTCGGTCACCCAGCATGACAGCGAGGGCAATACCATCACCGGCTTGAGCTCCAGGCAGTTTTCGTACGATGTCGTGAGCCAACACGACAACAGCAATGACGGCGGTTCCCTGCGAGCGACCAGCACCCGCGGGTCGCCTTACGTGCCGAGCCCTAGGATCGCCGAGGCCGCCCGCGAGAGCTACGTCCCCTTCCAGGTGCAGGGCGGCCGCCTATACCAGAGCCCTCCCGGTGCGGCACAGGCGCCACAGTTCGGTACTACTGCTGCTGTCGGTGGCGCTGGCGGTCGGGACCTGACTGCCCCTCCGTCGTCGTCGTCCTCGGCACCACCCATGCCAGTGGCAAGCCATGATTATCTTTCTGCTGCCGCGGGTGGGAACGCAGACAGGCTGGCGCCGACGAGCTCAGCACAGTCGCACTCCCAAATGCAGCACCCACATGGCGCCCGCGCCCGCGGTCGAAGTGTCAGTGATGCGGTGGGTGAGGCCGAGGAGAACGCCGCGACACAAGGAGCAAGAAAGCAGTATACCAGGTAGTAGAAGAAAGGTAGAACGAAGAAGAGCACGATCTTTTTTTTTTTTTTTTTTTTTCTCTGTTAAAGGCATCGTCACCCTATGAATGACGACTGGGGAAGGGGGCATGAGGGAGGGATTGGGTAATCTGGGTATGGGTTGTGGGGGAGGGGGAACGGGGCAGATGAATACCATAATGACCTAAGACCTGTTTTCAGTACATATTGGGAAAGGGGGGCGGGAATGGCGGTACATGGAGGTGTGGGGGTAATTGGGTCATCGGTTCGATGATACGACACCCTCCTCCCTCAGAATGGATCAAGCAGCCAAAGATGGGAAGACATTTAAGGTGGAGTAGGTGGCATTGTAGATCTAGATATTAGAGCAGCATATTTGCTTGCTTGCATGGGTTTGGTTCACTTTGGCTTGGGAAGAAAGAAGTATTAAGGGGTATACTCATCACAGCCTAAAAAAAGGATAATCAAGTATGGGACATACATATCCTATTCAGAGTAGTGATAGAGTCATGTATAACTGATACAACAAAATTTTCAATTTCAATATTTTGCTTTCCATATAATTGGTAACGGAATGAGGTAGGTAGTGATAGCTCTGAATGGAGTGAGCGATGGTAGTAGTCAAGCCCACCATTACCCTTCACCCGTCTCTCAACAGACATGCTCCAGGGTCTGCGGCGCCCCGTCCCTCTCGCCCAGATCAACCCTCAACACGCGCCCAAACAGCTCAAGCAGGACCTCGAAGCACGCCTTGGTGATGGCCGGGTCATAGCGGCCCTTGCTCAGCTCGTCACGGATGAAAGCGTGCTGGGCCCAGGCGAACTCGTGCCAGCTGAAGACGACGCCGGCGTCGCGCATCTTGGCGCGGATGAGGTCCCTGCCTGAGTCGGGCACGTGGGTATCGCGGATGCCAAAGATCATGCTGACCTCGCCGCGGAGCTTGGGGAGGAGGTCGAGGGTGTGGACGCTGTCCGGGGTAGGTGGGGTGGGATCGGAGTTGGCGCTGGTGTGAGGGCCTAGGGTGCGCGAGTGGACGTCTGTGGCAAAGTAGCAGACGGTGGCTGCTATACGAGGGTCGAGCTTTTGAGTTTTTGCTCCCACCAACCAGGGGTTTAGGTTAGTTTTGGTGGTAATGATGAGAGAGTGAGTGAGACTGAGGACGGAGGGAGGAGAAACTTACAGCGGCTCTGAGGGCAAGATGCCCACCCAAACACATGCCCGTCGCCCCGATGCGCCCTGTACAGGTGGGCAGGCTCAAGAGGTAATCAACAGTCTTGTACGAGTCTTGGTCGTAGGATTCAAGAGTCTAGAATGAGGGTATGACCCCTCTCTCTCTCTCTCTCAACCGTTAGAAATCAGGCAATAATTCCCCACTAGCATGGGATGGGAACGGGAGAGGGCAAACACAGACCTTCTTCACTTTCCACTCGTTGCCCTGGTCTGTCCCTGGCACGTCGTAGGCCAGAGCCTCGGGACCTGTAAAGTCATGGTAGGAGCTGGGGGCGGCGACAATGTAGCCCTGACCTGCGATCTGGCGGGCGAAACGGGCAACAGGGCCAGTGACCTGGTAGATCTCTGAGAAGAGAAGTACGCCTGGGAAACGGCTGTGCAGCAGGGGGGAAGAGTTGGGAAGTCAGCCCAAGACTTTGTTCTCTCTCTGTTCTCTCGTGTATGGGGTGATGAAGGCATAAACATATACATACGCGCTTGGATACTGAGGGATGGTTGGGTGGTAGACAAAGATCCTCATGGGGCTGTCGACCCCATTGACGGTTGTGATCACATCTGCGTGGAACTCTTTGATGAGCATGTTGAGCAATTTAATGTGTGTCGTTGTTGTTCTTGTTGTTGGTTGATATGGAGGAGGAATGATGGGGGATTTGGGTGGAAAAGAAGAAGGAAAGTGTTGACTATGGTACAAGTTATGGTATGTTGTTTTGAAATTCTGCCCTCCGACCCCTCCGTCAGTGGAGATGCTGGCGGCATCGGGGGAGGGGTTGATTCTGGTGGGGGCAACCCCTGCTCAAGCAGCGCTGACAGGGGCCTAAAGTGGTGGGGCCAGGAGAGCTTTAAAGCTGGCCCATGCAAACCTCAGGGGCCCTCGAAATGTTCTAGAGCCTTTAAGCTTGTAAAATAGACAGTTGTTTAGTTGTCTGTGTTGCATTGTATGCATGTGCAAAGTGCTGTCGACTCTCTTCCTCTGGATTATACATAACTTTATGGTTACTGTTCTTTTCCTTCTCTTCCTGCTTTACTTTTGCAAAAAGCACTGTGCAGGCCTACAATTCCAATTTGAAGCACACAGTACCACTCTAGAAACCACTTACTGTACCACGAACAAGGGTGGGCCCTCGCACCTCTGGAGTACCTGTTATCCCAGATAGGCTGTCAATATGTTGTCTGCTAGGCGGCCCTTTTGCATGCACTTTGCTTCTGAAAACATACCATGGCTGGAGCTTTTTGTCTGCCACTGTGCTATGAAATTGGGACTCTACCAGACTGTGGCGCAGGGCAAGACTAAGATTTGTGACAGGAGGTACTGGGTACTTGTAAGTACTGTTGGTAGTACAGCACCTTTGCCTGCCTCAGCAAAACCACGTGCCAGCTGTTGCAGGGAGCTGCAGCCTGGAGCACACCCCCAACCTCCTCCCACCTCCATACACCAACAAATTCCCTGGTGACTCTCTCCCTTTCCCTCTTTCTTGTCGTCACCACCACTACCTTCTTTTGTTTCCAAATACCTCGCACAAATCCTCGGGCTTCTCAAGTTCCATCACAACATTCCCCAACAGCCAACCACCCGAGAGCTTGCAGACCTCATCTAGGCACCCATACTCGCCACCCCCACCAGGGAAGGACCACGACGAAAAGCCACAATTCTGACCTGCCACGACTTTCATAGACAACAACACCACACTTAAGGTTAGTCAGGCTGTCAGTCTATCGTCTGTGCATTCTTCTTCCCCCAAATATGACCTGATCCAATCTTCTGGCCGTCCCTGGTATCGTTGCAGGTGGGAACACGTCCCCTTCAAAGGTTGTTGATTGGGCACTCATCAGGAGCCTTGAGTCAATCTTTCATAATCTTGTCTTTCCCCAAAGTCAGTATTTTTGCGTCTACACCTTGTCTCCCCACCATCCCAAGCATCAGTCTTTGAGCCTCTAGCTTGACATTCCATGTGTCAAGAGGGATGAGACAAGAGTTGATACTGTCGCTCTCCACAACAACACCATCCCCATCCCCATTTCTGACAGTAGTCAGTAGATACCCTTTCATACAGATCTACATCAACAGCACTGGCCAGTCAGCCATGTACCCGCAGCGTCGACGTTTCTACTAGGTTTGGAATCACATATTTCATTCCCTTGGCTATTAATAGAGAAATGACTAAAATCTATTCTCCTAGCAATCTTCGTACTCGTCTCTCAAGAGGGAGGACCCCAGACCCGCTTGATCCATGTCTCTCAAGCGTTTCAATGCCGATTTACGGTCCGTCCGTACTCGGCTGAGCACGAACGGAATCCCAGGCGTCGATAGCGTCGAGCGTGGCGATTCTGACGGTGAGGTTGTTTTCACGTTCGTCCATGACAAGCTGTCCGAGCCTCTTCCCGTCCGTCTGCTCTCCCAGAACCCCGACGCATATCCCGACGATCATAGCTTCCTTCTCTTTACCGATGCTGAAGATGCCCCTCCCGAGCTCGTCAAAGCCCTTGGTGACCTTCAGAACTACACCTTCGGCCAAAACATCTTCGATTCGCTCCGCGACGTCTCGAGTGGTCTGACCCGCGCCCTGAAACTGGTCGACGCAGATGGCGACACCAGCATGGGCGATTGCCACGACGAGGTCGAGGGCGCCTCTGACCAGACCCCTGAGGAAGACGGCAGCGATGAGGAAGAGGTCTATTATGAGCCCGAGGAAGACGACGAGTACGAGGACGACGACATCTTTGGTCTGAACGTATCCCAAGGTGACTCTTCTGGCCACGGCGATGGCCACAAGACGTCCTCTGCCACGCTTGCCAAGATCAAGAGGGATCTTCGTCAGGCTCGCAGTGCAGGTGTCAAGGTGGGCATCCTGCATGGTGTCAACGACCAGGCCCGTACCCATACGCTGTCGCTTTCTGTTCGTGCGAGCAAGCTTGGCATCTCGGACGAGACCCTCGAGGCTTGGGACGTCGACCCATCCGAATACATCGTCCTCCTGCTCCGGGTCAACGAGCCTTATGCTGCGGCTTACAAGATGGAGCAGCACGGCGCTGCCTTCTTCGCTGTTGACTTCCGCTTTGGCAAATGTTCCAGGTACAAGCCAGATCCGAAGTTGGCATGGAAGGCATTTGGCTCGCAGTCTCAGCATAGCGGTGCTGCCGCTACCGCCCCGCACCGGGACGCAGAGGGTCCAGCCGTCCAGAAGCTCTTCATCTCCAATTCTCTCGAACAGTTCATGAAGGAGAACTTCATGTCTCTCTTCAGCCTTCGCCTGAGCGGGTGTACCAGCTGGGACGACGCTCACACCCGATACACGGAGATAAACAACCGGCATCGACCCGCGAATGCCACGCAAGAGACCGCCAGCCGGTCAGAGAAATCGCCACTCAAGACGAGCCCCAAGGGCAAAGAAGGCGCCTCTAGCCCAAGCACAACGTCGGGCACAGACTACAGAACCACGACCCCGGCTCTACTGCTTGTTGACGCTTTCGACAAGCCCATCGAGGACATCAGCTTGCCCCTGGTGGCCATGCAGTTTGCCACCCATTACTTTGTTCGATGTACAGACTACTGCCTGCGCTGCCACCGCAGGCTGAGTAAAGACTTTGAGGCCCTGAAGCCTTTCGTCTGTTCAGATCCCCTGTGCTTGTTTCAATACATGGCCATGGGTCTCGGCCCCTCCATCGAGCACGAAGTCATGACGCAGCCATATGTCGTGGATCTCCTAGTTTCCTTGTGCTACAGCAGCATCGAGCAGCCAAGTTATCTACTTGGGTATACACCAACATTGCCCAGTTCATATCCGATACGTGATTTCCCGACTGGCCTGCGGCTAAAGGTGCCCGAGGCAGTGATCGGAGCCGGGGAGCCCTTCGTAGAACCGCTGAGGGTCTCTGTGGACATGAGAGAAACCACGGGGCCAAAACTCGTCATGCTGCACAAAGCTGCCGATTTCGTTCGCGTCTCTGCTGAGAAATGGATCGTCCTCGAACAGCCGACCCCAGCCGGCGGAATACTTCACCACGCCAGTATCACGTCTGTGGACTTCTTGGGAAACACCTTGGAAGTAGAATTTCGGTACTCTCACCAAATGCTTCCCGAGACGCCTGGGCATCTCAAACCGACGTCTGATCCGGGGGAGATGACACTATCCTGGTATGAGACCGAATTCGACGATCTAGACTTGCATGGAAAGGCCAAGGCCATGCTCTGGCTCCTGAGGACGCTCCCGCCCATCGCGCACCTGCGCGAGTACCTGGAGCTGAATCCGCTTGCGACGCTTAGGAACTGTCCCGATATTACACCCGCGGCACTGACCCTCCTGAAATGGATTGTGGCCTCGAACAGATCATGCATTCTCCAGGTCACTCCCGTGCGCGACCGACATATCCAGAATAAGACCCTGTCCGACACCATCAAGATTCGAGACCAGGAGGCTATCCCCTCCATGCGTGCTGGCCATGTCCAGTTCCGATTCGCTCAAGGCACCCCCGACAAAGAACTTCGGTTTCACCGCGCGCTCAAGGAGCAGGAGTCACACGAGTACCCGACTCTCTTTGCATGGCACGGAAGTAATCTGGGGAGCTGGCACAGCATCTTGAGACATGGCCTGGATTTCAAGAATGTCATACACGGTCGAGCATATGGCGACGGTGTATACTTTAGCCAGCAATACGCAACCAGCATGAGCTACATGAGAAGCGCTCAATCTTGGCCAAACTCGGCATTGTGTGCTACCGGCGCCATTGCCCTTTGCGAGATTATCAACCGCCCTGACCAGTTCGTGAACACCATTCCACATCTTGTCGTCTCGCAAGTGGACTGGATCCAGTGTCGGTACCTGTTTGTCACAGTGGGAAGCAGTCCTTCGAATGATACACCTTTGTTGGATGGTGAAAATGGTGGCCGCGCCGCAGATGTTATGCCTCCCTCTTTGGGTGCAGAGCGGATTGTCGAGATTGCACAAGACCCGACACGAAAGGTCTGGGGTCCTGATGATGAAGTCTTGAAGATACCCGCCAAGGCATTGCCGAGCAGCCGGGGCGCTCTGTCGCATAAAGAGAAGCTTTCCAAGCCGTCACCGTCCAAGAGGAACCACAACACCTTCAACGGAGCTGCAGACACGGACCAGGAGGACAATTCGGACCTGGAGGCTTTGCTGAGCGAGGAGGAGCGTCTTCACCCGCCCTATAAGCGGGCCAACCCCAAGGTGTCGCGGGACTCGAGTGTCGACACAGACACCGTCACTGCTCTCCAGCTCACCGCAAAGCGGCCCTTGACACCGCCCAGCACTGACTTCCGACCGGGCACACTGGATCTAAGCACTATGCCCCGACTGGCGCTTCCCGAGTGGGCTGACGCCAACGCCACGAGGAGGCTTGCGACCGATATCAAGCAGATGCAGAAGATCCAGGCGAGCACCCCTCTGCATGAGCTTGGGTGGTACATTGACTTTGAGAATGTCGAGAACATGTTCCAGTGGATTGTAGAGCTTCACAGCTTCGATCCGAAGCTTCCCCTGGCCAAGGATATGAAGGCAGCGGGTGTCACGTCTGTCGTTCTGGAGGTTCGCTTCGGTCGCGACTATCCCTTCTCACCCCCTTTCGTCCGGGTTGTCCGACCTCAATTTCTGCCATTCATGAATGGTGGCGGTACGTCTCGAATCTTTTTTCTTTTCTTCTTCTCTCCTTCCTTCGTCCCCATCTTCTCATCTTGTTCTTTGTTGAAGAATTGAATCTGCTGATTTGCCGATTGTTAACATGATACCTGGGGAGGAAATAGGTGGCCATGTGACGCTTGGCGGAGCGATATGCATGGAGCTTCTGACGAGCAATGGCTGGTTGCCTGCGACGACGATGGATTCGGTGTTTTTATCGATCAAGATGGCTATCAGCTCGACAGAGCCGAGGCCTGCACGGTTAAACTCTTCAGCTACAGCGGATTACCATCCGACGCATGCGCTGGAGGCGTTTCAACGTGCAGCTGCACGTCACGGCTGGACAGTGCCCAATGATTCGCTGGAGAATGCACAGCAGCCCTTTGCACAGCCATAAAAGACAAATACTTGTGGTAACTCGAGGCCTTTAGTGAGGTGATGAGGTGAGAACGGAGTTCTTCCTCTCCTGCGTCGCTTATCGTGGGCGCACTTATTTTCGGCAAACAGCAGTATAAAACACTGAGATTTCATACTTGGTCTTGAATTCTTTTCCCGCCACGATCTTCTCGTCAGAGGCCGCCCAGAACATGACCGAGTCAATGAAGAAAGACTACCGACTTTGGCTTCACCCACCTGAGGAGTCGAGAAGAAGACTTGGAGGATACAGAAAGCCAAGAGTGGATATTGATATGAAGCGAAACAAGAGACTGCTTTAGAGAGATGCATGATCTGAACAGGAACGGAATCATGGACGAAGGTCGAGAGGTGATCTTTATGGGCAACGGCGTCAAGAGTGATTACAAGGCATTTTCACATGTCAGGGCTTCCAAATTGGGCCGGGTAGGTGACAAAGCAGGGCGTCTAGACAGACCAAAATGGGGCTGTTCCCCTTCACTTGGGCGTTTGGTCACGAACAGCCTGCGGTGGCTTGGTATCTGCTCGGCGTTAAAGGACACAATGGTGCTGGACAACAAATTGCATGGTCGACAAAACCGGTCAGGCGCGTGGATGAGGTCATTCGAGCAGCAAGGTTGTTGCTAGGGCATCATTTGGCAGCAAAACATCTCAAGCTTTTCTATCTTGATTGACTGATGAGAGCCCTGAATTGGAGGTGAATGAGCAGATTAAGTGCCCCAGGCCTTGTTTGAATGCACGTCTTCCACAAAAACAGCTTCTAGGCTACAAGGTATGAACTCCCCTTTTGCCTCTGCTATCTTCCATTGCCAAAGTTAACCAACCTGCATGACTTAGAAGAAAGGCCCTCCAAAGGGTCCACCCATTGGCGTTCCCCAGTCGTCCGCATCACTGTCCGACTCGCTGCTGTCGTACAAAGGACCCCCAAAGAGGGGCCATGGTGGGAAGCCCATCGATCCAGAAGCTCTAGGCATAGGCATTGGCATTGGCATCCCCATCACAGGCCCATACGGCCCAATGCCAACTCCCCCTCCTAGTCCAGCGCCACCTTCTTCTCCTATTCCAACGCCGGCAGCAGCAGCCATCTTGGCCTCCCTCCTCCTCCTCCTATCATGTCGATCGCACAAACCGCCCACCCATCGCCCGTCACCACGCCGCCGCGACTGATGGTGCGCCGCCTCTGCCCTACACCCATGGTAGACACACTCATGGCGCTCGCAGAACCGTCTCGGGGCGGTGGTAGCATGTTCTCCGCCGCCGCCGTCAAAGGGAGCAGCAGCAGCAGCAGCAGCAGCAGCAGCAGCAGCAGCACGACCACCCATCCTGCCTGCGCCGCCGAGTGTGGTTGGGGTTCCGTTGCTGGTACTTGTCGTGGTGTTGTTGGTAGCAACCTCTGCCCCGCAGCGCCCGCCGTCGCCCTGGCACGAGTGTGCGGCGCAGAACCTGCTTGGCCCGGCTGCTCCTCCTCGTCCTCCTCCTCCCAACAGGCCAGCCAGCAGGAGGATTCTCGCGTGAAGGGCTGTGCTGTCGTTGAGCATGGCCGTCGCGGTGTTGGTGTTGATGTTGGTGCTGTTAGTTGTGGTGGTGTTGGTAGCCGGTGGGGAAAGAAGGTGGAGGAGAAGGGCATTCTTTACCTGCTCCTGGCACAGGCCCGAGGCGCACTTGTGGATGATGCAGTACTGTAAGGAGCCTGGGGGCCGGGGGTGGGGACAGGTGCGGAAGCCGCAGGCATGGTCGTCGCAGTAGTGGGAAGAGGAGGAGGGAATGGCGGTGCTGGATGCTGTGGTGCCTGTGTTTGGGACGTTGCGGTGGCGGAAAGGCACTCGATTGCTGCAGAGGGTGTTGTTTAGAGTTGGGGCGTTGCAGGTTGGAAGGTGGTCTATTATATATTTTCGGATAGTCGTGAGCATGAAGACCAGGCGATGCGGAAGAGTCAACGGTCAGGGGAAACAAGAAAGAAAAAGAGAGAGAGAGAGAGAGAGAGACAGAATGATAATTGGGAGGAAGGCCAAGAGGAAGGACAGGAGATGGAAATGTTCTCTTCCGTTCTCAGCCGGAAACGTACGTCTTTCACACTCGAGATACCTGATGGGGCCCCCATCCACACCCTTCTCAACATAGACCCACTCACGGCATCCTGCGACGACACAGTACTGATGATCCTCACACCGGTTTCTGTTCGAGGCCGCAGGTCTTGCGCACTCTTCCACCACGCAGGTGTGCACAGGACAGTGCTCAGCCCCCGACACCCTCTGGTCCCTCCGCGCACCACATCCCTCGGTCTTGCACGCGTGCGCATCACAGAACCTGCTGCTGCCTCCATCACCACCATCACCTCCTGCACTGCCGTTCGTTCCCTTCCTGCCTCGCGTGCAGGCCGGCTCGGTGCACAGGTGTCGCTTGCAGTACCGATCGCTGTCTGCACTGCGCTGCTCCTCACAGAAGCCGCTAGACCTACCACCGCCCTCTCCCGCCTGGCAGTAGTGCAGGCCACAGTACCTAGCCATCCCCTCGCCGCCACTACGACCACCACCAGCGAACCCGTCACGCACATGACAACGTCGTGAACACCCCGTGGCAGCGCACGTGCGATGGTGGTCGCAGAAGCGCGTGGGATCACCGTGCTCGCCTTTGCCCTCGACGGCGGCCGTGCAGGAGGCTGCCTCGCAGGTGTGGTTGTCGCAAAAGGCCGAGGCGAGGTCGAGGATGCGGGCTCGGTCGCAGGCGGGTTTGGTGCAGCGGTGGAAAGGGCAGTGGGGGTTCGTGGGATCGGTGCGACGGGCTGTGCAGGTTGGGAATCCGCAGCCGTCTATGGAGGAGGTGGGAGAAGGAAGAGGAGGTTAGTTTTGTGTGTGTGTGATTAGGAGTGAGAATGGGGGAGAGAGAGAGAGGGAGAGACAGAGAGAGACAGAGACGAGAGGGACCTACGATCTTTGCAGTACTTGTACTTCTCGGGGTTGTCTTCTTTGACGGTCCTCCAACAACGGCCTTCGTCGCCAGTCGCTGTACATCGAGCATCTGTTTATAGCCACTGAACATCAGCTTCACTGGCACCAGGGCCCATCTATTCACCTTGCCTTGAGCTTCCGTCCATTATACTTCTGATGATAAACTCTTCATCCATTCACTATCCTCCTACCCCTCCTGCCGAAGCACGACTTGTGATATCCACAGGTGAAACAAATCAAAACTCACGATTATCACAGTACATCGTCCTCCCATTGTTCTGTGCCGAGCAGATCAACCCCCCAGGCAGAACTCGCGCGCAGTAGTGCTTCTGGCAGTACACGAGGTCGACCTTTTGCCCGTGGATCCTCGCCGTGCCGATGGGCTCCTTGCATGCGCGACAGCGGCCGTTTCGGTGGCCGTGGTGGTGGTGGTGGCGGTTCTTTGAGCGGGAGGATCTTGGGTACATGAGATCCCACATGGTTGTTCTTGATCTTATTGGTTGTTTGGGAAGGATTTGCCTCGTGATGGCTGATGGGAGTTTATCGTCCTCGGGGGGGTTTGTGTAGATAGATGACCGAATAGACCGTTCCTTTTGTATGCTCAGTCCTTTTGCCCAGCTTCTACCTCTCTTGATGACTCTGCGAATGAAAAGTTTCTTTGATTCTTCAGCAAGACCAACCAACAGATTACTCTTCAAACCAAGTCTAAAACTTGTCTGGCTGAATCATATGTACCTGACAAGCAAGAGCACGTGGATTGTGAAATAGAAAATGCCCACGTCCAAAAGGCTTGATGACTCCTCCCTTGGAAGTTTGACTGAAGGTTCAAGAAAAGAATAAAAAGAACTGGTGGATTTTTTCTTTCTTTCTTCGGGGATAGTCAGGTTAGGCAGCACACAGAAGGGCTCGGGACATTTCATGTAATACCGTGTGAGAGTGTATCACTTCGCTTGTCAGCCGACCTTCTTCTTTCCCTCCCCCCCCCCCCTCCTCCCTCTTCCATGGAAGGAAGCGGCAGTTTCCCTAGGTGGCGGATGCATGTTTGGAGCGGTCGGTCGGGCTGTCCATGCGTCTTGGGATGATCGCGGCTGTTTCTTCTTCTTTTTGTCTGTTCAGGATCTATGATGGTCTCACCGGTTGACGGATAGGAAACTGGCGCTTTGAGATGTTGAACGCTGCCTTCAAGAATTTATGTCTTGCATCTTGAATTCACATAACAACTGACAATCGACAGTATTCACTCATTCTTGATGGCATCATTGAGATGTGTCTGTGGCTCGCATTCCTAGGTAGCACGGAGATCAACTAAGGAGCCAATCTAAACAGATACATATGTGCTTTTTCGAATTGAATTGTCTCACGTTTGTTTGTGTGTTCAATTTGACGCTTGTAATGTAATTGTAATGTAACACTATATGAGGACCTGGGTAGAACGTCTGTCTCCAGGATTAAAATCAGGTACTTGGTATCAAGTGAGCAATGAAACAAACAACTCTTTGGCTGGAAGATCCAGTGTAACGAAAAAAAATCAGTCATAAAACCAACCGTCATATGACTCCAGCTTGATTGTCTGCAAAGACTTGTCCCCAACCCGCCTCGTATCATATTCATCCCCTTTTTCCCTCAAGAGACAAGTACTATTCGATGATTGCCATCCCATGTCGCCAAACCTATTCGCCCGATTATGTATACAGAAACTCTCAGCCTTACGTCGGAAACTTTTCCCAAACAAGTGCCCAAAAAAGTTGTCATCCCACTTCCGCATGACTTTCCAGGGGTCTACTATGCTGAGTATCCTAGGCTGAGTCAATAGCTGCTTTGAGAGCGTTCGCCAACAGATCGTCATCAGCTCTGTCCTTGTTCTCTGCTACTTGTGCTGGGTTCTCGGGGGCCGGAGTAGGCACCGGAGGTACTGGACTCAGTGCGGGAGCGGGTGCACTTATCGGCGCTAGGGCCGATGCAGGCGCTGGTGTTGGTTTTGGTGTCAATGCTGGCGCTAGGCTCACAGCTGCAGGAAGTGCAGTGGACTGTATCGGCGGCCTAGGCGCAACGGGTTGTGCAGATTTTACAGCAGCTTGAGAGGGCTGGGAAGGCGCCTGTTGGATAGGCTTCGCAGGAAGAGTTGCTGGGACAGCCGCATTCTGCCCTGGCGGCGCCGGCATAATGGCGGGCATGCTTTTTGCCGCTGGCGCTGGCGCTGGTGAAGGAGCCGATCCAACAGGCGGCGGTATGGACGCAGGCCGAGGTGGTGCGGTGCCAGCAGCGGCCGCTGGTCGGGGAGGAGTGGATGAAGGTTGACCAGCAATCGCTGGCGGTCGTGATTGCGTCTGCGGTGTAGTCGACGAAGCAGCAATATTGCGTGGAGGAATAGAGGAGGCTGGGGCTGGAGCCATTGGCCGCTGAGCTTGCTGGTAAGCAGGCGGGCCCTGGGCAGCTGGTTGCTGTATTGGCCTCTGTTGATATTGGGGATGCGTTGGAGCGCCAGCTTGTTGCAGTGGTCGTTGATAAGAAGAGGGCGCAGGTGCTATAGGCTGATGCTGAGACTGAGGAGCCAGTGGTCTCGGCGCCATTGGCTGCTGTCCCTGTTGCGGCATTGTATTTGTACTATGGCTGGTACCGCTGGTTGCTTGTTGGGCGGGCTGCTGTGGTCGTTGTTGCGAATACCCTTGGTGGGATTGATATGTCTGCTGTGATTGGTGGGGATGATGATGAGAAGGATTGGCGCTCGCAGGCGTCGAAGGACCGGCTCCAGGTGTGGCGGAAGCTGGTCGTGGTGATCCGCTCATGGAGACACCGTGATTAGGGAGTCCTCCCGTGCCGTTGGTCGTACCGTTCATGTAGGTCGAAGCGTAAGTGTTTGGACTACTTCCAGTCTGGACACGAGCCTGCTCCTCCGCCTCCTTCCGCGCTGCCTGGCTAGGAGCGCGTGTCTTGAGCTCGCCAGTGACGCACTGTAGATAGTATGGCATCTCCGAGTTCGTCTTCAGGAAGAATAATTTGAGATTCCGAGCCTTGTCCTTGAGTTGGACTTGAGTTCGGTCTTTTAGAATGTCGGAGACGGTCCCGTTCTGGCCGAAAAGTTGCAGGATTTGGCTCCAGTGTGGGCCTTTGACCAAGTCGAGACCTGCCATCAAAGCTTTCTCTTCTTCTGGGGTCCACGGCCTTCGCGTGGAGTGCAGACCTTCTCTGCGAGCGTGTGCTGATGATTTGGCGACGGCTGCTTGTCGAGCTCTTTCGTACAAGATAGATGTCGGGAGCGTCTGGCTGGGCGGAAGGATTGTGCTTTCTGGTATCGTCGACGAGCCATATGCAAATCCGTCATATCCAGTCAGCTTTTCCGTGATGAGCGATGCCAGGCCGGCACTGTCGAATCCACCGTCAGGCCCGCTCCGCCTGACTTGCCCAGGAAATGCCCCCGAATACTGTGACTGAACAGCGTCCATGAACATCAAATCTTCTTCGCCGGCCTCGTTGGGAACCTCAAAGCCGTGACTCTCGGCGTAGTCCAGGATGGAGTCGAAATTGGACCGGGTAAACGCACTAAGGCTATCCAGAAATGATGCAAATTGGTACTTGGCCTCAAGTGCCTCTGTTGTCTTAAATTAGCTGCCATCCTCTTGAGTCGACGCGCGGGATGCTCACTTCTCTTTTCCTTGTCATGACCGATGGCCTTGAGCAAGTTCCGCCTGTCTGTAAAAGGCCTGACGAAGTCATCTGCAGACATGGCAAGATTCGATTCTCTCCAGTATCCCCTCAACTTCTCCTCTAGATCCAGCGGAAAGAATTTGTCCATCAGGCTGTTTCTCGTGGACTCCTTGTCCTCCATGACGTTTGCGTATGCCAGGAAACTCTGCGTCTTCTGGTCGAGGTACAGCGCAGAGATATCCTCAGTAATCATGCCATTTTCTGGAATCATGATCTTGAGGAAGTTGTCGTGGGCAGTAGCCATGGTCGGGCCTCCTGGTCCATAGAAGCTTGCACACATGCTAGCCAGATTTGCCATCTGGATCGTCTCGCGGTCGCCCGGGTCGTGAATATCGAGGTCATCAGCGCTGAGAAAAACTGTGGCGTCTGTAAACAGCTTCAAGACGGCCATGAACGTCTGCCGCAGAGCCGAATACACCTTTCCGCCCTCGGTCCTCACGTCTCTGATCTGGCGATCGGTGACCTCTGATGGTTGCTGGAAGAGCGCAAGCAAGATCTGCACGGACTATAGGGCTGGTTAGCACACCCTGTGTCCAACCCGAAAGCTAATACTGGGTCCAACTTACCAGGCTCCCTAGCATTGGCAAGCCCATGGCCCGTGAGAAGTATGTCGGATTTTCAATAAACTTCATCTTTTCGAGACGTTTCCGAGGGGGTGGCAGAGGTATGGACGGCATCATATCCATCACGCTATCCTCTGCCGTGCCACTCGTGTCGTTCGCAGCCTCTGGCTCGACCGAGCCGAGGACATTGGATAGCTGCGCTCCAAGGTCCCACGAAAGCAGATTGGTAGCCTCTGCATCATCATCGTCCCCGTGCGCCTCTGTGCTCTGGTCTGGCTGGTCTTCCGCGATGTGTTCCGTCTTCTGTCTCTTCTCGGGGCCACCTTCCTCTGTGGCCTCTGGCGTTCTGGACCGCTTTGTTGGGCCCACATCCGAGAGCGGAGAGATCGCTGGCGTAGGCACATTTCCCTGGAGGATCGAAGCGAGTACAGAAGACACTCCAGCTGTTGCGCCGGACGGAGGCGTCGGTGCGGTGCCAGGGGTAGACGGTGCGCCGGTGCCATTTGTAGACGCAGGAATGGCGATCGAGAGCGGTTGGGCGTGCGAAGCAGGTGCGGGGGTCTCCTTTGGCGGGTCTTGCACCTCCTGCTTGATATAAGCCGGCGTTGTATCTGATGCAGGTGCAAGAGTAGGGTTGGGAGTCGATTCGGAAGCTGGCTTCGTGGGGACAGTGTCAAGCCGCTGCTGCAGTACCCCTTCCGTCTTGATCGGTGGCGTAGAAGCATCTTTTGGACTGGTCGACTCGTTCTTGGGAGTTTCTGGAGGCTCAAAATATCAAAATCTGCTCGAAAATCGACGACAGAGGGGTTTCAAAAGGTTGGCGACAAGAGGCACGATGCAATTCCATCTTTCACATGCCGCCTCGACGAGGACGGGGCTGGCCCATCAAAGACATACCGCTTCTCTCGATTGTCGCTACGGCTGGTGCCGGCGACGCATTCTGTGGAGCGTCCGCCATCTCTTTGGAACATATAGAGTCATTCAGAAGTCTCGTGTGGTCGAGTCCAAGTATGGTTGAGAGGAGGGGACTCGAGCACACAAGCGGGATGCGCTGCGAGACCTTCTTTCCAAAATCGCTAGGAATGATTGATAGTTGGGGCGGCAGAAAATCAAAAGTGCCCAGGATTTGTTCATGAACGCCAAAAAAACTAGCCCCATAACAATTACACCGCCTGCTTGATGCAGCCGAAGTCGGCCAGCTGACATAAGATCTTGCCCGAAGGTACAAACAGACGACTTCAAACTATCATAGCGTGCTAGTTGCATCGTTCTCTGGCCCGAGAAAATCTATGAAGACATGCCCAGCACTTTTTGTACGTCTGTTTGAGTTTAAGTAGACAGCCAATGCCGAGGCTCAAATTCAGAACGCACCTCACTTGCATCTATGATTCCAGCTCTGTTTTCCCTACTACTTTCAGCTTTATCATTTCGCACTCGAATCACTATTTACCGCCAGTTATTATAGAGATTTCAATAAAGATTTCTTTGCCCTATCTCGGTGAGACGGTTGGGATGTCCGCTTTCCAGCCTTGGTGGCTTGCTCATTCTAGTAGCGGGGTCTGCAAATCTAAAACTCAGGCGCGAGTATCAATGTGCTCTCACCTTCCGAAGAACTCAATGAACATTCAAACTTTTTCGTTCTTCTATTTTTTTTCAAACAAAGGTTTTGAAGTCCTATATTCCACTTCGCTCACTATGACGCCTACGACTTAGGAGAAGCCAGACAGTAAGAGGGATCGTCAAGCTTCCTATGATATGCTAGGCCGAGTTTGTCCGAGGGGACATCACATCTCCTTGTTGGTGGATTGCTCTGAAAGCTGAATTTTATACTCACTGGAAGAAATTCAAGAACAGTTCTTATGTCGAGGTTGAGCCTTCCGAAAATGGCAACACAGACTTAACCATTCTTGAAACTACAAAACACTCCCGACAAGTACACTGGTAAGACATAAATATATATATCTCGTGGTTCACTGTACACACCTGTACGCTCGGCGCATGCATTAATTACGGCAGGCGGCGCAGCGCCAAGCAGTGCTGCTGAGAAGCCCAGGATCAATTATCCGGGTGTCAGGCAACCAAGAGCTGGAAAACACAAACGCAAACATACGAGAAAGACAATCATATCTAGAACAGGTATGCTGCACTGTTCCCTTATGCATTTGTTCTGCCTACTTGATCGAGTTGAACGTCAGTACTGTCGGAAGTGGAATAGCTGTCGTCAGATACTTTACCTTGGGAGACCGGCTCCTTTGTTAATAGTACTAGAGAACAAATGTCCGAACCAATTGCCAGGACAGCGTGCTTGCTTGTTGCATGTGTGTATAATCAACTATTTCTGAGCAAACCAGACGAGTTAGAGAACAAGTTCAAGCCTATGCCTTTTGAACACGTGTGATTTCCGCTGCTAGAACATAGGTATTCATGGATTGATCTCAAACATCTAGGCCTCAGATTTTAAGGAGCACCTCTATAGGTGTCTACCACAACATCATGATGTTCCTCCAGGAAACTCTTGAAGCTCTGGAATTTGAAACCAAGGCCTTCATCCTCCTCACGGCTCTCGCTTTCGCTTTCAAAGCGAGCCACACGCATCAACTGCGATTGGATTAATGGGTTGGTTCTTGCAAGCTCCCTAGCCACTTCAAAATCATACGTTTGCAGCTTCAAACTCTTGCCGCTGGCTTCTGTCAGAAGCTGCAGAATTTCGCTCACAGAGAGCTTCTCTGCTGCCAAAATAAGTTCCCTTCCGGTGTATCTCTGCGGGTCCAGAATGGCCGCAGCCGCGACCCTGCCAATGTCCCCAGTGTTTATCAAGCTGATCCTGTGCTCCGGTCTCCACACTGCTTTCCAGACACCGTCTTTGATCAGGTCTGGAAGCTGGAAACCGGCCCATGGGTTGATGAAGTTATTGAAGAACTCTTCAGGTTTCAGAATGGTATAGAACTCAAACCCAGCAGTCCGCACCATCTCCTCCCCGCGAACCTTGGACCGCCAGTAATTCACAATAAAGGGATTTAAATCCCACCCCGGCTGGTCCTGCCAGCTCTCCGTGCCAGACACAGTAGAGTAGACGACCTGCTTGACTGTGCCAGCAGCGAGCGCGGCGTCCAGGATATTGCGCGCCCAACGCACCTCTGCGTCCGCCTCGGTGAAGGAGATCGCTGACGCGAAGAATGCCGCAGTAGCGCCCGCCATAGCGGATCCCAGCGCTTCGGTGTTGTCGAAGTCACCCTCGAAAAGCTGGGCGCCCAAGCCCTGGAGAGCCTGGGCGTTGGCTGCAGAGATGTCGCGGACGTAGGCGTGGACGGTGTGGCCTTGTGCCAGAAGGGCACGAGCTGTTGCTCCGCCTTGCATCCCAGTTGCACCGGCGACGAATGCTTTCACCATGATGGCAGGATAGATGTCTAATCTGGAGATGGTGTGGCTTTCTGGGACTGACTGATCTTTCTCAACCTCGGAATATATGAATTTAGTAGGTTCTGCTCGTCCGAGAAGGCCACAGACTGCCACCAAGAGATATTCCAATACTTATATTTGAAGAAAAGCCTATTGATTAACAAGCTTGATTGATAAGCTGATCATCTCATGGTCTAGCAGGCTGACAGGCTGACCAAGTCCACACATTAGTTGGCCGGGATTCACGAATCCCGTTAGGGCAACATGAGCTCCCGGTTCGCCCGAAATGTCCGTACCCTATAGTAATTCAGATATGAAAATGTGGGGAGATATAAGGAAGGTATAGCCAGTGTCGACAATTAATAATGAGAACTATTCCAGCAACCACTCATAGTTCAACGAAGTTGCCAAGGGTGGTGTTCTCGTATCGCGACTATTCGTGTTGCGGTAATGGAATGCAATCTGACTCTAATAAACCATTTCAAGTCTACACCAAAGTTGTGAATGCTTTGCTGATGCGGGTTCCGTTGACAAGAGTTCTGTGATCCCAGGGTAGTGACGCGGTCAAGCAGCAGACCGCGTATATAACACTGCTGCTTAGCTGCTCTCGAAAGACTATCGAGTGACGAATAATCGTCGAATCGATCCCTGGAAATATATTTCAGCTTCTCAATAACACCTTCGAGAACGAGCATTTGGCTCTAGTCGGCAAGACAAGTTTGTCTGAAGTTCTGATTAGTAAAGACCAACCGGGCCATCGGCAACATCAAGAATAATTTGAGAGCGCCCTTCGCCGGCATTCTCCTTCAGGACAAAGAGTCAAGTGGGGACCCATGGTCGCTGCCAGGACCGAAGATAGCATCAACTCCGGAGCTTCTCGTACTAGACAGCCAGACGGTCAGAGATGGCGGCAGGACCTGTCAAGTGACAAGGCACAATGACGACTCGAAGAACACAATATGCATTGGATATCTATCAGCTGCCAACTGTCTTCGGCCCACGGCGCTCTGAACATCGTAAAGTAGAGCCCAGACGATCAGGAGTGCAACACGGTGCGGGCCCGGCGCATTGAGGCTGTTATGGCTAGAGGCGTATGAAACCAGGCAAGCGCGGCGAGACAAACTCAAAAGGCTGTGCGCATCGCCTCCCCTGATCATCCCCGGAACAAGGCCTGGCACATAAAACAGCAGTTAGGTCTACATCTGCTGAGGAGTTATTACCATAAGTTCTCGCGTCTTGTACCGCTCATACAATAATTCTCGAGGTCAGTATTTGCAACCAATCAGCCTGCATATCTTCTCTTTTTAATGACCTATCTAACATTCCCTAACATAGCTAATGATGCCCCTTCTGCACGACACTCAATGCCTTTGTATAATTTTCCATGATAAACGCCTAGAGACTGACCCCTACATCTCGGCCGATCCATCATCGCTATCGTCATCTCTCTAGATGATGCATTTCACCCCGGCCCGTACTTATAGACCCCGGCCCGGCCGAATTCTCCTTTCTTTCACACCACAACCTTTCCCTTCCTCCTCCAAGATGTTATTCCATTTGAATGCAAGAACATCTCCTGCCATCACCATGACCGAGCCCATTGAGCAATCCAAAGTGCTTCGTTCCTCAGCAGCTGAAGTTCGTTCCAATTTTTTTTTAAATGCGCTGCTTACTGTGCTAGTACCAGACAGTACCATTTGGTGCTGTATACGATGGTGTCGCATGCAGCTATGATCGAGTGAATGGAATGTTGTGTACATGTGTGTCTGTGAGAAATATATGAATATATACTTAAGTACATATCAATTTGCCTCGCCTTGGCTTCCTTTGTGCTGCGCACCAACACCTCCTAATTTTCGATCACCTGAGCACGAGTTGAAATGCAACAGAATTGACCGACTAGGGTCTATATACACTATATGTTATATCATTCTTAATAGACCATTTCCCCGCTTCATTGACGCCGTAGTGGTACCGATTCCCCCGCTTTCTATGACGCTTCCGCCATGCAAGTATGATGAACTGTCTCCATTCGACGTCCTACATGACTCCACTCGTGGGCAAACCATCACCAAGGATCAATCACATTCTACCTATAGTGGCGTGGGCTACAGCATCAGGATGGAAAGAGCGGCATTCACCCGTCAGAGGAAATCATAAGACTTGAGCTTTTCTACTCTAGTTGAGTTTTGGTACCTGGTAAACCTTAATAGTCGCGCAGTCAAATACTGCGTCCCTTGAGCCCTGCCCGGGTGTTCTGGGTCGAGAGTGGCATGCATCGACAATATTGGAAGTCATGTCCGTTGAAACAATGGCAAAAACATCCCAGATCTTTTCCTTCCCCACACCTCTCTTCTCCAAGGGCACCTCAAGATGAGGATATACTCGCGAGAGTGGATGACGGGCATCCCCCCCCCCTCCAATTCATATAGTAGCCAGCCTGCCCTCTGACCTTCAGTAATTGTTTCTGCCCAAATCTCACGTGTTTGCGTAGCATCCTACAAAACTGTCCACCATGAGAAGAGTATCCCTTACCGGCTTAGCGGCCTTAGCCAAAGCCGCTTCTGCCATCGATTGCTCTTTTGACTCTATCAAGACTATCCTACCTGCGGGCGTGGAGTTGTCCTTTGCGCAGCCCATTGAGGAGAATGGCACTTTCATTGTCCCGACGGAGGATATTGCCTGGCCCGTCGACCCCATCAATCTGCCCAAACTCTGTGCCGTCGCCGCCACCGTAACCTCGGCGGAAAATGGCACGTATGGGTTTGGGATTTTCCTGCCTGATGATTGGAATGGTCGTACCCTGTAACTGAGTTCCTCGTCTCTTTTTTTGCCCTTCATCAAAGTACTTGCCCAGCTTAAGGTTCACCAGCTCTCTGACAAGCGGACTAGGACTGTGGGCAATGGCGGTCTGGCCGGCGGCGTGATCTGGTCTGATATGGTAAGAGACATGTGGAATTTATTCTGTCAAGGTGGCCACGTTTTGGTTAACTCACGTCTTTTGTACTCAGGGCACCGGTGTCAAGTACGGACATGCCGTTATTTCAACAGATACTGGGCACAATAGCACCACCACCGACGCTACCTGGGCCGCAAACGACACAATCGCACAGACTAACTGGGGATGGCGAGCCCTGCACGAGAGCGTTGTCATGGGAAAAGCCATAATCGAAGCCTATTACGGAACAGCTCCCAGTTATCACTATTACCAAGGTTGCAGCACAGGTAAGAAATGGGGGTAAAGACTTGTGAAGGATCTGATTCGTATACTACTTTTCTGTTGCTTTCCTTTCCCTTTCTCATAAAAAAAAAAAGACATGCCCTGACTCTTGCCTTATTAGGTGGCCGTCAGGGTTTCAAAGAGGCCCAAATGTTTCCAGACGACTTTGACGGGGTCATCGCCGGAGCTCCTGCATGGTGGACGGTAAGTCTTGCTTCCAGCTGCCATCTGTTTAACAAAATTTCTTCTTGTATCCCATGTAAAATGCTAATGTGTTTTCTTTCGTCCTAGTCTCACCAGCAAATCTGGCAGTTTTGGCTCGGCTATGTGAACTACATCTCCAATGTTACTGAGATTCCAGTTAGCATGTTTGATCCTATTGCCAAGGAGGTCCTGAGGCAATGCGATGGTCAAGATGGCCTCGTCGATGTAGGCAGAACCCACTACAGAGGAGATGTGATCTGACCGTCGGGGGCTAACAACATGCAAGACCATCATTTCCGACCCCTACGGATGCAACTTTGACACAGAACAACTCCTCTGTCCCGCAAACGTGACCAACGCCACCGAGGCAGGCTGTCTGACAGCCGCCCAGCTACAGACCTACATCACGCTGGCTAGCGACTTCGTAGAGACGAACTCCACCCTGGTTTTCCCCAAATGGCTCCTCGGCTCCGAGCACTTCTGGGACCTCAATATCGACGGCGGCGCCCCGAATATTATTGGTCTGGGTTATATTCAGTATTTTCTCGGCCTCGGCAGCGATTGGGATTGGAGGGACTTTGACGACGACGTCGTGCAGCTGTCCGAGGAGCTGAACGCCGGCGAGGCTGACGCTGACCACTACGACATGACCGAATTCTTCCAGAAAGGGAAGAAGTTCATCCACTACCAGGGCCTGAGTGATGGAGGAATCTCCACAGGTGCTAGTTTCTATATGTACGACCACGTTCACCGGGCTATGGCGCCTCAGGGTGTTGTCCTGGATGATTTTTATCGGTTCTTCCCGATTCCTGGCATGGGGTGAGTACTTTCCGTCAAAGACACACTGTCGTGAGTATTTACAGAGGACTGTGAAAACTGATCCAGACCTCTTGGTTAATTTCTTAGTCATTGTACCGACACACCTGATTTTGTGAATGCACCCTATTACATTGGAGGAATCAGTATGACCAACAACGGCCAATACTCTGTCCCAGGATATATGAATGCCCAGCATGATGTGCTGCTCGCCCTTATGGGCTGGGTCGAGAACGGGACCGCGCCCGACTACATCATCGGGACGGCCTACAACAACTTTACGACCCAGGATGCCGTCACGCGCCAGAGACCGATCTGTCCACACCCGAAGCAGGCAAAGTATGCGGGCGAGGGCGATCCGAATGACCCTGAGAGCTGGACGTGTCAGTTGCTCTATTGAAAGGACGATTATAAGTGTGTGGAACAGGCACAGATCAGGGCCTGTGTAGAGGCACAGAAGCCTCTCTAGACACGCATAGCAATCATGTAACTTCAGCAGAGCGTCATGAGCCACATTCAGTCAATCAATTCGGTCGGTCACTTTAAATGTGTCCTTAACATCTTCTTCTGACCACAGCATGAAGCCGTGCCTTTCGTCTGAAGATTTCTACGATCTGAATGGCTGAGGATAGTATTACCTTGCCAACCATATTACCCCGGCTATCATTACCTAGGTAGCTCGGCCGTGACTTGATTAAGTAACATTATGCAGTGGGTAAGTACTTCATCAAGGGCTACAAAGGTTATAAGAGGCGGGCTCGGACGAAAAAAAGTATCCGAGTTGACATGACAGATTCCTTGGAGGTACTGAAATCAACCGATTGGGTACAAATATGTGTCTTAACGGTGTCTCTGCAAGGTTCTTCCGGCTGCTTCGGAAAGACAGGAGCAGCACAGACGTACCGCACAGTTGCATCTGGGGTAAGGCAATGAGAACCCATGCCTGCAGCTGGCTACAATACAGCAGTACTAAAAGAGTAGCGTCAAATTTTGCAGACCTAGACCCTAGGTTTTGTTCCCCCTTTACGGGAAAGACTTTTGGCCAGCCACGGGGTTTCAATCCAAACCGGGCTTGATTTGGTCACATGCGACACACAGCCTCCTCCCATCCTATTTCGATTCTATCCTCTAACAGCAACTATGGAGTGAGCCGCACAACCCCGGGCACAAGGAAGTAAGTAGACCTCGGGCCAGGGTAATTTTCGTCCCCCCCCCCCCCCTTCTCCCCCAGGCACAAATAGGAAAGTCAAGATTTGGGATTTAAATTATTACTACGTACTGTCTGTCAAGATTAGTTCATTCAGGGGGGCAAAGGGAACCGGCGGAGTGGGTTCGAGCAAAAGGCTTGGAATGTTTCGGATCCGCAAGGACGCCTGCGGCTCGCGGTGGATTCTCAACAAGTATATGCATTTTCTCTTTGGAAGGGGGGCTGTGAGAAAGTATAAGTCATTCCTTTGTTCATCATCGGTGCCACCTGGGGCTTGCCATTCGGGGCCGTAGTGGCTCCCGATGGAGCTTTACGTGGTGGGGCACCTCCTCGCTGGCCATTTGCCCGAGATAAGGGTGATTGGTGCTGTGGCCTTTGGGTAGTACACAGTAGATATCACATAATCGACACGCCTCAAGCACTGACTAGCTTCAGGGAGACGTACAGGGTGGCCGAAGGGAGAACGTTTGAAAAAGAAAAAGTGAGAGAGAGAAAGAAGAGAAAAAGGAGGCACCTTTCAAAGTTTGAGACGATTTAACGCTTGTGGATAGATTTGGACGTGAATTGGATTCATATGGTCTAGTGATGTTGATCAATAGCATCTTTCCTGGTTTCCCAGCTGCCACTCTGGCACTCAACCAGGATAGGTGCTTGTGATCCTCTGCCACACGAAAAAAAGGTTGGGGTAGAACTGGCGGGGCTCTGTTAGTGGCCAGGCTGGGAATGCGGGGTGCAGAGGCGTCTAACAGGGAGGGGGGGGGGGGATTGTTTGGTCACTATGGCAGCCACTCTGTTAGCCAACTAGCACATGGCACGTAGTAATCCTTAACGCACCGCCGCCACTGCGGCTTTGGCTCGCTGTTAGTCATGAATATTTAATAGAGTTCGCAGGTGTGGCAGTGAAACAATATCTTTTCTTTACATGAACTGGTCTTAATTTTGGGTTGAACTGGTGATCGGCAGGAAACATGTCATCTGAGAAGGTCGTGGCGTTGAGGATTATGGGGGTAGTAACCCACAGAAGGCCGCAGTCCCTTGAGGGGAGGTTGTTGGGGTGGGGGGGGGGGGTAGACTCGTCTCAATCCTCCACCCCCCCAACCCGGAATCCCTCGGTCCAAAGGAGAGCGGATCATGCGTCCGAAAGTTTTACGTTTGAGGAGTGAAATCTGGGGAACAATGATGTTGCGTGTTGGTAATCCGAGATATAGTCTTGGGTACAAACAACCCTGGCACGCTGGCTGGCTGGGCACCTGGGGTCGCTAGGGAACTAGTACCTCGAGTGTGGGGTTTGCCCCATCCGGGGTTGAACTATGAACCGGGAAAGCCCCCCACTACCGCTCCAAGACAACCATCCCCCACCCTTCTTCTACTCCCATGTCGAGGTGAGAAGGGGACAGAGGAGGAGGAAGATAGAAACACGCAGGCCAACTCAAATCTTCAATATACTATGGTAGTACTTGATTCACAGCCAACAACAACGTTGCCGTCTGGTCATTGTCACACTGAATTACCCAACAAAATCCATTTGCTGATGGTGTCGTATTGATGATGATATGTATGAATCCCTGTAGCATGGCACATGTACATCGTGTGGGCGCGGATCCGAACCTCTAGCCTCGACACATGTGTGTAACGAGTACTAGATACCAGATTCAAGCAGGGGGGGCAGAAAGAAAAGCCCTCTTAGCAAAAGTCTCACATCAAAGAAAGCACAGTAAGTACATGCTAATTCGGTGAGCGCAGCTTCCCCTGTTGCGGTTGTCGACATACCCCGCTCTGGGGGGAGGGGCCACCCATGACGATGATGTCCCCTTGCCAACCCTCGCCACTGCTCTGTGCCGTCCTCGTATGCAATCTACTGAAACTATTTGACCCGTCGTCTGCCGCCTACCTGTCCTCTGCCAGAGTTGCTTCATTCCTCCTCTTTCCCCTCATCCCCTCCCAACTTTTCAACTTCATTCCTACTTTTTGATACCCATCTCGCCATACCCTCATACTCTCAACGGCAGTGCCAGAACTGAAGATAAACCTTCCCTCAAGACCAACAGCCTCACAAACCATCACATCCCATCAATCATGTCTCTTTTCACAGAACTCAAGACGCCAGTCACTGGCACCTACAAGCAGCCCACGGGATTGTATGCTATGCCTCCTCTTCTTCCCCTTTCCCTCCTCCCCCCCCCCCCCCCCTACGCCTTCTTAGGATGATTTGGTTGTCACGGACTAACATGCTCCTTTTCTCACCGTCCGCAGGTATATCGGCGGCAAGTGGGTCGAGTCCGTTGACAAGAAGAAGTTCGAGGTCATCAACCCCGCCACCGAGGAGATCATCACCGAGGTCTACGAAGGCAACGAGAAGGATATCGATCTCGCCGTCGTCGCCGCCCGCAAGGCCTTTGAGGGCGAGTGGAAACAGACGTCCCCCAACGCCAGGAGCCGCCTGCTGCTGAAGCTTGCCGACCTCCTCGAGGCGAACACAGACCTGCTGGCTGCTGTCGAGTCGCTCGACAATGGCAAGTCCATCAACATGGCCCGCGGCGACGTCGGTGCCGTCGTCAACTGCATAAGGTACTATGGTGGCTGGGCCGACAAGATCGAGGGCAAGACCCACGACATCGATCCGGGCATGTTCCATTACTCCAAGGTGGAGCCAGTAAGTGTCAACCAACAGCGCGCTTAGGGGTTATACATATATATGCTTGTATGGATATAGGCTAACCTTTTGCTAAACAATTAGGTTGGTGTCTGCGGACAAATCATCCCGTGGAACTTCCCCCTGCTCATGTGGGCATGGAAGATTGGTCCCGCCCTGGCGACTGGTAACGTTGTGGTCATGAAGTCTGCTGAGCAGACGCCCCTCTCCGCCCTGGTGGCCACACAATTCATCGACGAGGCTGGCTTCCCTGCGGGTGTCTATAACCTTGTCTCGGGATACGGCAAGACAGCCGGTGCAGCCCTCGCCTCGCACATGGACGTCGACAAGGTGGCCTTTACGGGCTCTACCCCAGTCGGCCGACAGATCATGAAGGCTGCCGCTGCCTCCAACCTGAAGAAGGTGACCCTCGAGCTGGGCGGCAAGTCGCCCAACATCGTCTTTAACGATGCCGACATCGAGGAGGCCATTCACTGGGTCAACTTTGGCATCTACTTCAACCACGGCCAGTGCTGCTGTGCAGGCTCCCGCATCTTCGTGCAGGAGGGCATCTACGACAAGTTCATCGAAGCCTTCCGGAAGCGCACTGAGGAGAACAAGGTTGGTGACCCATTCGCCGACGACACTTTCCAGGGTCCCCAGGTCAGCCAGCTCCAGTATGACCGCATCATGGGCTACATCAAGGCGGGCAAGGAGGAGGGCGCCACAGTGGAGACGGGCGGCGAGCGTCACGGCGACAAGGGCTACTTCATCAAGCCTACCATCTTCAGCAACGTCACCCCCAAGATGAAGATCGCACAGGAGGAGATCTTTGGACCCGTGTGCACTATCTCCAAGTTCAAGACCGAGGAGGATGCCATCGAGGCCGCCCATGACACGTCGTATGGCCTCGCCGCCGCCGTCCACACCAAGGACCTCAGCACCGCCCTCCGCGTCAGCAACGCCCTCAAGGCCGGCACCGTATGGGTGAACTGCTACAACCTCCTCCATCACCAGGCAAGTTTTTATTTTGACCGCTCTTTCCCCCCCCCAAATTTCTTCATCCTCGAGAGACGTGAAAACACATATACTAACTAAGCTTTTAGATCGGCTTCGGTGGCTACAAGCAATCTGGCATTGGGCGTGAGCTTGGAGAGGCTGCTCTGTCGAACTACTTAGAAAGCAAGGCCGTCCATATCAAGCTGGCCTAGGATCATCCAAGATGAAAAGAGAAAGAAATAATAGGAAAGGAAAAAAAAAATTGAAATTGCCAACGGTACTCGGAGTTGGTTATAATATGGCCATGTATCTGCTTGCTCGAAACAGCCTCATCACACAGTTTGGCGTGGTCTTTGTATACTGTTAGCGTATTTCCAACCCAACTCACAGGACGATGAATGAATACCACATATATGCAAGGTGTTGAATATGACTTTGAGTAGCTTGAGAGGTTTCTGTTCAGGAAGTAGAACCATTTTGAGATCTGAATGAGATGCTTTTGATATTCGGAAGTCTTCTGTAAATAATCTGTCTGATTAAGCCTTCTCTTTCACTAATAAGTGTAGATGGCCCTGCTGTGGTAAGCACTTTGGAAGAACATACATCTTGTAACAAAGTGTCTCGCATAGATTTTCATAGAGATTTTTATGCGCCACTCATAAAAAAAGAAATCAGGCCATATATACATATCGCAACAAGGTCCTGTCCTGGGCTGAGCTGTGTGCTGTCACATACATCACCCACCGGTAGGATTACACTCCTCTCCCCTCCACTCTTCGACTCCACCGGCCAACCAGTCCCAGTAAACCAAGGGGTGGGCGGGCGCGTTACCGCCATGTTTAGCGGGGAACACCCTTCTGTCAGCCTGAACGAACGAGCCCCACTAGCTGGACCTAACCAAGCCAACCAACCCCAAGTCAGTAGGCATTAGGGACCTTAGTACTGTTGGATGTACTAATCCCCAAACCGCGATTCCAGAACGCGACGGACGCGAAATCAACAACCTCATGAATCCGCCTACAACCTCCATTCTACCACAGATATCCAAAAGACAAAACAAGAAACAGACGAACCCATCCACATACCTAATCTTCCCGCAATCCCACAGGTCTTTTCTGAGAGATCAACCAACCCAACCCGATTACAACAACCCTGTCTGTCGTATCTTCCCCCTCGCAACCCCACCAAGGTGGGATAATCCAGAAGAGGGAGGCGGGTGGTGGAAACCCTGATCCGATCCGATCCCAAAGAGACAAAGAGAGAAAACAGCGGGGTAGCCCAGGACAGAAGAGAAGCACAGATCATTCAGGACGAGAAAGCGGGGTAGGGGAGGTCAACTGTCCCAAGCACCACGACGAAGATAGAACCAAGAAGAAAAGAGAGACGACGAAGAGAGACCAGAGAGCAGACAAAGGAGAAGAAGGAAGAGAGAGGAGGAAAAAAACATTAGAGAGCAAACCAACTCGACTGATCCCATATCGACAAAAAGTGATGGCATCAACATCCACCCGCGGCGAATTCGAACGCCAGCGCGCCGAGCTAATTCGCGAGATCGCAGAGGTATGTGCATTTACACCACCCCCTCCCCCCCCTCAAACCCGTTTCTATCTCTATGACTGACCGACTGAAATCAACCCCCCCCCCTCCCCCCTCCCCTTTACAGAGCTTCGAGCACGTCCTAGCCGGCATAAACAAACTAAACCGCAACCTAGAGGCGGTCATCACAGTAGGCAACGAGTTCTCCTCCGTCGAGGCCCTGTGGAGCACGTTCGAGAACGTCATGGGCCAGGAGGAGTCGAGGGGGGAGAACAATCACAGCGGAGGCGGGGCCGCGGCGGCAGAGGGGGCCAACGAGGAGGCAGAGGAGGAAGAGGAGCAACAACAGCAGCAGGGGGGAAGGAGGGGCAACAAGCCTGCAGGGGAGGAGGAGCAAGATGCAGATGGGGAGGAAGAGGGGCATGAAGGCGGGGACCTGTGAGGAGTGAGCGGGTGAGGGAGGTATTGGAGACGGACGATCGCCGATGAGAACAAGAAACGTCGACCGCCTTGATAGAGAGGAGATAGATGCACTTGGCTTGGAGGTGGAAAAATAACCATGATACCCAATATACCTACTGCCTCTACGCTGATGGCCCTTACCCAAAAGTAAAGAAGAGACGTGTACATTGGGAATCAATTCATCACATAACGCACGCACGCACGCACAAGTCACATTCCGATACCGTGCTTACAGAGGCCAAATCTTGTAGAAATAGAATATTTGTTTCCTATCCCTAATGCCTGCGCTCAACGACTAATGGGACAAATCCATGCAAGACACCAACCAACAATCCCTTGAGATGTCCCTGTAATAAAAGAAATAACGAAACCACCCGTTGTCCGTCCTGTCCCTCCCTTTGTTGATTGATATACAGCCCGGTTCCCGGGTCGCCGCCCTCCCCAAACTCCCCTCCGTCAAATCGTGGTGGCATCAAGCCATGAATGGCATGGAGGGACAGGTGGCCCTTCTTGCATATGCTTTGTACTGCTGCCCTCCTCGTTACTCTCAAGGACGAGGGCAAGGTATAGGAAGAAGAATCCCAATACGGATGAGAGAAAATATAGTGTCATGAAAACAAGTAATCCTAACATTAGGCTCTGGAGGGCTGAGCCCGCCCTGTGCCTCGCAGGGCATATAGGGCAAAGTCCACGTGGTACGTCCTTGCCCGCAACCCCATTGTTATGTATCGTCCATCATCCCGTCATCGTTGTTGCGCCAGTTGGCAGGCCGATGTAAGCTCTCTCGCGGGCTGATTGTTCTCGAAAGGAAGCTTCGTGCCGAGTCCAAGAGAGAAATTGCTGGTCGCCTTGTCGCATTGCGCTTCGTTGTCATTACGCACTCCCCCTCTTCTCTGGGTTGTGTGGTATTTGGGGGCGTATCGTACCGTGCCACGGAGGGTACGATCTGACCCGTCATTAATGTAATTAAATAAAGGGTAGTCCTCGCTTACAGCATCGGGCACTTTCTCCTCTTCTTACGAGCACCACCGACGCCGGGGAGGTTGAGCTGGCCCACGATGCTGCCGCGACGATTCTTTGGTGAGACGGTCTCTTGCACCTCCAGGTTCCGTCTGTCGTTAGCGACGACGGTGACGAGGGCCTGCTCGAAGATCTCGTCGACACCCTTCATCTCCTTGCTGCTGCACTCCATGTACTGTGCGTTCATCTTTTGGGCGACGGCCATACCCTGCTCGCGGGTGACGGGGGTCAGGCCTTGGGTCTTGAGCATCTCAATGCATGTCTTCTTGTAGCGGAGATCGGATTTCAGGCCGACCAGGATGAGCGGTGTGTAGGGGCAGAAGTGGAGGACTTCGGGGTACCACTGTGATTGAGATGCGCGTCAGTCATTATGTTCTCGTGTCTTGTTATCTTGGCAGGGAGAATAGAGGGCGCGTACCTTGTCCGTGACATTGTCGAGCGAGTTGGGACAATCTATGGCGAAGCAGACAAAGATAAGGTCGGTCTCTGGGTACGAGAGCGGCCGCAGGCGGTCGTACTCTTCTTGTCCTGCGGTATCCCACAGTGCGAGCTCGACGGTCTTGCCGGTTGGTGGATGTACTGGGTATGTGATGTAGTTCTCGAAGACTGTTGGGACGTACTTCTGTTTGTTTTGGGGTGGCACGCGCCGCGAAGGTCAGCAAATGCGTCGGTGGAGCGGTGGTGGTGGTGGTAGTAGTAGTAGTCCTGAAGGGCGGTTTCTTACCTCTGGGAAGTATCCTTGGCTGTAACTAATCAAAAGACACGTCTTGCCGCAGCCGCCGTCCCCGACGACGACGATCTTCTTCGAGTAGGCAGGGGCGTCGGTCATGGCTGTTGCTGAGGATTCGCGACCAGATGTGGAAGTGCTCATCATAGTACTGACGGTTGCACCGCTTGACCGCTGGGCTGCTTTCCTATCGCTGCTGGCACCGGTACTGTAGCTGGAGGGTGTCTTGCGGCCAGATGGATCATACTTTTCCTGGATGGGCTGGTTGTTGTAGTACGAATTCCGAGAAATGTAAGGCGAAGCCATGCTCGTTTATCCTTCCTTCACTTGGGGAGGGGGTTTTTTGGGGCTGCGAATGGGTGCGCTGCCAGTCCAAGGCGGGGTCCCCCAAGTTGCGCTGCGTTGCGGGCAAGGTGGCCAGGCCTAAGGCAGTAGTAATACAGTGCACTCGCCAGTGCAGTCCTGTCGACAGAGGTTGATTGATTCTCTCAGCTGTAGTCGACAGAGGAGGTTTCTTTCCCAGAGTTGTTGGATACAATTTGGGCCGCCAGTTGCAGCGCACAGGTGATAGTTCAGATGGGGAGGAGGGGAAAGGGGAAACAAGGATGCGGGTAGTGTTGTCTGGCCTGCTGGATGGGCCTCTTTGAATGTCGAGCAAGGTTGACTTTAATGTTGTTGTTTTTGTTTGTGGTTGGGTCAAGGGCAGTATGCGAGGTTTTCTTGTGATTGGTTGTTTATTTCGTGGCTGCAGGTGATAGAATGCAGTATGTTGTGTGTTGTGGTAGATGCGAGGCAATAGAGATGCAGGAAATCGATCTTGTTGATCCCGAGGACTTTAATTCTCTTGTCTTTGTGTGTCGTTGGTCCAGGTTTATTCCTCTTTCTTTCCAATTCGGTCCCCAAGGGCCAAGGACCAAAAAAGAATTCCAAGGTTTCCTGAGTCAAGGAAAGGGTCACGTCAGTTTATTTCGAGAGTGGGAAGTCTGGATGACCCAGAAAGCCCAGGTTGTAGGTTGCAGCAGGTGACGATGATGTGCGAAGGGGAAGGGGGAAGGAGGGAAGAGGGCACAAAGATGGGTACGGTATATTCGAGTGGGTGGGTAATGGATCGGCCTCCAAGACAAGAAGGTTGTTTCTGAGACAACACTAGCGGCTCCTCTGGCAAATGGCAAGAAGTGGGAGGCTGGTGTTCAGACACACAAGCACGAGAAGGAACAGAGAGATCAGATCAGATCAGGATACGGCCGTCCAGATCTCTCTCTGAAAGTATGTTTACTTGGGGCGGGTGGAGTGTTCACAGCAACGAGCCGGGGGGGCGCAGTGGTATGGTTTGTGTGGGAGCTCAATGTTGCAATTGGAGCAAGCTTAGCCCGGGCTTTGTACCTTAGTGCTATGTTTGTATTGTGTATATCATGTGTCGTGTGGATGTACATGGCAACCCCCCCAAGCCTCAAGAGATGCTTCCTTTGACATTCAGTCACAAAACACAGCCCTTCAAATTGATACAGCATCAATACAAAATTTGTCTACATAAATGAACCTCGAACCTCAATCATACCACATTTGTAGGCGCCCTCTCTTCCTCTTGTGGAACTTCCACCATGCAGCTTCAGGTGTTCAGCTCCGGTTGGCACCTGAACGGACCACCCGCAAACGGTAACTACACCCAGAATTACTGCTTGAGGGATCCAGCAGCCAGCTCCTGTCCAATCCCGCCTGTCGTCATAAGCCAAAGCTTAGGAAGTTACGGTGGACCTCGTCCAGTGGGAGTGGAGGAAACCCCTTCTAGCGATTACACCCCCTGCGTCTTTTCTAAATTCAGGTGGCAGGGCAGGCGGTTTTCGGTGGCTGGAATCCCCCCACTCCCCTCCCTCCTGCAGCCTGCCACTACCACGCCCCCTGCTCCCTAGCACTACGTATACTGTACCGGCAATACCAACCTCTGGAGGGCCTGCCTACCTACACAGTACCATAGTACATACCGACTCACCTACTTCCTCACTCAACTGCCTGGCCCCATCCCTGCCCTTACCCTTAGCCCATGGTTCCCGTCCGTGCACTCACTTGCATCACACGTCCCAGAGAAAATTCCCCAAATCGCGACTAAAATTCTCAAGCGCGTTTCTCGCTCCGCACACAGAAATCTTCTCTCTTTCCTTCGTCGTCAGCCTCAAAAAAGAAAAACCAGGAATTTGGACCGCGACAGCCTGCTGCCACTAATTCCAGGGTCTTCGTGATTGTTTGTGTGTTCGTCACTCACTCAACTCACTTCCTTTGGCACCTGACACAAAACAAGAACATTCTGAAAACCGTCATCATCTTCATCACCAGGACGAGGCGTGACGTATCTCAACAATTTCCCCTTTGTCTAGAACAGTCCTTGTTCTTGTATCGTTATCCACCCACCCTTTGGGCACCCGCGTGACCTGGTTTTACTTTTTTTTTTTTTCCCCTTCTCTCTTTCTTTCCTTCTATCTTTCTTCGTCCGCCTGCAAAGACCATTGTTGCCCCTGCAGGTCGGATTTCTCAGATCCAGCCCCGACAACCCGGCATTCAACCCTTGTCCCCTTTCCCCCTGCACACACACACAAAATGGAGAAGACTACGGCACCTGTCAAATATGTCACTCTCGTTTCCTGCGACGGTCTCGAGTTCACCCTGCCCCGCGAGGCCTGCTATGTCAGTCCTTTTCTCAAGAGATCCGTTGATCCTCAGGGGGGGTTTAGGGAGGCTTCCACGGGGCGAGTCACCCTCGAAATGTTCAGGTGAGTTGTTTTCGAGACAGCCCGTTCGTCCTCTGTTGCACTGCCACGTCTCCTTCTATCTCCCCCCTCTTTCCTCCGTTGACTCATTGGCGGTGTCGATGATGAAACAAGAGATTTCAACAGTTCGCTGTGTTCCTTTTGACAGAGCCTCCTCCTTCCCTGTTAGGGAGTGGACGGCTCTGAGTGAGCCTCTTTACCTACACTTGATCTGAGATGCCTCCCTCCCCCACCCACCTTCCGTCAGCGGATTATTCATCACCTTTGAAGGATATCCTAGATCATATGACTAATCACTGCCAAACAGTTCTCTCATCCTCGAGAAGGTCGTCGAGTACCTGATCTACTGGTACCGCTACAAAGACAGCGAGGACGTTCCCGACATGGAAATCCCCGTCGATCTGTGTCTAGAGGTGCTCACGGCTTCTGACTTCTTGGGTCTGGATAGTTAGTGACACGTAAACTTTGTCAACTCCAACCCGCGACGAGGAAGGCCAATACCGATGAACAATGGCGGAAAATTTGGCTTTTTTTCATGACACGACACGATTCTTTTCATTACATTCCCAGGGACTGGAGGCGTTCAGGTTGGTAAGGATTGGTAAGGAACTATGGCAAACATAGGACACCAGGACATCAGGAACCATGAGATATGTGCTTTTAACCATGATACCCTGAATTTGTGGCAAAAATGTCATGAGGCTGACTGATGGTCGGTGTGGTCATTATATCCATCTCAGTCATATTGCCCTTTCTTTTTTGTTTCTCTGTACCGGGTTTGGGTCTTGGGCTACATGGTCCAGGATTGGGTAATTCAATCCTCGTAGATCTTACTATAAGTATGCGTGACAAACGTACCGTCACAGCCCCCCCCCCCCCATCTCCCCTTCCATGATGAATTTCTTCTTGCACCCATTCAATAAGCATATGCGTTCGACTCCAGTTCAGTGGGTTGATCGTCTAATACGAATGGAAGATTGATTCTCTTGGGAATTTCCCCCACACTCTGCTTGACTCAAGAAATTATTTTCCGTTGAGATCTCGCTTTTTCAGAGGGGAGACAAACCCATATCCAAGCCTCCTTGGAAGAGATGGGATGGAGGAAAGGAGTGTCAAGAATAGGACTCAACGGATAGCCTGTCGCAATGACATGAATGATCGATGACTGTTTACCATACGAAAATGAAATTGATACTGGATTTTTGAAGACGAGTCTGGGGTATCTGTTCCACGATTTTTTAATCTTTCCTGTTTTTCATGTGTGAGCCTTGTGTGTACAACACGGATAGTAGATAACCTCAGCCTGCAACCCGGAAGCCATGTACCCATACCATAGCAACATCGTCCTCATCATCACCAACCCCTACCACTACCGCGCCCTCGTCCCCTCCCTCTCCCTCCACCCCGCCCAAACCCTCCTCCCCTTCCTCTGCCTCGCGCGCGTCCCCCAAATCCACCACCATCACCATCCACAGGCGGGCCGCGTGCCCTTCTCTCCTCACGCTCCTCCTCGGTTGCGTCCCAGGGGTTACTCTCCAGCCCCAGCAACACACAGAACGCCGCCGTCTGTGGGTTCGTGTACTCCCTCGGCTGGACTCCAGAGTGCACATTCCACAGTGCCGAGTCGCACCCCTCCGTGAGGGCGGGGGCCGTCTGCGCAAAATTCTGTGGGACGTCGAGCTTTCCTGCCGCGACGATGTGGGTATCCACCCAATCGCGCGACTCTTCTATGAGGGGACGGTAGGTCTCCTCACCTTCGTCAGCGGGGATGGAATCCGCGGGAGAGCCGCCAACGGGAAGCAGCGGGTGAAAGGCACGGGTGATGGCGAGCCACTCTGGGTCGTACTGCAAGCGATAGCGGCTGTTTGGGTCGGTTGCGGTCGCGGCTGTAGAGGGCGGATAGCTGTCTAGATGAGATGGGTCGACGGGGTGCAGGTCGGCGAGCTGCAGAAACTCACGCCCCGGGTCGCATTTGCTAAGGGCCAGGAAGCGGACGGAGGTGTTGGTGATGGTGGGGGGCACGGGCTGCCCCGGAGTCGTCTTGGGGCCGGCGGCAGCAGATCTGGACTGCGTGAAGGAGGCGGGAAGCTGAGCGCGCAGGTCGTCTGGTACGGCGGTGCTCGGTGCCTCGGCCGTGTCTTTGGGCGCAGGAGGTGCGTCGTTCTTGTCTGCCGTGGCGGGCGCACTGACGTCTTCCTCATCATCGTCTTCTAGGTCCAATTCGATCTCGTTGGGGTCTTCCACTGCTGAGATTGGTGCTGCGGCTGTTGCTGCCGTCGTTGAGGCAGACACTGACGGTTCAGGCTGTGCAGCTTGAGCGTCGTCGGCTGATCCTCCAACCTGGTCAGAAGGAGTAGTCCCAGGCGGCGGGTAAGTCTTGATAGCTGAGAATTTCCAGTGCAAGTGCGCCGAGAACCAGTACGCGGGCCTCAGCCGGTCCATCACGTACTCGGCAGCGATGTTGCCCAGCGTCCCAGCCAGGCTCTCCTCCCTGAACATGGGCCGCTGCCTGTAGAGCGCCTGCACGTCGCCGTGCTTTTCCACGCCCCTGGGCCAGTCGTGACTCAGCCCGACATCGACCTGTTCCCGCACCTGCAGCAGCTTCCTCACGTCGAGCTCCCTGACGTGGTAGAAGCTCTTGATGTCCCCCCTGCCGAAAGGCAGCCTCTCGCCGTGGCCCTTGCGGTAGTCGAATCCCTTCCAGATGCCGCTTAGCCCGGCAATCCGCAGCGGACCTACGCGCAGTACGTTAGCCGCACCCATGTAGTAGATGTTGGGCGCGGCCCAGCCGCCATAGTACAGCTCTCGCATATACGCGGCAGCCTCGTGGTTTCCGCCGATGAAGACGGTTAGGTAAGGCGCCGTCCGCACCCCGGAGTAGTACTCGTGGAAATCACCCAATGCACGGTACTTGGCTGGCACCGACATAACCTCGACATCATGTCCGTTGCGCGTTGCCTGGAAGTCGCCACAGATGATAAGCAGATCGACGCCTGGCCAACCGCGGGCGGTGCAGGCGGCACCCACAGCCGCATAGATTGGGTTGAGGCGGCCGTGGCCCTTCGTGAGACCAAAAAAAAAAGAGAATATCAGCTAGGGTTCCTCTTTCTTACGCACCGTATATTTTACCATCTAGTCGATAAGTGTTACTAGGAAGGGAGAAGACTCACACAGCCCTCGACGGCGACGCGAACGCCTTCTCTTATGAGGAGCTTTGGGCTGAGCATATCTCCCATTTTTGGTTTGCTCGTCGAGGGGACAGAGCTCGCTCGATGCGTTGGCTGAAGGCTAGAAGCCGTCCAAATAAAGCTTTGCGCCTTCGTCTCACAAATATATAGGTCCTGCGAGGTTGTGTCGCGTAGAAGGACTTGAGAGGCTGTCGATTCGAGACGGAGAGCTTCTAGAGGTTGTGACTATAAGAAGCTGGGTGGGGAGGAATGAGGAAGATGTTATACGCTAACAGACTGGTACCCTTGCTAAGTGGAGATTGCCCAGGTGCTGCAAGGAAGGACCCGGACCCCTATGTGAGCCCCCTCGTGCAGTATCGCTCCTTCTCAACGACACGCCTTCCAGTAAAGTAGAACACACCTGCTATGAAACGATGTTTTCGTATAATTAATGCCACCAGAAGTCTTGCGAATATTGATTTTCCTTTAATGTGACTCAACAGTCTTGAAAAGAGTCATATTCAAATATGACATTTGCTTGTGTTACTTTCGCAACGCCAAATGCGCCACCCATTGCTTTCTAAAAATCTGCTTGGGCCCTTTCCAGGCAGCAATACTGCCCGCATAAGGCAATGCAGAGTCATCAAAAGTATAGAATGACTCACATCAAATGATTCCTGGCAGGTTTCCTCTTCCGCTGTAATGCTGGGATTCTTGTCATCAATTCTTTGGGGACGATGTGACCAAGATTACCTGCATATTCATGTGCGTCACTGAGAGGGGTGAGCAGCTCATCAATAGCTATGAGATAGCATTAGGATAAGGATGTAGCCGTAATCTGCCAGATCATGTCACTGCTTTCAACATGTACGCACATACAATTTGCCATCCTATATATATAGTATATAACGATCTTGGTTATATTCCTGTGTTACATCACCTGAAGATCGGACGTTAGGTCTTGACATTCAATCCTTGATACTCGACACCGTTCACTTGCCTTCCTGATGGATGGGTCGTTACATTAAGCATGTTGCGTCGTTTCATTTTCTGCTCGCCCACCTGGCTCCCTCCCTGCTATTGCTGCTGCTGCTTCTTTCTTAGCGATCAGGGCGTCGATCTGCTCGCGCGCTTTCTCCAGTCCAGCACTGTCCCGCTGCTTGAGCCTGTTCCGGATCTCGTATAGCGTCGTCAGCGTAATGGTCTGGGATACCTCCTCATCGCCTGCGCGTGGTATGCCCGGCATGGACGGTACCTGTAAAGATGGGGTGGATGATTTGGAAGGCGACAAGACGGGTCCTGCGTATACTGCTGGCGAGAGTTCTTCAGCTAATACGACTGTCGTTGGTAGTCCAGTTTGTTGTTCAATATCCACAATGACGCCCTTCATATCGAGGAGGTAACACTCGTTCAATGAGTCGCAGGCTCTTTCTCTTCCTGACAATATGCCCAGGCCCATTGCTGGCATCCGCGTGGAGTGGACTCGTACTCTTGTTTCGCATCTCATCCTGAAGGGCCCAGTCTTGTATATCTTCCACAATGGTTCTGCACTAAGGCGGATGCAGAAGTCCGAGTGACACGTTCTCAACAGCCAACGCCCTCTCCTCCCGATCACATTGTTCTTTTCCTTGTCTCTGTGGCTGACTTTTCACAACGAGCAGTTGCTTGTTGAGCCAGGACTTCCTCAATGAAACGCTTGCGACAATAGATCTGCTCATGCCTCTGACAAGTGCCAGCGGCAACAGATAGCTGAACGAAGAGGTCAGGCAAAGCGGGATCGATGCCAATATCGTTCGAGAGAGACCTGACCAGCGAAGGTCCAGCTAGACATACTGGTACGGAAGGCTTCTTCTGATCGAATAGACGTTTGAGAATATGAATCCAAAGAGCATTTTCCAGTGGTGGTATGACAAGCAAGACATGCAGAAGTGGTGAATGTTCTGGCTCGCAGCCGGTGGAATCTTTCTGGCTGTGATCTTCGGCCTGATTCAGTCTGTGACAGGCATCATTGCTGTCGTACAATCCGCTGGAAAAGGTAATCCATGGGACCAGAAATAAGAAGACAAAATCAAGAAAGCCACCGGCCTATACATGAACACCAAGGACGTTTCGTACAAGGGCGTTTCGTCGATTACAGGGGTTGCCAGTTGATTTGGATAATTGAGAGCATAGGCCACCTTGATAAAATATTACCCCGTTCAATTTAACACAGGGTACATAACACTACATTCACCTTCAACCCTAAGTGCACAAGACCCTTGAGGATGCACTGAAGAACAATGCTGTGACTAGTTGAAATCTGGAAACGTGTTAGCACCTATATCAAGCGCAAGGACTTGGGGCTGACTTATCCCCCTAGGAAGGAGGGCTGTCCCTTCGTCATTTCTGAAGAAGGACCAGCCAGGGCTACTCTTCATGAGCCTGCCCCTTTCCAACAAATTCTCGAGGACCCCATGCCTTCGTAGGGCGGCCCAGGCAAGGTCATCCGCCATCTCCACAGCGAAACCAGACAAGTACAAAACTTTGACTCCAACTCGAGATGGGTCCCGATTCCACTGCAGATCAGGCGAACAACCTCACTGAACGTGCCGAACTTAGCAAGGGTCGTCCAAGACAGCAAGTGTCCATCTCCGTGGGAACATCACACCCGCAAAGACGCACAATGCTCGCGCGCCAGCGCTCCGAGAATGATGGCCAGTCGTCATCGACACAGCAACGCCGACATCGACGCAAGATACGGTGACAAGTGCCACCAGGACCACGATAGGAGAGGCTCTTTCCGTGTGATCGCACTGCCAACTAGGACTAGTTTTTGTATCCTCTCCAGCGAGCTGACGAAGCAGCCACGGAGGGCAAAATCGCACAAACAAAATACATTCTCAAAAATTGCGCTGTCGTCTCTCATGCAGTCCATCTCTGGTAGACGAGAGGAAGCTTGTTCAACACCACAAGGCGAAGAGCAAGGTATCGAGTGCCCTGTCAGCTCATGGGTCGAGACCCACGAGAACAAGTTGATGCGCCTGGCCGGGACTCATGCGAGGCATGACGCATCGGTGGCTGTTGCCGTGATGTGGTTCTGGCGGTCGGTGGTGGGTGGACGAGAGAGTCCGCAGCTCAAGCAAGAGAAAGGACCGAGCGGCAGGGTACCCACAGCATAACGACGAGGCATGTTGACTTGATCTGTGAACGTATCTGTGCGGAACCCGCTGATCCTCGCTCCTTGACAATAACGGGCAAGGATTCCGGCGAGGCGAATCAGAGGCACAACCCTTTGGGGAGGGAAACGAGAAGATCAATCGCTTGAAGCCAGCATCGCGCCGTATCCCTGCCGCAACAGAACCTCTTGCCTGCCAAAGGCAACATAAAGACAGCTGGGACAATCTGTATCCGAGGCAACCAACCGAAACACAGCCAGAACAGTCCAAAATGACCAGTATTCACAGCCCAGTTGTCAAGACCCGACGAGCGACCTCAGACCAGAGGTTCTTACCTTTTGTGACTCATGGATCAAGACCTCTCGCGCGTCCCAGAGGAACGTCTGGACGAGTCCTCATCGCCCTTCCACCTTCGACACCCCTGCTCCCACCCGACGACCACTTTTCAGCGGCACGGGCGTCTCACAGAAGAACATCTCGGGTTTAAAGAGCAACTCAGACATGAAAGAGCGCAAAACACCCGGCATTTAGGGCTAGGGTTAAGTTCCGAGACTCGTACACCCTCACGAAGAACCGGCTTGCCAGCGAATGACAACCATGACCACAATGAGACCAGACCGCGGCGATCATCGAGATTCCTGATACAGGGACGAGATGCGACGTATTGTGGGCATATCCGGTCCAGCCAGAGGGGTCCTCGAAGAGAATGCCTTTCGGCATACGAGAATCGGAGCACCGTGGGGGAGGCGTCGTGCGTTTGAAAACAACCACAAGAATGGTCGCGAAAGAACTTCGTCCTGACGCGGTACTGGCGTCTTGTTTGTCGATCCTATCATCTTGCGCATCGCGATGAGAACACGGCAATCGACTGCGTCTCTGACAGACCAAACGGAAAAACGACTGGCGGCGAGGCAATGTCGAAGTTGCAAGGCATTGTGAAGCCCAGTTGGGGGGATGCAAGATTCCAAAGAAGAAGGCAATTTGGGTTGGAAACAACAGGAACGCGAATAAATAGAGGGTAGCGCGTCGAAATGCGCTAAGGCCAAGATAAGCCTAGTGCTAAATCGCCCCATTCACCCACGAGGTCAAGTGACTTAGTCAGTCTTGCCCCATATTTTCGACGTCCCCAGCGACGTTTCGGCCTTTTTGACAGGGGTCTTCAACTAATTCACAGGCTTGCGCTAGACTTTCTCCTAGGGCAACCCCATTTTCTTTCATGTTTGAGAATGCTACCACTTCTTCAACTTCCAAAGATTGTGTCGCACTATAGTTTTTAAAATGCTTATGGATTGCTCTCTCTTGCAATCATGGAAGGTAACAAGGCACGACGGGTTTTGGTGGACAAGCTCATCGAACTCGGCACGAAGGCAACGAGGCCGGGTGTTTGCGACGACGCACGGAAAGCAAGCCAGCACGATTTTGACGAGCTTGTCAAGCAAACAGGAACCTCTACTCTGATTCAGACTCTTACCTTTCTCATACAGCCTGGACGAGTGCCGCCCGAGTTGAGAACGACGCTGCTGGACGTCTTGACCCGGGCGCCCCTGAGAACCGACGGCGTGCGAGCTACTGTGGAGTTTGTCTTCTCCGTGCATCCTTCAAGTACCGTCAGCTCGGCAGAGGAAGCCGCTCCCCAAAAGAATGGGGCCAATATCACACAGGAGGCTCTCAACCTGGCCGCCAAGATGATTGCGTATCCCCCGGCGAGCGTCTCCCACGACACCTGGTACCAAGCTGTAGCGCCCCAGCTATTCGTCCTCTTGGATGGCGAGGATGGTATGGAACTCATGAAGGTAGCAGCATATGTGATCGGTTTTGGCATTCTCGGCCGCAAACAATCTGGTGCCATCGGTGAGTAGTGACCGCCGGATGTACTGTGAGTCCATGTGCTGAGACAATACAGGCACGGCCGGGTGGGAGGCTATTGCAGAGCCAATATTGAGGCCTATCAACCCATCACTTGGATTCACACTGGGCGCACTTACCAGCGTCAGCCAGGATACCAATGATGTTGTAGACTTGAGCAAGTCCACTATCTTGTTCACTGCCGATCAGCTTGCGAAGGCTCTTCACCGGCTACAAGCACTGCTTCTATCACACCCAAATCCCAGCCTTTCCAAACGACTTCTTCACAGTGTCATACTCCCACTGTGGGCTCTTGGCTCCTGGCCCTACCCTCCACCGCAATGTCTCGAGAAATATTGCCAGCCAGCACAGAATCTGCTCAAGATATATCTCAAGATCACTGCTGGGTCACAAGGCTTCCAGACCTTGCTTTCAGATCTCCTCTATAACGGCAACAGTGACCAGCATATGCGGTGGAAATATGAGTCAACAAAAACAGGCGAGATCTCGGTGGTCGAGCCCAGAGCGTTTATTGAGGATGTATCTGCTCAGATTGCTTGGGACACCATCGATTCGAAGGTCGATAGCCTGATCGATCTCATCAAATCTATCTGCTCTGAAGGAGACATCGCGTCTATCTTCTCGAACCTGTTCGCTAGCTGGTTTGCATCAAATAGCGACAGCAGTGATATAACGACTTCGAAGGAGGCCGGCGCCGATCGATTAGACCCGTTCACTTCGATTATTCAAGTGAAGGTCCTGCAGCAGATGATGAACGAATTTCCTTCTCAAATCTCATCTCGCTCCGACTCACTCCTGACATTGATCGAGCCAATTTTGAGCAAGGGCGCTGACTCAATGGATGATGAAACGATCCCGGTGGCTCTCAGTCTTGTCAACACGATCATCACCGCACCCTCCTTCCAAAAGTCAAGAATGCCCACAGATGTGATTCAGTCTATTGAGTCATCGCTAGAGCATCTAGGTAGTGCTCAGTTAGGAGACAGTTCTTTGACAGCCCGGAACCTTTCGTTGCTCATGAGGTATCGGGGCGAGCTAGACGACCCTTCAGATACGTCGACGGCTCCCACGCAGCGCCAAGTGGACGACCGCAAGACGTACGACTTGGCTCTGTCATACATCACTCAAGCAGATTCACCTCCGCCTGTCAGAGCAGAGGGACTCAATCTCCTGCAAACACTTATCACCCAAAACAGCCCCACGCTGGATATACCCGCCACCTTGGTCCTTATGTCGTCACTACTGCAGGACGATGAGGACTACATCCATCTCAAGGTCATAAAGATCTTTACCCAGCTTGCTAACAAGCATCCAAAGACCGTCACCAAGGAATTGTTGGAGCGCTATACCGACAGCAATGAAATAGCATCAATCGACACTCGCCTCAGATTCGGTGAAGCCCTGCTACAAGTCGTCGAGCGCCTGGGTGAGACTTTCACGGGCGAAACGGCTCGACAGGTCGCCGAATCTCTCCTATCAACGGCCGGCCGACGTGGGTACAGGCCCAAGACGGAAGAGAAGCAAAAGAAGGACGAGCGGCTCCGTCAGATGAAACAGAAGCGGGCTGAACAAGAGTGGGGCGGACAGGTACCCGACCTCGCTGACGACGAGACAGAGGAAGAACAGGCGAACAAAGAACTACTCACCCAGATCGTGGGTGGTTGGGATAGCAAGCACGGGAGTGAAGACATTCGGATCCGTGCTTCAGCATTATCCATCTTCGCTATCGGTATTGAAACCAATCTCGCTGGCCTGGGCCCATCACTGGTCACTGCTGGCGTTGACCTCTCAGTCAATGTTTTAACAATGGAACCGGGTGCGGAAGCTGGCATTCTGCGGCGGTCAGCCGTGTTGGTGATACTAAGCTTTGTCCGGGCCCTCAAGAACGCCAAGGATGCTGGGCGCAGGCTAGGCTTCGGCCTCACGCAAGATAGTCAGGAAGACATCAAAAGGGTGCTGAAGTACATAAGCGAAACGGACAACGACGGGCTGGTCAGACAGCATGCCAGAGACGTTGTGGAGAGCTTGGTCAACTGGACCCTTGGGTCGCTCGTCTCTGAGACTAGGGCGCCAGATTCGACTCTTTCCAGACTAGCTGGTTTGAGTGTTCAGCCTGGAGAGACGACAGTCTCCAGCGGAACATCGTTGAGGCCGAGAATCCAGGAGCTTGATTAGTATCGTGTTGTTGCTTGTGCAAAAGGTGTGGAAGAGGCGGGAAATGAGTTCTGCGGATTTATCGCTCAATCTCGTTGAATTTACTCCTGTCACATTCACTCCTGTCAAATCTACTTCTGCCAAATCCACATTCATCAGATTCGAACCTGGAAGTGCAACCTGGAATGCTGGTGAATTTTCTTTGATCTACAGCTGCCGCTGTATCAACACCGAAAGTCAAGTCAGCCTGACATTCGCCTCTACCAGCTCATCTTGGACGTCCTTTTGATTTCCCCTCAGACGGGACTCACTGTCATCAATTTTGACTGTTCAAACTCAACTGGAACGGCCATTGAATCTTCTTCGATCTCGTGCTGATACGATTCACCCTGAAGTCTCAACTATACAAATCCAACCAGGGAGTCTGTTGAGCACCAGCTAATCTTCAGCTTCATTCATCAATCCTGGACTCAACTCTCAACCTCATCAGCTCTCGTCTCACTTTCAACTCACTACCCTCCAACCCCCTCTGAGCCGCGACTGTTAAACTTCTGCCATCTGTTCCACTTGATATCACTGCGCGCAACCACTGCTACACGAACAACCGACAATCCTCGACTTCCAACCGAACCACAACCAGCGTTGTCACACGCGTTTTACCCACCAACGCGTCTTCCACTCGCACCCTGCTCTTCACAACATCAATTGAGCTCATCCCAGGCTGCACCTCAGCCGCGACCCATTATCACCAAGCCATTCTGCCTCCCATTACCTGTAAGCTGAGCTGCCACAGGATTATTTCAACTCACGAGCAAATGTTTACTAATTGCTCCTCAAACAAAGATCTCATCGCCACTGCCAAAGATGGTTACAGCATTCGAGCAAGGGCAGGCGCGTCGTCTCAAGAAGGTGCAGGAGCGCCAGGGGTTCTGTTGGGGCGAGGAGTCTCCAGTCACCGACGACAAGAGACGCGACTCCCGCATTTTCGTCGTCATCTCCTATTATATCAAGAAGATGACTAATAAAAATTATAACACCACCTCCTTCCGTGCTCTCCAGGCCGACATGTACGACACGGTTCGTGCCGCTGTTGCCCAAGACGCAGAATCCCCCGCCTGGGCCACTCCCGCCGTCGTCCAGGGCGGCATGAACAGCATTCTCAAGCACGCCCGGAACAACATCCCCTGGGCCCAGGAGATGAGAGTGGGTGACTTCAGGGCCTTCTTTCACTCCTCGCTCCTGAACCGCGACACCTGGTGGCTATACAACTACGACCAGGATGATCCCATGATGGCGTCCGAGCAGATGTCTAGGCGTGGTGTCGTTGCCATCAGCATCGACAATTTCCTGGACGTCTGCGACCAGAAAGACAACGAGTTTGCCGCCCACTACCCTCGTCTGACCGGCACGACTCGAGAGGGTGGTGTCCAAAGTCTCACCCGGCACTTCGACAACCTGAAGGTGGACAATGATGACAGCTATGCGGACAATCTCTTCAACGAGGACGAGTTCGAGGATGACAATGGCCCGAAGGTTGATGAAGTGGAGGACTTTGGTCATGATGTGGATGCGGATGGCGACATCGCGATGGGATGATTCGGTCGGATGCGAAGTTGAATGTTGATGATACTGACAGTGGCTGCGAGTTTCAAAGCAATGACTACCTCATGATTACTGTCATCTTTCTTGCCCTGCTATGATATCAGCTCGGTGATTACTTATGTTAAAAGGAAAGTTTTGATCTTTTTCAATGTGGTCTCACGATTCCTTCACTTTCTATCTCCCGGCTCCTAATATTGTTCCCTCCCTGCTTTATCTTTGATAAGTACACGGATCCAACGAATTGAGGATCGCATCCTGCCACAATAACAGACTCTCAGGGCAGGAAAGACTGCTGGCGCACCAAATTCTGAAGCAACAGGCCTCCGTCTGTCCTTCCCAATGCTGATTGCTCAGGAAACACACAAAGGCGGTCCAAATTCTGTATCCATAGATTGATGAGGACCACGGCCATTCGCACTTTCAGTCCCCTTTTGTTCATAATGTACACCTTTTGCCAAGTTGGTCCCTTACCTCCTCGGGACTAGAGCTGGACAGCCAGACTATCGGCCAACACGTGACTATAGATGAAGCAAAGGAGAGCATGAGTGTCTACGCAATACCGTTGTGGGTGGACTGGGACAGCCTGTTACATGAATAAAGAAAAGGTACTTGTTCAGGTACCTGTGGCATTGTGGAATACCTTTAACCGCAAGGCAGCCAAAGATCAGATGAAATTCAAAAAGATGTGACACTTATCAATGTGCAGTGCCAACTGTTTAGTAACGATACAAGTAGCAGGTCAGATAGTCTAACGGTTACTTTCCTGGCTTGCTGCTATAATGTACCAAAATCAAGACCTACTTGAAAGCCCGAGTTCGAGTCCGGTCCAGGGTGAAATCCCCCAGTAGATAAGGCTATTGAGAGTGTTCGCAAACGGGCAAAAGCTGACCCATCTGCATCTCTACTTTGCACTTTACGACGCACGCCCTAGTCCCGGCATTCCTTGGCCTTATCCTGAACAATTTTTCTTCTCTTTTTCTATTTCTCTTCTTCTGATCTTCATTCGTCCCCCCCCCCCCCCGCGGACCTTTTCTTCTTAGAAATTGAATTGATTCTTGCAATCTATTTGTACAATTTAAACATTTGGCTTAGTTTGATAGGTTAGTGACTGTATTAATGTTTGCCTAAATTATAGTAGAGAGTCGACTCATAGAATGAACATGGTTAGGTGAATTATTGATCAATGTTGGATGATGCATTGATACCTATAGTGAAGCAAGCGGGACCGAGGTCATTACTGATGCTTTGCTTCATAAGTGTGCTCGAATGCAACTTGAAATAAGGACGAGCAGGTGGCTAAGTAGTGTAGCAGTCATTACTCTGGCTTCCTGCAAAGTGTCCACAGATTAAGTTCAACTTGGACAGCCCCACGTTCGATTCTGAGCCAGGAGAATACTTTGTAGACAAGATCGTTGAGAGTGTTAGCAAATGGGAAAGCGGACCAATATGTATAATGCACTCACCATCCCTAGTCCCTGCATTCCTCTGATCTTTCCTGAACAATTCATTTTTTTTTTTTTTTTGATAAATCCTTGCCCTGTCATATTGAATCTAGTCATACACATGAGCATAGTTTCTCTGGCATTTGTCAATCTCGACAAGGGCTGTTGATGTTTTTGGCAAGAACGTCGGTGCTGGTCTGCAGAGGAGCAGGAACGTCTGAGAACATCGATACTGTAACTGCGTATAAAGACAATACGTATGGTTCGAAGCCCCTATGTCGGTAAAATACACATGCTTGAGAGGATGACAAAGGAAGGAGGACATCCAGCTTATGAGAGGTTACGTGAGTCCGTCGGTGTTTCTCAAGCTGGCTCAAGTAACATCACACCACAGTCTGAAGAGCCTGGCATAAACATGGAGTGATGATGTTGTCTGAAAAGCTGTTTCATCATACAAACTCTATGACGGCTGTGGTGTTCTTGGCCAAGGAGGCTGTGATGTTGAGGAGGGGTGCCAGGGTTCGGGTAAGGCCAGTTCTCGCAGGGATGTGCCACCTGCCGACGCGCCCCCCAATTTAGCGAGACGCGTGCATAGTCGTGCGGCCAACCAGGCATCAACACCGACATTTCCAGTGCGCAGATGGCATGCTTATGAAGCATGCGATCTTGGCAAAATACTCACAATGCACGATACAAAAGTCATTGTCGACTCAGAGGACGAAGATGAAGGCTTCAGCCCCGACCATAGTCCATCCAAGAGCCTCACAGCAGACGACTTCACAGGCCTAGCAGACGGGAACGAGAAACCAGGGGACGAGCCGACCAGCGACTCGCGATCGACCGATCCGGAGTTCTTCAAGCGGTTTTATGAGAACCAGCAGAAAGCAAAGGACCAGATCGTTCCAGATACCGCTCAGGATGCTGAAGGCAGCAAGGGCTCCTCACTCAGACAGGACAAGAATAACTCATCCTCCATCACGGATCCGACAATGAGAAAAACGAGGAAGGGGCGTTTGGGCAGAGCTGATTCTAGAGAGTTTGCGGATTTGACCCAAGTTACGACGCCAGATGCACCCAGTGCCAGGCAAAGAGATGTCTATGATTTCACCATCAGCGATGAAGAAGGTGAACCTCTGGAATCTGCCGGTCCGAGTGGAAAACGGAAGAGGAGACTGGCAGAAGACACGACTGCCGAATTCAGCCCGCTACAGCTCTCAACAAGGACTCAGGCGTCAGACGGGCAGGACAGGCCTTCGAGGGCAAAGAAGAAGCGGAAGAGCGCTGCTCGTCATGAAACACAAAGCGACATTCCGGATGCTATCGACTTGCTGGCTGTGCCCACCAATGCAGACATGGACGGGATCGAATTGCGCGATAGCAACAATCCTCCAGGCAGCACGGTGCCCAATACCCTCGAGGATTTGTCCGCCAGTAGGATGCTGCCGCCGACCTCGTTCTTCATTGATCCACCGAGTCGACTCACTGCGAGCCAGAAGCAGGAGTACCTGCCAGTCAGCAGCCATTCTGAGCTCAGTGGTGAGGAAGCTCACCAGCAACCTTCACTCCCGCAGCCAAACCCCGCCACACAAGATCAGCGATCTACGAACACGGACGCAACGATTGCGTACACGACCCCGAGCCGCTACTGCTCTTCTGCGGCACCACTGCCTATGCCGATCCTGGATGACATGGCAACCTCTAGCCCTACACGGGCACAGATGTATAGAACACGGGGCGCCAGCTCATCCCGATCAGGCCGTGCTGATGCTGAGCAGTGGCAGCCTCAATCCTCGCCGGATGAGCTCAACCCGCATCTCCCACCTGCCCCAAGTCGCAAGACAAGACGAATGAGGGACGCAGGAGTGCAAGATACTCATAGGCACGAAGAGCCATGGGACTCGGATCAGATCGACTCCCATCAGGAGAACTACGTGCCTAGGCCCAGTCGGAGAAGATCCAGGGCGGTTGAAGAGGTAGAGAGTGTGGACGACCTAAGCCTGTCTATGCCGGACACATGCCCACCTGGAGACATCAGCTTCACGGGTGGAAACGATGCGCAGCCGATACTCATATCTTCTGGACAGGAGGCGCCGCAGATCCAGACTGAACGCGTGGAAGGTGTAGATCCAGAGTTCCTGGCGGCGCTACCAGACGACCTCCGGCAGGAGGTCATATCGAATCATATCGCTCAACGATCCTCCCGCACCTCGCAGGCTGCACGCACTAGAAGTCGTGGACTGCCTACAGAGTCTGCAGGTGAGAGACAACCCGTCTCTGAGGACACGCCGCAGCCTAAAAAGCGTGGAAGGAAGAAGAAGAATGCGGAAGGGAACAGTAACGAAGCGTCAGTTGCCCATCACGCGCCAGAAGCCGATCCAAGTCCGGCGCCTACAGCAACTGCAGCAACTACAAGGAGGAAGAGGGGCCGCCCAAAGAAAGTCGAGGTGGTCCAGCCGGTGTCTGACCCTGAAGCTCAACACACAAGCGCTGCAGCGGAGATAGCAGCGCCTATACCAGCTGCTGCAGGAGAGCCTGAACCGACAGAGGTTCTTGCAGCTGGATCTGCGCAGGAGTTACAGGAGATAACAAGAGGTCCATCGAAAAGAGGCCGCAAGAAGAAGGTTGTAGAAGAAGCGCCTACACCACCAGCTCAAGAACAAGAAGGGGAAGGTCCGTCACACGACACACGTGACGGTACTGAAGAGCTCTTCACGCTCTCTGTAGAAGGCTCAGGTGAGAGTGCAGAGATTGGAGATCAGCGCGAGGCTCTCAAAGATATCAGCAACGCCTCGTCACAGAATGCTTCCGCCAGGAGTAAGACGGTAGACCAGATTGCCTCGGACGATGGCAGTGGTGGTGGGATGCAGCAAGAGACAACGCCCGAGCCCAAAGCGAAGGAGATGCAAAAGTCAGCTCCAACGAGTGGTCAGCAGGGCAAGGTACCGTTGAGGGTTGGTCTGAGCAAGAGATCGAGGATCGCGCCTCTGCTGAAAATCATTCGCAAGTGATTGATGGCCCGATTCCTTCTGACGGGTTTGCAGGACGGCAGGATTAGAGCTCATGCCATGAATTGGAACGAGAGAGAAAACGATGTTGCACTTTTGAACAGTGTACCATTGCATCGTGCCATTGCACATGCTACTTACATAGGTGGTGAATTGATACTGCCCAATTGCAGCGCATGTGTCCCTTGCAGCAACAAATGTGCCTTAGTGGCTGCCCGCAGCAAGTGTCCGCAGCGGTAGTGGGGGAAATTTTCTAGCGGCACGCGTGGGGCCGAAGCCGGCGGGACGAGTCAACAGCAGTGGATTATTTCCATTCTGAATCATGGCGGGGCATCGTCATCTCTGCCTCCTCTCCTCACACCGCTACCAAGCCACAATTGGCCAGAAAGTCTGCCCTCAGCAAGGGCGTTCGCATGCAAACGAAAAGCTTCAGACAACATGTCAAACGGTGAAACAACCAGCGGCGCCTCCCATGGCACACACACGCCATCGCAACGATACCTGAGCACCCGCGGCGAGGACAACGATGTACGCGCCGCCGCCCCCCTCTTTTCCCCTCTACTGCTCTCTCACCCCCCCCCCCCCTTTGGTATCACAGCTCAGCACTGCAGGGCCACAAGAAGATGATTTATGGGTGGCTGAGCTAACTTGCGAGAATTCATTCTACAGCTGTCCTTCGAAGACGTTGTCCTCAAGGGGCTCGCAACCGACGGCGGCCTCTACATTCCTGAAGAGATTCCCTCCGCCGCCGACTGGCAGAGCTGGAAAGACCTGTCCTTCCCCGAGCTCGCATTCAACATATTGTCCCTGTACATCTCTCCCTCCGAGATCCCGTCCCAAGACCTCAGAGATATCATCAACAAAAGTTATGCGACGTTCCGTCATGAGGATGTCACCCCCCTGCGACACCTCCAGGACAACCTGTACCTGCTCGAGCTCTTCCATGGCCCGACTTTTGCGTTCAAGGACGTGGCACTGCAATTTCTGGGAAACCTGTTTGAATATTTCCTGACAAGGAGGAATCAGGGCAAGATCGGAAGAGGTGAGCAGTCTTCTTTTCCTGGTTGATGAAGGTTCAATGTCAAAAGAAAGAAAAAGGGGGGAGGGTGAGTTTTGGGGCCTGGTGACTGACTGACTGACTGACTGCTTGTTTGCTGGGATACAGACAGGCACCATCTGACTGTTGTGGGTGCAACATCCGGCGACACGGGCAGCGCAGCCATCTACGGCCTGCGCGGCAAGAAGGATGTCTCTGTCTTCATCCTACACCCCAAGGGCCGCGTCAGTGCCATCCAGGAGGCCCAAATGACCACGGTTCTTGACAAGAACGTGCACAACCTCGCCGTGACGGGCACCTTTGATGACTGCCAGGACATTGTCAAGGCGCTCTTCGCAGACCCCGACATCAACTCGACGCTCAAGCTCGGCGCTGTCAACTCCATCAACTGGGCCCGTATCCTGGCGCAGATTGTCTACTACTTCCACGCGTACTTCTCGCTCGTCAAGGACCCCTCCTCCCCGTTTGCGATGGGCGACAAGCTCCGCTTCGTTGTCCCTACGGGCAACTTTGGTGACATCCTCGCCGGCTACTTCGCCCGGCGCATGGGCCTGCCCGTCGACAAGCTCGTCGTTGCGACCAACGAGAACGACATCCTCTACCGTTTCTGGAAGACGGGGCGGTACGACAAGAAGCCCAGACAGGGGCTTGAGGCGGAGGGCGGACTGACCGCCGACGGTGTCAAGGCCGACGAGAGTGGAGTCAAGGGCACCCTCAGCCCGGCTATGGACATTCTGGTCTCGAGCAACTTTGAGCGGCTGCTCTGGTTCTTGGCGTACGAGTTCGCGGCCGAGGCCGGCATGGACGACGAGTGGAACAAGAAGCAGGCGGGCCAGGAGGTTGCGGCTTGGCTCGGCGACCTGAAGGGCAACGGTGGGTTCGGCGTCTACAAGGCTGTGCACATGAGCGCCGAGCGGGACTTTGAGAGCGAGCGCGTCGATGACGAGCAGACGGTGGCGACCATTAAGGACTTTTACGGCAGGCTGGGCTACATCCTCGACCCTCACTCTGCCGTGGGCGTGGCTGCGTCGCTGCGGAGCATCGCAAGGTCCCCCAAGGAGACGCCGCACGTGTCGCTCAGCACGGCGCATCCGGCCAAGTTTTCCAACGCGGTTGACAAGGCACTCACCGGTGCGGACGGGTACAACTTTGAGGAGAAGGTACTCCCGGCCGAGTTTGTGGGGATGGACAAGAAGGAGAGGAGGGTCGCGTTTGTCGAGAACAGCTGGGAGTCTGTGCGGGAGTTGGTGAAGAAGCAGGTCGAGGAGGAGCTGGTGGCTGAGGAGAAGGCTGCCAAGGAGGAGGTTGCGGCGGATAAGGAGTAGAATGGATCTCTAATATACAGGGAAGAGGGGTGCTGTGTGTCAAGAGCTTTTTTCTTTTCCCTTTCTTTCCTTTTTTTTTTTTTTTTTTTTTTTTTTTGGAAGCAGTTTCAGCAGTAGAGAGATGATATAAGACGGCGGAGTAGGTCTGGCATGGTACGGCGCAGTGGACGATACAGGTATTTTCAAGGAAACTGAAGGCCGGAAGGAGAGGGTGGTTGCATCAGCATGTATTGGAAAGAAGACAAAAAAAAGTTGTATTATTTTTTCGTGGACCATAATATTTGTTATGCCACTATGCATTCAGATCCAGGCAGTGTTGAGGTTTTCTGATAAACGGGCACCACGGTTGGTCGATAATGTATGAGTATTTACTTAGTAAATATACAGAAGCATGCTCGAAATGAGTAGTGTCCTATAAACGGACTTCAGTCTGCGTTTCTCTTTGTACTCTCTCAGTCTCACCTGCAGCTCACGCAGGGTTCTGCGTCCTTGCTCATCAAGTAATTCTCGTTTTTCCAGACGTGTTGGCTGCCCTTGGTCAGCCCCATCCTGCTCTATTCAGCTCCTTGATCTGCCAGCCTTGATAGAGCTCTCATGGACCTGCTGCCACCGCACTCAACCACTCGTTTCGCTTCTGGCGCAGGTCGTGTACACATCGACTGTACCGCGACAAATTCGATCAACACTTCAAACAAGTCCTCGCGTACCAAATCACTGTTTCCCTGCTCTATTCCCAACGACTTCTCCTGGGAACGGTTTACGACCATACACGAAATACCTGAGCAAATCACACTACATGTCAGCCTTCGTAGATGCACACACAAGACATGATCGCCAAAGGGAAAACCAAATCAACGAAACCAAAACTTACCATGGGATGAAGCCGTGAATAGATGTATTCCTAATGTCCTTCTTGGTCCGCTGGACGATGTCCTCAATCTCCTCTGGTGACATGCCCAGGGCGCGAAACAGCTTCCACGATGTGCCGCGGATGGCCCTGTCGGCATTGGTCATCTGCCATTTTCCCAGCATGTGGAATCTGGGGTCGCTTGGCCAGTTGTTCACTGTGATTGATCTAACGTCAGCTTTACGTTCTCATGTAAAATGCACAGCTTCAGGAGGGGAGAACAATGAGGTGAAGAAGAAGGAAAAGAAGAAGAAGAAGAAACAACCCGTAACTACTCACTCGGACAAGGCACAACCTCTTCCACGACATCCACAAACCCAGCCTCCACAAGCCACTGCTGATACTTTTGCGAGATGAGAAAGTCGCGCCCGACGGCTTCCCCAGCCCTCAGCATGAGCTCAACCCAGCGCTCATTATTCGTGCCATCCACAGTCCCATCCGTAGACAGCAGCTCGAACCCGGTATCGTTGAACTCGATCCAGCCGCCGGGCTGCAGGTTCTCAAAGGCCTTGCGGATGACAACGCGCGGGTCATCAAAGCAGGTGAAGACCAGGCGCAGGAAGATGAAGTCAAAGGGCTCCGGGAAGATCCACTCGTCCTTTTCCGAGTTCTCCTTGACAAACGACACGTTGGGCGGCGCGTTGTCGGGCTGGATCAGGCTGAGGTCGGTGCCGACCACGTTGGACTCGGGGTGCAGGCTTGCGAACTGGATGGCCCAGATGCCCGTGCCCGTGGCGACGTCGAGGACGTTTTTGGGGGAGACGACGGGGGCGCGGTGAAGCTGGCCGTCGAGGAGGAGCGTCACGAGGCGGTGCTGAAGATCAAGGCGGTCCTGCTCGGCCTAGAGATATGGGGGACAATCATACGCAGTCGTTCTCTGATTAGCAAACATTTCTCTGTTTTTCTTCTTCTCTCTCTTCTTGGCAACCCACTCCATGTTACATGAAGACGTTGCCGAATGTTATGAAAAAAGCAACAAAGTACATGGACTTACCGGGTCATTAGGGAAAAAGTACCGGCCGGTGCTGTGGTTGTGGAATGTCCTGCCAGACTCCTCGTCCAGGATGGAGCCTGGCTCGGCCACCGATGCACCAGACGGCATGCGCATGAGTTCCTCGGGCACGGGCTTGCCCAGTGCGTATAGCCTGTACCCATTGCTGTTTTTTGGTGATGGCTCGGCTCGTCAGCATAATGATCATGTTAAGATGTATATCAGGAGGAAGAATGATGGGGAGGAAGAGAGAGAGAGAGAGAGAGAGAGAGAGAGAGAGAGAGAGAGAGACATGGAAATAAAGGCAAAAAGGATGCAAAAATAAGAAAAAGAGACAAAGAATGAAGAGAGGTGTAAAAACGCACAAGTCCATGGCGGGTAGAGTCATGGCAGGATCAGGCGTGGTATGCGTCGGCAAGAGAGATGCCTGCGAATAGTCAAAGCCCCCATGCGGCCCCAAGCCCGGCTCAGAGGCCCCCAGCACAGCAGCAGCAGCAGCGTGAGGTGAAGACCCAAGAGCCTGTGTGTACTCGCCATACACCTGCGCCAGACCTTCTGCGCCGGGTATGGCCTGTGCTGGTGGTGGTTGCTGGGGGATGGCGGCGGACGGCGGCGGAGGCGGTGGCGGCAGCAGCTGTGGTGGAGGTGGTGAGAAATCGTCAAGAGCCTGCGAGGCGGCCCAGCTCAAGGGGGGCTGGCTTATGTCGAAGTCTGCCTGCGGGGCGGGCGCGACGCCAAAGGGGGCGAATGCGTCTTGAAAGCTGTCCATCTGGTCTGAGGGGATCTGGGCTTGGACGTCATCGGTGTTGCTGCCCGGGCCGTCGTTTGCCTGCGAGGCCGGGTCGTTTGGGAATCCAAATGCTGCCATGATCCAAAGAAAATAATACACTATCACTCGCTGTGAGGAGGGTTGGCTATGTGTATGTCTGTATGTACAATACGCACTCAATTCTCACATAGCAACAGAGCGTACTTTGCAATTTGCTAGCTTCATTCTTGACCACCTCGCAGTTCATGAGATATTTGAGCCCTACGGCGCTGCGGCTGTATTGACGCCATGCCTAGAGCGGCATGTTCGGCCGGAGAATTCAACTACGTGCTTGGCTCGCCCCGGACAAAATGATTGACATGTTACTGTGATTACCCACTGTATTACTCGCTCCAGACCCGCACTGTCGGTTATCCCAGGATTTCACTTCAGATAGATTCGGGTCTCAACTCAAGACCTGAGCATGCAGAGGTTAGAGTCTCAATTATTGGACGTGCGATGGAAGAAAATTGAGATCTTGGGAGGGGCAAACCAAAAAGAGAAACTATAGGTATAGCGCACTGCTTCCAAAAGGGCTAGATCGCTATTTGAATCGACAAGTTATTATTGCCCTCCCCTGCAAACACAGCTCCTCCGTCTCAACATACATGGCTTTACTATGTCTAATCATCTGATGAATCGGCCAGATAAATTTATATCCTCAGCATTGCGTTAGTGCTCTATTTCTGTTGGTCTCAAGTCATATTCGTCGGCTCCGTCGCATTGAGTATAATTGTTTCGAGCACGCACTACTTCGCCACTGGGTCCTTCACCTGAGCTGCAGAATAAGGGCCTCCACACCAGAGCACTAGAGTTGTCATCGTCAAAAGAGGGCTCAAAATCCATCATTGGTCTATGAAAAGAAGGCCTCCAAGCAGTAATTATTCTTCTAGATGTGCACGCTCGTGTGTGCTCCAAGTGAAACCGCCACAGATAACCACTGGTGTTGAAAGATAGCTCGGTCTATGCCGCTGAATAAGTTGTAGTATAGATCTCGACTACGTCGCTGAAGCTAGAGCCGGGACCCAATGTGCGTCGACGGGCTGGGCCTTGAGACCCCTTTCGAGGCTCACCTGACCCCTTCCGCAGAACCCAACTCGGTCTGTTTTGATCTTCTTTTCAGCTCATCCATCCGCGCTAAATGTCCTTTGTTTTCTGATTCCAGTCCTGCGAGCCTATATCTGGGAGTTATTATAGTCTGAGGCATATATGTGAAGATCAAAAGTTTATGATCTCTTGAGCTTCGCAACCTCTCAAAGTGAGACAAAATACTGTAAACCTTTTGATTGTGCATATTTCCATCGCTTCACCTCAAAGATGATAACAGCGTCCTGATCACTGCCAGTAAATGTGAATGGACAAGTTTGCTAGTCGGTTTGTGATCAAAGGCCTAAAACTTTTTTCTCTTTTGGCTGTACAGTAAATGCGAGGGCATAGGACAATATTGAAAGTAAACGCTAGTTGTACACCCAACAGTGAGTGTTTTTTTTTTTTTTTTTTGGCTTTTCTTTCTAACAGTAGCGTAAGAACGAGCCAATTTTCACCGTATTGTATTGCTGGAGTGTGTCACAGTAACGAAGTATGAAGATCTGTTACGCAGCTGTTTGACGCTGAGCTCTTTCAATCATGGAACGGCATGTATGTCTAGGATTCTGCTTTTGAAATATTGAGACTTGCTCCTGAGGAGCCACCACTTTGCTCATACAACCTCAAGCGCATCCCGAGGCCTTTTTCTCCCCCACTAATGCTTATCTGATGCCAGTATACGGAGCTATCGGAGGACTGACAGCCCTGCCACGGCGGCAAGGCCGATCTAAGGAGGCATTCGGCCCCAGAAGCTATTGTATGAAGAGGAGCCGTTGCGATGATCTGTGCCTCGTGCAGATGCCCCTATCCCCCAAAAATGAGATCCTGAGACCAAGCCTTGGACATCTGGGAAACGTCTTGGCAATAACATAAGACGAGGCTGGTTTGAGTGATCCCTGCCTGACTTGGTGATGTTCTCTATTGATTGAGTTTAACAATGGTGGTGGACATGACATGCGCGGCCTCGTCCGCTGGATAGGGTATCGTTCAATAGGAGAGGGGGTTCAAGAATAGGCGACACTTGTGTCAGATATCAGAAGAGTTCGTCTGGTTGGATACTTTACATAATACAGTAGTGGACTAATGTGAAGTAGGAACGTGTGCGCAGGGGTATATGGTTGTTGGTTCAGATATGGTTTGAAGGTTTCAATCCCCTGTAAGAAGATAACAAATAGTGGATAATTATACAAAAATATTCATCCAAAGATCACCACGGTCTTTCTCTTCTTGAAGAAAAAAGAGGAAAGAATCTCGGAAGCCCCCACTTCGGAAACTCCAACATTTCTTGAAAAGGCCCGACCATATAAATCTCCAGTCATACATAGTGCTTTAATACCAGCCCCATTATTTGGTGAGGCAAACAACAATGCAGTTAGGCTTGATTTCATGCTACATGCCTCCCTACGGTATACCCTGCTTCCTTTTGGTAACTCTTCCTCTACTCACAGCTGTAGCCGGTAAAGTCAAGATTGCGAGTGCTTTGGCAGTTTTCTCTCTCTTGACACGACACGTTTAGATGGTGGTCTTGATCCTCCCTTTACTTCAGCAAAAAAGATATTTAGGCCCTCATGCATCTACAAAGTTACCAACAGCGTGTGGATTGCGCAAAGGTTTGTCCAACAAATAAGGTTTCATAAAAAGGGCTAGAATCCGGGGAAGACAGGCCACATGGGCGGCTGTAGGCGAGCAAGGAAGATCCAATGGGAGAAAAGAAAGAATGTTTGTGCTGGAGTAGGACGCTCGTTAATCCCTCGTGTGTGGTATTATGTTATATGCATGCAACCTCGAAACAAGCGGGGCCCCCCACACAGGATCAGGGGCTATACCCGAGGCGACCTGAAAGTCAACAGAACCCAAGCTGATCAATATAGCACAGACACGCATATATGCTTCATCGTACGTAGGATGAACCTTGAGAATGTAGAATTTCCAAGATAGGTAGCCGAGTAGAAAAGAAAGAAAAAAGATGGCGGGTTGAACCGCAAGAGACAGGCTGGGGTCCCCAGACATTTCTGCCCCTGAGTCTCTGCTTGTTATACAAGCATGGTAGCATCATTGGGGCCCTTTAGCCCCCACTTTCGACTTCACCTGTGCGCCAAGTCGAAACGTCCCACGCGCGAGGACGTCTCAAGACCTTACACAGCGGGACTTTGGTCTGAAGTGCTTTTTTTTTTCGTCGGAGTTCCGACACCAGACGACTTCTGTCAAACCACGCCTGCAGCCTCTCCCAGATCGACGCTATGAAACCCTCAACCGGCCCACAATTGGGTTCTGCGGCACATGCAGACATGGTGTAGTAGTTATTTCCGTCTACCGTCTAGAGCAGACGAGCACGTTTGCAGACGCAACGTCGTCGACAGTGCAACACCAGTGCTGGGTTGAAAAGATGGGATGAGACTTGACCTGCGCGTCAAGATGGTTTCTCTCCCTGGGTTCACAAAGGTGGATATCACAAAGTTAAGCTTGAAGCAGCGTTTACGCGAGGACGGATGACGCGGCAGCTATGTTTGCTGTTAGAACTTGTGGCGGCGCTTCGAAACCATCATGGCAGATGCCAAATGCTCAAGCTGGGCTGAAGTATATAACATCAGACAGAACACCATTGGAAGATGCAAAAGTTCTCCTCATCATCACCATCATCAGTAACCAATTCGGACAATCAGTCTCTTCTCCTTCTTCTTCTTCTTCTTCTTTACCTTCTTCGGCCGGCCCGTACGCTCTGGTTTAGCATTCTTTTCATTGCTTTCATCAGTCTATTCTTTTCTTCTTCTCTCCATCATATTATCTATATAGAGTGAATTCTTTTAATTCTCTATCACCGACAAAATGCAGTTCTCCGCCACTCTCATCCTTGCCCTGGCCGGTGTTGCCATTGCCAAGTCCAACTCGACCTCGACCAAGTCCCAGTGCAAAGAGGTCGCCAAGCTGACCGCGATCACTGACCTGGCCGCCAACGCTACCAAGCTGTCCGACCACGAGGATGGCAACGCGACCAAGATCGCCGAGTTCCAGGCCAAGGCATCCAATGCCGCCACCCAGCTGGCCACCCTCTCCACCAACACCACGCTGATGACGGCCTGCCTCCAGATCTTCGCGGTCGAGGATATGGAGGACGACTGCGACGAGATGACCGCGATCCAGAAGGCTCAAGTGATCGCTGCCAACCAGACCCTGCTGGCGGAGAAGACGAAGAACAACGCCACCAAGGCTGCCGAGTTCCAGGCCAAGGTCTCGGCCAAGGCTTCCACCCTCGCAACCCTCTCGAGCAACACCACCCTGACCGCCTTCTGTGCCGTGCGCGATGATGAGCAGTCCTGCAAGGCTATGGCCAAGCTGGTCAAGGAGCAGGACCTTGCTGCCAACACCACTGCTCTGGTAAGTGAGATGAAGGGGAAAAAAATGAGAATTCATCCATTGCTACCTCGTGTACCAAATCACAAATACTGCTTACAGAGGACAATATGATTTGCTAACAAGTATTCTCTTTTATAGAATGACAAGTTCAACAGCGATGCCACCAAGGTGTCTCACTTCCAGGCCAAGGTTAGCGAGAAGGCCACCAAGCTGCAGACCCTCATGAGCAACACCACCCTCCTCGACACTTGCCAGAGCCTGGGCATCTCAGTTGCTGCTGCCGCCGCCAACACCACCAGCGCCAGCACCTCCAACACTGCGAGCGCCGGTGCCAACGTCGCCCCTATGGCTGGTGGCCAGATCGTCGCCCTGTTCTCGGTCTTCGTCTACGCCCTGGTCATGCTGTAAACGGACTTTGCTTGGGAGCTCCTCGGATATCATCTCTCCTCAAAATGCTTGCCACGTCACTGCTGCCCTCGGAATACTTGGGGAGGCGCGGTCATGCAATCTGGCGGGCAAAATTTGGCCGATGCTGTACTAGGAGAGGAGGGAGAACATGATAGCCTTGGAAATGGTCAACTTACAAATGTGTGATAATTTTGGAGACTGCGAAGGAGGAGAAGGGAAAGAAAGACCTTACCTGTCTTTACAGATACCCAACCCATTGTGCACGCCGTGCTATCTAGATCAGCTGATGACTCTGCAGAAGACGTCAGAAATGAGAAAATGCTACTCTTGATCGCCATGACAAAAAAGAAAGAAACACTGCCTGTATTCGAGTGAGATTTCATGTTGTGATAGAACCTGAAATTATCTAGACGTAATTACCACATAGACGGGTCGATGCTCTCAAGTGCTGAGTATTCCACCGCTAAAATCGGCATCGATTGCGTATCATGAAGTGCTGCATCTACCAGTATCATTTTCTCTCCATTCATTGTGTATGTGTGTGTGTGTGTGAGAGAGAGAGAGAGAGAGAGAGAAAGAGATGGGCCGCAAGGGAGACTATGTCTTAGAGTTCGACTTACAGACCTCCAATTATATATGGCAATTCGAGTTCCCTTGTCAATGGTATGAACATTGCCACCACCATTCCATTGGTCATACAACGGATAAAGTTTCTCACTTCGCCACCAAGACTGTACATGTATTAGTATAGTAAACAATGATAGTTCACTTCATTCGTGAATATGTGTAGCCTTAGTGATAATGTTGGCTATAGGCAGACCCCTTTCGTATACGTAATGGCCAAATGGGAGCAATGGCTGAGAGGAGGAGGAGAAAGATAGGCAGATTTATGATAAGACCGCCAATATTGCTTTCGTTATAGAAGACTTCCTTGTTGTTCAGGCAAGACACAAGATGCTCGCAGAATATTTGGAGTCCAGAAATGGCGAGTCTCAGCAACGGAAGATAGGGGAATTACTGGACGCTCGTTTTTGTCGATTTGAGGCTTCTTCAACCGCCGAGTTGAGCGACAATGACGAATTTTACAGGGTAGGATGACAATATGTAAAAGAACTCGTACCCAAAGGTACCTCTGATTCTTGTCATGACCCTAGAAAAAGAGAGAGCCGGGGGGGGGGGAGGATGAAATTTTACGTCGAATAACTCCATGATTCAGTCATGTACGTTTGGAGAACAAGGTCAAGATGCAGAGGAGAGAAAAGATGCAAGTTTACCCTCGTCAAACCAAACAAACTTCAAGTATTTATGCTGGAGAGCTCCCGAACTTAAAAGATTTGAAAGATATCAAGTGTGCATAAAGTTTTCAGACCAAGTCACAAAACCACTAACCCCATCACTCTTACCAAGTTCAAAGAAATGAAGAAACACATGCATGTAGTCTTCATGTGTGAGAAGTGCAAAGGAAAGCAAATAATAATTCAAATAAAAAAAGAATTCAAAAACATGCAACACCGGGTATTCGCTAATGGTCACCCACTTAACTACTAATCCGGCGGTTAGTGGCTTATTTAGGGGAGAGCAGACGGGATCCCAAGTTTTCCACTACCTATGGTCGCATGTGCTGGAATTTGTGTTTCTAGGAAACATATATTCAATATCGTAATAGATCTGCGACCACTGTCGTCACCAACACAAGCCAAGTTTCTCGAATTCAACCATGTTGACCCATCAATCAATCCGTGATTTCGAAACCGACATGGTGATTAAGCCAGACTCGCGAAGAACGAGAACCGAAGAACTGTAGAAAAGATTCCGTTAATTATTTTCAGTTCCCTCGGGCTGAGGGTGGCCCTCCCTCCTTGTGATTAGATATGACAATCTGCTGAAAGTGTATTGGTACTACATTGGCCTTCTCCTCATGATACCCCGCAGGCTGTCCGCGACCTCCCCCTCTAAGCCTTACACATTTCTGGTCAAGGCACAATCACCAGTTGCAAAGCTCTCAAGCTCAATCAACCGCAGCAGACAAGATGACCTCCCAAAGAGCTCTGGATTTCGCAGGGGATATCGCCATCGTCACAGGAGCCGGGTCTCGGTTGCCCGGTAAGTTTAAGTTTCAGCCAACCAATACTCAGATTGCATTTTGTATAAACATGCATGATAAGCCTCACTTGCATCTAAGCTGACATGTGTGCAACTTCACATTTTCAAAGGCGAGATTGGAAACGGCAGGGCCACAGCGGTCCTCCTCGCAAGGCACGGAGCCAAAGTTGCCCTGGTCGACCACAACGCCGATTGGGTCTGGGAGACGAAGCGCATGATTGACGCTGAAGGAGGCACGTCCGAGGTCATCATCGCTGATGTGGCAGATGAAGAGGCGTGCAGGAGGGCGGTAAGTGAGACGGTCAGGCTGTTTGGGGCGGTACATGTGCTGGTGAATGTCGGTGCGTTGCCTGTGATCCTGGACAGAATACTTATTCTCCCGTCTCGAATCTCGTTCCACAAACTCTAGTTTCTCGCGCTGGGATTCCTCTGGTCATGATTTCGGCATGGGTTGAAGTATTTGTTACTGATTTCTTGATAGTCGGCGTAGGTGGAGCGGCTGGCGACGCCACCACGGTCGACATGAAGGCCTGGGAGCGAGACATGAGGATTAACGTGACAAGCATGGTTCTCATGTGCCGCTACACGGTGCCCGAGATGCGCAAGAGCGGGCGAGGGGCCATCGTGAACATATCCTCCGTCAGTGGTCGTAAGTTGAGATTCCATTTCATTTTCTGATCAAGTCCACTCCGAGCTGATGACCATCTCCTGTGTAGTCCTAGGTGGAAACCCGAGCCTTCTCTATGCAACCAGCAAAGGCGCCATCGTCCAGATGACCCGGACTATGGCTTCTCATTACGGCGCCGATGGTATTCGGGTCAACTGTGTCGCACCGGGCATGGTTCACACGCCCATGGTCGGGGGCGCGGGGATGAGTGCTGAGATGAGACAGTCAAGGATCGACCAGACTCTGCTGAAAGTAGAGGGGACTGCCTGGGATGTTGGTTTCGGTTTGTTTCTGCTGCCTCCCTCCGGTTGGCCGGCAGGGTCTATCGCTGACCAGCTTGGCAGCTATCCTGTTCCTCTGCAGCAGAGAGGCGATGTGGATCACAGGATTGATTATGCCAGTGGATGGCGGTGTAAGATAGTGCTCCCTAATGATTCTTTTCTCTTCTTTATTGTGTAGTTTTCTGCTAACAACAGATGGGTTAGACAAGCGCAGCAATAGTTGGTACTTCGGCTATGTTGGCAGACGTTGCAACATCCGTGGATAGGGACGGCTTGTCGAAACTATAGGCCCAAAATATTGAGCACGAGACCTCGCAATGACCACAGAAGTGATTGCCTGTAATCTTTCTTATCTTCTCTTGTTTTTATTTCTATTCTTTGCTTAGTTCTTCTCTGGTGGAAGGCCTTGGAGACCAGCATTCATGGACCTCGCTTATTGGAGGTATAAGCACCGTCATGCACCAGCAGCTCAATTGCTGAATTAGACAGACATCAGTGACATACGAATTAATGCTTGAAACCTCGTAGAATTAGCTTTATATATAAAATAATCATAACAATAGAAACAGAAGAAGAAAAGTATTGAACGATCGAGAAGAGGGGGAGAGGTTGACTAATCACTCCAGATCCTCGGCTGTTTCTAGCTCGTCACACCCACAGCGGAAACTAGACCTCTAGTCCCTCTATTCAATCCAAACCACGACTAATCAAAAAAATAACCAACGACGAACGACGAACGTCGAGCCCTTTTCCCCTCCCCTTTCAACGCAGACTGTGGTGTTCGCCTCTTCTACAGACTATTGCCTCGACCGCACCACTCATTCAAGATGAAGATTACATTCTATGTTGACATTCTGTCGCCATTTGGCTATGTGGCATACTATGTGCTCAGGGTGAGCGTCCAGTGTCCCTATCGAGACGCAACTGCAGTCAATCAGTTTGATTGATCACTAATTCACATGCATTTTTTCCCCTCCACAGCACGACCCCGTCTTCAAAAACTGCGAAATCACATACATTCCAGTATTCCTAGGTGGGATCATGAAGATGGCAGGCAACACAGCGCCCATCTTTATCAAAAGTAAGCCCAACCCCCCAGCCAAACAGCCCCTGAGTAACCTTTTCCTAATATCCCTCACCTTTCCCCTCCTCTTTCCCTCGAAAACCAGACAAAGACAAATATACCAACCAAGAACGCGTCCGCTGGGCCCGTTACTTCAACGTCCCCATTGTCCCTGAAGTCCCCACCGGCTTCCCCTACCGCACCTTGTCTGTGCAGCGCGCCCTGTGCGCCATAGCCCACCTGACAGGCGAGGCCCAGACCAGCCCCACGGCTCAGCGTGCCATCATACCGGCCATCGACGCCTTGTACGAGGCCTACTGGGCGCAGGGCCGCAACGTCGCGGAGGAGGACGTGCTGAGGGATGTGATCTCTGGCTTGGCGGGGACTGATGTGGCCAAGGTGTTGGAGGTTGCGGGTGGGGAGGGCAAAGCGATGCTGACGGCTAATACGGCGCTGGCATTTGGGGATGGGGCGTTTGGACTGCCGTGGATTGTGTGTGAGAACGAAAAGGGGGAGAAGGAGGGATTCTGGGGCGTGGATCATCTGGGCTGTGTGCTGGATTTCCTGGGGCTCGAGAAGCCAAGGGCTGGTGGGTGGAGGGCGTTGTTGTAAGTGGTATTGTACTGTACTGAATCAAGTCACAGGATATAAGTGAAAGGCCTCATGGTCGACTACTAAGACCAAGTAGTCTACAAAAACCCAGTTGTTGAAGCGTGAAAAGATCTTAAATGTAGGTATGGGAAATCCAATGACATGCCTGGTGCCGTAGGAATTAATTAATATACAAAAGAGATGGAAATGGTCAACTCTTCAGTCTGATCTATTTTCCTCCTCTTTCAGCAATGCATACACACATGACCAACCTAGAACCGAGCCTGCACCTTCTCCTGTGTGTCCTGCAGCGCCCAATCACTTATCTTACTCTGGCTCCTCACAGAACGAGCCTGCGCCTCCGTGAAGCCCCTGGCCTGCGTCGCTGGATTATACCCCAGCCCATTCACCTTCCCCACAGCGGCATCATCCAGCTGGGGTGCGGCCCTCCCATCTGCCCGCCTGTACACGGACACCACAGCAGCTCCGCCCAGGCCCAGGTTGTGCTGCAGACAGTACTTGGTACCTGCCACCGCCCTGTTGTTGGCCCAGCCGCGCAGGTGCCAGACCAGCTCAGCGCACTGCGCAATACCTGTGGCGCCGAGCGGATGACCCTTGGAGATGAGACCGCCGGAGGGATTGACGACGATCTTCCCACCATACGTGATATCACCGCGGCGGACCATCTCGTGGGCCTTTCCAGGCTCCGACAGGCCCAGAAAGTCAAGCGTGATCAGTTCGTTGGCGCTGAAGCAGTCGTGTAGCTCACACACGCTGCAGTCCTGCGGGCCCACACCAGCCTCAGCGAAGGCGGTGCGGGCGGCCTGCTGTGTCATCTCGCGGCCCATGAGGTCGATGGAGCTCTTGGAAAAGAGGGAAGGGGCGTCGGTGGCGAGACACTGGCCCGCGATGAGGACAGCCTGGTCCTTCAAGTGAGGGCGGGCGTCCAGAAAGGCTTGCGAGACGAGGACGGCGGCAGCGCCACCGTCAGAGGTGGGGCAGCACTGGAGTTTGGTCAAGGGCTCGTGGATCATGGGGGCCTTTTGGACCTGATCGAGGGTGTAGACGTCCTGAAATTGGGAGTAGGGGTTCTTGACGCTATGGGCGTGGTTGACGCGGGCGATCTCGGCAAAGTCCTCCGCCTTCGCGCCGTATCTGTGCGGTGTATGTTTGTCAGTCATCTTTTTCTTGCTATAGAGAGAGAGAGTATTTCCTAAATTAACAGTACGTGACTGGTTTGACCACTTACTTCTCCATGTATTCCCTGCCAGCGTTGCCAAACATCTGAGCAGCGCCGGGAGCTTTTGTGAACCCACGCGTCGAGGCCATCATCAGACCTGTCGTGCCCGTGGGGTTCTCGCGGTCATTAAAGAAGGTCTGCAGGCTCCCAGGCATCATCTTTTCGAAGCCCACCACAAGCACACAATCGGCAGCTCCGCTGGACACATACTGGCGCCCGATGGCGAGGCCCGTGGACCCCGTGGAGCAGTTGTTGTTCACATTGATGATGGGGATCTGGGTCATGCCAAACTGATAAAAGACGCGCTGGCCGCAGGTCGAGTCACCGTAGCAGTAGCAGGCGATGCCCTGCTCCACGTCGTCGTAATTGATGTGGGCGTCCAGCATAGCCTTGACGCCGGCCTCGAAGCCCAGTTCTGTGTAGTCGACCTTGCCGCGGGGTTTGATGAACTTGGTCATGCCCACGCCGAGGACATAGCACGGTGCCTTTGGCTTGGGTGCCATGGTGGTGGTGATGTTATGGTGAAGGAGGATAGTGAGTCTCGATAGGGCTCAAGATGGCACGATTGTGTTCAAGCACAGGTTTGTATGTGTAAAGTAGAATTGTGATATCCTTGGGGATGTTTTGATCAAGTCCGGATCGATGGAACTGAGTAGAGCATAGATTGTCGTGCGTGTTAAGTATGTTAGAGACTGGCCTCGGGATTTGGAGATATGGAAATCCCGTCACTCCTCGAAAGAACAGCTCACTTGAATGGATGAGTTGACAATATAATTCCCGAGGGCGTCGGTTCATGTATCCTGCGGGGGAGAGATGTTGTCGAGTGGAACGAGCCGAGGTTAATAAAGTACTTGGGCAGTAGTAAATACCACCACCACCGCCACTGGAGTACACCTTCCCCAGACACACACGTACCTGCCAACACAAAGGGGCGGTGGCAGCCAAGATAGCCTAGGAGGATTTCCCCAGCGCCTTCCCCCCCAATACGGCCCCACAGATGGGGAATCCCGTCTTGTGGAGAGAGAAGTCTAAGCCTGTTTTGAGGGAAATTGATTTCACATGTTTTTGCTTGCGGATTTAGACTTGGATATCTTGTTCAAGAAGAAGATAAAGAAGAGAAAAAGTTGAATAGTTGATTGACTTACTTGAGGCAATTGAGAGACAAGGTGAGATGAAAGGTACAAAGAAGCAGGTTTTTATTCAAAGATGACCGTCTCGTCCCCGTGAGAAATACGCCGCCAACTTGCCCACCGGATCTTCACCAGCCGGGAAAGCCCACGAGTAGACCCTCATAAATCCATCAATCTCCTTTCCCATCTGTGTAGCAGCCTCAGCCTGAGCCTCAGCCTGTGCATGATGGTCTTCCCCATCGAGCGACGCGACATGCCTCTCCAGTTCAACCTCTCCGACCCTGTGCCCAAAGTCCATCTCGTCAATGACGATAGAAAACCTGCCGTTGGCCGTATACTCGCTGCGCACAGTCACAAACCCCGCGACCTGCTTTACGACGCTTCCTCGGCCTCGTAGTAGGCTTTCCAGGCTCTCTTTCTCGTTCTTGCCGCCCTTCTCGTCCAGACAGACTACCTGAGGCACATGTCGAGCAATCGCAGCTAAGATCTCTGCTGCATCCCTCGTCTCGCTAAATGCGGACCTGACGTAATCGCCTCCCACACGCAGCTTGGCCTCCAGGCACCCATTTCTGCGGCGGACGTAGATGCCCTGATTCATCAGAACGAGTGATGGCGTGTCGAAGTAGAGATCCTCGATCCGGCGGCCCGAGGTTGGATTACGCTCCAGCGAGGTGAATTTTGGGCTTCCTGCGTTGTTGGCTAGCAAATGGAGAGAGGTCGCCGTTGGCTGGAACTTGCGCTCGACTTCGAGGTTTGTGTGTTTGGTGGTCTGGGGGTGGTGGTGTGTTGATTGCAGATGGCGCGCCGTCTGCGTGAGCTGGAGCAAGCGAGGCGCACTGCTGCAGCTGATTCTGGAAGTGCGTGCCAATATAGGATATGATGGCGACGGCATTTCTGATAATGATCGGATCCCGTTGTTATTCATGTAATGATGTTTTCCAAAGCATTCGAGGTTGTATAGTTGATGTTAGCTATGGTTATACTGATCAGCATTAGCTGTAGGCCTCCCGCTGTTTGTCTTACTGCACCTTATGTATATGTACAAAAGAATCTCCCACAAACATGCCATCCACCACCATCAATTTAAGTACAAAGTAGGCTGATACAAGTGGACTTGGGACGTCGCTGTAGTTGGAGGAGACAATTTTAATCCCCGCCTTCCGAATGTGTTGAGGAATAGGCGGGAAGGAACGGCAAAAAGACACACCTTCCTCAACAGCACTCGAGCACTTGAATTTAAAAAATCTCGCCCAACCCTTTTTGCAAGTACACGCAACCAAGAAGTCCACAACACCCTCGCAATCGAATCACGAAATCAACTTGTAAAGAGTTCGCGCGTCCATCATAACAGACAAGCCCACGGTCTGATCGAAAAAGGAATTTCCTTCCTCCTCATGGTCCAAATACACCCCCGCCACACTCTCCGAGTCCGCCGCGGTGCCAACGACGCGCAAGTGTACTGCATCATCCCCGAACTCGCCCTGGCCCGCTACGATGCGCAGCACGATCGCCTTCTCGAGCTGCATAACCCGGCACACTAGGTCGCCCAGCTGTGCCGAGGCTGGTGCAATGCCCAGCTTGGGAAATTGATAGGTTGGCTTGAGGTATTGAAGCTGGTATAACCTGGGCCCGCCGCTGGTACTGCTGCTAACAGAAGAAGAAAAGCTCGAAGTTGTTGCTGTTGTGGCTGTCACTGCTCCTCCGCCTCCTCCACTGCCGCCGCCTTGATTGTGTTGATGAGTCTGGGTGATCTGCTGATCGAGCTCAACCCTCTGATGGTCCTGGATGAGGCGCAAGTCATAACTTCCAGGCTCATGTTCTCCCACAGCCCAAGTCAATCCACCTGCATGTCCCAGCGCCATATTCCCCAGCGCCTCGTCATTCTGGTCCAACACGCACCGCAGGAGGAGCTTGCTCTCCTTGTTGGCAGCACCAACATCCTGTCTGTAATTTGCATGCAGCGCCGCATTCCAGTCGGCCACCGTGTCCAGCTTGGACAAAAAGTCAGCTGTCGCCGGACCCAGCGTGCGAATATACCCCAGCACGTACGAGTCCACTTCAAACGACACTTTACCCGGTTGCTGGCCCGCAAAGTCAGCCTCTGCGGCGGCCGAAGCTAGCGGGAGTTGCGCCATGGTGTAATAGCTGCTCGGCGGCGGCAACATCTTCCGCAGCAGCGGCCCGCCACCGACCCCACCCCCCTCAGCAGGGTCGTCCATGAGCAGCGACCGGACCAGACGCGCAAAGGCGATCAGGTCCGTGTCCTCGAGCAGGTCATGGGTCTTCATGTACTCCATAGTATCGGTCCAGACCTCGAAGACCGACTTGGAGTAGTCCATAGGGAACCGCGTGGCGTCAGCAGCGAGGCCGACGAGGCCGTAGATCTTGTCCCTCCGGTCCTCGCATAGGGCGTCCTGGTGGTCCTCGAGGAGCTGCTTGAGGGTGTGGCTCTGGTTTGACTCGTTGCGGAGCTGTTTGTCCAGGGCCAAAGGCCTGCCTCTCGAGAAGTAGAACTGGAGGAAGGTGATGAAGTGTGACCAGGGGGAGGCCCATGTGCCGAAGCAGACTTGGATCTCCCTGGCCTGGCCGATCTCCTGGATGATCCATAACCTCTGCCAGTAGCCATCTGTGACGAGTTCTTCGGCCATCGACTGCACCAGTTCGGCCCTTTGCCTGTTCGAGAGGGTCGCCACCGCCATGCTGTTGCCGCTGCCGCTGCCGCTTCTGTCGATTTTCTTTTCGTATGGAGGTGACGGCGATGGCGGAGTGGAGGATTTGGTCGTCTTGCCAGGAGGCGATACAGCTGCACCTCCGCCTCCGCCTCCGCCTGCCCCTCCCCCAATAGGTTTCGTGTCGCTACTGAGAACCGACGTTGAAATCCGCCACGACTTCTGAAATTCGGACACCTCCCACTCTTCCAGGCCATACTGCGCCTGCTTCTCCCGCAGCATCTCTTCAAAAGCATCTGGGCTGAGTTCCTGCTGGTACCGGGCGTACTTGTCTCCTAGCCAGACGATGACCCGCCTGGCCCTGAAATAAATCTGGCCCATCCACTGCACCTGGCGGGTCCTTTCATCGAGCTCATCCTGGTTGATGCACAGCGCGTCGATCCAGAAGAGCTTGTAGCTGGCCTGCCCGTTGAGGCGTCTGAGGAAGCGCAGCGCGGCACGCAGGTTCTTGCCGATGGCGAGCTCGAACCCATTGAGGATGATGGTCTCTTTGTCTTTTACATCGCCCCATTCTGATGAAGAAGAGGTGCGGAACGAAATTAGTCAATCTACAATGAGACCTGCATGGACAGTAGAGAGAGGGAGAGAGTCTGAGAGAGAGAGAGAGAGAAGAACCACACCAACATACTATACGACAAGGCCTCATACTTGGGCCGATCCCGGAAAGAAATATGCACATGCCGACACACAATCTGGTCCTCATCGCTCTCGGCTGGCTCGATCTGAATAAACCGCGTGCAGTCGCCCGTCGTGTCCAGCGGCCGAAAGACGAGGTTGTCCATCTTCATTGCCGGGTATCGTGCCTCCCGGTCGGTGGCGCCCGCCTTCAGCACCCGCGGGCCGGAGCAGGACTCGGATCTCGTAGGGGTGGTGCTTGTCGCATTGAGGGGCTCAGGGCATCCTCCTTCGTACTGCTGCTCTTTGCGACGACGTGACTGATTGGCTGTCATCTTGATTCGGATTATATAGAAAAAGGGTTAAGATTTTATTTCGTTTTCATTCTTCCTTTCTATTTCCCTTTTCGTTGATCTTGAACTGTCACGATGGGTTCTGTGGCATAATAATCGGCAAAGCAAAAGTACTAGCTGGGGAAATCGCAAGAAACGGTCTAGCAAAGCGGTGAGCAGGCTGGCGATACTTTTATTTCTTCCGTGCCACTGCGTTCTTGATCGAATGGGTTAACTGGTGAGATTTCGTCAAAAATTCGCAAAGCCACAAGGCGCAGCCCGAGCCTGCCAAGTTCCAACGACGACGGCGGCGACAACCCCTCTGTGGGTAACGGGACTAATGCATGTATACTTATATGGACTGTGCATTTCTGAGAAGGGTAAGAGGGGTGGAGGGGGCCGCAGCAGCAGCAGCGCCGCACCATTGAACCGCCGTGGTCCTTTCTTGCAGCTGCAGGATCAGCAAGTAGTGCATGCATTGCAATCCGTGGGTGCCTGGAGGCCACCCACCACTCGACCAGCCACTTACATTTATTGTGATCCTCTGCCCTTGAGGGTGGATTGGTGCACTTACTTGCTCCAGGCTGCTTGGAACTGACGGGTATTTCAGTAAGTACTGAAAATACATATGTAGATCTATTCTCCATTTCATCTTTATGCTGTTTTTACCCCCCCCCCCCCTTTTTTTTTTTCTTCTCTTTTTTTCTTTCTTCTTTTTCTTCCTTTCTTCTTCTCATACAGTAAATCAACCAGAACCTGACAAACTGATAGAAATGCAAAGTGACAAATTATCCCCCTTCACTGACATATCAAGATCTCAACCTTACCAGCCTAGACAAGGCTTTTCAAGTAAGTATTTTACCATCTTCCCTCTCTGGGGGACAATCGTGGCAGAGCAGTAGCCCGCGTCGTTGAGATCCATAATCCTCGGCCGAAAGAATTCCGGCTCCGGTCCCCCCCCCCCCCAAGCCTGCCTGTCTCCCTTTCCTACCAACAGAACAGATAGGCGTAACCCATGCTTGAGTGCCCAGGGCGCCCTTCTAAAGAAGACAGATACGTGAAATGAAAAGGATTCGTAGCATTAGTCAGTCGGGTCATGTATTGTTCACGATACCCCGCTGTCCGTCTATCAGTCCAGGGCAGTTTTGTAAGTCTCGGCCGATATCCGCGGCCGAGTCTTCGGATCCGGATCCTCTCAATACATATAACTATCAATGTATTCACCATCTCTTTTCTTTTGCCTCGATCAGTTCTCCCTTCCAAGCATCTCAGTTCAAGAACAAAGAATCAAAGTATCGCCATCGTCAGCACGTATATATCGAGCCAGATTCATTGTGATATCATTCTCTGAGGAAAGAGAACGCCCATCACCACACAATACCATTCCAACTCCAATACCCAACACCCATATAATCAACCCAACACCATGCAGATCCTTCTTCTCGGAGCCACCGGCCGCACAGGCATGCTAGTCCTCCAGGAAACCCTCAACCGCGGCCACACAGTCACCGCTCTAGTCCGCAACCCAGGCACCCTCCTGTCCTCCTCCGCCGCCGCCGCTTCGGCTCAGGAGAAGGGCCAGCTCAACGTCATCCAGGGCACTCCCTTGGAACCTTCTGACGTGGCTCGAGCCATCGAGACGGCGACATCAACCGTAGACACTACCACCAGCACGCCCACAGCAGACGCGCAGCAGCTCGTTGTCATATCAACTCTCAACGCCCGCCGCACCACTGACAACCCCTTCGCGGCCCCCCATCCAACCGACTCCGCCCCACGAATGATGGCCGATAGCACCGCAAACGTCCTCTCGGCCCTCTCGGCCACCCACCGACGAGGAGATAAGATCGTCGTCCTCTCGGCCCTGGGCGCCGGCAGCTCGGCGCCCCACACCCACTGGGCCCTGCGCGCTCTATTCCGCCATAGCGGGATGCGTTACCAATACGCTGACCACGACGCCGTGGAGCAGGAGCTCAGACGCGGGACGGCTGTATTCGTCATGGCGCGCCCGACGCGGCTTGTGGAGGAGAAGAAGAATGAGGAGGCCAGCGGAGAGAAGGGTGCCGTTGCAAAGGTCTTTGATCCCAGCAGGGGCGGGACGGTGGGGCTGATGGCGACTGTGTCCAGAGACGCCGTCGCGAGGTTTCTCGTGGATGCCGCTGAAGGGAGCCGGTACGATGGGCAGGCGCCTATTCTCGTCGGCTAAGCGTTTTCTGACTGGGTATGATTGTGCTATTAAGTCGAAAGGGGAGGACGAGGAAGAAATAAGGGAACAAACGAGAAGTGGAGAGAAAGAAGAAACAAAAGAACTGGATTGGGTATATATCGTGTGATAGCGACAGTGCGGTCTATGAATGCAGATCTAAATTTCCCGGCCTTCCGTTTCTTTTGAGATAGAAAAACAAGGACGGATTTAAAACGAAAATGAAAAGAGAAAAAAAATGGAACTGAAACAAAAACCAGACTCTTTCTTCTTGATGAGTAGTAACGTAATCTAGTAAACGGTGCCTGCCTGATGGCAGGAATGAACGCCATGTATCAAACACATAAGGATGCGGACGGAAATTCGGGGTATCAAGCGTTCAGGAGTTTAAATCAAAGCAAAAGAGAGATCAAAGCCACCACTGTCAGAGGGTGGCCTAAGGGGAGGAGCGTCCGTCCCGCTTCATCTCATGTCATCACCTCCCTCATTTCTATTTCTTTTTCTTCTTTCACATTTCTAGATTGTGTTGTGACGCTCAGGTCGTGTCAAGTATGGCAAATCTCGACTGGCCGACAAGACATCGAGCAGCCTAGTTCAGAGTCATGGGCATGCTGGATAGATCCCACTGGTCCATGTCCCAGAAGGAGAGGTCCTCGAAAAACTGCTGTAAAGGAACCATGTTAGCCGCAGTAAGACATACGAGCAGGTGATTAGAAAGAAGTGTGGGGGAAGACTTGCCGTGGCTGGATCGTACTGCTGTTGCTGCAGACTCTGCGACCCGTACGGGTCGAGCGGTGTGGTGGGGCTAGACAGCTGTCTCTGAGCATCAGTATTCGCCCGCCCTGCTGGACAAGTACGCCCTTCAGACGCTGATGGTATGTTTACTCACCGGCATGCTGGCAAGACCCTCAGGACTTGTCTTGAGGGCTGCCAGGCAGACTTCGACGATCTTGCTAAGCTCGTCGGTGATCCTCCTGATCCTCTCGTCCGCCCCGTCCCACTTCACACTGTTCAGCACGACATCCAGCACCAGCGTATCCTTCAGGTCGCAGCTCGAGTCGGTGGCCAGGGCGATGGAGTGGTCCAGCGTGTTCTGGACGGCGCGCATCATGCCCTGCAGAGACCAGACCATGCGGTTGTCGAGGGCGTCGATGAAGCCAAGCTCACCGGGGCGGTGCTGTGCCTCTGGGCTGGGCAGCTGGCCATTGATGGCGACGAGGCCACCATTGCGTGCCCGCTCCTGCTCGTGCGCGAGCTTGATGAAGTAGCACACGGAGAAGGCGGCCTGCATGATGTCGTGCTTAAGCACGATGTGATACATGTGGCACACGTCCGAGAACCCAGGCACCAGCGGATCTAGCTCATCCAGGTAGGTGAGCATCACCATAGACGACTTGAGGTAGCCCGTGGTGATGTGCTCGGGACATTCAACCGTGCTGAGAGCGAAGGGCCGGTAGAGAGCGAGGAGCGGTCGGCGGACGTGCATATCCAGTAGGGCACGCATGCGCCAGTCTTTGAACTTGGCGGAGTTGTTGAGGCTCTGGTTGCGTCGGGGGAAGAGGTGGTTCACATCGTCGAGGAGGCGCTCCAGCTGGGTGCCACAGTCGAGCACCTCCCGGAAGCCACGCAGCGTGTCAAGGCTGTTGATGATGCTGGACACGCGCATACGGTGCGGTAGGGTGCGCGAGGCATAGGCCTGCAGCTGGGTGTTGGTGAACTCATCAATGGGTTTTGATGGCGGAAGTGAGAGCATGTCTGGGTAGATGTCGGCGTCATCGATGTTGCCGGGCGGTCTGCAGGTGTACTCGTTCTCGCGCACGGAGCAGGGAAGATTGCAGGCCAGGGCAACGTGGAGGTCCATGTCCATAACGGTGTACCACAGCCGCCGACGCAGCTCCGCGTAGAAGGGTCTGATTTGTGGAAATTCGTCCGGGTCTCTGTGAAGACCCATGGTCATGGCCATTCGAACGATGAAGCCCAGCTGTGTCCATGACTCCTGGTTCCGTGAGCACATCATCCGCCTGGCATGCAGCAGCAGCACTTCGCACTGTAGCGTGTTGATGTCCACCAGCTGCTTCCCTCGCAGGCCGTCCAGCCATGCGCGGGCGAGAGCGCACGCGGTTGGAGCGTGAATGCCGTCTGCACGATCGTGGCTCAGGCCGCGCTTGTCCGTTTCAAACCTGGCGCCGAGGGACAGCATACACATCAGGCAAGGGAGGAAGGCATCCGACACCGGCCTCTGCTGCCAGAAGGCCTCGTATTCGGCCCGGAAGGTAGGCACGTGGATGATGCGGTAAAGCCCCTCGGACATGGTGATGTAGGCGTCCAGCAGGCGGTCACAGATGACCTTGTTGGGGAGGATATCGGCCATTCTCTTTTGCACGGGTAGCATGGAGTCGGTGAAGACGGCGATTGGGGCCAAGCCCCTCCGGTTCTCCTCTGAGATAGCCTTGTAGATCTTGTGCAGCTGGCCAAAGAGGTTCTTGATGTCCTCGACGCGTGACCCGTTGAACATGAAATCCCTGGCCTCGTCGAACAGATTCAGCAGCACTCTGGTGCTGTTCTGGCCGAGGAAGCGCGTCCTCAGGTTCCCCTTCACGCTGAGGCCTCGGATGGTAGTTGATGCTGCGGCCACAGAAGCGGGGTGTATTGAGTAGGGGTCCCTGCTGCTGCTGTTCGGGACGCCAGATTCGAGCGCGTATGGAGAGGAGCCATTGACATAACTGTTGTGATTGTTGTCGCTGTTATTGAGCAGGACCAGCCTCTCCAGACGGTCCAACCTGGCACCAAGCTGCTCCACGACCGAGGCGGTGCCGGCAGCTACCCGAGCCTGCTCGCCCGAGGTGCTGAACCCGGCGACCGACTGCTGGTGGGCTGTGGTGGGCGTGGGCGTGTCAGTAGCGTAGGAGGAGGGTGGGGGGCGGTGCTGCTGCTGGCGCTTGGTAGGCCTCGGGGAGCCCTCGACATCAGAACCCTCAGATCCGGCGGGTTCATTCTCGGAGGCATATTTGCAGGGCCTGTTGGACTTGAGGCACTGTGAGCATGGGCACGACCTGTCGCAGCGGAGCTTGCGCTGGCGGCACGAGTTGCAGCTCTTGACGGGCCGGGGCCGCTTCACAGCCCTGCCGGCGGGCCCCGAGCTGTCAAACACCATGGTCGTCATGGTCGGCGTCATGTGAGCGACTGGTGCTGACCGGTCTGTCGTCTGGCTGGGGGGGACGGTAGTAGTAGTAGTAGTAGTACTAGAAGTATTAGGTCCAGTCGTTGAACCCGGGACATTGGCCGAGGTGATGTATCCAGAGCCGTTGTCCTGAGGCTGGACTGCTATAGGGGCTGCCATGCTCGGCCCGAGGCGGCATGAAGCTCCGAAAAAAGAAGCAAAAGGACGAAAAGAAGAAAGGAATAAAGAAAATAAAATAAAATGTGAAGAAGAAGAAAAAAAAAGGGTAGGTGAGACAAAGATCTCAAATCGGGAGTGGATGTACCCGGGGCGGCGGGAAGGCGGTCGCAGAAGAGGCCGCAGGAGGTCGTAGGATGCGCGGCGGGTGATGGTGTGTGGGGTCTCAGATCGTGGCGAGTTGGTGCAGTTGAAAGTAATTGATCGCTGGAGAGTTGTAAAAGTTGGTGCATGAGAACGCAGCATGAAAAGCGCAAAGATGCCGTCCCAAGAGGAAAATCAAAGATTAAAAAAATAAACAGAAGTAGAGACAGAAGGAAGAAAGCATAAAAAGTCCCCCAAAAGCCAGCCCGAGAGAAAAATCCCGACGTGCGCGGGATTTCGGCCGAGAGAATGTAAATGTGAGTAAAGTATAAGTAGTGTAGCGGGCTGGTGAAGGTCCAACTGGTGTAGTAGTATCACCCCGGATGATGATGAACAATTTTGATGTGACCCAGGTCCTCCCCAAGTTCAGTACAGCCAGCGCTGAAGACTAGCTTTGATGATGAAAGCGGAGGAGCAGAATGGGATTTGAGTCCGTGTCTTGCGTCGTCTCACGATCTTGGCCTTCTTTGTTGAGATGCAGAAGCTAGACCTCAAGGGCTTCGGGCCCGAAGACCATGAATCGCGGCCAGAGACAACAAAGGATGCGGTATATGAGTGAGACAAGACAACAACCTTGTGTGGCGGTGGACTCAAAGAGGAGGAGGGGGGAGGGAAAAAAAGAGTGATGCCGCACTTTAACCGCTTTTTCTCCCCACCCTGATGGAGATTGCTATGGTATGATGCTGAAAGGCCGTGTAGCGCCAATGCAGGTCTTTTTTGGTCGGTCGGGTAGGGGGCGGGCGGCGGAGGGCCGGCAACAAGGCTACTATAGTAGTTTAGTCCTTTGAGGACCTTTGAAGCTGGCTGTCGCAGCGCCCTGAGAGACGTACTATGCAGGGCTAACCGGGGACTAAAATTAACCACGGTGAGTAAGTAGATGGTTTAATCGTACTGTACGGTATGTAATGAATGAGCCAGGGACATTGGCGGAAGTGCCGGCCCTGGGTGGTCCCAGAGAGGGCGTTGGTTGTTTATACGTACATTGTAGTAGGTCGTAGTACTGCGGTACTGATTCCTGTGTAAGCGTGTTTGTTTGCTTGCTGGCTGGAGGCAGCCCAGCCCAGCCTAGCCCAGGGAAGACGAACTACTATCGTAGCTAAGACCCAGGCGGGGCCTCGTTAAATCACCGTGCGGCGTCTAATTGCGGAAGTGCAGCTGTCATGTCGATCTGTGGGAATCTCTGAAATTGTGCTGTGGGCGTCGGGCCTGAGCGGATGAGGCGAGGATGAGGCGACAGGCTGGCACATGAGATTGCCTGGTTGCATAAGGCCTTCCAGGTAGGGTCGCAACGGGCGGAGGTTAGGATGATGGATAGGACCTGCAAGATCGATACAGGTGTGTGTCTGTGTGTGTGTCGGATATCAACCAGACCAAGGAGGGAGGGGGGGGGAGTGGGAAGGAACATGATCCTCTCCCATGCCCTAGCCCTGCCCCTGGCCATGGCCCAGTTTCTCTGCCCTACCATGTTTCGATACGGCCAGGCCAGACAGAGGGGATCTTTTTTTTGCTTAGGAAGAGGAAAGAACAAGAAAATTTTTTTTTTTTTTGGTAAAATTGAAACGAGGTTCGCCCGGTCCGGCGGATGAAATGTCGATCTCTTCTTGGTAGTGGTGGTGTTGGTTGCAAGTACCCGCACCGGGAACCAATGCAGTGGGAGGTGACCCCTGGCAGGACCAGCGTGTTGGGAGAAAATAGAATAGATCCAGAGCCACTGGCACGGAGAGATGGTCTCCTATTCGGCCGGTAGGTGGGTGGCGGTGGTAGTGTAGCTCGATTGTTGGGGGTTTAGTGTGGGTGGTGGATGGTTGCAGTGGTGGTAATGATGATGATTAGAGATGCTGATCAGTGGTGAAGATCTGCCGTACTAGGAAAGCATACTTACCTATGGTTGAAAGAGAAAACGCTCCTGCAAGGTTCGGGGTTACTAGGTTTCGGGGAAGGAGGGACGGGGGGGGGGGGCTGGCCGGCACCCCTGGGCTCTTGCTTCCTCTCGCACAGATGATTCGGAGGCCAGAACAATGCGGGGACAGGTGGGAACATGCCATCGACGTACTATGTACCTAACCCTAGGGGGATACTTCGCAGGACGCCCACAGACGGTAGTCCCACAGGGTCCCCACACAAACGAGGGAACTTCGATAACCCGTCCCTCTCTCGCTCTGTTCTTTACCCTCAGGGCTTGGGCATCTCTGTCAAGGAAAGGTCTCTAGTCTCAATGAAACGCCCACTTCCCGTACAGTAGCAGATGGCATTTATTTTCAGGCGATGATCTTAAGGTCTGAAGTAGGCTCGAGGTCTTATTACACCACCACGATGATAATTATTACCACGTATGGGAAAGGTCCGAAATGTGAAAACCGAGGTATGGGGAAGTATGAGGGTTGCATGTCTGAGATGGCATTGACGTCGTGCATCTTGACTCTTCTGCAGCATTGATGCAATCGAGATGAGGAATCTCAGTTGCGCTTTTCTTTTTCTTTTCTTGAATCATCATCGTCACCCTCGTCATCTCCATCTATTCCTTTAATTCCCCTTTTCCCCCTCTCTTGCGGAGTATTCCACCATAGTTCTTCCGACGTCGTAACAAAGTAACTACTTTTGTCTTTGCCTATGCTTCAGTATCCACCTCCATCATCTCCACGTACCATCCTTCTCTTTGCCCTTGTCCTCTGTGTTTTCCCGTCTGAAACCTTGCAACACAGGCGCTCTCATCTCATTTCCAGGGCTGCAGGCGCAAGATCACGGGCAAGGTCACGACCACGGTCACGGGGTCTCTACCAAATGGTACTATATACTATTATTATTATTATGATTATGATTACCATACACCCTTCTCGAGTTTTCTCCTCTCTCCCGACGTGCCAGATACAGATGGCATCTCCGAGCCCCTCCCATGCTCGTCTGACAACCATGTCTACAAACCCACAAAACCCGTCCCATGCAACCCATGTACCATGGTAATGTCTCCATCGCCCGTAGGTATTACATCCCATCCATCCACATGGCCCCGGTAGCGCGTCTCGCATCGGCTGTCCTGTTTGTTCTACCTTATCCCTCAGGGGAGTGCGCGGGCCAGCGCCCATACAACCGTGTGCTTCGCCTATTGTCCCAGGTTCGAAAGAGGAAAAAAAAAGAGAGAGAGGGAAGAAAATGCAATAATTCTATGGATATGAAACGGTTTTCTCGGCCGGGAATCCCCCCTCCCCCCGCAAACACACACACACACACACAATCATGCTCTGCATCATCCGTCCATTGAGTGCCTTGTCTCATCCTTTCGTCTCGTCTCGTCTCGTCTCGTGTCCCCCGTCATGACCAGATTGTACGGAGGGATGGAAATAGAGAGAAAAAGGGGAAAGGATGGAGTGGAAGGGAACCCTAGGACTGAGTAATACTTCTTCCCTCCCTACTGCGGCCTGCTGCAGCTGCAGGAGATCTCTGAGCTTATGGGGAATGAGCTATAGTAGTAGTGCTACTACTATATACTAAGTAGTGGCGCCATGGCGTGGAGAAAACCCAAACTCCCTTCAGAGCTTGCCCTGGCTAGCTGCTCTACTATGGTACAGTGCTCCCGCAAAGCCGCTATACAAAAGCGCATGAGTCGTGGGAAGCAGGCAATCAGTTTGTCCTGCCGACCTTGTTCCCCTAGTACAGTACTGTATTATGAACCACAAAGTTATGCTCGATCACCGGCCGAGTCGGATGATCAGCAACGACCGAAAGCCTGTTTTACCTAGCCCCGCACGAAGGGAAGAGCCAGGGGGTGAATGAGAAGAGGGAAGAAAAATCACTCAGCACAGAGGAGGGCTGACAGAGCGCTGACTGATCCTGTCTTTCCATTTTGAAACAACAAAACAGAGTTTATATATATGTCCATACATCTATGTGATATCTATATGATCGAGATATCATCAGAGAAGCGTCTGCAGAAGAACGGGGGCTTGTCCCTGCTACTCGACAAGCTTAAACGAAGCTCGTTACCGGTGTCTCGGTTCCCTTGGGGGCGAGGTTGATGACATGCTACTTTTTTGTCTCATGGCCTTCCTAGAGCGGTAGAGTCCCCCCCCACGCACGGATGCGACTGAGCAACTCGGCCGACAAGGTTTGTCCTTTTATTAGTACAGCAGGCCTCCATATTTCATCTTGGGCCACCTCCTCCCAATCTCGATTGGATATTCTCTTACACGTCATGACGAGATTGTTGTTTACAGATATTAGATCAGAGGTGTGGTGAAGGCAGTGAGACAAGAGGAGGTCAACCCCCCATTCACAATACTCTCGCAATGGGTCGCGTGTGTGCGCAAGAACCCATTCATCGGCTCACGTTTTGATTTTTACTGCCTTTGTTCTCTTGCCCTGATGCTTGACCCCCCCTATTTTGATAAAACCGTTCCCGTTGTTCTGATATCACCAATTGATGCTAAGTTTCTAATTTTGTCTTGGCACCAGGGACAATATCTGTTCCCCCCTTCTTGTCCTTGTACCATAGTACTTCTCTTGTCTTTCTTCCCCCCTCGATACCCTGGTCACAAGGCAGATCAACTACCCCCCCCCCCCCAAAAAAAAAGATCTGCTTCAAGATAGGAATCAAAAAGAAACCTCCGCTTCGCTACCAACATCGTGGAGAATCCCTTCCCTTCCTCCTTTCCCCCCCATTCGGCCGTTGATGATCAGCGACCTTGGCGATCCCGAGGGCGTCACATGTGACAAAAAGGGGAAATAGGAAGGAGAAGAAAAAGAAAGAAAGAGGCAGATCACATCGCCTCCTCGATGGCGGCTCAGATCAAGTACAGTAATAGATGGCCCTAAACATAAAAATGTTGTACTACGGTAGTATCGTGCATGTGCTATTCTTCAGGGGTGTTGACAGCACGTCATGGCGCATGGCACGCCCTATAGGGGGGCCATCGAGTGATCGCTTTCTCCTAAAGCAAAGTTCCGTCGGTGGGTGGGTTGCTGTTTGCTGGGTGTCCGCCACGCACAAATAGAACCCCGAGCCAAGTCCGGTGTGTAAAGTGTTTCCGTCGACATAAAATAATGCTTTTTTTCTTTCTTTTTTCCCCCCCGATCATCGTGGCAATGTGGCCGACTTCTGGTACATTTATCGCCATTCGTGGATAGATATGCTATTGATGTAGTCCTAATCATCCAAACCTTGTCAACCTACTCTGAGAGTGTCCTTTGATTTTCTGCTGGCGGAGACTATTGATCCTGTCAATCGTCGCCACACCGGACCTCAGTATTCAGCCTAAACCGATCTAGAGTTTCTCCTAGAAAGGTAAGCACTTCGTCGAGAACGCAGAGCTACCATAGGACCTAGTCTGTGCACATGCCACTGTGCGCTCACGAGCGATCGGCCATGTCGGAAAGCAAGCGCGGGTCACATCACTCCGAGAACAGAAGACACCAGTGTATGTGTTAGGAAGGACAATATGCTTGTTGGTATTCAGGTAAAGATCACCACTTCTACCTCTTCAAATGTTGGACGGGGCCGGTTTGTGCCCGGGTAGTCTGGGTGGATAGTCCCAGACTCCTCCTCCTCCTCGACGATCGATCCTCATCCTCCTCTTAGGCGGCGGGGCATACAGAGCCTCGACACTCACCCTCTGGGATCCCCCTTTCCTCGTGTGTGCACAATTATTTTCATTTCCCTCTTGCTTTCTCCCAGTCTACTCCTGCTTCGCCGCCTCCTCAGCAGCCTCTTTCTCCGCCTTGGCCGCGTCTTCGGGGTTCTCGGCCGCCCACGTGTCCCACTTGTGCGTCGCCTTGCCCGTCTTGCTGATCTTCTGGAAGATGGCGTCCTCCTTGTCGGGTTGCGTCTTGAAGGTTGCGTATTGGCCCTTGAGGTTGACGTTGAAGTCGTCGACGTCGCCGTTTTCTGTTGATGACCACTTTGGTTAGCTTTTGTGGTTGAGTAGAGAGATAAGGTTAGGAGAGGGTGTGGTTTGGTTGCCGTAGAGGTGTGGAGAGTCACAGACAAGATCTTCTCCACGGCAATACAACCTTCCTTCCTTCTCGGAAAAGGGAAGAAGAAAGATACTCGAATCAACTCACCTCTCGCCTTGGTCAGCACCCGCGTCACGGCGCCAGAGCACCCGCCGCAGCTCATGGCGACGTGGTACTTGAACTCCTGCGAATCGGCCATTGTGTGGAAGTTGTGATGACTTGTCGTCGTTGTCGTTGCTGTGTGTTTGAGTTGTTGTGGTAGGATATGTGAACGTGGTGCTATGAGTTCGTAGAGTAGAGAAAGGAGCGATGTTGCTCTTGTGGTGCCTTTGGGGGATTTGTATTGTTTAATCAACACCTAGAGCGAGGGGACACAGGTGGGGTGGGAGGGAGATGTGTCGGTACGTCAGCTCCGTGTTTCGCCCTGCTGTCAAGAACAGTCGTAGTGGGGAAAGAAGGTTCCGCGGGGTGATTTGAAGGGTCCGGGTAAAACGTTTTGCAATTGAGCTGTCGCTTTCACAAAATGATAATGAAGAATCTCCTGTTTACGGAGAGAAGGACAGAAGATAAATATTCTTCTGCTTAAATATACATCTTCTTCTCCTTCTCCTTCTTCCACCATTTTCCAAGCCGGCCCCTTCCTCCAGTGTGATTAATAATTGCCCCAAGGCCAGGTAAGGCCAGCCGTGGCGCCTTCCCTCCCAGCTGACGCTGACACTGCCGCACAAAGGCCGCACACGCAACAAGGACACGTTTAGTAGGAACACACAGGCATTGCGCCATCCATGCCTGTAACCCTATCATTCACTGCTGATAGTGTCCTTCCCGTCGCCAACCCCCAGTCACCCTTGGTAAAACTTGCTCAAAGGGTTTTGAGACCTACCTGCGACGGTAGCAGAACCTTCCATACGGGGGGAGGGGGAGAATTCGCTTAATCTCGCTTGTTGAGCATATATTGTTTCTTCTTTGTTTCTGCCCAGAGTGTACTACTGGTACTTTTCTCTTTCAGCCTATTCGAGGATTGATTGGTAATGATGAATGATCCAGTAATATATGAACACTTGGTCTATAGTAATAGTGCATCTTACAACTCCTGGGTCCACGTGGTGGTTCGGTCGTCTATCGAATCCTTGTAATGTTTGCCGGTATCCGAGACGAGACGAGACCAGCACCCGTTGGACCTGAGATGCATAGTACAAGGGCCTCATGAGCATATTTTGCACCGCCTGAATGAATAGTGCTTGACTGCATGTCTCGATTCTCACTGGCTGTGGTAGATCACTTTCTCTTGTCATTCTCATATCTCAAAACCTTGACTCTTCAGGCTCCGAGGGCGGCCCGTCATCATCGCCCTCGTCCCCGGCCACGCGACCATGAGTAGATGCATCTGCGTCCTGCGCGATTTCAGTCTCCTCTGTAGCAACATGGTGCTGATCCCACGGGTGGTCCCGCAGAGCCTGCTGCTGAGCCACAAGATCCAGGTCTTCCTGCCCCCCTCCAGCTCGGCGCACCAACCACATTGGCAATACCCGTGAGATCACAGACAAAATCCCAGACTCGCCGTCGCCCGTCTCGGCTACAGCCGCAGCCAGCTCCGCCTGCAGGTACGCATCAGCCTGCCGCCGTTGGGCCACCCTCGTGGGGTCCTCATTTTCCTCCGCTTCTCTCATTAGCTGTACGTTCCTCGCAACCTCAAGGTCCGCAAGGTCTGCGTCCATGTCGGCCCGCCGGAAGTGCTCCATGCGTGACCCGTCTCGCCGCCACGGCTGGCTCTGCCACTGGTTGGAGAAGATGTTCTCTTCCCGGGGTGGCGGCAGAGGATCGTAGTCGAAGTTGGGTGAGGCATGCAGCATGCCTGGGGGCACGAGTCCCATCAGGTCCGGCGTGCTGTCCAGGTAGATGAAGCGCCCAATGCTGAGGGGTATGTCCTTGGCCGCAGGTAGGGAGTGCGGGTCGACCTTGTTGGCCCCCTCGCCCGCTTCCTTCAGGATCTCAGTACCATCGCGCTTCCAGAGGTCTTTGGCCATGTGGATATAGAGCTCTGTGTACAGGGCATCATTGTCGTCTCGAGGCTGGACGCCCCAGACCGGTCGTGGCGTGTCAATGTTCACGGCGCTGCAGAGTGCCGAATAGAGCCAGGGCAGCGTCTCCATGCCCTTGACCAGATCCTTCAAGGCTCCCTCCTTATTACCGAGCTGGAGCTTGGCCAGAACGCACGTCTGCCTGTGATACTCCTTCATCGGCAAGTCGTACTCGTCACTGTTGAAGTATGACGAATCGCAGATGGCAATCAGCCATTTCGCCTCGTAGGCGTGGATGGCCAACACGTGGGTGAAATTCATTAGGGCATATTCATCCTTTGGCGAGAGGCTCAGGAAGAGCTTGGTCCATTCGAGCGCCGTATCGTAGGTGCCCTTCTGCATCAGGCTCTTGATATAGTGGTACCCAGCGAGCCAGAACTGTCTGTTCTCTGGCCGCCTGAAGTCAAGCCGCGCCAGCCCGCGCTCCAGCTTCTTACGGAAAGACGACAACGTCACTCTGCCGAACGTGAAGAGGGCTCGCTCGCAGAGGTCTCCTGCTAGTGCGGCGTTGTGGTCGTGCTGGGCCACGTAGCTGGTCAGGATGAGCCCGCTGACATGGTACGGGTTCTGCTGAACAAAATGCACTATCCGCATGGGGTCCAACATGTCCACCAGGCTGAAGAACTGCATCTCCATCCGCCCATACCCCTCGTCGTGGGTGAAGGTATACTCGGTCGGCTCGACCCTCTCGTCCGTGACAGCTTCCATCTTCAGACCACCAGCGGCTGCCTTTGGCCAGTGCTCCTTGCCCTGGACAAACGGGTTCCTCCTCAAGACCACCTCTGGTATCTTCTCGCCGGGCCTTCCCTTCAGGAATGTCTCCATGTCCATTTGTATCTGGTGGGGCCCGCCGCGTCGATTCCGCCGCCTCTCGTCCCGGGCTTGTGCCTCGTCTTGGTTTCGCACCGAGTCGAGCGTCTCCTGCCCGAACATGGCGCGGAGCTCGTTGATGACCTTCAGGTGGTCGAAGCTGATGCTCAGGAGCCGTGCTACCCTTGTGTCGTAGGAGCTATATCTGCTCTGCTCTGCCGTATTTTCGGACAAGGGCTTCATGCTGAGCTCTTTAAGCGCCTTGTCGATGTCGTCTAGTTCGGCGTCCTTTTCTTGAACATGGTCGGCGTCTTCTGCAGCGCCAGCAGCAGCCTTCTTTGCCTTCTTCATCTTCTTCTTCTTGGACTTTTTGTTCTTTTTCGCAGGCGTCGGCGACGCTGCACTCGCTTCAGGTTGAGGTTCAGGCTCGGCTTCCTGCTGCTTGTCGTCCACGTCGTCGTCGTCGTGATCATCGTCATCGTCTTGGTCACCTCCTAGGGCGGCGAATCCGGCGAAGCCGCTCGTCTTGGGTTTGGGTGGCGTGACCTCTTCTTCCTCTGAGGCGCCATCTTCGTCAGCAGCGAGGTTCTGGAGCCGGAGGAGCTCCTGCTGCTTGTGCAGCTTCTTCAGCTGCCGGCTCGACATTTCTCAATACCTTCGTTTCAAATGGTAATGATGAGAAGATCAATCTCATATGGGCGTAAATGAGCTGCAAAGAGTGACTTGTCGAGAAGAAAGGGGGGACAGTCGTACAGGTCTGACGGAATGAAATTTATTGAGGGGCAGAGAGAGGGGGGCGATAATGGCTTGCCGATGCTGTCATACCATACCAAGCTACTTGTGATCCGCCAAACCCGAACCCTGAACGCAAAAACGACTTGGGCTGTGGCTTGGAAGACTTTCAGACAGGAACTTGGCCAAATAAAGAAAAGGTAATAGGCCTGAAAGGCAACGGAAACCCAAGAAAGAAGGAGAGGAGGAATAGAAAAATTTGGGGGTCGCCGTTGGGGGGTAGGGAGGGGGGGGGAGATCAACATCGTGCAATCCTCATATTGTAACAAGTTCTAGTAGAACGCACTCCCAGGCACCAAGTAGATGCATCCTTTAGGAGCACAGAAGATGTAGACCACATTATCGAATCAAATCTGTGACTGAACAACATTTTCAGTAAAAGAGTCTTAGGTGTTCAGGCACGAGAACCTCTCAAAGCCTCCCACAAATCCATTGCGCCTTCGTGGCCCAATCCATATCACCATCCCCTTTCCCATCCAAACCGAGACACCTTCAACCAATGCCCTCGTCACCAACAAAGCCCCCTCCATTTCTCAAACAAACCCTTCAAAAGGCGTGCCCAAAACCCTCCCCTCCCCATCAAACCGATTCCCCTCTTCCTTGAGCAGCCGCCTCTTCTCCACCAACGTGATGCCCTCCCCATCCTTCGGCCAAGCCCCTTTGAACCCACCCAACCCTCCTCCCGAAGCCACGACACGGTGACACGGCACCATTGGCGCGAACGGGTTCCGCCGCATCGCGCCCCCAACCGCGCGTGCGGAAGAGCCCAGGTGTTGTGCCATGAGGCCGTAGGTCGTCACGCGGCCGCGGGGCACTTGGCAGAGCAGGGTTAGGACGCGCTTTTGGAAGGGGGTTCCTTTGGAGCGGGCGATGCGGTCGAGCTGGGGGCGCATGTCGTCGGAGTTGCTGTTAGTGCTGGAAGAGTGGTCCGTCTCCTCCTCCTCCTCCTCTTCCTGGTGGTGGTCGGTGGGGGAGTTGCCTTCGTCTGGTGTGCGCTGGATGGCAGTGTTCGGTTTGTACGAGGTCTTTTGGATCTTGGGGGGTGTGCTCGATGGGGTGGAGTTGTCGTGCTTGCGCTTAGTTCTAATGGCCATGTTTGTGGTTGTGTAAATTTCAGTCTTGTCTAGTGTGTTTGCTTGTTTTCTGATGTTTTGTTCTGCCAGCTTGGAGTGGCTAAAGGGCCTCAATTCGGTGTATCAACGTGGAATGGATGGAAAAGGCAAAACAGAAGGGCAGATAGGCAGGATAATTTGTCTGGCACGCACAACATGGGCAGACCAATGTGGACAGCATGAGTGAGTCAAATCAACTAAAGCCCAAGGATTATACGATTTTCGCCTATCTTCGGCAGTGAATCAGACGGCGTGTCTTTTTGTCGATGAAAGGGCGCGCGTGGGTTCAAAGGGGGGGGGGGGGGAGTGGACCATCGCGTCGCTACGTCATTTTCGCGCCGCGCGATCAGGTGACTTTTTTTTCTTTCCATGCAGTGTAGTCGTGAGCAATTCTCTCGTACACTCAGACATACCAACACTCTATGAATCTGAATCAGTATATTACGGTGTCGTATGCACGTGTAAAAGGCTTATCATGAAGAAATCGTATATCGCAAATACTCAGTGGGTATCTCATGATGTGATATGTTGTCCCCCCCCCATCCTTCTCCCGAAAAGTGTGCCCCCATGTATCCGCCTGGGTCTCTCTGTCTCTCTCAATCCCCTGTGTCCACCTCCAGATCAATCTGCACCCCATTACTGATGCCATAATCTCCCAGTGTAATGTGATCCTTAAACGGCCGCTCTCCTTGCCGCTTGAGCAAGATCTCATGCGGCTCCCGCCCGATCCGCGCCGCCACCATCACCTTGAACGCCCCGATATTGTCGGACCCGAAGCAAGGGATTGCGGCTTTGGTGCCCAGGCGGTCGTTGACGTGCACGATGATCATCTCCTCGCCGTCGGCTGCTGCTGCTGCTGCTGCTGGCGGTGCTGGTGCAGAATCCCCTTTTTTCTCCCTGTCCTTTCGGGGCTGTGATTTGTCCCCTCTCTCGCGGTCTCTGCTGTCACTGCGATTTCCATCTCTGTCTCTATCACGACGCTCCCGGTTCCGCCGCGGCGACCGGCTGCGCGAGCGGTCATTGTTCCGTCTATAGTCATTGCGGTCGCGGGCACGGTCTCTGTCGTCAAAGTGGCGGTTATTCGTGCGGCGGTAGCGATCGCCGCCGCCACCTTCGTCGTCGTCACGAGCCGAGGACCGCTGTTTCCACTTGAAGCCGCTGTTCTTCTTGGGCCTGCGGTCGCGTTCTCTGTCTCTGTCTCCGTCGCGGGAGGCGTCGCGGTCGCGGGCTTGTGGTGATTGGCTGCGACGTCGGTCCATAGCTGCAGTGTATGTTTACAGGTTGCGTATGGTATGGGCTGTCTGCTGTGGACGTTGTTCTTGCAGATGGACGGGGCAAGTTGTCAGAGGGAAGAAAGATTGCGGCGGATGGGGGTTTGGGATGGAACTATTATGCAGGCTGGGTATGATGCTTATGTAATACTCTCCGCCCGAGCTGCCACCCAGCACAAGTACATGCTCAGACGTACCAATGATATTGCTGGACTTGTACGAAGATGGCATTTCGTGTATATCAATCCATACTGTAGGAAATCATTGGGACCTAATTGTCCATGTAAATCAATATTATGTAGTCAATTCTCGGTTAATCATTTTCATTGTTATATAAATCGAAAATAAAGTCAAGCCGTCCTGCCAAAGCCACACACCGCTGACCCAAAACTCCATGCATTCATTGATCGCAGCCCTTTTGCCGTTTCTTAGTTTCTTTCTTCTTGGTGTTCCTCCTCACAAACACAAAACCACTATCGAGTTTATTTCTCTATCGGCTGGTGTCGACCACGTAGCGGCCCACCACCTTGCCCGCATGCATGAGGTCGTAGACGCTCTGCAGCTCGCTCAGGCCGATGGTCTTGTAGGGGGCCTTGATCAGGCCACGCTCGTAAAAGTCAAGGGCCTCCTGGGTGTCCTGTCTGTTGCCGACGTAGCTGCCCTTGATGGAGATCATGCGGACAACCGTCTCAAAGACGGGGGCGGAAATGCGGGCATTGGCAGGCAGGCCGATGCACACGACGGTACCGCGGGGGCGGACGTAGTCGGCGGCCTGCTGGAAGGGCTTCTCGGAGACGGCGAGCAGGATGGCGGCGTGGGGGCCCAGACCGTCGGGGGTGGCAGCCTTGACGTCGGCGACAAGGTCCTTGGAGGTGAAGAAGTCGACGTAGGCGCTGGCGCCGAGGGCGGCGGTGGCCTCCTTCTTCTCCTCGCCGCCGTCGATGGCGACCGTATGGATACCCATGGCCTTGCAGTATTGCAGGGCCATGTTGCCGAGACCACCACCGGCGCCGGCAATGGCAATCCACTGGCCGGGTCGCACGCCTGACTCCTTGATGCCCTTGTAGACGGTGATACCCGCGCACAGGACGGGTGCGACAGCCTCGAGCGAGACGTTCTTGGAGATGCGGGCAACGTGAGCAGCCTTGGCGACGGCATACTGCTGGAAGGAGCCATCGACAGTGTAGCCAGAGAGGGAGGCCTCGGCGCAGAGGGGCTCGTCGGCGGTCATGCAGAACGAGCAGGACAGGCAGGAGCCGTTAAGCCACTTGATGCCGACGTGGTCACCAATCTGGACGTCGTGCACCAGCTCTCCGCGGTCGACGACGACACCCGCACCCTCGTGGCCGCCGACCAGGGGCAGCTTTACGGGCAGGGGCCAGTCGCCCAGCATGGCGTGCAGATCGGTGTGGCAGACACCGGAATACTTGACGTTGACGAGGACCTCATCTGGGCCGGGCTTGCCAACGGGGATCTTCTTGTAGACGACGGCTGTAATAAAAGTGTTAGCAAGGAGATCAGCTAAAGGCTGAGCTGTATGGCTGTGGACTTACGACCGCCGGTCTTCTCGACCACCTGAGCCCACTGCTCGGTTGGGATTTCGACGTTGCTCATGTTGGATGAGTTTTTAGGAGAGGAAGATGATTAGTAGGAGAGAGTATGTGTTGGGCCGCGAGACTTCTAGGTCTGTGGGTATAGAGAGAGAGAGAGAACAATATTGATTCTAGGATGAGGATGAGGAGGAGGGAATGTAAAAGACTATTCGAGAGGGGAAGCGAGAGGTGTCTTGAACTTTATATTCATGATGAGGACGGTCGAGGTGGGGTAACAATGCAGGAGCGGCCATCCCAGCAACAAGCTTCTACTGTGGTACATAACTACCCGGCAGGTCGGAATTGGCTACTGGCTTAACCGTGTTCTTGGTGGTGGCAGGAAGCGGTTGGTTGATGGTCGATCCTGGCCGCAGAGAGTATATCGCTGCTGCTTTTGCTGGGTGGATGACGGGTTGGGTCTAGCGTGGTCTGCGGGTAGTGGTGTGTGGTGCTGGTACGTAGCCCTGTAGGTCAGTGGTGTCACCGTGCAGTGGCATGTCCACGTCGTACGATGCCCACGTTCGGATGTCACCTCACCTCACCTCTGTGGGACCTCTGCGAGTTCTAGTCTGCCACCCTGACTCACTCCATGACTGCATTCTGCAGCAGATACTTCAGACTGCTACGTATCATACAGTAAGTAGCATTGACAGACAGTCTGACAGCACAGGAGAGGGGCCCTCCAGTTTCTCACCGAACCCATCCGACATATGCGAAACCGTGGATTTACGTCCGTGGACACCTCACCTCAGGCCATCCATCCCACAAAAAAATTCGCTTCAGAACGGTCCGCTCCCCCTTCCACTTCCTCCTCTCTGGCTCGAGTCTAGAACCAGGCTATACAACCAATCATCGATATCTCCCCCCAAGCTAGTTGGAGAACATCATCTTCACGATGGTCACTCGGCATCTACTTACACGCCCAGGCCGGCCGTCGAGGGATTGGTTTGTCTCCAAGATCGGCCGTGCGGACCCGCACGTTTAGGTAACAAATGTTGTCGCGTCTAAGGAACCGCCCCGAGGACAAGACCAGGATGCTGAAGGGGGGGGGGGCGCTAAAAACGACGAGAAATTTAACAGAAGAGGAGGCAGCGAGGGAGCGAGTTCCGGGCGATCCCCAAGGAGAAAGCGGAACAGACAAGAAAAAACCCCTGAAGAGCCGCTGTCAGAAGTTGCTAGGGGCGCCAATCAGCTTACCCTGTAAGGGCCCGATTTAGTAGGTGGGATAGAGCTCGTTCAGTGGTATCATCAGTATTCATAGTGGCATGCAATTGCCCGTAGCAGCCCCTCCTTGCTCACCACGAACGTCAGAAATATAGTACTATAGTGCTGTAGCGGGAGGCCCCCACCCCCTACTCTACCCATCCCTCATCCTCCCGGAAGGGTCCCGGCCAAAAGTGTGAGATCATGATCATGAACGCCGGAAAACGGCCGCAGCCGTGGCGTGTTCAGCAGGGCCCGAGTTTTTTTTCCTCCTCCAGAAACACGAGCTCCGAGATTCATATTGCAAGATCTCGCTGCTTTCCTCGCTTGAGAGAATTTTTTTTTCCCTCTCCTTTGTTTTTTTCCCCTTCCATGCTACTCGTATTCTATTCTTTGACTCATGCGAAAGTCACATTCTTCCATACCAGCCTACGGACGGTTCAAGAAGGAAAGGAGAAGGGAGAGGAGGGGCGGGTAGGATAAGGCATCCCAGTCCCTAGTATTCCGCCTGGGAAATTACATAGGCTAACCTACCCCTCCTTTCCGTCAGCATGGGCTGCATGCGTCGAGGCCGAAGCCGTTTTTACACACATCTTGTTTCGATCAGCCTACCTCTCTTCAGCGTGCCACCAGCCCGGCCAAATAGGCTTAAGATCCACGACAGGAATATTGCAGCTCCTCCAGCGACAAACACCTTGTCGAAAACAAATTTCCATCACTACTCATTCTTGCAATAACGTCCTAGTGATGCCAGGTAGTCTGGATTAATCAACATCAACCCGGTCTCTCGGCCGAGCCAGAAAAACCCCTCAGACCGGGACAACTCCGAGTTATTGTTCTGAGGCATTATCGGTCGTTTGCTGGCCTTAGGAGGAAATGCTGATTGATGATCTGTACAACTGTCAAGTTAAGCCCGCAGATCCTCGTCAAGACCTGCCAGACTTTTCCTCCAAGACCTGTTCAGTACTTACTTTGCCAGGGCACGACCAGTAGCCTAGCGCGGTTGGCCCTAAATCCACGCAGCACACAACCAGCTAGGCAAGCCTACAGCAGGTTGATCAGGGCCCACCAAGCCGTCAACTCAGCCCCGAAGCTGCTATCACTGCATAGCACTGTACTTGTCCCTTAGTACCCCACACACCATGGGCGGGAAGGTCACATCAGCCAACCCCTGTGACAAACGCCTAACGCGGGGGAAAATACGGGGAAAGGCAGAAACAAATGAGGGTAGCATGGACGAACGGAAGTCTCCTCAACATTACCCCAGAAACCCAAAAACCATAGTGTGACCAGAATCTGGGGATGAACTCCTCTTCCTGCAGCTAACAGAAACAAAATGAGTTCTCAGGTTGCATCTAACCCTCTTCCCCCGCATTTACCGAGAAAACGCTCACCCCCTCAATCAATCTTGGTAGAGAGAAGAGAGATCTGAAAGGGCGGGGGTGGTCTCCACCGGTCAACAAGGTCGCATATGTGTGTGTGCGGCTCCGCCGGATCAAAGGCATCAATCACTTGAGGGGAGTGGAAACTCTCAAAAGGAGCTTTTCGAGGCATAAGCTCTAGTTAGGGTGTCACTGCGGCCAAGCAACCCCACCTTCTCGAGCAAAGTGGAAGCCCAGAAAGAAAAAGGAAGAGCAAAATGCGGGGAGGACAAGGTCAAATGGTCAACGCTGCGCTTGCCCCGTGCCGACGCCATCATCTCATCTCATCGTCACCACTACCTTACCCCGGATCCAACCCTGCTAGACCCAAACACCAGTGCAGATGGTAGATTGCGGGCCTAAAGAGCCTGCAGGCCCGTTTGATGTTGGGCTAGAACTTGTGGTTGCGGTTGTCAGCTCTTTCAGGGAATGCGGTTCCGGTGCATGACCCCGTTCCCACGCGGCTCCTGCTACTAAATGATGGATGGAGGAGCCCGTTCCAGCCTTTGGTGGCTTGGCTGGGCCATTTCCCTTTGGGGGGAGTGGTCGGGAGGGGTCACAAGCCGTTCCCTCGGGACCTGGGCCTGAAGGTAGTATTGACGGGGTAGCTTGTAGCGCGGAATTAGGAGATGTATCGAGCCAGGGATTGCAAGCACCTTCTTAGGTGTATGCAACATAAACGACCTACTATCACTTTGTCAGGACGGCGAGGGGCTCAACTTCCCATGCTCAGGGGCAGATTATGATCATACGCCTCTCAGTCTCTCCTTATTCTCTGTAGTCTTCCCCCCTCTCCCCGAAAAAGGGACGAGAAGGACAGACTATTCAAACAGCACATGCACAAACTCCATCCAATGGCCCTCTCCTCCTCGAGGCTCGTACGGTGCTTTCATATCGAAGGTCAAGGGAACATCTTTGAGTTCGAAATAGTGGTTGAATTTTTGATGACGCTCTCTTTTGTAACATTTCGCCTGACGCCCTCTCCATTGCGAGCCGCACTCTTGCCAGAGCACGTCTCCTTGAGCGCACGCCAACCGAGACATTCTAATTCTTCTTCTTCCCGCACGGCATGCCAACACGTGGGACATCCAGCATGGTGATCTAAGATCCGCCAGGGCCGCCCAGTAGGGCAAATCTCCGCACGATACCGGGGCCGTATTCTTGGTACTGAAGAGACGTTAGTGAACGGGAGCGTGCAGGCTAGTGTCGTATCAGGGGGCCCTACCTCTGCCTTAGTATGGCAGTACGACCTGAATTCAGGCGTCTGTCCAAGCAAGCTTCCACCGAACCACGGACCGTGCCTCTGCCTCTTGTGGCTGATAACCTGCACCTCAAGACCGCCGCTCTTCGCACCACCGCTGCGAACCTCACTCGCCCGGATGCGGTCGTCCACCAGGTGCTTGATGTCCCTCTGCAGGCGACGGCCAAAATCCTTGTAGAGCGTGCTGCCACCAGACAGTACAATGTTCTTGTACAGGCCTCGGCGCACATCAATGGGTGATGACTGGATCACACCGTCAACCACGACCGGGAGAGGCGTCAGGAAGTCGGAGCTGTAGATCTCGGGGTTGAAGAAGATCTCGGGTGCGAGGAAGCGCTCGTAGCCCACGTCAACCGTCACCTTGCGTCCGCCGGGCTGCAGAACCGGGTGCTGTGCAAAGCGCGTGGGGTCGCGGTCGAAGCGGCTAAACTCCTTGACGATATCGGGACACACGTAGCAATACTCCTCCTTGATCTCCTGGGCCGTCTTGAGAGACGAGTCGGGCTCGCCGCGGTCACGCAGCAGCGACTGCACAAAGTATGTGATATCACGACCAGCGATGGGAATCGACTTGATCGACGAGCCAATCACATATCCCTCGGCCACAGGGATGACGTGCGTGACACCATCACCAGAGTCGATGACCGTTCCTGTGAGGGACCGGTCTTGCACTTTTGACGAGGTCCACGATGCCGCGAGCGCAAGGACGGCTTGTACGGCGATGTAGAGGCCGGCACAGTTGAAGGACTCGAAGAAGATCTCGGCAGTATTCTCGCGGTTCTCGGGAGGGTTCAGGGGCTGTACGTGGCTTTGGTCAGTGCGGGTTCTTCGCATTGAGACATGCGATAAGATGGGATGCTCGCGTGGTACACACCGGTTCGGTGAGGAGGAAGTGGTGGTCCTCAGGCTCGACTCGTAGATATTTGAAGATGGAATTCGACCAAAAGCGCTCCATATGATCCTGCTCGTTGTGTCAGCCAAGCGCCGTATGCAGAGGGGGACCGACTCGTTCCTCATACCCAGTTCTCTATTTGACCATGTCGGATGGGATAGTGTAGACCGTATCCTGACATCATCAGCACTCATCCATGTCTCCTAGCTCTTCATAATCGAGCTCACCAGGACCACCAGCAGCTGCCACTGCCTCGTCGCCAATGAAGAAGTCCAAGTCCTCCGTGCCTCGTTTCGAGTTTAGGTGGCCAGCAGGGCCTGCACCACCGGTCAGGAACGATGGTTTATTGGCTACGGCAGGCCGGCCGGAACCGGAGCCGGAGCCACCAGCTGCCGGGCCCTTGGTGGCAATCGCGGTAGGGAAGACAAAGGATGGGGAGTCGTTGCCGGCGAAACCTGTTGACGAAGATGTTGGGTTAGTCAATCGAGGCTCGAGGGGTCGAAGTGCATCCGCAGAGAAGCTGTACCTAGCTTGGAGAAACCCGTGCCGCTGGAGAATGATCGTCAGCATCACATGTCTCAATCCGAGGGGGCCGGATGCAGTCTCTGAATAGCTTCGAGCACAGCTCACTTGACCGCCCCCAGGAGGAGGTGGGGTTTCAGAGAGCGCGGCTTCAGGGGTCTGACGTACTTGTCCATGACAACGGCGGGAGTTTGGTTGGCCATGATTACGAGATTGCGAGCTGCGCGCTTGGGTGCTCGGTGTGGATGAGAGGGTGCGCAGCTCTGGCTCCAACGACCTGGCTTTGAGTGTGAGGTGTGCGAGGGTTGTTGAGGGTGTTATCTCGGGATGAGGTTGGTGGAGGGTTGATGTCGTTCAGACGGCACGGGCCTGGGAGAGCGAGGTCCCGCTGCGTTGGCGCCTTGCCAAATGCCAACGCCTACTACGGGCCACGCCCCTGGCCCTGACCTCACCTTGTGGCGGTGCAGATAGCTTGCGCCCCCGGTGGGCATCCCCCTGTGGCTGAACTACCCGAACGAAGGATCCCCTCAACCTCATGCCATGATAATAATTACTGGCTTGAAGAATTCAGCATTGAACAGTGAAATTTTTTGAAGAGCTTTTCTACTCCTCACTTTGAATTCAATACACGATCTCATATTAAATGATTAAATTGCAGGCAAAAGAGTGACCCTGCGTCTTCCGATTTGTTTGTAATTGATGGCAGAAAGGAGGTTGTCCTCAAAAAAGGGACACTGGAAGGTCATGCCTACCACTAGTCGCCATCTTTAGCACAGTTACGGCAAGAACAATCATGGTTCCTCCTCTTTGCCATTCTAATCTAAGAACAAGTTTGGTAAAGGTCTGGAGTTTTGGTAGACCCAGCTATCTTTTTGACCTCACATCATCAACCACAGGGGCATATTTCTATGCCCTTGTGGAGATTCCATTCGCTCAACCCATCCTTTCATATCTTTATTGTCAACCACTGTCAATACATTGGATCAAACCCCACTCGCCCTTGTTGACAGACGCCTTTTCACCTTGCCTGGAGCTCGCCCTCTCCTCCCTGGTCTATCTCTTCCACTCCGCCGACACGCCTCACGTCCACAATAAACAACGCCCGATAGCAGTTGACACCATACAGTTGACACCATACAAGTGAGCAACCCAATCTTGTTTCTTTCCTTTGCAGCTCTTCCCTTTCAATACGTCTTCTTTCCATACTTCATCACGTCGCAAGCCTGTGTCATTTGGAATAGCAGTTGCCTTTAACCACCCATACTCTTCTTCTTCTGCACCAACGACATCATGGATAGCACGACTTGGCAGGCATTCATCGACCTCATTCGCATAGTGGCTGATGGTGATGATGATACATTCCATGTCATCTTCCATGATGGAAAGCCTGTTGTGTATCCATTTGCATATCAGTGTGGGCTGGTCGACCCTGGCTTTATCATTGATCACAAACCTGATCGTACCCAGCCTCTCATCGCCCATGGTGATTCAGATTGTGCACTCTGTCAACACCTATTTTCTCACTTCCCAACAGAATGGGAACTTCAAAATTTGGACACGGAAACTAAGCCTTTACACGCATTGGTTGTCAGCTTCAACCTGAGCAACGACGTCAAGGAGCTGATCCAGGCAGACCTTCTGAGCCGACGCTGGCAAGAGGCTTTGGAACCCCATCTTGACTTGGCCCAATACAGTGATGATGAGCTGAATGCAGAAGGGGCAGACTTCTACCAGGAAACACTCAGGAGGCTTCAACGCATTGATGACCTCTGGACCGAGACTTCTTCAGCCTGGATTGGCAGAAACCCTGACCCGTGGAGCCAGATTCCTCATCACCCTGCAGACCTTCACTACTGTCAGTGGAATAGCCCAGAAAGCAATCCTAGCAATCAGAGCTCTCAGCAGCAGGGTTGTGAGGATACGGTTCTTTGGGACGGTCAAGTTTCTGCCAGGTCTGAATTCCCCAACCTGTCCAGTCACGCAACTTATTGGGATCACCCAACGGATTCTGGAGCAGGTTGTGACGTTTGGACTCGTACTGAAGAATTGGTGGGCAGCTGGGCCTCGACCACCCCTGACCACCAAGAGCCCCCTCACTGGACCAACGAATTCAGCTTTCCCTTTATTTCTGTTGATCCTTCCTTCTCAGGTGTTGGAAGTTTCCTCCATCAGGACTTCGCTCAGCAGCCCTACTTTCGTTCTTCTACTCCGCCTGCTTTCCAAGACCCAGACTTTCCTTTTCTTCTACTACCAAATCACCCTGATGGAAGTGCTGACCTGACTGAGGAGGAGCAGACGAACCAAAAGAAGAGGTTGCAGAAGCGCAAATCCAACATTCCAATGGCTATCGTTATCCATGCCGGTGCAGGCTACCACAGTCTCCAAAACGAGAGCTTCCATCTTGCTATGTGCTCGAAGTAGGTTTGAACTATTGTGCAGCTCGCTTCTTACGCTCGCAGGCTGACGAAATCTAGGGCCGCATCTGAGGGCATGAAGCTTCTAAAGGCTGGCCGCACAGCCGTCGAGGCTGTCGAGGCGGCAATCAAGGTGCTCGAGAATAACGAGATCACGAACGCGGGGTATGGCAGCAATCTGTCTATCGATGGCACCGTCGAGTGCGATGCTACGATGGTTGATCACTTTGGTCGAAGCGGGGCTTGCGGAGCTGTGCCCAGTACGTGCCTCTTACACATTCCAACAACTTTTTTGCCTCTACCTCTGCTAACCATTGGATCAGACGTCAAGAACCCTATATCGCTTGCCAAACTCATTCTCGAAACCAGCTCTCAGTCACTGACCCTGCGGCGCGTGCCACCCAACTTCTTAGTCGGCGAAGGCGCCAAGTTGTTCGCGGTCGAGCACGGCATGTCCACCGTAACCAACGAGCAGCTCACCTCTCGCAATGCCAAGGACCGATATACCAGGTGGCGAGCCGACCTGGACAAGATTCGAGGCGTGAACAGCGTCGGTACCCAGGTCAATGTTGTTGAAGGGCCCTCCCCGCCTCAGGCTGTTCAGGCTCAGGAACATGGTCAGGACCAGATGATGACCACCGCACCCAAGGCTCACCAGGGATCCCTGCGTGACCATACCAGCGCCATCATGACCGCCACGTGGAACGAGGGCCAGCCTGATTCACCCTCTTCAGAGTTTAACATAGAGTCGCCCACTCCGACTACCATATACTCCACCACTCCTAACAAGAATGGGTCTCTCGTCTCTAGCGCCCACAAAAACGCCCAGCGCGTCATGTTCGCGTCCCCAGCGCATGACCCTGCTATGTCACCTGCTACTTTGCCTTCTAAGCGTGTCAAGACCTTACAGAATGAGAGGACTCGACTGGAGCAGGGAAGCACGACTTGGGCTCCAAAGGCAGGCTTAAACCATGGTGTCGCATCCCTTGATGGGTCTCCCGAAGGTGGCCCAGTGGCTGATTTGTCTTCGACATCCAACTATTCTTCACACGATAGCTGCTCGCTGAAGCGCCGCGCTATCACGGAGATGACTGCCGAGCCCAACGATGCGGACCTTGATTTGATCACAGACACTATGGGTGCCATTGCGATCGACAAGTGGGGCAACATCGCTGCCGGCTCGTCCTCGGGCGGGATCGGTATGAAGCACAGGGGCCGCACCGGCCCAGCTGCCCTTGTTGGCATTGGCACTGTCGTGATTCCCTACAACGAGCATGACCCGGACTTCAAGACAGTTGCGGCGGTGACGAGTGGCACGGGCGAGCACATGGCTACTACCATGGCCGCTGCCAAGTGCGCCGAGCGACTGTACCAAGGTACAATGAAGGGTCCCACCGGCCGCGACGTCGAAGAGGATGATACTGCCGTGATCATGCAGAGCTTCGTGGAGAACGACTTCATGGGTCACCCGGGCGTCCGCAACCAGACCAGTGCTAGAGCCATTGGAGTCATGGCCGTCGAGGTGAACGAGAAGGGCGTATACCTGCATTGGGCCCATAATACCGACTCGTTCGCCCTGGCCAGCTTCAACCTCAAGGATAAGGTGCCTCATACCTGTATGTCGCGTCTACCCGAGGGTTCAAGCGTCAATGTTGGCGCCCGTAAGCTGAGCAACGGCGATCAAATCTTTGACTAGCCACTTGGTTCGTCTTTTGGCTTGTTTGCATCGGGATCATCGCCTTGAGAGCATCTATCTCGCATTCAGAATGATCGCCTTGTTTTGTTTTCATGCATTCTCGCTTTACAATGCACGACGTGCTTTGACTCATCGAGCATCCTGAGACAGTGGCCCAGCTTGGACGGCTACTATAACACAGCAAACGCTCTGGACCTCAGTCATCTTGTCACTCTCCTTCCTTGAGTTCCCACTAGCTCTTTCACTCGTCCTACGATAGCACTGGCGGCGTTCTGTTTCCGAATGATACCCTACAGCAAACACTCTACGAACACCTTTGACTGGCCTCCCGGCTGTCCTGAACGAGAACTCGTCTCAGATACAGCAAGAATCTGGCTGTTGCCGGGAAGCGCACATTTGTGGGAAAGGAAGACCGTACTGCATGGTGACTTCTTCCATACCTGATTCCTCTGTCTTTTTTTGCGGCACTTTCCCTTTCTTCGGGTTCTGAGGCACAGCACCTTGGATGCCTTGCCTCTTTAGCTTTGCACCAAAACCATTGCCAGGGTTCCCATAGCTTTCTATCGCTATACGAAAGTTGACCGATATCCTTTCATCACTGAGGACAAATGGTCATTTTCTCACCGGGAATAGAAGACTAGCACTGGAAAGGAGAGCTTCACTGGATCCTGGAATATGTGGGTGTGCAGATTGGGAAGAATTGATCACCGCGGCTTTGGGGAGTCCTGAAAACCCGCATTTTGCATGCAGACGGCGTTGCTCTTTTGGGCGATAGCATGTCTGAGTGAGGATGGCGCACGCTTTTCTACCCTCTTCGCAGAACGACTCCGTCACGTGTCTTGGTGGTTCTTCTTGCTGACTCTCTATACCATAGACCATACTGATAGCTAGCATAATCACGCTTTACTTTTTGAGAATTGGCTACCTGGGTGGTGGTGGTTGTGTAATGCGACCTTGGTGTTTTAGTTGAATTCTTTGGGCCCATGACTAAAGCTGGCTCTTGCTAGCACGAATAGTTTTCTACTTTCGTGGGCCCAAGGGATGGTTCTCCAACGACGCACTTATTCTTCTCGGGTGGCATATTCACGCCATACACGCTACAAGCCTCTTGTCATTTCCCTGTTCCAACTGATGCTGCTGGGAAAAAGATCCGAGCCTCGATGATCCAACCCGGTCTATAAAGACCTGGGTATCATAATCGTGGGATGATCGGTGTATCTAGACATTCTCACGCCTGTATGCCTTCCTCCATAGACCTGGAGCCTAGTTAAGATGTCTTCTCCTTTCACGGTCTCTTTCGTGGTCTACACAGGCTAGTCACAAGACTCGGGCCCGAGAAAGCCGAAACCACGGGTGTCAGTGGCACGTGGCTTCAGATGGAGGCTTCACATGCGGTACAGGAAGGCTGCGTCCTGGACCAATGATGAGTGGACATGTGCCTCATCTAGCAATCTTTCAGCTTTATGCAAGGCACCTATCACTTTGTCTCAACCTCAGCCTGGTCTCGGTGTCGCAGTCAAACTGCCTGGCTGCTCGCTTGCGGCAACTGGCTCGCCATTGAGACCCAACTTCCGCTTCTTCTTTTTCTTCTGCCTGGGCACGACCGCCGGCTTTGCGCCATACCTTCCCAGGGCAAGCTTGTTCCCGCACGTGTAGCACTCGGCGTCCTCGGGCACCTCGCAGAAGATCGACAGGCAGATGCTGCACACGAAGCCCGTGTCGATGACCTTCCTGTGGCAGAAACAGGCGGCCCGAAAGTCGACGTTCGTAGTGGACGGGCTCACTAGCTGCTCCAGCCCTGTGGCTCCATCGATCGCAGCGCGCGTGCCGGCCTGTCCTGCGCCGGTGGTGGTGGTGGTGACGGTTTGCCTGGAGTCGATGGCGGAGGCGAAGCCGAACATGAGGTAGGTGAGGAGACCCTGCGGGCTGGTGGCCTCGAGGAAGGTGCCGCGTGTGATGTAGCTTGCCTGCTGCAGGAAGGTTGGCGCCCCGTGGAGCGATAGGATATCGATGGGAATGCCGGCGTGGGAGGCAGCAAAGACGGCGTTCATGGTGGGTATGTATTGGGACGCCGAGGAGTCCGAAACGGACAGGACGAGGATGCGGGCGTGCAGGCCACGCAGGGAGCCACTAAGGGAGGAGAGGGCGGCTGGGTTGGCGGAGGCAGGGGCACCGTTGTTCTTGGCGGAGCCAGCAGTTGCCTGTGCACCATCTGCGGCGGTCAGCTGGAGCGAGGTCTTATTGGCGTGGTGGAGGGCGAGGGTCAGAGCGCCAGAGATCTGGGTCGTGGTTGTGGCGAGGTCGGCCTCAGTAGTTGAGGTCATGAGGTCGCGGAGAGATGTGAGGATGGAGGACTCGATCTGGGCGAACTGGGCATATTTGTTGGCCGAAGCCTTGCGTTTCGATAAGGGCACCATCTTTGGTAAGTTGGAGGTAAAAGCTGGGTCGACATCAGCCATCTCGACGTCGTCACCGTTCTCCTGTGGCTTCGGGGGCTTTGGTGGTGTGGGCCACAGCCATACTGCGCGGTTGGTATGTGAAGCTATGATGGCAACCTGGCTGGAACTGCTGTAGGCCAGCTGTGAGTTCACAAAGACGAGGATGTTGGCCAGAGCCTTGGATATGGGGAGGACATTGTTGATGGCTGCCCACGCCCGAGGGTTCGTGTCCACAATGATGGCAGTGAGGGAAGGCGTCTCTTCTGTGGCATAGATCTCATAGTGGGTGGTAGCATCGACAGCATCCATTGCGGCTGCCGGCCCTGTGACACTGTCACCACGGGGAAAGAGGGTTGGTGTGAGAAGCGGTGAGAGGTTTAGCCTTTGAAGAGGTTCGACTTCGGGTTGGGATGAGGCAAAAGAGTCTCAATGGATGTACTAGGGAAAGTACTATGTAGTCCGAGGCCCCAGTCCAAAGTTTCAGTGCTGGTGCCTGCCGCGGCCGCTTCGGATGGAACTCCGGGGTTAGGGCCTCCCATTCCCGCTAGAGCCCCTGTAGCTGCAGCAGCTCAAGATGCGAGCCTCCACTAAAACGTTCCAGTGTGGGCCCTTGCTGCAGCAACTGCCAGGGTGGCAGTGTTTGCCAGGTGCCCAGCCGTGCCAGCATGCCAGGGGTCTTGGCTGTGTCTTGGTAGGGGTGGCGTGGGCGGTAGAAGCTGACCTTGAAGTGTTGCCCCGCGCTTAGCTCTTCCACCTCATTGCTTTACCACCTTTCTGCCCTGCACAATACAACCTAGACGAGCATATGATCGTCGCCCCAGGTCACCTGTTGACCTGATCTCGCCATCATTCCCAGTCAACTTGCCAGAAATAAGCCTGCGTAATTCTTCATTACCACTTGGCTTGTTGTACAGTCACTTTCGCTGAAACAGGCCAAGAATTCAGTTACGCTTTGGCCTGGTCCGCTACCACTGTCAAATACATAAAAGGTCCCAAGGCTTGCTGTTGGTGTTCTCGAGTCTCTTTTGCCTTTGAATCTTTCACTTCCATTGTCATTTTTTTTTGAAATCATCAAGGTCTTTTTTTTCTTCTTTCAAAATCAAAGCACCAAGAAGGCACTTCAACCATGGAGACGGTGAATGAGCAGGCTCGGCAGGACCTGTCCAAGATGAGCAGGGAAGACCAGACCCTCCTCCTCTTCGCGAGGCTGATGGAGGGCGGCCAGGAGGATGACGAGACGGTCAGGGACCTAGGCCAGCTCACGAAGCTCCTGAACGAGGATCTCGAGGCCAGCAAGACCAGCAAGTCGATTTGTGCCGTTATTGACGCCGACTGCCTTGACACCATCCTGTGTTATCTTGACATGAGGAACTCCGATGTCGTACGAGGTCATGCGACTATGACCACCTCGGCATATCTAAACGCTGCGGGGGATGACGGCTCCGAGAAGATGCGCAACTTCTTCCAGGACCGACTTAAGCGGGGAACATATGACGACTACATCGTTGCCTTCTGCGTCGCCGCCACTATATTCCCCATCGTCCCGGACCTGACATCGGAGCTATTCCTCAGCGAGGGCTTCTTACCTAGTCTGGGTCCATTAATGCGCCGCAAGTGGAAGAGCAGGAAGGTCGAGACCGCCTGTCTGGAGATGCTCAACGCAGCCTGCATGAACGGCCCATGTCGGGAGGCTGTGCAGAAATATTGCATCGAGTGGCTGGAGGAGGTTGTCGATCAGGATCCCGAGGACGCTGTGAAATCCATGTATGCTCACAACACCGATGGTTCGCACGTCGAGGAGGGCTCCGTCTCCATGCGCAGGCATTCAGAACAGGTTCAGCACTTGGCCGCCGTGATTTTGGCGAAACTCCGGGTTAGAGACCCCATCAGCATGCGTCATCCTTCTGTTATTGGCGAGGAGTACCTGCCGGGGACGTCTGACTGACCCGTTGGACATTCCAGGCGATACAACCCCTCAACGCACCGGGCACCAAGGAGAACGAGAGAGTGCAGCAGGCGAGCACCACGATAGAAGAGCTGTCCAAGATGTTCACGACCATGTTGGTGAAGGACCCGGAGCACTCACGGCACAACTCGATCGAGGGGCTGGCTTACGCCTCGTTGCGGCCGAGCGTGAAGGAAGAGTTAGCCAGTGATAAGGAGTTCCTAAAGAGTCTCGTCAAGACGTTGGAAGGAGCCCCGCCAAAATCACCACTCACGTATGGAGCCTTGAGCATCCTGGTGAATCTCACAAGGTTCAGACCAGTGCAGTCGGAGGAAGAGAAGAAGATGGAACAACTGAAGGCATATGCGAACGCGGCGGGGAAGCTTGCTCCGGATCCTCTCAATGACGACGAGCATGTCAAGGAGCGGTGCAAGGCGGTATTCGAGGCGGGCGTCACTCCTGTCCTTGTGACCCACAGCAAGAACGGCTCGGCTGCGTCCCTGTCCTTGATCATCACAACTATCAATTCTCTCTCCATGCTCCAGACCATACGTGGCCAACTCGCCCAACAAGGTGCCGTCCGCCTTCTTATAGCGGCATGGAATGCCCTCCCCTCCACTGAAGCCCCAGCCAAACGTACCGCTGCTCAAGCGCTCTCCCGCATCCTCATTTCCACCAACCCTACCCACGTCTTTGGCGGCACGAGACCTATTCCGCAGGCCGCCGCCATCCGGCCCCTCACATCCATTATCGCACCAGACCCCAACTCCGATAGCAGAGATCTCCTTCCTACTTTTGAGGCCCTCATGGCACTCACCAACTTGGCCTCGACGGATGACGAGACGCGACAAGCTATAGTGCGGCAGGCCTGGCCAGACATTGAGGAACAACTACTCTCGTCGAACGCGATGGTGACCAAGGCGGCCGTCGAGCTGATCTGCAATTTGGTGCAATGCGTGGAGGCCATGGCTCTGTACGCGGACGGGTCCACAAAGGCCAAAGACAGGCTACACATCCTCCTCGCACTCGCAGACGCAGAAGATGAGGGGACCAGGAGTGGCGCGGGTGGTGCACTAGCCACGCTGACGGGGATCGAGGAGGTGGTCAATGCCATTCTAGAACGTGAGCGAGGTATCAAGAACATCCTAGGACTGTGTGCGGACGGGAACAGCGAGGAACTGAGACATCGTGGTGCCTTTGTGGTCTATAACCTCGTCACGATAGAAGGGGACGTGGGCCGGCGGTCGAGAGAGAAGATCAGGGCCGAGGGAGGGATCGAGATCCTTACTCAGTGTGCGAAGGCTACAAGACGGCCAGAGGTGTTGGATCTGACGGTTCAGGCTCTAAAGGGACTCTTGGAGGAGAACTAGATATTTGGGCTAGGCTGTTATAATGCGAGATGCATTGCCTCTTGGGGGTTTTCAAATTCATGGGAGGAAATTTTATTTCGCTGGGGAAAAAACCTATCAGATTGTATGTTCTTATACGAAAACCTTGATGCACAAACAAACAATTGATCTCTCTCTATATGTCGCTTTACATCCCGCTACGAGTTTCGACGCTGTATGTATGTCTTGAATCTTGTCTTCCGGGTTCAAGACCAAAAACAAATTGCTACTGCTCTTGGGTATCATCAGCTGCCCCCTCGTTTCATGTCGAAAAGCCACCCGAGTTCCTCTGTCTCGGCTCACCCACAGCCTCAAAACTTCCATCCCAAAGCCTCTGGATCCCCTGGACAGCACTGACACCCAGCCTCACCCATACAGGCTTGTGCCCCTTCTCGACCATAGCGGCAACGGTGCTGTTGTCAAAGGTGTACTCAAAGTACACCTCATTCGGGATCAGCTGGTCGTGCAGCCTGGGCGCGGCCACGGCCTCGCTCATGTTCATGCCGTGCTCGAGGATGTGCCAGGCGGTCTGGGTGGTGGAGCTGATGATGCGGCTCCCGCCTGCGGCGCCGGTGATGAAGAAGACGGTGCCGTTGGGGTGCTCGGCGATGATGGGCGTGATGGAGCTCATGGGCCTCTTCCCGGGGCGGATGTAGTTGGCCGGCGAGGGGGCGAAGCCGAAACTGTTACGGACGCCTGGGATGCTAAAGTCGTCCATCTCGTCGTTGAGGATGATGCCGCTTCCGGGGGTCATGATCTGTGCGCCAAAGAGGAGGTTGATGGTCGTCGTGGAGGAGATGGCCATGCCGGCGCTGTCGGCTGTGACGATGTGCGATGTGCCGTGGGTTTCGGCCGCGATGAGCTGGTGGGGGTCGTACTCGCGCACAGGGAGGGTGGTGCTGTCGTCGATCTTGTGGCGCGTCTCATTGGCCTTGTGGGGGGTCAGGAGGGACGCCTCGAACTCCTCGATGTTCGAGACGTAGGCTGGGTCGCCTAGCTCGAGGCGGGCACCGTAGGCGAAGCGCATGGCCTCGATGAAGCGGTGGGTGGTGAGGTTGGTGTCGGCCAGGTCCGAGGCTGGGTACTGCTCCATGGTCTTGAGCATACTCAGCATGATGGAGCCGCTGCTGGGGGCACCGGTGGAGTACAGCTTGAAGCCGCGGAAGTCGATGCTGATTGGTGGCTTTCCATAGACGCGGTAGGACTTCATATCGTCCATTGTGAGGGTGCCGTTGGTCTCTTGGACGAGCTTGACTATTTCTTCGGCTGTAAAGTGTTAGGAATGGGCCAAGAAGAAGGGCCAGGCATGGAAACGCACCTAGTTCACCGGAGTAGAGTATCTCGGCGCCGTGTTTACCAATCTTCTCTAGGGTACTATAATTTTGCGTAAGTTGTAGATCCAGGCCCACCACTAAGTGCTCGTACTTACTCGGCATATCTTTTCCTCGTGATGACATCCCCAAGCTGGACCAGCCGTCCGTTAGGCGCGAAGTCTTGGGCCCAGATGGGGTCCTCAAGTAGAAAGTTTCCTCGAATGCCTTTTGTCGCAAAATCCATATACCTCACTAAGTCCTCCGTTACTGTAAAGCACAAAGGAGATCATATCAGTTTCTAGTCTGCCAAACACAATCAGCATTTGAGAAAGGATGAACCAGCGTACCATTAAAACCATTACGTGCGACATAAACCGCCGGGTTGACAACTGCTCGCCAAGGCAATAGCTGAAGTTACACGGTTAACAAGACCATACAGATTTACACTTCTCCACGCCCGTGATGATAACTTACTCCATGTTTCTGATGCAGGTACTCAAGTCCCTTCAGATCACCTGGAACCGAAACCGCCAGTCCGCCAGTAACAGCGCCTTGTAAATTGCCCTTATACATATCCTCAAATGCCTCAGCGGGTGCAGCTTCTCGGTAATCTATGGTCTCGTAGTTCCCCTCCGAGTCGCGGACGAGTGCAAAGCCACCTCCTCCTATTCCGGAGTGATACATGCCAATGACTCCGACGCATAATTGGGCTCCGACATGGGCGTCTGCGGCGTTTCCCTAGTGGTCTTCTTTCTTAGTAACTTCTTTTTCCTTTTCATGTTCGCATCTGATATGACACAGTAGGACAACTCACGCCTTGTCGCAACAGATCTATGCCTATCTGCGAGCATATCGTGCTCTCACTGGCCACGGCGCCGTGGACGCTGGACAGTGGTGCATGGATGGGAAAGTCCAGTGCTGGCAGAGCTAATGCTCTTGCTGCAAGCTGCAAAGCCACCAGAGGGAACAATTCATTAGATAGAGTCTCTACGATGCAGCGTTAGTGATTCATTTATCTGGTCTATTTGGTCGCAAGCAGGAAAGATGTTCTTACTCATGTTCAACGATTTCTAATCGGTCAAAGGCGGAAGCCGCGACTAAACAACCGTAGAAACGTGCCAGGGAGGGGAAAATAAGAAATAATGTCTAGTGCCCCAGAGCGAGCGAAATATACACTCCAATAACAAACGAGACGAGCAAATAAAGGAATGAGAATGTTGAGTGTTATTCAAATTGAAAGGGGGAAAGGTATGGCGAGCGAGCAGTGCCGGATGAGCAAAAGACCGGCACGGGACTCTACTATGTCACGGCGTACTCTGGTACTTTGATGCTAGTCCACATTTATTAGTAAGCATTCACCGTACACGCGGTGAAAGAAAATGCAGGGTCCATCCACTCGCCAAAGAAAGGCAGGAAACAAGAGGACTAACCAGATTGGGTGCTCATCTTGGTACTGCCCATTTTGAGCCAATGAGGTCCAGGGCAAAAATAATATGCTAGAATTTCCTTCACTCACTCACGTCCACCATTCCTCACCTCCAGTTCTATCGTTTCGATTACTCTCATCGGGCAGGCCTTTGAGGCTGAGACTGGATACGAATTCTCTAATCGCTGAGTCTGTTGTTGATTGACAAATGTCCTGATGAGGCCTGGGCTTCCAAGATTCATTAATAGACCCTTTACATCGCCACCACTGAAACTCACCTTCTCACGGCGCTTCAACATGGCGGAGACAGCCATGCAGTCTGCCGTTGAGGCTACAGCACCTAAATCCACAGATGCAGCCAGGAAGATGAATGGGAAGAGACCTTTCAACAACGGCTTCGGAGGAGGGAGGGGCGGTCACCAGAAGAAGATGAAGAAGGTCAAGGCAAAGCCAGTCAAGGAGGGCTCATCAGAAGAGGTCCTCATGGCCGACATCCGTGCCATGTTGAAGGCGCAGAAACTGGAAGACGCCGACAAGATGACGAAGGAGGAGGAAGAGAAAGAAGAAGTAAATGAGAAGGAGGAGGAGGAAGACCTTCCCGAACCAGGCACAGAAATCGAGGTCCAGGTTGAGACCCTCTCCTCCACAGGCGATGGCCTCGCCCGCCAGCCAGGCCGCAAACAAATTTACGTCGTACCCTACTCCATACCTGGCGACCTCATCAGGATCAAGGTCTACCGCCACCTGACACACCAGGGCCACTCGATTGGCGATTTTCTCTCCGTCGTGAAGCCCTCGCCCCTGCGCGACGACACCAGGGTGAGCTGCCAGTACTTTGGGAGGTGCTCCGGCTGCCAGTTCCAGATGATGGCCTACACAGACCAGCTCGCACACAAGCGCACCATTGTCGAGCGTGCCTTCAAGAACTTCTCCCAGCTTCCACCAGAGCTCGTACCCGCCGTCGGCGAGACCATGGGCAGCCCACTGCAGTACGGCTACCGCACCAAGCTGACGCCACACTTTGACGGGCCGCCGGGTGCCAACCATGGACGGCGCGGCAAGAACCGCGAGAGGAAGTTCTTCACAGAGGTGCCTGACATAGGGTTCATGCTGAAGAGCTCGCGGCGGACCATCGACATCGAGGACTGCCCCATCGGGACGGACGCGGTACGCAAGGGAATGGCGAGGGAGAGGGCCAGGATGAAGGACGAGTTTGCCAAGTACGAGCGTGGGGCCACCATTCTTCTGCGAGAGAGCACGAGGCGGATACCAAAAGACGATGAGAAGGCCCAGTTGCCAGACCCTATGCCCGCCGACGCGGTGGTCGTCGAGGGAGACAGCTTCACGGACGTCAAGACCTGCATCACAGACAACAACGCCACCTCGACCGAGTATATTGACGACTTCATCTTCACCAACCCGGCCGGCTCCTTCTTCCAGAACAACAACTCCATCCTGCCCTCATTCACAGACTACATTCGTCAACACATCCTACCCCCGGCCGCCCCCGAGGGCCAGCCGCAGCAGAAACCCATCCGCTATCTCATCGACGCCTACTCCGGCTCAGGCCTCTTCACCATCACCCTCTCCTCCCTCTTCACTGGCGGCAGCATCGGCATCGATATAGCCGGAAAGTCCATTGACTTCGCCCGCACCAACGCAACCCTCAACAACCTCCCCGAGGCCCAGTGCCGCTTCATCGCCGCCGACGCCCCAGAGCTGTTCAAGTCCGTCAGCGCCTTCGACCCGGACGAGACTATCGTCGTGCTCGACCCGCCGCGCAAGGGGTGCGACGCTAGTTTCTTGCGCCAGCTTCTTGGGTTCGCGCCGAGGAGGGTCGTCTATGTCAGTTGCAATGTGCACACGCAGGCCAGGGATGTGGGCGTCCTGGTTCGGGGCGAGGTGGAGGGTGTGCCGGGCGCGGCGGCAGGGGAGAATAAAAAGGAGGTGGATGGGGAGGAGGGAGGTGAGGGGAAGACCAAGGCCAAGACGAGGTACGAGATTGAGAGCCTGAGGGGATTCGATTTCTTCCCGCAGACGGGCCATGTGGAGGGTGTCGCGGTTCTGAACAGGGTCGTAGAAGCCTAGAGAAGCTCAACCATCCATATCTACCCTGCCGGTCAACGAAGTTGGAATCTCACAAGAATACAATTGGGCCACGCCCGTGTTGAGACTCAGATACGGGAAGGGTAAAAGCCTATTTTTCTGCATATGAGGTATAAACAATCTGTTTGAATTGGCTCTGATTTCCAACCATGCGCTCATGTTCTCCACAGACTCGATACGACGACCTTCTGTGTGTACCCACTAGGGTGAAGAAGAAAGAAAAAAAAAACCATTGTGATACAATTCTACCCCCGTGCCCAGAAGAAAATACGCCGCCGCCATGATGAATCATCGTGAGATTGCCGCTAAATAGTTGTGGCGAGATGCAGTAGAGAAAGAAAAGAAAATTTGGGGTATCTGAGTGTTCAATGCAAGTCTATGAGTTCGATCCCTCTTCTGCCTTCTTCGCTTCGACGTGAGATGCAAAAAAATGCAAGACTTATAGTCATTGCGCTTCTCGTCTCCAATATATTCGCTACAGCAAAATAAGTTGCTGCAGTTGATGAGCCGCTCGCTCGCCTTCCTGACCCTGGTTCACTACTTGGTCAGCGCCACCAGCTTGTCCATCTGCTCGATCCACTTGCGGTCGAACTCGACCTCGCCAAAACGTTTCGCAGACTGGCGGGCGCGCAGACGAACAGCTAGCGGGTCGGGAAGAGACAGAGCCTTCTCGAAGCCCTCGGCGAACTCTTCAGCAGTGGAAGCGTGGAAGCCTGATGTGCAAAAGTTTTTAGTATCTCAATATTCGCCGTGCTTGCTGGCCTGTTCGGGCGCGAAAACTTACCAGTTGGTTGTCCATCGACCTCTGTGACTATGTCCAACTTGGGACCACCCGAGTTGTGCACGACCGCGATCAGGCCACTGGCCTGATACTCAACCACCCCAATGCCGAAGTGCTCGTTCCACATGCCATTGACGCCAACGCTCGCCTTTTGCAGCCATTCGAGGATGTTAGGCCAGGGCGCGTCCAGGCGGAACTCAACCTGGTCCTCGATGTGTAGTTCACGGACGAAGAGGCGCAGTTTATAGACGCGCTTCGAGTCGTGGTCGTCACGAACGCTGCCCACCAAGACGAGCTTTGCCTCCTTGGAGGCCTCGCTCTTGCTCTTAACAAAGTTTGCGAAGGCCTGTACGATCAACTGGTGGTTCTTCTCCGGACGGAACTGCGCGATGTAGAGCAGGATCTTGCCGCGCTGTGCCTCGCTAGCGGCAGACACCTCCACGGCGTCCTCGAGCTCCTCGACTGCACAGGGTGGGTAAACAACGGCGATGGGATCGGTCTTCTCCGCCTCGCGGCGAGCAGGGCCCCAGAGCGAGGTGACATGTGCCTGCGTCCAGGTCGAGTTGGTCATAACCACGTCGATGGTTGTGCCCATTTTGGAGTACAGCCACGCGAAACCCTTCCAATAGTACCGCTTCACTTTGCCCTTGAAGCCCACCCCTTGACCAGCATTGACACCTTGTGAGCCAAGTGGGGAGTTCGGATCAAGGGAGTCAAGCATGTCGGTTGAAATTGTTGGGTAGTGGACGTAGGCGCCGGTCGGTATGGTTGGAAACAGCCACTTGCAAAAGCCCAGTGCAAAAGCGTATCCCATGGTGTCAACAAATATGTCGGGGACAACGAGAGAGAAGGCATCCCAGGCGAGAACGATGGAGCCCAGGGACTGGAAGAGAAGGGTAAATCTCGGCCATGTGGACGCCAGGACCCAGTGACGGGTGGAGAGATAGAGAAATTGGATCGTGTGTGGCTGCAAGTGGATGTTGAAGCGGCTCTGAGAAGTAACAGTGTAAGCAAAAAGAGATGCCCCCTTGAGTTCGTCGAGTCGAGACATTGCTCACCTTGACTCTAGTGAGGATTTGGTCCTTGTTAACCTCGTGATCCCCGGTGTATACAACGATCCTGGCCTTGGGCCACTTCAACTGAATGGCGCGAATCGCAGCCCAGAGCACTCTCTCGCCGCCGCCTCCGGCATTGCTGCAGATCATTAGCCAACCATACGCATCCCGTCATTTCATGAGTACGTACCAGAAGGGGTGGAAGAATCCCACGATACCAGACCAGTCTTCTGCAAGCTTGTTACCATCAGGGGCACTCGCAGTGGACTCGACCTGGATCTTCTCCCAGCTGCCATCCTCCTCACCTTTACTTGATGTAGTATCCGAAGTCTTGTCCTCCTGTTTCTCCCAATATTGCTTCTCGTCTCCCTCAATTACCTCCAGTATGCGAGCTCGTCGACCTTCAGTCTTTCTTCGTACGTATGTGCCAAAAAGGGAACCGAGGGTCTGCCAGAGAGCGGGAATGCCGAACAGGACAAAGGCGGGTATGATGGCGATGAGGGGAGCGACGACGAAGGTAATGACCTTGGGACTGAGGCCGAAAGATATATACTCCTTGCCGGACGGCGCCTGGCAAGAGCCCTGGTCATCCATTATATCGTAAACTATGTATCGACAGTATCGAATTGCTGCTGGGTGAGGATAGGGCTTTGGTGTAAATTGGGTTGTCGATAGTCAAGAGTCCAGTCGAGAAGGACAACAAGAAGAATGTTGAAAAGAGAGACAAACGAAAGACTAGAAAGATGTTGTCAAGCTTCAAGACTACTCCATCAGCAGGATGTTCACAATCCAACAGATCACAACTTGTCCGTTGTGGCCAGGCAGAAGAGCACGTGCAGGTTTCCCCAACCGTCGAGCACTCACAGTACTGAACACGACGCAATAGCTCCCTGATAAAGCAGGTGACAGGCGATACTGGGACGCGTGGTGGCTTAAACACTCTAGTGCACGGGCCCTAGCCCCACTAGTGCACCCGCCCCTCTACTAGTACAGTGGTGAACTCTCCTCGTGTTCCCCCCACAGTTGCACCAGCCCTGTTCCAACAGCCTGTGGAATGTTTCAGCTAGGCGGGTTAGATCTCTGCTTGAGAGGTCCCTCACTCACTGACAGGCATGTGAGTAGTATCAGCTGGTCCATGTCAATTCTCAAGTACGCAACCACAAGCATCAAACCCTCTCTTTCTTTTACCAGACAAGAACAAAGCCACACACAACTCTTCACCCCTGGGGGTGAGCATGTCCTGAATCTCAATAATGTCAGGGCATGTGGGCCACAAGATCAGGCTATCAGCCTTAAGAATACGGCCCCAGGTCTGGCAAAACAGTAGTGGAAAATGCCTTCATTATCATGAGCCTCATTCCACTTTGCATCCAACAACACGGCTTCAGAGAACCGGGCAGAGGAGGCATTTTGGTGGTGCAGACATAGCAGGTGGTCTCCTCAGGGGTTCAGAGTACCTCGTCACCAACATTCACGAGCTGACCGGCACACCATGGTTCATCTCGATCCCACTCGTAGCGCTTGTCGTGAGCGCTGCCATCCGGACGCCTCTGACGCTCTACACGCACCACATGGCACGGAGGAGGGCAAACCTGCTGCCGCTGATCCAGGCACAGACGGCCCTGATCGGGCTCGGTCTGCGCAAGAAGGCGGTGCCGAATCTAAGGGACAGAGTGCGTCAGCTCATGAAGAAGCAGACTAAGGATCTTTTCGGCGTCTTTGCCATCAATCAGAGAAACTCGATATTGGGTGGGCTGCTGAGCTTGCCGATCTTTTTGAGCAATCTCGAGGTCATTCGGAGGATGTGTGGTGGGCCTAGAGGCTTGCTGGGGAATCTGATGTTCAGGTCTTCGAATCGCGATATCACCACCCAAGAAGTCACGGAGGCGACACAACCTGTACCTATACCTGCATCCTCGGTCGACTTGTCGTCTTCAGCGACCGATCTGAGCCAAGCTACAGTCTCCGTCAGCCCTGACGCTCTCGCCTCCATCTCCATGGAGCCATCGTTCGCAACAGGCGGCTGCCTCTGGTTCCCTGACCTCCTGGTTTCGGATCCATATCACGTCCTCCCCATCGCCGTCTCTGCTGTGTTGGTCTTGCATATGATTCCCGAGACCACAGCGGCAAGGAGGGAACTATTTGGCCTCAGCCCCGTCGCCGGGGACAAAAACGCATCTTTGTTAGGACAGACGCGCGGGCGTCGTGCCTTTCAGAGAACGATGCTGATCATGGCTCTTGCTATTGGGCCGATCACGATGGATATGCCTGCTGCATTGCATCTGTATTGGTTGTCTTCCGCCAGCTTCAGCCTAGCTGTCAGCAAGGGCATCAAAGTGTTGTTGCCCATACCGAAACATACTATCAAGCCATGTCGGGGTATGGAAATGCCATTGCTCAAACCCAAACCGCCTACATCAAGAGCATGACCAGGAAACGACAAATCCAAAAAGAATAAGAAAAATGAAATAGAAAAATAGACATGCCAACGCGGACCAACAAAATAGTGTTGATTCTTCGTGCTATTGACACAATGGTGCCAGACTGGTACACAAACTCCCGGCGCCTGCAAAAGTCTATTGAACCAAGACATGCCCTCCCCACACCGTATCCATCCCCCTAACTGCGACGTCTTCTGAGCGACTGTAGCCAAATGAAATGGAATCGCAATATGAGTGGTGTGTTAGGATCTTCCAACCCCATCTGACAAGAGTCTACCACAAGATCAGCCCAGGAAAATAGCCAGCAACACAATGGTCAAAATGACGGCCAGCACCAACAGCAAGCAACATGCCTTGCTCCTTGCATTCCTCTGATACCTCGCCGCCTGCCTCAGTTCTCGATCCGCAGCCCTCGTATCCTCACGCGTGTTTTCCACGTTATCCGCAATTCCGGTCAGCTGATCGCCCTGTTCCGTGACGATCTGTGCTACCTGCTGAAACAGCACGTTGAGGTCGCCCACGCCCTGCTCAATACTCCGGATTTCCTCCTCGCGCTCTGCAATGAGGGCGTCCTGGAAGTCGACCTCGTCCTGCGGGGCCAACCGGAGCTCCTCCTGCAGCTGCGCCTGCAGCTGCTGCTGGCTCTGGGGCACGGAGCCGAGGCTTGTGCCCTCCTCTTCATCCGCGGCAGCGGCCCGCGCGGCGGAGACAGAGGCCCGTTGTTTCTCGAGGGCCTGGCGCTGTAGGGACTGGAACTCGGCGAGAGATGCTTTGAACTCGCGAAAGAGCTTCTGCTGTTTGTATTTTTGCGTCGGCTGCGGAGGAGAGAAGATATTAGAACATGCACACAACAACATGGACACACACACAGACAGATGAAATGCAAAGCAAAATCATACCGTAACCTCTTCCCACGTCTGGATCTTCTTGACGCCCTCGCCCACGTCCTTGAAGGTCTCACTCGACTCCTCAATAAGATCGTGCACGCGCTCCCTCACCCGTGCAGTATCCCTCCGGGTGCCCAGGTGTCCAATTTCTGTCCTAAGGCGGGAGATATTGCCGGTCAAGGTGAAGAGCTTGTTCATCAGGTCCTGCGACAGCCGGTCAAACTCCGGGTCGTCCGTGTACCCCGGGTTATTGTGTCGCGACTGCGACTCGAGCGAGGAAAGCTGATCGAAAGACATCGCTGCGTTGGCTGATCAGCAGTCAAGTAATTGCACTCTGGTGTGGTAGATGTAGCCAATGGTCTTGAGCAGTGTACGAAGGAGGGAACAACAGGCGCTGAAGATTCATGGAAATGCAAAGGATGATATGGCGGCGGGTGAGGGTTATCTGGTGACGTCTCAAGTCTGCGTATTCCAGGCCCTCAAACCAGGTGCCTGGCATGGCTTGGCAGGGTTACGTAATTCACTATATCTAGTGTAGTGGGTGCCTGTATTGTACATAGTACCGTTGCAGTAGCAGTAGTTAGTGGCCCTGTTGGAGGTGGCTTGTACAGGGGCCCCGGCCCCGATGTCTTTCACTGTCAGGAAGCGCGTGTCTTTGACCTCTGCCTGCAGCGTGCCGCGACGAGGCGACCAGCAGAAGGTTCCACTTCTTTTTCAAGCTCTTGTTTACAGCCTTTCGACTTGCATCTTTGACCTCACCTCTTCCTCTACCACCCTTTTCTTGTTCCCTCCACCAAACTCTAGGGCGTCTTCTTCACCCGACCATGCGCGCTGGTCAAGATGGCTCCTGTCAGGCGGGCTCCGTATAAGGACTTTTTGCAGGCATCACTGCAGCGACGCTTCTCTTCTACTACCACCATCCTTCTGGTCATCGCATATGTCGAGTCCCTTCTTTTCGCCGTCTGCAGGTCTCCTAGGGCGATCTTCTCCAGCTGGTGGTCTTGTAAGTCACATTCCCGTCCTGTTCCACCGCCACTTTCAATCCTCCTCGATGCTAATATCTCTCACATCAGTCTTTTGGTTAATTTTCCCAATTGGCCCGACCGGCATACGAGCATTCTTCATCTTCCTCTGCGGCCTTACCGTGGTCATCCTGAGAATCGCCCAATACCATGTGGGCATACGAACCTCGAATTCCGGCTATCAGACGTTCTTGAAATATGCTGCCACCTCGCAGACACTGGAGGCCATCGTGTCGTACACGGTGTCGTCTCTGCTGTTTAGCCAGGTTTACTTGTGGACTTCGACGGCAAACGACCTCAGTTGGGTCGTGATCCAGTCGGGTGACAGGGCACGGCTGAACGAGAAGCCCATCTTTTACACCGTCCACTGCCTGCTGTTTGGCCTGCTACAGGGCATACTGCACATCTATCGCGACGATGACAGGCTTCTCCTGCGACCCGTCAAGCTCAAGGAGGAACAGCCAGCAGCAACAAATGACAAGGTCGCCTGGCAGACACGTCTCAGCAACGACGTGCCTGCTCTTGCGAGTCTGGCCGCCATGCAATCGGTAGCGGCCCTTGTCTTTAGCGGTATTCTATACCACGCGGCTAAGCTTCCAGACTTCATGTCAGGCATGACGCTCCGCGCTTTGGCATGGCGCACTGCCCTCGCGTTCTTCCGGACGTTTTACACTTTGCCCAAGACCAACATGGTCCCTGCCACCCTGGCTAGTGTAAACGCTTGGATGTGGTTGCGCTGCTTCTCCACTGGCTTCATGCTGCTGTTCATGTGGCTCGCCGGCATCAAGATGTTCTCGATGTTCCTGGTCCGGCCGCCATTGAAGCTAGGGAATCCCTTGACTTCCGAGTCTAAAGATCCCAACGGAAGTTTATTGAACGGCCTGAAGAGCAAGAAGCTGCATATCAAGGTTGGTACCATGACCACGCACCCGATTGTCCAAAGCTCGTTATGCTGACCTTAGTAGTCTTTTGCTATGTGGGAGCTCGCCCTGATCGCTAGGGATTTTGGGCCTCGACGAAAGGCTATCTACCAAGACATCGACAGGAAGGATGGACCAGCGTGGTCCCAGGTCTATGCGCTGTGCCACAACATCGTCAAGGAGATGGAGGCCAGAATTGATGACTGTGGCAAGGCGCCGACACCCCCTTCAAAGGAACTTGTGCCAGCTGCAAATGGCCCCAATGCTGCGACAGAACGGTCTTTGCAGGTCAGCAATGACCCTATCCTCCTGTCTACGCCGACCAAGAAGAGCAAAATCGAAAACATCATCGGAAAAGTCGCGGTACGGTCGCCTGGCCAAGAGCCACGGCTAAGTCCTATTGTGCAGAAGGGGTACTTCCAGGCCAAGGGAGTGGTACAGGAGGTGGCAAGGCAGGCGACCAGCTCGGACGATCTGCACAGCCCGATACAGAAATGGACAAGACAGTTTCTGAAGTCGCCATTCGGCAAGCCTTTTAGGAATACGCTTGACCAGAGACTCACTGTCGCTGTGCTGGGTGCGCCGTACGCGGAGCCAAGCCTCTTTATCAATGCCATATCTGCAGTGACCAAGCTGGCGCTGCACAGCCTGGCGGAGGACAACTATGGAAATGTGCAGCGCGATGTTTCGACCATCATCCGGAGCTTCACAGCGCTGACGGTGAAGCTAGAGAAGTTCAGGGACGATTTCCCCGCGCACTGGACAGAGCTTGACGCTTCTAGGGAGAGCCCGGTGGTAGATGCGGTCTTGGAGACGCTGAAGGAGGCTCTGCGGCAGCTTATCGAAAGTTTTGGCCCGTACGCACGGGATATCAGGTTGACCTTTGCGGATATGCGACAGGCGCGGGATGCAGCTGGAATTCCTCACAGGGCCAGGGAGACGGCTGCGATCGAGGCTGCACGGCCACCAGAAAGGCGACAGGTGCGATGATGAAAAGGTTGGCTGGCAGTCGTGAGAGCGTGAGATAAACTTAAAAAGGACGGTTCACAACATTTCGACATGATTATGTGATTATACCCGAGCATGTTGCTCAATATGATAGAACCAGAGAGAAGAAAAATCAATCCAAGCATTTCTGTAATGCATCATCATTGCATACTGAGACTCAAAGGATGAATTCTGCCTGTTTTGCTGTGCAATGAATGGAATGGTTCATGCCTTCTGTATTACAAGTTCACGTACAACTGGTTGAAGTTATGAAAGGGGGGCCCGGATGCGATGACGTTTAATTGGCTGTGGGGCTCGGCTGCACACTTCATTTTGGCGCGCCTTCCCTTTTGCCTTGCCTTACCTCATTCGCCTCTTTTCTTCCCTTCTTACGTCTTACCTAAAGACATTCCCTCTCTTCTCCTCTCCCAGCAATAGCTGCTCGGCCGCACTCGACAGCCCTAATTCAGCCTCGATGTCTGCCAGCACGCTCAGGGGCAACGGTGCACCAGCAGGCCTACCATCATGATACCGACATCTTTCTCGTCCTCGTCGACAGCGCGGCAGTCGGCCATCGAGACGAATTGCTCACGAGAAACAGCACTCTCGCTTAGTAGATGATACAGCACTGAACAAATAAATACCACAGGCCTCGCGGCTATACCCGCTTCTCCATTCGCCACAGATCTGGCTTGTCAACCACCACGATGTCGCGCCTCCATCTTCTCTGGCGCATCATCTACCACTCCCTCTACTATTTCCTCTCGCTGATCCTGCTCCTTCTTCTCTGCGTCACTCCCGCCGACGTCATTCGTCAGTCCTATCGCAACGGCCAGCGCCTTGACATCCTCATCATCATCATCTGCTTGTCGGTCGCTCTCGTCTCGGTCGTCTGTATCTACTTCTTTCGGCTGTACGTCATGCGCACGACGCTCGCAAATATTCCAAAGCACTATATCCCGATCGAGAAGGGCGAGGTGCGCAAGAGCGTCCGAAAGATGATCGTCGCAGGTCTGAGCAGGAGCGCCGCGATCGCCTACGAGAGCAAGCCGCGGGTTGGGGGCGCGAGACTGGCCACAGCGGATACGCAGGAAGAGAGGGTGGATGGCGATGGGGAGAAAAATCCTGATATGCAGGGACGGGCGAGGACGTTCAAGATCTTTAGGATGAAGAAGGCGCCTACTGCAGAGGAGAGGATGGGCATCACCTTGCCGCCACATAAGGCTGTGTGGGGCGAGATTGAACATTACGGATGGGCGTCGCCAAACTCTCCGGATCTGCCGAATCTACAGTACAGCACCGTTATCTCAGAGCTGCCGAATCTGATCGAGGCTAAGGCCCTGACTCTGGCACCTCTGGCTCCCGAGTCGGAGCCTGCACAGCCTGTTTTGGATCCGGAGGCCATCGCTTTGCTGCAGAGGCCCGAAAACTTGCCTCTGCGGCAGTACCTGGCGCAATTAGCGGAGCTGGGCGTTTTAGCACCCTCACGAGCGACGGCAGATTTTTTGTCGTCTTACGACTACGCGCGGTACTCAACACGGCCCATCTCGAACACTCGGTTCCGAGAACTGATGCACCTCTTCGCCGAGATCTTGCGCACCATGGAACCGCTCGACCCAGAGACGCTGCGGGCTCTCAACGGCGCAAATGACGACGTTGTGTCGTCTGAGAGCGACATCGACAACGATGCACCCCGCGAGAGCCCCAGCACGCCACGCAGCCGGATCAGTCAACCCTCTCTTCGCCGCCAGCAGAGCAACGCCTCACACGCTACGGCCTCCACATCTAGCAGCTCGCCTAGCGGCGCTTCACAGATCCGCCGACGGCCGGACATGACTGTCCGGCACTCCTCGCAGGGCACCTGGGCGGGGACGTATCGCACCGCTCCGACGACGCCCAAGAGCAGGAGGACGGCAGTGTCGCCAGTGTCTGTATCGAACTCGAGCCTGAACAGTTTCGCCCAGACACGCCACCCTTACGTAGCTGGTGGTATCTCGGGGTCGAGCTCGAGCGCAAGCCTCCGTTCTGCAGGCTCGGGCGGCTCCATCATCCGTCTCAGCGAGGCGGTCGGGGCGGGTGAGCTCCCCTATGTTCTTACGCTCGCCGAGACGGGGCAGTGAGGACGATCGATTGCCCGTGGGCAGGTGTTTACTACTTTACGAATTTAATGACTAGTTGCATAGCTCGGCGTCGGTGGGTTTCTTTTTCTCCAAGGTTTTGTTTTTTGTACAAATGAAAGGTCATGGTATTGTATAATGCTAGATAGCAGATATTCTATGTGGTTCCCAGCTCTTTTTCTTTCTCTCTTTTTTTTTTTTTTTTTTTAAAAAAAAACCCCCCCAAAAAACCAACCAAAAACCAATTTATGTCTCGTTCCCCGTTTACTTCGCTCAACTCCAAATCTATTTCCCGGGTCCTTTCGTGTATTCCTTACCCCTTTGCCCAAAATCCCCAACACCAAAACAATCCAGTTCCCCGTTTTTGCAGAGCGAGACTCATGAGCCTCGTTCATATACCGCGCATTACATGAATGGCGCAGACTGGTCAGCTGTTGCATGTCGGCTAGACCAATGCAAACTCGCTTTACTCATCGTTCAGTATCAATATGCGTCAGTATCAATAAGGCTGTGGTCTTGGAGCTGCAACCATCTCACATACAACGCAATCGCAGCCTATTATTCAAAGTGCGACCCGACCCCGAAGATGTCTCTTTCGATGTTTTCCTGCATCATCCGACGTGCAGTCTCCTCATCGACCTGGGCCACAGGAGTCCAGTGCTGCTGCTGATACTCTTGGCTGAGGACGTCGAGGCCGCCCATCATGTCCTGTGGAGGTTCAGACATGCCTCCCTCGGGTCCTGATGGCCACATGCCCACTCCCAGCAAGCTCTCCGGCTGTCGTCTTTCCTTTTTGTGGCCTTTCTTGGCCCGAGCCGGTTTGTGAGATGAAGATGTGCCTCCCGCGCCACTGTGATCAATACGGCGAGGCTCTGTTGCGACGTTCTCGTGGATCTGGTGGTCGATGAGGGCCATGTTGGCCTGCACCCTGCCGCGGGACACTTCGCCGTCGGGATGAGGCACGGCGAGAAGACCGCTGTCGGCAGCCGCTGGCTGGTAGTCGTGGTACTGGAGGGAGTACCCAGCAGCCGGCTGGTCCTGAAGGGGGGTATGGACGGGTTGTGTGGACGAGTTGTGCTTGTTACTGGTTTGGGGGGCCAGGTCAGCTTTATTAAGGCAGGGAAGAGGTTCCTTGAAGAGAGGTAGGTTGTTGCGAGGCTGTATTGATAGAGTGGCTTTTGTTCTTGGGAGAGGGGAGAGAGGTGGTCATGGTAGACTATCTCATGGACAGCTTCCATTTATATAATGAGGACAGAAGGGAGGGAAGGAGGACAAGAAAGAGAAGTGGGAGAGAAGTGGGAGGAAGTGGCAGGAAGTGGCAGAAAGTGGGGCCAGGTGGGAGAAAGTGGGAGAGAATCGGTACAGAGGAAAAAAGATACAGGGAGGAGGAAAAGAGGAAAAGGAGGGATGATAAGAAAAGAGAGCAGGAGAGGAAGAGGCAGAAATCAAGGGCTTGCTTGGGATGGGGAGGGATACAACATGGGAGACAATGAACATACTCTTGAAGTGGTCCTGACATCTTGAAGGTGATTATTGATTACCAGAGGAAGTATGATAAGGGGCCTCAAGTCAGGTTTGATGAGGGTTGAGCAAGAAATTGTGCAGCGGGTCAGGCAAGATGTCCACTCGTTAGTGAGGATGGTGATGAGACGGCGAAAGTCTCTTAATATGGGGTCAAGAAACGAATTCAATAGGAGAGGTGATATAAACTGAGAGGAGCGAATCTGCTCCTGCTGCATTATACAAAAATGAGATGATGGAAGAGGAGAGTCTCTATCAAGACGAGACCATCCTTCCTCCTTTATATCATGCCTCGAGATACAATCCACAGGCAATTAAACTATGATGCCGGGCTAACACTCTCTGCGATTGCCTCGCAACCCAGGTGGAAAGACGGTCAACAATATCATCATGATAGTGCACGTTCTCTATGAATCTAAGTACATGGCCCTGTCCGCTGCTCGTATAAGTACAGGCCTTGCTCCGTAATCCAGCCCTACAAACTTAAACTCGTGCGCGGAGTTCTATTATGGGCTTTGACGTGGCAGGCCAGCTGCAACGAGCAACTTCTTAATTTCCCTCCGACGAAACCATTGGTCCTTGTACAGGGGCCGACTGTTGAAACAAAGAGTATAGCATCGTCATTGGCTGCCGGCCTCCCTCCTCCCCTAGCCAGCCTGATCCCCAACGACAACGGCTGCCCGCACACGCGCCACGGATATACCGCCTCTTAGTGGCATCCTGAATCGACGTACTCCATTTTGTTTAGTAAAAGGATGACAGAGTGGGGGCGAAGCTCAGCTGCTGTTTGAAAGAAGATGTCGAGTCGCAGCCTTGTAGTCTTCGTACCAATGCAACCTTAGATCTTACCAGTGGAAACATGGGCTCACTGATGGTGCCATGCCAAATGTTCGGGATACGACACCCTAGGCAAGCCGTGCACGAGTCAGCACACAAGACAGCTGCGGCGGGGAGGATTCAGGTCAGGACGGGACATTTTATACGAGTGCCAGTAATTCACTAGTACTGGCCCATGGTAGTTAGCCCGCATGAAGAATTTCTATGGCCAGAGCCTTTTCGCCTCCTTTTCTTCCTTTCTTCTCTCTTCAGCGCACTTTGATCAACCAGCCATGATTGCTAGCCAGCTTTATAGTACATAGTAGTACTAAACCTGATCGCTCCGTATCCCAAACATACAGTACTGCAGGCCAAGGTGGTGTAGGGAGGCATCCCGAATGAGAACGGGCATATTGTGAGGACTCGCACTCTACAGCTGTAGCAGTGCCGATCAGCCTCTTGTCCTCAAGATGAGTGACAAATTCAACATGTATGGCTTCAGCATCGATAAAATAGTCAAGAGAGTAATTCATTGACCAAATGAATATGTAACAAAGAATATGGGAATTATCTGTGTATGAATTTGGAGGTTTTGAAGTATCTAGGAGGGGGACAGAAGTTTGATCAATTTGGCAATATCTGAACAAGTAGAAAGTCCTCAGAGTACAAGAAGAGTCCCTACAGTAATCGATATATCTGATAGTTGCGAGGGTGGTTGCAAAAATAGAAATGATTCTTACTCTTATATATCAAGTTTAATTGCGCCTGTTTCGCTAGTACCGAAAGTATGCGAGGGGCCTTCACAGGCTCTATTGCGTGTTGCTGAACAAAATAAAAGAGGGGAAGCAAGAACGAATAGCGACCTGGCAGAGTGGCTGTTGCCTAGCCAGCAGGGCTGTGCACGGCCGTGGTGCCAGTCGCACAGAAAGTCCTATGCTCAACAATTTCTTTGTTTTGTACTTTTTCTAGTGTTCAACAAACCAATGGAGTTTAATGGAACTTATTGGACACTGCGTGAAAGTGTCCTCCTGTCTCCTACTCTTCTATAGCTCTTCATTGAAATCATCAGAATCCTCGTCCAGGTTTTCAACGTTCATACTCTCCATAAATGCAAAGGTATAGAACTCAGGCTCATCCTCCTTGGACCTGAGTGCATACTTTCGCCATAAGTACCCCAAATAGCCCAACTGAAACTTGACCAATTTGATCTTGGGCACTGCAAATACCACACTCAAATCCTCCAGGCTGAAGCCTTTCGTCTCCTCCACCAACAGAAACACCAGTACAAACGCCACCATATTCAGCCCTGAGAAGAGCACAAGCCCGCCCCAGTGGTTTGCCACAGTATCGAGTGCGGGATAGCACAGGGTAAGGACTCCAGCGAAGAAAAGGTTGACTGAAATAGCTACCGCACACCCCTGTGAGGTCTCAACATCAGTATGTCCCAACACTTTTCAGGGCGTAAAGTGGCGGCTATCGAAAGAGAACTTACTGCCTCTCGCTGAGCAAGGGGGAAACTCTCGGATGCCAGCGTGAAGGGAATCGGGCCTAAGCTCGGCGAATACACTGCCGCAAACACTGCCATCGAAGATTGTATTGATTAACTGAACGACTCCCAAGAAGCATTCCGCGTGCTAGAACTTACAATAAATCAGTACGACGAGTGCTGGCAGATGACTTGAGTTCCAATTGACAAATGTCAACGCCGCAGCTGCTAAGAAAATGCTCATCAGTGGCAATGTGATGAGCATCAACTTGCGCCGACCCCAAGTATCGATGCGTTTGATCGCCAGCAGTCCAAATAGGAAGTTGATGGCCCCTGTACTTGTCAGCTCTGAGGCAGTAGAAAATGGCAGAGAATATCGAGTCAACATACCAAATCCAGCACTGAGGCCCATGGCAATCTCATAGCGGGCCGGGTCAGTAGGCTGTGTGTTACTCCTCGTCACGAAGAAAGTGTCTGAGAAGATGTCAGTCGGTGGTCTACTTGATTACGCCTGGTAATCAAGATACTCACTCGAGTAGAATGCAAAGACGTTGACTGTTATCCCTTGAATTAGCTTTGCCCGTTTCTAACTAAGTGGAGATACCAAAAGCACCATATAGTTACTTACTGCCACACAGTTGCTGTGCCAAAGCTACCACGCAGGTACTGAGCACAGCATTTTGCAATTTCCCAACGGTAAATAGGGACCAGTATTGTCGGAGCGAATGGTAGAAACCCGACGTTAAATTGCTCGCATAAGTGAGGCCTGGTTTCGCAGCTCTGGGCTGGTAATCCCTGACACTAGAGGCGAAAGTCCTGCCAATCTCTATGTCCCGAGCAGTCCTCGTGTTGGTGTGCTCACGCAACTCAACCTGATGCGCAGGCGGGCTGAATTGATATTCGTCCAACTCCACAGATTTGTGGATCAAGTAAAGGTCTCTGAGGGCTTGGAGCTGTGGCCACACCGCCTTGTGAGCTTTTGTCATGGTAGGTAATTGCTTAATCCGTAGCTGCTCTCACCTGGGTTTCTCTGGCACTCAGTAGGATCTCGTATGCCCGAAGAACGTTGAAGCGTGGTGTGTTTGGTAGCATGTAGTACCGAGGGCTCTCTATGCACCAGCACAGAGCGACCAAGAGTATTATTGACGGCACAAAGGGTGCGCCAAGGATTTGTCTCAATGCGTTTCGTTGATTCTCTGGCAGCGCGCTTGCGCCCAGTGCATTACACCAGTTGGCAATTGCCAAATTGAACACGGAACCCGTTGCGATGCCAAAAGCGACCCTGGAACTGAGGTCAGTTCTCAGAAGTTCCAAGAGAAACGAACGACTAGTGAGTAGTCTCACCATAGTTGCCACATTAGAATGGACGAGCCTCGCCACTGAGTAGACGCAATTTCGCTTGCTAGAATGGGTGCACTGACGGCTTTAATTCCCATGGCTTATCACCAGATTTAGCTATCAGAGGATCTGTTCTCACGAGCTCGGTCTCATTGGAATCAACTCACCGAAACCGTTGACAATCCTGACGCACAAGAGTTGCCACCAAGTTGTTGTCCATACCGAGCCTAGGGAGCTGGCGAGAATCAACGAGGCTGCAACGGTGATAGCGCCCCTGCGACCGATCCAGTAGTTGAACAAAAGAGCAGAAGGTGTGCCAATGACCGCTGCCGCAAAGAAAGGCATGGCGTTCATAGCACCCAGTTTCCATTGCTGCAGGGGGCTGAGCTCCCCAAACTGGAGCCAGTGCTGCAGGTCAGGCGTGTCTCCGGACAGCAGCAGCTTTGCATATAATGACGAGCAGTTGATGGATGCCTGAACATGACCTTGCAAGAAAGCAGCGCATCCGACTGTCAAAGCGACGGGAAAGATTTGTCGGAATTGACCACGTAGGTTCTGTTGTTCTGAGACGAGGCCTTGTTTCTCGTCTGTATTCAGCGCCACGAGCAGGTTGGTCTCTGTGGCCATGTTCTTTGCGACCTCATCGTAGGTACGGATGTTCTTGGCTACCCTAGCTGCCCGGAGGACCTGTTCGTACTCGATGCCCGGAAGATGCCTTGAGAACTCCTTGACATCCTTCTGTAGTTCCTTGTCACTAAGGTGAGCTGGAGAGACTTATGCATTAGCGGCATTGAGCAAAGAGCGTTCGTGAAAGGTCGACCAGAGTCCAGCATGCCCAGAAATAGCCTACCTAGGGGTCCTTCTATGATTGCTCGATCATTGAAATTACGTTGTTCTAGATGGACTTCGCGCCTCCGGAGCTGTGATGAGTGTTCGGCCATTGCGTATTACGTAGACTGAGAGGCCAATCCAATCAAAGTTTGAATGATCTGATTTTACAACAGTAGGTAATCTTCACTGCAAAGAGAGCGACAACTGCATGTTATACTCTGCGGTAATTGGAGAAAGCGTGGGCTGGACTGCATTGAAAGAACTGAAATGTTCCGAGGAGGCTTTTCTGCGTCTGCAAGGGAGGGTACTGGATCAGCCCACAGCTACAATCACTCGAAAATATGCTGCAGCCACTAAAAGGATGTATGAAATAATCATGGTAAGGCTTTCTCCATACGATGGTCTCTGTTTGTGTGTGGACTCACAGCCTCAGCGTTATTGAGCGGGGCGCATGTCGCACTCTTCGGTAGCACTGCAGGAAATGGGCGTCTTAATATTACTACCTAAGCGAGCAGCCGCACTTGTACGGCGATGAGAATTACAAATTAGACGCCACACTCACAATTTCAAGCCTCAGACGTTGGTTTGAAAACGGTGTTCTTGAGCTGGAAATTCAGCAAGCAAATTGCATGTGCTGACTGAGATAACATAATTCAGTAATCGAAATGGGTTGAAAAGAGAATGAACCGTTTGTCTCAAACGGTCGGAGTCCCGGAGAGTCCTGAACTAGATCTCTTTGAGCTGAAGACTACAAGATCACTCAGCCCCGAAGCAGCATCTGCAGGTGCGTCACAACCAACATGACCGTAGGCCTTTTATGCTGATGGTCAGAGGAACATTGTGGCTGCTTAGGTCATATGAACTGCGCCCAGCCCTTACAGAAACTTGCATGAACACCAGATGGTGTAGGTGAACCTCGCTCAGAAGGCAATCGATAGCCCTACCTGCATGAGCAGATTGTGATGGAGCATGTCATACTTGTACGAATGTCTCAAAGACAGTGTGCCACCCAACAAAAGAGAGAGAAGACGGAATGGATGTCCTGTATCTTCATAGGCCTCCCCCTAAAGAAACACCAGTTACTGTCATCATTAGTTGACCGATCTCTCACGCAGACAAAGTGTCTGCTTCAAGGTATACCGCAGGCTGAATGATGGCTCTGTGGTTTCAAGGTTGAAGGATGTCGACAACCATGTCAAATACAAGGATCCTCGCAGGCTTATAGGTCGTGTGACCCCCTCTCAGCATTTCATTGCCTCGACGCCACGCGCCCTACTCTCAACCGGTCCCCAGGCCCAAGAGGCAAGCCTGACGTGAGCGATGTCTGCCACGTAATTAACGGTATCAGGACATAAAGCCGAAGCACAGCATTCTTTCCATTGTCTGTTGCCCGGAAGCAACTGTGTCCTAGGCCTACCTGATCATTGTTCACACAAAACCCTCCCCCACACTTAGGACCCTCTTTCCTTCTGCCAACAAGATCTGACTTGGACTCTATATTCCGCAAGTCTTCAATGGCTTGTCTTGACGGGCTTCTGCGCTTCCTCGAGCGCTACTGAGCTTCCTTCAAACGCATGATCAAGGCGAGGAGGTGTGCTGTCATCGTTTCGAAAAAAAAACACTGGAAAACAGACACGGAGCAAGCATGATGTCCATGGCTTCCGGCCTCGCTCGCCAGTCCAGTCTACCAAGATGGCCACCCCTATAGATGTGTTTGGCGTTATTGTAAACGTCGTGCAGCTCACCGGGACTCTTTGCCAGGGATTCAAGTTGTTGAAAGAGTCCATCAAGGCGGTCAAAGAAGCGCGTTCAACTATCAGCCATCTCGAAGACAAAGTCAGTCGAATACAGAGCTATGTCCAGTCTATCGAACATTACCTCAAATGGCGACCGATGACCATTCCCAAAGAAGAGGAACTCCTCCATCTCATCAAGAAACTCACAGAGAGCTGCTATGCTACTCTGCAGGCCCTGTCCGAAAACCTGCCTAAACCGAAAGGTTCGGCTCAGAAGGTAGTGTTGGCGTTTAATCTCTGGGTCGAAAAACAGGGCATCAAGCAGAAGATTCATCTTATTGATGGATACATAAACGACTTTTCTTTGCTTCTGCAGGCTCTGAATTTGTAAGTGATGGCGGTTTGGTCATTGTTCAGAGTACTTCAGCTAACAGCATCGTCTTCCTAAAAAGATACAAGCTGGATCATGTCGCGTTAAAAGTCACCCAGGTCGACTCAACCATACGTGAGATCGCGTCCGCAGTCAACGCCTCCGCACGACTCCAACCCCTGAGCCCGACTGTGACTCTTTCCGAAGATGACCTGAAAGCTTTCCAACTCAAAAAGGAGGTGGCATCTTTCGCCAACCTTGCGGCTACGTCTGTAGTTCTTCATGAGTCGCCGGCCACGACGAGGCCATCATCAACATCGGCGTCTCTGCACCCCACAAATTCATTCTCCTCCGAAACAGCGACATTAAGAAGGGACCAACTGGAGTGCGAATGGGACGCGAATCGGGTGGCTTTCGATCGCCTCATGAGTTATAGTCTATACGAAAGTGCAGTGGACATTCAACATCGGGCTATGGTTATTCAAGAGCAATTGGCTGTGGACTGTGAGACTTGGAAACAAAGTGATAAGTTCCATGACATGCAGAACCAATTAGCCGACACCCTGATCCAATGCGACACGGAAGACCGCAAGGCCGAAGCGATCGCGATATTGCAAAGCCTGGCCAGCTCCTCATATCCGAGACAACAGCATTCAATATTCCCAGACTCGCCTTCGAACCCACTGTCGCCAACCCAACCTACACATAAGTACCTAGGGGTACAGAGAAAATTGGCCCAGCTCTATAAGGAAAGAGGCGAGCTGGAAACAGCATTGAAGATTCTCAACGAGGTTTTCACTACCTACAATAACGAGGAACCCAAAGACGTACCCAAAATCTCCGAAGTTGGCGAACATCTATTGGAACTCTACAGGGCTCGAAGAGAACATGCCGATACACGCCAACAGGCAGTGTCCATCTCACAACTCAACGGGTTCAAAAAGGAGCTGGAGATAGCCACCGGCAAGCCCTACCAGCAAACGACAACATGCGCCCAAGCTGTGCGATGGTGTGAGGAAAGGGGCATCCCGCTTGCTGACAAGAGTCAAGACTGCCGTTTTGATATCATGGATGAGGATGGCAAGTCTTCGCCTTTGCACAGAGCAGCGGAGCTTTGCTGTGACGAAATTGTGCTCCAGCAGATGATTGAGAACTCGGACACCCTTGAGAACTCGAATGAAGATTGCGAGACCCCGCTGCTTCTTGCTGTCGGGTCGTCAAATTTGACTGCCGTCAAGCTTCTGTTGCTGAACAAGGCCAGTGTCCAGGCCTGCGACCTTGAGGGCCAGACTCCCCTCCACAAAAGCCAGATGCCCACAGTGACCAAGCTGCTTCTGGGCGACCGCCTCCGCCGACCTAGTGGAGCCACAGTCAGCTCCATCAACACCACCGATTGGGATCTGGACATAGATGCGCAGGATACCTACAAGATGACGCCTCTCTATAAGGCCTGCAGTGCCGGCCAAGAAAAGATCGTCAAGCTTCTGCTCTCGGCGCATGCTGATCCGAAAATTCGTCGATACAGTCAGAGTCCACTAGCTGTTGCGATCGAGTCAAAGGCCGAACGGTACTCGGGTACACAGGGTCGCCAGAGGAGGATATCCATCGTGAAAGATTTGATACAAGCACGTGCAGATCCGGAGACTGGGAAGGAGGTCTTACGGAATCGCAAAAACCGCAAGCTCCCAGAGGACGGCATGCTTCTCAAAGTTCTGGAAGGGCGGGCCGAGGTTCCCTCTCTGTTTTCACCTAGTATCAAGTCCTTTGAAGTTGGAGAATCGTCTTCTAGCACGGGCAGCAATGACCGTTCATCAACGTCAATCATGTCGCTGGAACCGCTCTCTTTTGGGCCAATCACTTTGGATGACCTCTCCTCCAGGGAACTTCCGAGGTCAGAAAAGTGAATTGTGTATTTATTAGTCTTTGTTGATGATCAAAATGTCAGAGAATGAATCATGTCGGAAGTAAACCGTGGCACCATTATCATACTTGGGTGGATATTGAGGGTTTTGAACGGGCCGGGGGGGGGGGGGGAGGTGCAAAAATATGCGAGGGGGCGTCGTTGGCCTTTGTGTTGAAAATAACTTAGATAAAACAGCAATAAGAGATCCTTGCTTGACCAGGATAGACACATCAGAAGTTTATCTCTACTAAGACACGATGCGTTTTGTGAAATTATAACATATGCACCACTCGATATATATTAGCCCATCTGAACTCTCACCAAAATCCTGAAACCTCTTTAGACAACAACATTTTCTACGGTGCAGTGAGCTGTTTCCGATCCTATTTCCCACGAAGCTGGAGTGTGATTCATAAAATGTTTAGTAATGTATATGCTGTTTTCTGACTCGTTCGATCCTCTCTTATGAAAAGCCGGAAAACGCTTTTCGAACCACTTAACTTGTCACAATTACCGTCTAATACTTTCAGCATCAGTCAATGGATATTCCTAGCCATCGCATGTGTTTCTCTGGCCGGTCCATCTGAGTGAAGTCTACTATTACGTCTCGTTTCTTGTGGGCTGTATCCCCACAAGTCTAACACTTCGCGTCCGCCAAATAAGCACAGACGACATCACGCGAAGGTCCTACAATTCTCATTCGCTAATAATGTGGCAAAGTTTGCATAAGTATATTTGCTGCAGTACACAAAGTCCGACTTCAATTCATCCCTTAACGCCGATCTGCCGCTTTGCGGCACAGGTGTGCTTTCATCTTCTCTACTACATTTACTTCTCAGTTCTATTCACATTGCCGACAAAGCTATAGAAATATGGTCGTACTGGCTGTACCGTGCACTCTTCCACTCGGGTTCCTAGAACTGCGCGCCCGACAGTCTATTTGAATTGATCAAATAAGATGAGCATTGAATCTTGTTGCCTGCAAGGCTTTGCATGGGGTGCAGAACCATGTGGCAGTATCGGAAGTCTGGCCGATCTCAAGACATATATCACTGGCACAAGTGATACAGCTGCAGTCCTGATTATCCATGATCTCTTTGGTGTGAGTCGCACTGATAAATCTAGATCTCCGATTCACTATACGCATCTGGGCATGTACAAGCGCCCGCCTTCAAGATGCTTCAGATCAAATCTAAATCGTTGCTACTATGCCTGTGCAGGGCTTTCCCCTTCTCTTTTTTGGAAGACTCTTTGAGTCATAGAATCACTGATATAGACTGACTTCATTCATTTGTCAGTGGGAGTTCCGAAATACGCGCCTGCTTGCAGACCATTATGCAGCAGAGGCCGGCGTGACGGTTTACGTGCCTGACTTTTTCGACGGCGAGATCCTACCCATCCAAGCGATGTTGAAAGATGAGTGGTACAAAGTTGATGTGGCCGGGTTTATGCAGACAAATGGACGAAAAGCCAGAGAGCCAGGAGTCTTTGCCTGTGCAAGGGTATTGCGAGACAAGTAAGCTATCCCTGGAAAGCGAGGAGCAAGGCCTTTCTCCTTGTAGATGAACTGTGTTTCCCAGCTGGTCACATACATAGTGCTGATGATACGCTGTCTAGGTGTGAGTAAATTCTAGGCGCGTGAATCTTCGGAGAATTAACCCAATGCTATCCCGATAGACAAACACGTAGGAGCCGTCGGCTTCTGCTACGGCGGATGGGCCGCCTTCCGGCTCGGGTCCCGAGAGCATCAGCATTCACCTCTGGTAGACTGCATTTCTGTCGGCCATCCGTCACTCCTTGCGAAAGATGACATCGACCAGGTTGCCGTCCCGCTTCAGGTCCTCGCGCCGGAGCATGATCCCGCGTATACGGCCGAGCTCAAGGCTTATACTTTCGAAACGGTGACGAGGCTGGGGATCCCGTTTGTTTATCGTCATTTCCCTGGCGTTGCCCACGGTTGCCTTGTACGTGGTGAAGAGAACAAACCCCACGAGCGGGAGGCCTTGGTCAAGGGGAAGAATGCTGTTGTTGGTTGGCTGAAGGAATACTTACATGAAAGGACTTGAGTAGGGCTTCAGTCATCTTCCACTGGCGAGATAGCATTTGGCTTTGTCTTCATCTTCAGTCTATTACTTTTACTAGTTGTTATATCTTTCTACTACGGTTGCAGAAGTTTCCACTTGTGAGATACCTGAAGACCAGAAAGTAGAGCGTGTTTCAAGTATGTAGAATAGATCGTAGTCCTCATGGCAAGCTTTGTGTTAGTTGAATAAGGTTCTTGGCTTAGAAGTTGTGAAGAAACTGAGGAGGTACGTGATGTCCTTGAGAAAAGGATACTTCATCATGTGGAACATCAAAGCCAAACTACGTCTAGCAAACTTAGTCATCTCTTGAGCGTCTAGACGACTGATCTTCAAGGTCATTCTTAAGTAAAAATTGGATTTCTGGGTACTGCTTTCCAAACAACCGCCTTTGTCAAGAGGGCGATTCACTCGAGATACATATCTTCCACATGACTTGGACCTAGATCGGCCTCTCGTTGGATAAGATCACTGTAGATCAACCCTTATGAGCTAGGCGAGGTTGATAGGCGGCGAAATACCTCACTTTCTGGCATGCCACCCCTCCAAGGCCCCCATGACCTGCTCAACCGCCCACTCGAGCGTCTCCTCAAAGTCAAAGTCCACACTTCGGCCGCCCCCCTCCTTCGCTTCGGACGACTGCTGGGCCAGGACCCCTTTCTCCCGCAGCACATCCCAAGCCAGCCTACCCCCCTCGACATCGCCGCCCTCGAACATCCACGCGTGGGCATCGACGTAGTTTGGCCACACGATCTTGTCCACGTAGCCCGGCGGGTCCTTCCAAAAGCCCTCGAGCGTGACATAGCCGTCTCTCGCCTCGCGCCGTTGGGTCGCCTTGGCGTGGCTCACCTGCAGGAAGAGCTTGATGTCGAGCAGGGACATGATGCCGCTGAAGTCTGGTGGGGAGTAGAGGAGAAAGCCATCGAGGAGACACATCCGGAGCGGAGATGAGGAGGCTGATGCGGCGGTGTCATTGTTGAATATGTCGTGGCCTGGTTTGCCCGGTTCCAGCCAGGCTGAGACCTTGGCCTTCATGGCTGCTATCTTGGCCTCGGAGGCGGGACACTGTCCTACCGAGTTCTTGTCTTCTTTCGAATCCACAAAGGGCTGTGAAAGAAGAGAGGAAGGGGAGAAGAGTCCTCTGGTAAGCAAGATGAGGTGTGACGACGAGGAGAGCAAGAAGCACCTTCGCCATCACTCTTCGAAAGGGGTGCTTCCTCGCAAGTCAAGAAGGCTTACAGGAAATGTGCCCTCGGAGCGGATATGTGTGAGAGCCTTCTCCATATCGGGAATGTTCAGCGACTCGGCGCAGTCCCAGTCTAGGAGACCATGTCTCGTGGGGAGCCTGTGCCGGTGTTGTCTCAGCTCTACTGTATATATACTCACGTGGGAATGAATTTTGCGATGACTACTGACTCTTCTTCTGGACGGTAGAAGTCATCCTCGTGTAGGACGAAGGTGTTTGGGAATATGTCACGCAATAACCTCGCGAGGGTTGTCTTGCCGCTGGATGAGCAGCCTGAGAGGCCTACAATGACTGCCTTTTGGTCGCCCATAATGGTGATGACACAAAAGGAAGGGAAAAGAAGAAAGGAAACAAAGAGGTCTCTGTCAAGAATGATCCAAAAAAGTAAATTCGCTGATGCTAACGATATCGATATCGATAGAAGCACCATACGAGTAACTTCATCTCCGTAAGGCAGGCGTGCAAGGATGAGATAGAGTGGGAAATCCGGGGCGATGATAACGATTCCCCGGCAGGCCCCAAACAGTGCAGAGATAGTGGCTTCATGCCAGCCGCAGGGCCCCTGAAAGAACCAGAGGACCTTTCATCCCATGTCCCCTGTCCACCCTGAATTGACAACTCAAACTTTTGGATGGGTGACGCAACTATCTTCTGGCCAGACCACTCCAAAAATCGTCTCCAGCTTTATTCCACCAACACAGCTAGCAGCGACCTCGAGTCCTCACAACTGAATTGTACAGCTACACACCTCCACTCTGTCTAAACCACACGAACCAGTCCGTCACCTATTCAATCAAGCAGGCTGATTGAGAGCCTTACCATCCACCAAGCCACAGAAAGAAAAGTAAATTAAAGGAGAGCAGACAAGAAAAGAAAGCAGGAGAAATGCCCGAGCCAGATCACACCCTCGTGGTGATAACGACCTCGGTCGTCGCACTCATCACGGGCTTCCTCCTCGGCGTCTACAGCATTCGCGGCTACCTGATCTCGCCTGAGCTGGTCAAGGAGTCCCGCGCTAACTATGACGACCCAGTCGACAGCGACGAGACGGACATTGACGAGGACGAGACCGTCCTGGACCACGCGCCGAACTGGGCCAACGGCGAGGCGGCTGACCGGAAGCAGGGGCTGAGGGTATCCGCTGCCCCAGAGGACAAGACGAACAAGAAGAAGAAGAAGACAAATAAGACTACGGCGGCAGAGGAGGAGAAGACCGCATCGACCGGCGCATCCACGGTCGAGGATACCGGCGAGGAGTGCAAGCTGGTGCTTGTAGTGAGGACGGACTTGGGGATGACCAAGGGTGAGTACACCTGACCCACAAGACATACACACAATCTGTCCTCCCTTCTTTCCCCTAGCGATACCGCTACTAACCAGATTCTCAACTCGTCAACAGGCAAGATCGCAGCACAGTGCTCCCATGCGACTCTAGCCTGCTACAAGACCCTCTCCCGCGATGCCCGCAGGCTCGGTCCCCAGAGCGCCGCCGCCCGCCTCCTGTCGCGGTGGGAGCGCCACGGTCAGGCCAAGGTCGCCCTGCAGGTCAAGACGCAGGACGAGATGATGACGCTGATGGGCACTGCCCAGAGCCTGGGCATTACGGCCGAGGTCATCCAGGATGCTGGGCGGACCCAGATCGATCCGGGCAGCCTGACTGTTCTGGGTGTGGGGCCTGCGCCCAAGAGCAAGGTGGACCAGGTCACTGGCGGACTAAAGCTGCTTTGAGGGATGCTTATCATGCTCGAGGTCTGAGGGACAAGGGGCATGGTTTATCTCTGGATCCCGCTGGTGTTCTCGATTTGGAAACATTGCATTGTAACTGGCGTTGGGGGAATACGAAAACGACTATGATAGAAAGGGCAGGGCTCATTATAAGGCGGGGGAAAAAAAAAGATAAAAACAATTAGAAGGTCTTTTTGGGGAGTGCAATGGAACTCTTGTCACAAGGGTGGATGTATCATTCAAATTAATTGGGTATCTGCGAGCTCGTGTGGCTCATCTCTCCTTCTTTGCAAAGCGTGCCAGCGCCGGACCGAGCTCTTCTTGCTGTTCCTGGTGCGCCGCCTTGTTCTTCTGCTGCAGCTCATTCCAAATCTCGTCCACCCGCAACCTCTTCTCGTCAATGATGTTCTTCTTCCTCTGCTTCCTCAGGTATTTCTTTAATGCTGCGTTTCGGCCCCTTGCCTTGTTTCTGATCTGCTCCTCAACGTCCTCCGGCGCCGCATCCAGATCACGCTCGGCCTGGCGCTGCGCCTCTGAGCGCAGATCGAGATTGCCTACAAAGTTGGGATCCAAGGCGATCATCTCCGGGGAGAGCTTGTTAAGCAGACCCTTGACCTCGGCCTCCTGTCGCTGCTTGACGGTCTCGTATGGGTTGACTTCCAAGGCGTCGAAGTTGGCCTCGCCTGCGCCCGGTACCAGGATGGATGAGAAGCCCTCGTCGTGGCCGATGCCGAGCACGTCCTCGAACGGACACCATCTGACCCTCTCGACGCGCTTTCCTTCCTTTCCCCATGTTAGATAGGGGCTTTGGACCTTCTCTTGCATAGCTCTGTGTTTTGAGAACAGGCCCTTCCATATTGTTGCACTTGTGCCCCATCCCTAATTTGTAGAGTCAATATCTCTGTTAAGGTTGCCGCTACATTTTATAGAGAGAGTAGGGACATACCAGTGCCGTCAGCCCAGTGTCTGAGATAGCCACAGACGTGGCTGGTGACCTTGTGAAATAGCTGTTCACCTCCTTGAACATTCGAATGTCCCAAACCGCCATCTTCTTATCCTGCCCAGCTGAGACCATGTATCGGCCCTCTCGGTCAACTGCCAAGGAGCGTACTGGTCCCTTGTGCGCCAAAAGCTTGACAAGAGGTTCTGAGGAATTTGGTGACCACAGTGTGACTGTTCCGTTTTGGTGTCCAATATGACATATGGCGTTCCAAGAATTTTGGGTCATGGAACATGGCGCTCCTCCCTTTGTGTGAATTTCGGATACAAGCTGGCCGGTCGAGATGTCCTGGTACTTCAGATTGCTCGATATACCCAGAGTCGCGAGGAGGAAGTGGTACGGCAGGAATTCCATGTGCGACACCTCCACATGCTTCTTCAGACAGTGGAGTTCAACACCGTTTCTGTCGTATATGTAGACGTATTTCTTTTGCGCGACGGCGAAGTATTGGTTGTTGTGGAGCCACTGGATGTCTGCAGATATAATTGTAAGCAATGAATTGCCTGGCTCGAATGGAGTTGTACAACAGGAGCGCATACCTCTGATCGTCTCACCCAGCTGCAGCTCGCAACCCAGCTTGCCCTCCCGGAAGTCCATCGTCGCAACATGGCCCTTCCTACCAGCAAGCAGCAGCTCTCGTCCATTCCTAGTGTACTCGCAGTGATATGGGCCAAGTTCGTCCAACTTCAGTTCGAGCCTCTTCTGTGCTGTCTCGACCGCGGCTTCGGAGGTGATCTCGTCCTGGCGCACCCGGTAAGTCCGCTCCAATTCCGACTCGGCCTCGAGGAAGCCGGACTCATTTTCGAGCAGGATTTCGGCATCCTTCGCTTTCGTAATGGCCGTATGGTACTTGGACTCGAGCTTCTTCATGTTGGTGCGCAGTTTCTTGTCGCGCACGTTGCGCAGGTCGACGCCCTTGCCCCGGCCATAATCGCGGTTGGCCTGTTTCTGACGCCGCCGTCGCTGTTGTTCTTCTTTGGAGAGGAGGGAGGTGCGGGCGTCGCGGACCTGCAGGGCGCCATTTGGCTGCGCCTTGCTGGATGTGGCCTTCTCGTCGCTCATTGTTGACGGTAGCGACACTGGGCAAGATTTGGTGATTGGGGAGGGTGAGGGGGGAGGGTGAGGGTCGAGAGTAGGATTCAGAAATTCTGAGTTTTGGGAAACTTTCCTTGCAGGGGGCCCTGGCAAAGTGGCTTATCGATAGGCTGGACCCCACCATAAATTTCTGGTAAACGATTAAAATCCTCCCCGCTATTTGCAATTGGGAGAAGGCGGAAGGAGAAAGGAAAAAAATAAATAAGAGTGATAAGAAGGCAACCCAGGCACTTCCAAAATAGATGCTGCTCCATCACAACTGCACCAAGGCGTTCCTCGACTCTCCTCACAGATCTTCAATCCCTTGCTGCCATCGTGGCGACCTCACACCTCCCATTTCGTTTCAAGGCAGGCGGCAATTCCACAATGCCGTCCGCTGTGGCGAGCCATTCGCACCGGCCGACGACCAAGGTCAACAACAAGGGCTTCAAGTCGAAAAAGGCTACCAAGAGTGCTCTGAGGGATCAAGCCAAAGGTGAGAAGGCTGCAAGAGGCCAACACTGGTACATACAGTCAATTTTTATTGAGAGCCCTGCACTAATCTGGCGTTTTATTTCACTCGCATAGGCAAGGTCCCCAATGAGCGTCGAAAGACCCCCCACCAACAAGTCATGTCCAAGCTCGACCGTCGAAACCAGGCCAAGCAGAGGCAGGCCACCAAGCATAAGGAGCACCAGAGGGAGGCGTCCGTCTTCGCCGGCCGTGACGGCGCCCCTCGGAATGTTGCAGTCATCCCGCTCTGCGCCGACGGCGATGCAACCACTGCGATCCGATTCTTGAACCAGAGCATTGACCTGGACCAGAAAGTGGCTCTGGGCACCACTCGCGTGCCAGTGGATCGGTTCAAGCAGAAGCTTCAATACATCGCGGTTCCTCGTGATCTCACAGCCTGCCTGGATGCCGCCCGTGCCGCCGATTTTGTCGTGCTGATCCTATCGGCCGACGTGGAGGTGGACGATCTCGGCGAGCTGATCCTTCGCAGCGTGGAGAGCCAGGGCCTGTCGACTCTGTTCACCGTTGTGCAGGGTCTGAGCAAGATCGAGCCTGCGAAGCAGAGGAATTCCGTCCTCGACTCGCTGCGGTCATTCATTACGCATTTCCACCCGGAGCAGCACAAGATCTACAGCCTCGAGAACAGGCAAGAATGCTCCAACCTGATGAGATCGCTCTGCAGCACAATGCCAAAGGGAATCAAGTGGCGCGACGATCGGAGTTGGATGGTGCTGGAAGACGTTCGCTTTGGGGACTCAGAGGAAGCCTCCACCGTGCTCACTGGTGTAGTCAGGGGCAAGGGTCTCAAGGCAGACCGTCTTGTGCAGGTGGGTGACTGGGGCACATTCAAAATCGAAAAGATTACGGCTGCTCCTCTGTCGAAGAGGGGCAAGAAGTCGGACGAGGGCATGAACGTGGATGACGAGGCCGAGAACGAGCTGGACCGCCCGACCGAGGATCAAGATGACCTGGCCGATTTGGCGCCGGAAGAGGTGCTCATGGACGACGCAGATGGTGACCTTGACCTGGATGATGCTACTTCGGTGGCACCATCGACAAAGAAGGGAGTTTTGCTGGATGACCATCACTACTTTTCGGAAGACGAGGGGGACACGGCGATAGAGAAGAGAAGGGTACCCAAAGGCACTTCGAAATATCAAGCTGCTTGGTACCTGGACGACAACGTGTCCGACTCGGGCTCTGATATGACAGACATCGAGATGGAGGAAGAGGAGGAGGAGGGTGACGATGTTGCAGCACCTGAGGATGGTATGGAGGGAATTGTGGATGACGGCCAGACTGAGGCTGGCCTGTCAGAATACCCTCGGTCAGAAGCCGCCTTCATGGAGCTTGATGAGGAAGAAGATGCGGCACAACTGGCGCAGTACAGGTCCAAGAAGAAGGACGAGGCCGAGGAGGATATGGAGTTCCCGGATGAGATCGAACTGCACCCTCATGTCCTGGCACGCGAGAGGTTGGCGAGGTACCGAGGACTGAAAAGTCTGCGGACGAGCTCCTGGGAGCAGGACGAGGATAGGGCGCACGAGCCCGAGGAGTGGCGCAGGCTCCTGCAGGTTCAGGACTACCAGGCCTCGCGAGTGCGATCTGTGCGCGAGGCTCTTGTGGGAGGTGTGCAAGCTGGCACACGCGTCCATGTTCATATCAGCGGCGTGCCCTCCGAGGTCAAGGCCAGTTTCGACCCAGCCAGGCCCGCCACTCTGTTCTCTCTGCTCCGGCACGAGAACAAGCGGGCCGCAGTCAACTTTCTCATCAATTTGAGCTCAGATCACCCCAAGTCCATCAAGTCGAAGGAGGAGTTGATCATCCAGTACGGCCCTCGGCGGTTTGTGATCCACCCCCAGTTCTCGCAGGGCGACAACACACCCAACGATGTCCACAAGTACTGCCGCTTCCTCCACCCAGGCCAGTCTGCAGTAGCGACGTTTATGGGGCCGGTGATGTGGGGTGCCGTGCCAGCACTCTTCTTCAAGAGGTCTGCGCCTGATGAGGAGAAGGGCGAGGACGAGTCCGACCTGCCTTTGACGCTGGTCGGCACCGGCACTGCCCTGTCACCATCTACATCTCGCGTCATCGCCAAGCGAATCATCCTGACCGGCCACCCTTACCACATTCACAAGAAGATCGTCACGATCCGCTACATGTTCTTCAACCGCGAGGACGTGGACTGGTTCAAGGCTCTACCCCTGTGGACGAAGAGGGGCCGCAGCGGCTACGTCAAGGAGCCTCTGGGCACGCACGGATACTTCAAGGCTACGTTTGATGGGCGGATCAACCCTCAGGACAGTATCGGTGTCAGCCTGTACAAGAGGGTATGGCCTCGCAATGCGATGCCACTCACAACATCTCTGCTGGATCCTTCAGAGGTGCCGGCACAGGATGAGGATGATGATGCGATGGCGGTTTGAATAGAGAAGACCAGCGAGGAAGGAGAGTCCCGTATGAGTTGATGACCAGGCGTTCGTAGGGAATGGGTATATCGCCGCCGTATACTAGAGCTCAATTATTATATGAATCCCTTTTATGATGATGACCAACAATCCCCGCCCCCTCCCACTTCACTTCTTCAGAGCATCCAGGCCAGGCGTGGGCGTGGGACCGCCTTTGGACTTTTGCACGTCCTCAGCACCACTGGCCCTCCATGCGCTCAAGATCAAGTTCACAATATGATCCACGCCCACATCCTTCTTCACCTGCGCAAACACAGTAGGCCCACCCTCACGCATCTTGCGCGCATCCCTCTCCATCACACCCAAGTCCGCGCCCACGGCCTCGGCCAGGTCAGTCTTGTTCACCACCAGCAGGTCGCTCTGCGTGATGCCCGGCCCGCCCTTGCGCGGGACCTTGTCGCCACCGCTCACGTCGATGACGTAGATGATGAAGTCGGCCAACTCGCGGCTGTAGTTGGCAGCGAGGTTATCCCCGCCGCTCTCGATGAGCAGCAGATCGGTGCCGAACTCGGCGTGCAGGTCCTCGAGGGCGGCCAGGTTGGCGCTGATGTCCTCGCGCACGGCGGCGTGGGGACAGCCACCCGTCTCGATGGCGCGGATGCGCGGGGCCGGGAGCGCAGCGTGGCGGGTCAGGAACTCGGCGTCCTCGCGCGTGAAGATGTCGTTGGTGACGGCGGCGATGTTGTAGCGCTCGCGCAGGGCCAGGCACAGGGCCAGCATCAGGGCTGTCTTGCCGGAGCCTACGGGCCCGCCGATGCCGACTGTGAAGGCGCGCCCGGCCCAGCTGCGGCCCTGCACGATGGGCATCTCGCGGCCAAGGTAGGAGCCTGGGCCTGTGAGGATCTCGTGCGAGTGGCCGTGTTCTTGGGCGTTGAAGGTGCCTGTGGTGAGGCCTTCGTGGGAGTGGCTGTGGGCGCCTGGGCCGTCGTGAGAGTGGGTGTGGGTTGCCATGGTGTTTTTTTTGGTTTCTCTTTCTTGGTTTTTCTTTTCTTTCGAGGTTTGCCTTTGGATAGATGGATGAATTTTCTAGGTGGGGTTGGGTTGCGTAAGAGGAGGTAAATTCTCAGCTCCTTGTAAAGAGGCGTGAGAGGTGGTGGTGATTCAGGTCTTCTGGCAGTTGATCAGTGATGTCTGTGGTTCAGAATGCCAAATGTAATGATGGCCTGGGGTGTTATGATGGTGGTTTTTTTTTGGATTGAGGTCTTGATGGGTGAATGAGAGTGAGTTCAAGTCCTGAAATGAGAGTGAAGTGGGCAGACAGATGTTGAGATGGGCCCAGGCTGATGTTATGCGGTAGCTTGCTGTAGCTTAGCTGTCGACCCCACGAGATATTTAGGCGGGGTGGAGGTGCTGTGATCTAAGATCTCGAGGAGGGGTTCAGATGATAAGGCGCCGAGGCCAGGGGCAGCCATGCTATCTGAGGCCCTAATTGAGCTCCTGTGGGGTCTAGTATGGAACCTGGTCAGTTGGTGTGCTTACATAAGTATTTGCATCCTGTGCCAGAACAGTCTTGCCTGTTAAATGAGAAAGTGTTGTAGGTAATATTTAATTTTCCTGAAGCGAGCTGCTGTTCGAAAGATATCTTGTCTATGAAAGGGCTGCGGAAAAGAGACGGTCACTATATCTTTACAATGTGCATATCTCACAAGAAGGGAAAATGATTCCAGGTTCTGTAATTCCATGTTTGAAGAAAGAAGAACAATAGAGTGACCATGTCGAGAATAAACATCTCAGACAAAGGTCGAAACACTACTTCTGTCAAGAGATATTCTACTTGACTGCCACCATTCCGTACAAGTACCATCTATACAGTATTGGAGTTTCCGTATTAATGTCGAGTAGATTGTTTTTTGAGCGATTAGATTTCCCTCTTTCCAATTAGAACCCCACCCCACGAGCTGATATTGCCTCTTAGCCTGACAATGCATGTATATTTGCGTATGCTTGGCGTGAAGAGGTGAGAGGCTGTGTTTCGCTTACTGCTTGCATGCTAGTTGATAGGAGTTAGCAGGATCCTGGTAATGCTTCTTTCCCCCCCAGAACAGGTCAACATTATACGTAAGCATGTCAGCTTTTAGCCACCCTCTACGGTACTGCAGCTGCAATAAGCAACCTCCCTCACGAAGCTATGTGCATCTGACAACTCGTGCAATCCCGCTTCATATTCAATATCTGTCTGCTGAAAACGAAACCAGACGGCAGTGAACGGCATACTCTTTCTCACCATGCTCATCGCCAAGGACATAAGAGCTACGAATGACCATCTGGACATCATCAAGACAGTATTTGTCGGGGCGCTGCAACCTGGCAACCTCGTTCTTTTCCCGGTCCGGCCCTCATTTGAGCCAAGGCCGGTCAGCGATGACGATTTCGCGATGGAAACGGGCGAGGGTGGATTGCAAAGAATTGCTAGAAAGGGTAAAGGTCCGTCGCGCACGCAAGACGCCGACCTGATCCGCGTCGAGACGGGCCAGAGCCTCTGCAACGCCTGCGCCAGTGCGCTCGGCTATCTAGCCCGGTATCTCGAGCAAAAGACTTCTGTCGCCAACTTCTACGAGAAAAAAGACAGGCTAGCACCCAACGTGGTTCTGCACTGGAACCTGCTGTCGCTCTTGCACTCGGACGTGCGCGGCTGCCACTTGTGCTCTCTCATCCGTGCGCACATAGAACTCGAGTTTTTTCTATGCCTTGAGTTTTTGAAAAACAGTCGAATCGAGCTGGTGCTGGACTCCAACCTCGAATACGTCGACTCATCGACCTCGAAGCCGCCAGAGGCATCCACGGATGCAGTCGAACATATGTACTTGGCATGTGCCCTGGCGTACAACCCTGAGCCGGAAAGGACTGAGAAGAATTATAAGCAGATTTTCAAACTGCGCCTCTGGCCGTCTCCCAAGCACGACGCTTTGTTTATGCGTGAGCTGCCGGCTGACGATATTTCATCATCCAGTCGCCTCGAAGTTATGCCTAGGGGCTCCAGTATGCGTTGTGCTAAGGACATGGCGGTGAACTGGCTGGATCAGTGCAGAAGAAATTGCAACGGTGAACACGATACGTGCATCGCCAAGGACCCATTATGGCTGCCGACGAGACTTCTGGATCTGAGCCACGCCAACCCGGGAGGCAGTGTACCTGTGGTCTCTCGAGAGAATCGCCCCGAGCTCTTTGCCGCCCATCACGAATACATCACGCTCAGCCACTGCTGGGGCGACTGGCGCGAGGCGGGACTACCGCGCCTGCTCGAGGAGAACAAGGACCAGTACGAGCGGGAGGGCGTTTTGTTTGACGACCTGCCACCCCTGCTGCGAGACGCCATGGAGATTGCTCAGTGGTTCAACGTGCGCTGGCTGTGGATGGACTCGTTGTGTATCGTCCAGGACTCGCCAAGCATGGCCGACTGGAACCGCGAGGCTCCCCTCATGTGCAAAGTATACAAGCATGGGCTGCTCAACATCTCGGCCGACGCCTCAGATGACGCCCGCAGCGGCTGTCTTCATGACCGCCCCGCGGCGCAGGTCACACCCTTTAAGCTGCAGATGGCCAACCTGCAGCGGTCGTGGTGGGTCGCCACGGATGAGCACGACATCTTCAAGTGGATCGCCAAGGCTCCTCTGTCGCAGCGCGCCTGGGTCTTCCAAGAGCGCCATCTGGCCCGGCGGGCGCTGCACTTGACCAAGCACGAGGTCCTTTGGGAATGCTGCCCGGCTAAGCCCTACATTGCGTGCGAGACGTATGCGGCAAGCCTACCCTTTGACAACAGCCGCTTCTTTGGGGTGGGAGCCTACGAACGTGTCAGCCTGTCGACGGGACACGATCAAAAGGCCCGGCACCGAGCCTGGCTCGATCTATGCGAGGACTATTCCGCCAGAGCCCTGAGCTTCGAGAAAGACCGGCTGCCTGCGCTTGCCGGCCTGGCCGCCGAGTTTGCGGATCTGATTCCTGAAGATCGCTACGTTGTGGGTTTTTGGTCCTCGGCTCTGCCCGCTGTCCTGCTTTGGTCGAGCAAACGAAGAGTGCGACAGAAGGGTGTGCGCGCCGCCTATGTCGCGCCGTCTTGGTCGTGGCTATCATCGTGCTCGGCCGTCCGCTTTGACACGGAGACCGATACCAGCATTCAACACATCATCGCCAATGTCATTGACATCAATGTAACACCATCCACGCCTTCTCCATTTGCCATGGTCCAGCCGGGAGCATCCATAGAACTGAGAGGTTTTGTGCGTTTCATCCGTGTCGTCCGCACGCGCCTGCCCAGGGATCCCAAGACCGACAAGTGGTATATGCCTCAGCAGTCACACAAGCAGCGTCTCTTCGTCGACGGCAGTGAGAGGGGCTATGATGACAACGCTATCATGTTCTTGAACCAACTCTCATGGCACCTGGATGCCTGGGATGACGCCGGCGACGAAGACGGTGAAAGCAAGCAGGGCGATGCGTTGAAAGAGTCAACTGAGTGGAGCGGCTACTGCCTCCTCGTCGCTGTATTTGGCGACCGTCAAAACGAACATCTGGCTTTGCAAGGACTGCTGCTAGACAAGACGGACTCCCCAGGTGTCTTTCAAAGAGCTGGCAGGATCACGTTCTCTGGTTTCATGGCTTTACCGATAGCGTTTAAAATGGGAGATATCAAGACCAGTAGACTGACCAGCAAAATAGCGACTCTTTTCAAGCACAGCAAAAGACGCTTGGGAAGCCAAACCCCGAGACCGACTGACAAAACCAAAGAAAGTCAACCAGAAGGCAGTAGACATGAACCGAGCGATGATAAGGATAGTACGCAGTCGGGCGGCCACGATGATTCAGGCCCGATGAGCCTGTACGACTTTTATCAGGGGCCTACCGACAGATCCTTCACCAAATTATCTTGTCGCACGATCAAGATTGTATAGGCTATAATGGAGCTCAAGTATTGGGAAAGTTGGAAACCGCATGCCTTTTCAGTGAATTATTCTATAGAGATTTATCATGAAGCATACAAGCAAACGCTTCAAACCTATCCGTACTTGTTTTATGAATAGCGTCTCTCGCTTCATGATTAGTTGGAAGATCATCTATAATAAAACAGGTTTAGTGCATTAAGATGAGTAACTATACTTGTTCCCAAAAAAAGTTATTATTTGGTGTATCGGTTCAGGATGGTTATTCTCATGGGGTGATTAAACTGCAGAGGCAGCACATGTTGCACGCCCAGCCCATCATGATACAAAGTGATATCATGGGCTGTTGCCTCATCAAGACATTCCAAACAATTCATACCATGAAAGCAGACGGGCTTGAGAATCTATGTTGAAAAGATTGTTCGATACAATCAAAAGAATGATTGTCTGACTTGAAAAGCAGGGACAACATTGGGGGTATACTGCTGCAGCCCTGACCTATACCTAACCTGCCGTATATTTCCATCTGAATTCATAACAACCGTGAATCACAGTACAATCATGGAATGCACACTCAAGAGTACAGTTCCGGATAAGATGCCTTGATCATATCGGCTCCCTGCAAACATGTCAGCGTCTGTCTCAGCAAACAAGCTTCTTGGCAATTCTCCAGACAAATCTTACCTTTTCTCCGATCATGTAAACCGCATTCTGGATGCGACAATCCGGGATGACGGGGATGACAGAGGCATCAATGACACGAAGCTTGTCCACCCCGTACACCTTGAGCTTGCTATCAACCGCGCCTTGCTCAATGTCCTTGCCCATACGAGTGGTCCCGCACGGATGAAAGCCAGTCTGTGACCTCTCCTTGATCATCGTCTCCATCGCCTCGTCCGACTGCCGCGGCATCGGCCACGGATAGTCCTCGCCCAGGATGTCCCTCATGCCCTCGCCGTTCATCAGGATGTCGTCCACAAAGCGGACGCCCTGGCGGAGGGCCACGAGGTCAAGACGGTTCTCGAAGAAGTCGATGTTGACCTTGGGCTGCTCGAGCGGGTCCAGCGAGTTCAGCGTCACGGTGCCGGCGCGCGAGAGCGGGCGGAGCAGGTCGACGATGACGGTGAACCAGTCGCCCTCGGGCGGGCAGGGGATGTGCCACTGGAACGCGTCCGAGAACATGGGGACGAAGTCAATCTCAAAGTGTGGCTGGCCGCCGGGTCCGAAGGGGTCGACATCGCCGTTGGCCTTCTTGTAGGCGGCGTACTCTTCGTCCTTTTCAAGCCACGAGTCGATACGTGGGAGTCCGACGACCTCGAGAAGGCCGCTGGTGTAAGGGCCCTTGTTCTTGTTGACGTAGGCGGACACAGCTGCATCGCGAGCTGGGCCAGGGCGGAGCAGGTGGCTGTCCAGGCCCAGGCCCTCCTTGAGACGGAACACGTGAGGCATGATGGGGTGGTCCCTTCGTCCAAATATTGTCAGTGGCTTTTCAACAAAGGCCAAAAGAGAGATAGTAATTTCACTCTCAAGTGAGGAGAGGAAGCATGACTGAACTAATTGCAATACTCACAGAAGATGCTGGCCCACATTCTCTGATGCAACGACAGGAGTGATGCCGAACTCCTTGAGCGTCTTCTCAGGTCCAATACCAGAGAGCATCAGCAGTTTGGGAGACTCGAAGACACCCTGAGAGATGATGACTTCGTGATGGGCCTCAAAGGTGTAAGAGTTGCCGTCTGGGCCGACAACTTCCACGCCAGTCGCCTTGCCATCTTCAATAATGATGCGCTTGGAGTTGGTCTTGGACAGGACCGCGACATTTTCCTTTCCCGTGAGATACATCCAGCTGGACGACCGCTTGCCGTCATAGATGGAGTTGGTGGACTTCCACAGCCCTCGCATGGTGCCATTGTGCACATCATCGGTGAGTTCCTCGCCCTTGCTGACCCAGGCCTTCTCGAGAGCGTTGCGGAATGGCTCAAGCTCTGGGACCAGGTCCGCATGCGAGACGGGTATGGGCCCGTCCGGTCCGATGTACTTGAGCTCGGGCCGGTACAAATCCCGGTCATCGTGATACTTGGCTGGCTAGATGCATGATTATATGATCGATTGGTTATTATTTGGCCTTCTCGTCCGACACGGTTGTATTCAAAAAGAAACATGACAATAAACTGCCCTTCCCTTGAGGCTTGACTTACCTTGTACAGATACTCCTTCACATTCTTCCAGGTCCATTCATCCCCAGCATACTCAGCCCACTCATCAAAAGTCGCCGCCGAGCCTGGGATCCAGGTATAGTAGTTGAGACAGCTGCTCCCGCCGAGAACCTTACCGCGGGTGTTTGGCTTCTCGATGCGCGTGTACTCGGGCCGGTCGATCATGGTGGTCTTGTACGCCCAGTCATGCTTGCTGCCGCGCAACTCAAAGGCCTTGGCTGGAGTTGTGATAGCGTCAATGTCTTCGGGGTTCCCAATACCGGCTTCGATGACTAGGACATTGACCTTGGGGTTCTCTGCAAGGCGGCCAGCAACTACGCAGCCAGCTGTGCCACCTGCGGGAATCATTCATGGTCAGTGAGATTGTTTTATGGTGAAAAACATAGGACTTCTTGAACTGACCTCCGACGACGATGAAGTCAAACTTCTTGGGTGCTTCGCTGATGGAAGGCATATTTGTAGCTTGTCTAAGCTCGTCTTTGTAGTGCACAATGCAGAAATACGAGGACAATAGATTGTCTTGATCGGGTCTAGACGATCTTCGGTCCAAATGGAGAAATAACAGTTCGATTTGTTGGGTTGATATCCAAGTAAAAAACTGTTGCTGCTGAGATTCTCAATTTCTTTTCTATGTTTCGGTGGGCAGCTCTTCAGATTTATAGACCCTTCGCAAGACACCCAAACCATTACCACACCAACGGCAACTGGACGAACAACCATCAAGTTATTTTCTTAACGCCACATATATAGAGTGTCATAGCTCGGTGAATGCTTGCAGCTTGTATGCACACCAGCGGGTTGCATACGTAGGGTAATGGTGTTCGCCCCCCCTACCGGACATGCTTCGGGTTTGCCTCAGCGAGGCTGCCCGTTCATGCACAACTGACTAAGCACCCACCAACTGTGTGCATTAGTGCAGCAAGCAGTAATTACGACACTCCGAGCTTCCGCCATTGAGCTCCGCCTTGCACAGCGCCTTGCCGAAATACCTCGCCTTACAGCTAGAGAGACTGAGTGTATGTGTTCGGGATCGAGAATTCCAAGAAACGTCGCAACATCTTCTCTACATTTATTCTTTGGTCTTGGGTAAATCCGAGTGTGTGCCGAATTTGCCGATTGCACCCAGTGTTTCGTCCTATCTGCGCTTTGTCGTTCACGGGTCGGTCGCGCTATTGTAGTGATCACCCCTCGTCTACCTTGCAGGAGGGGGTGTGGAAGGAAAGTTGCTGCAAGGTGAGACCTGCAGCTGTGTGGCAGCAAATATTTTCCACTCGCATCACAAGATCTATATGCAAAACAGGACAAGCGGTTCTGATGGTATTACTGGAATACCAGGCTGTTGTCGTACTCGCCGCATTCTCTATTTACAGTGCAGCTATATTCTATGAATTCCATTTAGTATGATATGCAAGAGGAGCATTCATTACCAGTGTTACATATATTGCCCAGTATGCTACGGCAAGTAGTGGCGGCCATTTTCGAATAGTGTTTCCATGGCCATTTCTTAGATTTCAGTAGATACGAACGATAGAGTTTAATGGAAGATCGAGCAATCAGCTCAAGATCAAGCATCCAAAATACTCCCCTGGATATAGCAAATACCTCGGAGTAACTTGGGAAGCTGCTGATACAGCGGAGCAAGATAGCTGTTTATTTGCCTTTTCCTGCAGTCTTTTTAATAATCGGACAGAAATGATGGAAATTGCGCATAACGGTTCTGTTTGCCCTGTCAGTCCTTCTGACGATGATGTTAAAAATCGAGACTATCTGGACATGTTTATGCAGGATGGTCAGGGGATGGTATGGATGGAGATTACAACTATTAAAGAGAGCAATTATCTGATCTTATTATTATAAACCAGCCAACATGCAGATTATGGGACCAGTCACGCGGACCAGAAGCAGAATTGCTCTCGCCGCCTGGGCTCGCAACGGACAGCTTATGCAAGTGACTACATTAGGTTTAGTTCTCACTCTCTCCTCTTTTCATGGTCTGTAGCGGATTCCATTTCAAGTTGATGAAGTCTCTTCATCCTCAAGGTTTTTGAGACTATTTGACAGACATTAACCCGCGATTCTCTCGAACTCATGTCGCGCATTCCTGATATTTTCCTTGAGGATGGCTCGGTCTGGAAGAACATGGATCCCGAGGGGTCTTCCCTGTGCCGACGCCTCCAGCTTTGCCAGTCATGCCGAAGTATCATGGCATCCCCAGAGAATATAAAAACTCTTTTGCATACTATCCGCGGCATGCCAGGTCCGGGCTTGCCTATCTGTTCCGGATCAAAAGACGGGGGGCCGCCGTGCGCTGCAAGAGCTATCGCTTTAGCAGCCGTCGAGGCGCACAATCAAGCAGAGCGAGAGCGTCCTCAAGTCATTAACACGATGGGAAAGACAAGAGAGCTGTCCTTGATTGATCCCGCCAAAACGAACTTCAAATTCAATGCCTGGTGCAATACATCACAAAAGCGTCAGTGGTGCGATGTTACTCATTTGCAATTGAGATACGACGATGAGCCTGTGGAGCTTCTTGATTTCCATATATGTACTCCCGCTGGTAAGATTCTTGTCCTCCTCTCTTGCATCTTTTGTAGCTCAACGTGTTCGGCAATCCTCTCGTTGGATATCTGGTCTGAAGAATGTCAACTAATTTCCAAATAGGGAATCCAGCGGCTGATTACGTGACCACGCGACCAGTCATGCTGGATATGACCCTGGGCATGAGCCAACAGATTGCCTCCTGGATGGAAAGCTGTTCCAAGGATCACGATAATTGTGTGCCTTCAATACCAACATCTCTTCCTACGCGTGTACTGGATGTTGGACTAGGTGACGGGTCCGACATCGTTCGTATCCGCGAAACTCATAGCGAGATAGGGAAGTATGCAGCGTTGAGCTACTGCTGGGGTGGTCCACAGCCAGTGATGCTTACGAAGGGTACATATATGTCCATGACAATGGGTTTCGAGCTGAGCACGCTTCCAATGACATTGAGAGACGCCGTACGGGTCACAAGGGATCTGAAGCTGAATTATCTCTGGATCGACGCCTTGTGTATTATTCAGGACGACTGGAAAGATAAAGAGCACGAATTGGCAGCGATGGCGGCGATTTACAAGAACGCCTACATCACAATCGCGGCTTCGAGCGCAAATACGTGTCGAGAAGGCTTCTTGCAAACCAGGCATGCTCGGAATTCCAGATACCCGCGTTTCGAGCTACCCTACCGAGCATGGGACGACGAATCTATAACAGGAACGGTCATCGTAGGGGAGAAATTCTACCATGACGGCACTCAAGAGCCGACTAACCAACGGGCATGGTGCCTCCAGGAACGGCTCTTGAGTCCGAGGGTCGTCATGTTCGGCACGTATGAGCTCATCTGGCAATGTCAAAAGGGCCAGCATGTCGCGGGCGGCACAGGAGACTCATACCTACCTGGATCGGAGCGCCTCAACCCTGCCTTCTTTGACCCGTCAAAGTCTATTACAAAGGAGGATTTTTACGACTCCTGGCTTGAGATCGTGGCCGACTACTCGCGACGTCATCTAAGTTTTGAAAGCGACAAGCTCGTGGCTGTTTCCGCTATCGCGTCTGAGTTCCAGAGGCTTAGCGACGGAGACATTTACCTTGCTGGACTTTGGAAGCGAGAGCTGATCAAGTGGCTCTCGTGGATGGTCGACCCGTCGCAGCTCAAACCATTCGGAAGCCAGAGACTGATGCCTCGTCCGTCGAAATATATTGCTCCCTCCTGGTCTTGGGCTTCAGTCAATGGGACTGTGTGCATTGGTTGTGCATGGCGAGAGAAGCAGTTCTACGCGGAGATTATCCGATGCGGGATCACTGTCCTGGACCAAAGCCTACCCACCGGCCAAGTAACAGCAGGCGTACTGGAACTTAGAGGACCATTGAAACAGATGAGGTGGACAGGACAGACACACTTTAAGCTCTTCAAGGAAACCGATCCCAACTCCGAAGCTCTTGGCAAGGCTTTCATGGATGCAGACGAGAGTATACCGGACATTGTCTATTGTCTTAGGGTGTACAAAGATTCCGGTCTCATTATGGTGGAAAAAAGCGATTCTATGACTTACACACGAGTCGGAAGATTTGAGGTCTGGGTGGTCTCTGTTTGTGACGCGTGGTTCGAGGGCTGCATGGTTCAGACTATTATTCTGTTATAATCTTTAGGGAAGTTTCAGTTTAGAAATAATAGCAGTTTTAAAATAAGATATTTTATTAACACATAGTCCTAACAGATATAGTAGAGAAATTCAATATTAATGTCATAAGCATCGCAGTAATTCTGAGATAATTAAATACTGTGACGTTATAACGGGTCTAGTCAGTGCATGCACTGGCGATCGCATTTGCGACAAATACTGATTGGGGTTATGCGCGAGAACAACGCTGTGTATAGGCCTTAAATACGGAATCATAACTAAAGTTATAATTACGCAAGCAATGTATGCGAACACCCTGGGAGGTGTGGGAGAGGATTCGGAATGGAAGTTGGTGTACAGAGACAAGTGGTCAGGGCTTGCAGGTTGTAAATAAACTTATATTTTCCATCCCACTGCACCACACGCCTGGTATCTCGCGTCTAAAGGAGTAAGCAATCTATCATGACCCAAATTACACTGGCTACCCCATAAAGTGTTACTTGTTATAGTTGTAAGCAGCCCACCGTGTTGTCATCTCCCCAACGAATTGTGGCCCACGCAGATAATTATTTGTACCTCGTCTAAAAGCAAAAGACTTGGTCCGTCATTTTCGACGCCGCACCAGGCTTTTCGAATCCCAAATCCACCAGCGCCTTCTTCGCAGCATTCACCATCCCTGGAGGCCCACATAGCAAGACCTTGGACCCTTCCTCTTGAGGACTGGGAAATCTCTCCGCCATGAGCTCCTTGGTGACGAATCCAGTGCCGTAGGTCCAGTTCTCAGGCGGGCTGTCAAGAAGATAATGAATCTTCAGGTTGTTCGGGTACCGCCTCGCAAACGTCTCGAGCTCCTCCCGCAGGAGGATATCCCCTTCTGTCCGGTTGGCATAAATCAAGCTGACCTCGGTGGCGTCCCTCGGGTCCTCGCAGATGGCCCGGACCAGCTGGTACATGGGCGTGATGCCTGTGCCTCCAGCAAGCATCCCGATCTTCTTGCAGAGGCCCCTCCTGTACCTCATCGCGCCCTTGGGCCCCCTGAACAGAACCTCGTCGCCGACCGAGAGGTTGGCAAGGTACTTGCCCGTCAGGAGGCCGTCGGGGTAGACCTTGATGATAAGATCGAGGATGCCCTTGTCGGCATTGTTCGACACAGGCGTGTAGGATCGCGAGACAGTCGCGCCGTCTATCGTGGCCTTGATCGCGACGTGTTGGCCTATGGGCAGGCCGAGCACGGTGTCTGGCGTGGGCAGCTCGAAGACGAGCCTGTAGACGTTGGGCGCGACCAGCTCTTTCTTGATGAGGGGGAGAGGATGGAATGTCTGTGGGTCCAGCCAGCCTCGCGAGAGGAGGGGGTCTGCCCTGGCGACACGGGGGATCTTCTTGTGTGGTGCCTCGCGGTGTAAAAACCCGTCCATGCTGAGCAGTTGGGAGGCTTTCCTGACACCCCAGCCGCCTACGAGAAGAGCAACAGTGGAGGCCAGGAAGAAACCTTCCGCAAAACCCAGCCCTCCCCTTGTGCTAGCAGAAGAACCATGTGCCTGGCTTACTTTAATCACTTTTGACAGGGCTGATAGGTCTGCTTTTTGTAGGCCGAGCAGGACTCCGGTCAGAGCACCAAGAGACACCACCGTGCCGCCGACTGCAGCGGTTGGTATGCTTCTCTTGGCTGTCTGTGGGTCTGGCACGGCCTTGACAGCTAACCGCACCGCCTTTGAAACTGTTGCTGTCTTGGAGTTGCCCTTGAGCTTGCCGATGTGGTATGTCGCCATGATCTCTTCGGCATCCTCCGAGTGGCCGGCGTCGTCGAAGGCTTGGGTCCCATCCTTGCCAGCCACGTCCAGCAGGATGTCTACACCTCCTGGATGGTCGTCTAAATATTTTGTAAGGTCGTAAACTGGTCACTATCGTTAGTTTCTATATCTTTGTTCCCTTGGGTCAACAATTTGGTCGCCTACCCTCGCCACGAATCGTCATCCAGCAGTCCTTGCGTTCGCAGTGTGCTGCCACCTCCTTGGTGGTGAATTCTGTTGTTTCTGCGGCCATGGTGCGTCTACTCTGGCAAAGACAAATGACTTCTCTTGTTATATTAACGCGAGTCTGGTCGGTGTCATCTTGGCGGTAGACATTTTTCCCGCTATGGCCGGCGTGGGCCGTCTTATAAGTCAGACACACGCAGAAAAATATTCAGCAAACCTTCAGGGGCGATTCCAGTCTTCGGAGACAGCGTCGTCTGCTATCTGATCCGTTCTTTGAAGAACCCATAAAATTCATTGGGAAATCCTGAACGGTGTTCCAGTGGGACCACCGAGGCTCTGGCCGTTGCATTTACTTTTTTGTCAGTCCCAGAATAGATGCCGAGGTCCTTTGCCCTAAATTACTATTTAGGGTCCTTGCGCCCATGCAATCGACTCAAGAACCGACGGCATCCATGTGTTCTCCATAATATGCGATATCCTCTTAAAAACCGAACGTTGCAAATCATTCCCCCTTGATTCTGCCAAGAGGTTTCCACTCTGCCAAAAATTTCATACCACATGTATCTACGATATGACATGACAATTACTATTTGCTGTAGATCTTCACGGCCGGGATTCACATCGAACTCCGGACCGGGCTGCCGAGGCAGCTCAGACGTTTACCCACCAGAATCTTACTGCATTACTGGCCCTACGTCACTATCTGCGTTATATTTTTGCGGGTCTATCCTTTTTTTTTTTTCTTCCCTCCCTTTCCACAACGGCTTATATCTCGCCTTGACCGATATCTGAGAGAGAAAAAATTCTACGCAGAACGAATGGATCGCACAACATGCTTTTGCGCCTCGGCAAGTGGACCTGTGTGGAATTATGCTATCTTTGCCTCTTGAGCCTCTGCATCTCGGGGCGCGAGGCTCTGCATGGCATGGAATGATATGTAACCCCTGCAAAGACGCCGTTGAAGAGCCCCTTTAAAAGAAGTTTAGATAAATCAGTCGCTTCACCATTGATTCTCGCAGTGATAATCCACACATGTATCAAAATACTCACCCTCTTAGCGAGTATTAATCCATTTTCTCAACACAGCCTTGGAAGTTGGATCTACCTTTCATCGCCAACCACACGACCTTCACTATCTCTTAGGAACGTCTATTACTCAGACATAAATCATGCGGCCAACAACAACATCAAAACAGTTTTATCTTCTTGGGGAAGATGTCTCCACCGCACAAGATATTGATGTCCCCTCGTCAATAGATGAGAATGGGCTGCGGCAACTTGTCGCATCGCATTTTGCAATCGTCGATTCGCAGGGTTAGTGGCATTTGTTCACCTTGTCCCCCCCTCCCTTTCTTCTTCTTCTTCTTCTTCTTCTACTGCGATGATCAATACTGACTGTTACCAGGCATCGGATTCGTGAGCGAGAATGAAGCCCTTACATCGACAGCCGACGTCCTGGACGCGGATGGCCCCGTCTCCATCACGATTGACGGCAAAGCAGTCCACGAGGTGCCAGGACCAAAAGGGCTGCCGTACGTTGGCAACTACCTAGAAGTCTTTCCCGACCATCTTGGAAACCATGCACGGCTTTTTGAAAAGTACGGCCCCTTGTTCAAGACGAACAACATGGGTACTGTCAACTACTTCACCAACGACCCTGCGCTGGCGACCATCGTCTTCACCGAGTCCGACTTCTTCAGCAAGGAGATCATACAAGGACACCCCCTCTTCCCCATCAAGAACCAGGAGGCGGGCGTGTTCACAAGCGACACCAAGACCGAGGAGTGGAAGATGGCCCACAAGTTCCTGCCCCCATTCTTCGGCCCCAAAGCCGTCCGCCACTACGCACCAACAATGAACCAGACGGTGGAGGGAGCGTTCAAGGTGTTTGACGAGCTGGCGGACCGGGACGAGGCGTGGAACGTATACCCTTACATGATGAAGCTGGGCTCGCAGGCCGTGGGCAAGCTCATCCTGGGCATGGACTTCAACCACTTCGCCGGCGTCGACGCCCCGCCCCACGAGATGGTCATGCTGATCGCCGAGTCTCTGGAGCTGATGAAGAAGATCACCAGCCTGCCGCACTGGTACTCGATGCTCCCATTTGGAGATCCCAAGAGGCTGCAGTCGATCCGGGACCGCATGGAGGCGCTGTTCCTGAAGGTGTTTGCAGAGGCATCCACGGGCACCGAGAATCTCGATCTTCAAGAAGCAGCCCTGAAGGCCGAGAACATGATCGACTACCTGGTCCGCGCGACCGACAACGCAGGCAACAAGATGCCGCCCAACAAGTCCTGGCAGCCTCTTGTCGTGGCGACGGGCGCGGGCTTCACCACCACGAGCTCGCTCATGTCCTGGCTCATCTACTCCCTCGTGAACTACCCGGGCATGCAGGAGCGCCTTCTCCAGGAGCTCGTCGACAACGGCTTCACCGACGACACGGTGGTGACGGACGAGCTCACGTCGAAGCTCACGTTCCTGGACCACTTTGTGAAGGAGACGCAGAGGCGGCATAACCCCTCTTTCCAGCCGGCGCGGACGGCGCAGTGCGACGTCGTCCTGCCCGGTGGATACAAGGTGCCCAAGGGAAGTGTGGTCGTCCCGTCCCTGCACCAGATCCACAACAGCCCCAAGATCTGGGGCAACCCGGCCGAGTTCGACCCTGACAGGTGGGACTCGGAGAGGGTGAAGAACAGGCCTAGGAACTCGTACATGCCGTTTGCGACGGGCCAGAGGATGTGCATTGGTTTCAACTTTGCCCTCCAGGAGGCTCGCATTTTCCTGACCAAGCTGGTCTGGCGGTACCACTTTTCTCTGGCGACCGAGGGCGCGATTGACTACGATCCGCAGTTCCAGCTGATCAGGCCGACCAACCTGTACGTGCGTGCCGAGCGGAGAGTAAAATGGCCGCCAAGGAGCGATCTGTAGGGGTTAGACATTAGCTTTGGGTCTCAAAGTATGGAATCATTTGCAGGAGTAAAAGGAGTATTCTGGGGGGGTATAGAAATCAGTCTTCGACTATAGGATTACATGGATATCCACCATTCATTCTTTCACGTTGCATAGCCTTGAGCTTCTACAGTTCTTAGTCACTCTGTGCTTCGATATGATGCCCCTGCAGCTACGACTTGTCCTGAAGACTGATTTCTGTAAGAGTCGGATCAAAATAGAATATTGTCGCTTACCTCCTTGTTAACGCCGCATGAGACGGGACCGCACGGTCGAGAAATCGCGCTAGAGCGACACAACAGTGAAAGGAATTGCCGGTACTACCAACAGCCTCCTCCTCAAAGCTGAATTAGGAAAGGCGTCCCCGCACAGCCAATCGTCTTACACGCATCTAGCGAGGCTGCACAATGAACATTAGATTGACTGCAAAGCAGATGAGAATGGGATTTTCTAGGGTCTTTGATGTTACTCAAGATGCAGAAGTCTTTTTTTTCTTTCTTTCTTTCTATGGAACTAATAAGGACATGAACTATGACTACCATCCTGACCTTGATATGATATTCAAGGTATACTTGCCTCTTCGCATCCTCCCTCAACAACACCAGCCGAGATCATTGAGACGTAAGTCATTTCTCGTATTTCGATGTTCATAGATTCTTCTGTTAGCACTCCCCGCATTGTTTGTACTTGTTTCACTTCTGGGCGATTACGGTCGTATTTGTTGGAAACTAAGTCACAACTACATCCTCACATTCTCAGTCTCGAACCTACTGTTCTCCATTTCCTGTAGATGACACATAACTCTTGAAGTCTTTGATGGAATATTGAAATATGAATAAAACTTCAATTACCCGTAGGCCTAGTCGTAGAGCATATAAGTGCTGCCAGTGTGAGCTCTGAACATTTCTTTCTACTTTATGAGTTCGATACAATACAACTACAAGCTCTTCATAAACAGTGTCTGTTCTGTGTTTCAATTTTTTTCTCTCTCAGATCTACCTTTATTCCTATGTCTAGCAACAACGATTGCTTTCGCATCACTCCTGAGAATATCTAGCTTCTTCGGTGAGGCTCTGAGAAGGTTAGAATGGACCTTGTATTTAACGTGCTCAAAGTTGTTGCAGAAGTAAATATCTCAACTCAAGGGTTCATCCTTGTGGAAATGATCTACTACAAGGGCAAAGCTATTCTTATGAAAGCTGCCATAAAGGGCCATGCAGTTTAGAGGGACTTATGGAAACTTTCGCCTAGAGGCTTTTGCTTGATAATATCTAGAAATGTGTTGTTTCCATTCGCTAACGTAGTCTCATATAGAGATAGCCAATCTCATATTTCATAATGACAGAAGGGCTGATCGAGCTCTCAAGAGTCGCTCTAGTATCAACGTATAGAACGAAGACTGCACAGCGCTGTCCACGAGGCCGTCCTGAACGCTGCTTTGCGTTTCTTAAACTCCTCTGCAAACAAGGCGCGAGCGCCAACACTGTTAGCGTAGGGGACACCACACCTGTCATCTGTAGCCAGAGAGTACATCGCCACGACTTATCCCCTCCGCAAGCATATCTACGCCGACATCGTCCAGCTCTTGCTCAGAAATAGGTGCACTGAGGTCAACTACCCATCCATCAACAGTAACCGCGCAGTACACGTAACCGCCCGAGCACATGACGTGAACCTTGTCGCCATGTTGCTTCGAGGAGGTACTGACCCTAGCATGCATGATTGAGAGGGAGAGGCGCCCTTGCACGGGGCAGCAAAGTAGAAAACTTCGAGGTGGCCAAGGTTGTCTTGGCCGGGGCCGCCAAGTCGAACCTGTACAACTGTTGGGGCGATTCCGTCGTGCACACCGCCATGAGAGCTCCGCCCGCGCAGTGGAGATAGTATTCTCGGCATTATCGAGGCACCGTTGGGTACTGCTACCTTGTTCTAGTTAGTAGTGATTTGGAAGCGGCCTTGAAGATGTGCGTATACCCAGTGTGCGAATACCTTTGTTGGCTGACCATCTACGTGGCTGTATTGGGCCTCCTTATGAGGACTTCTTTCGGACCCCCACAAAGTCATGCCACTCCGAAATCTATCGAAAAGTGCTAAAGGAATTGGTTCACGTATTCAACTGGTTGAAGGCACGTGGCGCTTTGATGCACCTATCCTTGCACTCGAGACTTCGGGCGATATTCATTGACACAACTTGCCTTGCCTCGCGCTTGTAAACAACCTCGACATTGTGAGGCCAGTTATCCATAAGTTGCATAGAGCTTGCAACGCGACCGAAGGGAAGGGGGGGGGGGGGGCGGTGGCTGCTGCCGAGAGGAAGTGCACGAGGACCATGGATCACCACAGTACGAACAGAGGAGAAGCAGATTGGCAAGCCTGAAATGCAGCCAGTACCTATTAATTCCATTGCTATGCAGACCGAGAAGACCAGATGAGACCGTTTTCCATGCGAAGAAAAGTTGAAAATGACCTTCCCCAGTATTCATTCTCCATGAACGATCGCGCGACCCGTCATAAGTCATCCGAGAGTGGCCCACTAGCCCTCATGACACAACTTTGAAAAAGGCCATTCGGTGTCCCCTAACTCGACAAAATCGGTAGGCGATGGAATGGAGTCCAAATTAACCGCAGAATCTCTTGCTAACGTGTCTTCATGAAAGGGGTAGTCAGTACGCCATGATAATACCGGTTGATGCTGTACACGGGAGCGGTAGCCGCGGCAACATGGGGATCCTGAGCCCATGCCCCTTGGTCTAGACGTCTTGTGTTCACACCGGTGGCGCGATGAGCAAGGCGTCCCCTATGCCGAGCTCACGTGTTCTTCACGGCGAAAACCACCACGGTGGCCTCCTCGAGGGCCACCACGACCACGGCCGCGGTGGTGGCCATCACCTCGGAATCCACCACGTCCGCGGTGGTGGCCGCCACGTCCACCACGGAACCCTCCCTCACGATCTCCACGGCCACGGTTGCGCTGCACGGACTGGAAGCCATCGTTGGCGTCAGTAGTGGAGGTAGAAGTGGAGGGCTCAGGGTGGTCGTCGGCCCAGGATTGAGAGCTGGGAGCGGCCGGGGGAGCGTTGGGAGCAGTCTCAGTTTGAGGGGCCTCGGCGGGCTTCTGGACCTCGACCCACTCCTGAGAAGCGGCAAGGTCGTTACCCACGTCCCACTGGTTCTCCGCCGCAGCGTTGGCCGCACTATCACCGACGTCCGCATTGGGAATCGATGTTTCGCCCTCGGCCGGTGTTTCTTCAGTATGGCCATTCGCCAGAGCGATGTCGGTGCCAGCATCGATCTCAGTTAGACCCGCGTTCGCGATGGTCGGGTCGGTCTGAACCAGGTGAGACGACTCAGTGGGGACGGGTTCGACTTCTGGCTCCTCCGCGGGGAGCTCAGTCGGGTCGGAGACGGGCGACGAGTCGGTGATCTGCTGCTTGATGGTGGCGTCTGTGGCAGGTCAGTACCTCTAGGTCGTTGTATGATGCTTAATGGCTCTTTGATCTTACAGGTTACCTGCAAGGACTCGCCGGTCACGCTGGTTGTCGCATCATCAGTGCCGTGGTACAGCTTGACCATGGATGCCACAGCTGTCGAGTCACCGCCATAAACACTGGCCAGGATGCCCTCGTTCGCCTTGTCCAGCTCCTCTTCAGAGCCAGGAGCCTCGCCACGTCTCTGCGCAACAAGACGCAGGAACTGAGAGACCACTAAGAACCCATCCTCGACCGCCTTCTTGAGATCAGCTTCAGCCTGCTTCTTGACCTCGGCTATAGCATCAGCCTTCTCCTTTTCGAACTTGTCCGTCAACGCCTTCTCCGTGTCAGCCTTAGTAGAAGCGGCGATGGCGCGCCACTCATCGTCAAGCTTTTGGACCTGAGCTAGCTGCTCCTCGTAGCGGGCAAGCTCAGCCTCGAGGGCTGGCTTGTTGTCGACCTGTCGCTTCTGGTCGGCGTTGATGATCTTCGCGGTGATGAGCTGTTCGATGGACTTGTCCTTATTCTCCTTGATGAGAGCTTCGGTTTTCGATGCGTTCGACTACCGGCAAAATGTCAGCGACTTCAACTTATGGATTATCAGGAACGAGGGGTTGGCTGGGCAAGGCTTACGATCTTCTTGCTGGTGTTGCGAATATTCCTATAGGGCTAAGTCAGCGAGGAAGGCCAGAAGGGGTATATAGAAGACAGTTGAGGGCGCCATACTTCTTCAGATCACGAATGTAGGCATTCTCGGTGGCCTCGTTGCCGCCAGCAACCGAGACAGCCTTGTCAGAAGAAGTTGCTCCAGGGGCGGGGGAGTCGTTGCGCTCTGTGGCAGCGACAGCAGCCTTGGCCTTCTTCTTCTTGGCCGACTTAGACTCGGTCTGGGCGGGTGGGTTCTGGACGGTGGAAGCAGGCATTATGAACGACTGGTGTTAACAGTAGGAAAGTAGAGTAGGAGCAGTCAGGCGAGACGCAGGTCAGGGCAGTCTGGTCAAACTCGTCTGCAGGCTGTATGTAGAACGCAGGTCGGCACGGTGCTTCTGGGCGACGTATGCTGCGGAGAACAAAATATTTGGTAGGTGCTTCTTGGAGAGGTGGCAAAGGCCTGGATGTGGTGTTGGCAGTGTCAATAGAAGACTTCTTAGGTTGGAGAACAGCAGTAAAGAGGTGGACTTGTCTGCACAAGACTTCGTGTGTTGTTGATGTGCGGAGTTGTAAAGGCAGTGAAAGTAGATAGGTCAAGGTTGTCTCAGAGGTTCAAGAAACAAAGGTAGGAAATTTTGTCGCAGGCAGGCAAGGCGATCGCAAGGGCTGCCAACCCTGCACCCGAACCCGCACCTCCATCAGCACCCACCGCACCTGCCTAGCCCCTCAGGCCCCTGCTCCTACCCACCCAGGCAAGCCAGGCCACACACATCACGTAGTGCAGGACAAACTGGAGAAGTGCTTCTTTTACATGACTGAAGTAATCAACTTAACAATCTGCATCTCAACAGCTTGTCAATAGTGAGTGGCTTACATGCTGTTTAGAGAGTCATGCTTCTCCACATGGCTCGATGTGGCTCATGGCTAATCGCTAGCATCCATTTCATCACAACTTCGACCTGTTATAGAGCCTGCTAGGTCATGCTCCTCCCCTACTTGCTCTTGAAGACCCTTTACCTAGCACTACACAATATTGCAACACTTGTTGGAAGATGATTTGGATTGATTTGACATATTTGGGTATCATATAGAAGGTTTGTTCTGGGATGCCATGAAGGATGACATACATATCAATGTTGCATCATGGCTGCCCAATTGAGGCTGGCACGTGCCACCTGCTCACGTTACTCTCATTCGTGGGTTTCCTGCTCGATGATTTTGCCAGCAAATCTACTCTCATCCCTTGAACTTGGCGAGTGCATCCTATTCGTAAATAAGAATTAGCACCATGTCGCGTGAGCTGAATGAGCTTGACATCTATGTTACTTACCCCAGTGACCTTCCTGACGCTCCTTGCTGTGATCCCTCTCTCTCCTCCCTGCTTTGCCTCGATTGCTGCCTCCTTGACAAGTCTGAAGAGTGACTGTCAGTATTGAGGCATGTAGGATGTCAGATTGTCTGGGAGTTTTACGTCTGCATAAACAAGGCATAGTCGAGGAACATCTGCGATCATATATCGAGGTCAGCAAACTGCGTCACATCGACGCGTTTCAGGCGAAGGTGGCTACCCTACCAGGATATCGACGTTCTTGCTGAGGCTGCGGCCGGAGTGTGCTTTGATGATCTTTTTGACGGTACCTCGTGGATACAGTTTCTGTCCTGGCGGCATCTTTTCGGATGATATGTGGAAGATGATGATTGATGATTGATGCGAAGATGTGAAATGGCCAAGCGTGTTCAGCTCCAGGGTTCGGTTTGTTGACGTTTTGAGTGCGCCGTCGTCCAATCGGGGAAAGAGTTAGGAATTTCTCAGGAGGAGCTGCTGGTGTCAACCCCTGTATCTAGACCCACTAGTGCTATGGTACCTTACTTGCTATGGGATGTTACAGCGAGCTAGGCCAGTGCTGGGACGTCATGGTGTACCGTCTCTTGAGACGGTAAGACACTGTGTCTTCACACCGTCCCCGCAGTCTGTTAGGAAGCTCCAAAATCCGTGGCCAAGGCTTGTCCCGTCAACTTTGAGCCTCAACCTTAACAGCATCCTTGAATCCAGCCCGGTTGAATCCCAGCCCGAGGACAGACAAGATGCAGAGGCGTATGGTGGGTCTCCGTCAAATGCTATCCAAAGAGACCGCGGTTTCTCGCTAACAGTAGTGTGCACAGTTGACAAAGGAGGACGAGCAGGCCGTCGGCGACGAAGTCGAGGTCAGGAGGGAAGACCAGGACAAGATCAATAAGTTCAGCCGGCTACACCAACGAGAACTAAAGTACGAGGAGGCGCTCAAGCTCAAGAATGTACGATGACCCACTGCAATACACCCGGGTACCCCCTTCCTGTATGATCAAAGAGCTGACGGATGCTACAGAAGGAGAAAGAGGAGCTCGACGATATCACGATGGAGCTAGAGCTGGCAGACGAGGACGACACAATACCGTCAGTACACCAAACATAGTATTTGTGCACCTCTTAACGCACACACGCACAGCTAATTCGGATCGTATCGCAACAGATATAAAATTGGCGACTCGTTCTTCCACGTCACGGTGGCCCAAGCGCAGGAAATGCTCGGCACGGGGACGGCCAAAATTGAGGAGGACATATCAGAGATCGAGGACAAGCTGAACACGGCGCGAGAGGAGATGTCGCAGTTGAAGGTCGAGCTGTATGCCCGCTTTGGACGGAGCATCAATCTGGAGACCTAGAATGAAGCATCTCTGTACACACGCGCGCGCGCACACCACACACACACATTGGGACATTGAGGGATCAGCTCTCTTGAGTGTCAGCAGACAACTGCAGCCGATAGCCGGAGCGTCAACCTTCCAAAGGACATCGAAAAGGGCGTAATGATGGAATCACAAGCGTGTTGCTCCGCTGTCGAGCTGCATACTGTGTTTTTGACAACCACGAAACTGCGGGGAAGGAACTTGAGCCGGCATGTCCTAAGGCCTTGGGTTGGGATTATGGATCCCGGGAGCCGATATCGCGGTCCGGCGGTGGGGGCTTGCATGCGGCGCAACCCTTCTATCCTCGTCCGACCACGACACGCATGACGCTCGACGCGGTGTGACATCCGCCCAGACCGGTAGCTCCTCTCTGCCCGCCCACATTCTGGTCTTCTCCTCAAGGGATTGGAGTCCTCTCATGAGACATAGGAAGAACTCTCTGGGGCGCTTCTACTCTCGGTGCTCAATCGCGCGCCGACATTGACGGGTCTATGCAGCTAATGACAAACTAGGGCGTCAGTGGCTCCGATTATCTGTCTTACCCAATCAAGTCTGCTCGGTTTACTCCCTTGTGCACGGCAATAACCATACTTTGTATTCTTGTGCCCGGGCCTCAGTCCTGAATAACCATTCATGCCGTGGTTTCTTGCGAGCCCGACCCCCTTCGACATGTCCAAAAATGTAAGCGGGGCCCCGATGTACGGATTACGGCAATTACCAACCTTAAAGTGGCTCTGGGATTGCAAACGGCCTGTGTGGGGATACAACATATTCCTCCTATCCTCTCATGCATAGTTCGAGCCAACCAAATTGCCCAGAAACTCTTCCCCTCGAGATGTGTTGTTGTTCTGGTCTGTATTTGGGCATGCTTGTTCCTGGTTAAGTTTACCATAAAACCTATACGATACCCTCTTTTCCTATCCTCGGCGCTTCAACTCATTACGGGTTCTGCCAATGTTTGAGATGGACGAGATGAGAAGCCCTGGGGCCAACGTCGAGCCCCAGCACAGTCGTGAGTACATCCTATCCCGTATGGCTCTGCACGTTGTGGCCCAGACTCAACTGACGCTCAGGGAAAGGCGAAGGTCGTCTCCAGCGCATCATAAGCCAGATCAGCCAAATCGACGAGCAAGATGCGAGATCTCGCTACCGCGAAGAAACCCGAGACGAGAATGTCGCCGACGACTGCCACGGCATAACGTCGTCGGAGGAAGTCAGGAAGTTCGTCGCATTTGAGCCTGACGATCCGGAGAATCCGTACAATTGGACTGGCGTGGGTGGTGCTCGCTGCTGTCTAGCAGAAACAAGAGACTGATGACTGGACATTTTGGACATTTAGAGAAAGAAAGCATCGATCGTAGTCACGACGATGGCCACAGTTGTAAACAGCACAATGGCCAGTTCCCTGCCTAGCAATGCTATCCCCTACATGATGGAGGAGTGGCACGTCAATTCGACGTCGCAGCAGGTTCTGCCCATCTCCATGTTTCTCGTCGGTCAGTCTATCTCCCCAGAGTATTTCAGTTCTTGTGTCCATCTATTATTGATTAACAGTATTGGTGGCAGGATACGTCTTCGGTAGGCCTCTTTGTGTCTGGCAAGCCGCACTGTCGTTCTCCCATCTAATATTGCCGATGCAGGCCCAATCATGTGGGCACCTCTGAGTGAGCAATTTGGTCGGAAACGGTTCACGATTGCAACATTTGTCGTCTTCAGCCTCTGGACTCTGGCCTGCGCTCTCGCACCAAACTGGCCTGCTTTTCTTGTCTTTCGTCTCTTCGTGGGCGCCTTTGCCAGTGCGCCCATTGCCGTCGTCACTGGCATCTTGGCAGACATATATAACGAGCCTCAAGCCAGAGGAAGAGCCATGGCCGTTTTCATGGCGGTGAGCTCACCACCCCACTCCTTCCATCCTTCCGTCCAGACCACCTCCTCTCCAGCCCCTTGTCTTCACACAACCCCGAGACTCGTGTTGACCACTAGAATTTCAAGACAACCGTCTTCGGCCCCCTCCTCGCACCAATCATCTCAGGCTACTGCTCCCCGAACATCGGCTGGCGGTGGACCTTTTGGATCGGCCTGATCTACGCCGGAGCAACCTTGATTCCTCTTCTCCTCCTCCTGCCTGAGACATCCGGCCCCATCATCCTCGTCCAGCGCGCCCGGAAGCTCCGCCGCCAGGACCCCGACTCGACTGTCGTCGCCCCTCACGAGCTTGAGCAGCTCGACCTCCGGCAGCTCGCAGCGCGGGTCCTCACGCGCCCCGTCCGCATGCTCTTCACCGAGCTCATCGTGTCGGCGACCTGCGTCTACCTGGCACTGTGCTACGCCATCTTCTACATGACCTTCCAGGCGTTTCCCATCATCTACGAGGACCTGTACGGTCTCTCCGCTGGCGTCGAGGGCCTGTGTTTCTTGGCTATTGGCGGCGGGGCCCTGTGCGCGCTGCCCGTCTTCTTCGGGTGGGACGCTTACCTCAGACGGGCGCTGGCGGAGGACAGGCCGTGGACACGGCGCGAGGAGTACAGGCGGCTGCCGCTGGCGTGTCTCGGGGGTCCGCTGTTTGTGGTCTCGTTATTCTGGCTGGGGTGGACGTCGAGGGAGGGCGTGCCGTTCTTTGTGCCGATGTTGAGCGGGATCCCCTTTGGTATGGGGTTTCAGCTGATCTTTATGGCTTTGGTCCGTTGACACCTCCTTTTCTTCTCCCACTCCTGTTTGAAAATCTTTCTTCTTCGCTGCCCTTCCCCACAATACTTTTCTCAATCCTCGCGATCGATGTCTTTGTGCTGACTCTCACTGACCTCCTCATCCTGACAACAGCTCAACTACCTAACCGACGCCTACGAAATCTACGCCGCTTCCGCCAACGCAGCCGCGTCCTGCTCCAGATCCCTCCTGGCAACAGTCCTTCCCTTTGCCGCGACGCCCATGTTCAACCGCCTCGGCATCGACGGCGCCTGCAGCCTCCTGGGCGGACTGAGCTGTCTGATGTGTGTCATCCCTTTTGTGTTCATCTGGAAGGGAGAGAGGTTGCGGGCGGGCTCGAGGTTCTGTATTGAGCTCAGGAAGGGAAAGGAGGAGCTGGCTAGGAAGGTGGCGGAGCAGAGACGGCGGGAGGGGAGGAGGGAGAATGGGTTGCAGGTGGGTGGAGATGAGAAGAAGAGAGGGCTGGATGGAGACGGGGGGATTGCTGAAGAAGATATGGAAATGGGAACGGTGGCAATGAAAGAAGAAGTATAATGTTTTAGTCTGTGAGGATGAGACCTATGCTTGGAAGTTTGTGTGCAAGGAGCATCAGAAGTTTGATGAGGCTGAAGGACAGATTACGTGTTGTTGCATTGCGAATTTCAAATCTCTAGCATATTAACAGGGGCATATTGGATAGATCGGTAACATAGTAGTAGGTATTACATCCAAGAGACCTCCTGCAAAAGGCCTGATCTGCGACGTCTAAAATTGCGTGGTGTAGGACGAGACCAAATACTGCGGTAGGGTCTGCTTTCCACGATAAGAGCATACCACCATGTGAACCCAACGAATCAGTCCGCCTTTCCATTGACTTTGCCATTTGCAAGTCCATGTGACATCGTCTGTATTACCCGACCATTCTCACCACGCCCGGGCACCGTGAACTCCAAACCCTTCGTCAGAGTCTTGATAGACCCAAACCATGCCAGGAAAGACTCCGGTATGTAGCCTTTCCTCTCGTCCCACGGGTCGACGCCGGCCTTCCTGGGCAGCCTGTCGTGTGCCACCAGAAAATACGTGGATTTCATGCTTATGATCGGCTCAGCGACCAAGGACTCTCTGTTCTCCACTACAGGCTTCACTGCCGTAGCACCGAGACTCTTCATGTGCTTGATGACACGCATCATGAGCCGTAGGCATGAGTCACTGCCAAGTGTCCAGGACATATTTGTATACCCAATCACCATCGCCACTGCACAAAAGTTTCGTCAGTAGACACGAGCATTGGTAGGTCAGGAACAAGGGGTTGGAAGGAGAAGGGGGCGTCATACTGTTCGGAACACCCTCAAGCATGAAATTACGCCAAGCAAATCTCTCTCCAATGTTGACCCTCTGTCCATCCACAGTGACATCTACGCCGCCCAAAATGAGGATTCGAAGACCAGTAGCCGTCACGATGATGTCAGCATCAATTGTCTTTCCCGATGTTGTCACAATCCCAGACGCCGTGACCGTCCGTATGTGATCCGTCACAACGTCGGTATTCGGCTGCCTAAGTGCATCGTAAAAGTCGCCATCCGGGCAGACGCAGAGCCGTTGAGCCCAGGGGTCATATCGGGGCGTGAAGTGAGGGTCGACCGGAATGCCTGAGCCCTCGAGCTGTTTCGCCATCCTCTTGATGAACAGCCTGCGGGCAAAGTTGGGGAAGGCCAAGCAGAGGAACCTGATGAGTGACTGGATCAGGACATCCTTCCAAAAGTTGATGTTGTCGGCGATCCTTTTCGGAAGCCACCTGCGCAGGGCAAAAATGTGGCCCGGGGCAGACGGCAGCGGCATGACGTAGCCGGGACTCCTTTGGAGCATCGTGACATGGGCGGCCGTCCTGGCCAGCACAGGCAAGATGGTGATGGTCGTGGCACCAGAGCCGATGATGACAACGCGCTTGTTGGCGTAGTCGAGGTCCGCAGGCCAGAATTGGGGGTGCACCACCTCGCCCTGAAAGCTCGAGATGCCCGGGATGGCCGCTTGGAGAGGCGTCTGATAATCGTAGTAGCCGCTGCATGTGAATAGAAATGTCGACTTCAGCGTCTTCTTGGACCTGCCGCCATCCACATCGACCTCGACGGTCCACTTGCTCTCTGGCGTCGACCAGTGGGTGCCGGTCACCCTGTGCTGAAACTCGATATGCTGATCGATACCGGCCCACGCGACCGAGTCCTCGAGGTATTTCTGGATCATCGGACCATCTGCGATCTCCTTCTCCTCGCTCCAGGGCCTCCATCTGAAGCCAAAGCCTGTGAGATACGAGTCTGAGCGGAGTCCGGGGTATTTAAAGAAGTTCCACGTCCCGCCGATGGTGTCTCGGGACTCGAGCACGGTGAAGCGGGCGCCTGGCATCTCTGTCTGGACTTTGTAGGCCGCATTGATGCCTGATGCACCGGCACCGATGATCACAACATCGTATTCCTCCATTCTTGCGATTGTGTTGCTTGTCAACAGTTAATTTTAGTACTGTTGCACGTGAACCTTGCTGGAAGAGAATCGCAGGGAAGCGGAGGAAGAACAAGAAGGGTAGAAAAAAGAAAAGAAAAAAAAAGAAAAAAAAAAAGAGATGATGATAACATGCAACATGCAATCTGCTGAGAATTGGATATCTTGTTCAGCGACCTCAGCTCCTTCGTCCTCGTCCTATGCTCACATGCTCCGTGTTTCGAGTTGTTTAGTCGGATAAGCTGAGGTGTCATGATTTACTGTCCTTCGAGGTGAAGTACTTAGTCCCTAATCAATCCCTGTCGAGCGTGACATCCTCGCGACGCCTTCCCTTTTCAGCCATTTGCAGTGGAAGCCAGAATCCTCTTATGATAGTTCAAAGACTCAAATGGAGCCTTACGGTGCCTCCCCTTTTCAGCCATTGGGAATGCAGAATCCTCTTCTGATATTTCGACGAGACTCGTATATAAAATTTCGATGGAATGCTAAATTAGATAAACCCCCATAATTACCTAAAACGGGGTCGCTGGGTAAACACCTTTTTCCCGGAAGGAACGGCCACACGTTGACGTCAGCGTATTCATAGTACATCATTTTTCGTCAATTGAATTCGATAATGTCTCATCACGTAGACTTTGAAGAGCCTAGATAAGCTACTAGTTCTCTTCTTGCCCAAAGGCTTGAGGTCGATGTCTCAGAAGAAGGGAATGCATCCTCTGGCTTTTAGGTCTTGCGGCTAGTCTTCGGCCAGCGTCAGACCTTCGGTCAAAACGCTTAGGCTAACATAGCAATATGGGCACTAATACTCGATGGGTTCTCTAGAAAGCGGTAAAATGTTACTGGGAACTTCTCACTTAGGGTGGCGTCGTTCGACTTCCAAGCCTTGCGACGGCACATGTCGGGGGCGGGGTGAGCTAGGATGATGGACATGACATCATACGCTGTCCGTTGCAATACGATTGCCCAGCTATAAAATGCAGTTGGATATAAGCTTCCTTGGCATAAAACAGCTGTGGCACAATGATTTGATTCCTGTGTCCGCATTCGTACATTGAATCTAAGCTCCTGACAATTATTTTCACTCCCACGAACGCCGCCTACTGTATTCCTAAAGAAATACAACCATCCTCCAAGACACTCCTCATCCACATCGAATATTCATCAACCTTCAACCACACCCTTAGCACACCGAAGAACCTTCAAGATGGTCAAGGCAGTCGAGGATATCAAGTCCGGCCTTAAGGGCATCAAGGGCGCAGGCGACGCCATTCGCGGCACCGCCATGGAAGCAACCGACGAGCTCTTCGACCAAGGCTCTAACCACCCGCAGACCGCGGCGTCTCAGACAAAGAACCGCGCACTGGCGGACAAGGGAATGCAGGAGGCCAAGGCGGCGGACAGCAACATTGGCGCACGACATGGGCCGGGAGCATCGACCACAACAACCACGGGTGGCCCTCGTGTTTAAATCGGCGAGGAGTAGATGATGTTTGGGGGCGATGCATATTGTTCAGAGGCACAGTACATTGGGCATACGGCGTCTGGGTTGGTGTTGAATCCTAGACTGGGTGGTTTCGATTCATCTTAGAAACTACAGTATCTTGTTTACATTACTAGAAGAGAAAAAAGAGAGAAAGAAAACATATCCAAGGTATTCTCGTCTGCCGTAACACCTGAAATCTTGACATCAAAGAAAAAAGAAGTATGATAAAAAGTCCAGACAGTGGAGGGATAGAACAACCCTAGCACCTAAACAGACGGTGACTCCAGGTCATAACTACCGACCCCCTGCCACGCCATGCCCAGGCAGGGCCTAAATCTCTCCCCCGCATCAACCCCCCAGTGTTATCGCCGCGCCGGCGACGGCATCACCAAACTTGGGAACAAAACTCCACCTTCGAATGCTTGACAGGCCCTGTATTGTCCGGTGGATCACACGAGACCCCGTCCAAGCTAGCCTCGGACTGTAACGTTGCTCACTGTTGATCCAACATGATGGCAACTTGCACTATACTTGTTGCTTCCCCAACCTGTGCCGTGTCAAGCACGACAACAACAAGCAGAATGAGCCCTTCACAACCACCAAGATGGCTCTCTCAACTGCGGCCTCTTGGCTTGGCCTGCTGGTTCTGGTCCTGTTCATAGGAGAAGGCACCTCGGCAGATCAGTGGCTGCAGCGACAGCAACAGCAACAACAACCACTACCATCCTATCCCTATCCAAGTACGCAATGGAACCCAGACACGGGCGTTCACGGCGCCACCCTGGGCAGAGATGCTTTCGTCAACGCCGTCGTGGCCAACATGACAGTCGAGGATCTGGTCTTACAGCTGCATCTGACCTTTGGCGACGACATCGTCGGGGTTGAGTCCAGGGACGAGCTCTATGACTACACGATGAGGTTCAGCCCAGCCTCCGCCGTCGGCCACATGCACGACTGGTATTCCCTCAACACCTCCCACTACAACGAGGTGCAGCAGCTCAACCTGGACAAGGCACGCCTCAAGGTGCCCTTTATGCATTTTGGCGAATGCCTCCATGCCGTCGGCTCCTTCAAGCAGTCCATGTTTCCCCAGAGCCTCGGCCTCTCAGCAAGCTTCGACACGGATCTCGTCTACCGCGTCGGACGCGCCATCGGAACCGAGGCACGGTCCATTGGCATCCACGCCTGCTTCTCCCCGGTGCTCGACATCGGCCAGGACCCGAGGTGGGGGAGGATGCAGGAAGCATGGGGCGAAGACAAGGTGTTGACGTCGCACATGGGCGTCGCCTATTCGTCTGGGCTGTCTAAAAACGGGTCCTGGTCTGAGCCGGATGCTGTGGTGCCCGTCATGAAGCACTTTGCCGCACATGGCGCACCGCAGGCTGGGAGAAATGCCGCTCCCTTCATGGGCCATGGGAATCGGCAGGTCTTCCAGGACCTCCTCACTCCCTTCAAGGCCGTCGTGCAACTTGGTGGCGTCAGGGGTGTCATGATGTCTTACAATGAGTTCGACGATATTCCTTCTCATGTGAATCCCAAGTTGTATCGGGCACTCCAGGACTGGGGCTTTGACGGCTTCGTCATCGCTGATGATACCGGCATGAACGAGCTGTACAGCGTGCATCAGGTCGCGAGCTCGCCAGCCGATGCGATTCTGCAGTGGTACGAGGCGGGTGGGATGATACAGTTCTATGATTGGCCTCTCGAGCTTCTCCTCAACACCACCAAAGAGCTGATCGCTAATGGCTCGCTCGAGCTGTCGACACTTCAATCTCATGTACAGTCAATCTTGGGAGTCAAGTGGGACCTTGGTCTATTCGAGAATCCCTTCATCTCAGAAGGCACCGATCCTATCCAGACCGTCCAGGATAACAAGGGTCTGGCTCTGGAAGCCAGCCAGCGGAGTATCGTTCTGCTCGAAAACAGAGACGCCACGCTCCCCCTCAAACCTGTGGAGCAAAACATATCCACAGTTGCCCTCATCGGGCCCTTCTCTGATGTGCTAAATTATGGCGACTACTCAGGTCAATGGGGTGAATACCCAGCCGACAATGCCAACACAATCCGTCAGGCTTTGCTGGCGTACAGCGAGAATCCAGAACATCCCTTCAAGCTGGTATCGAGCTGGGGAGCCAATACCTGGGAATACAACGCCCAATACGTTATTCCTCCGTATCTTCTTTCGTCCCCCGATGGGACGCCTGGAGGTTTGCAGGTAACATATTTCGCAACCACCAACTTCAGTAACCCTACGGTTACCAGAACAGAGGTCCCTGCGTTGGACTGGGGCATCTATCCACCGCCGGGCCTGCCGTCCAACAATTTCAGCGCCATATGGGAGGGCCGCCTGACCTCACCTGTAGATGTCGACACGAACGGCTGGATCGGTGTGGCAGTCGGCGCCAATACTACATCGAAGCTCTTCGTCAACGGAAACCCAGTTACATCGTGGGGCAATCCTTTGACTGCCGACAATAACATCCTGGGCAACATTCAGCAGTTTGACTACATCCAGGTGAACAGCACACTTCCACCTGAAGGCTCTGCTCCGTTTATGTTCAGAGCGGGTGAGACTTACGATATTCGCATCGAGTACCAAGCCTTCAACCTCTACAAGAAGACGGAGAATGTGGTCTCTCTCAACTCGCAGCTCCTGCTGTTCTGGAACCTCGTCAGCAGCGACCCGGCCGACGATGCCGTCTCCCAGGCTGTGCAGCTTGCCGAGTCCGCAGATGTCATCGTGCTCGCCGTGGGCGCCGCCTGGAACAGCGACGGCGAGAGTGGTGATCGCGCCACGCTGGGCCTCGCCCCTAGCCAGGACAAACTTGCCACAGCCATCTACGCCCTTAACAAGCCCGTCGTCCTCGTGCTGCAGGGCGGCCGACCGTTCGCCATTGCCGAGTACTATGATCAGAGCGCTGCAGTCCTGAGTACCTGGTTTCCTGGGCAGAGCGGCGGACAGGCGATCGCTGACGTCTTGTTCGGCAAGGTCAATCCTGGGGGGAGGCTGCCCGTGAGTGTTCCACGGCATGTCGGACAGATACCGATCTACTACAACTACAAGAGTTTGGGCAGGAAGATCAAGTATCTCGATGTCGGGTCCCAGCCGTGCTATCCGTTCGGGTACGGGCTTTCCTTCGCCTCGTTCAGTGTATCCGACTTCACCGCCAGCAGCCAGGACGGAGGACTCGTATTTACCTCTGGGGATACCATCGCCTTTTCAGCGAGAGTAAGGAATGATGGTGTCATCGATGGAAGCTATGTGCTCCAAGTGTACGTCCTCGGGCGGGTCTCCAGCATCGTGCAGCCGGTGAAGCAGCTCGTCGCGTTTCAGCGGGTTGATGTCGCCGCGGGGGACAAGGTCAGCGTCAGCATGGAACTTGAGGTCGACCGCTATCTGACAATCATCAACCGCTGGGATGAGTGGGTGCTGGAGAAGGGCGAGTATACATTTGCGTTGCTGGAGCATGGCGGTGACTTGGCTGATACCGGTTTGAATGTCACGATGGAGTCTGTCTGAAGAAGGTGGTTCGGTCCGAGAGAACTTAGTTTTTTCTTGTAAATGTGAATTTTATGCTGTTGTATGGAATTCAAGACCACTGGACAGGGTTGATGGTCAGGGGCAGGATGTGATGTCGACGGACGCCGTGAGTCAGGGCCCAGTCAGTCCGTACCCACAAGACATATGAAGAATTTTTTCAGGCCCTGAAACTCAACCAGACACGAAAGCGTCTTCAAGACGCCCGGCTAGCTCAATCGGTAGAGCGTGAGACTCTTACAGAGTTTCCGATTCTGACAAAATCTCAAGGTTGTGGGGTATGTTCAAATCGTTCGTCAAGATGTGGTTATTACACTGTCTAACAATAGCTTCTAGTTCGACCCCCACGTCGGGCTCAATTCCCGTCGATCTTCGATTACTTTTTTATTTATTTTTTTCCTTTCTTTTCTTTTTGTTTCTTCCAACTTTCCATCTTGCCGTGCACAATTTCATGTATGCCTTTTTGTCAGCTTGACTGGTGACTGAGGACGTCTTATCTCAATATTTTCCGTTTCTGCTAGAACTGAAAGTTGTTCTAGGGGTTTGGCCAGGCCAACGACATGTGGACTGAGACCTTGAAGTTGTGAGCCGCGCCAGATCAAATAACAAACGATGCCTTATGGCACCTTATTCCCTCCGAACCAGACTCATATTTCCCAGTGAGTCTGAGTTACATTTGTCCCACTCGCCAAAAGTTTCATCTGTCCCACGCGGCTCTAGTCATCGACTCTCACACGGGGCCGTCTATTGTGACGCAATCGAGCACCACAATTACCGTTAAATGGCGGACAGGACAATCCTCTTTGTGAGTGTGCTATTGAGAAGTCAGACAATGGCCACAGTTCTGCCCATTGTTGATCCCCCTCTTTGTCGTGACCATTATATGATTGGCCGTCATCATCTTTGCTATTGTTACTCGAAATGCGGGATTGCTCTTTAAGCAAAGGCAATGAGGGCATGGTCTTCCATTATTACGACAAGGGAATACATGTATAGCAAAGCTGCACAAAGAAGCATCCCCAGCGGGTGCCAATGCTCCCCAAACAAAGGATGCGAAGGAGTTGTACAAAGTCATAGTAGAAGAAAAGAGCGGGATGACTGAAAGCATCTATTGTTCATGACTTCCATTATCTCATCTTGACAAGTGAACTACTTTGTATTCTTAGCTTTATTGTTGCAGCAAAGCAACCGACCTGGTAAGCCAACACAATGGACATCTTCTGTGCTTTATATTCGCGTCGAGATCGTTCCGAGAATCTGAATGTTCGATCACTTCATACTCAGACTCTGGACTCGAAACGCCTCTCGACTTTGAATTAATCATTCCCTAGGGGCCACCCCTGACAAATAAGTAATTATATACAACAACCCTCAAAATGCGTGTCACTCGATCGCAGAACAAGAAGCCACTGCCAGTGGATCCGTCCTTTGATCCTGACTCTCTCTGGAAGAAAGGAAGGAAGCGCGGTAAGCCTATCAAGGTAGTAAATGACGAACTCCGTAACGGACTCATTGCACTAGACCCAAGCCTTGCACCGATCTTAGTTTCCAGAAATGCTAGCCCGCGCTCGAATCGTCGTACGCCGCCGACGCCTGCTCGCAAGGTTGCACCGCTCACCCCACCGGAAAGCAAGCCTCGCACCCCCGTCAAGAGAGCAGACGCCGTGGGGTTCGCCAGCGTCACGTATAAACACGAACCGGCGATACTCCGCGTTCACCTCGAAGTCAGCACCGATGACATTGGCTGGCAGACCCGGCTGCTCTACTGTGCCCAGATCTACCTGCTGCGAGAGGGGAAGCCGGACCGGCGCATAGGCCAGATCGTAGCCTGGCGGATCATCAAGCCCAATGCCCGACACCCAAACGCAGGAGACCAGTGGGCCAAGGACTGGCTCCGAGTTCCTCTCAAGGGGAACAAGGCTATTCGTAGCTGGGGCCAGCCTCTTGCATGGTCGCTGCAGGCTATCTGGGATCAGAATGGGCAGCCCCGGCCTGAGGTCGACGACCTATATCGAGACCAGCTCGGGGACAATGGTAATGAAGTGCTTTACATCTCTGGTCTGCAGATTATCAATCGCGATATGGAGACAGGTGAACGAGTAAGTGTGAATATCGAGCCCCGTCTTTCTTTCCCTTTTTCTCTCTTTGTTCTTTATTTCTTTCCTTCTCTCCTCTTGTTGTTCCTCAGAATGTGCTCACACAGACATGTTTGTAGTTTACTGGCAATAATTTTGCCTGGCAAGCAATGAACATTTTCTATCGATTGCTCTGGGTATTGCCCTTCGAGTTCTCCTTCGGAGAGTCCGTGACCGTCCTCCTTCAGCCAGCCGAACTGAAGAACCAGGACAGCAGAGACTACTGGAGCCGAGGTGCTCCTGCAGATGAAACCCCCGAAACCAGAGCTGACAGGATTGTCTTTTACCTCATGTCTTTCTTCACGTCAGAACGCATGGGATTCAACATAGTTGCATATGATGTGCCAGTTGGTGACCCACAAGATCCAAAGCGTCTGCACACCTTCGGCCGCACAATATTCCGCCAGGGTCCTGAGCCTTACGATCAGCTGCTGTCTCCAACCGCCCTGCTCCAGCCCAAAATTGAACCATCTAGTTCCCCCGACTCGCTGTACGACGGCGTCTCTTCGGGGTCCAGCGGCGAGATGGCCGCACCGCTGGTGCGTGTCCCGCTTGACGCCGGCAGACGTTGGGTCTTCCCGAGCTCCCGTGAGGAGCTGCTTGCCCCTCTGATGGCCCTTCCAGGAGTGATGTACGGTACCCCAATCCACCACCTGCGGGAGTCCCTCCGTGGGAGGACAGGTAAGGTCAGGATCTACGGCCGAGACCTTGAGACTGACGACAGCCCTTTTCCTTTTAACACGCACGTCTGGCTCTCTGCTGCGATTGACACTTTTGCCTCTGAGCGTCCTGATAGCAATGCGTTCGAGCTGAGCATGGCGCCTGCCTATGCTCTGGCCCGCGTGGTCACCCATATGAGTCCTCATCGGCAGGAGGATTTTGCTGCCTTTGCAGACCAGCACGGTGAGCTCATGGCTGCGCGCCTGATCCGCGTGGCCTTGGAGAATCTTCCTCTTGATTCGATCCTTGGGCATAGACATGAGCTGGAGGATGTAGAGGATGCGGACGCGGCGTGGAGAGAAGTGCTTCAGGATGTTGCTGCTGGTAGGATGTAGTAGAATAGCGTCATTTTCAAAATAAGATGTTATGAGACATGCGAAAGAGAGATGATATAATATTTTATATATATTTATTTACGGAAGAGAGTCTCCTCTATGAGTTTGATCGGACTTTCTCCTGTTTTGACCACATCATGGTGCTTACTAGCAGTCAATGATTTCGGGCTCAGCGTGGGGGATCTGGAGCACTGTAGAGAAGACCTGAGACGGACATCTTAGCTTTCCAAAGCCGACCAGAAGCGTGTTTGTAATGGCTTTGGGAGTACCTCAACAATCAACACGGAATGCATGAATAATCCACAACAGGGTTGGTATTTTACCAAGGTTTTTGAAAGAGCAGAGTCATAAAACTAAAAAATGATGGAAGGCTTTTGCCACGACGCTACTATAATAGAAGCCTACGCTCAGAAACTGTCCCAGAAATCCCAAAGCCCAAACCGCACATAACTGCTGTCCATGCCAATGCCATGCCAATGCCATGCCCTAACTTCCTTCGTGTATCCTATTTCCACTTGTCTTCAAAAAGAAATTAACCCCCCCCCCCTCCCAATCCCTCCCTTATCGATTATCGCTCGACGGGCGTCAAGTATACATTCAGAGGCGGCTTTGTCCAAATGAAGAAGACCTTTTGGTTCATCCAATCGTCGTCTGGGTCGACCAACTCCAGGTCGAAGTTGTAAATGAGACGGGCCATCATCGTGCGCAGCTCAGCATATGCCAGACTGTTGCATAATGTCAGCCTAAAAACCAAGTTCCACGCAGGTAAAGAGCGGTCCGTAAGTGGCGTGACAAAAGACCACACCAACGATAAATGGTGACTAAGAGCAGGGAGGGCAGAATGATTGTAAACGAATTTGAGAAACCTACTTCTTGCCAATACAGTTTCTGGGGCCAGAGCTGAACGGCTGCAGAGCGTTCCGATCGTCGTTAGGGAACTTCTCGGGCTCAAGAAATCGCTCAGGCTTGAAGCTGAACGGGTCGCTGAAGTTTCTGCTTGTATTATACATGGCATATTGGGCAGCGGCCACAGTAGTGCCCTCGGGAACGAACTGGCCAGCTACGTGCCCACCGCCCTTGGGCACGACGCGGGGCATTTCGCCAGCCACGGGTGGATACATGCGGAAGGTCTCCTTGAAGCATGCAATCACTGCAGGTATTGAAGTTAGGCTATGGGCCACAAGGCTGTTGCGTAAAAAGGTTGGGGGAGAAAAGCTCAGGGCCGCTAGCATGCCAATGAACTTGGTCGACACGTACTGTAGTCAAGACGTTCCACAGATGCGAAAGTGATCTCGTCCTCAGATTGGAAGGTAGAGCGGATCTCCTTCTTCAGCTTGTCCAGGGCGGAAGGGTTCTTGAGAAGGAGGAAGAGGCAGCCGGCCAGGGTCGTGGCCGTGGTCTCCGAACCGGCAATGATGCTATTGACAACACGTCAGCTTTTGTCCTTTCAGCGCTGACATCTAGCCTAAGTAGAGAAGAGCGACCGATAGAATTTTTAAAAAAGAATAACCAGAAAGAAAATTAGGAAGAACTCAGGGATGAAACCATACAGAAACGTAGTGTTGGTCCTCAGTCTTTCGAATGAAATGTCCTGGTTCAGTCAGTACCAAGTCAATTACATCAAAATATAGCATCTTGATCAGAGAGTCTCGACTTACCCAATCCTTCTGCTTCTTCAGTAGTCCCTCGATCAAGTCTGGCCTCTCCATAGTCATGCTCATGCGTCGTCTAAGCACGGCCGACATCTTGTCTTTCACCGTGCGTCTGAACGTGACGAGCCTGCGGGCCAGCCACTGTGTGCATCGCTCGAGCCCAATGTCCTTGAGGACAAACGCAATACTGCCCGTCTGGATGCCCTTTTCAATGAACGCCACGCGCTCATCGAGCTTTCCTTGTTCCAGGCATCCGAACGGCTCACCGACGGCCAGGTCGCCAATGACATCGAACGTGACAAAGTTGAACCAATGCCGCATATCAAAGGCTGTTTTCTTAGTCGGGGCCACCGACTTTTCCGATGATTCATCAGCGACGCATCGGTCCCGCAAGCCGTTGATGAACATGTCGACATAACCCTTGATGATGGGTTCCTGCGCCCTGAGGTACTTCTCGCTGAAGCCATGGCTTAACTGGCGTCTGATGAGGGCGTGGTTGTCTCGTGACTCGGCCAAGATGTTGGGTTCGACGCCCTTGGTTCTGTAGAAGTGTGGATCTTTCCCAAACTCCTCGCCCTTGACATCGGCGCCGTTATGGTGACCGTAGACATCCTTCCAGACATCCGAAGTGGTGTATACAAGGACGTTGGGCGCTACCCTGACGACGGGGCCGTATTTCTCAGCAAGGCCGAGCAGTTCTCGCGACCATTCGCCCCTGAATATACTGTATGTGCGAGGAAGCTTGGAGACACGGTATAGCAGAGGCCCAGGATAGTTACGCAGCGGATGGAAGTAGATGTTGTAGATGAAGCTAAAGAGGAAGTATCCGACTAGCTATTTCAGAGTAGATGTCCTCTGTCAGTGCCTGGTGAATAGAGACAATCTCAAACGAGACTGGGGGTTTTTTTTTTAAAAAAAAAAAAAAAAGAAAGAAGAAAGGCGAAGTATTTCCTACATACCGCTGAAAGTGGCCATGCGATGACGACAGGGATCTGTGAGGCTATTGACGCCATGTTGAAGTGGAGAAGGCACCGCGTCGTTGATTCAGGTTTGGGCGCAGTGATGTGACGTTGAGCAAGCTGGCAAGATTGCAAGATTTCAGAAGGGATAAGGCTGTTGAGACATATATACTTACACATACTCTATATATGCCACAGTGTATGTAATCATGGAAATGCTTTATCCACATTTAGTGCGCCAACATCTGTCTTTGTTCCTATGACTGGCGTCGAGTACAGCGGGATTATGCCCCTAGGATACCTAAAGCCGAGAGCATTCCATGGTTGCCAATGAAGGATGACACCCCTGGATGAGAGAATACATAAGAACCCTGCTCATTCCCTCATACCGCATAACGGCACGCGAAGCACCGGAGTCTCCGCCGGGCGACAAGTTTTTAAAGTCATCGACAGTACCTTGCGTGATTCCGAGTGAACCCAAGCGGCAAAGCCACAGCCGCAACAGTACACAAGAGCTGCCATTGTATGCACTTGGGTTCATTCAAGACATTCCCTCTCACCCTGTGCTTATAGGCCTCGAGTGATTACTTTCAGGCAGCGAGGTTCGCAGGGACCCTTTGTCACTGCATTGTTTAATTTGACTCTCTGGACTTCGACAAGATTTCTCCGACTCCGCTGGGTTTCGGCCGGACATGCATCCGTAACAGATAGATAAACACAGGTGCAAAAGCACGGGCACCTTCTGAATTCCGCTTCCGCATCCTACGTTCGTATAGTTTCAGGACAAGCTGAGAATTGTCTCCACGCATAGAGAGAGAGAGAGAGAGAAGATACAAAGAGAGACTCGGCCGGAACACACTTGTGCGAGGCCCGGGGCCCGCCCAGATACGTGTTGTGATTATGTGGAATCTGTCCATGCGGAAAGGATGAGGTTTGGTCGTGTTCCACAAGACGCAGCCACACCCGCCGCCCATCTTTGACGAACGGAATTCGGCAGTTGCTGCTGATCCGGCTACGGGGATGTGGTGTGGGTATGCAGCCACTACGTGTCGTGTCAGCGCTTGATATGCAGGCATGGAAAGCCTGCCAACCACTGAGCATGCCTCAAGGCCTTTCAGGTAACGCAGGCACGACTACAAGGGAAAAGATCCGTGGGTAGATCGAATGCATCAAGAAACGTGAATGAGAACATTCGCCTACCTAAGTACTTCCGTTAGACCGAAGGGCGCTCGCGATACGAAGAAAGTCACATTCGTTACTGTACGTGAGGGACTCAGAAGGTGGAGGGTGGAGGTGTCGCTGGTGATAATTTCATGCATGCGTGAATGCTGTCATAATGCCCCTCCATCAGCCATGAATACTGTTGTTCCCTTGTTGCCTATCTACATGTCGCATTTGCCTAAATTCCAGTTTGAAACCAAGAGAACAAAGTCGAGCCTGTCGAATATTGACAACATATCGATAGCTTCACTCATCACGTGATTAGTCTTGTGAGGAATTGTCTGTCATACACTTTGAGTAGGTACATCCTTTTGAGGCTGACGATTTGGTCAGCAATCGAACCCTGTTACGAGAATCACTGTATTTAGTCACAATGCCAAAATAAATTTGACCTTGGATCGTGTCAGACTGAAATTTCCTGACCACTAAATATTCGAAGTGACTTCGCTGAGCAGGGTGACGCTTGGTAGAGATGAGATGATTAGAACACCAGACAGGCGCCAAGGATTGAACTTGTCATTATATGATGGAGGCACTGTATGAACGTCGTGAGGAATTTGGAAGTGACAATCCAGCATTTGGAGGTTATTTTGGCTGCATATTCAACAACTCCGCAAACCCTGAAGAAATGTTGTCTACTTAAGCGTTCGGGAAGGGTTCATGGGCCGCAAGAACATAGTTCAAAGTCATCAACTTAGAGAAATCGCCTGCGAACACATGCACTGTCACCATGACAACCCTTCAAAAAGGTACTAATTCATGGCCAGCTAGGAACCGATAAAACAGAAAGCCCACAGCTCAGTTTCCGCGATGGGGTGATAAGTAGCCAAGGGGCCTGTGTCTCCGAAAGCGATGTTTGATGCTATGCGCACGTGCAAGATAGGCTTGGTGCTACCTGGATATGACAAGGTACTCGAATAAGGAGGTATCACAGAAAATACCAAAGTTCCACGACCCTCCGCTTACCAAGCAGTGCTCACTTAAGGGAATTTGAGAGGCTGAAAGGGATGTTGTAAAGCTGCTGAAGGCACATTATTGCTGACAGGTTACAGTCTCGGATAGCAGATCACCAATATCCTGAACCTGACCAGGAAAAATGGGGGCCAATGATACTGAAAAGCAGATTTGAAACATTGAAGGAGAAGAACCAGACTCAAGCATATGGATACGAGTTCAAATTCAATAGACTAACTTTATTTAATAGCTATTTCTCTTCAATATTTATGACTACGTAGGGTTCTGTGCTACAAGAGACTGTGACTGTGCTTTTTGTTTTCCTTTGTGACAATTCCTTCATCTTAATATGTTGTGAATCATCACTCCGCCTTGGAGGCACACTTCACGCAGAGAATGAATACAGGCGCATGTGTGCCACCGGGCAGGACGTGTTACTATATTGACATGCACTGTCAACTCCTGACATTTCAATTCTGAATATGGATCTCCAGAGAATTCAATGGGGTTTCCAAAATAGATACACATATGTGAAGCAGGAGTTGTGTTCGTGACAAAGCGGTCTCTCTCTGGTTCATCATCGATAGCCGTGAAAGACATTAGCTTACTGAGAGGGCTGATAATGACTACGCTGATGGTCATGACGTTCAGTCAACTAGATACTTCACTTGGCATGAGAACTCTCTGAGTAATTAACCTCGATGTGTCACTAAATGCAAATCTACCAGCAGAATCAACTCAAGAAACTACTATAAAACCAACAAACTTGTTAGGACTGAGTATAGCAACTGAACCAGGGCAAGCAAACATCAAAACAAAATTGGACGATCAAGACAAACTTCTCCATACAGGAAACGTATCGTCAACTCAACTACCTCAGACGAAAGCAACCGAAGAAGATCCTCGCACAAATAATCCGCATCACGTCTATCACTTAACATTTCGCAACACAATTCTACCTCACAGGTTCATCACATCAACGCACCACGTCGAAATGTCGCCAAGCAACTCCGGTCAGCCCAACAGCAAGGCTAGCGGCGGCAAGAGCGGTGGCAAAGGCGGCGGCAAGAAGGATGATGAGTACTCGATGAAGAGCTTCAATGCCTCGGCCAATGCCAGTACAAAAACTCTGCCTGGCTCGAAGGCCCAGAGTGTCAAATCGGGCCACACAGGAGGAAAGTCCTCAGGAAACAACGGAAAATAGCTGAAAGGGATACACCATTCCATAGAGCTTACTGCGAAGGGAATGGTGGGCCTTAAGCATTCTTAGATCAGCTCTTTGTTATTGATTCTGATCTGAGCATCTTGCACTTGAACCAATTCTACATCACTGTTTCCTGAGATTTTTTGCTTTATCAAATTTGGAGGGGAAACAATTGAGATTTCACGTGATTTTGAGTAGCTGTTCTGCAGACATAAATATTGAGTATAACGTTGTCTCCCTACAAAGAAGGTCAATTTGGTATGACTGTAGCTTGCAAAAGGATTTTTGGTACCGCAAATTACAGGAAAACTGCAAGCACCTATCGACAATCGCGCATGAATGATACAGATATAGGTTAAGCGCCGCAAAGCTGAGCATTAAACCTTATTCAACGCCACAGCCTCTCTTTTCAGCCGTCGGACTAGTGAACGCCACTCGAGCTTTAAAGGGTCGCGAATCCCTTCATGTCTTAGCAGCGTCTCGAGCTGTTCATTTTCTCATGTCAAGAACCTATGTATTCTCAATCTTTCAAACTTCTTTTCTCTCTCAACGCTTGTCTCTCGACTACGCTGGTTATTGCAGAGCGCCGGTCACCGCCACCTCTCATAACCACTGCTCCGAGGTTCCCGTCGAGAGACCAAGGTGATGGCGAGATCTGCGCATATATTGGGGGTGACACAAGTACGTTCATAAAACTCGCAAATCATCTGTCTATTCTTGAGAACCAAGTCTTTCTGAGCTAACAGTCAAATCTCTGGGCACAGACTCGCCGCTCTCCTGCCCCGGGTCCTTAACATGCGACTTTGGCGAGAGCCCATGGTGGGGTTGCGGAGACTCTAGCAGCGAATGGATTCCTCAAACCTGCCATGATGAAGCGCAAATTACAGAATCCATCATCTGCACAGGTGTGAATACAGAGCACAGTATCTTAGGTGTTCAGCAATGGTCAGGCCCACTTGCTTGCCGCCGTGATAAATCAATCAACAAGGCATCGCTGACGATCAAATCACACGGATAGCATAGGCGACACACCATTCTGCGTGACGTACTATGCCGAAAATAGCAAGGTACCTGTTCTAGGCTCAACACTTACATCGTATGGATGTGATTCAACGGCAGCCACGTACGGCGCTTCAAGGACAACGAGCGGACTTGCTACAAGCACTTCGGGGGCATCCTCGGGAGGTATGAGTTCCAAATAACAAATCATGTTTAGTTCTCGTCTTGAGGATGTCTTTCGTTGAGCTCACTGAAATATTTCTAGAAGGTGAAGTTACATGGACATCTCAAGGTACATCCTCATCTGTACATCCTACGCGGTCCTCGACTGTTACTGGATCATCAGGGACAGAGCAGCCTGACAGTTCCTCGGCAGGAGTGTCAGCCACCACATCGCCTACATCCACAAGCAAGTCAGGCAGCTCGCAGTCTGGTCTTTCAACATCAGATAAGATTGGCCTAGGTGTGGGTGTGCCTAGCGCAGTCTTTGCCCTGGTCGCAGTAGTAGTGGCAGTCTGGGCTTGTTTTCGAGAGAAACATGCAAAGTAAGGAAGCCATGGAGAATCTAATATTACCAACAGCTCGGACACGCTGTTATAAGTACGGAAACGGTCTGACAGGCAACTTTAGTCATTTGTAAGAGGGCTAGAATGCATATCAGACGTGGCAAAAGAACTATGATGACATTCAATATCAGCTCAACTAGGAATCAACGTTGTCACCCGGACGAAATATATAACAAGCTGAGAAGCATGAAAATTCATCTCGAGGCGATAATTAATCCTGACCTTGCACGACATGGAAATTGACAAGGAGACATGTAGTACATGTGCCCACGAGTAGGAAGAAACAAGACTGAATCGGTACAATTTTGCGGTGTGATCTGATCATGAGATTTCCGTATTGTATGGTGAGGTAACGTCTTTTTTTCTTCTTCTTTCTTCCGCCCCAACCATTTCTTCCCTTTCCTTCTCCAATATACTGTATTTACTCCTGTTTCTTTTTTCCCAACTAACACCCTAGCCCTGCTAAGTACTTACCCTATCCTAGCTGTCCCTGTCAGACATTCAGGGACAGGGCTAAGGGTTAGGGTCATAACCCTGAAGCCTAACCCTGATCCTGCTGACTGACTTGCGATTCGGGGGTCTCGGCCAGCTAACGTCAGAGCTTGAGCATGAAACAACATCCCACCTACTTGTAATCCAAGTCCCGAGATTGCGCACCGCGTAGCTATGGCCGGAGTTCAAAGGGGCCTGGAAGCTGCCTTCTATCTTTACCCCTGTGGCCTTTTTGTAACATTGTTTACATCGCAGTCCATTTACTACTACCGCAAGCGTGTGGGAAAGAGCACTTCTGGCTCTTCGAGTGAAGAAAAGGATGCCGAGGGCATCCGCCGCTTCTACGACAGACTGATTTGGGTCCTGCAGGCCTTTCTTTGCCTACTATACGTATGTATTGGATCCTCGACTGAACTAGACCATGCTTACCTGATAATCTGTTCGTGTAGCTTCCAAGCATCGTTCTTGTGGTTCGAGACGCTGCAGCCGGACAAGATGACCCCCAGCAGGGAGCCGGCTTCCCATTCAGCGCGTATCTGGTAATCTTGCCTTCTTAATTGGTTGCTGCTGTCATGGCCGAGAATTTCAAGTTAACCAGAATTCTAGGCTGCTCATGTTAGCGTTCTGCTGTATTTCCTAGCTGGACTGCTTCCCAATCCCGACGGGCCGTGGTCGCCCACCGCGTCAAACTGCCACTCATGGATCACCGGCATCATCCTCGAGGCAGTCATTGCAGCCGTGTTCAGGACGGAGCAGCATTCGATCCATGTACCTTCACATCTGCTGGATGAGTTGTTCGGCGTGGGGATCGCCCGGATTCTCTTACTGCTTGTCATGACACTCTCGCTCGTCCGCAGATATTATGCTGTGAAATCAGTCGCGTCCCAGTCCACTGCAGATGAGCGTCAGGGCCTGCTCGAAAACGGACAAGGGCCTGCAGGCGGGTATGACGGTGCGCATACACATGCCCCAACGCCACCAGCAGCCAAGCCTGGAGATATGAACAAAGGCTGGTTCGACTACTTTGCCGGGTTCCGAGTCTTGTTCCCGTACCTATGGTGAGCGTTGATTCCAACATGAAGCATTTCAGCAGCTTACTGATAAATCGCTGTTTCATCAGGCCCAAGGATTCACACCTTTACCAGGCCGTAGTGCTTCTCTGCGTGATCCTCCTGATCGGCCAGCGCATAGTTAACTTCATGGTTCCACTGCAACTGGGCGTGCTTGTTGAATCTCTGGGATACGGCCGTATACCATACAAGGAAATCATCCTCTATGTCATCTACAGAGCTCTGCAGGGCAACTCGGGTGCTCTTGGTGCTGCGCGATCTGTCCTCTGGATTCCGGTGTCACAGTCCCTCTTCCGACGACTGTCCTGCGCGGCCTTCGAGCACGTTCTTGGTCTATCCTTGGATTTCCATCTGAGCAAGAAGACTGGCGAGGTGACCAGCGCGCTAAGTCGTGGCGCCGCAATGAACACATTCCTGGAAAACTTTGTTTTTCAGGTGTTCCCCATGATCTTCGACATCTTCGTGGCCGGCGTGCTCTTCTTTGTCAAGTACGATGCTTTCTACACCATCATCGTCTTCTTCATCATGTGGTCCTACATCTTTTTGACCATCTACATGGCCAAGTGGCGCGGCAGGCAGCGAAGAGATATGGCGATGAAGAGCCGAGAGATGGATGCCGTCAAGACGGATGCGATCATGGCGTATGAGACGGTGCAGCACAACTGTGCTGTTGTGCCTGAGACGGCACGCTTCCAGGGCCAAGTCGTCGCCTACCAGAAGGCGGAGCGGCTCGTGATGTGGTCTCTGAACGCCCTCAATCTAACGCAGAGCTCCATCTTCTCTCTTGGAACGGCGCTACTGGTTGCTGTGTCTGCGTACAAAATCTCGATTGGCCAACAAACCGTTGCTGAATTCGTCAGCCTCATTGTGTATTTCACGCAGCTTCAAGGGCCTCTGAACTTCTTTGGGACGTACTACACGATGCTCCAAAACAACCTGATTGAGGCGGAGCGCATGCTCGACCTGGTGAGTTGTGGCCGGCAAAGTGCTTATTGGAAGACCAAGTGACTGATTCGTTCTTGTAACACAAAATCACAGTTCAAAGAGACATCCGGGATCGTGGAGAAGCCGGACGCCGTTAAGCTCCCAAATCCAAGGGGCGAGATTGAGTTCAAGAATGTGCGCTTCTCGTATCAAGGCAAGGTCAAAGATCCGGCCATCGATGGCATCAGTTTCAAGGTCCCGCCAGGCACCAAAACGTCCATCGTCGGCGAAAGTGGCGGCGGCAAGTCCACATGTCTAAAGCTCCTCTTCCGATTCTACGACGTCAGTGAAGGCTCGATCACAATCGATGGCCACGACCTGAGAGATCTCAAGCTCGACAGCCTGCGCAGGAGCATCGGTGTTGTGCCTCAGGACACGGTCCTCTTCAACGCCACGATCATGTACAATTTGTTGTATGCCAATCCCAACGCCTCTGCAGCCGACGTCTATGAAGCGTGCAGAGCTGCGAATATTCATGATCGGATCCTGTCCTTCCCAGATGGATATGAGACAAAGGTTGGAGAACGCGGACTGAAGCTGTCTGGTGGTGAGCGCCAGCGGGTACGTTCCAACTTCACAGACCCTCCCCCCTTTTCTCCCTCTCTTCTACTCCTTTCCAAACTCTCTCAGGAAAAAGTGACAAAAATAGAAAGGAAGGAAAGTCGTGCGCCTGACGGATTCTCAAAAAGCCTCCCAGTCAGCCAATTGGACTTTTGTGTGCTGACATAATATACAATTTCAATAGATTGCCATCGCTCGGGCCATCCTTAAAGACTCGCGCATCCTACTTCTCGACGAAGCCACCGCCTCGCTTGACTCTCACACCGAGAAGCAGATCCAGGATGCACTAGAGCGAGTGACCTCGGGCCGAACCACGGTCACCATTGCGTAAGTCCAATCCTTGCTACTAACTCAACCAACCACCCCCCCCCCCCCTTGTCTACTGTTTCACCCAGTGTTCTGGCTAATTATATTGCTTGTCGCGCACAGACACCGACTGTCCACCATCACGAATTCTGACCAGATTGTGGTGCTGCACAAGGGTAAGATTGTTGAGCGCGGTACGCACTCGGAGCTTCTCGCCAAGAGAGGTAGCTACCATGCCATGTGGGAAAAGCAGACCACCGCAGAGCGGGAAAAGAAGGAGCAAGAGAAGGAGGGAGATTCACAGACTGAGGGTGAGTGAGAAGAACCCAAAGCTGTCGAGACTCGGGCATCAAGAGGTGGAATTGTGGAAGTGCAGAGGTGCACCAAGCGGTATTGCCATTCGAAATAATAGAATCAAATTTGAATAGATCAAGGTTGTCTTGTGCTTTTGTTTCGTTTTGCTCCACATGTCCTCGATCTGCGCTTGAAATGAAAACGAGCACGCAAGACTCTCGTGGGTATCGAACCGCGCCCTTCCCGTCCCCTCCCCCTGCATCGAATGGGATGCCACGCCTTTGCAACAAAACAAAAAAGGACAAAAAAAAAAAAAAAAAAAAAAGAGAAACAGCCGGCGCTCTAGCTATAACTACAGATTTAACCAACAATCCCAGCGCCACTCATCGCCGCAGAACCCCGCCAACATGTCGACCGTGGTCGCGTATGACGCGTTCTGAACCGAGACGGCTAAAGAAGAAGAAAAGGGAGCCTCTGAATATATGTACATGAGACCAATGCTCTTGAGAGAATGGGAAAAAAATCACCGCTTGATCGCTCAACGAGACCACTGAAAACCACCACCGTGTTAGCACAAGATCGTCAGCGCTCAGGCCATTTCCTTGGAACGAGGTAGGCCAACGCTGTGTGATGCCACATACCGAGCTACACCAGAAATGCTACAGGCAGAGGCTCTCTCTCTCCAGAGCTGCCACGAGACGTCCTCCTCACAGGATATCCTTCCATATCCTGGGCCGCAGGTACCTCAGGAACCTCTCCGTCTCCTCCTGGATGCCAGGCAGCGCGGCCCAGTTCTCCACCAGCACGGCCAGCTCCTCCCGCGCGACGGTGTCGTCTGCCGCGCCCTCGGCGAGCTGGCGCAGCAGGACGGTCTCGACCAGCAGCTCAAAGTTGGCCTGCTCGCCCGTCTCGGGCCACAGCAGGGCGGCCGTCTCGCGGTAGTTCTCCCGGGCGGCGTTGCTCAGCTGCTTGCGCACCAGCGAGTGCAGGCTGCGGGCGGCCATCTCGTCGTTCTGCACCTCGCCCGTGATGATGCGCTGCACGAGCTTGAAGGTGTTCTTGAAGCCGACCGGCCAGTACATTGGGCACTGCAGGTCCTCGACCATGGGGCTGCTGGGCTCGGATGACATGTCGGATGTCTGAGAGGAGGTTTCTTCGATGAGGGGCTCCATTTTTTTATTATTAATGTGTATGTTTGCGCCCCGTGGGAAACGGTTTGTTATGTGGTTATTGTTATTATTAATATGTTGTGGCTGATGGATTTTGGATTGGTCCCAGCGTGAGTATAGGTGGCGTTGGGCGTGTGTGGGGGAGGCGTGGCGGGTTTTGGCTTGGTAATGCTTCCTTTTTTCTTTAATTCGTATTTGTGAAAGAGAGATGTGATTGCTAATGTGCAAAGAAATCCGGTTCGATGTATTATTATGGTTTTTTTGCACTATAAGAATCTAAAGGACATATATCGCCACCCTATGATTAGAGTGCTAAAAAGGGGGGGGGGGTTGCATAAATGTCCGGTCGAACCAGTGTCTGGCGGGGCTCATCATAATTAAGTGAGCCCACAGAGGGTTTCTGCTGACCATAAGGAGCAGCTATTGGGTCACTTTTACCGGCCCCCTTGCTTGATTGAGGTTGAAATGCAGAGTGGAGTTGCAAAGTATGGGTCCCTCTCTCTCGTGAGATTTCTAAATTACCTGCCTCGGAAATAACCCCAGCGCTGGTGCCAGGTCCCCTTTTTCAATAATCAATCACGATCTACAGCAATCCCCCCGCAGGAATTTGGCTGCCTCCAGTGCTTACGCCACAAGTCCCGATCGGCATATGCGACGACAGACAATGACTATCTGTGTCGCGAAATTCTTTCACACACTAACGTGTTCCCGTCAATTGTGAGTTACAAAGTCCAACGTTCAGGAGACAACAACTTGACGCTATCTTGATGGGCCGCGGCGACGTCCTCGGCGTGGGTCCCGGGCCGTTGTCGACGGGGTTTTCGCTTTCGGGCGACAGGGGTTTTTGGTGGTAACATTTGATTCACAATCCGTTTCAGGCTTCTCGTATCTGGGTAAAATGTGGAGGCCAAGTCTGTCACAGGCAAGCCTTTTTGGTTGATATATCATGATTTGAAGGATGGCTGGGATTGCATTCATTGCCCTTCACTATCAACAAATGTTGCCGCATCACATGCAAATAGATGAGAGAGTCTGCCTGGCCCGCGTTGTGATGGAGCTCGAGGATTTGTTTCCCTGCTAACGTGCTGCAGTGTGCAGGGTACTCCAGACAAACTTTCAAACAATCTCACCCCCATCGCTATCCACATCTCTCAACGTCTTTTCGTTCTCTATCTCCGCTACTATATCCATCCGCTTAGAATATACCCAGGTGAAAATGGTGAAGAGCGCAGCAAGTCCTGCATACAGAGCTATCCAGGGTGAAACGATGATCTGACTATTCGAAGGTATCCAATTGAAAAAGCTCATGGAGAACAGCCCCTTTTACGCATAATCAGTCTACAGTTCCTTTTGGTTTATTCTGTACAATATGAAGTAGGACACTCACAGCGAGGAACGTTGGAGGCAGGAAATACATGCCCAGCCTAGAAATAATTTTCATTGTGCTGCCATCTCTGCTTGAGGCTCGTGCGAGACTGTAACTCGCTCTTGAATCCTGCCTTGTGTAGTAATCTCTTTCCTGCATTTCCCTTCTGGTCAGTACAGTTGAACATGAAAAGGGTATCAAGTTGAAACAGGGTTACAAACCATTTGCATAGCGAGAGCCATGCCGTCCAGAAGGCCCTGGCAATGTCGCAACTTGCTGTTAATCTCAGCTATCATCTCATCTAATCTTGACTCAATATGCATCTCACTCTCCTTTTCGTGAGGGTATACTTCAGCGCCATGTGGGTCATTATTCGATCGCATCTTGGATGAATCTTTCAGGTGGCTGTTCATCGATTCAAGAAGAGCAAGCAGGGTCTGGATCCCATTCTTCAGCTGACTTATTGACCGCCATAGTTCGACAGCTTCGGCATCCCTTTCTGTTAATTTGATTTCTGTCCTTTTCTCGTTATTCCTTGCGAGAAGAGAGCGGGAAACGGTTCTTTCGTTCTTGAGTTGATTTTTCAAGTCGAGGATCTTCTGATCAAGGTCTGTCGACTTATATTCCATGGCATCCAGGAGTCGCTTGCGCTCTAGCTCGGCAAACAGCATAGGAAGTACGAGCCGATGGAATACTGAGGTCTTGATTCGCTCGAGCCAAGCTTCTATATCCTCAAGGACATCATCTGTGCAGCCATATGCTACTGCAAGTATCACGGGCTTGTTAGTAAAGCAGGTAGCCGACAGCACAATATCTTCGTCTCTGGGAAGAGACTCAGTATCCGACTTGCAGTGGTACACTGGAGGTCTGATCAATACCAGATGCCGTCTCATCCGCCAGGAGTAGCTCAGAAGGATAGCAAACAGCTTGCTGCCAGCGAGCAGGGCTCATACCTACTGAGGGGCAACTAGAAGCCCCAAAATCCCAATTCACGTGTCTGATATTCAAGACTGCAGTCGAATCTCTGGCTATGACACCAGCTAGCGATCTGTGTTGACACAATTCTGTGCAGACTTTCGTAAATGTCTGGTCATCGTACGGAAGAGCGGTGGCCTTCAGTGTGTCATGTGGCCCTCTCAGACGTTGATGCATAACCAGGCAAAATGTGGGACGATGTTCCATACGCAGTGATGGGCCGATCTGATTTTGCTCCGTCAGAATTCGCATTGCTATGACTCGATGACATCTAATATAAGTGGAATCGTATTAAGCCATACTTGTTGTGCCCATGCAACGTAACCGTCTTGAGACTCAATAGTACTTGGATTGATGTCCACATTGCCCTTTGTAAGATGATGAAAATCAGTGTCTTTCTTCAGTCATTAACTGCTTCCCAGAGGCTAGGATGGCTTGCATCATTGTCTTCCTGAATTTCGATAATGCGAATCCTGCAGGGTTGCTCAGGATGAAAGCCAATGTCTGTCTTGTCTCCTGTTTCGAACTGATTACTGCGAGACAACCAGTCCATATTGACTTGCGACTCGAATTTGATGTTTGGTCCTAGAAGACAACCTGAGACCAGAGCATGCAAGCGAGGTTGGTTCGTTATATCAAGAGAATATGGCGAAGAGTGAACATGTCAAGTCACCGAGAGTCTTGGTGGCTCTGAAGGACGATTGTACTACTCCATGTCCTCGGGCAACTTAGAACAAAGCATCAGGGCGTGTCAGAGGAGATTTCCAACCTACTTCATTTAACCACAGAGGACTGTCTTGGCCACATAAGCGGGGTAAGAAAACCCCCAACCGGAGGCTGAGTATGAAAGTGTGTCGCACGACCCAGGATTCCTCCACGTTTGGGCACGAATGCTCAGCACTAATGTACGAGAACACCTGACGGAAAATGCACCCGCGCAGGATATCTACAACCAATCCCACGACACATGCCACCTCCAAGTAAGCTGCAGTCTCATGCAGGCAATCGAGTTTGCCCGATGCGATGCAGAGGCGAAGTATCAGCAGCCCGAATGAGGCTTTTACTGCTCACCGCCCACCTTTCGTACCTCGTGTTCCCGGGGCGCGTGGCGGGACAGCAATGGTTCGCATGGGCCGCACAAGTATACAAAACAACAAGTCTCCAGCGGGCTTCCTTTGCTCACAGACCGGTCTGGGTCGCCGCCAATGGCAGGGTTTCTTATCATAAAACCAGGCGAACGATCTACCTTGAATAGCCTGTCGCGCCGCATTGATTGCCTTGCCGACATCAAGTGTGAAATCAGGGCTCCCTCTATATTCCTATTCTTTTTTTTATCATACAAGGCTGTAGCATTGTACCCAACGGTATGTGACTCATGGTGTAAAATTCTTATAAATATTTGCTTTACACCTGTCCAGTGAGCCCGCGAGCTTCAATCCCGAAAACTATGTCTTTAAACCTGTTCAAAAAGTTGTTTGGATGGACAGCACGCAATATGGCTGGAGATACAGACTCGAAATTCGATCCGACCGATATTATCAACACTCGATATGATATGCCAGAGGTTTTGAAGGATGCATTGCTAGGATTGAAGTTCCAGAGCACTGATATCAAGTTCAGGGCAAGAGCACTCCATATACGATGAGGCAATGGTACTCTTAAGCTAACTAGCTAGGATATAGCGAGAAGGAGAGAAATTTCTTTTGAAACTTCCACGAAAGCTTAAGCCGGTCAGTTCCAAGAGCCCTGAATGCAAATCGAGTCTGCTTATGCTAATTAGCAGCTGAACTGAACAGGCCGAAAAGGATAGTATCATAAAGAAATTGAGGAAAGCCCGCAGGGAAAAAAATCGCTCAAAACTAGCAAAACCAGCGGAACCAGCGGAACCAGCGGATATAAAGATTGTATCGGCTGAACAGGGCGTTGCTCATTAAGATCAAGCTAGTGCTGTCCAGATGATGGCAATGCTGCTGTATTTATAGAATTGAAGGGTTGATCCGGAAGAATAGCGCAATGTCTACATGCAACGCCCTTGGCCTGGCTCAATGATTTATCCATCCAAACCTTTTTTCTAGAACACAGAAACCCCAAAAGCATGGATCTTGCTCTAAATGATCCCAAACTTGCTGGAAAGTTTCAAGAACTGGTTACGGACCCCTGAGAAAGGTGGCTACTTCTCGAATATCCGCCCTTGTTTCGACGTCGACCGCCAGCATACGTTGTGTGATAAATTCTAGAAATCTCTGGAGTCTACTACTACAGCCTCGTTTATTTTTCAAGTCTCTCACATGCTTGTTATGATGTCAGCTTCATAAGTCTCTGTGGGTGGAATAGGGCAGGAAATTCGCACGTACCGTAATAACACTGTCTTTGATTTGAATGATGATCTCAACGCGTGAGACAATTTGAAATGAACGTCGGGTACTTGACCGACCAGCTGTAAATGTCTTAATGGTCTGGTAGTCTACAACGGGGACTAGTTTCCGTTTTCCTTTGACTTTCTTGAAGAATATGTCGTCCTCAAATCTGCTACCGGTGGATAAATCGGTGGTTTCTGGCGCGTCTTGTTCTTTAAACCGTTCTTCTCGGAAGTCAATGCAGCCATGCCAACCACAAAGCGCCCAAGTAACAAATTCGAGGAAGACGCAGCCCAGACACCATACGTCGTATTTGAACGAAATTGCCTCGCTTTCTGGTGGTCTTTGGGTCTTGACATGTGGAATAAATCCTGAGTCAATGCTCTCGCCAGTTCCGGCTTGACGAGCTTCTCCGAGGTCTGAAAGTTTCAGAATGAAGTGCTTCTTCCCGTCAGCAACGGATTCGAAGCACAGAATGTTCTCAGGTTTGATATCCATGTGAATCTGAGGTGCAGACCCGCTCCGTCCACCGTCTCTGAACCCTTGAAAGGTTGCAAGAGCCTCGGCGACTTGGAAACACTCGTCAAAGAGCCAGTTGTCCGAGTACCAGTCATATTCAGGAGGTCGTGAAGAAGGCTGGACACCCCCGAGTTCGTATTTCTTCCATAGCTCTTGGAGATTGCCTTCTTGTGCCCATGGAAACAAGAGATAGGGTATTTGGCAATGTTCGAAAGCTGCTAAGAGTGGCACAATTCTGTCGTGCTGGGGTGTGTTCCGATTTGCCTGGACTTCTCGTTCGAACATCTCTTTTCTTGCTTCTGATATGCTTAAGTCGTTGAAAAGTTTTACAACGACATAATCATCGTCTTTCTCTGTCTAAGATTCGTAATTATCAACAACTGCTTCGGAGCTTTTGTATTTCAAAACTCAACAATACTTACCAAATTGTGGTTATTGGTGTAGATGCGCGCTTTTTGCACCACAGTGACCTGCCCTTCGATATCATCGTCGGTGCTTTCGGCTATGTCGTGCGTACTAGTAAGCTCGCACCAAGGAAGAGAGACCTCATCGTGGAACTTTGGGACATCTGCACTCAGCCTCTCTATGAAGGGCGTGAAGACTATCCACTGCCAGAAATCGAATAATCTGGCTTCAGCTTCCGTGAGACCAAGGACTGTCGAACTGCCTTGGGCGAGATTGCGTTGGGCATACCAGGTGCTGTCACACACCGGATGTAAGGCAGGTCCCAGGAACACATTTTCTCTGCCGACGAGAAGTAGTGTTGAGAACAACATCCTCCATCCGGTACAATTGTGCCGCTTGCACAAACAATTTCCCCACTTCGGACAGAGACGTTGCGCAATTTCTTCGTTTGTGGCGTTGTCATCTGTCTGACTCGAACTCGCTTTCAAGATCTTCAGAACATTTCGGCGCTCAATGATGCGAAACAAAGCGTCTCGAGGTATGAACCGTTGACGTTGTTTATCGAGATCCGGTCTCAATTCTCGCATAAGCCTGTCCCTAAGATCCCAACGCAGCTTCAGCAGGCTCTGGTCAGAGCCAAAACCTTCGGCCATGTTATCCGATTTCCGAATGGTAACCGTTCTTCATATCGGCAGGTGCAGGAAAAAGGCTAATGTTGCCAGAGTCCTTGGATGGTTGACGTATTGATGAGTAGAGCCCAATCAGGAGGGGGGAAAAAGTAGGTCATCTGCGTAGCTGCAGAATGCTGTGTTAAACATCTGGTACTTAAGTATGCATGGAGACGCTACAGGTGGGAGGTGTGTCCTTGGGGAAGTCCAGCCCACGGGCTTTTCATTGCGGGGTCGTATTTCACTCCATCCTCAGGGCTGAGCTAGTGCTGACACATTGTCGAGGTTTGCACGAGAGCTGCCCAAAATCTCTCAACGTGCACACCATCATCAACAGAAGGTTGCAAGTAAATTGAGGGTTGTGGGCGAAGTACTCAATGGATGGTCAGCACGCTGATGTTTGACCATCAAGAGGGTGCTAGTTTATCAGCATTATTGACCGGTAAAATCCAATAGTGGCATCTGGGATGAACGATGACGGCTGAGCTTCCTCCTTGGGGAAGCCCATATGCAGTCTGGAAGCAGGCTCTCGCCCGAGCCGCACCTGGGCACTTTTGAGCACACCACAGTACGAACTACAGCGGACGTAATAAAAATGACGCAAAGCCTCATCAGAAAAAGAAAAAAAGGAGACGCTTCAGTAGGTTTCGTACATCGCACTGTAAGGAATCAAATTCAAATCATATTACTGCAGCATATTTGGTCTTGCAACCTGTACAGAGAATACATACAGAAAGCAACGTCACAATGGCTTCTGTAAATTCCTTATTCCAAAAGCATCTGCCAATATTTCCTTTCCCTGGCTTACGTCGCAGGTCTACGGACCATTCGCATTCCACCAAATCATCAATAGCCATACTAGGGAATGAAGGCTTACCGAGACAGAATGTGATTGCGGGCTCTCGGGTCGATGAACAGGAACTCAGACGATTGTGCAATGCTAAGTTTGGGGACCAATATAAATTGAAGGTGGGTATTGGAAAAGTCTTTTTTTGGACAACAACTGATATACTCAGCTGCGATCTAATCGGTACACTTTGTATTCGCGAGAACGACTCAATGATGCAGATATCAGGCGGTGCTGTTCAAAATGGTAATGCAAGCCGCTTGCTGTTGAGAATAATGCAATTGAGATGCTTTTGCAGCTTTTCGATTCAATGTTACTTTCCTTCCCGTGATGCGCAATCGAATACTTGCGTTAGGATAATGTAATAGCTTCATATGGATATAGTATTTACTTAAAGTCAATACCTTCTTTCCTTTTCGCCAGTACTACAGCGACCCTAGATCTCTGTCACTTCGTGAATAATGTTTCCAACATTGACTTCTGTCACTAGATAAGTTGTTATAAACAAAGTGACAAATTGTTTTCTTTCTCTCTTTCTTCTCCGAGGGTCCGAGCAGTAGATTGAGCATAGCCACGTAATGTTTCTGATGAAGTGTACATCTCGGAACAACATGTAAGGATCACATCTTAAACCGCAAAGCCTTAGTATTCTGCATTGACTTGCAAACTGCTTGTATTAACGATTTTGTTGTGGGAAAAGCTTTAGCATACTCGAAGTTTAAACAATCCAAGAACACTGCGTCATCATCTATGCAAACTCAATGACAGAATTCATCATTAGAAGTCAAGTGTCGAGTCTTGAGGTCTAGGACTAAAGAGCTGGATATAACCTCAAGTTTGATCCCACCGAATTAAGCTCTTCAGTCATTAACCCAAGTATTGCATTTACACGATGCAATAGTTTCACTTCTAGCGTATAGTCCCATCGCAACTCAGACTTTGTTTCCTATACGAGACTTATACTTGGCACTGCTCTTGTTCGCATAAATTCTTCGTCTACTGAGGTATCTACTAATCACTGCAGTGCTATTTACACAGTTTGATAGCTAATCAGTCTCTGGTTGTATAAAGCTGATTCTTGCAGTAATTAAGCAAAAATTGGGCACAGTGAGTCGCTGGCTATTTGAACGAGTGGAATCGCATTTTGTCAGCGTCGTGGTAACGGACCAGCAGCTATTCTGACATTCATGTTCAGAAGTTTATGATGAGAACTATTCTTTAACAGAAATCTAGCAAGTCGCTATAGCCTTTGAAAAAAGGCTAAGGTGAAAGACTTGGACAGGCGCAGGCGTTAAACGAGGCAATGGTGACGCGAAAGGGGCCCAGAGGTAGATGGAGAGAGGCGCAAGAGAATGGGCGAACGAAAGAGAGGGGGACTAACAGGACCAGGTCCCAGAACCAAGCCCACCAAGGCCGACAATGTCGAAGATGAGAAGAGAGGGCAAGTCTAGAGAGAAGTCGGGATGACCAAGTAAGTTACCATTACACTGAATAGACTAGGAATGCGATCAAAGTCCTGAAACGTCTGTGTCGATGTCGGGGGCTGAGAGCCTGGACTTTCAGCGCCCTGAATTCCTGCCTCGCAACACCTCGCGCCTCTCTAAACAACTCTCCTCCACAAAAAGCTTTCCAACAAGATTCATTAATTACTACATCTATAATATGCATTGTATCTAGCAAACGTACGTAGCTTTTCTTGATTCGGAAAAGTTGTATCAGCAGAAGCTCGCCTGCTAACCTCAGCCTAAGGCCTCTATGAGAATAATTTGAGCATCGGTGCTTGTAAGATGGATTGTGGACACTTGTGCTTCTCTTCTAGGATAATTGCTTGCGAAAGTTGTTTATTTTGTTAAAATTAAGGAATAAACTCAATCAGGTTGTAGCAAAGATCATAGTTTGGGGTAAAGTGAATTGTAACTATTGCCAGAGTATCGAGGCACCAATGGGATATCTGTTTTCCCTTTGAACCATATTGAGAGACTGAAAAACTATAGAAACCTGTTGATCGGATCAAACTATAATGTGCAGTCTTCGATGCGAAAATAGTATCTATAGCCTAACATTCTGATGTTAAATGCCACACACTGGAGGAGGTCGAAGTCACTAGCATCGGCTATGTGGAGTCGCATATGGCCCCAAGTAGCTTTCTTACTAAAGAGGAATTTTGATAACTCCTGTCATTAGACAAGAACAACATTTTACAACTTATTTGGCTTGGCTTCGGGATTCGCATCTTCGTGTCTGTGACCAGGCCTGCAGAAAGAGCGCTACCGAGGCGTCAGCATTTAGGCGCCTCAGCCGCATTCGAACCAGTTGACGCCAGCGTCTCCAGAGTCGAATGGTGTTGAGAGAGCACTGCATGCTGTCGAAATCAACAGAGCACCCGCACAGATAATTTCCTCCTCCTCCTCTTCTTCTTCAAGAATCATTCTTGATCTGATAGCGAATCGCCAGCGATTAATCGCTCTGTTTTGTGCCGTATCATTGCTGCCCAAGTCTACCCTCGAATACCAAACAGACGATTTCCTACACCAGATGTCATCAACAATGGCAGACCCGGCCTCGTTTATAGTTAGCACGACGCTCGGGGCTGCAGGTCTTCTTCTTGCCTTTCAGGGAGCTGTGGACGGCTTTAACACACTGACTGAGGTCTTCGCGTCAGATACTGGCTTGCACTATACGGCTCTTCAGTACCAGGTAGAGACCTTCAAATTCAAGTTGTGGGGCGAGCATTTCAAGATCAATGATCCCAGCAACTGCCAGATCCTTGACATGCCTTATGAGACGCAGGTCACGATTGGACGCATCCTGGCTGAGATATGGCGGAAGCAGGAGACGGCCGGCGACACGTTCCTTGGCACGTATGACCTTCAGCGCTCAGTCCCCGCTGCCCAAGGGCCAGCAGCCGTCGACTTTAGCAAAGGCAGTGTGTGGATTGGGTCTATTACAGATCAGAAAGTCCAGAAGCCGGCCAACTTCTGGAAGCGGCTAAAGTGGACCTTGAAGCACAGAGAGCAGTTCACAAGACTGCTGTCAGATCTTGCCACACTCAACCAAAATCTCTGGGACGTGGCCAAGCTGAGCGGCCTGGATGCAAAGCACATCATCGACTCCATTCTGCACGGCCTTGACGCTTTCTGCGAAAGGGTCAGACCCAAAGAGGTGGACGAGAAACAGATCGCGACATATGTCTTTACACAATGGGCCGAGTTTTGGGACAAAAACAAGCCTGAGGACCTGGACGTAGAGAATATGGTCGCACGAATCACCGCCGGGGTGTCGGACCAGCTTGCGCTCACGTCTGCTCCGCAGGCCCTCAACACCCCATCCTCCTTGGTGAAGTTGCTGGCCCAGGTCCGCGCCATCCAAGCCATGGACCTCTCCCAGGCCGCTGAGAAAGTAAAGCTCATCACCATCACCTCTGCCTCCTCGTCCCATGTCCCACCGCCCCTCGAGGTCAATGCCGACCCCGCCGACACCACTGGGCGGCATCTTGGCCGCTACCTCGAGCCCGAGCCCGAGCCCTCGCTCTTACCAGCCACCAGAGTCCTCATCGAGTACAAGACCGTCTCTTCCTCCTCGCCCGCCTGCGCTGCTATCATGCTGCGCATCCGCGCCCTCGCCGGCCTGCTCTCTGCCACCTCACCCACCGCCTCCGCCTTCGCCTCCCTCCCCTGCCTCGCCCTTCTCGACGACGAAGCCTATTCTGAGAGCAACAAGGGCGCCGCACAGCGCCTAGGCATCGTGTACCGCCTACCGGCTGGCTCCGTATCCGTGCCACGATCGCTCTTGGATACGATCCGGACCGCGGCGCAGCACAAGACGCGGCCTGCGCTCGGGGAGCGATTTCGGCTGGCGTACCGCTTAGCCAGCGCAGTAGGGCTGCTGCATGCGGCAGGGTGGGTGCATAAGGGGTTGAGGGGAGATAATGTTTTGCTTGGGCCTGCTGCGGACGGAGAGAATGTTCGGGACGGCAGTGGCGTTGGGGTGCCGTACCTGGTCGGTTTCCAGTATAGTCGGCCGGCAGGGGATGAGTCGTTGGAGGGGCGGCCGGGAGGGGCAGCGGAGCTGGATGTATATTACCATCCAGAGGTAGGACATGGGTGGACCAAGATTAAGGAGGTGTATAGTCTAGGTATTGTGCTGCTGGAGGTGGCGTACTGGCGGCCGGCGTTTGAGGAGAGGTTTAGGAAGATGAAGTTGCGCGAAATTTCGAAGGCTTTATGTAATGACTTGGATGGCGAGGGAGGAGATAGGCTGAAGGCTATGGTGGGGTCCATCTTTGTTGATGTGATCAAGACGTGTCTGAAGGGAACAGAGGCCCTTGGGGTGGGATCGGGGGATTCCGAATGGGAAGCCAAGATGCTCAACGATGCCTTCTTCGACAAGGTGCTTAGACCACTTGCGTCCTGCAACGCGTAAGAGGCCTACGCCGCAGAGGCAGTCATGATACTCTCAGTCTATGTTTAGCAAGGAAAACGACGTTTTCAATCTCAACTAGGGCGTCCAAAGATACCCAACGTCAGCCATGCAGCGGCGACGTCCAAGTTGTGGTTTGGTTTTTGTGGTCGAGAAAGTACACGATGCCTTGGTCCGCCCGCCGAGCTTCCCAGTCCGCTGGCAGAGCCTTGTTGATTGTCGTCAACTCAGCCATTGATCTTAGTTCTCGGATTTCGAGAAAATGTGTGCGAAGGGTAGAAGTGAAATCAGGAGGAGGCATGGGACGTTCAGGGACCAAGTTTCGCGAGAGAACCCGAGGGCTGATGGCGCCAAGAAGGCTTTCCATGGCCCATATGCCACGGGATCCTGCAAATTTTGTAAGACCATCTTGATCGATGATTTCTGTGCGTGTATCCCGGCCATCCGTTTGTTCGAAGGGAGAGGGCTCATCTAATTCCCACGGAATTCTTCGAAGCGGGCTAAGTGGGTTGCTGCCACTCGCTATCCCCATTTCTGGAGCTTAATTTGAATGAGCTCTGTTAGTTTCAGGCCACATGAACCTACTCCTTGCGTACCATTCAGGAGAGTCTTACCTTTTGCGATGTGAACCCTCTCAGCTTGCCCGGACGTGGCAGCGGTTTGGAGGCCCCAGAATGCAGAGTATGCGCCCGGCTCCCCCTTCTTGCTTTGAATGAGCAGCTGGACTATGTCCTTTGTACGCGCTCTCCAAAGTTCAACCTCTCTGCGACCTCCGCGGGCGACCCAGGGCGGTGTCGGCTGGCGCTGGCGTTGAACAGCAAGATCAAGTGCCTTATATCCTTTCAGTTGAGCTCCATCGTCTCCTCCAGTGCTCTCCAGGTCTGGGTCCACTCCTTCTTGCTCAAGAAAAATCTGGACTGCCTCTCTGTCTCCATAAGAGACCGCCCAGTGGAGAGGTGTAAAGCCCATGCTATCAATGAAGTTGACTTTGTTGGGGAACACAGTCAGCAAGTACTTTAGTATTGCCTTCCTGAGCGCAAGTTCGTTCAAGGCTGTTGGCGGAACCATTATTGACAACAAGGTTCGAAACACCGTGACTTTCCTGGGCACATTAGCAAAGAAGGATGGCTCGCCGTAGTTGTCAACAAGAAACCTCAGTCGACTAATGCCGATGTCCATTCTCCACGCCGTCAGAGCACTGAGCACTTTTCCAAATGCTGTAAAGCCTGATTCGTCGTCGGGTCCGAGCAGCTTGTCTATGTTGGCGTTCTCTGCTAGCCTCTTTGCAACCTCTAAATTTGTGTTCCTCAGTACCGCCCAGATGAAAGGTGTCGAGCGGTCCTTAGCTCGGTCGTACAGGTTAGCCCCGCGAGAAAGCAGCGCGGCAGCATACCCAGGCCATGGTTTTACGGCCGCTGAATGAAGAGGTCGTCGTCCGTGTTCTCCAATGCTGTCCATCAGAGCTGGATATCCATCGACAAGTAGGAGGAAGATGTCACGGGCGTCAGAGTAAATCGCCCGTTGCAGAGCGTTATAGCCTCCATATCGATCCGTGTCCTGCAGCACCCCAAGGACATCAAGATCACTTGACGACATATGCTGAAGGAACTGATTGAATGCAACCGTGTCACCGGTGTAGATGGCGGACGTGAAGGCGCATGATTCCTTATCGCCCAGATCTTCTAGGGATGTTGGATCGGCTCCCATTCCCAGTAAAGTCTTCAAAATCATCTCTTTAGCTTTCCGGAAATTTGCGCCATGTATCAGTCGGCGATGAAAAACCGTTGTAGGCGATGTGTCCATAGCTCCGCGTAGAAGTCTCGACCACTCTGCAACACCAAACTCTGCCGAGTCTTGTTCTTTCCTTGGTGGGAGTGTGTGCGGAACGTCCAAGTTGAGTCTCTGGAATCGAAGCCGAACCTCTTTGATGTTCGTCTCGTTGTATAGGCTCTGTTCTACGTCAACGACTGCATTCTGCATCTCGATAGCCAGATTGAGCATCTTGGCCTGATTAAGGATGCTGAGAACCTGAAGCAGCTGGTAGTATTCCTCGCGACTGATTTGATAGCCAGGGCAGGAATGTAACTTCAGGATTGCGGCGAAGAGCAATGGTCGGGACTTCAGTGCTGCCCAAAACAACGGAGTGCCTGCGGCGATGGCCGTCGTGTCAGATCGCTCTTCCGGGGTTTCCATTGGAGCCACAACACTGAGGCTGGCGCCATGAGCAAAGTAAACTTGAGCAAGGCTTGCGGCCTTCCCGTCTTCCATCATGACCAGACAATGCATCAGCGAACGGCCGTTAACGCTGACCTTCGTAAGGGATGCCCGCTGGTTACACAGGAACCTCGCTATGTCGTCTCGTCCAGCTTGGGTTGCATAAAATATTGGTGTCTCGTTGCGATCATTCGTCACATTGATATCGACCTTCTCATCCACAACCAGCCTTTCAAGAAGGTCCAGTTCTGCCATCGCCGCAAACACGTGTAGTGCAGTCTCGCCAACATCATCATCGCGATGGCGAGCTGTCACTCGGCGGGTGGCCACTGCTGCATCTGTTTTCACAGCCAAGCCCAGTGCAAGCACGTACGCAGGGTCTAATCGCATTCTTCTTGGCGTACTCCAGCCACCATATCGCCGGCGGATAGCGTTAAGGGTGGCCCGACACAGGTCTAGATCCAGTTGCTTCAGACACTCTGTGGCAGCCGAGTGCCCAGCGATAGCACCCGATACACACCACAGCTTCCTCGGCAGTGGCTCACTCAGCCTCGCTAGAGGACTTGTAGATTCTTCCAGTGGCACAAAGCAGAGTATCGATAACCCTTCGCCGCCAAGAGCAGCCAAAGATAACCAGCGCATAGCTTCATACTCATCCACAGAGGTGCCAGATCCAAGAAGCTTAGATATGGATATATTCAGAGCATATTTCACAAATGCAGGCATGGACTTTATAAGCAAGAGCTGCGCTTGGATTTCGGTGTTTCGATGCCTCAAGGCAGCCCAAACTTCCTCGTCAGAGCTCTTGCAGGCGACAGGAAGATCTTCATACGCCGTGGAGGGTATGTCGAGAGTCTTTTGTATGCTTTGACCAAATTGAAGGACGGCTTCAAACATCTTTTCTTTGAAATCGCGACTACGGGCGAGGTAGTTTGGGTGAAATGCCTGCATCACATGCTGTTGATCAGCCCACGGTCCTGATCCGTTTTATAACTCATGTGAAGGGATGTAAGCTTTATGATACTAAGACGAACCATCACTACAGCTGTCGGCTGGGCATCAGCAGCAGAAAGCTGGATGATTTGAGGATCTGGGAGGCTATAATACGCACGTATCAGCTTGCACATCACGTAAGGACAAGCTGGAGTCGTAAAGACGCACCCTGTGGTCCTTGCTTGGGCTTGAGCAAATAAGGAAAGATGAGATTTTATTATATTGTCAAGCGAGAGTCGCAAGGCGGGATATGTCGACAAACCAGCCCGAATGATGTCCTGCACCGGGAATTGGGCCTGGTTAATTGTTGAAGTCGACCGTAACGCCAAATTTATCATGCTGTCCTCGTTGTCGTCCGGCATCATCTTTTGTAATCTGATGAGCTGTTGTCGGTCACTCGCTGTTAATTGGAAGTCGATATCAGAGTCAATAAAGCACCCGCCGTATGAAATATGTCCTGTCCTCGTCCAAAGTGTAGCCAGGACCATGGCAAGCGAGTAGACATCAGCAAGCTGGGGGTTGACATTTGGCAAATCTAGCTCGATTTCTGGGCTCTGCCACATCGCAGTCCTCATATGATATTTGTTTGAATCGTATGATACTCAGGGGGCGACACCGTTCAAGTCCGAGATCTTCGCTACAAGGCGGCGAGAAGGATGATGGTTGACGATAATGTTGGCGGGTTTGATGTCTCCATGGACGAGACCGAGACCATGCACCGCCGCTACACCGGCGATAATGTCGAAGCTGATATTGGCCTTGGTCAGATCCGAGCTGAATGACCGCAGATCCTGTAAGCAGTCATCCAGATTTCCTGGCTCAGCAGCATGTCAGTTGAGCTTCTGTTGCTTCACTCTGACAATGCGGCTACTCACCGTATACAGCAAGCTCCAAAGCCAAAGATGGAAGCAGTTGTGTACTTTCCCATCCGAGAAACAGGAGTTTGCAAATGTTCTCATGGTTCCGCAGGAGCGGGTGGCAAAACGCTCGAAGCTCTTGCCATAGTAGCCCTTGAATCTTTCTAGCTGATTCCGCAGCCTCGGGAACCCCCTCAGGCAGGCTATGGTACTTTTTCAGAGCCACAAGACTCCCTTCATGTCGACGTTAGCATAGAATAAAAAAATATAAAAAATAAATACATAAAAAAAGCAGGCAATATGCGGAAGGAAACAGGCTGCCAACCTGGCGGACAGATCCCTTCTTCGTCGCTGCCCGTCTCATGAAAAATAACACTGCATGATGCACCTCTTCCAAGGCTGTACGTTGTTTTCAGTGTCCTCTCAACGGCCATTGAAGCATTTGGGAGTCCTTGCAGCATCGGCAAGTCGCATGATGGAATGTCGAACTGCACGGCAAGGGTGAAGATGGAAGAAACGTTTGCGTTCTCGAACAATGCTGCCGCAAAGTCTCTGTCCTTTGACCCAGCCTGCTGCGTTTCCACAGTCTGATCTGGGGTTGGTGTTCCCCGAGATATTGAAGAGAAGACCGGCATTATACCAGATATTCATAAGACGATGATTAAATCAAACTTGAGGTGGCGGCAGTTCTTGAGGTCAAGCAGCATCTGTAACAAGTAGCGCATATCCATCCATTTATTGTGAGTAAAACGAGAGCCTACTTGGTAGTTAATATCCGGAGGTCAAGCAGCATCTGTAACAAGTAGCGCATATCCATCCATTTATTGTGAGTAAAACGAGAGCCTACTTGGTAGTTAATATCCGGAGAAACGAGACAATTATTGATCTACTTCAGGTATGCTTGAGATGTTGTTTGGGACTGAGGGTCAGTAAAGTCTGCGTTGTCTCTAATGAACTTCGTGAGCAAACAGCAGCAAAGTCCAGCTGAAAGAGTTACCCCGCAGAGGGCTGTGAACATTACATCATCTCTGTGCTGGCGATAATTCAATTGATATTGAGAGCACTCACACCTCGTGACAAATGCACTAGCAACAGGCTGTGGGTAGTTCCAAGAGGGTGTCAAAGTGGAGGGTGGATTTTGATAGCCCTTGATCTTCCTGCGCTGCCATTGTATAGCTCATGTGACTCAATGGAGATTTCGGCACTCAGGACCAATTCAATAATCTTTCTCTGTCCTGGAGTTATTCCGGAAAATCCACTATATCACAGCGTTTGAAATGTAGATAGATGACTGGGTCTCTCCCTGAACCGTCAGCAATGCTAGGGATAGCTGTCAGGTCGCTAGCCTCGTCACATTCTTGCGTGACTTTCTTTGGGTGGGCTTTTGTAAGAATCGCTTCTCTAGCTGGCCAGGTGGCGTCCGCGGCTTCTTGGCCGTCTTTGCACACCTATCTGGTGGCTTCACTGACTGCTCCACATCCATGACGTCCTGCGTGCATTGAAGGGTTCCATCTTCGTTATTCGACGAACGTGATCCGCAGGAGCCAACGCTGCATAGCCTTTTTTTCTGCATTCAAGTTTCAAATCGCTCTTCAGCTTTAGATTTACCATTACAGGACCTGGTGAAGTTAGCAAAATTGGTTAGCATAGTAGCTGGCGGATATATCTCAACACATATATGTAAAAATTTTACGAAAAAGCACGAAAAAACATGGCCGCATTATTAACGTGCTGTTGGAATGGAATGTTACCGTTTCCTCCCTTACATAGCACCTTATTTTTGCTGCAATAAGATGTGATAAGTACACCGATACAGGAAACCTTTACTAGCAATTTTGGGAGACTGAGCGTTACAGTATTAGCACTCTACGGCGCGACACTGAGCGAGCTGCCTCTAAAGGTAGAAATCTTAGAAGGCTAGAGTTAGCAGGGGGCTCAGAATAGGCATGTGCCATTGCACATGACTCACATTTCTTTTCCCACTCTAAATCTGCGTTAGTCAATTCCACTTGATACCAGATTTCAGAACAACGCAATGGGACGCAGATATGGAATGATGTCCTCAGGTCGAATCTCAATGCCACTTGAACAGCGACATGACGCACATGGATTGCAGTATAGATCCTGACTGATTCAGAAATGGGTGAATACCGGAATAAATACATTCACTGTCACGTCAGTCTTTTCCACTCAGCGTCGATATCAACTGGGCTTACCGCCCCGCTCACCTTCTTCTTCCTTCTGCTTCCACTGCTGCTATTCGGGAGTCCAATCATTCTGTATTTGGGCTTTACTGGCTCGAAATTTGCTGTTACGAAAGCCAAATAGACATCAGGTCTTCATGTAACTATCTAAGTATGTGGCTCGAGCGGCTCATGTCTCCGCCACCTTGCCGTAATTGAGCTACTCAAGAAGTCAGTCCTTTATGTGGTATTATTCAGATTCGTTATGTGTACAGTAAACATGACGGCAAGGCTGAGATAAGTTGAGTGGGAAAATTACATCTGCTATTATTACGCAAGACTAGTCCAAGAAATGGCCCATCTAGGAACAGATTACTTGCTTCCAAACAAAAGAAAACTTCTGAATCATAGTGAGAAAGATCATATACCTGAACGGAACCTGTCTATGTGTTTCAAATCTGGCAGGTTTGGCTGGCCAGATAGCTTCTAGGTAGTTAAGGAGAGGACTCGAAACATCTCGTCTATGACATCACTGGTGTCACCTGTAGTGCTACTTCCTCACTCTCTCCCTATCCCTCCATGACAAAGCCCTGACATCTTCAAACCAAGACCGCACTTCTCGTACCACACACTGTCACTTCCATCACTTTTAGCCAATACAAACCATGTCTGCTTTGAGCCTCAACGGTAAGCCCTTCAACCTCTAAAGTTCTTTTACGCAATTCTACTTTCTGCGATCTGCCAATGGCAGAGACATCTCTCTCGATACTGACACGTCCCAGTCTTCCGCCAACCACTGAAGCTGTTCTCGACCCAGCCCATGACAGGCTTCTACCGCGATGGCTACTGTCGGACTGGCACCACGGACTTCGGCAACCATGCTGTGGCTGGCGTTGTCAGCGATGAGTTCCTCGACTACTCCGCCTCCCAGGGCAATGACCTCAGAACTGTTGGGCTGAGGGGGGGCTGCAAGTGGTGTTTGTGCACAGCCCGGTGGCTCGAGGCATTCCGAGCGTATGAGAATGGTACCATCTCGAGAAATGCGGTCCCGAAGATTGATCTCGATGCAACAGAGGAGAGCGCCCTGCAGAGGATTGACCTGCAGACCCTGAGGGGCTTCGCGGTGGAGAGGGAGGGGCAGCACCAGCAGGTCAATGGTGTGAACGGGGTGAACGGCATCAATGGGGACCATATGCATTGAGAGAGTGTTTGTGCATGTCAAGGGCAGAGGCCAACTTCCTGGGGAGAACAGTGGGCTAACCGAGCTGGTCTCCATCTTCGTATCTCTTTGCTGAAGTACCTTCCCAAAACCTGAAAGCCACTCAGCAATTCTTACTATTATGAAAATCAACTAACACTGTACTCGTTGTCATTGTTACATTCTATTCCCAGTTCATCCGGGGTCAGCCACATGCCTCGATCGATCTGACGTGCCGCCTGCTCGGCTCCTTCTTCCGATATTACGGGTCCCTAGAATCGATGATAGCACCTTCGGTTCCTTTCATTGCCTGCACGCGATCATACCTCTCAGGCAAGCTCTAGCAAGCGCTACTTCTGCCAAGCGAGCGGCCTAGAACCCCCTGGTCCTTGGTGTCAGCTGCAAGGCTGCAGTTCCTGACGCCCCGTGGCAGATGAAGTCATGCAATGCAACCTCAACACTTGCGAAAAGAATGGCTCCGAACGGGAACCATCCAGTTGACAGACAGCAGCTGAACTATGGAGGCCAGTCGGCAATCTGGTCCGGGAACTGGCGCGTTCCGCTCTGGGCGGGCTTGTCATGATGGTGTGAAGGTTTGGATCTATTTATATGCAGAGCTTCCTAGGTGTCGTGGGTGCAAGTGCAAGGGGACTCTGCGTATCTACGCCGATGCCTTACTGAGAGGAGAGTATGCTCGCGTGCCCAGGACGGCAGTCGATAATGTCCCGTCAGAAGTTAGGGTCGGTCAGTCGTTATCCGAGCCTGATCAGGGTCTTTTGGCGTAGACATCTGCGTTACACTTCACTGGGAGGGTCTAGTCACAGGTGGGCAGGTTCTTGGAAAGTGTCTGTCTTGGGTGGGTGGACAAGCTTACACCAAGGTTTTGCAGAGCAGCATACTATTAATATACAGAAGTGATCGAACCAGAATTCCAACATGTCCTTTTACTGATGTTCTCCCCCCTCCCTCTCATCCTTGAGTCGGTCAAACTTTATAGACACTCAAGGAAACGCTAATGTAAGTGATGGTTTTTCTTGTCCGGGTTTTTCTGTTCCTAGGCACTTGGAGAAACACTTCTTCACCGGGAAATAAGTAATAAACTAAGTAATTAGCAGCATGCATCCGACTCTCTAGGGTTGACGGTAATACATGTACCAAAGCATATTACGCAATAAATCCTGATTGACGGCATTTTTCTCGAGGACTCCTTTGAAAGGCTTGCATGAGCCACAGTCACAAATCAATACTTACGAAAAGGGATCTAGCCTAGGAAAGAAACCCTGAACAAGTTCGTATGATTGTTACGCGAGGTGTGTGCCGAACGCAACGATTGTTTATTTTTGCGTGCGCTCGTGAGCCACCACGATAATTCAGCACATATTAGTTTGTGTTGCATCCGCCCGTGAGTGTGACAATGTTGCGGCTCGCATGCTAATGTCACCTGGCTTTCCTCTTTAGGATAAGAGACCATGCACATGCTCATCAACCACAACCACCCAAAAGGAGGCCTAAGCAAACCCCAACAACTACTGATATATTACTTGGCACCAGACATGTGACCTGCCCTTTTCGACATCCCACTATCCTCGATTCTCATATCTACCATAGTATACTTTTTCAATAATTAATCTCGCCCACGGCCAACTTTTTTCTTCTTCTTCTTCGTTTTGCCCGGTTACGGCCCACCCTTTCAGCTGCGTACAAGAAGCAGAAAGAAAGGGGGGTTTTTGTGTGGTGGGATCCACGCGCGCCCTTGTGGTCTGCATTTAACTAGCCGTCCACTCAGGATCCATCACCGGGCCACGTTGTAGCCTCAACCGTGGGCACGAATCCCACACAGCTGACTCCATGCCTGCAACTAAGAAACCACTGTGGCATGCTCGGACCATCACGTTCACCGAGACTATCGCGAAGCTGCAGAAATCGATTTGCATTCTTCTTCTTTTCCCCCCTTCCCAAATGCTGCGGCCTCTTCGGCAGCCGGCACGAACGCCTGGGTTCATTTGGTCCCCCTCCAATGCCCTTGCCATTGGTAGCATCGTGTCCCACGACGTTGCAGTTGAGGGACCTTTTTCCCCCCCCTGCGGCCTTTGGCTCGGATGTTCCTGGTCATGACTATAGCCCGAGGGATCGTCGTGCTTAACAGCTATGGCGCTTGTGGAAGCGGATATTCTACGAAGAGGTCATGGCTAGGGTGATGATGTATAAATACGCCATGGATAGTCCACAACATCAAAGGTAGGAAGCGGAGGTAAGCCATCCCGAGGAAGCGAATCCTAGGCGTGATCCATCTGTTCAAATTTATATTTCTTAGGCATCGGCCTAAGCACTTATGCTTCTTGATCACGAACTTAGTGCAGACCTGTCCCTTTCTGAAGTGTGTGGTGTCTGTTGAATCTGGGCTTCCGGGCTCCTGATAACTTCTCTGTTTGCGATCGTTATCACTCCATAGCATTGCTACTATATTTCCCCCCCCCCCCTTCCCTGTTTTACTCCACCATGAATCCCCTTCTGAAAACCATTCTGCTCGTGGCCCTGACGGCCAGAAGTGGCAGCGTGGGCGCTGTTGCTGCCGACTTGACTACCTACGTGTCTCCCAGCGTGAGTGACCACTTACTTTACATGTCTTTCCCTTTTGCAGACAGGAAAAAGACAAAGCTGACCAGAGCAACAGACTGGCGAGGCTGGCGGCGGCAATACGTTCCCAGGAGTGACCTGGCCCCTTGGCGTGGTGAAGCTGGGGCCAGACCTGTATGATGGTTCAGACTCCTATTCGGGCTACGATGTACGTCAAGTTCTTGATACCAAGCGTACTATTACGATATTGTTTCCTTTAGACGAGACTTTGAGTCTTGAGGGGGAAACGTACCTAGTACCTGAGAGAGTAGAAACGCAGAAACGTTTAAACAATGTTTCTCTAACATGATCTAAAGGACGACGGCAACTTCACCGGCTTCAGCATGCTTCACGAGAGCGGAACAGGAGGCGCGCCCAAGTACGGCGTGGTGTCGCAGATGCCCGTGCTGGGCAACATCGCGAACCCGCTGGCAGACCACAACGACACGAGGGCCCAGCCTGATGTGGCCGAGGTAGGGTACTACGAGGCGTTCCTGGGCTCTGGCATTACTGTCGAGCTGGGCGGCACAGAGAGGGCTGGGTTCTACCAGTACACCTTTCCCGACACAAACCAGACCAAGAATATTATTGTGGATGTCTCTCATGTCCTGTCTAGCTACCGGGGCCTGGGTCTTCAGCAGTCCTATTTGGGCGGCAATATTCAGGTGGTCGATGGGAACTCGAGTGATGGCTATTATCAAGGCTATGGCTCGTACAATAATGTAAGTGGGAAAAGGAAACAGAAAGAAGAAAAGAGAAGGGGGAAAAGCTCTCATCCTCTGGGGAATTGATCCCAGCATATGCTGACTTGCGCATCACTATTATTACAGGGCTGGAATCTTGCACCATTATGGACCGTCTATTTCTGTGGTTACTTTGATACAACCCCCTCAACATACGCCACATTTCTGGGCAATGGCAACACCAACGACACACTGGTGGCGTATCCTGCAGGAGACGAAGTGACGTCGACCTCACGCCTCGGCGTCCTGTACACCTTCGACACCACCAATGTGACGTCCAGGGTAGGCGTGTCGTTCATCTCGACGGAGCAGGCGTGTGCAAACGTCAACTCGCAGATCCCCGCGGGCACGGCGCTCGACACGCTCACGCAGCAGACCAAGGACGCTTGGAACAGCCAGATCCTGTCCAAGATCACGACGACGGACACCAACACGACCAACCTGGAGCTGCTGTACACGTCTCTCTATCATATGAACATCATTCCCACCAACAAGACGGGCGAGAACCCCCTATGGGAATCTACTGAGCCGTACTACGATGACATCTTTACACTTTGGGACCTTGTATGTTTTTCCCTTCCCTCATTTTGGTTTTCACACAACATTCTTCCCGCACTGTTGCTTTCTCCAACTTATCCACTTCGAAGCCTCATCTTATTTTTTTTACTGACTCTTTCCTAGTTCCGCTGCGGCACCGCCCTCTTCCACATCATCAACCCAGAGTCCTACGAGGAATACATCCGCTCCCTGATCGACATCTGGCGCCACGTAGGCTTCATGCCCGACGCCCGCTCCTCTTTCTGGAACGGGGCCACCCAGGGCGGCTCCAACTGCGACAACGTCCTGGCCGATGCCTACGTCAAGGGCGTCCGCGGCGACATCGACTGGGAAGATGGCCTGTCCGCCATGCTGACCGATGCCGAGGTCGTCCCGCCCAACAACGACGACCCGCGCGACCCTTCGGGCTCGACTGCAGAGGGCCGCGGCGCCCTGCCCGACTGGCTCGAGTATGGCTACATCACGCCTACTTTTGGCCGTTCTGTGAGCCGCGCCGTCGAGTACTCGGTCAATGACTTTGCCGTGTACCAGGTCGCCAGCGGGCTCGGCCTGGACAATGCCACCACGTACCTGAACCGCAGCCGCAACTGGAGGAACCACTGGAACCCGGACGTCGAGTCTCTGGGCTTCTATGGTTTCGTCATGCCTCGTGACACGAGCGGATTTATTGCCAATGATCCTCTCACCTGCGGCGGGTGCTACTGGGCCGACTACTGTGAGTGAAATGAGCATCTTCTCTTCATGTTCATCCCTGAACTCTCTCACATACTCTCTCTCTCTCTCCATTTCTCATTCTCCCTTCCCAACATAAGATGAAAAAAGAAGAACCAAATCCTGACCGAAAAATACATACAAAACTTTCAGACTACGAGGCTCTTCCCTGGGAATACTCCTGGAATGCCCACCACGACATCGACACCCTGATGAGCTACATAGGCGGCCAAGACACCTTCCTCGCCCGCCTGGAGATGATGTTCACCCCCGGCGCCTATCCATCCGGCGCCTTTGACGAGATGATCTTCAACCCAGGCAACGAGCCCTCCTTCACCACCCCGTACCTCTTCAACTTCATCAACCGCCAGGACCTCACCGTCCTGTACACCCGCCGCTTCGCCCAGGCCTTCTACAGCCTGGGGCCCGACGGCCTCCCCGGCAACTCGGACGCCGGCGCCATGGAGACCTGGCTCCTGTGGGTCATGATCGGCCTGTATCCCATGACGGGCCAGACCACCTTCCTGATCGGCAGCCCGTGGTTCACCGACCTGACCATCGACCTGGGCACCGGGAGCACGCTGCAGATCACCACCACGGGCGGCTCCGAGGACAGCTACTACGTCCAGAGCCTCCAGGTCAACGGCCAGGCCTGGAACCAGACGTGGGTCACGTGGGACGACATCTTTGCCAGCGGTGGCACGCTGGACTTTGTCCTTGGGCCTGAGCCTGCCAACTGGACGACAGGACCGCCGCCGCCTAGCCCGGCAACGGAGACCACGGCCCAGCGCAGGCGATGAGGTTTTGGAGGCCTGTGGTATTTTGAATAGTATTGTCAAGTGTGTGGCCCATGCATAGCATCTTCGGTCTCACATAGCAGAGTCGAAGAGCGGCGGAGGGTAGTCAACTTTGTCTATAATGAATATAAGTAATCTCACACTTCACACCCACTCACTCATGCATTCATTCATGATTCCAGCTTGCAAAAGCCAGCCACGACGTAATGAATTCAATACCAGTCACACTACACTGTTCGAGTGAGCCTCAAGATGCCCACCTGCATTTGGTTGAATGATTATCCCCAGGATTAAATATAGAGCCAGTCTATATGACCTCTCTCCCTCTCTGTGTCTCCAAATTTGAGATACTCATGCGTCTTCTGTCTTGTCAAGACCTGACTCGGACATCGACTCCGTGCAGGGCCATAGGCTGAAAATGAAGAACCCGACCAACAGAGAGCCAAGTCCAGCCTCACATTCCACAGAAAACGCCTTCGTATCGAGCAAGATTTCATGGTCCTTTTTTCACCAAACAGTATCATTCCAATTTTCCGAAACCTCCTTGGTATGTGGGTATGAATATTTGCTGTCCAGTTCCGTGCCCGTCAATGACCTCGTGGGTATCAGACCAGTCCATCATCCTCCCCGCCCAGCCATGCGCGAAGACAACCCTTGCTGAGAAACATCGCAGCCCGTTACATCCCACCTGGTGTGGTGACTGTGACCACCATGCCCAAAAACCTTTGTGTGCACTATTAAAAGTACGAGAGTATGTACAAGTTCCCAATTCGATTCCTCATCGCGCATGATAAATCAACCAACCAGACATCCAAGCCCGATACTGTGTAGTCTTGTGACCGTTCTCAACTTTCTTCCTTAGTACGCAGAGCCGGCTATGGAACCTGAACGGCCCATCGCGTCATTGATCTTACGAGTGAGATCAATCATGCCGGACAAGTTGCGTAGCACCGGGTCGTTGGGCACCGCCATGTTGAGGCGGACAAAGACGTGCTCGAGGCGGCTCTTGACCAGAGACATGACCCGCGGGGTAATCTCACGGACCTGTCCCTCCTATTGTAGAGTGTTAGCAGACATAGTGCACACAGCAGCCGTAAGGGACCCGCCCAAAAACTTGGAATTCCAGTTGCTTACAGTACTTACAATCCTCGGCAGAGCCTCGTAAAATTGAATCAGGACCATCTCGGTCCAGGCCAGCTGCCTGTGCAGCACCTGTGCGTTGTCTAGCTCCGACGTGATAGTTGCCGCTACTGTCAGCAGGAGGAGGGGGTTCAAGTTGCGGATGAACTCTGGATCGTATTTCGCAAGCACCTGGTTCCAAACGGCCTGCCCATCCTTTGACTCCTGAATCCAGGTCATGACAGCGTCATCGTAATTACCCGCTTGCATATGATTGCGCACCCGCGAGCACACATCCTCGAGCTCCAGACGCTCTCGGTTTTCCTGGGTCGTCTGTTGAAATTCCACCTGCTCCCCAGCAAGCTGTTGGGCCTGTTGGACCGCCTGGTGTTGACTTGAGATGTGACTGACGACCTGGCTGGACGTCTGACTCGCGGGGCTGCCAAACTGCTGCGAGTGCTGTAAGGCATGGATGCTGGGATTTACGGCTTGCAGCGGCACTGCCTGGCCCGAGTACTGCTGCTGCTGTGGAGACACAATTGCGCTGGCGCTGCCAGCCCAGTGCTGTTGCTGGTTCGGTGAGGAAGTCAGGCCTGCAACAGATGGGTTGGTGTATTGGCTAGCTGCCACAGATCCTTGAGGGCTCTGGAAGTGTTGTTGAGGGAGAGCAGCAGGGGCAGCGAGGTGCTGCAGAGCTTGAGTCTGGCTGTGGGACGGGCTGTGGTACGCGCCGTTTCCTCCGCGTCCCTGGCTAACTTGTCCCATGTGTCGTCCACCAGCCTGCGCAGGCGAGACCTGACGCTGTTGGGCGAGTTGGGTCTGCAGGCGCAATATCTCCTCTTGGAAACGCGCCTGGGCACTCGACATGGTACTGAGAGTCTCCGACATGCTGGTACTGAGAGCAACAAGTTGCTCAAACTTCTGCACGTCTTTCACGCGGATCTGTTCCATTGCATCGAACTGGGCCGTGACATTGGCCAAAACCTCCTTGCCACAGGCGCTGGCGGCTTCGGTTGCGACCTTGGTGAAACGCGGTATGATCCTATCATCGAGTAATGCATACAGCTGTTCGTCGATCTTGTTAGAGAGGGTACGGACCACCTTGTCACTGACAGCTTTGGCCAGCTCTGGCTTTCGCAGGGCCTGGTCCATCGCACGCGGCAGGGTTTCCTGCACCTCTCTCTGGACTGAGTGGGCGACGGTATTGCCAAGCTTGCCGTCAAGCTGCTTGACCACGGCGTCCGTCAAGACATCGCCGATCAACGTCGTGATAGGGCCGCCAAGCTCATCCTGGACGATCTTGGTGAGCACGTCCTGGCAGTTCTCGTTAAGACACAAAGACACCTGGCTGAGAAGCTCGTCCTGGCGACGGTCAAATTTGCTGTCGCGAGCCTGCGCATCGCGGTCAAGAGCCTTGCGGAGGCCGACCAGTTCGGACTGGATCGAGCCAGTGATACTGTCCATCAGACGCTTCTCCATGCTGTTGATACGACTGTCCACTTCTTGCGAGAATGTGAAGGAGGACTTGGAAGCCTCTGCAGGCTTGTGCGTGGTCGTAGCCACAACCCTTGGTGTAGTGCCGTTAGTCTGGCTAGTCTCACGGTCGTGCTCGGCTAGTGCAGCTGCCAGTGTAGCAGCCTTCTCGGCCGCGGCCTTCTTCTTGCGACCTCTCTTCTCGGTCTTCTCGGCGGCAGCAGGAACAGCAGGCTCCTCCTCCTTGCTCTCCTTCTGCTTGGAGGGCGATGCTTCCTCTCTGGCCTTTCGCGTGACTGGCAACTCAGGCGCAGTGTCGGCTGCAGGCTCCTTAGGACGGACAGCAAGACGGACTTGGGGTGCGGGGACTGCTTCCTCGGCGGGCTGGGCCTGAGGTTGAGGGGGTGGCTGCTTCAGCTTTCCGATCTCGACCACGCCAGCCTCGATAGCATTGACGGGGTCCATAACCTTGTTGTCCCTATCCCAGCCGAGATCCGGCGCCTTGATCGATAGACAGGCCACACCCTTGGAGTGCATGGCGTAGAGCTCAAACAGGGTCGCCTCATCGCCATCGCCAGCAGAAGCAGGCTGCTGAAGGAGGTACAGGCTGCGCAGGACACCCTTGTTGGCGAAGGAGTACTCCCTCATTCCGCTGATGACCGCAGTAGAGTCAGGAACGGCAATCGACGGGTCTTGAGCCACCAGCTTCTGGATGTAATCCACCTGTGAGTTGTTCTTCAACGCATACTTAGGGGCTGAGAGATGTAAGAAGTAGATGGAGTTTCGCGTAGGGTGGCCGACCACGATGATACCGGAGGCAGGGTGATACATAACGCTGCAGACGGCATCGGACTCTTTGCTGTGTGGCAGGTTGAACTCCTGGACCGGTTTACCCAGTGCCAGGTCCCATAGTTGCAACGTGTGGTTCTGTTTCATACCCACGATCAGGTAGCGCAGCGCAGTCCGCTTCTGGTACGGTCGAAACTTATCCAGCAGCAGCACGGAAGTCGGCCATGCCTTCTCTCCTTCGGGTGTCGTTGTCAAGGTCATCAGAGGCTCTTTCACCTCCAAAGACGTGTAAGCAGGCCATCCATTCCCGTCCATAGCCGTCAATTCGCGGACGTCCCAGAACTTGACGCGGCCCGACTTGTCCAGAGAAACCACGACAGTATCATCCTGACTGAAAGTGAAGTCCTTACCAGCCTTTCCAGTATTAATCTTCAGGGAACACTCCTTAGCCAGCCGGTCGGTATCGACGACGCGGTCATGGCTCGGCTTGAGCAGGTTGCGCTGCAGGACGAAGGACGGAAAGACGATGTTGATCGACTTGCCGCGCCCAACGGCAAAATACTCGGGATGATTTGTAGAGGGGCGGGCTCGGGTCTTGAGAACGCCACCGGGAGCGTCGCCTTCCTGGGTGCTGCTAGGAGGTAGGGCAAAGCCGTACTGCTCCAGATGAGCATCTTCCAGGTGGTCCTTCTCCCCATCTTTGATCTGAACCCAATAGACAGTGCCGCTGATGCCCGTGCCAATGATGGTCTCCTTGACCGTCGAGTGCTGGTCAGCAGGAGTAGAAGAGATGGCGAGGTTGAAGATGCGATCTTTCGTATCAGAGAATAGCTTCGCATCACGGCCATCATCCTGTCTGATAACACGAAGGCCGCCGGCTTTGGACATGCCGTATGCCAGGTAGTTCTCGGATGCAGCTACCAGGTTGCGATCAATTTGGTCGAATTCCTTCTTGAGCCTAGCAATGTCGAGGATAGACTCGTCCCGAATTACAGGACGCGAGTCGTTGGCACTGTCCTGAACATTGATAGCAATCCAGGGCTTCATCGGGAAGTTGAAAACCCTGATGGGCTTTGTAGTTTCCTCGATGACAACAATCTCATCTTCGGCCTCAGCACTTTCCCAGCTATCAGCTACCGGGCCCTGGGCAGCAGAGTCCACGATGTTGCGAACAGCCTTCGCTACGTCAGGCTGCAGAGTCGTGCCCAAGACGTCGCTATTCTCGTCCTTATCAAGCTCGTGTTTGATGTCGTAGGCTGCAACAGCAGCGGCTTCTTCGAACTCTTGATCCGTCTTGGCCGCCATCATGTCTCTGAGCTCTTGAGTGATTCGAGCCTGCGTCTGCTCATCCTCTGCACGAGTCAGTGCTTCCTGGGCCTCTTTATCCACCTTATCCGCAATATCACTGACTGCTTCGGCAACAGTCTCCTTATTCTTGTCCTCGGTCTCGCGGACAGGGTAGGGAGGGTTCGAGTGCTGCGAAGTAGGTGTCGAATCGAACTTGCGACGCACATGCTCACGTGATTCAAGGTGGCTGCTGGTACTTGACAGACGCTTGTGATCGAGGGGGCTATGCGCAGAGCCGGGCTTCTTCAGAATCTGGATAGGAGGCTGTCCTTGTATGCTCGGGGGAGTGCCAGGCGTGACAGACGTCTTGGGGCCTCGGTTCTGAGGTGATGCAGAAGCAATGAGCTCTTCGAAAGGGTTAACATGACTAAACATAGCTGCTTTCGTAGCCGGGGAACCGTTCTGGCTGGATTGAGCGGGCTCGAACTTGAGTTGCTCGACATCCTTGGGAGCAAAATCGAAAGAAGGGGCAGTCGGAACTGCAGGAACTTCGGCAGGAACTTCGGCAGGAGCTTCAACAGGCTGGTCGCTCTGGCTAGGTTTGGGCCGGTTTAGGAGATCAAGCAGATACCGCTGAGTATCTTTAGGAGGAGGGTCGGCGTTCCAGTTGTTTGAGGGCTGTAGCGACTGCGTTTGCTGAGATTGCTGCTGCTGCTGTGGCTGCTGCTGTGGCTGTGGCTGTTGTGCCGAGTGCTGCTGCTGTGGTGACTCCGGCTTTGAAACCTCAGTCTCGAACTTGCCCTTCATAAGGGCAGCGAGTAAGCCGGTAGGATCGGCAGAGGACGGAGCTGGTGCGTGAATCATATGATTTCCCTGGTCTGAGGCATGGCGAATGAGAGATTCGCGACGGAGCTGGTCGTTAGGCTGGGACTGGGGAAGGCTGGGCTGAGAAGAGCTCTGTTGAGCGCCCTGGCCGCTGCTGATCTTCAGCAAGCTGAGCAGACTCGCGGTGCGGTCACCGGCCCCTTCAGCGCCAGGTCTCACCATCAGGCCAGGAGGAAACATGGCGCCAGACGGAGGAGTAGGAGCAGCTGGGAGAGCATAATTGCCGCGATGGTTGTCCTGGGAATCGACAAGCTGGCCCTCCTGTTGCCAATGAGGGCGGGGGGCCTCGTCGCCGAGCAGGTGCATGGTGTTGCGCATGTCAGCGACGGTGGGCCTCCACTGCATCTGCTGAAGCTGCTGGGCAGCCTGTTGCTGGTGCTGCTGGAACTGGGCGGCAGCGGCGGGAGGATCGCTGGACTGAACACGCTGGTTGTGGTGCTGCTGTAGCTGGGCTAGAATGGAGTTGATAGAACCATCACCAGAGCCAGGACCCGAAGGAGCTCCGGGGCCTCCGCCACCGTAGCTAGCCATGATGAGGTCGTCGAGCTTGTCAAGGTGTGGCCAGCACCGGCGGGAGGTGACGCGGTGCTGGAGTCAGCTCGTATTCAAGGGCCCGGCGCGCGTTATCCAACTTCAAACAATCCAATTGAAATGGGCAACTGTTGGAGGGTAGGTTGCAACAGGGAAGAAGAGTAAAAAGGTCCGGCGAGGTGGATGACCGGAGAGCCGCGGCAGAAGGAAAAATAAAAGTGGGAAAAGTAGTGATGAAAGTGACTGGGTTTTGAGGGGTGGGTGCGTGGGTGTGGGTGTGGGGGCGTGGTGCTAAGCTTTCCTAGCAAGCCTGACTGGGTATCAAACGGAAATGTGAGGCGTCCAGGGTCTCTGATCAGGATCCTCCCGCCCAGATCCAGTTCAAATCGGTCAAATCCAAGACAGTGAGATGAACCGCACCTTGCTATGCCTGCTTGTAGAAGGTGAAAGACGGCAGTATGATGCAGAAAGCTGGTCGGTCCAATTGACGGAATAGACAAGACAACATGAGACGAGAAGGAGGAGAACAGGTTGGGTTTGGGAGTCAGGGAGAAGATGAAAGTCGAAAATGCGCAAAGTGGCGAGGCGTGTAAAGGGTGGCCAGGCAGAGTGGGTAAGAAACTTTCTAGGATCAGGGCGGTGGTACTGTGTGGTCGTGACTCCCTCGCCCGTTATTTTACCCTGTGCTTCTCCTGCTGCAACTCTGGCAGCCCAACGTTCGCCAGATGCTTTTTGCCCAAGGGTCTCCGCAGAGGTCGAGGTTGCTTTTTGCCTGGGCTGCCATGCAAGCAGCAGAAGCAACAAGGCCCAAGATACGTCATGCACGATGAGGACCGAAAAGTGATGCTGGGCCACGCAGCAAGCAATGAGTGGCTGGGAACCAGCAGCAGCAGGTGAGCCCAGTTACGCCCTAATACAATACAGTACAGTACAGTACACCGAAGCCCCGGTACTCGCCAACCGTTGCCGGTTTAGCGGCTCTGCAGCCACAAGAAACACTGTAGTACTTACAGTGCTACCACCATAGTTGGTATCATAAGTTCTAGCACCACTAGCGGCAGAACTGCGGTGCCCGCTCCAATTTGCCGGGTCATTCACCCACCCACCCAGGGCCACACCACTGCAGCCGAAAAGCGTGGTGCCTGCCCCTCAGCGAACCCCAGCCATAGCGGGCCTAAGGTCCAGAAAAAAACACCCCTGCGTCTTGGACAGGCGATTTCGTACTGGCCTTGCTGACATTCGCATTCAACACCAATTAACCCTCCGATCTCAACTTTCTCGACCAAACTCCTTGTGTCTACAACTTTCTCAGCCTTGATCTTTTCCGTTCTCCATCTGAGACACGGCCTCCAGCATATCCTAATTAATAATCTCACACCTACACGGCACTTGTACACACTCGCCACACACCTCATTCCCCGACGCGCTGCAGACGTACACGCTACTCTACCCCGTACCCATACGGGACAACTTCTGAGCTGAATTGCCCATCGCCACGATCACTCCGCCCCTCCCGATCACCCAGCCCAAAGCCACGCACCTCCACACCGTCACGACCAAGACACCTACCGACGGAGCCACGCCGCTGGCGATGCTGTCCGCCTCGACGATCCGGCGGTGAATCGAGCATATCTGACGAGTAAAATCCCAAACGTCACATCTCTTCTCACGACCAAGCAACATGTTCTGTCTCCGAAGGCAAGTCATATCCTCACCCGCAGGATGCTGGCCATTCCAGCCACCTGCTGCTGCTGTTCAGCCCCCTGCCCATAAAATAAACAAGAAACAAGGAAAGAGAAAAACTGACGTGTCCCTCTTTGACACTCTTCAGCTGGCTCCCGCTCCTCTTCATCCCGACCAACGCCTCGCCGGCCTTCATCTTCCTCTTCTTCGTCTGCACGTACTTCCTGAACCGGCCCTGCGTCTACTGCTCCTTCCTGCTACTCATTCTGTTCATGACCTCGTGCAACTGGTCCGACAGATGCTTCTTCGACTTTAGCAGCAACTGGTTCCAGCCAAGGCCCGGCCTGTCCTACTTCACCAGTGGTAACGGTGCCGCCGCTACCGCTGAGAATGCCTCCTCTGTGCTGGGCTCCTTGCAGGACCTGACCGCCACGGCCAACGCGACGGCGCTTGTGGCCAAGGACCTTATTAACACCACGGCTAATGCTCTAGTTGGGACCGCCGCGGAGCAGGCCGCACAGGCCAGGACCGAGTGGACGGGGATAGGCATGGAGTGGCTGAGGAGCCTGCTGGGGAAGAGAGAGTGGAGGGTTGATTGCCTTGATTTGTATATTCGGCTCTAAGTGGAGCACAGCGAGTGAGGCTGTTGCGGAGAGACACCGGTACACGAGGATACTGTTTCCTGGGAAAAGCGACGACGATGAATGGCATGGGAATATAGCTACAAGCATGAATACCCAGGGTGAATAAGATCCACATGAATTGTCCGCACCATATGAGGAGTTGAATTGATCTCGGCGCCAAGGCAAGGTCAGACTATATCTTTGCCTTGAGGGTCTTCTTCTCCTTTCCATCCTCATCCCACAGATCATCCCACGGCACCTTTAGCTTCATATGGTCTTTGATCGGCGGCACGTGGATCTTGTGGTGGTCGCACACGGCATATGTCGTCTTCCCGTCCTCACTGGTCATCCAACCCTTGATGTAGGCCGTCTGCCGGCCCACCTGGTACGCATAAGCGTGTACTACCACCGACGTATCTGTGAGAAAAACAAGTATGTTAGTAAGACTCGTGCTACATGCACGGCAGCTCCTGGAATGAAGGAATAATATTCAAGAGAGAAAAGACATATTCCGGAGACTTGAACGGACTTATGGGTATGGCTTTTAGGTAGCTCAGATTCAGCGTCCTCGTGACGCCTCCTAGAAACCTGCGCCGCAACCCCTCATCAGTAAAGCGTAAGTTCTCCTCCCATTCCTCCCAATGGGTACACCAGAAGAAAGAAAGAAGAGACACTCACGCCCAGAAGCCAGGCCTAGCCACCGGCCCCAGCGCAATGGTCGTCAGCATATCAAAGATGACGCCCGCCGCGCCGCCGTGCATGACGCCGTTGTAGTTGCTGAATTCCGGCCCAATGAAGATCCTGCTCGTGCACGAGGACACGATTCCCGTGTTCGGCAACGGGGGGAGCAGCGCCCCGTCTGTGCCGCTCACGCCGGGAGACGGCAGTGGAGGTGGTGGCACGTCGTACGGCGGGCCGATGGAGGCATCTAAGATGGTGGCGTTTCGCATGGTTGCGTTGTCGAAGGCTGGACCTTTTATGGCCTGGACGAGGTGGTAACTTTTGTGAGTGCATGTCAGTAGGAGTATTGTGTTCCTTTTGGAAGGATGGGGTTATAGGTGTCGAAACGTGGACTTCGACGGGAAAGAACAGGTTTGAGTGAGATATCCTGGCAACTAAAGTCTGGCCTCTCAAAGGCGAACGTACCGATCAAAGATGGCTTGCACGCCCGCCATTGCCTTGCGCCTATTCTCCTCCCTCGACAGGGTCGGAGCATCTCCTGGCCTGGGCATCGTGCTGTTGTTGTGTCCTCCTTAGCAGATTTCCTCCACCGCTATCCGCCACGCTGCTGGGCATACGAAGTTGAACTTTCAGTGTCCTTCCTATTCCTCAGCAGCATATATTTCAGAGGGGAATACAAAGGATTCCCTCGGGCCTGACTTTCACCCAAGTCAATATCGATTCCTCAAGTCAGGACAAAGGTCGATCTCAGCAGCGACGTGGAGAAACAGAAGGTATGGCCCAAAGGGGGTAGGAGCCGTACGGAAACGGTTGTACGGTTATCAGATCTTGTCTGCTTGGTCTGCGACTAAGTCTGGGACTCTTCAAGGTGAGGGAGCGCTGGTCCAACTTCACACTCATTCTCTGCGCGACCAAGGTTGACGTCGCGATGCCGAGGTTCCAGGGTATATTTCTATCGCAAGAACCGCGACCCCTGTCTTCCCACACCTAGTGTGCGGATCCCTGCTCCTATTTACTCAAAGGGATTAAGGTATACATACACTATGGACCACAGCATCAAGATTGGGCCTCGCCGTCCTCACCAACAACAACCATGCTCGACGGAGTGCTATTACGACCACATCTCGTTCAAAACTAGCAGGCGGAAGGTGTGTGGGTTTCCAGAGTTACCAGCCCATGAGCTTCGAGCCCAAAGTTGTCACCTACATGACACAGCATGCGCCTACCTCGGACTCAGCAAGCACGAGGACTATGGGCATTGGTAGGAGCAACTATCGAGTCAACAGTGCTTATAGGTGGATGCTTTTTTTTCTTTCTTTTTTTTTTCTTTTTTTTCTTTTTTTTTGGCGGCAGCTTGCCTTAGAACGACTTCCTCTAAGCGTTCTCAACTATAACGATAAGCATTCATTTCCTCTACTCAGACTAGTAATTCCGTGTTCAACCTTCTCAACTACACCATCCACTGACCTCTGATGCTAGTGAGACCTTTGTCAGCATCAAAAGCATCATGCCAATCCAGAGCTCGCCGCCCTCGCAGCGAGGAACACCGCCAGCTCTGCTGCTGAGGGAAGGCACTCGGCGAGGACAGCCCCAGAGCTTCCCACCTGACTCCTAAGCCCACGACGACCAGGACTCCGGCCTCTGGCTAGAGGGAATATTGCAAGAGCTTCATGCCGCCGGGAGCGATACCGAAACCCGCTCGACTAAGCTTGGGAGCCTACACCTGCCACCTCTCTCAAAATCGGCAAGAAGCCTTCGCCTTACTTATTCACCATGAATTCCGAGCCATGACTGTAGCCATCTCTGAAAAGCTGACTTCTGCTTCTGCTCTTGCACTCTTCATCCTGAAACTTTTGCTCTGAGTCCATCCTTTTCCAAAACTACGGATCTACTTTGCCTACTTCCCTTATCGACGTTGCTCTATAGACGAGGGGGCTGTTCGCTTTGGGGACTTCCTGCGAATGACAGGGCCAGCTGCTGCGTCTCTTTATCGAGAAACTTACTTAACGCCTCTCCAGAGGCGGCCCCAGCTAGACCCTGGGGTGAATACCACAGTGACGACAAACCTTGCTGTGGCCAGTATAAAATCCACCAAAGGCTCAAACCGCAGCCTCTTCCTCGAGCTGAGATGATGATTGTGCTGACCCTGAGTAGTCTTCCTCTAAGAAGAGAAGCCCCGGGGGCAACATTCTTGCCTGACAGACGTTCCGCACATGTTCCACGTACCACTTAAACGAGTCAGACTGACATGGGCTTTGTTCACTTGCACCGTATTGATGCTGCGTCAGCTTTATGACGATCAAATTCAACTAAAAGCACATGGGGTTTGTGACCGAGATGTCATAGCATTTTGGAGATCCAAGAGATAGTATTATTCTCATAATGTTGAGCCCTCTCATGAATCTCTAGCCAGGTGGTCTTCCTAGGTGCACCATTTCTCCCGCTCTCAACCTGCCTCCTCAAGCTCAGGACCCAAGATCCAGATCGACAGTTCTATGCGGCGGTCGCACTGGTCTCCCAGTTTCGGCCCTCGGCGCCCGGCAGTCGTCTACTTTGCAAGCGAGGAATCATCGATTGCAATGGGCAGTGTCTCTCTTTTTGTTTGGTCATCGAGCGTCTAGACCCGGGCTGTCTCTGACAAGTGCAAGCCGCTCATCTGTGTTTCAGCCGCATCTCTTATGATAGTAGCCTGGTATGGTGATATGGAGGCAGGACAGGCTTGTGTCTTATTTTAGGAGATGTATGCAAGAACGCCCTGCCATCTGAGATCATAGGGGCCCGAGACATAGTTCGGAGAGAAGGAGGCGGATAAGCAGAAGTACGTTCATGCCGATGCTGGCTGCCTCTAATCGTGTCCATAAGGTTTTATGGTGAATCAAGCACTCGTTATCTTACATGATGATGTCTCAAGAGATGGGTGATAAAGCATGTTCTGTAGGCAATCTTATGGGAACAAGATAACCGTGTCAAAGCCAGGAGAGTCATGCTAATCATAGGGGAGATGTAAGGATATGGTATCGTTAGTCTGTTCTCTAGCTAGCTCGAATGCTGGTTTCTATCATAGTCTTTGATGCGCCCCCCCCCCCCCGGGGAACTTTCGGTTGATAAATGTAGCACAATGCCTGCTTTAGAAATAGTAGAGTTGAATTACGACTTAAAAATTACTAAGAATGATTTCGACACATTTCCTAGTATTGATTGTTTCGTGCGTCAGCACCAGACAGCTGCCACAGACAACTACGCTGCTGCTGAGAAGGATTGATAGAAACAAGACGTCAACATTGCCGTATGAATACGCGGAGGCTTTCCGCAAGTTTTGACATGAGATGATTGCTTAAGTACTTAGAGACAAGGACAGTCAAAAGAGGATTCGGCAAAGTGTGTTGGTTGGCATAGGCACACACGACTGTCAAGGCCTTCTTGGACCATCGTCGAGGATGACGTCTGGGCCTTGCGGTGATTAGTTTGGGGCCGCGTGGCAAGCACAGTGTAGACCACGGCCGAGTGATTGAGATGATGCTGCAAAGGAACCAAAGAGTGGCCAGTATGCTGCCCAAATTCTGCGGCCATGTGTCCGTCACCACGGATTCGAGCTGAAGAATGGTGTTACGCAGAAGTCATGTGGAACATGCTCACTGATCACACAAATTCTCACGCACAAATCAATGACGACAATCCACATATCCATTACATCTGTATGCAGCCACACAGGACACCGCCGACTCCAGGGCGCACTCGCAGTGTTCACGACCTTTCACATGCGATAATAGCCACAAGAGAAATACGTATGGCCTCCATATGTATGTAGAGTGGGCTCCATGGATCAATTTGGCGGCCATCGGATCAAATTCGTGACGATCGAGGAGGCGTTCGCCTCATATTTCTCGGGTTGCTATCAACCCCCATGAGCCGTAACATGGCCCGGGCGTTCCCGACAACCGTAGCCTCACTTTTCACCCGCTGTAGGCAGTGGTTATGTTCCAGTGCCGATCACGCGCGCGTCAGCGAACTGCGCGGTACGCTATGGTTTATAATTAGGTAAGTAAGCACTGGTAGGGTGTTAAGGGAAACAATATTGACATCAGACGTCCCAGCACATATGTCCTTCACGCGTACAGCCCGGTGATAGCCTAGGTTTCTGAGACAATGGGTGTCATCATGGCACACGCAGCTCTCAGGGCGTTGGCTTGGTGCAAAATGGAGATGAACTGGTATTGGAAGCGATACGAGACTGGTAGGAGGCGTTGTTGAGCAGTGGAAAGATATTGCAATTGGATGATCGGCTGCGGCTGTCACTGACCGGTGACTGTAGCCAGACGGAGAATGTAGTGGTAATTAGATTACGGAGAGAAGGGTTAGAACACGTCTCGCGCCGGTGGGACTCTCCAATCGCAACTCTGGCACGCAGTCCGAGTATCTGCGTTATGAGGTATAGACATTATCGATGACGCTGGGATATGAGAGACAGAAGGGAAAAGAGGGGGTGGGGATGGAAGATCACCAGTTCAGGCACAGCTGCTGCGACTTGCCGCCATGAAAATCACAGGTGAACGTTTCCCGGCCTCATCCTCCAGCAGCCAAGTGCCAGCACCAGAGCCACTACGCTTGAACCCATTGGCACATGCACGCTAGCCGCATGACCCTCACCTTGTACATAGCAAGTAGATCCAAGGGTCGAATAAGGCCTGGGCCCTGAATTTGCGCGCCAAGGCGGAACGAGAGTTCGTAGGTCGCGAGGCTAGAAGGCAGGTTGCAGGGCGCGGCGCGGTGCGCCAACGGTTCAAAAGACGGTGGGGACACACACACATACACACACACAAGATCGCCCCCAGGAGGAGCTGCTCCGGGACTTACACGGTAGGCCCGCATGAAAGAGGTCCCTTGGACCCCTTCTTTCTTTTGGACTACTAGTAGTTACTAGTGTGAGACAGAAAAGGGGGGGGGGGCGGTACAGATGATGAGCCTAATCGATGCTATGGCGGAGAGAATTAAAAAAAATTAAGGGAAGAAAAAAGAAAACAGCTAGGGCTGAAGGAATTGGCTGTCGCCATGCGCGGGAAGATTTCGCCCATGAAACTCTATTTCGGACACGGCACCGATGCATAAGCAGTATCTTACTTATTTATTATTTCTACCAAAACAAATCGAAGAATCCACCAAAAGTCAATACAAAATGCAATATTAGTAGGCCACGCTCACCGCACTAGCGATGAGCCCTATTCTCGCCCTGGCATGTGTCCTTACGTTTACGACCAGTGTTTCAGGGCTGGCCTGGGCTGAACAAATCGACCGACAGGATGGATATGGGACAGTCTTTGACTTAGTTATTCCTGAAAGGGAATCGATTAGTTCAATGTTATGTCCTTGCAGTCCGCCTTGGGTTGAAGATATGTTTCATAGCACACACACGAAAGCTCGGCTGAGTTCGTCTGCACTGGCTGACTCCGATGAAGTCGATCTTGGTGCTCGAGACTTGTAGATCTCAGCTCAGGACATGTTCATTGTAGTGGGAGTGAAAGGGAGGGCCACGCATTTGTGTGCGATGTGACGAGTGGTGAGATGACGTCGCCAAAGGGCGATTATGCTCTTCCATGCCACAAGCGGCGAATGATGAATGCCTACTGTGTTCCCTCTTTGACTGTGTCGCCCCTGAGTAAGAAGCACTGTCTGTATGGGGATGGGTCTGACGGTAGGTTTGGTACGTGGACAGGGCAGATCGCGCATGTGTTTTACAACTGTGTGTGTGTATGTGCTTGTAACCCTCTTCCCTCTCTCTTTCTCTTTTGGACTCCTTTTCTTAGACTCAAGTTTCGAGCTTGGGAATTCTTCTTAATAATTTTGTACTATAAGAAAAACCTCGTATGACTTTGACAAACGACAGAATGCAGGTTTTTCAGGTTTTTCATTTTCAGGGTGTTGAGAAAGATTCTTGGATCTTGGAAATTCGAGGTGGACTGCCACGTGAGCGCGGTTGAGGAGCCTTCAAGGGCAGATGGCCAAGTTCCACGCGGCTGTGCTGGCCAAGTTGGAAGAGGGTCTTCCTACTGAGCAGCAGGGCTGTGACCGTGTCAATGAGCCCCACAGGTTCCAGCGGGGAGGTTTTGCTGGCTGTCCTTGTCGTAAGGATGACTCGAGCTCTCTATCGCAGACATCGCAAGTGACTCAAGGGGGAGTTGTACGAGATAGCTCTAGATGGGGGGCATTCGCTTGAAGCTGTCAGATGCTAAGATCCATTAAAAGACGAGAGTGGTCTGACAGTGGCTTACTGCATGCACTATGGTAGGTCTTGAGAGAAAAGAAACAACGCAGACCATTTCAAGACCAACTATTCCTGGAGAGTGCCAAGAATTACCCTGCATCTTTAACAAGCTGGAACCCCATTTTTCTTTCAGTGCAGACCCCTTGCCCGAAGCTGTTAGAGATTCCGCAGGTCTCTTTTTGGTTCGTCTTGCAGGACTCGTGGTTTTATGCATACAACTTCTTGCCCAGCATCTTTATTTTATTCAACCTTCACTCAAGATGGCCACGTCAAGATCTAAAGTGCGATCGTCACGGATCATCCCACATCCGCACCAGTCGGCTATGTGCAACATTTGGTACGTCAGTAGAAAGGGGGGGGGGGAGAAGAAAGAAGAAGAAAATTCAGTTTTTGGAGAAGCGAACGCTCGTGATCGACAAGACGGAGGGCTTGGCCATTCAACTGGTGAGGCTGATGGAACGGTTCTAGACTCGCGGCAGGGCTCCATCGATGACGATGACGGGGTGCCTGACTGGGTTAGGGAGGGGCTGAATAGACTCGATCTGCTATCCAGGTACGGGCACCTTTCGCCCTGGCAGCGGGTGGCGCCCAAGTACCTTTCTAAGGTCCAGCGGGGCAGGCGGGCCCTGAGAAATAGGGGTCCAGGGGATCCTCCGGCAAATGATTGGATGAGAAGCGGATAAGGATGTCACACTAAGAGGTTCCAAGTCTGGTCACTGGCCATGTCGTCATAGGCGCGCGAGAGCACCACTCTGTACGCATTGAGGACCCCTGTTGTACGTACAAGTTCTCGTGGCAGGTACCCATCAAGTCCCCACGTGGGGCGGCACCTAGCCATTGCCAACAGACCTGTGCGAATCATCCGCCAGGTGGAGGGCAAGGGATTTGCTGATTACGTTAAATCGTGCATTCAGCCCTGACAAACTATAAGGCAATCAAATAGAAAACATAGAGAGAACGGAATAGAATCACATTGGATTAGAGACTGACTGGATCACCTCATCAGCTTTGAATCAGTAGAACTGTAGAAAAGACGGGAAGGCTGCACAGAAATTTATTTGTTAGTGCTTGCCCGTAACGTCAATAACAGGCCACTATGACGATGATGACGACAAGCAGGGGGGCCACAAGTGCTTTGAGAGAAAAAGCTGCGAATTCTCGCTCTCTGGACAAGACTTGGAGAACAGTTTGATTCAGTATTCAGTATATCGCAAGTCTTTCTAGGCCATGGTGAATGAGTATATGGGGTTTGCGGGCTATTTTTGTTTTTTGAAACTTCCTCACATGCTAGCACACCTTCTACAGACCTTTGGGAATCTGATGATGATCATCTCCATGTCGCTATTTGCCAAGCGTTGTCGATCATTGCCTGTCTAGTGTGGCGCCACCCTCACCAACCATAGTATAGCGTCCTTGTCTCAGCACAGTGCTACCGGTACCGTCCTGCCCATTGTCACAGCTTTCCGTTTTACAGTGCCAGTATCACGCCTGACAAATGTCGCTTTTTGGTCAGTGTGGCGGTCGAAAGGAATTAAAGTTGACAGCTCCAGAGACAGCAGCGGGGATCTTGACAATTCTCTTACCTATAATCTGTTATCACTCTTCACCATTGACTCTGGCCAACTTAGTCTATGTGTATGTACAGTGCCTTTCATTTGCGCGTTACACACCTACCATAACGTGCTATACGGCACACTTGACAAAACCACCCGACCGCAGATCCGCGGATAAGGTTGATAGTCCGTCCCCCCAGGGGGTCGCCACCCCCTCTGCCCACCCCCCCCCTCTTTCAACAAAGTCCTTGTTGATAATCAATTTTCATGCCCAATCCAGAAGGTCAAGACGAATGGAGCGGGCATTCTCCGGGTGTATCACATTGGTTGTTGGTCCCTCCCGAAGCACTAGTTCTCCAGGTGAGGTTGGACCCTGAGCTATTCATCAACCAGTCCCGTGAACTAGACAGGACATCTTGAGCCATGTATCGTTTTGTAGGTGGGAAACAGTCCCGACAGTTTTGTTCTCTCAAAATGCAACACCTCATACGGTTCTCGTAGAAATTACTGTTCACCACTTTGGACGATGATGGGAGTGATAACTCGTGAGAGTGAACATATAGGACTACTGATATGAAAAAAAAAAAAAACTGGTACCGGTATTGCGTGAATCAGGTTGGAGACGTTTTTGTCGTATAGAAAAGAAATAAGAGAGAGGGGCCCTCGACCAAACTGCGCACACACTGCTTTATTATAATACAAAGTACATGCTATGTACTATGGTACGTGTATGCGATAGTCGACGCTAGACGCAGCCCCCCTGACTGCCTAACAGGGACTCGGCTTGCTGACATCAACTCGCCGCGACAAAAGTTGGATCTTCCCCACAGGGACTCGACATGGGTTTGGGGGGGGGGGGCAAGACGAATGACCACACATACACCCACCCCTTGGTGGCCCCCCCCAACTTTGACCTGGCCCAAGATTCCCATTTCGAACCTCAAATCCCATTTCACTTCCCTCGATCACCTAAAATCCTGCCTTTACCACCCCACTAGCAATCCTGTTGTCGCCCTTCCCGCACCTGGTAACGCCACAAGCAAGATATCCCGACTATTCGATACGAGGGGACAGACGACCGGCTCTACGACCCATAAGACTCACCGTCCCCAAGTCTTCAATCAGACAACTAGCTTCCTGCTTGATTCACCTCACCGTGCCTGGAAAGCCGTGGAAGACAAGAAAACAAAGACCGATTACCCAACACGAGACACCCGTCACGTTCCTCTCCGATTACTCAACCCGCCCGATCACTGAACTTACTCGCAATGTCTCTGTGAACATGGTTCCCTCATGAGGCCAGCAACAAGGCACGACGGCCCTGGATTCTCATCAGGGTGGAAGGAAATCATCATCCACTCGACCCGAGACAACCAGAAGCATGGCTCCTCCCGAATCAAGAAGCAACAGCGAACGCGGAGGAAGCGGCAGCAGCACCGTCTACTACAACATGAAGACAACGAGACCGCAACCTCCCACGGCGTCCAAGTCCTACTCCCACACATACACCTCAGCCGTCTCTCACGCTCGATCACAATCGACAAACGCCTCCAAGACCTCGACCAAGTCTTCCTCGCCCGCAGCATCGCCGCGGGGCCCTCTGGCCGCCGGACAGGCCGTTCCATCCAAGCTCTCCTCTCCTCCCTCCGCCACGCCCAGACACCTCCTCTCCACGACCCCTATTGGCCAGGTCACGACGCAGAATGCCGCCAGGACCCCTTCGCCCAACTATTTCGGCCTCAAGGTCGAGGCCAGCATTGATGCCGACGAGACAGGTGCCATCCCGAGGGAGAACTGGAGCCCGGCCTCGTCATCCGTCAAAAGTTTTGGTGCCGTGCTGCCTCAGCAGGTTCCTCTCGACGCCAACCCGGAGTTTGAGGCCTTCCGCCGGCAAGCAGATGCCAACAGAGGCGGTTCGGGCTTTAATCTCGGCTCATCACATTTCGGCGGCAGCTCGCCGTTCGCTTTGGCCCCAGGCGCAGCACCAGCGAGGCCGCAGCCATCGCGATGGCGCACACACGGCAGCGAGACCAGTCCTCACGTGCCGGCGTCTCGCCCCAACAACCACCACGTGGAAATGGTCAAGGCCCTGGGGCCGCACCCCGAGAAGATGGACGTCGACACCGATGCGAATAGTATGCGGGACTCGGCCTATGCTTCCTCGGATTCCAAACGGAGCTCGGAAGCAAGCATGAACCCGCCCAGCTTTCTCAACCTGCCGCGCCATGAGTCGCCTGCACAGATGGATTCGTCTCCCGAGAAGCGATCCGGCCTCTCCAAGGTTGACGACCGCCACCCGCGGCTGTCGATGATGCACACCAAAGCCGACCCACCGTCGCCAGACCCACAGCGATCGTTTCAGGGCCGCGCTGCCACGTTACCAGCAGGGCCGGACCAGTCTGTCTCGGGAATGATTCCACCAACTGAACTCAAGGCCATGCTGGACGCCAAGGACAAGAACGAAGTTCTGCTTCTCGACCTCCGCGTGTCTCCTCAGTATGCCCAGGCCCGCATCAAGGGCGCGCTCAATCTGTGCATCCCGACCACACTGTTGAAGCGTGCTACCTTTAATCTGCAGAAATTAGCGCAGACGTTTCAGGGAGATGCCGACAAGGAAGTATTTGGGCGGTGGCCAGACACCAAGCACATTGTCGTGTATGACGCATTCTCTTCTGAGAAGCGCGATGCTGTATCTGCCATGAATACCATCAAGAAGTTCACGAATGAGGGCTACAAGGGAACCTGCCATATCCTCCGAGGGGGCTTCAAGGCCTTTGCAGCAGCCTTCCCGGACTTGATCGAGTATGGTAACATGGCAGAGCAGAAACCCGGTCGGCCAACGCTTTCTCTGCCTGGTGCTGCACCAAGCATTGCCCCAGTCGTGGGCGGGGTCATGCTCCCGACCGCGGGTATCACTTCTAATGCCTTCTTCGCAAACATACGACAGAATCAAGACCTTGTCGATGGTGTTGGGCAGATGGACATCAACGTGCCCCGAGGAACTGATATGGAGGCCCTGCCGCGGTGGCTGCAAGAGGCTGCGAGCGTCGAGGATCACGGCAAGCAGGTCAGTGACAAGTTTCTGGGCATTGAGCGGGACGAGCAGGCCAGAATGAAGGTCGCATATTCCTACATCAACCCTGCGTCGGTCGCCAAGGAGGTCAAGGACGCGGCTCCCAGAGTGCAGCTCAGTGGTATCGAGAAGGGGGTCAAGAACCGCTACAAAGACATTCTCCCCTTTGACCACGCCAGAGTCAAACTGGAGGGCAAGCCCGAGGGCACGTGCGACTATGTGAACGCAAGTCACGTCCAGGCATCCAGAAGTCACAAGAAATATATTGCCAGCCAGGGCCCACTGCCGGCAACTTTCGAGGTACGTTTGTTTTCTTCTGGCAGCTGTAGCTGCTTCCCTGTGGGGTCCAGATTCAAGCTTGAAACTAACCAACGTGCACAGGATTTCTGGTCTGTCATATGGGATCAAGACGTGCGCGTCATTGTGATGCTCACGGCGGAGTCAGAGGGTGGTCAGTTGAAATGTCACGCCTACTGGAAAGACCGGGAGTTTGGCCCCATCAAACTGCGGGCATTGTCAGAGAAGAAGGTGTCGCTCGACATCGACAAGCAAGGCTCGCACTCGGCTGCGGATTCTGAGGATACCCACTCGTCTTCGACTGCTGCAGCCCAGCAGCAGGAAGATGCCTTTGGGTTCGGTGCTGCGATGGCCGCCGCGGATCCGGGCCGAAGACGCGCCAACACAACCACAACATTGGAAACGAATCAGCAGACCCAAGCACAGACCAAGCCCAAGGCAGGGAGCAGCAGCGACACACCGTTCGTGGTCATCCGCAAGTTTGCGCTGTCACACGCTGCACACCCTTTTGCTCCTATACGAGAGATCACCCAGCTTCACTACCCTTCTTGGCCGGATTTTGGTACTCCAGCACAGCCTAGCCACCTTCTGGCGCTTGTCGAACTTGCCAACATGATGCAACGGTCCAATCTGCCCATCGACGTCCCTGGGGCCATTTCCTCAAGACACGGCTCCTTGTCGGAGAAGTCGCCCAAGGAGAGACCAGCCCCTAGTCCCAAGAAGCGCAGTCGGAGTCGGGCCTCTAGCAACTTGCCCTTGGCATGGTGGGAAGAACCAGAATCTGACCAGGCCGTGCACCCGATGCTCGTCCACTGCTCCGCCGGATGTGGTCGGACGGGCACCTTCTGCACTGTCGACAGTGTAATCGACATGCTTAAGAGACAGAGGATACGCAATATTCGAAAGGCGAATGACAACATTGAGAGGAAACTTCGAGGCCACAAGCATCAAGCGCAATGCAGAAGCGACTCCGATGCTAATGTCGCCATGGCCGGCCTTTCCTTCGGCGCCCCCTTCCAGATCCGAGGCCGCAAGATGTCACGCAACAATCCAGTTGAAGATGCACTCAGTCCAAGTACAAAGTCGCCTGGGTCGCCGGCCTTCCCCGTCACCACGACGTCGATGTCCATCTCCGAGTCGCCCTCGCCCTCTTGCTCGTCATCCGACGACGATGACGACCCGAAGCTCGACACATCTTGGATCGACGACGACACTATAGATCTCATCTCCGCTACCGTCCACGACTTTCGAGGCCAGCGATTGTCCATGGTACAGACTCTTCGGCAGTTTGTCCTCTGCTACGAGACCGTCATTGAGTGGGTCTGGCGGCTGCAAGAACGCGGCGGCCCGGCCGGCAGTGGCGTTGGCGCCCCGGGCACTGGAGCTAGTGGCACCGCTGCGATGAGGGCCCGCGGGAGAAGCGGGACTGTTGCTCATGTCGGCGATTTATCAAAGTAGGCTTTGGTTGGCTATACAGGAATGAGGGATTCATTTCCTCCCCTTTTTCCACTTCCTTTGAGGCAAGAAATAATGAGGATCGGGATGTACACTTTGGATAATGAATCATTTCGAAAGAGAGAGAGAGAGAGAGAGTGGGAGAGGACTATGACATGAGGGAAAGAAGCATGAGTTGCATAAAACATCATTGCTGTCTAGCTGTATACAATGAGCATCACAGTAGGAGAGAGGAGGGCGTATCCCCCTACCAAACGGAGTCTGTTCGGGTTCGGGTGTGTCTCTTTTTTTCCTTTTTTCTTTCTCTCTCTCTCTCTCTCTTCGTTTACATCTTTCTCATTACCCCAGAAAAGGTGATGATGCACGTAACGGGAACAGGACGAAATACAGACAAAGCGTCACTGGCGCGAGCTCGGGATTGGGTTTTATGGTGGGGGCGTTATTTTATTTATATACACATGTTTATTTCATTCAGGAAATTAATTCTTGGGGTCTTTTTATCTATTTATTTATCTTGCATGTTTCACGAGTGTATGTACACAAATACTCTGAGTTACGCCGATGTGGTATACGTAAATTGTGATGTATCTATTTTACATAAACATATCTATCTGTAACCGTGTTGCGGTTGTCGACAAGGAAATACATGGCTTGTCTGTCCTGCTGCTGGGGTAATTACGCACCTCAGTCGGCTGTAGTGTGATCAAGAAGGGGTTCATACTTATACTCTATGCTCCAGGCAAGGAACTGGCCTGAGGGTGACTGGTTGTTGTGTTGAAGTTATCTGGCCATAGGATTTGGACACACAACCAAGAACGGGGGTTGGTTGGTGGTCAGTAACTTCTGCATCGCTGCATCGCCTCCTTAAAGGGCTGCGAAACGCTGTAGGAGCGAAAGCCGGACAAGAGCGGCAACAGGGGCAAGTGAGAGCATAGCATAGCTCCCCAGGGGTGGGACGGCATCGAATCCAAAGTAGCAACAAGACGGGCAAAAATTTACACGCTCGCTATTCTAAAATAAAAAACACACACAAAAGTTTCAAGACCCAAATTACAAGAAATCAAAGAATATACTTTGCTGTCTCTTGTTTCACACACATACATATAGAAGGTCGTCCCGATGCATGTGTGCAGCTGCAGAACAAGACACCACCAGAGGCCTTGTCTCCCACATCAGCCAACAGAAAAAGCTATATCTAACTGACCTATCACGAGGCCGGGAGACTCGAAGACAGGCAATGCAGGCAGGCATACAGCACGAGAAACAAAAGAATGAAGAAAAATAACCCCCACAACCCCTGAAAACGCCCCGTTCCAACGTAATGATCATCAGAAGGCTATGCCACCGGCGCTCCTCCCAATAGTCTTGAAAGTCTCCTTTCCGACCGCCTGCTGGCTGAGCCACGCGCCGTCATCTGCACTCCATGTGTCGAATCTACTCGCCCCGTTGAGGTTTGCATCAATGCCGGCAGTGAAGCCAGTGAAGTAGTACCCAATCACAACCACAAGGTAGCTCAACAACAGGATCGAGCCCTTGAAGTAGTTGCTCTTTCCCTCGCCGTACATGTAGCTCAGCAGGAACACGCACAGGATGACGGTGACCATGTCCCACTGCGGGAAGAGGAGGCTGAAGGTGTACTTGGCTGCTTCGTAGGGGTCGGCTGGCGTGATGGGGTAGATGGCAGAGAAGAGGACGAGGGCGGGGATTTGTAAGAGGCAGACCTGAAGTGCGTAGGCTGAACCGATCTCCATAGACAGGGCGATGTTGCCGTTCATAGCGAAGGAGATGGCGTTCTGTCAGAGAAAAGAGAGCTCGGTCAGTAAGACGGATGTGGTAGAAAGAAACAAATGTGATGCTCAACGACAGAGGCTTCGAAGAGGGTAGGGCCAACATCAGGAGTAGATATATTCACGCTTTCTCAGCAACCGCAACAAGTGCGTCTGAGTGAGCTGGGTAATAACGCATAATGCTCATCATAGTGTATCATTGGAAGGGAAGGGTAGTCCAAGAAGTAAACGGGCTAGCAGATCGGATGGACTCACCAAGAACTCCGTGGTGTTTGGTACTAGCGCAAACAGCGTGATACCCAGGAACTTCTCGTCAATAGCAATGCCATTCAACACAACATCCACCGTGTCGACCAGGATCTCAGCAATGATGGCGTACAATACAGTGGCGCCCATCAGAATGACGGCAGACTTGGATCTGCTCCAGTTCGGCGCGTCATGACCACCATGGCCGCCGCCAGCATCGGCGTGGGCACCCAGAGGATCTTCGTGATCCGGGAACGTCGCAGTCCTGATTGGCGGTGGACGGACGGAGGCGCTTATGCTGCCCCCTGTGCCAGAGTGACCCTGCGGTACATGGGGTGTGTTCGGGGCGGTGCCTTTAGCCACGCTACCCCGAGCGTCCCTGGCGGCGGCGGCAGCGGCTGTCGTGGCGATCTCGGCAATCTGGTGCACGAGTTGGCTATTCTCGGCATCAGAGAAGCCTGGGATGTGCACAGAGGAACCGATGCCGTTGTTCTTTGGTGGCGGGAGGTGCGGCGTGGCCACAGTTCCATTCCCAGAACCACTGGGCTGCAGACCAACCTGCCTAAGGGTCTGGCCCAGGGTTCTCTTGTAGATGTGACTCTCGCGAATGTCTGTACCGGTCGACTCGGTCAAGAAAGGATAGCCGTTGCGAGGCGCAGAGTGACCGCCGATGCCCCGCAGCTGCTCCTCGTGCTTCTTCTCGTCCTGCTCGGTGTTCCAGATAACAGCAGCATGGGTGCGCAGGGTGAACCACAGACCAATAACGTAGCTCAAAAACAGCATCACTGCCGCCATGTAGCAGTACGGGCGGACGGCCTCGATGTAAAAGCGCTCGTCGAGGGCAGGCGTCTGGCTGAAGTAGCACCTTCGGCAATCGCTGCCTGCTCCTTGCGCAGGCTGTCCGTAGCTTACGCAGTCGACACATCTCAGCTCGTGAGAGCCGTAAATTTGGTAAAAGAGGGTAGGCCCAAAGGCACCAATGACGGCAAACAGCAGCATCGTCGACGTGACACCTGCAGAGCGGGCATTGAAACGTTGTGTCTTGCGCTTGATGGCTCCAAAGCACATGGACAGGCCAGGCAGAAACAGGATACCGGCAAAGATGGAGCCCACAATGCTGCCTTCCACGAGCGCACCTTTGCCGTCCTTTAGGGCCACACAGTACAGGAAGACCTCGACAATGGTGGAGAAGAAGGCGTTGATGGCTGCACCGAAGCCCATGGATGACTGCGCCGAGATAGACGCAACAGCTTGACCGATGAAGTAGGCTAGCGGGATGATGGAGAACAGACCAGCGACGAACAAGAAGGCGGACGAGGTGATGAAGCTCTCGACGTGAAGGACGCCCTCCAGCACGAGGTAGTCGAAGATGACGAACAGCACCACGGCCATCAGGTTGATAAGGAAGATGTTGGTCCCGTCAATGGTGTACTTCCAGTATTTCAGTCCCACAGCCCGATAAGTGCAGACAATGACCGATGAGTGAGGTGCTGCCGGCTCGCGCGCGTACGAGATGTCGTGCTCGAAAGAGAGGGCCAGTGGGTGCCGCCGGAGATGATCAAACAAGAGCATGGTCACCTTACCCATCGGAATCCAGAAGACCAGGAACCAGCATATCGCCGAGACGATAAACAGGGAGGGCGTAATCAGAAGGTAGAAGAACAAGAAGAAGATAACTCGGCCAATGTTCCATTGCCCACGACCGAAGAGACGTCTTTTGAGACGGGGCATGTCGGGGTCGCTGTCGTGATCATGATCGCCGCGCCCACGACCAAGCAGGCTGTCGGTCTCGCTGGGTTCTGAGTCGATGCTTCTCCTGGACCGTCCGATGATGGAGCGGCCGCGGTCAGGCCCAAAGAACAACCGACCGTATTCAAGATCGCCGCTCTGCCACTGCTCATACTCGCTGATGCTCCGTCCTTCGCCCTGGTCCTCGTCGATATAGGCTTCCTGCTGCTCGAGCCGGATGAACTTGCCAAAGGGGTAGAAGATGTAACCGGCTAACCCCCACAGCACACGACCATACTCTCGCCCGCTAGGCGTTGCGGCGAAGATAAAGCAGACCACAGCGCCGGAGAAGGCGATCAGAGCGAGCCACCAGCCAAAGCAGATGGTCCACACGATGTTGAACAGCAGCAGCCAGCTATTGACCCTCCCGCCAGGGGAGCTGTGGATATCGCCCTCGGCAATCTTCTGCACGGACCGGTCCTTCTTGTACAGAGCAGGTTTCCACAGCCTGATACCAAAGGGATGTGTCTCGTTGATGGCCTGCTGACGGTCCTTAAGGGTGAAGCTCTCGGCGTCGCTGAGGTCCCCATCGTCCTCGTCGTCCTCGTCGACTGGGGTGTCCTCATCCAGGCTATCATCTCCTTCTTCCTGCCTGTCGCCCTCATCCCTTATAGGAGCAACAGGGGTTGTCTCCTCATCTTGCTCCTCCACAATCCCAGGCGTCCTCGGAGCCGTGTCCTCAACGCCCTCTGGCGTGTCGCGACTGGATTGTATCCTGCTCAGAGGCGGAGGGGCGTTTGCTCGTCGCCGGAGCGTGGAGTAGCTCTGTTGGCGCTCGACCTGCTGGTCCCTCTCAACCTCCTCCAAGGCATCCTCGGTGGAGAAAATGCCGCCCCTGTGTGGCGCCTGAGCGTTGGAAGAGGCGCGTCGCGGCATGGGCGGCTTGCGCGGTCGTACTCTTCCCCTCTCGCCTGTAGACCCTATCATAGGGGACCTAGAGTGTTGCGATCCGGCCGTGGCGCCGCGTGCGTGGTGTCGTTCGCGTTCGTGGGAGGTTGTGGGCTCGAGATACTGCGAGGAGGAGGCAGTCCCGGTGGACGGACTGAACGTGTCTGTTCACACGGAGCCCATTGTGGGCGCGTGTTAGCCAAGCTGCGCGTAGTGATGTGCGGTGTAGCACCGCAGCGGGAGGAAGATCATAGTACACGACCTCGAGTCATGTGTGGGGACCTCTAAGAGGCCCGGTGGGCCATGAGGCGTCCCGCGTCGGGGTGTAGTACATACCGTATGTGGCGGGATCCGGTCTCCTTCTCACAGTATCTGTGGAGTTGTAACTTTCCGAGTACCGCTCATCATCGCGGCCGGTGATGGGCGCGTATGCGCTTGCGCTTCTCGTGTCTGTGGGAGACGGCGCAATGGAGGACCGCTGAGAGGGAGTGGCTGACCCGCTGCGAGAGTTCTGGTACGGGGAGGGATCCATGTCGGACGAAGGTCGGTTTGACGTCGCTCGAGGGTTTGACGAGCTGCAAGAGCTTTGGTTGACCTGTTGTGTCTCTCAGGAGCCGAGTCGCAGGCTTCTTGGGCTACACGAAGGAGGAACAAGCACCTCGCTCTCTGAGCCACCCAAAGACTCGAGGAGGCAATCGGACGAGACGGACAAGTCGAATCACCAGTTTCGTAACCGAGTGCTGGACGAACAAAATCAGGATGGTTGGGTTCAGTTGTGATCACCGAGCTACCAGGAACAGAACCTGGAAGAGGAGTAGGAGGAGATTGGCAAGCGAGGCTGAAAACGATGTGGGTCGAGTGTCGGGTATAGATTATGTCGTTGCGCCTCTCATCTTGAGAGTGTTGGGGAGAACAGCGCCAGATTCAGGACTGTAGTACAAGTCTCGATGAATACCATTAGAGAAGAAATGGACGAGAGGAAGAGGAGGAGGAGGAGGAGAAAAAAGTCGAAGAGGAAGGTGAGGATGAAAAAAGGAAGGGGAGAAAAAAAAAAGAATAATGCACGAATACGTTGTTGGTGACGGGTCAGCTTACCCGGGATGAGGTGGGTTATGAGGTGGGATGGACGATGGCTGAGACGACTCGAACCAAGAGAGAAACAACAGTCGATCGTCCAGTCATCCAAGAGTAAACAAGGTTCAGGGCCATGCGCAGTTGCAGTGCGGTGGTGCGGTGTGCAGAGTACAAGGTACTCTGTGCCTAAAGCAGAGTAGCAACAGTAAATAGAGTCCAGGGTACCAGGGCTTTAAGGTGATGATGAGATAGTGGGTTGGGCTAGAGCTTGGGAGGGGGCGATAGTTGAAGTTGGGCTCACGGCTCGGCCAGAGCTCCCTTTCCTTTCCCTTCCTTGCCTCTTCTACTCCTCCTTCTCTTCCTTCTTCTCTGAGCTGCTTACTTTTAGGCACATGCTCCACCTCTGGCACGTCTCTTGGGCCTGTGCAAGATTACGTCGTGGGATCATGAGGAGCCAACCGCGATCCTTCCGTCTGCTATTACCGGCAACACCAGCTCATCAGCCGGATGATTTGGGCGTGGCAGCAGGGCCACCGTTGTTTCCCCTCAAAGTAGTAGTACCATGTACAGAGTACATGGTATAATCTCTGTCTCTGTACAGCCTCTACAAATCAGGCAGGCTACAGTGCCAAGTGCACACCATAGCGGGAGCAATGGCGGGTCCAGGTCTGGGACAAGAACCCAGGACCCCACGGGAGTGCTAAAGACACTAGAAACAGCCAACATCTCCAGAGGGGTTGTTGCTAAGCAATTGCTTGGCCATGACCACCAAAATTATAGGGCATCAACGATCTCCAATACCTAACTATTAGCGCACCTTCATACCAGCCTTCGTTTGGTGTGGGCGAGCGAGTATGGTGCTGCGGTAACAGCTGGAACGTCAGGATCCCCACCCCTTCTTGCCTATTTTTTTTTCTCTCTGTCTCTCGCTTGTTCTCTTGCTGTTACCACCATCCATATTTCGGATACTACCTGTCAGATCATCTCAACCCTGAATCAATCCAATCAATCCTTCACCGTTGATTTCTTCTTGTTTCAACGTCCTTCATGCATTCGCATCAAATTGCGGGCTTGCATGCCCCATATGGGAGCGCATGCTGTAAAATGATGTCAGTTCGCAGCATAGACTCCAGACTGGCTCTTGGCCCAGTTTTGGCATTTGCTGCTCCAAGCGCTCTAGCCACCACAACAAATCAACACACACTTCTTGCTAAGGAAAAAAAAGGGTCCAACTTTGAGGGGTCCACTGAACACCACCCACCACTACCCATAAATGTATATGGTACAAGACCATCCCGCCCCATGTGACAGCCTAGAGGAGAGCAACAAGGCGCTATCCGAACCCGCCGATCCTGCTGGCATGGTCGTGCAAATTGGCCTTGTACGCAGCACTGGGACTTTAAGCTTATAGGTTCCGTGGCACTCGGGTTGAAAATGTGTTTGCTTCGAGGCTGATGTTTTGGCGAGATGGCAGCTTCCTCTTCTCTTCTTCTTTTACCCTCTCTCTCGTCTTGCCTGTGTTTTGTTGTCTTCGTCGTCCACTGGACGAGGTCATGCCAACGGATCGGACTCAGACTTGCTAATTACACAAGTACTCACAGCCTATAACTACAGTGATCTGGCCAGTGAAATTATTAAGAGATTCAAGCTAAGTGGGTCTAAAGATCTTCAAAGAGTCGCGCGCGCTCGGGAAAGATGTACAGCAGTCCCCCTCACAAAGACAATTTTGAGGGCTCGTGACAGATCTTTGCGGAAGATGGTGTGCTACTTATCGCCAGAATGGACGATGGATGACCTTCGGGAAGATCGGAGGCTACGCTCTCACCTGCCCTCGAGCAGGCATTTGAGTCCATGTGACGAGCCCAACTGGTTCATGTAAGAAGGAAGAATGTCGAGTAAAGAATGTGTCGAAAGTAACAGATCTATAGAAGAATGGAAAAGTTAAATAAAAAACAAAAGACTAAATGCATCTAGTTTCCAGGAGCTCGAAGGCAAGATAAGGCAGGCGATGTGGATACAACAGTACACCCGGACAAGGATCCTGAACTGCTTACCTCAGCAGACATGGATTCGGGGTTGGCGGCAGGGCCAGCAGCTGAAGCTGAAGCTGAAGCTCAGACCACAGGCAGTGATGGACGCGTTGGCCGAGACTGCCTGCGGCAACGGCTTTGGCAGCTCTTGGTCCTCTGTTTGCGCCGCATCTTGACGACACCTCGTCAACCTCACCACCAAAACTCCAGACAGCAACGACGCCAGTCTCTTTCACAGCAAGACCAGGGGAAGGCGTCAACACACTCTAATCCATCAGACAACTCTTCTTCCCTCCTGCCATCATCATCCGCTCGCGACGAAACCCAACAACCCTTGCTCCAACCTCGAACCCCGACGTCAGCTCCAGCGCCTAGAGCCGCCTCCATCACCATGGCGCTCGACAATTACTACCACAATAAGATCGAGGCTATGAAGCTGGAGATCCTCAAGGGCCAGGCTGTTCTGCGCCGTCTTGAAGCCCAGAGGAATGATTACAACTCGAGGGTGCGGCTGCTTCGAGAAGAGCTGGGCCTGCTGCAGCAGCCAGGTTCCTACGTTGGCGAGGTCGTGAAGGTCATGAGCACCATGAAGGTCCTGGTTAAGGTCCATCCAGAGGGGAAATATGGTAAGTGCTTTCTTCTCCCTTCTTACACAGGTGGACAGATTATGTAGGGGTTGGGCACACTGACAGCAAGTCACAGTTGTCGACGTCTCGGATTCCGTCGACATCACGAAGCTCACCGTCGGCAAGCGCGTCACCCTCCTGTCCGATTCCTACAGGCTCGAGAAGATCCTGCCCTCTTCCGTTGACCCTCTCGTCTCCCTCATGATGGTGGAGAAGGTCCCCGACTCCACATACGACATGATTGGTGGTCTGGACCAGCAGATCAAGGAAATCAAGGAGGTCATCGAGCTCGGCCTCAAGCACCCCGAGCTGTTCGAGTCGCTTGGAATTGCACAGCCCAAGGGTGTTCTCCTCTACGGCCCACCAGGAACCGGCAAGACCCTCCTCGCAAGAGCCGTCGCCCACCACACAGACTGCAAGTTCATCCGGGTATCGGGTTCCGAGCTCGTTCAGAAGTACATCGGCGAGGGTTCCCGGATGGTGCGAGAGCTGTTCGTCATGGCGCGTGAGCATGCACCTTCCATCATATTTATGGATGAGATCGACTCCATCGGCTCGTCCCGTGTCGAGGGCTCCTCAGGGGGCGACTCGGAGGTGCAGCGGACCATGCTGGAGCTACTGAACCAGCTGGACGGTTTCGAGCCTACCAAGAACATCAAGGTCATCATGGCCACAAATCGTCTCGATATCCTGGACCCTGCGCTGTTGCGTCCTGGCCGTATCGACCGGAAGATCGAGTTCCCACCACCAAGCGTCGAGGCCCGTGCCGATATCCTGAGGATTCACAGCAGGAAGATGAACCTGACAAGAGGGTTGAACCTGACCAAGATCGCAGAGAAGATGAACGGGTGCTCTGGAGCAGAGCTGAAGGGTGTGTGTACTGAGGCTGGCATGTACGCCCTGCGAGAGAGACGAGTGCACGTCACGCAAGAGGACTTTGAGTTGGCAACAGCCAAGATTCTGAACAAGCACGATGGCAGCAAGGAGGTCAGCTTACAGCGCCTGTTCAAGTAATCGCGTGTGTGATCACTTGGACTGGGCGTTGCTCGTGCGCGTGTGTGGTCAGGGCTACCAGTAACGGGTTCGGTGGCGATACAGCGGGATGGGATTCACAATCAAAAGGCCCCCATCGTGGCTTCTACGATAGATTGTAAAAAAACTTTTTTTCTAGAGGCAATAATTAACGACAACGATGATCAGATCTGTACTTCTCCCTCGTCTGGTTGGGTCCTTTCAACTTTACACTCATGCATTGCCCCTTGTGAAACGGTCTTTTTGCTCTCGTGCCCGTTGGTTCATCGGGCCAGAGCTGTCTCTTCTGCCAGGCCTTTACTTCTGGCGCAACCAGCTCTGTCCAAAGCACCTGCTGTTGATGCCTCCTGAGTAAAGTATCGTCTTTTGCCTCTGGCCATCCCTCTTCTATGCACTCCTCAGCATGCATACGGTCTTTAGTATCTCTTCGCTCCCCAGCTCGGCCCCGCTGCCCAACCCATTTTTGATTCATTCTATCTGTCCAGTTAATGTCATTCGCCTTCACCAACGGAGAGCAGCGATTCCTAAGGTAGAGCATAATACATTGTTCAAGTGATGAATTATCTTATTGATACGTGTCGAGATGTTAGTAGAATATAAGTGTTGATTTCTCCCCAGAAAGAGCAATTCGCCTGGGCAGTAGTCATCCCTGCTTATGCCTCGAGTGTTCGCTAAAAACATCCAGGCTCACATGCAAACCACACAAGGGAAGAAAAAGAGAGAAACATTCTGAGGTTCGTTTCGTTAGGGCACTACCAAGCTATTCTCAGCGAAATTTGGTTTCCTCGTAGCTGTCCGTACCCGACTTTGGTCTTGAGAAGCCACATTGTCCCCTAACCAGCCTCCTGAGGTTCTGAAAGCATGGAAGGAAGTAAGCTGCATTCTCTGCTCTGAACTGAGCCCAATCGCCAATTCACAATGCCAAACTCCATTCCGAATCAAGCACATGTCCGTAGTAAACGCCACTTCCCACACTTGTTCCCTTTATGAAAGCATAGCATGACCTGCCAGCACTTTCCACCCAGATGGCGGTGGTGCAAGACCATTGAGTCAACTGAGAAATTCATGCCCAGCCCACCTCCCTTACAGGGTCTTCTTCGTCCAACCGCCCTCCTCCCACGGGGCAACCAACTTCACCTTCCTCTTCTTGGCAGCAGGCATATTCGATTTGCGCGTGCCGCCGCCACCCTGCTCTTCCATCGCTTTCTTGCGCCTCGTCTCAGCAGCCTCCGCAAGCTTGGGCCTCATCTCCTCACGTCGCCGTTTGCGAAACTCATCCCTGGCCCTGGAGAGCTCGGCGCTGACCTCGCCGCCATGGACGAGGCCCATGATGCGAGCACGGGCCTTTTCTTTTTGGGCCTTTGTGAGGTTGACTTTGTTGGGGTGGTAGATGCAGAACGTGGCGTGACCGACATCACCGAACCGGAGGACGTTCTCCCAAGAACAGGAGCACTGAACAATGAACAACAGATTAGTCAATGATGGAATCCACGGAAGAAGATTATGGGGAATATCAAAAAAAAAAAAAAAAAAAGGGGGGGGGGGGTTAACAGCAGAAGCCCCCAGAGGAAGGAAAAGACTTACAACATAGCACCACTCAGTACCACATTGACACATCATGTGGTCACAACCCGCCGTCTTCGTAACACCCTGTCCACATTTGGGGCAAATGCTGGTGGACTCCTGTGCGAGAAGTTTCGCTGTGGCCTCCTCTTCCTCCAGCCGCTCGATCTGTTCAGGATCTTGATCGAACTCGTCACAGGTCTGGCCCTGATGCCAGGGACGTCGGTGCTTCGCACAAGTGATGAATGCACAGTGGTTGCAGGTCATCTTTGGACCCTCAGGGGCCTTAAAGTCGTGCTCCTGGCTGCCGCCGCAGCTTGTACTTGTGCACGATATCCAGTGTCCTGGTATCTCGGACTGCTGCTTTAGGTATTGATAACGCTCATAGAGTTCCTTGTTGGCGTACGCCTTAATGTCATTGTGGGTCAATTTCTGCGGACAGATGGGGCAGACCAGCAGGTGCAAGGCGCCACGCTCGATGACGGCTGTAATGGAGGCATCGAGACATTGAAGGCAGGCCTTGTCGGGATGGTCGCACAGCTCGGTGATGGTGTCGCGGTTGGGAAATTTGGATGGTGGGAACTCGCCCAAGCAGATGGGGCATTCGATCTCTTCTGCACCATCTTCCTCATGCGCATCAGTGTCGGTCCTGGCCACCAACTCGGGCAGATCAGCAGGGTCGAGACCGGAGATGACTTCGTTACTGCCATTGCTACTGGCTGCAAAGGTGTCATCAAGACCGCCGGCAGTGTGATCCTCCTCTTGTATCGGTTGAGGATCAATCAGAGTTCGACCTCGCCCGAGGCGGGATGAACGGGCTGCATGGTTAAAATCCTGTTCCCCATCATCGTCCAATTCGGGCCTCCTTCCAGGCCCCCATTGATATATTCCTCTTCCTTGATTTATTTGATGCGTACCTGGTAATCCAGGAACGGCGAGTTGCTGTGCGTGGCGTATCCCTATCGTCCTATTGCCGAGACCAGCAATGTTGCCACCCCGCCATGCTTGATCGTTCCGCAGTCGTGGAATATTTGACTGCAGGCCATCGCGAGTGGAGCTTTCAAGACCTGCTGGGTCGGGCTGCTCCGTGATCTCGGTTTCGTTGGTTGTCCATTCGGCATCGTTAAGCGTGCGCCCCTGTCCACGGAAAGTCCATGCCGAAGAGTCTTGTTGCGCATCATCGGCCCAGTCGTTCATTTCACTGTGGCCATCTTCGTACTCTGCACCATCCATGCTTGTATCATTTTCCTGTGGGCTGCCATCTTCGTGGTCATCATCCTCAGGGCCATCATCCTCAGCAACTGCGTTATCAAGAAAGTGACCTGGTCCAAGATTACCATTCCATTCCGGCTGTGAATGATCAGTCGGCCTATAACCTTGGAGGTGGGCTCCGTGGTGGAACGCAGCAGCGTTCACAGGCGCTGGTACTTCGCCAAGCGGGAAGCTCCCTCCGTTCCTCATCCAGTCTGTGAGCTGCTGTGCCTGCTGCTGGGACTTCTGGGAGGCTTCGTTGGCGACAAGCTCCTTGGCCAGCTTTTGAAGCTCGACAAATAGTAATGCCCTGCTTCCTGGGCTTCCAGGAAGTCGATTGTAGTGGCGAAGGACCTGTTGCATCTTTCGGCTGTCATGTTGGGCGAAGGTCAGGCCGAAGACTATCAGCTTCTGTCCGTTGTTAGACGACATGATGGTGATTTTGGTGATGGACTGATCGTGGTTGAACAGAACGAGATAAAGAAAGAGAGGATTAAGGAGGAACTTGTAACGATGGCAGTGATGACTGTGATTCAACGCGCAAGGACGAAGATAAATGGAGGCCAGGAGGACAAGAAACAATATGTGCTGGAGTGTATTCAGGTGGAAAGTAGTGCTGCTGCCTATAAGCTTCAGGTGGGGTTGACGCTTCACAGGTGACCTGGGTACGTACCTTTAGGTACACAAGTACCCATGAACCCCACGACCATTCACTGCCAATCAGTTTGGCCAGGGCAGATCATATGTTAGTAGAAAGAGAACAAGACTTGAAATAAGTTCGTTGTTTACAGAAGGTTCAACATTGTGAACATGTTACAATTACGGCAATTATGTTGCTCCTGAATTTCTTCAAGCGTCAGCACCTGCTTATACTAAAGACTTACTGTCTGCATGGTAGGGCTACATAGTTTGCATGCAATATTTGTAATGATTGCAGTAGAATCCTTCTGCTGTGCTGGAACATTTCAAAGACAAGGGAAAGTTTGGTGAAGCAACAGGACTATCCAGCAATTTTCTCGGAGACCTTTTCCACAGAACTTTAGGGCAGTATATATTTCTTGGGGAGGAAGGAGAGGAGAAATGGGACGAGCTGTCTGGGGGCCCTTGCTCGTTAGGATAAAGTACTGATCTGTTGACTTAAGCAGTGCAAGTACAGGCTGATAGTTACATCTTTTGGGTGCTTATCATCATATTCACATGTCTCGATGTTTCTCACTAGGGGTTGCCGCATCTTTTGGTGATGACAGAGGTACATGTAGATAAGCCAGTCCTCTGATTCGTGTAAGACTATTGGTCTGGCTGGTGGAGTCGAGACCCGACCAGGAAACCAACTCATGGAGAAGATCCATCAGGGAAGACAATTGCCAAACGTTGACAAGTTTGTAGATATTCTTGTTGCTTGCAGGGTGCTTCTTCAACAGGAATCTGCCCTGAAGAGCATGCTTTTTGCCTTTTCAGGATGCAAGTTGAGCGTTTGGGTGGTCTGGAGGTACAATGCTTCTAATGCAATTATTGACTTGGCCGTCTCATTTTCACAGAATATACGCACAGTACCATAGCAGTCCACCGCCTGCGCAGCTAGCCACTGCGGTCCGGGTCGTGGTGCGCCGATTTGATTCCAGACTCCAGGACCGGACCTAATTTGAGACACGTAGTACACATGGCAAGCTCAGGGGGGAAGAAGAGTCAGAGCACACAAAAAAAAAAGTTCATTTCCCATGTCAGGCCACCTCTTAGGGATGATCATTCCCATGACGCGGCCCTGACAAAAAAGAGACAAAAATGATTCGGCCCGGACTTGAACCGAGGACCTATGGTGTACCATTGAATTGCTTGACTGAATCAGGCATTACTCGATGTTAAACCATTGTGATAACCAACTACACCACCGAACCCCTTGCTGCGAAACTCGCTTGATGCTTGCCTCCACATTTGTCAATCTATATAGAGCTTATTTGTGAGGAATTGCAAACGTTTGCTACAGACCGTTCCGTATCCGTTTGAAATACCTCTGCTTAGTGCTTTTCGTTTCTGTCTGAAGTATTACTAACCGAACGGTTATTGTTGAAAAGCCAGCTTTTATTTGTATATATAATCTCACTGTCTATTGCCACCCACCTGCCCACAGCACTCAGCCTCTTGCTATGCGTACCTAGAACCTTCACAGGACCAGTTATCATGAAAGTCTAGGTGGGTTGAGAGTTGATATCTTGGTCACAGGATGAAAGTTTATAGAATGAGTGGCATGATCATAGAGTCGTAGTGTACAGACAGGATAGGTATCGGGGGTTTAATGTTTTTGTCTCCTGTTTCCTATGCGCCGAGAAAACTTCGCGCAGACACCGACCGGAGGACATCAGCACGATGAGGATAGAACTTGGATCCTGACAGGTGAGAGGAACAAGACTGGTAGCAAGTGATACATATCAGTGGCTTTCGATTTACATATCAAGGCAGGGCGAGAGCAGCCAGATTACAAGCTGGGAAATGGGCGAAAACGCCATGGGCGGTGGGTGGACGGACAATGGCTGGTTTGGTCTCAGCAATATAAGTGGTATACAATAGTTGCTTCCTCTACGGCACACGGCACGCGCAGGAGTGCGATTTCAAGGACCTTCAGAGTTCCTGTAGAAGCGTGTCCATGCTCCTCGTCAAGCATTTTACTGTTTTGGAAACAGCTAGGCGTGTACTCTCCGGAGCCACGGTATAGATTGCGCGCATGTAAGACGGTAGCGTAAGCCTCTCTTCAAGCACCACTCAGAGATGGACTAGGATCTGAAATTTTGGAAGAATCCACTGCTCTGGAGCCTGGGTGGGCAGAAGCAGTCCAACAAGCCAATGGGTGAAATCTATGACAACTAGAATGCAGCATCTTGAGTCACTCTTTTGCTGGCAGCCAAACTGTTCCTACCCTGCTATGAAAATTTCACAATAGTGGAGCTTAAGAAAAAAAGATGGGAAAAAGGTGGCAGTATTCTCACGGGTCAGACAAGCTAAGCCATATGTAGAAGGCGGCCAAGAGTGTGCGCCATGGTCCGTGCATCTCAACCCCCAGGTATATAATACCACGTCCCAGCTCCCCCATTTCCAATTTCTTTCTCTTCTTTTTTTTCCTCATGTCGACATACTCTAGAGAATCATTTCTATAGGTATCGTCCCATCTTCTATGTTTCCCAACATAGCTACAGAACCTACCCTGGACGATGACCACAAATCCTCGACACCCTAGGGTGAAACACCATTTTGACTCCTGATCTGCCTGCAAAGGTGGCGGTCTTTTCCCTCTGTGGATTTGGCTGTATAGGGAGTGGTGATGATCTCTACCCCGATTTTCTCGAGGTCTTGCCTTCGGGCGCTTGGGCGGGGTGGGTGTCGATGGAATTCTGACAGGCGTAATTCTTTCTCTTTTTTTTTTTCATTGCTTACTTGGGCTGGTCTCAAGTTGCGACGAAGAAAATTTTGCATGATGATGATCCCTGCCACCTTGGCTACCCTCTCACCGAGCCCTGTCGGTGTTTGCTTGGGCCGCGAATGCCTACTAGTCTACCGTGTCGCGCGTGCGTACGACTTTCGATAACAATCAAAACCTGTCAGTTGTATCTGGAAGCCCTGCAACTGATGTTTGGCCTCGTAATGTGGGGATCCTCCATGAGCAATTCAGCAGCCAACCGTATCGCGATCGCAAGACCACAAGTCGTCGTGGCATGTGCCTTCAAGCCGCGTGATCGTTTAAGCTACAGTAGCAGCACTGGCCTGTCTGCGTCTACAACAGGGCACCTAACACATCGAGACACCTCACTCTGTCTCACTCAGAGAAGAGATTCAGGACCTGCGCCCTCCTCTCACCACGACACCTCTCCACCTTCGATCAGCCCCGCAACGCCCTCAGGCACCAGCCTCCTCAGCCGTTTCCAATCCTTTTCCTCGACAGCCGCTCTTGCTTCTGTGCTGCTCAGCACCAACCCGTCTTCCCCTCCGTCCGTCCCCTCGACCATCTCAACCCGCCGCGCCCACTCCTTCCTTCCGCCGACCTTGTCCAGCTCATCCCCGTGCAGCAGCCGCTCCACGTACCCCGCCTGTTCCTCCTTGTCGCCCCAGTCAGCGTCCGTTCGCATCGTGATGCGCAGCCTCGCGCGCGTCAAGAACGGATCGAGGCACGCCTGCATCGGTGTCTTATCGGCAGGCGTGACGCCCTGTTCGGGGGCGGGCGGCGTGTAATACTTGGGGTTGAAGATGCGGATCAGAGTGTCGAAGCCTGCGAGGAATATCTGCTCGGTGGCCGGTGTGTCTAGAGCAGAGGAGGAGGAAGAAGAAGAAGAAGAAGAAGAAGAAGGGTGAGAGAGCCAGAATTCGTATTCAGGCGCGGCGGCGATGGCGGAGGATTTGTCGTGAAAGTAAGGACGTGTAGTCAGGCCGATGTCGACGGGAATGTCGCTCTGTCTTTCTCTTCCTTTTATTACTGCTGATTGTTGCTCGGGTTCGTGTCGCTGCTGTGCTTGTCGTGCCACCCGCCACGCGCGCTGTATGTCCCCGGCAAAGGCCTGCATCATCAAAAGCCGCTGCTCAAATGACGCCGGCTTGGGCGCCTTGTCCGCATTGTTGACGGCCAGCAGCAACAGGAGTCGTATGCCGTCCTCCCCCTCCTGTGGCGCCTCCCCACCCTTCAGCGTCGTTGCAATGTCCCGTTGTGTCTGTAGATCCTGTAGCGCCGTGGTGGCCATGCGCATGTGTGCGATCGTCGGTGGGTTGAAGCTGGAGTCGAGGACGACCAGCGTCCTGCATCGTCGGGCCGCCGCGGCCGAGCTGTTTGTGTTGATGAGCTCGAAGGCCTTGCCTGAGGATTGAAAGGTCCGCAGGGCGGTTCGTAGGTGGGTTAGGGACATGTTGGGTAGCGGTAGTGGCTCAGCCTCTGCGTGGGTAGCTGGAGGCATAGCTTTCAAGGAGGGCAGTGGCGCAAGGAGGGAGAGTGTGTTGGGGAGGGAAGTCGAAGAGGAGGAGAGGGATATGAGGGGCCCTTAATTGCATCATGAGCTTAAGACTGTCCTGCGGTCAGGAGGAGCGGGGCCGTGACTATACCGGAATCTCGGCGCCGGAACGGAGAGAGTTGTAGCTGAGGATCATGTATAGAAAACGAAGCCACCACCCCCCAGAAAAATAATTGAATAAAAAAATTCTATATATATGCATACGTATACTATCATGTACGAATACTCTATCTAAATTGATTATTTAAATACGTATAATGATAGAAGCGGTCATTGCTCTGCTCTTCCAAGTCTCTTCGCATGGTCTCGGACTATGCCTTGGCCTGCCTTCGTAACAATGTTGTCGTGCTACGCAGCTAACGATCCGGTCATGCCAGGCCCCAGGAGTATTTGAACACGAGCGACATAGAGAAGCGCGAGAGGGTATACATCATGTAAACACTGGATTGAGGATCGAGGGCGTCGGCCTCGGAAATGCTAAACTCCATGACGCTAAGCTATGCAATGGGTATCATCCACGACCAAGCCTTCCATTCCTTAAAAAACGCCACCACATGAAAACGCTCATAAATAGCACAGAAGAACTGGATGAAGCTCCTAGCGGAGCTGGGGGTCCTCCATGAAATCCAGCGAAGAGGCCGTGCCCGAAGGATCACCGCCTTGAAACTCCCTGGCAAGCTCGATGCCGCGCACGTGGGCCTTGAAGGCCTCCTCATTCTCCTCCGGCGTGGCATCCTCGTTCATCTTAAACTCCTTCCTCAGGGCGGCGTTCTCGTCTCGCACGCCCGTGGGACCCGCCGCGCGCAGCTGGTCATCGAAGCCGTAGATCTTGACGCCCCGGATGTGGGTGTCCTTGCCGTTCTGGTGGTTCTCAATGATCTGCATCTGCACGACCCATGCTAGCAGCGAGTTTCCGTCCTCGCCGCCGCCCGCGCCTGCGAGGGGCACGTCGGTCCAGCCCTCTGGGTTGACCAAGTTCGATGTTGCAAAGTGCATGAGGCTGTGCTCGGAGGTGCCCGCGTACCACATGATGCGCGTGGGCGTGTAGGACTCGTCCTGGTGGTAGTCGACATGGAAGCGCAGGGCGCGGATCTCGACGCATTTGACAAAGGTCATGGTCAAGCGATGCGGCTGGATTCCGTCGGATCTGAGAGGGACCGCGTCAGTTGAGGATGAGAGAAAGAGGTTGTGGTTTTGATGAGGTGTATGAGGTATGTGCGCGTGCACAGGTGCGTGACAGTGAGCAAGTGAGCAAGGAGGAGCGGGAAAAGGAAAAGGCAGGAAGGAATCCAAGCAAAGAATAAACGAATGCAAAAAAGAAAAAGAACGTACTGCCAGTATCGATCCGTGTCGTCGCTGACGAGCTCCTCGACGCCGTTGCCAGGCTTGAAAGAGCTAACACGGAAGTGAGCCAAGCCGCCAATCTCCTTCAGGCCCATGGAGATGGGGTTGAAGGGGGCGACAGGCTCATCCTCATGCGCCAGGTCATCCTCCTCATGCAGCTCCTCGTCGCTCTGGCCATATGCCACCCCGTCCTCATCGCTCCCCATCATGTCCTCGTCGTCGTCGGCGCCAGGGAAGTTCTCAACACGCTCATCTTCAGCAGTATGGAGCCGCAAGTCATCCATTCTGCTAAACTCTGTATCGTTTGACATCAGTGAGTTGGGTACACGTAGCAAAATGGTAGCTTTTATAACGCTACCAGACCAACCAGCTACTCACCAGATTCACTAGAATCCGACCCGATGAGCGTAGCAGTCTCCGATTCAAAGTCGAGCGCAGGAGAACCCTGGGAAGGCAAGTCGACCGTGAAATTCTCCGAAGTAGGCTGGATCCGAGCAGATTCAGAGCCTGGTCGAGAGCCTAGATGAGAGCCTGATTGAGAGCCACTGGGCAATGGGACGTTTGCAGAAGCATCCGAGTTGTGCTGAGGATCAACAGAGCCTGATCACCCAAGATCAGCCAAGAGCAAATGTAAATATGGTTTGAATACGAGCTAACCACGAGAGAGATTTGAGCCAGGGTCCAAGGCGAGCTCAGAGGTATTCGATCTGGCCTCCTCCTCGTCAGGTTCGGTCGGGAAGACCCGTCGTGGGAGGCTCTCGTAGTATTCAGCGTTTGGCGGCAAAGAATGGCGCAGGCCCAGACGCGACCGCGTGTATTCAGTCTCGTATTGGAGCGCTGAAGAACGCCAGCGGGCTTCTCTCCCGCGGCTTGGAATGATGAGCCTCGAAAACTGCTGCACTGAGTCCAATTCTTCTTGTTTATTTTGTTCAGCATCTCCGGAACCCCTGCCACTGAAGGGCATGATGGGCAAAGTGTGGCTCAAAGTGTGGCGGTGCAGCTGTCTCTTAGCGTGAATGAGGAGTGAAGAGTGCACGGACCAGATTGAGCCACGTGCAGTTGCTATTATAGCCACATGAGCAGATAGCAGGGATAGAGAAGCCACAGGGCTGAGTCAGCGGTTAGGGGTACTCAAAAGCTACATGTGACTTCGTGAAGTGGCCCAAGTGTCCCCCTCACGCTTCTTGACGCGACTGCCTGATGAGCCCCACTTGTTTTTTTCACGCGTGCCACTTAAACTCTAGCACATGTCTCAACAGAGGCTGATTTAAAGATTCCAGTGTAATCTGTGCATTTTTTTTTTTAAAAAAAAAATCGATCCATTCTCCTTCCCAAGGTGGACTTCCTCTGGCGGCAGTTCTCTCAAGATGCCTGCGGCGTCGGCGTCGGCGTCAGGTCTGTTGTCTGTTGGTCTTGCCATGGCATTCGGGTACTGACCATCTGACTTCCTCAGGCCGTCGAGAAAATGATATTAATACCATCAAGATCCTCATCGCCACAGATAACCACGTAGGATATGAGGAGCGCGACCCTATCCGTAAAGATGACAGCTGGAAGACATTCGACGAGATCCTCCAGATCGCCGTGAAGAGAGAGGTACGTCATTGCTCTGTGGCACTTCGTCCGCTCGCTGCTGAGTCTCACTGCTTATCATCTAGGTCGATATGGTTCTCCTCGGCGGTGATCTCTTTCATGAGAACAAGCCGTCTCGCAAGTCCATGTATCAGGTCATGCGGTCACTACGCAAGCACTGCCTGGGCGACAGACCTTGCCAGTTGGAGTTCCTTAGCGACGCCAATGAGGTCTTCGAGGGAGCTTTCCCTCACGTCAACTATGAGGACCCAGACATCAACATCTCCTTGCCAGTATTCTCCATCCACGGAAATCATGATGACCCTGGTGGTGATGGCCACTACTGCTCTCTGGACCTGCTGCAGGTTGCTGGCCTTGTCAACTACTTTGGTCGTGTTCCAGAGGCTGACAATATCCACGTCAAACCCGTTCTGCTCCAGAAGGGGGACACCAAGTTGGCCTTGTACGGAATCAGCAACGTACGGGATGAGCGACTTTTCCGCACTTTCCGGGACAAGAAGGTGACTTTCTACAAACCACCCGACGATGCTGGCGAGTTCTTCAACATCTTGACTGTTCACCAAAATCACACCCCGCACACGAGTACAAACTTCCTGCCGGAGCCTGTGCTACCAAATTGGATGAACCTCGTCGTATGGGGCCACGAGCATGACTGCCAGATTGAGCCGACGCAGAACCCCGAGACAGGGTTCTTTGTCATGCAGCCGGGCTCCTCTGTCGCGACGTCTCTCATACCTGGAGAGGCCGAGACCAAGCAGGTTGCCATCGTCAAGGTCACTGGCGATTCCTTCCAGTCCGAAGCAGTGCCTCTCAAGACCGTTCGTCCATTCGCCCACAAGGAAATCATTTTGAAGAGCGACCCGGCCTTCAAGAAGCTGCAGTTCAAGAAGGACAACCGGAAACCTGTCACGGAGAAGTTGATTGAGGTTGTTCGCGAGCTCATTGAGGAGGCAGATGCGGGCTGGCTCAGCATGCAGGATGACCCGGACAGGATCAAGAAGGAGGATCGGCCGCTACCACTCATCCGCCTCAAGGTGGAATATAGCGCCGACGAGGGCGGCACATTCGATGTCGAGAACCCACAGCGCTTTTCCAACCGCTTCGTGGGGCAGGTTGCAAACGTCAACGACGTGGTATCATTCTACCGCAAGAAATCGAATCCGAGTGAGTCACTGCCGTCCCGCAATGACAGGGTGTGGATCTGGCTAAAGGGGATTAGAACGGGAAAGAGAAGAGCAGACGCTGCCGAAAGCGATCCAGGACGCCATAGAGAACGAAGACATTATCAGAATCGACGTGCTCGTGCGGGAGTTCCTCCAGAGCAGCTCCCTAAAGGTCTTGCCGCAGAACCACTTTGAAGATGCCGTCCTCGAGTACATCGACAAGGGAAGCAAGGATGCTGTGGACGATTTCGTCAACGAGACTCTCGCCAAGTCTCTAAACTACCTTGTCAAGGTGGACGACACGCAGCTGAACAAGAATATGGAGGCCATCATCGAACGGTGCAAGGAGGCGCTACAGAAGCGATGGGCAGACTCGTCAAGTGGGAAGTGGACGCAGAAGAGGCGACTCAAACCCCGGCCACAAGACTACGACTCGGATGTTGATGGGCCTTGGGATGACCCAGACAATCCTGACAGATGGGAGATGATCAAGAAACAGCCATCAAGCACGCAGGAAGGGCGACAGCCACCCAGGCGCAGCACTGGTGACGAGGATGTCGACATGGACGACGGCATGTTTGTGGGTGGTGCTTCGGATGAGGATCCCTTTGACGAGCCGCCTCCGCCGCCAAAGCCTGCCGCCAAGAGGGGTGCTACTGCCAAAGGTGGTCGAGGAGGCGCCGCAAAGAAGGCGCCTGCTACCAAGAAAGCACCTGCTACCCGTAGCCGGCCAAAGACGAAGGCGGGCTTCATCGTGGACAGCGATGAAGACGAGGAGGCGGAGGAGGCACATGCTGACTCGATGTCGGTGGACGCCTTTGAAGATGACGATGAGGAGGAGGATCCTCCAGCGCCACCCCCAAAGCGCGGATCACGAGCCACCAAGGCCACAACAACTCGCACGACGGCCTCGCGCGCGAGCAAGGCGGCTGTCCCCACCCGCACGAAGCAGTCCACTCTCAACTTTTCGCAGTCACAGAGACCTAGCTCGCGCGTCAATTCTACCCAGAAGGCTCTCACAATTAGTGATGATGAGATCGACGATGACGATGATGCCTTTGAGCCGGTCGAGCCCAGCAGGAGTAGGAGACGGTGAAATTCATGTATGATCGGACTGCTGGTGCGGCGAAGTCCCTTTTTTTCCTTCGGAAGAGGTCTACATAGGCCGCGATCATCTGAAGGACATATTTGAAGCTCTCTTGGCCTTGGAAGGCGTCATCAAGGCCAGCGAGGACGCTTCCTACGTCTCTATACGGAGGGGGGCCAATTTTTTATTTTTTTTAGGCAGTGTGACGGCAGTAGACTTGATGGATCTGCTCAAACCATCTTCATAGCTACGTCGCTCGATACTTACCAATTAATATCAAAAGATCAAGACATACGAAATTTGTCACACGCCTTAGACGCTTGGCAAGCAATCTTTCTATGTGTCCTTGTGTTCGCGATGAGGCCTTTTGTAATCTTCCGAGCAATACTTCATAACCCATGGGTGTGTTAGTACGTCTTCCAGAGGAAGTCTCTTCCTAGCATCGAGGACAAGCAGCTGGGACTGGTCAGTACCAAATCAGCATTGAGGCTCACAGAAAAAAGACTTACACGTTCAATCAGATCCTTAGCCTGAGGGCTAATGAACGAAGGGATCAACATATCAGCCTTGGTAATCCTTCGCTCCGTCAAGACAGGTGTGTCCTCAAATGATGCTTCTCCGACCAAGAACTCATATAACAAGACCCCAAAAGACCAGAGACCTACCTTGTCGTCGTATGGCTGATCACTTCGCCGACGATCACACATCTCGGGGGGTAGGTAATCCAGCATTCCACATTTGGTAAGCCTGCGGGAATTCGGCGCATGTACACTCCAGCCAAAATCCGCGAGCTTGAGTTCTCCATGAATGCCAACCAGGATGTTCTCGGGCTTGATATCGCGGTGAATAACGTGCTTGCGATGCATATGATGTAAAGCACTCGCCATCTGTGCAGCATATTGGGCAGCTTTCCACTCGGGGAAACGACGCTCTTTGCGCAGTTGTTTGTAAAGCTCGCCTTGCCCAGCAAATTCGAGTATGAGAAATATTCGCTTCTCATCATGGAAGTGGCCATAGAGCTTGAGGATATTGGGATGACACAGGTTCGTCTGGATCTCAATCTCGCGCTAGACTTGCTTCTCCAATTGGAATTGTTGGAACTCGGCTTTGTACAAAGTCTTCAATGCGCAAATGTAGCCGCTAGAGCGTTCTCGTACGAGATATACCCGTCCAAATTTGCCCTTGCCCAGTGGCCGGCCGACCTCGAACATGCCTAGATGGAAATGTTTATAGATGGGTTGCGGTCTCAAGGGAGGAGGTGGCATAGGGTTCGGCTGCGAAATTTTGGATGAAGCTGTGACAAGAATGGTCACGGGCTTGCTTTGTCGCTCTGGAGACGCGGTGATGGAGAGATTCGTTCGACTCGACTTGCGTGGAATGCGTGAAATGGTCGTCTTAATGATCTGTGCTTTGTTGTCGGTTATGGTCTGCTAAGTCGATGCTCGCTTCGCGCTTACCCTGTCTCCTGACTTTACTTCGGCTGCATCACCGTGGCTGTCTTGGAGGTTGACCATCTCTCGACTTAAATGTCGTTGGCGGCCCGCAGCCGCCTTCAAAGCGACGGACAGCATGAGCGTCTGCCATGAAAGATACGAGTTGGGCTAGAAAGTCAGATATAAGAGTTGGTCATAGACAGATATCGAGCAAGTGCAAATCCGTATGCCAAAAAGCAAAGACTAGGCGTATGACCATAGAAGATTGTTGCAGAGAGTCCGCAGATGTTGTGTTGAAAAAGGGAATGGGGGGAGGCTACACCGCGCAAGGCTGCAACACCGCCATGCTTACTCTATATACAAACAACAATTGGTTGCGCAGAGCAACCAGGAGCGACACTAGTCGATAACGCTGATAAGAGGTCAGGGGTCCATGCGCGTGAATCATGCATTTAGCGCTGTGATTTTAGCATGCTATATCATATCACATACCAAGTGCGACCACAAAGTTTCCAACTCTCTCTCTATCAATTCCATCGCGGAACCCCATCGACTCCACACCGAAGATGACGTCGCAACCACCTCAAGAGCCAGCAGGCAAGCAGGCAGACGCGGCGCAACCAGAAAACCCAGAACAACAAGCCGCCGCCGCCGACGAGGAGGCGAAATACGCGCCTCTGGTTGACCCACGCCTGCCGACTCGCAAGGACACTTCGTTAAAGGAGTTTCTCTCCAAGATCGATGAATATGCGCCCATCGTACGTGCTCCCCTCTTTCCATGCATCATCCCTTACCTTGGTAGAATCCTCCATCTTCTCCTTCTCCTCTCCATTTAGTGTCTCGGGCTGGAGGCGATGAGAGACAACGGCACGGCTGACTGATACCTGAGCGGCCAACTCTCTAGATTCCCGAAGGCGTAACCAACTACTACATGACCAAAGCCGGCCTCCCACCCCCGCCTCAGACCGACCCCCGGCTGGCCCACCTCCTCGCCCTCGCCACGCAAAAGTTCGTCGCCGATATCGCCGCCGACGCCTACCAGTACAGCCGCATCCGCGCGTCCAACTCGTCGGCCGCCAACAACCCGATGGGTAACCTGGGCGTGGCGGCGGGGATCCCAATCCCAGGCCAGGCGGGCGGCGCACCTGGGATGGCGGGCGCGGGCGGCGCGGGCGGCAAGGCTTCGCAGGGTGGTGCGGCGGGACAGGCGCTTCTGGGTATCCAGCGGCCGGGGTACGGTGGTGGGGGTCAGGGCGGGAGCCAGAACCGGACGGTGCTTACGATGGAGGATCTTGGCATGGCGGTTGGGGAGTATGGAGTGAATGTTAAGAGGAGCGAGTTCTATCGGTAGAGCGAGACAGAGAGAGCGGGTTGTGGGGATGCGTCAGGATGGGTCGGTATCGAGGGCTCTTGGCTGCCTGGGCCACCTGTCGACCGTCTTTCGTTTTCTGGTGCGTTGGGCCGTGGTCAAGAAGCCTACTTAAGTAGGCAAAACGGCTCCTTACTACGCGGGATGAGTTGACTTCATTTAGGCGTTTTTGGGTCGGGACAAGGGACGGGCGTTTAGGGGATACGTTTGCTTCACATGGATAAATGAACAAGGTGCATACTGTCATAATCACAGTTCAGAGCCTATCTCACCATCAATAAGGTGTGCAATAGATGGAGTCGACATCTATCGAAGGTGATTCCTCATGTGCCGCCTAAGCGACGATTCCCGCTGTCCTACAGCAGAACCCTAATATTCTGAGGTCGTGTGGACATTCCTCTGTCTCTGGTGTCCGCAGCAGCTCTGCTCTTTTGAGGTGTCCAAGATATCCAACCACAGGGTATTCCCGGAGCTGACCATCCCAAAGCTCCTCAAGTCCTTTTGATCACAGGGCATGCCGACCCTCTCTGTTTCCAGCCAACCAGACCAGCCTTGGTAGAAACAAGTGCAGAGTCGTGCTCTCATCATCGCCCTCAATGCTTCTACAAAGCCCTGCACAGCACCAGCCAATTCCTTATTTATCGTAGATGAACGGTTTCCGCGTCCTGCGTCGGATTGTCAGCCAGATTCTCCCCAGCCAGTGTTCTTCTTCCTTCCAGTCCCTTCTCTTCGCTCGACCCGCTCTCTCTCTCTCTCTCTCTCTCTCTCTCTCTCCAGCATAGAAAATAGAATTTGGGAGCGCCAACATACGTAGAGAACTCGCCCAGCTTGTGTCCGACCATATCCTCCGTGATAGTCACGGGGTTATAGACCTTCCCGTTGTACACCTCAAACGTCAGGCCGACGAAGCTGGGCAGGACGGTGGCGCCACGGGCTTGTGTCCGGATGGGCGGATTGTACTGGCCCTCCTTGGGGCGGACGAGGGGCAGCCTGTTTACATGTCGAATTGTATCTCGTGTCAGCCGTCCATCTTCACGTGTTCAATGTCTGACTCGATTCAGGGCGGGGAAAAGATGAGGGCGACATACGGGACGATGTTTGGGCCTGCGCAAGAATTATCTCTTTAGTATGTAGTTTCTTGACCAAAGGAGGCGAGGGGAGCACGAAGACAGTTGCGTACCTTTCCAGACCGATCGTCGGCCCAGTAATGCCCTCGTTGCCTTCATCTTGGCGGTGTTTGAGGTGGCCAAAGACTTTGAAGTTGAGGATCGCATCAAAAGTCTTTTTCTGGTTAAGAAGCGCAAGCCAAGACAACCACTGCGAGAAGATGCTGAGTGCACGGGCCACCCACGGTTGATCGCGCAGATCTCCACCCCCCAAAAGGTCAAATGCTAGTGCGCCCACCTTGACAGTCTACGGCAGTAGCTGCCACACCTGCATACCTGGATGGTGGTAGGATAGGGCAGGTACATTGTGCTACTTTCTTCACTCATGCAGTGCTTAAGCTATGGGGCAGGAGGGATCATGTCATTTGGCAGGATCTCAAACCCAAATGAGGGTTCCCCAACAAGAGAATGAAGGCCCCCAATGCGCCATGCGATTACCAAAGACTCGTCCGTCTCCGTCACCTGCGGACCAACTTGGGTCCGTCCCCTCAAGAGAAGACATGCAGATCTTCGGCATTCTATGTGTTTATGTGTTTGGAGGGGCAAATAAGCTCGACATGTAGAACATCATCATCAGCAGACGACTGAGGAACACCAATTGCTCCTCTTGCTCTTCATCCACATCATCGTCAAGTCATCGCCATCATGATCGACCTACATGCCATCATCACGCCGTCCCTGCTCGAGCAGCTGGCACAGGCCCGCATACCATGGTCCAAGGACGAGATCGTCACGGGCAACGCCATGATCAATGAGAACTTTAGCGACGAAATCACCCTCTCGCGCCGCGCCCATATCGCGTGGCCCGCTCTGGTGGCCATCAGCGAAAAGTACGGCCCACACACGGTCCCTGACATGACCAGCTTCCTCCCGCCTGTCGAGGCGCCCACCTTTCCCGAGCAGGCTCTCGGCCTGCAAGTTCTCCTCGACCAGTGTCCACGCATTCTATTCTCGGGCGTCGACGGCCGCTGGACTAGCTACTTTGATCGCATCGTCAGAAGGCTCTACGACGAGTTCTTTGGCGGACATGTCCTTCCAGAACAGCGGCCCTGGGCGCGCAACCGCTGGCCTGACGCCTCCTTCGAGTATTGGTTCTGCGCCGCCTGGGAGCTCACCGCCTCCATGGCCCACCAGGAGTCCGTGCCGCACCAGGAGGACTCGGTCGCCGGCGTGGAACGGCTGCGCTGCCTGGTGGAGGCGCACGCCGGGGTGCGCGACCCAGTGCGGGACAGTGATGGCAGGCACAGATTGAGCGACGTGTATGCATTCCCACGGCTCGTGACGAGGCTGGATCCGGACCGACACTGGGCGTTCCACCAGGCTGCGTTCTTGATGATAGAAGTCATAGAGGTGCATAAGCCGATCATCGACCGGTACGGGCGGTATCCGTATCGCAATGCCATCGAGGGGAGGAAGAGCACCGAGGAGGAGCTGGAGTGGATCGAGAAGACGGATCACTTTGCCGAGGCGCCGCCTGCTGTGGCAGAGAGGGTGAGGGAGGATGTCAAGGCTGGTCGGTGGACGCCCTTGGGCGCGGGTAGGGACGCGTCTGCTGCGGGTGTCAGGTGCATGGCTGGGCCGTCGTGAGCGAATCTCGAGGGCAACAGGTCACCAGCATCTCTTCCTGTCCAGCGCCTCGTTTGCCATGATTGTTATTAAGAAGACAAGACTGCACAATTTCTAGGTAAGACGTCTCATCCGATGAGAGTATTTTCTTGAGCGCATTGTGTCACCTCACAGCACAGATTCTTGATGGGAGTAAAGAGCCGCAAATTCATCTTCAAAAAGAGGGGAGACAATTTGTTACACAAACCCGCATTTGTTTAATCTCGACTAAAGGCTTTGCACTTTGACTATTACATATGTACCACGGCAAGACAGGAAGCAGATGTAATCAGCCAGCCACGGTAGTCATGATTTCGGGCTAATATATGCACGGATGAATTAACACAGGCAGAATTGCAGTCAACAACCAGTCTTTGACGAGGACCGACGCGCAATCAATCAATATCCGTAACCTGTGTCGTGTTTTCCCAGCCTCTGTCCTCCCTTTTCTTTTTCTTTTTTTCTTTTCTTCTTTTTTTTTCTTGTTGTCTCTTCTCTGAATTTGTAACGAATTGATTTATAATGTTTCCTTCTACTTTAGGATCATGCCTCTCCACTCAAGTCAGCACCGAGACAGCCGGCACCAGCTATGCCGAGAGCACTGACGCAAAAGCAATGTCCGACCGTTGAAAGGAGGGGAACGCACGGAGGAGCGGCTGGGGGGGGGGGGGATGACTAAAGGGAATAGCATGCATATTATCGTCACTCCGCTTACCCCGAAAACAAGACAAAAACCTGACCTGGGATGAGGAGACGACGTGACCTCGTGACGAGTTCTACTTTTATTTTCTCTTCTTTTCTACTTTCTGCATCCCCCGCAATTATCCAAAGGAATAAGACTAACGACTGCAGTGCAACAACGGATTGGTCAGCGCTACCGCACAAAGCACAATTCAACGAAGGTTTGTGCAGGCATTCGGACCATTTTCCCCTCCCCAGCTCTCTCTTCCGTCTGCCCCCAAACTACATGCAGACTAAACGAGCGCCGGTAGTTACCATTGATAGGCACAATGACATCAAGAAAAGAAGAGCAGAGTAAGATACAAACAAGATTAGCTTTTTCAGCTGCCAGGGTCAAATCTAGGTTCAGTATGCACCTCTGTGCCATAAGACAGACAGACAGTCTTGACTGGGAAGGTGAATGAGATGAGCGAGAACTCGCGACGTTGATCCATAATTGCTTTGAAATAAAGATATAAGATGGTCCGACGGTCCACAGCAAGGTGAAGTACATGATAGTTTGGCTTGATTACTAGAGTCACCCTCAAGAAGGCATTCATTACCAGACTGCCGTCCTTCCATCTTGGTTGCCTCCAGTGTCCTGTCCCACGTTCTGTGTGAGTGTCAAGAGAGACCAATGCACATCAAGATGAGGACCCCTTCTGTGCTCCCTCTGGCCATGAGCCTCCTCCTCCTCCTCGTCCTCCTCCTCACACCCACAGCAGCCCAGTCCAGCAACACCTCTGTCCCCATCATCGACCTGGGCTACGCAAAATATGTCGGATACACCAACACAACCGCAGGAATCAACTACTACCGCGGCCTGTACTATGCCCAGCCGCCCACAGGCGCAAACAGATGGCAGAAACCCCTCCCGATCGAGTCCTCGTCCAACTACACCGGCCAGACCATCCAGGCCACCACACAGGGGCCAGCATGCATCCAGGGGTACCCGTTCTGGGACTACGCCGCCGACCAAGAGCCGGGCTCCTTCGCAGCCACGCCACAGGGCCAGAGCGAGAACTGCCTCACGGCCGACGTCCTGGTGCCCTCCACCCGGCAAAACATCACAGGCGGCCTGCCCGTGATGGTCCAGATCCACGGCGGCGGCTACACCACCGGCAGCGCGATCAGCTACCCAGGCGACGCCATGGTGCACGCCTCGGACGGCGGGCTCATCTACGTCGCCATCCAGTACCGCCTGGGCATCTTCGGCTTCCTGGCTGGGTCCGACATCGCCGAGGACGGCGTCCAGAACGCAGGCCTCTACGACCAGCGCCTCGCCCTCGAATGGGTCCAGCGCCACATTGCTGCTTTCGGCGGCGACCCGGCCAAGGTCACCATCTGGGGCGGGTCTGCGGGCGGCGGCAGCGTCACGTACCAGCTCATGGCCGGCGGCGGCAACGGCGGCGGGTTCGGCGTCCCGCCCTTCCGGGCCGCCATTGCAGAGTATCCCTGGTGGCAGCCCCTGCTCAACAAGAGCACGCAGGAGCTGCAGTACAGGTTTGCGCTCAACGCCTCTGGGTGTGGGGATGTTGCCTGTCTGCGGGGCCTGAGCGAGGCGGACCTGACGCGGGCTGGGCAGGTGGATTTCAATGTTTCGTATGCGGGCCCCGGCGATGGCTATGGGACGTTCTGGTTCGGGCCTGTGGTGGATGGAGATTTCTTGCGTGATCTGCCTGATATTGCTTTTAAGAAGGGCGAGTTTTACAAGGTGCCGCTGTTGGTGGATCGGGAGGGTTATGAGGGGTATATCTTTTCCAATGCTAGCCAGACGAACCAGGTCGAAGAGACGACGGATGTGAGTACAGTCTTTTTTTTCTTCTTCTCCTTTATTCTGTCCCTCTTTTTTCTTTCCTGTCAACATGGCTCAATGTTCAAAGAAAGGCAAAAATGGATGCTGACGCTGGATGGGCATGAAAACTAAGGCTGAATATCTCTTCCCCGGCGCTGGACCTGCGTTCTTCTCGAGACTCTACGAGTTGTACCCACGATCAGACTATAACTCAACCCTCTTCCAGCGCGCGAGCTGGTATGGTGACTTTATTATTGTCTGTAAGTATTCCACAAATCTCTGCTGACAAGTCGAAAACATCCACCCTGCAAATGTCAGAATCGCCTATGGAAATGAATCGATCTAATTTCAACTTCCCACACAGGCCCGACATACCAGATGGCAACCTCGGCCGTAGACGAAAACTACAATTCCTCCGCCGTCTTCAAGTTAGTCTTCGATGCCGGGTCCCAAGTCCACGGCTCCACGGCCCCGTTCCTGGCCAACGAGTACATCAACTGGCCCACGGCAAACAACCAGACCCTCGCGGCCATCATGACGAGCTACTGGATCTCGTTCGCCTCCACCCTCGACCCGAACCCGCTGCGGACGGCCGACGCGCCGTACTGGCCCAGCTACATGAGCGGCGGCGCAGGCACCACGGCCAACGGGGAGAGTGTGGGCTTTGAGGTGCTGGACATTACCTATGGTGGCATCAGCTCGACGGGCGATCCGGATGCGAGGGTGCAGTGTGAATTTTTCTTGAACAAAGGGTATACACTGAGGAATTAATTGATCTGATGACTATATCCTTCTCTAAATGTGTATTTACTGGATATAAGAGCTGCAATGGTCCTAAGGAGAGCCATGTTCAATGATGTTGGCCTCAAAAATTACTTCAAGGAGGTTTCAATTCATTACTTTAATTATTCAAAGCTCACCTCTTTCAGCAGCGTGACATGATCTGTGTACTCGAGGATGGAATGGCCCATTGAAGTGAAGAATGTACCAGAGAATACACAGCACATGCAATCATTTTTGCATCTCTTCACTTTAACACGACAGCCTGTTTCTGAGTTAGTCGGAAAGCCCCCTTCCTTGCCTTTAAGTCTCAGTATGTCTTCCGAGTGTCACGCCCTACTAGATCTTAACCTGCATTTCAACATATCATATCCTGCTTAATCACATCACTTCAAGACGACGCACGCTTGACTCAGAATTCACTTTCATCATAATTACCTCCCCAAAGATGGTAGGCGAAAACAACGCATCTCCCTTTCCTTATCTATCTAGTCCCAGAGACTCGAATCACCTCAAACCGAGATCTCACCATCCTCTATTGTTTCCCATAATAGACAGTCTCAACACCACTCGAATGATCGTCCCTGCTCTTCCCAGAAAACTTGGATGACACGCGTGCCACCCTCCCCGGCACACTCGAGATGGTGCTGCGGATGGCCCAAGGTGCGTCGCTCTCCGAGTTTCCCCAGGTCGTGATGCTTACATCATCGTAGATGCCATTGTCCTTTCTCCTCCTCTTCCTCCTGACAAGAATAATGACGCCCGTCACGACCAGCGCAGTGACCACAGCTGCCGACGTCGCGACTCCAGCGATGACGGCCTTGCTCAGGCCTCTGCCTGCCGCTGGCGTACCACTTGGAGAACCTTCACTCGAGGATGGGCGGGGCGTTAGGCGTGAGTTTGTGGACGTGGTTGAAGTGGCCGTTGAGGTTTGTGATCCAGGATTGGGTGATGATGACGATCCGCTTGATGTAGGAGCAGTTGGCATAGCTGAATTTGTCGACTGTCGCGATGTCGTTGTCTCGCTCACAGTACTACTCGAGGTAACTTTTTTGGAAGACACGGGGGAGTTCGAGGACAGTGGTCCAGAGGTCGTCAGCGTGCTGACTGCCATTGTCTGGGACGTTGACCCTGCTGAGGAAGTAGTCGGGGGAGTACTTTGTATCAAGCTGGTAGTTCCATCCCCACGTGCAACTGAGGTGCTGTGTGCTGTAGAGGGGGGAGGCCGTGTCACGGAGACAATGCTGGTCGTTGAGACTCCAGAGGGAATGTCGGGCACGAGGGGCGTGCAAATGGGGTCCAAGTCCTGGCCGCCAGCATCACCAGAGATGTAGATTTGTGTGTAAAAGTCACCTCCACACATCTGCAGCGAGTTGCCACTGCAAGGCATGTCGCAATTGCCGACCAAAGTCTCCGACATCCAGCAGCTCTCGAGTGCCGTGCCACAGTAACCTGTTGGGTCTCGTCAGCGTTATTCAAGACCCGTTCAAAGGAAGGATCGATTCCAGGTTAAGATGAAAAGAAATTGAAGAAAAAAAAAAAGGGGGAAAACCCCCAGAGGATACTCAAGTACTTACAAGTCGATGAAGCCTCAAGGCCCATCATTGGGGACTTGGTGTCTCTGCAGACGGTCGCGCACAGGCTCACTGACATCTTAATCTGTGACTGCCTGTGCTGGCCCGTAAATACGTGCTGGAGCGGATCTACGTGACTGAAGCAACCGGCAAAGTGGTAGTTTCCGACATTCGAAGGGATGGGCATCTCCGGCACCGTGGGAACTATGCCAGTATTCGGAGGGTCGACTGTCCTCTTGGTCATAGCGGGCCACGAATCTAGTGTTGACAAGTTCCAGAAACTGTGGAAAACCGCCAAGGACATTGCTAAAATTGGAGTCATCATCGTCGAGTGGTGGTTTTCGCTTCGAGATAATGCAAGATGAGAGCCAGAATGTGCCGACAGCGCCTAGATCGATGGTACTTCAGTTAATTAATTTTCTTTTGTGAGGCTTTGCGTTCCCAAAGGGGCTTCTGTCTTACAAGTGATTGGAGAGAGCCAAAGCTTCTCCACTAGAGATTTGAAAGGCTCGCAAGGTTGGTCCAACAGAAGCGAGATCAACTCAGGTTCTCGGTGTCGAGCATCTCGTCGATGCCGTATGATGGCAAAACGGAAATTGATCTCCCCGTCATTGAGATGCTTGATTCGAAGGAGTGACTGCGAAGGTAAGGTGATTCAACTGCCCTGAGGGCATATCAAGAACAGGTCTCACGCAGCAGCGGTCACCTTTTGAAGAAGGAGGCATGAATGAACAATATCCTGCTTGGTATCGATACGGACACAGTAGGATGCCAGACAGCGTGCGCTTTCTTTTGATGACCAAAAGTGCAGTCTTGAAATGAATTTACAGAATGGGATCCTTGCGTTCTTGCTCCATGGGGAATTACTTTTCCTTGGCCCCGCTCGAATTAACACATGCATTGGACATCAACGTCCCCGAGATCCCTCTCCTTTTGCTCATTCTCAGCTGCAATGACCTTCCTCCTTCACCAGTATCAGTTTTGTCAGAGTGATTTTATGACAGGTAGGAGGGAGGTACTTGTCTTGCTTGAGCACATTCTTTTCAAGAAGGTGGCTGGGAGGCTCGATGTCATAATTAAATCTCACCATATTGAAGTCGAGCTGAGACTTTATACCTATGTCACAATCGTGATGCCCAGTGGCTTCGCTAAGCCACCAGACTTCGAAATCTCCACGGCATCTTCTGTAACAAATATCGGTTGCCCTTTCTGCAGTCTTCAATTATCCATGGTAGAAAAAGATGAAGAGTGTTACTGAGGCAGTACACCATAAGATGAAGTGGCAAACACTTCATTGTAATATCTTTCTCTGTAAATAAGCGATGCAAGGTATCCATGGTGGCCTTACATCTGCAATCATCTTGTTTTTTTGCCAAGAAAAAAAAGAAAAAAAAGAAGATAAAGGACAAGAAGGGCAAGATGGGATGTAGGCAGAATCACCCAAACGGTTCACGTGTACAGTCAGCCTTTCCATAGAGAAGATGGGCCTGCGCAAAAGTGAGAGCTGAACCTGTCGCATAGCTGCTCCAGTATCAGTTTCTGAGAGCCTTGGTTCGTTGACGCAATCTGCAAAGGAGCATTGGTCCAACACATCTACTAGTTCGGGCCAAACACGGCATGCAGCACTCAAAAAATTGTAAAACTTTAAGTCTAATCCAGTCGCATCGCAATGAAGGCATTTTCTAGCAAGGAATCAAGAACTAGCAGGCTGTGCAGCGCCAATTCTGATTTTCCTGGCCATCTGTTGTTGCCATTCCAAGGCTTTGTGTCAAGCTTGGCTCAAAACCCGAATACGTTGATACAGTACGACGTTGAATTAGGGGAGGCGAAACTAAGGTTAGTGATTCAGGGGCACTCCAAGCAAACATCGGACGAAGGTGTCAATCACTTCCAGCCCAAGTCTCTATTCCAAACGATGGTGGCTGTTCTTGTTTCGGCATCAACGTCTGATCCCAAACATGATCACTCGAAACTCGGTCACTGGTCGTCGCGGTGTCTTCTGCCGCCGCCTTCAACAAGGATTTGTTTCGAGACCTCCGCTTTACCCGCATCTCCAAGCATTCGGGCTGAATTATTTTCGCGGGGTGGCAGTGCCAAGCCATGCATCTACACATCTGATCTCACCGTCGGCTCTCGTTTCACCACAACGCTCAAGCCTCTCGTCCGAGTAAAAGGAGATGAGGCAGAAGAGCGCAAACCAGCTGCTATGGAACTGAGCCTTTCACGGCGTATAAATATGCGACTTCCCCTCAGAGATCTCAACACATGATCTTAATCCATCCCATCAACACAATCACTTTCTTGTACATTGATCATTTCTTCCTTCGTAAATACATAATATTTCTTGCTTCACAGCTGCCGGACAGCATACTCCACACCAAAACACACAAATCAGTCAAAATGGTTTCCATCAAGTCTCTGTTCCTCGTAAGTCGAGGAGTTCCCATTCTAAGCATACCATTTTCTTCTTGTGTGACTGGGTTTTGCTGACAATGAATTCCCAGAGCCTCGCCGTCCTCGGCGCCGTCTCGGCCGCCCCTCACCACCAGGGCAAGACTGCCGGAGGTGCGGGCGGTGCTGGTGCTCTCGCCGCTCTGCTGGGCGGTGCCGCTGGCGCTGGAGCAGGCGCTGCCACGGGCGCTGATTCCGCCACGGCTGCTACTGGTGAGTCAAGCCATGTGCTCTCCTTTCCCATGAGAAAGAACAGGCCATCCACTAACAGGATCTAGGTACCGGTGCTGCGGCTGCTGGTGGTGCTGGTGGCCTTGCTGCCCTCCTTGGTGGTCTGTAAACGACCTTTGGCTACGACGAAGCCACACGATCGGAGGATGGTATTATCTAGACGGCATAAGGCCATGGATGTAATTTTTTACAAGCCATAGATCACACCTTTCAAACTGGTCGCACAGTACGGTGCATAATTCAACTTTTCGATCTGTTCTATTGGCTACAAGCTGCTGAGCGCCGTTGTTGCAAATCTTTCATGGTGAAGTCTTTGCAAGTCGATAATTAGAGCGAGCGGGAATGAGGGCACAGGTTCCGTCTTCGCTCCCTCCGGGCCTATTCAATACTGCTTGCTCCCGCCTAGCCCGCCTTAACGCTCGCATCAAGCCCTCAGCTCAGCGACCATTCATCGACATCGCAGCTTGCGTGAAGCAGGGCCGACGTGTAAGCATGCCCCAGTTGATCGCATGCTTATGCTTCCTTAATTATCATGTGGACTCAGAGGGACGCAACGTGTTCTTTAACCATCACCTAGACAAACTGGGACTGTTGGAGACCGTTGAGCACGATTTCGATTGTACAGCACACATCCACGGAACCTCTGTCGTCGATCAAGATGAAATCCAGAGTATAGTTAAGACGAGCAGCACGAGGCAATGGTTGAGAGAAATAGGCATTATCTCTTGCTCCTCGTTTGAGGAGAAATAAAGAGGACAAAAGAAAGGTCTAACTTGCTGACCCACCCCACACCAATCCACCTCCTACTTGTTCTTGCCCCTCTGCTTCTTGGCAGCCCTCTGGCTGTTATGTTCTTTGCGAAGCTCTGCTCGAGCCTCCCGGATGCAGTGGAAGCATCCACTCAAGGTGGAATGGAAGCCATGTTTTGGACACTTTTTGAAATGTCCTTTGGCCAGGCAACGATGGAGGTTGCCATGGAGTTTGCAGAAAGGACTATGTAAGTTGACATTGACATCAGCATTGGCTTGCTTTGCTTGATCTCTTCAGATGATTCTGATCAATGAATTCAAGGAAACTTCTCTGGATAAAAAGGGATGTACTCACCAGTTATGGGTTGACAGCATTTTAGTCGATGTTCTGCTCTCCTATTCAGCTTTTGACACGTTTCTTGGTTGGAAGGCGATGTCTCTGTTCTATGTCTTTGCTGAGATTGAAGGTATCAGCCTTTCATCTGGTGGATCAACACGAGGTGAGTCCTGATATTTGAATAGCTTACTTTGTTGGGTGACCTTGACTTGGCTGGCAACAGGTGTTTAAAGACGATTTGTTAGCAAGGAACTTTCTTGTCGATGTTAACATGGGTAATGAAAGCTGTTTGAGTTCCCTTTAACTGATAGAAAATGCACGTACAAGGGGGATCTATGGGCTGAGAGACAAAGATTCCTGCTGTAATTTTGGAAATTCAGGTGTATGTTGGGATGGGAAATGCTTTGTCTGGTTCTGCATACAGTTCAACGCATTTCAAAGATCAAGAAGTTATCAGAACCTGATCAATCATTTAAATACCTGACAATGCACCCTAGGTCGACATTTCGAGAAGACTCGATTCTAAGTAGCACAGATGTTTAGCGTATTGATTACAATGATAGCCTTTCACTTGCGACTCACGCTGTCAAACAATGCGACTTGATATCAGCGTGAATGTGAATGTTAGCTATATCAGATGGAAAAGAGAGATAGCGGAGTCTTTGACAAAGTTCCTGCACAAAAAGGAGATGTGAAATCCAGGACTCGAAGATTTTGTAGTCGTACAGGGTGTACAAGAGCTAGTTTCCTCGATTCATCAATGGAGGCTCACGGCCATCACACTTGGGCACTTAGCATCATCTTAGCGATATGTACTTCTCGGGAGGAGGCTGGCGTCAGCCAGTCACATAATTATGGTCAATTATGTGGTCCCCTAGAGGACCTCTGTAGCAATACTCAAAATCTCAATAAATCATGTGTGTTTCAAAGAGAAGCTGGTTCCATCTCTGTCAAGTAATATGACATTCAGTATGGATTCATCCTGACCCAGCTAGTCTATCATCGCTCATGCAAAATCCAATCTATGAAGAAACAAATGTGCACAAACTCCCTTCCATTAATCCAGCCAGACCCATAAATGCCTTGCCCATCCAGGTGATCCTTTCTCACCTGCCCAGTAACTAGCAGCAGTAGCAGCAGGAACATGACGGCAATAGTTGTGCTTGCTCACTCATCAGCAATCGCAAAACCCTTGGCCCCCTCCCCATCATCATAGACAACAAGCTGCCTCGTAGCACCCAGAGCCCGCTCCGCCCGGCGAATCCAGAACGGCCAATGCCAAGCCATCAGCTGTCCCGAGACCTGCCTGACCAGCGCCCTGAGCACGCGGATCTTGTCCGCATCAGCAGCTGGCACAGCAGCCCTGCCAGAGCCCGCCTCCGGGCCCATGACCGAGATGCACACGGCCACGTCCTTGAGGCCTGCCGAAACCGCCGCCTGGACCATGTCGCTCAGCGCGCGCAGGGCGTGGTCACAGGCGGGCGTGGGCGTGATGTGGGGCGCGATCTGGGCCTGCTGGTGGTGCAATGCAGCCGGGCGGCGGCCGAGCGCTTGGGCCCGGTCGAAGGAGGTGATGCCCGACTCGAACGTCCAGTTGAGGTTGGGGAAGGCAGAGGGGGTGGGCACGTGCGTGCACTCCTTGACCTGGCAGTAGAGCAGCTCTCTAGGCGGCTCTGAGAAGAGGTGCTTGGTTGTCGAGTTCTCACGCTTGTACCGCTCGCACTGGAAGTTGTGGTGCGAATACAAGTGGTGGTCTTCGATCTGCTGGGTCAGGAGTCTGTCTTGAGCCAGGTGGTCAGGGAAAATGGCCAAGGAGGCATCGGAGCCTGGCTCGAGGAGGGCAAGGAACATGGAATTGCGGCCTGCACCGACGGTAGACGTACTCGATTGCGCAGCGTGAGAAGATGGGTAGGATCCCACAACTGCAACGACGACGGAGAGTGTGCCGGCAGCCTGCTGGGCTTCCAGAGCCTCACCACCCACCGGGCTTGCTTTCACCTCGTTGCTAGTCACGGAAATGGCCATGTCGTTAGGCATTGAGGCACAGTCAGGAAGATAGTAAGTAGTACTTTTTCCCCAGGTCGAGTGCTTGATTAGGTGGGGGCTTTCGCGCTTATTGTTGGAAACATGATCAAGCAGACAGCCGAATATTTTATGTGAGTAAGGCTGAATTATGTAGTAGGCGATCAGAGGTCGTTCATACCAGTCTGTGCCCTTTGTTGAGGCTATACAATTCCCTGTTGCCAGGCAAGAATCTACAAGAGCATTGTATCCTAAAACCAAGGCTGCTAACTTATTGATAATACAACCTTTATGTTACCTGGATAACGATAGCCATGCCTTGTTTTTAACGGTGAAGGGCCTCTGGTTTCTTCTAGATGATTTTGAGAAACTACTTATTTTCAATAGAAAAGTCTATGTGTGTCGTTGGTGTATCAATGTTGTTGTGTGGCATGAAATGAACAAAGCATAATACTCCATTGGGACACAAGGAGCCACAGGCTCTCAGCGGTGACATTTTGAACAGGAACATCTGAATAACACCAGGCTACCATCAGGGTGTCGAGCAATACTAGGACAGGGTTGAACAGACACGACTAGGGTTGAGGCAGAACTCACATATGATGAACCTTGAGGTCGTAGTTGACTTGTGTGTGCTATGGTACTGCTGCGTAAATGCTTGCTTGCTAACAACGACTATTATCCGGTCTCCGAATTCATTTGCCACCTTGACCCATCCATCCATCCAGAACCGTTCCATTCCTTTCCTTCTACCAGACTCCCCTCCCCCTTGAACCGTTTCCACCAATTACCCGTCAAGGTCATCAAACCGTAGATGGCAAAGATGGACCTCACATCGTCCACGCAATCGTCTTTTGGTTCCACCTGATCTCGCCCTTCATGTAACCCATCCCATCATGACGGAATACCCATGACGACAGAGCCGTGGGTATCCCAACCTCCCAAGTCAAAACCTCTGAGATTCAACCGTCCTGCCTTCTCATCTCTATCTCTCCCTATGCCTCCCTGTCTTGCCGTCCTCCACCTCATAAACTCCTGACGATGAACTCAGTGTACCCACGACAGGCAACTCGCCCGCTGTCTTGGTCTCCGTCGAGTGAACGTCCAACTTTTGATCATCGTAAGCTTAGCTAGCCCTGGGTCGCGTTCGCTATCTGGTCATATTGCCATGACGGCATTAAAAAGGAGGTATCAGGCACGGCCAGACGGAGCCTCCTATCACCTAAGCACCAGAGCGGCGATGGGGAAAAAGAGAACAAAAACAACAGAATAAATGCTTGTTCAACCCAAGTTGTGCTTCAAGTGCAGCAAGATCCATTAAAATAGTAAAAGAAAGTCATAGGAATAGTACAAGGGGACAATTCCAAGAAAACAGAAAAACTATGTCATTGGTTTGCAGTGACCGGTGTGGGATGTCCATTGTCTCGTTGCTGTGGCAAGCCTAAGTATGTTTTAGGGAGAGTGAATTGGGGTGGGGGGGGGGGGGGGATCTGCTAGTGCTACATGAGCTTTCAGTCAAGTGAAGCTCAGTTTCCCGACTTGTTTGAGCCTCAGCATTGAGACAAAAGCCCGGTGTCCGTCGTGGTGTGTAGGCCCTGTCGAAACCACATGGCGTGTCGGGCGGGAAGAGAGGCAGCAAATTCTTGTCGAAATTGAATTAGGTGTTTGCTAGAGCCAGGGGTCATTGACTCCGATCCCTGAGGAGTAATCTAGAGGGCCATCTAGACGTGTCGTCATAACGAGGCGTTACTGTCATTGGGGCATGTTTTGACGGTCATCTCTGCCGGGTATGCGTCTATGAGGGTGGCTGAAAAAGAGATGAACCGTGGGTATCCAACCCTTCAAGAGAGAGTCTGCATCCTGATCCTGTCAAGCTTACTCGGCCATGCCCCATGGGTGTGTCTGTGTGTCGTACGGCATAAAGTGGTCGCCCATGTGAGGTCTGCTGTGAAGAAAAGTGTCCCGATCAACTTTTCGATTTCGAGGTTCGTCTTGCCATTTGTTCTTTTTTTTTTTTTTTAATTTGGTTTTTTTTTTGTTGTCCTCATTTTCTTTTTGGTGCGTCGGAAGCATCCTGTCGTCAGATCGTTTGTGATTGGCATCAAATGTGATATAGCCATATGCCAGACGTCAAGATGCGTGCTGAACTTATCACTGTAAGCGGTTGTGCCGGTGATATTAGATCGCTCAGGCAAAATTATTCTTGCTCATTGCAAGTGATGAGTGAAATAGCAAGACCGAAGAATCCGCATCCAGAACTGTCGCGCGCGCGAAAAAGGAAGAAGAAAAATCCACCGCAGATGATAATGAGCCCTGAAACAAGAAAACATGCGCCGTAAAACGAAGAGATGATCGTTGCATGATGCTAGCAAGGGTATCGGTCGTCTCTCATCACTCTCAGATTATCTGAGTGGTAATTCGACCCTAGTGGGAGTAAAGGCTGCTGCTCCCGCCGCTGCCATTGAAGTTCTCAGACGAGTCTGCACGAGACCCGGTCAGCAAATCCGAGTACGACTCCGAGGACGTCAGGTTTGACGAACCACTTCCTCTCTGTGCGTGACCGTTCACACGACGACCGCCAAAGCCGCCCGAGGTCTCCCAGCCGGTCTCGGGGCCTCTGGGCTGACGCTCAGGAGCGTTGCGAGCACTGAGGCCATTAACCCCAGGTCGCTGGCTGCCGATAGCGCCAGGATTCTCCCGGGGACGGCTCGTCTCGTAGGGTCCTTCAGCCACGCTCAACGAGCTCAGCGTGTTTGTGACACCAGCCAGACTAAGGTCCGAGGCGCGGTGGTTGAGACTGCTGCCAGGAGTGGTCGGAGTCGTGGTCATGCCTGGAAAGGCACCCGAAAGGTCGGGCCGCGATGACAGACCCATCTCGTTGAGCCGGAGGGATGAGGTTGGGTAGGCCGAGTCCCTTGGGCTAGGGGTTCTCGCCTGCATCACGGGGCGTCCGAGCTCCGCCATGCTCCGAATGGTTCGAAGGTTCGAGGCGCTGTTCAGTCCGTCAGGGCTGCCGTCGGGAAGCTCGAGGGCGGGGTTTCCATGGCGACTGATGGTGCCGTATCCGTTGGAGCTTGACGTCCGTTGCTCGCCAAAGTCAATGGTGGCGGCGCGCGCCAGGCTCTTGCTGTTGCCAGGGTACTGGAGCTGCTCAACGGCAGACACGGGCGTGTGGCTCGTGTTGATCGCCAGGCCCGGCGGGGCCATACCCTCCTTCCAGACGATTGTGCACCGGTTCTCGTTGCTGCCGAATGATTCGTGGTGGAGACCCAGATTGTGGGCCAGGACGTGGATCAGACGGCGTTCTTCAGGGGTGTTCGATGCCTCAAAGGGAAGATATTCGCGTATGGTATGATCCTCTTTGTACTTCCGAAGCTGTACGTAGATCTCGAGCGTTCTCTCGTCGTTCAGGTCAGGCATCTCCTCTGCACAGACGATCATCATTAGTTGGGCGACATTGAGGAATCTGGGGGAAAAGGGGGGGGGGGGGAGGGCTTACTGGCTGGTGAGGTCCGCGAGGGGGTCACCTCGGCGGACTGGCCGATGAGGGACTGAAGGGAGCCCTGATGCGCCAGATTGATAGGACGGTGTTGCTCTTCCAGCTGGCCTCGCTTCTGCCTCTTCTCCCGCTCTATACGCTCCCGCTCGTGCTCGGGCAGCATCTTTTTGTACTCCACACGCAGCTTGCGTCCATGCACGTCCAACTGGTTCATCCTGTCGATCACCTGTCTGGTCTCCTCGGCACTGGAAAAGTTTGCAAAGGCCAGACCCCTGAAGACGCCGTTGTCAAAGTGGTAGTTGAAGGCATAGGGCTGGGGCAGGTTCATCTCCATCATGATGGCCTGCAGGACCTCCTTGCGCACGTTGAAGGGGATATTCTTGATCACGATGGCGGTAGGGATCAGGTCGTCCTTCTTGTCGTGGTGGGAGCGGGCATCCTGGTACATGGACTGCTGAGCACGCAGCTGCTCTAGATTGTTCACGATATGGCCATAGGGAAGGTTGGCCACGGGCTGCGAGGGGTAACCGGGCTGTGCCTGCTGCTGGGTCTGGAGGCCCAGTGCGGGCTGGGCGGGCGAGTCGGACTGCTGCTGCATCCAGTACTGTTTGGGGGTGGGCAGGTTAGTGATTTTTCGGGGCGTTGGGAGCTGTGGTCGGCCTAAACTGACGTCTGGAATTCCTGGCCTTCTGTTGATGGCGCGGGCGGACCTCAGGTCGGGGACAGGGCCACTGACAGTGGCCGAGCCACCATTGTAGTTCCATGCGGTCTGGTTTCCAGTCATGTACTCGCCAGGCATGCCCGAGACGGTAGGCGGAGCAGCTCTGCTGATGGTGTCGAGGATCCCATAGGCATCCCTCATGGGGTACATGGACGGCGCCTGCTGGCCCATGGAGTCGAGCTGCTGCGGCTGCTGCTGCTGCCTCTGGCTGGACTGGCGGCTGCCACCCATGCCCGAGGGGAGGGTGGCGTAGCCGTTTCTCGTCGAGGTGGGGGAGCGGTTACCCAAGCCGCCGCTGTAGGGGCCGTATGCGGCAAAGCTGTCCGCCTGCTGAGGATGGCTCATGATGGTCATAGATGCGCGTACCGTTGGGCTGTGTCTCGTTGTCGTCACCGGTTATGGGGGCTCCACGGCGCTTTCACCCTAACAGCCCGCCTGGTGGGATGAGAGGCAAGCTGTTCCGCCGGAGAAGAGAAAGCCTCGCGAAGGTCGCGCTGCCTGGATGGTGTGGGGGAGGGGGGAGGGAGACGGGGGGTCCGTCGTGCTCGAGAAATCTACGTCAGAGTTGCGACAGACGGGTAGAGAAGATCTGCAGGTTAGGAGGTCAGAGACAGAAACAGAAACAGAGCCAGTTATCAGGATGGCGGCTGAAGTTGTGTTTGGGGGGTTGAGATGCTCGAGGAGGAGAGGACGAGGAGGGGGAGAGCAGATAAGCCAGGAAGGCAAGGGGGGTTGGAAAAGGGATCCTCACCGTCGGGATCGGATTGCGGTTGATGAGAATGGAGGAAATCTCGTAGAGTGGGGAGGAACAGGGAGTGTTGGTCCCCTTTATTATTTTGATGAGGCCTCCCCTGAAGGCGGTCAGGTGAATGAGGCGAGGCGAAGTGCGAGGGAGGAGGTAAAAGTAGGGCAGGTTGAGATTGAAGACCTCGACGATGGGGGTGGCGCCAGAGGTCGTCGAGCTCGAGGGATGAGGCTCAAGGGTGTGTCGTCAAGACAGTCGAGGACGTTTGGGGGGGGGGATCAGATCGTATTGTGGTATCGAATCTCTGCCCCTTTTGGTCGACTGCGCCAAAGACCCAAGGTGCAAAAAAAAATATGGGTCTGAAAATATTGGCTTGGTGGTGGTAGGTGTTTAGGCGGGTTGGTGGTGACTAGGGATTTTCGAGGTCAGGCCTGGTACAGACAGGCGAGGGTGACGGGCCACAGACGAAAAAGGAAAGGTCGCCAAAGGCCTGAAGAGAGAGGGAAGAACGGAAAAAAAAAAAAAAAAAAAAGGAAGAAAAAGAAAAAAAAGGCGCGCGCGCGCAGAGAAAGGGAGGTGGTATGCACACACTTGGGTCGCGTTAGCTAATGCAGAAAAGGTGAATGCGTGTTATGTGATTTCGTGTCGCGCGTCAAGGAGGGGCAGAGAGAAAGAAGAGGCCAATATCGTCGTGTTTGAGGGCGAGGTTGTAAAGGTGGGAGGTGTGGAAATGGGGATGAGGTAAGGTGAGGAGGAAAGGCGGAGTTGAGGAGAGGGTGGCCAACCTTGGAAGATCGAAGTTGGAGTCGACAAGAGACGGGATGAAGTGAGGTGGTGAGTTGGCAGGGGAGGCCAGGTCGAACGGTGGGTGCAGGACTAGAGAGGGAGAGGGGGCAGCCCTGGAGTTACAACAGGAGCGAAGAAATTTGGAAGGGCAGGGTGTGCGGCTACCTGCTGTTTGCCGCTACTGCTGCCGCTGCTGCACCCGCTGATGATGCATGCGATGGGCGGGAGGGAAGGGTTGGTCAGGAGGGCACCGGACGAGTTCCAGTGGGAGGGGGGGTTGCTGGGGGCTAGTACGCTGTAGGGGCGGGATACAGCACCACTAGCTGTAGCGATTCTGCCATGCCAGTGAATCCAGGGTATGACTACGGTAGTGATTTGGGCCTTTTATGACAGGGATTGGCGGTTGTAAAGGGGGATTCGATGGTTACGACTGGGGATCATGCCTCGAAGACTTGACTCACAGGTGTGGTAGATGCTTGGCCGCCCCAAGGGGTTGTCAGAGTTGCAAATTATGCCTGACCAACTGAGCACCTGCGTTGAGGATCTCTAGAGACAAGGCCTGCAGATGTTTCCCCGTCGATTGGTATGCAGAAGATTTCTGGTCGTTCACTAGTGGTAGGTAATGTCAGTTGCTGTAGCAGCAGCGCCTGTACACAAGACCGTGGGTTTGGGGAGGTGGGGGAAGTATTTTGTGATAGCGTAGCTGCGGGCAATGTCACTGTACGGCCTAACAGTTCTCCCCCAGATTAGCGAGGCTTCACTTTACAGGGATCCGCCCTTCCAGAAGGAAAAACGGCAGCCAGACCAGAAGGAACGGGACGAGCAGCAGAGGCAGTGGGGCCAATCACCCGGAACTAGGGTTCCTGACAGGGGGGAATTCACTGATTCACTGGAGGATACAGACGAAGCGGACAGGGGGGGGGGGGGGTTCTAACCTGAATTCACTTCCAAGATCTGGAAAAAGAAGGACAAACAAAAGAGAAGGGACAGAGAAAGAGAGGGGGAAAAGGGGGGTCCCGCCCCTACGCATTAATCTGATACTCTCTCGCCCCCTATCCTGGACTGTTGTGTACATACATAATCTGCCCGTATCGTGGCTGGTGGGTAGAAGAAAAGGTATGCCCTTTGTTCTGGGCAACGTGATAGTTTCTGGTTCATCCCTATGGTAGTTATTTGGTACTCAGTTCGCTTATTTGCTTTCCTGTACAGGTGTTGTCTTGTTAGGGGTTATGAATTTCCTCCCTCACTATTACACGCTCAAGAGCGCTAACATCCAGCCTAGGAATGTCTGTGTGAGATTGTTAAAGTTTAGCTCGGACATCCCGAACCAGATCAGTCGATCCATCTCCAGGTCTACCTTCCTTCGCGCGCAGGCTCAGAATGAACCTCTACTTCTCCCCTTGCCCCTCATCGATATGCTTCTCACACATCGCTACTGCCAGACGAGGTTATGGTGTGGTGTACTCTTGATCTCAGAAACGAGCCATGGCTATGATAGACGGCCTTCTTCAGTCAAGCTGTCTGTCACATCATCTCGCCTGGGGTGGGCGATCTTGCATGCATTGGCTGCGATGGCTTGCATAAGGTATATTTTCCTCCTTCTTGCGCCGTGCATAGCATGCAATTCTGGGTCAGCCACATTTCGACGCGACAAGGCACCGTGAAGACCGATCAGGGATGACTGTGGAATGGGGCCTCTCCTTGGAGCCAGCTTGAGGCCCGTCCGTTGTCTCGGCACGATTCTGCTGCCGCCTGCTGCAAGTCTTGGAGCCAGCCTATCCAGAGATCCTGCACTGCCTTCTTCTTCTTTTTCTCTCTGCCGCATCCCGATCTCGAAAAGAGGCCCAACTGCACACTGTCTGCCTATTGATCATGTACTCAGACGGGTATGGAAAGAAGACGAGTCCTTGTCTTGGCCTTCTTCTGGCCTGGTGATCTCCACGATGACACCGCATGGGCCAACACGAATGTCTCGCCTGGAAAATGCCCACAGCAGCTGAGCTTGCACCACGTTGGGCAAGATCGGCCAGAGGGGAGCGGCGCTTATCCCATTTCAACCCCTCCTCTACCAGTATATCGATTTTCAGGTGGACGCGATCCGGATTCCCGGGTACGTACCCGAGGATACACACAACATGCGTTTGCATCAACCAGGCGCCTGTGTACCACGCGCTATACCACTGGAAAGCTCCCAGTGTGTTGAGCTAGGGGGGATGGGGAAGAGGGTTTAGTCGCTCTCCCTGGACACGAACGCCCCTCAGATAACATTGTCACGACATTTGCTCGTCGTCATTTCGTACCCGATATGCCAAGACCTCTGCAGAAACGCGCTGCTTCGATCATCGTCAAGCCTCTTTCGCTTACGCACGTGGCAAGGTCGCATCAGAATTTCCGGCCACCAGTTGACGGAAGCCGTGACTCCCCCTAATCGCGCGCCGTCGTGAGAAGGGGCGACGGGGTGGGTTTCCGTTCCAGTACAGAAATATTGCACCAATCTCGCGGGCCACTCGGGTTGGGCTCTGTGGTATTTGTTGTTGATGTCCAACTTTGCACAAATCCGCTGTGGGCAGCCCACAAGACTCGACGAATGTGACGAATGTGTTGATCGTCTGGGTCTTGTTGGGGGCCGGACACGAGACGAACCCAAAAGATCAATCATTGCTAGACGGCTCTGCCGCAACAAAGTGCTGACCCAGCGACACGGAACTTGCCCGGTCAGCCCTGTCGCTTACATCGGAGATAAGTTCCTGAGCAAAAGAGCACTGTGTTGCAATGACACTGACGCAGCCACGGGACAGCATACAGGGCATTCAACTAGAGCAAGAAGACGGAGAAGAAGAAGAGAAAATCTAGAAGAAGATCTACGCGAATATGCACGACGCATACACTATTCGTCATGTGATCCCCGCCCATCTTAAAACGCGATGCATAATCTGATGACAACACCACCGTCGATCATTCGAATACCCCCAACTATAATTGAAAAACACGGTTGCAATTATGAGTACGCACAGAGCAAATCGGCCATAAAAGTCGTGAAGGAGCCGTGGATCCGGGCTTCGACAGCTTAGTAGCGTTTCCAGGGTAGAAATCTGGGTGGGCCCTGGGGCATGACAAGCAGAAGCTCCTAATCTCCGGCTCACGATGTTTCTGCAATGTAAGCCGACGAAGTGGCCCCCTGAACCGTCAGTGGAGAATGGCTGGGGAGCTCGGGCCAGATGTTCTAGAAACATGCAAATGATCTACAAGATCACGGCACGAGCATGGACGTCGACCACGACCGACATGCTCCTCTGAGGCTCTTAACTAATGGCACCCACACAGAGCTGGGAGACAAGGTGTAGCTTCGCTACTCCTCGTGTCGGTAGATTTGAGGCCTTCCGCCGTTGAGACCCCTGCTTCCGGTCGTGTGTTTACGGTAATGAACAAGCTTGTACCGAAATTGAACAAGATGGCTGTGCGTACTGGTTTGACGGCGACGCTGCGAATCGCCTGCGTTCGTACCTGAGCACCGTATTGCCATGACTCTCGAAACGGGCCCCTCCGGAAATGCCACCTGTCCCTAAACACAGAATGTGCCCAAAAGGTCGATACTCAAATCTCTATTATATCATTAATAGTATCAACCATCAAGCATTCGCTTAGAACCAATCAATGCACTATTTAAAGCCTCTGGTGACTCGGCATTCAATAGCCCCTCGGCCTATCTCGGGCCACCTGCCCATAAGCAGAGCAGCTATGTCGCAATGGACGTCACTGTGCATGGGGGACACTTTTGATAACATGCAACCCATTAGCAAGGGGGGTTGTGCAGATGACTCTCATGATCTGTTACTTCACAAATTGAGCAAAATGCTGACCTGCTGTGGAATGCCTTGGGTTGTGAAGGGCTGCCAGTGCTTCCTGTTGGGTGCTGGACTTGGTGGCTACATCGACTTTCGGGGTGTGTCTCCCCAGCTTGACTGTCAACGCTCAGTTACTCTGTCCTAATGACCTTTTTTTTTTCTTCCTCGGAAGGACGAAAGGTTCCATGAGGATTTGTCACAGTCAACTTACAGTTCATGTATTGAGTGTTATCTCAAATATCCTAGGTCTGCAAATTCATGAAGTGTGGAGTCGCTGCGTACTAATAGGGTTTAGGTATTGTTGTCTATTTGAGTGTTCCTTTGTCCCATACATTTCCCTGATCCAACATCCCATCTTCTCGAAGGCATGGGGATGTCTTTGATACAGCCATGGGTCTACACAAAGACACGGCGCGGAAGGGGTTACTGTATCTATGTGTGTGTCATCTATTCTTTTCATTCCGTGATTGTCTGGTGGTTATTATTATGTGTTACGGACGTAGTCGATGTGTCTGACAAGTGTGGCTCTGGTCTGTGTTGACAGGTCTTTGTGACGGCATCAGCCTCTGGCATAGTCAACAGTACGTGTTGTTGTTTTGTAAAGATAATAATAACAGAAAATCAAATTCTGGGATATGTAGTTGCTTCTTATTTGACTGGCCATGACATTCCTACTAGACATCTTGCTTCTTCAAGGTTGTTTGACGCATGTTCTGAGTTTGCTTGTCTTGTCATTGCTGTAATTGCACAGCCGGAAGAGATTGATTGTGACTGTTCCTCACTCACTCGTCCAACCCAAACTTGGTTCACAATTATCTCTGTGAGCCAGTCACCTTCACTTTCTCCTCAGTATGCACAGCTCTTGAGAAAATATCCATCCACACACGTAGTTCGTCTTTTGTCTTCGTCAGCTATCCCTTCCCTCCTTACTACTCTGTGCGGCCTCATGTTCCATCGAGGACGACACCACACCACCCGACGAATGTCCAAAATATCAGACTTTTACATTATATATCTTACAACAGACACTCTTAAATTTATCTGATCCTCCGCCACGATGTCAATAAAGCACCCAACCTCCTTTCACTTCCCCAGCCCTCCAAGAAACCCTCCCCCTGCACCCGAGCCCAGCCCTTGGCTCTGGCGCTGCCACAAATGCTATACCTGGTACCGTCTCGCCACCACCCGTCGCTGCCTCGAGTGCGACCACAGCTTCTGTCGAAGCGCCCAGGAATCCTCTCTTAGGCGCAAACGCGGGCGCACCTGCACGTCCAATTTCGACTACATCGGCTGGGCAGCGCGCGGGGCGTGGAAGAGGACGGCCCTGCTCAACGCTGGGAAGAATGATCGCAGAGAGGAAAGACAGAAAGACGAGGAGAAGACAGCAGAAGCAGCAGCAGCAGCAGAAGAAGAAGAAGAAGAAGAAGAAGAAGGTGGCATCCTCCTCCGAGGCAGACGCTGGGTCACATCCACCTCCCTGGCCCGCACCTGGGGCGACGAGTACCGCGCCCTGGATTACGGCATCGAGTCGCTGAGCAGGCGGTTCGCGGAAAAGAAGGAGGCGCTGTTTGTGCGGAAGCGGCATGACTGCTGGCTGCACTGCGATTCTCCGGGGGAGTGTAGAAGTGTTCTCGATGGGGCGACAATGGACGCCAGGCCAGTTCTGGAGAGGGCGTTGGCTATGGACGAGGAGTATCTGAGGCAGAGAGCGAATAGCAGGAGGAGGGCGGCGGCGGCGGCGGCGGCAGCGGCAGCGGAAGAAATGGAGAAGAAGCACAGGATGGGGCCGTTTGGGACTCGGAACGTGAGGGGTGGCTCATCTACGGTGGACGAGAGGCACCGTCTGCCTGTGTGTAGGCTTGGAGGGACCACTGGGTCGTTTATGTCGGACGGAATGTCTGATGAGGATGAGAGCAGCGTTTCGGACTCGGGATCTGACTACAGCGAGGAAGAGGAGGACAGCGAAGAGGAAGAAGACAGCAACCACATCCCACCCATCGCAAGCACTGTGGATTCCGACAAGGACGTCTCTTTCGCAAGACCTGATTTCGAAGGCCTGGACCTCGAAGGCGACTACTCTTACGAGACCTTCAAAGACCTCCTCTCCTCATCACGGTCCAAGAAAAATCCTTCGTCATCAACACTCACAACATTAATCATCCCAGATAGCCTCGAACCTCCTCCTCCTCCTCCTCCACTATCTTACAGTACGAGCGACACCTCCCTCGTATCCCCCATCTCCCCTTACAAACCCTCCTCCACCACCATCACCGACCCGATTCCCATCCCAGGCTCCGCCGAACCACCCGTCAGCGGTATCGAAGGGGCCCAAGACGACGAAGACGAAGATAGCATCGACAGCTTGCTCTCAGAGCTCCTCACTGGCGCCGCTCGACAGCGCAGATACCATGCTATGCGAGCTCAGTGGACACCGAAAGCCGTGGCTGAGCCGAGGACAGCATGTCGCAAGGAGGAGGAGGAGGATTTGTCGCCCGTGCTGCTGCAAAGCTTCACTTCATTCGAGTCCTTCCGGGGTTCTCTAGGCGATGACGACGGCAATGACGAGGAGCAGCTGCGGCTCGAGCACGTAGAAGACCCCGACCCCTTAGCTGCCACCGCTGCTATGGCGATGGCGGCCACCGAGGCCGAGGCGGATCATCAGCTGCGCCAGGCGTATAGCGAGCAGGACTGGTTCCCTGCAGTTCCTTCCGTCACCAGCCTCGAGGACGTCGGGGTTGGTAATAAAGGAGTGGACAAAGAGGATGCAGAAGGAACCTTCCCCCACTCCCACAAGCAACCTCACCGACCCGAGGAGGACTGGGAAATGGACGCTCTCTCCGACTCCTCCAGCACGTCCGCGTCGACGAGTGCATCCTGCATCAGCAGCAGCTCCGCTGCGGACGACGAGATTCCGTTCGGCCTGGACATGGACGGCGACAGCCTCATATTCGACGGCCCACCAAACGCGTCAACACCATCGTATACTTGTAAGAACCTCATGTGCGGAGCCGTCGAAGCCAAAGAAGGTGCGGGTGAGGACGAAACATTGCGCCCGTCTCCTGTATCACCATCGGTGTCACGAGAGGAGCAGCAAGCTCTCACTGCCCTGCTGAGAATGAACAATTCTTTTATGAGGGGAGAATTTTGATTATCATGTTTATAGTTGAAAAGCTTAACAAAGAAGGTTTCGGAATGATTGGCAACTGTATAACTGCATGGATGGGTAGACACAGGTAGATGGATAGATCGGTGCAAAGTAGGTCGCATAGCAATTGAAGTCATTTTCAGGAGGACGGGAAAGAAGAAATGTAGAGATTCATGAACGGTACGGATTCTGTGTGTGTTGGAGCATGACGGCAGGCACCATCATCAACACATTCTTCAGCCTTGCTCTTATTACTGGAGGAATAACTCTTGTAAACTCATCAACAAAAACTTCTCTTCGCATCTGACCACCGTTTTCCTGGCCCGTGTTAGAGCACGACAACAGACACACACCCGCGCAACCAACAAAGAAAGGAAAAGAGAAAAGGAAGAAAAAAAGGGTTCTGTTGGTACACTGCCGACCATCCTTCCTCAGCAAGTGAGCGCCCAAAAAGGCATTGACCGGCAAGGCGGCCTCACGCAAGACGGGCACCACCGCCTGGGTCTTCTGTTTCTTCTTTTTCTTTTCGCCCCTGCATTGTTTGAGGAGTAGGACGACCCATACATTCATTCAATGCTCGCCGGTGCCTCAAAGGCTGGCCTCCAGCCGGACGACGACCATCTTCCAAGAGAGCCCAAGCAAGACACCATCTACCCAGTGCGCACCCAAATGAAACAAGTTGTGTGAATCAAAAGCGTCGTTGCGAATCGCCGCTTCGTATCGAGATTATCCGGCTTAATTTGGTTCGATAGAAGAGGTATGGCAATTATGCCTCCTGAGCCTTCGCCTTCTTCTTCTGTTCGACCTTGAGCAGCAGGGCGCGGTTGATGTGGGGCAGCACACCACCAAAGGCGATGGTGGCACGGATGAGGGTGTCGAGTTCCTCGTCGCCGCGGATGGCGAGCTGCAGGTGGCGAGGCGTGATGCGCTTGACCTTGAGATCCTTGGCAGCGTTCTGTTGGGCAAAAGGGATTAGGGATCATGTCAAAGAAAAGAAACTGCCTAGGGATGCGCTACACGACCTGCCAGGCAGCAGCAGCCAGGCTGATGATGACCAGGAAGCAGTTGGGTTTTGGGGGGAAGTGACTTACGCCTGCCAGCTCGAGAACCTCAGCGGTCAGATACTCGAGGACTGCGGTGACATAGACAGCCGCCTTAGCGCCAACGCGCATCTTGTTCTGGGTGTTGGCCTTGAGGAAACGCTTGACACGGCCGCAAGGAAACTAGAAGAAAAGAAAAGGGGGAGGGTAACAGTTAGCCATGATAACGCGCTCCAGAGACTAGTGAAACGAGTCAGAGCGGCCAGGCAACAGGTAGGCTTTGATCCCATCCGTGCGACCCGGCGCAAGTCGCGTAGCAGGTCGAGTCCATCAGATATTTGTTCGCGTGACGTCGAGATCGATAGTTGATGACCTGATTATTGATCTCTCAGGCGCAAAATGTTGTTGCATCGGGTTGTGGGATGCGTTTCGAGGCGTGTTTGTGGTTGGCACGAGAGAGTGTTGAGGGATGATGCGTCGAGTTCGAAGAGGGTGCATGGCGGAAAAAAGGGCGAAAACGCGTCGGTTGACATGTGCGAAAACAGTTGTGATATGGTGTCGAGGATCGGCGCACAGATAGGGGATCAAAGCCTTGGTTGATGGCGACGTAGATCTTGATAATGCAGAGGATCTTACCTGAAGACCAGCGCGGGCAGAGTGGCTCTGCTGCTTCTTGGGACCCTCACCAGACGAGGTCTTTCCACCCGAGCTCTTGCCACCAGAAGACTTTCCCTTGCCGCCAGCCATGGTGATAATGGGCTGTTTTTTTCCTTCTTTTTGGTTTTCTTGGAAAATTGGTTGCCGAGTTATTGGTCGGAAAATTGAGTAATTAATATCAGTGCAGTGGATGGGTAAGGTGGTGGTTGTAGATGAGTGAGGCTGCAAGAGAAAGAAAAAGTGATGTTATGATGGAGCCAGGTTGGGTTTGGTTGTTGACAGGCTCAGCAATCAGCGGTCGTGAAAGTCGAGGAGGCTGATGGAATGGTCGAATTTGGAGTTGGGGGGGGGGTTCACTGCTGCAGCAGCAGTAGCTTGCACCCCCAGGCTGATTGTGTTGTTTTTTCACCACTGCGGAATGATTGGGGAGCTCACCCAGTGAACTCTCCCTTCCCCTCAGAAGCTGTCCCCTGCTAATGCGCCTTGTGTTATTCCCCTCCCTCCTCTTTTAGCTTCTGTCCCATGTTTTTCCACCCCACCCTTGTTGGTGCTTGCTGGGCGGTTGTAGATGGTCCGTGCTTTTTGCTGCCTGCTGCGCTGCTCGCTGCTGGGTGGTTAGACAAGTGCTACGGCAGGCCCACTTGAGCCTGGAGTGCAGTTTGATGAGGAGGTAGGCCCCAGCTTCAGATAGCCAAGGTAGGTCAAACGAGCATAAGGGGTCAGATAGGAAGGGGATACACGTCCTATTGACTGGCTTGAGATCCCTTAAAATGGCATGAACAGAGAGTTCTGAGACTGAGACTTCTTTTCATGCCAATTTTAGGAAGGAAAATTGGAAAGGGAGAGTGGTGATACATACCAGACCTACCACTGAATTGGTGGTCTTGCGGCTGCTGGCAGCAAGAAAGCCACTGGCAAGACAGGTCATGTCCAGCTGCATGGAGCTATGATTGCCAAAAAATATGATAGATGCACTTTATGAGTGATCTTTGAGGCCTTGCAGGTGGAACAGAAGTATCCAGAAGCATTGGTGCAGGATTGGCCGTAGCCATGAAGAGGTCTTGAGGTTGAAGTTTGGCGTTCCTCAGCAACGCTCCCGATGCAAGTGAGTGGCCCATCTTAGCTCAGGCGCCACAAAGGTGGCTTGGACTTATTTCTCAGCCACACCACCCCCCTTCGTGCCTTCCAATAAATCTCAGGACCCAAACTCCTCTCACTGAGTTCAGCCTGCGAATTGCATACTTCGTACGATGCAGACCTGCACTGCGAAGTTTTGACCACAAAAGTCTTAAATTTAAGAGCAACAGACCACAGTTGAGGCCACCTGACCACCATCTTCGCCATCGTGCCACCTGTTTGTCCTTGACTTCCCGGGAAGAAAGTCAGCATCACATTTTCAGATTTACTCCCCCACACAGGGAAATGTTATGGAGAGAGGCCCTATCGCCCTCTCATGTGAGAAGGGAGTCAAGGAGAGTCTTGCTCTTGCAGACATGGGCAGTGAAACAGTCAGTCCACTACAGAGATGCCTTTTTCTTCTTCCTTCCCTCCCCCTTCCAGGAGGCTTGTCTAGTGTCAGCGGCTGTTCTACGTCCTGATGTTGGCCTACGCCGTTGCACAGCCCTTCTCGGCGCCTCCGACAACCTTGACCGGGAGAGGCAGGTAGCTGCAAGTGTTCGAGTCAACGGCCACTGAGATCACCACGAAGATCTCACGCCGTTTCTAGTGAGCAGCCACATCATGGATATCTTCCACGGGCATCCTGCTCTCGTCCTTGGCACCCCATCGTCCGCACGCTACGAAAAGCTGGGCAGATGGACATACACCAGAACTTGCTATGAGGCATAGCTGTCACGGCGAAGCCGACCAGCGTCGAAACGCCAGCTGAGACGATGGAGGGGTATATATATGTACCTGCAGAGCCTCATCTTCATCTTCCTGGCTTAGGCAAATCGACATAGGAGCAGCCTCCAGCAGATGACGCCACATATGTACGCCGTAAGCATCCTCGGCGCCTAGCTTTAGACAAAAAGGTGGGCCCCTCCATGTCTGCTCGCTAGGTTCCAGGCAACGACCAGTCACTCTTCAACCTCCCGATTACTTCTGCCCGCTGCGTCCCAGCATGGCAGCTTTCGAAGATGTAAGGCCTTTTGAGCATGTGCCACTCGATCGATCCAAGAGGCACGTACGCCTCCTGCGCTTTGTGCGGGGAGCCGTAGAATCGAACAATGGCGGGTGAGTCGCTCCCCCCTCCGAGCCGGGACTAAACTTCCCCAAGTATCCCGACCTTGATGTCCAGGAGCTTCTTTTTGACATGGTGGCACTAGGCACGACGACACAGATGAATCGTCAGCGACCCCGATTCAATGCACCCTAGAGACGTTCGACATTGGCCAGTGTCCTCCATATGTGGCTCTCTCGTATACATGGGGGCCACCCGAGGTATGTGAGACTGTCATCATCAACGGAAGGCCGATGCAGGTTCGTGAAAACCTTCACGCGGTACTCTCGGTTCTTAGGAACAAAGGGAACACCTGCTTCTCCGAGGATGCAACTCGGGAGAGGAACCTTGTGCGTCAACACTTCTGGATCGACGCTATCTGCATTAATCAGCAGGACCTGCACGAGCGCGGCCACCAGGTGGATCTGATGGCACCCATCTTCTCCCAGGCTGCCTGTGTCATCGCATGGCTCGGTCCTGAGTCCAGGGACTCGGCCCTCGCGATCAATGTGATCCGGACAGGAAATCCTCGAACAGTAGACGAAGTCCAGGTCGACCAGAAGGTCTACGTCAATGAATACAGCCGGGACCGCCACAGAATACGAAGTGCCCTCTTCTCGCTCCTGGCTCGACCGTATTGGCGGCGCATGTGGATTGTGCAGGAGTTTACACTACCCCGCAACTTGCTACTCCTCTGTGGAGGGCGGGGTGTTTGGTGGGAAAAGCTGTTGCATATTGTATCCAGAGGTCGGGGCGAGCTGCAGTTCTTCGGCATCGAGGAGGAGGAGGAGGGCCCGCTCGCTGGCTGGTGGCTCTTGGGCAATGCCAGGTACTACTGGCAAGTCACTCTTGGTGACACCCACTTAGGGGCAAAGACCCTCGACCAACTGCTCGAGGCCTTCCACCGAAGCGAATGCAGCGACATTCGCGACCGAGTCTATGCCCTCCTGTCGCTCATCAAGACACCTGCCACCTTGTCAGTCCCGCTGCTTGCTGACTATACGATCCCTCCTTGGCGGCTTTACTACCGGGTCCTCGGCCACCTTCGACCTACCAAGTCCTATGCCGACTTTGTCGAACGGTCTAGGTTTCGACAAGTTTTAGGCGAGGCCCTGGGCGTGCCTCGCCGGGAGGAACCGTTTGCGCTCAACGAGACAGTCTACGACATCACAGACCTGGTGCGCGACAAGAGGATGATGAGGCATGATTGGGTCAAGCAGTATCTCGGCATCCTCGTCCAGCAGTTCCACCACGCATTCCACGTCCTGAACACCCTCGACCACGACCATGCGTACCAAAGAGTGCTCCATCGTTTCCACGGCTTCCCACGGGACGAGGATCCCGAGGCATGGCAGGCCTTCGAGCGGATCGTAGGCGTCGTCAAGGTCTCCATCATCGCCCCTAGCCCCACATCTACTTTCAAGGCATCTGATCTTTACGAGCAGGCCGTGACGGCATCTCTGCGACATTTGGTGAGAGAACAGCTGGGTAGTGAAGACGACGCATGCAACAGGACATCATCAGCCCCAAATTCACCGACGCCAAATTCACTGACATGGTGCACCCTGAGAAGCCTCACTTTGCCAATACCCCTTTCATCCAGTGCTAGTTTGCATCGAACCCGAGTTCGCGCACGAGACAAGCATTGAAGCATCTGGAGACCCGAAGGATACAAAATCGGAACCCCGATCCGCGGCAGTTCCAAAATCCATCCTGTCTACCATCGATACATTGACCTCGACCGGTATCTCGTCTACAAAAAAATATAAACAAAGGTAGACGCTTCTGATACGAGCCACCTATCACACTTATGGCTATTTTACACAGTACGCTAGCTCCTCTTCAGCTGTATAACAAACCGCAATGAGGAGATATCTCACCCCCAGGATACCGTGCGACAATTCCGACGACATCATCGAATGGCACAAATAGTTCTTCACAAGAGATAGTTTGTGCCCCCCGCGCCCCGCGATCGCCATTCGCAGACATGTGGATCGGCCCAGGAGGACTCTCTGCTCGGATTGTCGCCCCTCCCCCGGTCCCCACCTCTGGGCCTACTTGAGCTGTGTGAGCCTGAGGAGTACCAACTAGCCAAGGCAATGTCGACCCAGTCAGCCAATGACTACCTTCGCCTCAAGAGGTGCAATACAAATGGCGGTCTCCGGGGGGTTGGGGACTGAGAGTCGATGACGTCGCCGCGAAGGCCTTATCGACGGAGGAAGCCCTGCCAGGTGCATGCGTCTTAGCATCGTTGCGATAGGTCAAGAGATGTGTCATCCAAGCAGGCGTTTGAAGAAACCGTAAACCGAAGACTGGGTAATGTAGGACTGTTCTCAAGGTACGCTACGTACGCTAGATATGGGGGCAATAATGTAGTGAGAGCTCCTTCAGTACCCTCAAAAGGTCTGGCAAGGGCTTGAAGGGTGCTTGACGCCCGGTACAACAGTCCAAGCGATAATAATATACAGCGCTGGGCTTTGTAAGAAATAGAATAGAAAGGAAAATGCATGACCGTTGCATGCTCTCTTTTCAAACCCAGATGTGTCCAATCCATGCAGTCCTACCGCCACACCGACGCCGTGACCAATGAAGAAAGATGTGAAACCCCCTGAACTGCGTATGTCGGTGCGTCTCTTTGTCCCAACCTCGACTAGAATAAATTGTTCCCTCGGATCTGCTGCCAATCGCAAAGTAAATTGATGAAACCTTCCATCACGACCAGTCGGGCCCGTACTTTCGCTCAGTATGTTGCGGATAGGTCCAAAAGATCAGTGCTGTCATGATGGGGTTCACGAATCGACGCCAGATGGGGATGCGAGGGACATAGTGCTTGGTGCGATCGTACTCGAAGATCAGGATGATATTTCCTATGATGTTGAGGAGTCTGAACAGCATGTTGAGGGTGATAAAGGTCAGTGTGACCACGGCTACCTTTTTCGAGACCGATAGGTTGTGATGGGCAAACTCTCGGGCGATGTAGCTGCATGGGGACACCTGAAGAGATGACTCTGGTTAACGACCGTCCAGGACATTATCATCAGGAGGGGGGGAGGTTAGGTCATTGTTTGACTTACCCAGAGCACTACAATGATGATTTCTATGACCAAGGCCCAGTGGTACGTCCTCACCTTGTTGCCCCGGAACATGATCAAGATGATGCATATCCACATCCATACGAATCCAATAATGGTCGAGACTAGAACGGCCGTGTTATGTGGGAAGTAACGCCACACGAGAGCAGCAGCAACAACGCCGATGATCAACTGGACCCAGCCGAGGAAGAAGAAGGCCAATAGCACGGTGGCGTACTTTTCATAGCACCTACTGTGGAACTGGGCGTGTCCCGTGGAAACATCGCTCGTGACAGGCCAGCCGCACCATCGACAGGCCCAATATTCGATAAAATTGCCCAGGGTGACTCTCTTCCCAAAACGTATAGTCCCATCTTTGCTCTGTACGGTACACTTGACACAGCGGGACGACAGGGGCCAGCCGGCGTCCAGCCTCGAGCTGAAGAGACGGTGCACTTGCTGGGGACAATAGGTCAGACATATGCAGCAGTGTTGTATGAGCATAGCCCGGAAGGTGTCAGGCCCGTATATGCTGCGCACAAGGCGGGGGGTTGCGAAATTGTACCAGTACTTGCAGACACGACGCAGGCGCTGTATGTCAGCAAATCCTAAAAAGCTGATGACTGCGATCTGTAGTTCAGCAGGGAGCGTCATCAGGGTCATCGGCTGTCTCTGCACGAGCTCGTTGGGGGTGGCGACGCCGGGGTTATCTTCGCTCTTGGCACCGGTGCTCGACGTTGGTGGTTTTTCGGCGGCGCTGGGAGACGAAGGCGCGGATCCAAACGTAAATTCGCTGCGTGAGGGCGAGAGCGGCTCGGTGACGGCAATGACAACTTTTTTGAACCGTTTGGATAGACTGCTGGTGAGGCCTGGCAGTGGACGGCCAGGGCGGCCGGCCTCTCGTGGGTCCACGGCGTTCGGGTCCATGCCGAATGTCCAACCCCGCCGATAAACTCCACCTCGGGTTTAACACGATGTAGAAAGCCGGGCGCGAAGCCAAACTACCCTGCAACAAGCAGCTGACGGTCTCCCTCTCGCGGCCGTCACCTCTAAGCAGGCAGCAAGCTGTCTCGAGTCCCTTGTCTCAGTCAAGATCTCATGAGAGCATCGGAAGTCGAGAGTGTTGAATGTGGAGATCAAACGGGCGTGGGGCCGTAAAGTAGTGGATATCAGTTCGGTGACAAGCCCCGCAGGACCGGCCCGTGACATGGGTCTTGGCCAAGAGGTTAAGTGTTGAGGCAATGCCTGGGGTTTGAGAAGATGTTTCGCGTATTCCAAAATATTCTGAATAATGAATGACCCGGATCCTGCTCAAACCGCGAACACCAGTCATCTGAGAAGCTCCCTTCCCTCTCAGAGTCGTGCGTATTGCTGAGTCTTGACACTGTCGATCAGTCACATCAGCAGAGGGACTCGATAGCATTTGACCGTCTGTGATCTACTGACCTAAGGTCACTGAAAACGGCTGTCATGACCAACGAACAATATGACAGGTAGAGTGAGGTCCCGAAGAGAGACTGAGATGGTTGTGGACAAAAGGAGAGAGATGATCTCGTTGTGGTTGACAAGGTGCTGTAGCCAGCCACAAGGCACTTTCGGAAGATGCTCACAGGTCAGTAGCCCTCTATAATGGTGAAGTAAGCTGATCTTGTGCAGAGGTTGGATGGAGCCCATGGGAAAGCAAGGAGATCGCAAGTTATCCAAGGCTGGAGATCTTGAGAATCCTGGAGATGAAGAAGGGGAAAATAATGAGAAAGAGGCTGAATGAGGAGAGTAAGAGGGACGTCAGGTCAGGTCAGCAGCCCCCTGCTCTACCAACCAACTGTAACATGCTGAGGACAATAGCGGGGTACTCTATTCGAGGCAGGGCCAATCAAGGCTCCCATGTTCCTTCTGCTGCAGTAGTAAGAAAGAAAAAGCAACAACCCTTGCAGATAAGCAGAAGTGATGAACGGCACGCCAATGGTTACTTAAAATACTCTTGTCTGCTGGGAGAATAAAGAAGAAAATAACAGAGAGAGATTGTTAAAATATCCATCTGTCCACTGCACATTACTCATTGATCGGGTCCACATCAAACAGTTCTACTTGGGTGCTTACTTCTAAGTACTTAGCAGCCTTGAGAGTCTTTGGTGGGTTCCAGTGGCTTTGGTGGTTGGAGACACACTAGGCTCAGGTGGGCAGGGACTGCAGGCCACTACTTTGGTACTGTAGCAGGGGGTTGGTTCAGTGACACCCCAGGGTTCCAGGTTCAATTTTCAGCCGCATCAACCTCAGCTGTCAACTTCTTCCTCTCCAACGAAATCCCATCTCCAGGCAGACGACTATCCTGCAATCCACTCCAACACTTTTCTAATCCCTTGACCCACCTATGCTCATATTCCTTTTTCCTCCTTCCTCTTCTCTTCCCTCAAAATCCAATTCTGTCTTGGAGTGCAACGGTGCACTGATAAACAAGCCATCGCCCTTGAAACCACACCCCTGTGAAGGCTTGCCAAGATGTCTCACAATCTCCTCATCCCACTACAAGACTCTCAGATTGTTTCCACACAATAACCTTTCCAGTACTTGGACCTTTGCATCTCGAAATTGAGATATGTCAAACTCTCACGACGAGCTGGTGACTGGGAGGTGACACTGTTGCCACCTGTCAGGCAGCCAGCAGGGGTAAACGTGGTGTCTATGCTTCCTTCCTAGATCACTTGGCACGGTTGATCATCGTGTCTGCTTGAGGATCTGCTTTCTGGCTTGGATGGGTTGACTGTGACCCTCTCATTCCCAGGCTCAATCCATCCTTGTAGGATGAGGCCTTTTACCGTGGTTGGTGAACATGCGCAACACCTATTGCAGCTTTTGTGGGAAACTAAGTAAACAAGACCTATGTACGATGCTTTACCGGCACGCCACTGATTGCTTCTATCCATGCTGGCTCCGTATCGCATCTGTTATGTTACGCGGAGCTGGCTCTCCATACCATCAAACGAGGAGGAAGCAGAGGCATCGAAGATTTTCCTGGACGCAAAGAGCTTCTGACCCAGCTCGTCGTGAACGAAATCGATCCACAGAAAGTTCTTCAGGATATCTCGGCATTGACTCCACGTCCTTGCGCTGCAGATATTGGCCGTAGTCTGGATCCACGGAACAAGCCATTCATCGTCATCCTGGGTACAAAGCGAAATTCCGCCGCTCACAAGCACCCAGAGCATGGTGTGCGGTGCGATGGGGATGCTGAGGTTGGACAGGCAGCCCTTGAACGTGCGTGACAGGTGCGGATACGGCAGATTCACCTTGGACCACTGCAGGAAGATGTTGGTGCAGAACCCCATGAGGCCCAGCCGGACAATTTCGTCGAGAGAGTTGGTGGGGAAGCTCAGGTAGAGTAGTCGGTACATGACGGACGCCATGGTGTTGAGGAGGGTCTCCTGCGGTATCTTCCTCCTGGACTCGGTGGCGTAGTTGAGAAGGGCGCAGAACGTCCGTGTTGTGTCCCAGGCCCGACATAATTCCGGGCTGTCGAGCCCCAGCTCTAACCCCTCGAGGGGCGGGCAGCTTGCACTGTAGTAGTCCGACGGGATGAATCCCGCCAGCTGGTCAAGATATGGCATGAAAGGCTCGGCTGTCAGATCGTGGAAGAAATATGGTCTCGAGCCACTGGTGATGGCCTCGCTAATGTCGCATCTGTGATCATCAAATCAGCTCGAGGCTTCTAGAATGAGGCGATTGCACGGCTACCGACCTGAAAATCTGGATGAGCAGTTTCGGGTTGGCCCTGAACTTGGATATACCCCCTCGCAAAGTCACGATCCTCCGAAGTCCCTCAAGATGACTGATGGCGGTCTCGTGGTGGCCAATGCTGCTAGCGTGAGTAGCCAATGACAGAATCACCATGACCGTCGAATCGGACAGCCTCTCATTGTTCGTTTCATCAGAGAGCCTCTGGCGGAGTATGTGGAGGGATTTGGACAGGTGTCGACAGGCCGGCCGCGACGGGACCATGTCCTCGGGCTTGAGGCCAGCCACGAGGTCAAAATATAGATGTGCCGCGTAGACGACGGCGTTAAGGTATGCGGCGTCGGTGGCGAGCAGCTCACACCACGGCTTCTTTGTCGCCTCATGAAACACAACCCGTGGCTCAAGCGGGAACATGGCTTGCTTCGCCATGGATGAGACTAGAAGCAGCATTTTAGTGACGTGGCCTTGAATAACCATCGGGCCTTGACACTGCCCAGGCAAGGTTGTGCGAGGCCAAAAGGGGAAAACTCTCAGTTTTCATTCAGTCGATCCTCATTTTCTCCAGTCTTCCCTCAGATCCTTCTTAACTCACATTTCAGTACAGGCAACAAGAGCGAGGTCTCAATGGTATCATCGGCTGGCTGGAAGAACGATAGCTCCGAACCAACCTGCATTGGTATGGAAGGCTCTCTAGGTGGGCAACATGACACTCCTGCAGCAGAAGACGATGGGCCTGTTGCCTTATCCCTGTTGTCCGATGAGATGGCCTCGCAGTTGGATCGTTTCGCTCCGTTGCGCTTGTCGCGAAGTATCTTCCCCTTATTCTTGCCCTTCATCACGTGGCTCCTGATGAGCTTGCGCGTCTGGCCATCGGGTTTCTTCCGGTCTGTGGAAATAATAAAGGGTAGATCTCCAGGTGTCTGTTCTGCAGGACCCATTTTTACTGTTCCAAGACCGGTCAAGGGTCTCTCACTCGCAACTCTTTGATTTGTCTTGGGTGACTTGAGAGAGCAAGCGCACGACAGTACAAGCTGGGGTTGCCTCTGATTGGTGCCTGTGGCCGTTTGCCCGACGTCTAGCCAATGAAAGCCCGATTTGAGAAGGATAGCCTGAAGACTGATTGCCCGTTGCGAGCAATGCCAAAGGGATGACTGAGCGACGAGGGTGTCCAACAATGGGAAATGGCGCTTCAAGTTGATAAGAGAGAAGGGTGAAAGAGGGTAACAACATGTAGTATGGCGGCGGAACTGGGCGCTCGCTGACTTCTCACCACCCGCTGCCTGCTGCGCCGCCGCGCCGCAGAGAGATTGTTTTCCGTTTCAGGCATAGTCCTCGACCATGGAGGATGCCAAATGTCCCCTCTTATATCCGAAAGTCTCTTTTGTGGGTCCAGGCCATTGGTTTCCCAAATAGGAATTCTATATCTTTTCCCATGATAGATGATAGTTGCACGGCGGAAAGGCTGGATTTTATGACGAAGTAGAAGACGAGGTAATCAAAAATCTCTCCTAGTATGCAAGAGAAAAGAATATAAATTAATGATATACTGGGCTAACAATGTCCAAAACAGCGCATGAGAAGTATCCATTCATTAAACCCCATACGATTACCGAACAGTTGCGAACGATAGAGTTGATTCAATATCTCGGAATTTCAGTCTTGGCCAGTACATACTTCGAGAGTTTGACAGTGACCAACCTGAGAAGCACCAAAACTTCCAGTCATGGGTCATTGCGAAGAAAAGAAGCGAGCCGCCAACGAAGGGCTGGTCTCCAAAGACCTACCACCAAACACTGCGCCCTTCTTCCCCAACATCTTCTACCAGAATCAATTCCGCGCACAGCCAGTGTACCCACCCAAGGATACAGACCTAAGAGGCAGAACAGCCATCATCACCGGTGCGAACAGTGGTATCGGGCTGGAGTGCTGCCGCCAGCTGCTCTCGTACAAGCTCTCGACCCTAATCCTCGCCGTGCGGTCGCCTACCAAAGGCGATGCGGCCGCGGCACAGCTGCGGCAGAAATACCCAGGCGCCGAGATCAGTGTCTGGGAGCTGGACATGAGCTCCTACCTGTCCATCCAGGCCTTCGTCCAGCGCGTGGACACGCATCTCCCGCGGGTCGACTTCGTGGTCCTCAACGCAGGCGTCATGAAGGCCTTTGCTATCGTGCCCAGCACCGGCCACGAGGAGATGTTCCAGGTGAACTATCTCTCCCAGGCCCTCCTCACACTCCTCCTGCTTCCCGTCCTCAAGGCCAAGAAGCCGCCGACGGGTCTGCCGGCTCGCCTGACATGGGTCAATGGCGCGCTCAGCCTCTTCGCCAAGTTTCCCAACCGCCACAGCGTGCCCTTGCTCCCTTCCTTTGACAATGAGGAGATCTTTGCCGACGGGGAGTGGTACAACACGAGCAAGCTGCTGGCGCACTTCTTCGCCTGGAAGATCGCCGAGTTCGTGTCGGCTGATGATGTCATTGTCAGCGTGACGGACCCTGGGTACGTCCGTGGGACCGAGCTGGCTAGCGAGAAGAAGGAAGAGATGATGAACATGAGGGGAGCGTTCGTTCTCAAGCGTTTCATGTCGCTTTTTGAAAAGATGGCACGGACGCTGGAGGATGGGACGTCGACGATTGTGGATACGGTGGTGAACAAGGGCAAGGAAGCTCACGGGTGTTATGTCATGGGTTGGCGAATCGCGCCGTGAGTCTTCTCTCCATTTTCCATTTTCCATCTCTTTATTTTCATTCTTGTGGATGACAGGAGCGTCAAACCCCCATTTTCAGCAGACTCTCGAGGCAAAGTGGTAATGAGACTGACAATTTGGCTAGGTTTGCTACTATGCTTTATGGGCCTGAGGGTGAGGAAATCAGGGAGCGCCTGTGGCAGGAGACTGTGGACGAATTCAAGTTTGCGAACGTTGAAGAGATTTTGAGCATCATGAAGGCGTCCAAGGATAGCAAGGCTGCCTGACCAGTTCTCAGATGCTTGAGACACAACATAATCACTTCACGTTCACTGCTGCAACGTGGGGAAGAAAAAAAAGGATGTTTCTCCATGGCGTTCGGGATGTATACCATGACCATAATGCAACTGAAGTATTGTTCAATGGAAGTTCACACTGCGTTGCGTTTTAGTCGTGACGACCAGTCGTCCACATCTCTACACCAGTCAATTTTGCCTTGCCTTGGTTGGACTGCAAAATGGAGCACAGGTCTGTATAGAGTGATATCTAATTCGATGATGAAGTCAATGGCTATGGCTGGGAAGAATCAATATTGTGAATATGGCCAGGTCACTTCAGTGTGATGTGGTGTGCCCCGCAAAACTCACCCTCATCAACAAGAAAAGACGAAAGAGAACGAGCAAGAAGAGTAAAGAAAGGTGAAGAAGAGCAAAGAAAATCGCGTCTCACCATTTTTATCTGAGTTTCGTCCGATCTGCCCATTGTTCACTGTTGATTGATGGGCGAAATTTACCACCTCCTCTGAACAATAACATGAAGCTGTCGCGTGAATGTTATTGTGCTGAAATAATAATGACTTCACTATTTTGATCCCAAGCAAAAAAGTGTTGTCCCAATCACTACTACATAACCTCGTCTTTGAATATCGGCCATTACAATTTCTTCCCTGTTTCTATTTCAACCCAGCAACCACTGCAAATCTCATTCTATGTTCTCGTCCAAGCCAACTGGACCATCAAGATTTTGAGCACAAGAGCACATGTACAGTGCAGGTTCTCAGCCAACAGCGACCCAATCTTCACCTGAACTTCACCCAACTCAGCCCAAACAAACCCTTCATACCTTCACACAAACCAACCAGACATCCACAATAACTTTCAAGATGAACAATACCACAAAGAACAACAACAACAAGAAGCGCAGCAGCACCGCCGCTGGTGGCATCAGCAACCCCAAGCCAGCCAAGCAGCCCCGCTACGACCCCTATGGCGACGGCAAGGGGGCTCGCCGAATGCCGCGCTCGCGCGACAAGCACCAGAACTACGAGTACAACCGGCTCGCGGCCACCACTGAGTCCCTCCCACGCAACACGTCCGAGCTGCAGTGGGCCTATCGCGTCTTCGGGCCCGGCCACAGCGTCATTAGCAAGTTGGACCAGGCGCTGTTTGACCTTCGTGATTCCAACCTGCCCCTAGCCCAGACGAGGCGTCAGGAGTTCCAGGAGACTCTTGGTCTTTATGGCGCTGCGTTTTATGAGCGGGTCGGGCAGGCTTATGCTGACTACCGGGCGGAGATCGAGAGGGTGAACGAGGTCGAGTATGAGGAGAGGATGCGGGCGCAGGAAGAAGAGGAGAAGAAGGCCAAGGAGAAGGAGAGGCTGAAGATGGCGTTCGAGACGCAGGACATCATTGACCTGGAGGCTCTGGACAGGAGCCCCACTCATAACAATGCCACCCAGCAAGTCGAAACTGATACAGGAGGACAAACGTCTGCCGCCAATGGTCAAGCGTCTTCCAGCATCCAAGAGCCTGTCAACATCCAAGCGTCTTTCAGCGCCCAAGAGCCTTCCAACAACGTCCAGCAGTCTCAGAACATCCAAGGGCCTTGCAACAGCGACCACAATACCGACAAGCCTGGTACTGATGGTCACAACAGTCCTGCCAGGGGCGAGATCCAAAAGAAGGCAGACGACAACGAAACCATGGACGATGGGACCGAGAATGGCAAGCCAGACAACGGCGAGTCTCACAGCGACGTGAATAAGAAGGAACAGCTGATTCCCGACGAGTACTGGATGAGCCAAGACGAAGCTGACGACGTCCTCAACGAGACGGGCATCCGAATCAAGAAGATGAACAAGATGTGCAAACAGATCACCCTCGTCTACAACAAGGATTTGAAACAGCTCCAGAAGGATGGTCTCGACGAGAAGGTCGATGACATCCGGGGCTACCTCCAGAGCGTCAGCGACTTCACCGGGAACACGCAGGTGGTCATGGAAATGATCGCCGGCGAGGAGAACTGGGTGTGGAAGCGGCAACGCTTCAACAACAAGTCAATCATGACACTGATTGAGACAATTCGCGAGCTGGAGAAACGCGTCAGCGACCTGCTGATCGAGCTCAAAGTTGTGGCGGAGATGGTCCAGGAGTGGGAAGGCCGGCAGAGCAGCATGAAGACGGGCCCGGCTCAAAAAGAATTTGTTGAGGCCTTTCTCGCGCAGGTGAATAAGTTCATCATGGTCGCTTCATCCAAAGCGACCGATTTCAAGAGCTTCGTGACCATGGAGCACGACCTGGGCCAGGCCGAAGCTGAGGACAAGGACGGGATTGATGACGGCAGTGAGCATGAGGGGGATGAAGACCCTGGTGAGGGCGATGATGACGAGGAAGAGATCAAGGAAGTGGTCGAAATCGACGTTGAGGACGAGATCTAGAGATGATCGAATTCGAGGCGGCAGCGAGAGCAGCAATTAGGGCGATATCAAGTCCCCGACCGAGAACTAGACCAAGTCAGCTGGCGAGAAGGATTACTTATAAAAGGTCTGGTAAGGACCATCACGAATCACTGTAGAGTATTAACAAACCACTGAGACCAAGTCAGTACCTAATCAATACTTGATGAATCACCTGCTGCTTGCCACAGATGACACGTGTCTATAACCAAGCCCGTCACACAGCAGGTCTGAATCATCCAGCTTCCCCATTTGTCTAATGTCGATGCTCATTAGGTACGTAAGTACTTTCTCATACAGTGCAGGCTTCCTCATCGTGATATGCGTCACAGCCAGTCGTGAAACCCAATACATTGTGGCTCAGCCGACACTCACCCTACCATGCTGCTCCACCCTTCTGCGCTGTAGGAGTAGACCTATGAGCGCCGCGATCAGTGAATCTGAGCCCTTACAAGGAGTGCATCAGGCATACGGGGTGCACTTACGTGTCCATATTCCCAGGTACCCCGTATCGTACCTGTGAGCTCCCATGGCTCTGCTGATGACCGCCCGCCCAGCCTGAAGGTAGCGCCGGCATGTAGGCAGCTGGAATGTAAGGCACATGGGGAAAAGCCGCAAGTCCCATTACCCCTGGTCCTGGTATTTCGTGGCCATGTTCGCTGTGGGGAAGATCAAAAGGGCCAGTTCCCTTTTCTCCTGCTCCTACTCCTGCTCCTGCTCCTTGATCGCCATTGTCATCTTCATTATCTGTCCCACGGTCATCGCCAGATCTACGAGCAGTAGAATAGTGATATGCACGGCCGCTGTTTTGAAGAGACAGCTCGATATTCGGGGTGCCGTCCAGTAACATGCTCCTCAGCTGGTTCCCCTGTCGAGGGTGGCCGCTCGTTCCACGAACGGCAAGTGTCTTCCCTGAGCCTGTTGGGGCAAGCATTTGCTGGATGGAATCGACGTGCTCGAGCGGGCAGGAGATGACAAATTGAGGCTGTTCAGGACGAGTGTGGTCCGTGACGACAAAAGACACAGCCACATCGTGCTGAAGGCTGCGAGGAACGAGTGGATAGAATTCTGGGAGCGGGTCAGAGGTGAGAGGACTAATGACGGAACCCAGCATCCATGGGCACTGCTTCACGACGAAGGCTAGCCTGTCGAACGACCTCTGAGGATGTGCAGCATGATGAGGACTGCTGCGAGATCCTGACTGCGCCTGTCCACTCTCCCTGGACCGTGTTGTTCCTCCACTTTCAGGCCGGAAAGCCCAGGAGGATGATCTCTGCCTCCTCCGTCCCTGGCCTCCGAACAAAAAATTGCGGTCACGGTCGTTGTGAGGAGACATATTGGCCCAGGGCCAATACAGGATTTCTAAAAAGTGTTGTAGAGAAATCAAGAGCATACTCCAAGGTGACCTAGGAGCCACCATGTCCATAAATCAAGCCGGGTACAATATATATAAGGCATTTCAAAGGTTTCAGAAGATACAAGAACACATCAGGAAATCAAAGAAATGTTGATATTGCAAATATTCCAAAACAAGTATGGGAGGCTGGATCCTAGACTCGATGCTCCCATTCAAGCTGTCAGAATTTGTGAGTAGATGAGCCTTCTCAAGTTTGCTCCTTTGAGTGCTATGATGGCTACCTACAGCATATGAAAGGACCAGGTGTGGGAACTGTCAAGCACCCCAAAGATATCAGCATCCTTTGAGACAGGAAGGGGCACTTTCCAAGCCATCAAATCAGACGTATCCTTGGAATGAAGAAGAGAAGGAAGACGTGGTTGAAATAATAGAGCGAAGGGGGCGTGTGTGTAGAGGACAGGACGAGATGGAGTTGGAAGACGAGGCTGAGGGTTTCCATGAAGGGAATGTTCCTTTGGAGTGAGGAAAATGACTTTACCATACCCCTGTCACCTCAGAAGGAAAGGAAGGGTGTCCCTTGCCTGCCGGATAATCTCTATTCCGCCATGCAGCAGGAGCTCCCCAGAGGACCCCGCCTTCCCGCCATCAGCTCCCAGAACGTCATCCTGGAAACCCCACGGGGGGTCACTGACCTCGCTAGATGACCTACCACAGTAGTAACGCCGACCCCGTACAAAGAGCACGATGGCACCTCGGCAAAGAGGTAAAAAACCTAGTCACTGTGCCCTCTCCTCTCGCCATCTTTGTCTATCCTCTTCTTGAGCAGCTCTCGTACTGTGACCTCGACGTGTAGCTGTCCTCTCTCTCAAAACCCCTCTCAAGATCCTTCGCCATGGCTCAGAACCCAGGCATGCTCTACGTGACGATGCAGCCCAAGCCGGGCCTGTCCCTCGACCAGTTTCACGAGTGGTACAACAACGAGCACGGCCCAACTCGCCTGCGGCTCCCCCAGATATTCAGCAACGGCCTGCGCTACGCAGCCACGGACGCCGAGCAGCCGCACTTCCTCGCGGCCTACGACGTCACCTCTATGCACCACCTCGACACCCCGACATACACCTCCCTGCGCGAGAACAGGAGCCCCCGTGAGGCCCAGACTATTGGCCAGGTCGACGTCAAGCGCTACTTCTACGACCTTGTCTCCGAGCGCAAGGCGCCTTCCTTCCGGCCTATTGAGCAGCTTGCAGACGGCGAGGCTGAGGGCCAGGTATTGGTGGCTGTTGAGAACACCGTGACTGCCGTGGAGGGGGCTGAGCAGGCACTGGACAAGTGGTACGAGGAGGAACACATCCCGATGTTGTCCAAGGTGCCCGGCTGGCTGCGTACGCGCCGCTTCCGGACGGCCACCAGCCTGGACAAGGAGGCGCCCCTCAAGTACCTCATCCTGCACGAATATACTAAGGAGAACGGGCTGGGGGGGCCCGAGTACAAGGCTGCCACGAGCACCAAGTGGAGGGAGGAAATCTTCGAGAAGGTCATAGCCAGCAAGCACAGGAGGACGTACTCGCTCTTCTACGTGTTCGGGCCAGGGCCGAGAGACCTCGCCTCCCTAGCCAAGCTGCCGGCAGAAAAGGCATTTGTGTCCTCCGACGCCAGGATCAGGACAACGCCTCATAACGGCAAGCCTGTACTGCAAGCCTTCATCCCCGTCAAGGATGGTCTCTCGATCCCCTATCAGCTAGAGGGAAATCCAGATCCCAAGGCGCCCACCATCGCCTTCTGCAACTCGCTTCTCACGTCCTTGCAAATGTGGGATCCCCTGGTGGATATACTGAAGGAGGCCCGGCCCGAGTTCCGCATCCTGCGGTTCGACACTCGGGGACGCCATACAGTTCCCGAGCCCCCAGTCGCAGTGACTCTGGATATGGTGTCCGACGACCTGGCAGCAGTGCTATCGGCCCTGCGAATCGAGAAGCTGCACGCACTCATAGGCGTCAGCATGGGCGGCGCCAGCACCCTCAAGTTCGCGCTGAAATATCCAGGCAAGGTGGACCGTTTCATCGCCTGTGACTTTAATGTTAATAGCTCCGAGGCCAACACGCAGGCCTGGAAGGACCGCATTGCCGTGGCCGAGTCGGTCGGTGAGGACGGCACCCCGGGCATCAGGAAGCTGGCGGCCATGACGGTCGAGCGCTGGTTCCACCCGCACACCATGACGGCCAAGATCAATGTCGCGAGCTGGATGACGGAGATGGTGGCCGACAACGATATTCAGGGGTTCAGGTACGGCTGCCAGGCACTGTGGGACTACAATATGCGCGGGGAGCTCAAGGGCTGCACGGTCCCGGGCCTCCTAGTGGTTGGTGAGGGTGACGGGAAGGGCGCGCTGGTCAAGGCAATGGAGAGTTTCAAGGACAGCGTGGGTGAGAAGGGCGCGGAGCTGAAGATTGTGCCTGAAGCAGGACATCTGCCCATGTGCGAGAGCCCACAGGGCTTCTGGGACGCCATCAGTGGGTTCCTGTAAGACCAACAACTAAGAGTTTGGGGAAAGGAGGTTGTTGACACGATTGATTTGTATGATGTAGTCTTGCTCCCAGAAGACGAGAAATACACTACAATGAAGCGAACTGTAATCTCACCAGCAAGACGGCATTCTGTTGTTGCTGTTGCCCTGAAACCAACCCCCCCCCCCCCCCCCCCAAAATCCGTTAGGGTTTTGCACGCGGTAGCGACAGTCCCTTGCCTCCCGTGCGAGCAAAGGCAAAAAGAAGACGGCCTCAGTGCGACCATGATCGATCATGCTGCAACAGCTGCAGCAGCAGCATCCGCACCCTCCTCCTCCTCCTCATCCTTACCCTCCTCCTTGCCGCAGCACTTCTTGAACTTGCGGCCCGAGCCACAGTAACACTTGGCACCCCTGGACATGGGCGGGACTCCGAAGCTGGCTATCGACTGCGTCCTCTCCTGGGCCACCTGGAGCATGAGGTGCCTCGCCTCCTGCTTAAGCGTGATGTCACAGGCCGGACTGTTGCAGCACGCGACGGTCATGATGATCACGAACGGGTCGTCGACCTTGTGTAGGTACTATTCTCATTCTCTGCATGTCAGAGTGCAAATTGATTTCCTCCGTCCTTTTTCCCCCTCTCATTATGATCACCACCACCAACACCACCAGCAGCCACCTAAAAATGAAAATTCAGGCCTTGGAGAACAGTAAAACTCACCGACATGGGCGTGGCGACGACGGTGCTCGAGGGCCTCTCGCAGGACTTGGCCGAGCACTTTGCCTCGCAGGCGCCCAGGGCCTCGCCTGCGTGCTTCTTGATGACGGGCGCCATGGTCATCTCGAACATCTTGGGCATCGCGGGGTTTGTCAGGGCCTCGGGTCCGATGAGGGACTTGGGCACCTCCTCGTGGAAGTCGAGCTGGCGCTTCTCGCAGAGAAACTGCATGCGGACTGACTGCTTGGCGGAGCTCGACATCTTGAAAGCTGCTCTTAGTAGGATGGGGGATTGTTGTCGTTGTTAATGCAATGTAAATGTGCGTGACGGGAAATTTGAAGCGAGGTGAGCTGGAAGTAAAGGAACGCCGCTGGTGCTGATTGATGCTGATGCTGCTGATGCAAAACGCTGAGCGGTGCTGTTGTTGTTCCTGGTATACAAGTCAAGAAAGAGGGTTGGGCCTTGGAAGAACGGACAACAATTGTAATATGTAAAAGAGAAGTATAAAACGATTATGACTTTTTCTGCTGCCAAACCCAGCGTGCACGCTCTTTCGTCTCCCTTAATGATCGTGTTAATAGTCCTTCTTTTCAATGAATTGGAATGGTCCAAGGAGGGGGGGGGGGTTCGAGACTCGAGGTGAGAAGCCCCCCGGGGCGCAAAGTAAGGAGTAGGGGCAGAGTGGAGGTCCACACCCGCTGCCGCAGCGCCCCGGATCCATTAGCTAAGCTCCCTAAAGGAGTGGCTCGGCGGCCCTGTTTCTGATACGTGTTCATGCTGGACAGGTTACCCTCCCCTGAACTCCCCTCAACGAACCCCCTAATCGGGGATTGAATTACCCCAAAATAGGGGTCCAAGTCACGTGGCCACCTCAACTCTCAACGCATTGACATGCATGCGTGGAAGATGGGAGAAACTTGGGACAGATGGTAGAGCCAAAGAATGTGCAGACAACCGGTTCGAGACAACCTTGTGTGTATTTGTGCAGCATGTGCAGTCATGCTAGGTTACTGCTGTGAGACAACCAAACCGCAGCTGCCACCCCCCCCCCCCCAAAAAAAAACAGTCTGGAGGGAGAGAAATATGGAATATTACTTAAAAAGCTTGTTACTCAGTCATTGCTGAATTAATCAGCCGCTGGCCATTCATCTGTACAAGCTCGCAGAATCATTAAATTACCGCACTTCCTCTGAAACCCGAAGCTCCGTCACGCCGCCGGAACCCTGGTCGACTGGGTCCAGATCTATATACCTGAGTGAACGGATGTGTGACTGTCGCAAGTAGTCCATACAATGATGGACATGTGAAGCTCTTGAATGTTGCCCAAATACTCGCTCTGGGTGCTATCGGTTGTGTTCCCGCGTGACTCCCTTATGATGTTCTTATGTAGGTCATGAGTGTGAGCAAGATGATTGATGCTCATCCTGATGAGTTTTCCGAAGGCCTAGGGAGAAGATAGCTTACTAGACAGTGAGATTGGGGTAGACAGCGAGGCTGGTGATTTCAGGAGACACGAAGAGACGCTCCACGAGTCCCCCAGCCCCATCAATTGATACGTAGGCGTGTGGCCGCATTCTCAAGGAGCTTCCGAAGGCCGGTCTTCCGATGCGAAACTGGAGTAGGACTGTTCTGACACTTTGTAGGTGGAGGTAGACTGGCCTGAGCCTTTACACCAGCCTCGAGGGCTTGATCGATGCGTTTCTCCAGGTCACGCATGTATTCCTCACGGTCTTCCGGGGCGACTTGATCAGCCTCTGCCTGGCGGTTCATGAGGGCTGCCCGCCAAAAGGGGTTTGAGAGTGACATGATGAGATAAATGGTTTTGATAGAGACAACAGAAATTGCTTCGATAATTGTTCAAGTTGGGTTATTTGCGTGCGTAATACACCCCATCAGCTGTATCAGAAGGCGAAGTGTGAAGTGCTGTTATACACTACAACGCGAAATTGAGAGGGCGGGAAATTGTTGCTAAATACTGTTTGACACGTTGGCATATTGGATTGCTAGCTAAGCGTGGCATTGTGTATAACCCGAAGGAGACTTGTATCTGCTGACAACATGTCTGGAAGCTCAGAAGGATTAAGAAGGGCTGAACAACACCCAGGACCAATCAGAAGAAATCACGGAATACACAATGTGAAGATCACCACTTTCCCAGACAATAGCGAATGAGATCAACAAGACTGGGCTCATGATAATGCCGTCAGAGTGGTATTTATGCACTGCTTTTCGTTGTGCAATGTCACACCGCTTGAGGCTTTTGATAGTCCGCTCAAAGGAACATGTGCCAGAACTCCTTCGGAATCACGAGGCAACGCGCACGTCGAATACGGTCAAGGAGGGGAAAAAATGATACACGAGTTAAGTGAGGTCTCAATACCACGTAGCTTTCGATGATGATATAATAGAGTAAAATGAACTGTCATAGTCTTGTCCATTGAGCACGCTTCAGAGTGCCTTGCAAAGCAGTGTGAAGTGTGACGGCGGGAGTCTATAAAATGGACCTCAATCCACAATTTATTTTCCTCCTATTCTTATTCAAACTCTAAGAGCCCAGACTGAAGTCACAATTCAATGCAACATAGCACCTGTGGGCGCTGATATCACCGGCATGAGCTCGAATCCCTCACCACATCCCCGCGTGCCACACAAGGACGCTCAAATTTCAAAGTATACGGCGAGCAAGTATTGATGGTGACACTGGCCCCCTCACAAGTTGGTTGTACAGACCCACAGAAGATGTTTCGAATGCATGTCTGCGATAACAGTGATTCGGACCGTTGGTAAGCCCTTGCGGTCACACTGTAGAGTCCAGATGCAGCAGCCCAAGTGTAACGCGATTACGTCTGCTCGTGGGGGCAGCTTTCGCTTCATGAATAACCTTTAGACCACTTTAGATTCCTTTGATCGCCGTCTGTACATGGCGTCCGGTGTAGTAGTAGTGGCAGAGTTTGGGTCTGCTATGCCACCCAAGCATTGTTGAGACCTTCTTCTGCACTTTCTGTTGCTACGGACACACAGACTCATCATGGAAGTCTAACCCATTTTCGCCACAAACCTCCCCACCAAGAGTCCTTTTGTCATACGGCCCGTCTGAATACAGCATAGTCATGTAATATTGTGAAAGCATCGGGGCTGCCGGTCTATTAGCTCGAGGGCTCCCGATTTGTAGTAGGGTTAAGGGTTGCCTGGTTCTTTCCTAAGTACGTAGCAGCTGGCAATGAAACTCTGCAATACGACCACCGTGGACAGTACACTAATGACATGCGCAATCACTGGCTACACAAAGAGTCTCGAGTGGCGGCGGCGAAAGGTGCTGCAGCGAATGGTGTTTCTCTATCTCCAAAATGTGCAGATTTACTCCGAAAAGAAATTCGACCCACTCGAGTTCATCGATGGGGATGGAGGCCTCGGGGTAAAAGCAATGAGCTGCGAGTTATGCCTAATCCTACGCTGCGTCGCGTTCGCTGGCACCGCATATTGTCGCCTTGCTCACTCATTGGCTCTCAATTCTCCTCTCGTACAACTATGAACGTTACACTGCTACGGAAGAAAGGAAGGAAATGTATGATGAGATGCTATCAGATGATCTCCCTGACAGCGAGGTCGGCAGACTCGCTTGATCAACGGCCGAAAAAGAGGAGTGGTCCAGAGGCAGGAATATGTCCTGCTTCTCAACTACTAATCGTCACGATGTGGGTAATTCCTGCGTGAAGGATGATCGATTCCAAGCTATCATTTGGAGATTTCCAGACCATAGTTATACAGAGCTTGGTTGGTTGAACTCTTGAACAATTTCAGGTTGAGGTGATTATTTCAGGCTGCATTTCAATGAATTGGTTTGAGGATCGAAGAGTGCCTCACTGGGCTACATAGAATTCTTGATCGAATCTCCCTGGCAATGTTTGCCGCGGTATCCAGCTCTTCATCATTAGAGGGATCTTCCAATGCTATATGATCATACTGGAGCCTGTCAATTTTCGAGGCGAAAAGGATTGCCTGATAAGTGTCAGTACGGTGCTGGCTAGTGTTCCATGACCGCTGCAGGATGATCGAATTGATATGTGACATGCTTGCATTTGGCACTTGGTACTTTCGCGCCCCTCCCCCCACCTTGTGTCGCTCACCACCAGCCCTAGTGCGCGCAAGCCAAATAGGTACTGTCACAACAAGCTGGACAGCTCCTGCCGCAAAAAGTCTAGGTGCCTAACCACTGTGCCTGGCGACTGCTCCTTGCTGAGCCACTGTGGTTTCCAGTTCCCACGCTCTTTGTTGCTTCATCGTCCTCATCTAAGCCGAAGCTGCTACATCCTCAGCTGCTGCAATAACACACTGCCCCATAGCTGATCTCGTTCTGCATGACCTACTGACAAGCTGACACAAGGTACAGCCGAGCGGGCGAGTTGCATCACAGCCAACAAGGAAAAGATTGTGATTCTTGGTCCTTCCCTCAGCAATTCCAGGCCCGACATCGAGGCTACGCACCAGGCGAGCATATCTACGACTGCCAAGAGCGGCACATCTTTGATGCAGGGCCCGAGCATACCAGCCTAAGTGGAAGATGATGACGGAGAGGACTTCACTCGTGTCTGATAGCACCACATGCCAGTAGCCTCGTTGGTATTCAAGGCATGACCCATTTTGGCTGGCTCCTGGTGGCGAGGCGGGCGACCTTTGCTCAGCTGTCGAGGAGGCTGGGCTCGGCAAGTCCGCAGATGCAAAGACTAATGCAGTTGGCGATGTCGCAGCGCATCTTCCACGAGACGGACGCGTGCGGAGAACCCCTAATAGTAGCTCGAAGAGCTTACCACAACTTGCAAGATCTTGACGAGGCCGAGGTACAAGGACAGGTGGACATCACCAACCATACCGACCCTACTTCATCCGCGCTATCACAGCTGGTCCGACGTGCATCTTGCGAGGCCTCTTTCCGGTTGCTCAAGCATGGCTCCAGGATTGGCCTTGACGATGTTGTCATTCTGAGGCTAGAGAAGGTGCAAAACAAAGGAGGGGGCAATGCGTGATGGGATCATGAGCATGAATGTGCTGTCTAACTCGGGCGATCTTGGGTTGGTGGTGGGCCTAAGTGATTATTGATCTTCGAGGAAGTGGACCGAGGCTTCCGCTTCAGGGTGGTAGATGGCCTCCAGGGGATCGGGGGTGTGGATCTTGAAGGCCGAATAGAAGGACAGCCTGCGGGGCTGATCAGACGTGGAGATGCTGGTCTGTTCCGCAATGCTTCTGGCGGCGACTCGCGTTTCTGATGGAAGATACCCTTGAGGCACTTATCGATGACACGATTTTCCAGCGATGAGATGCCTGAACCATACATTGAAGGCGGTGAGACCTCAAACAACCATGGAACAGATCACCACCATATTTGTTACCAGTCCTGCGCTGTTTATTTACCCAGTTGTCAGAACCGATTTGCATGATATCCCTTGCTCTGGAAGAGGACACCCTGTTACGTGGGCTGCCCGTACAATCCCAACACCGGGATTTTGAATCGCTTGATGAGGGACACTGCCGCCAACGCGAGACCACGATGCTATGGGGAGATTGGAAGGGAAGTATTCGGCTGTACAGTCTGCCATGCAAAACCGAGCAGATGAAGTCATGAGTTAGGCTGGTTGGCTGGATGAACCGTGGCAGCCCCATTTCCCTGCATTTTCCCACATGTCCCATTACCCGCATTTCCCCTCCCGCTCAATGCCATGGCCAATTGAGACAGGGCTCGGACAGCTGCATGGTGGACCGGTGAGGAGGCACGCACAGCCTGCACGGCATTGTTTGACAAGCTGCTCAGAATGATCACATGATGTGGTGTCAGGCCAGAGGGACAGACCTGAACAGACCAGGCCAAAGGATGGAAGAGCGAGAAAAAGAAATAGAAAAGCAAAAGACCGGGCATCGGAAGTCGGTGAGGCTTTTGTCAGCCGACTATTGAGCCGTTAGGTGCTCCCTTTAGAAGGCGCAGGTCGACCCCCACCTAAGCTCGACTCTCGACAGGCGGACCTGGACACCTGCAACTCGACGTCATATGCTCACGGTCACCCTGTTGGGGCTGTTGTCAGCAGCAGGCCCGGCATTCAAGGCCAGGCTGTGTCTCTGAGGAATGTCGCAGCGTCATCTGGACCTGGAAATAAGCTTTGGACATAAGTACGACCCGGCCACGAGATGACGTCTGCAGCAGGACAGGTGTCATGTCCCTATTGTCTGCGTCGCCTGCCCGATCTGCGCGTCTCAACGGCTCACTGTGAGCCTCGCAGGCCTCTCGGAGCCTGTCATATATTCCTGAGGCTTGTGTCCCCTCCAGAGAACCCGCCTCTGTGCGAAGGTTTATACACCGCTGCAGCGCCAGCACATCAGGCCAAGGCCCAGGTTGATCCTCCATTTCGCACCCTCTGTAGGGATTCACTCTAGTTCCTCTAGATCGATCGCACAAATCGCCTCTTCTTCTACCACCCCGCAAAACAACATCCCAAACAAGCAAAGCTGCAGAGACCCCTAAATCCTTTCCGGGCCTGGCTGCAGCATCGCTCAGGACTACATATACAGCTTTTATTGGAGAGTCAACCGTGAGATCCGGCCTTGCGTTGGGTCTAGTTGGGATCCTGCAGCTTTATTTACCATCAACAGAAGGGGCCCGTCTCACCCGAGGGTCAGATCTGCGGTGTCTGCTCGGCCAAGGTCGCTGGAAACTGCCAGCGCCCCCCGCCACAAGCGTCGATCTCTTGTAGCGCGCAGGAGTGGTGTGTTCACTGGGATCAACAGTCGCAAGCTCCAGTTTCCAGGAGGTTGGGACGCTGGCCAGTAGGGGGGCCTGTTTCAATGCTGGATCCTACATCCTTGCGGGCCCAAACGTCACCTTATTAACCCCCGTTGCGCAGTTGTGCCTTTTTCTGGCAGCGCCTCTGCACACCACTTCTGAACGATCACACCCACACACCCGTCTTATACTTTTTCTTTCTAACACTCGAAAGTGGACTTTTTCAACTCCTGTCGAGGACACATCCCCGTTCACTCCTCGGTTTTGTATCACTCATCTCTGCCATTGTCTGGTACGAGCCATTCTCTACCATGTGGTCCTACGACAACGGTTCCAGCCGTCGAAGCAGGGACAATCCCCCGAGCTCATCACGCCGTTACTATGGTCCCGTCTACGACCAACCTTATTACGACGACGGCCCGCTGGCATCATCAGTTCCTTCCTACGATCGGCATCGTCGCAAATCTGTCCCGGTGAACTCAACTCTAGACGAAACCAGACAGCCGCGGCGTGCCGCTGTGATCGCATCAGACGATGGATTTGACAAGCCCTTTGCGAGAAGTGGCTTGGCCGACCCTTACAGCGGAGCTTCTTCTCGTCATGATGTTGAGGCCAAGACAAGCGACCGGCACAGACATTTCAGAGACAAGCGCGGGACATACGAGATAGACGAGGGCCAGAATCTGAGGAGAGCAAAGAGCTACAGCCCCCACAGGGCAGCGAGGGAGGCAGAGGCCCCACGGCGAGTCTCACCAGATGCAACGTCAAAGTCAGGCTGGCAGGAAGCCGACTACGCGGCCCCTGCCCGTCGGTCGTCGACCAGAAAGGGCAGAGAGCAGCAACAGCAGTACTACGACGAGGAGCCTTCGGCTAAATATGGAAAACCCCAAGATCGCGCCAGGACTGCCTACGATTATGGCGGTGGGGCTATGGGGTCAACCATACCGACGGCGAGAGACTACCCGCCTTATAAGTCGTCGCCCCTGACTTCTTCTTCGAGGGCGGCTCCTGAAGAGAAAGTCGGCAAGCACTCGCGAGGCCGAGACAAGACATACTATCAAGACCCTAGCCCTTCCTATGCAGAAGCTGAGCCACCCCGTCGAGACCGCCGGGGCAGGCATGCAGAGGACAGGCCCAGCTGGGAGGATGATGGTTACCCCCCCAGATCACGAGCCAAGCAGAGACCTCCGCCGGCGGATGACTACGAGGACCCCTACGCGTCGGCACCTCGACAACGCCACCGGCAGAGTGTGCCGCCGCAGGCCCGCTCGCGCCACGAGGATCCCTCTGAGGATCCATACGCTCCACCACGGCGGCGGGCGACCTCGGCCAGCCAGGGCGCGTATGGTGGCTACAACAACCCTGACGCCCGGGACAGACGATATCAGGATGATGACGGGTACGGCTCGTACGGTGCGTCTGGTGGTGCGCAGGCGGGGCCGGGCGGCAGCAGAAAGAAGGACAAGAGCAAGAAGATTGGCAAGCAAGCCGGCAAGCTGTTCATGACGCACGCGTTCCCTGTCATCAAGCAGGAGGCGGTGCCATTCCTGACCAAGGCGGCGCAGGCGTACTTTGAGTCGTCGAGGAAGTGAATTTGAGGCAATGATATTGTTAGGATGGAAGACTGTGATGTATGCGACATGATTGATGAGCTTTTGTTTCCTTTGTATGATGTGCACGGATTTGGAAAATGGGCATCAACGGCAACGAGGAGACCTGGTACGGGCGCACTTGGGAGACCTTTCTGACCCTCTTTTGTTTCAGTGACGTTGTCGACGACACGAAGTCATGACATACACATTTTTGAGACTGTGGGCATGGGCTAATAGAAAGGAGCAGCATGACGGGATACTGATTTGGATGATGAGAGAGGAGAAAGTGTATTATGTATACATGCCAGATCTACTCAATACTTTACTCTTGTACAAGTAACAATGATCACTCATTTCAATAGAAAACATGGTTCGGAGCCGCCTGGGTCTGAGAGCCACAGCGGAGAATGACTTCACCAATATTGCTACTATCACCAGCCTTCACTGACTCGGCTTGGGGTGTGTGGTCTTCTTTTCACCCACCTCGTGAGTTCTCTGGCAGCATATATGGGTGTGCTCTTTACCTGGCAGTCCACAATGGAATGATATGGGCTTCGAACCTCTGCATTAATCGATTCTGCTCCTGGAGCTTTATGACAGAATGTACATCAGCCAGAAAGAGACGCAGGCGATATTGTCTTCGCCCTCTCCGTCACACACAAGACAATCTCTCTTTTGTGTCTCAGCATGGAATCGCCTCAGCCGCCACCGCCACTGCCAGCCCATGAGAAACACAGCCCCTTTACTTGTTTAATGTCTCTGATTTAGCTCATCGTTCATGTGAGAGAGGAGCAGCATCAATCGCCGTCCATCTCGAGAGAAGTAAAAAAAAATTATCACAAAGCGTAGGGAACAGGCCAGCCAGTACTCCATGACAGCGCATTCCAGCCAAACTGGTAGTCTGCATCGGCCAGACCGATGTTCGTATCCGCTACATTCGATTCAAGAAGGACCATGTCAGCTTCCATAAGCCTTCCTAGGGCATTTCGAGTCGTTTCTTCCCTTCATTTCTTAAGAAATTTACAATAATGGAGAAACTCACCATAATGATAGTAGAGAACCGCACCGTCATAGTCAGCATCAACCAGCAGGCCCTGCCCACCAGGCCCATAGACATAGTCATGGCTAGCAAGCACCGTCGTGCCGCCGCTCTCGGTACAGTCGACACCATTCTCGTCGACATAGGGCCCGCTGACGCTCGTGCTCCTGCAGACGCGGATCGAGTACTCCTCGCCGGCGGCGGGCAGGTCCGTGTCGTAGCCGCAGCAGGCGCCGGCGCTGAAGAAGAGGTAGTAGTAGCCCGTCGAGCCGCGCAGGTAGATGAAGCTGGCCTCCTCGGCGTGGTCGGTCGAGGCGTTGTAGGCGATGTTGTACGAGGACCCCGACGGCGCCGTGGGCGGGTTGGTCATGGCTACCTCGTAGATGTCGTCCCAGAAGGACCCAAAGGTCATGTAGTAGGTGCCGTCTGCGGCCTCGACAACGGCTGGGTCGATGGCATTGTCTGAGACGGAGGGGGTTTTTCATGGGTGCGTGTAAGTGGGGTATTCCTTTCATTCTTCTATCTTTCATTCTGGGTCCGTTGGAAGGGGTGGTACTGTCTGATCTGACTTACAGGCTTTAGAAGAGGAAGACGCGATGCCTGTGGCACCGTGGTCCGTCCAGGACCCAACCTCCATCGTGGTGGACGTTGCGTAGCCGATGGCCGAGGACTGGGTGCCAAATGTGCTGATGGCATAGTACATGTAGTATGTGCTGCCAACCAGAATCACCATGGGAGCCTAGCAGAGTGATTGGTCAGTCTCATGTCTCTCCGTTCCTCTTCCTCCACCCCCTTTCCCTAATAGCTAGATTCTTTTTTGGGCCAGTCTTTTGCGAATGAACAATGTATAACCACATACCCAGAGGTCCGTGTTCCCAGTCAGGTCAATAGAGCTCCCATCAGGTAGAGCATAGCCATCATTGGTCCACGGCCCGGTCAGTGCTGGGGCCGAGTAGACGCCGACGCCACCGCCGGTCGCGAAGCGGAAGTACGTGCCGTCCGACCTCTTGACGACGGCCGGATCATGCGTCCAGCAGTTGCCGCTGCAGGCCTCCGGGTCCGGGTACGCCCCACGCACCAGGCTGGGCAGGGCAGCGAGGCCCAGCGCCAGTGATGACAGGCCCCTGGTAAGCTGGCTCAGGATCATGGTGACGATCTCGGATCTTGCCGTGGACTTGAAGTGTGGAGGAGTGTTGTTAATTAATTGCACCAGCGGAGAGCGATCGACGACGACACCTCTTCTCTCTTCTCCCACCCATTGGCACCAATGATCATATGCTGCGACCACCTCATGATTATATTTCTGGTGTTCGACCTGTCACACAGAGATCTCGACAATGCGCGCTGGGTGGTTGATTGGTGGGAATCCTAACGCTGGGCGACCAAGTCAATATTACATCTATTATGGAATGCGGAGGACGGAGCCTCCATCTTTTTTCCTTCCGCATCCTTCTCTGTACCCACATTCAAGAAGACTCATGAGATGCAGATGCCAGCTAGGTGAAGGGGCCCGGAGACAAGTCACGAGGGCCAAGCCCTACGTGGCCCAAAGTGGCAGGTCGTGTGCCAAGTGGGCATAAGCGTGAGGAATAATACATGCCGTGCATTGTCACTGGTGCAAGTCAGGGCGACTGCATCCAAATGCCGACGTCTAATGAGTGGGTCGGATCCCCAACTGATGTGAACGTTACTCCCGTTTCCCAAAAGAGCCCAGGAGGAAAGGTGAGCATATTCACAATAGTACCGACATGTTCCTGACTGACGGGAATACTGCATACCTTCCTTTACATTCCCATTTTCCCAATTTCCCCCCAGCCTGCTGACTCGTCTCACTGACTTGTGTGGTTGAGTGTCGTGACCCCAAATCTACTGAACCGCGCCAATGAGCGAGGCTGAAGCTCTCGGCATACCCCGATCAGGGCAGGTCACCGGATCCATTAGATAGACAGGAAGGAAAAAAAATAATTCCACATCAGATAATCAGAGGGAAGGATAACAAGAGAGGAAAAAAGGGTTGTGTGGGATGCAATATGATTAGAGCGCGTCTAGAAAAGAGCATATATGTTAATTACAGCGTCAATTCAGCGAAATCAGTAATTCATTACAATGGCAAGGGCAAGAGACACGACACTTACGAAAACGAGACCCCCTAGACAAGTACCCCGTCATCACGTGGACTTCTATCCATGGGCTTTGATCCACCGTTCAAATTCGTCATAATGGTATATGGCTTTCCATGGGCGTCGTCAACTTGCGTGCCTCTTCATAATCGACGTACCCTTTGTGAGTGGATCACAAGGACTAGTCCAAATGCTGCACCAGGTGGCTTTCATTGCCTGCCCACATCTCCAGTACGTACAAAGACTTCCACCTGTAGCTCCAGTGGGACGCCGCGTACATGTTCCTCGTGCTTAGTTGACCCGAATTTGGGCACAGAACAATACTGATTGCGCCCATAACCGGACACCTTTGCCTACCAAAAGAAAAGAAATTTAAGGAAAAAGGAAAAAGGAAAAAAGGTGAAAGGAGGAGAGAAGAGAAAGAAACATAATAACACCTTCAGAATGAGTTGTCCTTCGAGCTCCGATACATACTGCTCTCGAGAACCCCAATAAGCCGAACAGCTCGCACTGACAAGGTCAACTCACCTTGCTTGATCTGTTCTGCTGCCCAATACACAACCACCAGGTGATCTGGCCCATATATTTCTTCCTCGCTTCCGACGGCCTCAAGTAGTGACTGCAAGGCACCGACGCCCATCAAGAGCTCTTGGAAGGTCTCTGAATCTCATTTACCACTGCAGCCGGCCGCCACGCCGCGGCTTCGGACCCCAGGGTAACCACCGCCAACGTGTCCGCGATCGAATTTGCTCAGCTCGGATAAGAGTGCACACGCTGCCACCACTCTAAAGCTTTGCATGTTCTCATACCTCGACCCATCGGGACTGGCTGACTTTTCATTGCCGACGTAGACACAGGCAAGACACAGATGCAGGCTGTCGTGTTCTGTTTCGTACCCCGTCAGTGGCGCATGTGAATCACGAGACACCTTCCTCATCAGGCCTGTGATCCAGTCGCAGATGCGCCCAAACTCATCTTTGAGCTTAATGCTTTGGTCTCGCTGGCGGTGAGTCTGGATGCCAGATTTGTTGTGGATGTTGCCGGTGAACACTTCCAGCTCTGTGATCGGGTTGATAGGGTGCTCCGAGTATTGATTCATCGCGTTGGAGACGGCATCTTCGTACCAGCCGCGGATGTCCCGCGCAGTCTTCATGTGGAAGACATACCCTTCCGTTTGGTCAACGATAGCTTGATAGCGCGGCCGAATGGCGATGAGGAAATCATCCCAGAATGAAGCAGACCGCGGCTGAAATTTTGATTGGACGTCCTCCCGCCATATCTTCTTCTCGTCGACTGCTCGATACAATTGACCCAGAATCTTGTCCGATCTATAATAGCGATGGCGCTGGGGAGAGAACTGATCCTCTTCAGCGTCGGCCGCGGGCTCGACAATATTGTCGTCGAGTCTAACGTCTGATTTGTCTATGACGTGAACGTCTCCCCCAGGAGCGAGACTTTATCGATGCTCCGTCAGATATAGACGAGGAGGGGAAGAAGAAGAAAGAAAGAAAAAAAAAAAAAAGAGGGGGGGGGGTTGGACAGAAATAAAACCTAAGTGCTGCAAAGGAGAACTCACAAGTCGGGCCTGTATCTCTCTGCTCTTGGGAGCTCCTTGAGGTCGACCGCTAAACCTGTCTTGGAGTAGTCGACAGCCGTCGAGTGAAAACGTGACAACGTCAAACAGTCATCATGCAGGGTACCGGTATCTCGCTGGTCTGCCAAGATCATGTGTCTTGTTGCGATGACACCAAGGTGGTCTGACTTCATGAAATCAATGAAGAAATCGGCCATATCCTCTTTGGTCACTTCACGGTCTAGGCCCACCGGCGCCACTCGCGGATAGTCTGCTGGGGCGAAGACTGTCGCGCGTCTGGCCTGTTCATCCCAAATGACGTTATAAATATCACCGTCTAGGTCGCCCCCAGACAGCTGCGAAGGAAGATCATGGGTGCCGTGACGACTGAAGACAATGACATTCATGTGGTCTCGCAGAGGATGGCCATTTGGCGGATTTGCGAGCAATGGTGCTTGGATGTCACCCGGGTGAAGCGCTGGAGACCGCGTAACAAGCACACGGCCTCGAGTTGGGGGTGGGGGAAATCGCTCTTCGCATCTATCGTAGGTGACGTAAACCTCGTTCTCTTTCAGAAAGCCAGTCTCGTCCATGATACCGAAGAGAGTAATGCCATTCTCAACAGGAATCCGAGCTTTGTGCTTCAAGAGGCGCAGTTCTCGAAACACAACTGCCTTTACTACCGAGCACATAAAGTGGTCATTCTGCCAGTCGACTCCCATCTTTGCTGCTTGTCGGAAAAGATAATCAAAGCGAATATTTTCCGCGATTTTCTTGTGCTTCAAAAAACCTGCGACGTTGTCTGTGTCAGTCATCACCTCTCTGATCCGCTTCAGCTCTGTGTTCTGCATTGAGAGAAACACGATGGATCAACACCCATGTCTTCCAGTATCTTGATCATCTGGCGGTTCAGTACGAGTGGGATCGGCTTCGAAGCCATGTCACAGATCTCGAGAACCCTGTCGTCATCGCTAGCAAATTTAGTCATGGAGGGCCTGAACCGGATGACGGACCCATTACTTCTGGAATCCACTGCTATCATGCCCTTGGTGCCTCGGCAGCGTATTTGATACGCGGTTGGAGGGTTTGCTTTCTGGGGTAGGATGTCGCTGATGATGTCGATGACATCCCATGTAAGTGTGCCAACACCGTCACTGAAGACACGAGTGCCATCTTCAGACGTCACGTCTTCTATATCTTTGACTTTTATCCCGTGCTCGTCGAGGGATATCGAGAATGGAGTCTCAGAAAAGGCCTGACCAATACGAGCAGCGCACCGCGCTGGGGATCGAATTTTCGAGAACTGACCCAGCGCCTTGATGATCGAGAAGTTTGTTCGAAACTCATTGTCGTGATAGAACGCGGCGGAAAACTAGCCAACTCCTTAGTCAGTCCCACATGTAGTCCTATGTCATGCCAAGACTTACCCAAGTGCTGTGCGATCTCAATGAAGAATGCGAGAATCCCAAGAAACCGTATATCCGTCCCGCAATCTGAATGCCTGTGCTGAAGACATGTTTGAACCTGTCCCAGACCTCAGCTAGATCGACTTTGGCATTGTAGAAGAGATCCTGCCCATTCTCGTCGCAGAACTGAACCCGAAGAAAGTATTCGTGGTGTTTGGGGTATTTTCGGAGGATTCGATTCTTGACTTCAAGCTCAGGACCGTGTAGTGTGATCCTGGTAGGCGTGACAGTGGCTCTATAGATTGACGCCAGATTCCGAGTGGATGCTAAGAGTGCTGTTTGCATGCTGATGTTTCCGCGAGCCTCCTTGTCTCTTTTCAACAGGAGAGCAATGATGGCTGTCACCTGAAAGTCCGACGGGTCGCCGTGGGGTTTTGGCCAGTCTATTTCTTTGAACAGCATTCTCATGGCGTTCAGGGAAATAGGTTGTCTTCCAGTGTCTCGGTCTGATTTGAATTTACGCAGCAACTCCTTCAGGAGCGATAGAACGACACTGGGATGAAGATATGCATTGAAGGCCAGAGCCTGTAAATGGAAGAGAATCCCAAACGGCAAAAGTCTTGCTTTTTCCACGGAAGCAAGTTCCTCGAGGAGAGCATGCATGGCGTGTTCCGAGCACCCGAACTGTTGCGGTGCCATTCGCAGAGTGGGAATCGGAAAGCGCACAAAGGGCACAACGTGGTGGTTTTTGAGCGTTCTCATGGGTCTGTGCAAGTCTGAGCCTGTGACTTGGAATTGATAGACGAGACAGTGTCCGACTACCTTGGCATGCTGCTCGTTCAGGCTGCAGACACGGGTGCGTTCGGGTTCTTTGTTACCACTGAGATCGTTCACGAATACCGACTTCATCAGGTCAAGCATGTTTTCCATCTCGGGGTCAATATGACGAGAGGTGGATGGCTTCTCGGGGTTACTCTGATGAAAGAAGGATGGCCCCTCGGATAGAGTCAGATTAAAAGTGTGGTCGAAGGAGCAGACGAGGCTGACGATTGTATCAAGTGAGATCCTAACGATGTGACCGCTCTTGAGCTTGATAAGAAGCGTATGTTTGGAGAACTTCGCTGTGCCAGTGTCTCGGATCTCGACCTCGGGGACGAAGACGAGCCTGTCGCCGTCGAAGACATTGTATCCACAGTTGAGAGATACAAGATTGAGAACCTCGGGAGGATCTTCCTCGACAACGTTGCGCGTGGGATTCGCTTTCTCCTCGGCAGTATACTTCAGAGCTCTGAGAGTGATGGGGTTGGGTTGTCCAGCCACGGCCCTGGGGTCGTTTGGGTTTTTGCTGAGCGAACAAAAGATCTCCTTGCCAGCTAAGTGCAATCTAGATCGGCCCCGATGTCGCTGGTTATGTGGTTTGCGTCTGAAGGCGGAGGCTGTTGCTCCAGCGACTGAAGCGTTGGTTGAAATACTTGTAGAATTACGGCCAGATCTGGCGGTGTTGGAGTTTCGTGGCCCATTTTGAGGCGGCTTATGTTGGTCAAGCTCCTCGCCATGGCTATTCATGAAAGCCTGGCCATGCAACCGCTTGTGGAAGGTGATATTAGCCCATTTCTGTCTCTTGTACTTCTCACAAATGAAGGCATCTTGAGGGATCCCCAGCTTAGCCATGAAGGGTTCAAGTTCCTTTTCGACTGCTTTGTCCGCAAGAAATCTGGGCAGACCGTGCATGTGGACCTCCATTTTACCAGGTCAGAAAGTGATCGTATTTAGAAGAGACTGGACAGGTTGAGGAACTCCCAGAGTGAAACTGGATGGTTGGAGGCAAGGAGGACAATCAGGCTTCAGAGGGCAGCGCGTTTGTGTACGCCATCAAATGCAACTGGGATCCGCTAGCGAGATAGGTTGAGACTTGAGGAGACTAACTGAGAAATCAGAAGAGCACAAGGATCCGGGGACGGTGGATTTGGGCTAGGAGAAGGAGGGTATTTGAATTTTGCATGTCAAGAGATAGGAAACAAGAAGAGAAGGCAAATAACAACTTGAGGCTCCAGGAGCTGAATATGGAGGGGCAGCTGCCCCCCCCCCCCCCCACAGGGGTCCTGAACTAGGCGGGCCAGGGTCCTGGCGCTCTTAGCGCATGGAAGCACTCACTGGCTTGCCTCTAGCGCATGCAGGAGGCCCGCCAGGCTAGGGCGCATCCTTGTCCATGATCATGTAAGCATTTGACTGAAGACCAACGTCAATTTCTAATGGCTGGCTTTGCATCGTTACGTCTATGGTACCATTACTTCTGGCCTTTGAGGCCTGCATGTGCCGACGCATGCTCTTCTTTAGTCATTTTCCCTCCCTTGTTGCTGTTCCATCAAATGCGCTCTATAGTGGCTCAAATTGTCTCTTAGTTGGATCATGCCTTGACTACTTAGTTCCCAACAAGCTTGTCTAGCACAAGTATCTTGAGACTTGTTCCTAATATCGCCAAGCGTTGGCCCCCCCACTCTTGATTTTGCTATTGAACATCGAGGCTGCTGCCTTCTACAGGCACAATGACTTGACCAAGGGACACACATGGTCTACAAGGACACAAAAATTCTTGGGTAGTCCGACAATGTCTTGCCCACTACATTGACCATCATGTATACCCCCGCCTGGGGACTGATTTCCTGCTATCTATCTGCCATAAGCTGACTAAGTATCTTGAGCAATCATCATTGTCGATTGTGCCTTCATAAGTTGAAAGAAGGCACCTAATTCTTGTGAGCTCAGTCAAGCCTCTGACCCCAAAAATACTTGTTGTGGCAAGCGGACATGCTGGTGATTCATAGATGTAGCAGCGTTCTGTGGTCATTCGTGTGTTTTGTGTACTTAGCAACGGGTATTCAGGCATAAATACCCTCTTAATCATTCGATCCATTGCCAATACACTCGAGCGCATGTAAAGCCAAAATCAGCTGGTCGACCCCGACACCTTTTGCCTCGGAAGGCCTACAACTAGCTATGGCGAATAAGTTAGAAAGAATGCTTGTACAGCCCATTCGCACACATGAACCCGTTCATCGGCCTAGTCTCCGTCAGCTTCGTGTTCTACCTGTGGTTTCTGTAGTTGAAGTTTGAGAATAAAGACCACGGGAGCATAAGGATCACCACCAGGGGCGATCGTGTGGCGTTCGACACGCTATAAAATGTTTTGCATTGAGTCGTAAAGATTTGAACCTGCAGGCACCCCGTAACTTGCCCATAAAAACCCCCCATGAAAATCATCATAATGTGATCAAACCTCAATTCAACCCAGTACACCCCGTGTAGCTGGCAGTTGGCCTCAGAGACTGCGTGGTGACCCTCGACACTACAGCACGGCGCTGAAAAATTACATGGGCCCCACGATCCCAGCCAGTATGCATGAATCACCCTCAATCATCTCTACCCAATTACATACACTCCAGTGAGGAATATACCATCATCATATTCTTCCCTTGCCATATTGGTCCGAGTGAAATGGTAAAGTACAAAGGTAAATTATAGATACCAAAGACGGCAGGTCATGAACGAAGTCACACAGGATTATAGGAGTGATTCACATAAGTGATAAATCCTCCCAAGGCCCGGTTCGGCTGGGACTATCTAGGATGAGTTGCGCGATGTCTCTGCCCATAGTTGTTCAAACGGTATCTCACATGAATAACCAGTACACGTATATACATTACCTGCTGTGCATTTTGGGTGATGAGGGGACAAAGAGTACTGGTACGATCGTAGGAAGAACGCAGCGTGACGCTTGAACTGTGCTTGTGGCTATGCACACGCTGCAATAGCCTTGTTCCGTAGAATTAGTAGACTTGTTTGTTTACTTGGCTCGCGTTCCCTCCTATCACGTCTACCTAATTGGTTCCAGCCCATACTATTTCCTTGCTCTCCTTGCCTTCCACCTCTTCCACTGCCACCAACATCGCAACAACAACAACAACATCAACAACAACAACAACGACAACAACACCACCGCCGCCACCACCATCATCACCATCACCAGGTAAGACAAGCTGCACAGACTTCAATATCAATAACCCTTTGATAAATACTACTGGAAGGACTATAGCTCAATATTCTCTTGAGCATAGTCCTCATCTGCACTCTCCTTTCACGACGATTAGCACCCCTTCTGTCTCCTCCATCCCCGAGGTACAATATCCTCAGTCCCATCATTTTGTGACCAGCCAGCCCCTCTCAACATCCTCCTAGCCCATCTCCATTAGGAACACCAAATACAGATGCACTGAATCCTTTCTTGGAATTCCAGCATCTAGCAGATGAACCTTTGGGGCTACCTCTTGTACTGAGTTGGCCTAGTAACCCAGGACAAACATTTCTGGCTTTGATAATGTTTACAGTCTTTGCTTTCCCCAAACCTCAAAGAAGGATTGGCTGACATGTAGAGAGAGAAGACAGATCCAACCATGTCTCACCGTGGTGGCAAGAGAGTCCACCACAGCTCCTCTTCGGAGGATATGTCGTCGTTCCCAGGCGACAAGGGGCATCACCCCCGAAAGATGTACAAGGCCGACTACTACCGGCCCAGTCGAGTTGGTAAGTATCATACCCTCATCCAAACATTTACAACTTCAAAGCACAGCCAATGTTCCAAGCACAGGGAATGTTTTTAGACGAACAAACAAGCCTGTTCAGTATGTTATCAATAGCATGAGGCTGACATGTAATCTAGAGGAGCAAGCCCAGGCCTACCATAGCCGGGTGGGATACCAGGGCCAGGAGCGCCCAAACCGGCCTGTCGAAGCTGGCCCGTCTGTTTCTCGTCGCGGTGGTCAACCCACCACCACCACCACCACCTCTACCAAGTAAGTATTATACAGAACCTGCTCTGCCTATTACCACAACAACATCAGAACTAACCACTCCCAAAAATCAAGCCTCGTCGGCCCTGATGGCCGGTTCACGAACCAAGCCGGTCCAGAGGACCGCACCCTGGCCACCTGGGTGAAGCAGTGGGCCGAGATGTACCCCGGCTATACCGGGGACATCGCCCCCTTCCGCGCCGCCGTGCGCAACCAAGCCGAGGCCGCGCGCTTCGACGAGGAGGTCCTCGAGGCCGCAGAAGCGCTCCAGCTGGTGAGCGCCGACCAGCTGCGCCACCTGGAGAAGGAGCGCAAGTCTGTCCTGCCGGCCCTCCGAGCCCTGTCCTTTCCCCATTGCTACTCTGGGGATGCCTCCACCGTCAGGGAGTGCCTTCGTCGCGGCGTCGTCGCCTACCTGTACTTCATCCACTGCATCCCCGAGCTGTGGTGCAAGCTCGGCGAGAATACCCCGGCCAAGGGCCGTTTCCTGGACGATGTTGTCGCCGTCCTGTTCAAGGTCTGCAAGACCACCCCCGGCCCTTCCGACAATACCCATGTCGGACCTTACAGCAGCACCAGCAGCAGCAGCAGCAACCATGGCCTGCGCGCCCAGCCAAAGGACCTCCTCGCGCTGACCAAGTACATCTGCGAGCCGAGTCCTCTCTCCCGTCCGCCGTCCCAGCCACAGCCCGAGACCGAGGAGACCCGGGCGGTCGCGCTGCTTCTGGACTCCATCAAGGAGATCTGGAAGAACCAGGCGCCCCCCAAGGACTATGAAGTCCTGCCAGAACACCCCATGACCGCCGGCTGGCTGGTCGAGACCACCTCGCGGCTGCTGCGCGCATACGAGTGCAATGCCCGCTGGAGCGAGCGCCTGGCTCGCGACCTACCCGATGCCGGTAGACATCGCCGCCGACCCGATGTCGTCAAGTTCCATGCTACCAGGGTCAATCACAGTAAGCACTCCCTCCCACAGTCCAGCTGGAATTCCCCCCAATGTCTGGTTTAGATTACTGACTGTTTTGTTTTCTCTTCGTTCTTTCAGAGGAGCAGAAAGGCGCCATGCATTCTGGTAAGTATTCGAGCGATACTGGTCGGACGAGATGCTGATGCAATGTTACAATGGGCTCTGGTGTGTCTGGAGAGAGAGAGAGAGAGAGAGAGATAGAGACTGACAGTTTTTTTCTTCTTCTTGCAGATGAGGTCCGCTTTTTCTACCGTTGGGTCCAGGCGCACGGCCAAGAGTGGAAGCTCGAGGCAGAACGAGAAATGGAAGAGCGGCAGGGCGTCAAGAAGCAACAGCAAGAGCCCGAGGACCAACAGAAACAGAAGTCGAAGGTGTACAAGGGCTACAATCAGGGCCTGAACAATCGCAAGGATCAAAAGAATCTGGAGCAGGTGTTCATTAAACCCAAGAGAAAGGGGGGCTACGCTTCCACGCCCGAACGGAAGTCTCTGGCAGGCAACAATGCTTCTCCCAGCAGCACCTCTCCGACAGGTAGAGCTGTGCAGCCTGACTACACGACGACTCCCCGCCAACCCTTGTCTCCACCAAATGTCGCCAGCCCAGAGCCAATGGTTGTCGAGAATGCGCGCACAGTCGGACTGGAGGAGTTGAGGCGTATCAAGGAGCAGTACGAGACCCTGATGCAGAAGTAGGGGGTTTCTCCTCTGCCCCCTCTGCTTAGGAGTCCACTTTTTAAACATCCTGACGAGAGAGAGAGAGCTGCACAAGAGACGAACAGGTCCAATGGTGGCTGAGAGCTGATGTTGCCGCTTACAGTGTTTCGGATGCTCGCCGGCCACCTGCATGATATTTGGGTTCTGGTTTCAGTGTGGCATTTTTTTTATTGCGTTGGGTTGGGTCGGATTCGACAAAGGATTGTCAAAGGGTTCTTTTATTTTGTTCGTGTGTGTTTGAACAGGCAGCAATCAGGGCATCATGTGGTCAAGCATGTTTGTGGTGTTGGAAGTGTCTCGCCCAAAAGTCTGTTTTATGTGGTTTGGTTCAATGTTGAACCAATTGTTGAGATACCTGAATGATTACAGTGCGTGTGCACAACCATCTCCAAGAGTCTCGCGGACATGCTATCCGCATACAAGTTCGAGTGCTGTCCTGATGGTTCTGACCTCTAAGGTTTCTGGTCAGTTGGACTCGCCATGATGATGGTGCAGAACACTAAACATTTGAACGGCAAATTTTTACACAATTGCCTGACTTGATAACTTTGATGAAGATGGCTTTGTGTAAATAAGTGATTGTTTCTTTCAGTTTGCATGTTTACTAGTAAAATCCAGAAACCCCCTCCTGCCATCGACACAACCAAACACCATTCCCAACGTATAACAAATATCAGCACCCAAGATGGCTGGGAGACAAAGAAAAGCAAAGAAGCCCCTCACTGTGAAACAAGTCCCAGAATATCCCCAATGCCAGCAATCATATCAAATTCCTCCTTGTTCTTCTCCTTTTTCTCGCGATGCCTTTCCTCCCGCACAAACACGCACACAGCTGTAAGAATCAGGAATCCACACCAGTCCACGTCTTCCTCCTCCTCCTCCTCCACATTCTTCCCTCTCAACCACCCTTCGCCCAAGCTGTACGCTTCCAAGACCCCAAACTCAGTCAACCCACCGCCACCGCTCCCTACGAAACGCGCCAGGACACCATCATCATTCCCCTCACCACCGCCGTAGCCTCCTCCTCCTCCTCCTCCCCCAGAACCCTCAAGCCGCAACCGCCTATCGGTATTCATAATCCCACCATGCAGGACCCCAGCATCGTGCACCCATCGCAGCCCGCCCCCACCAAGCCATCCCTCCGCTGCAGACAACTCGTACCTAGCACTATCCCCATGACCACCATGTGAGATAACGAGCCTCCTGCAGCTCCTACTGCTGCTACCACTGCGATCACCACCATCTTCCACACCGCCCGTCCCCAGGGCACAATCTAAGAACTTCCCCGAGGACACCTGTACCACGCAGCGGCCAACGACGGCCCCGGTCTGCTGTGCCTTAACACAGAGCTCGATGCTGTCGCGGAAGGCCTTGGGCCGCGTAAGGTCAATGGTGTAGGCCTTGTGGTCTGGCGACGAGGGCGTCGCTGTGAGCGGGCCTGCGAGGGTGGAGATGATTGATTTTGGTGGTTCTTGGGGTCATGGTGGTGCTGATGATGATGCAAGAAGCCCATGTTGTCGCTGTGGTAATGAAGTAAGTTTTTACCAACCTTGTGTTGGAAATAGGAGGTTGTTGTTGTTGTGGTTTGCAGGTTGGTGGCGAACGGTAATAAGAGTATCGTCGGAGAGGAGCGGATTTGGAGTAAATAAGATAAGAGGTAATATTTATATATATATATATATAAATAGAGATTTTAGAACAATAATAACCCTTTTCTTCTGGGTGTTCATAAGACACCAGGGCAGAACTGTTGCCCTGCTTACACCTTCGTGACGTTATATCTACAGGCCGTGTGCATGATCATCTACCTATTTTGGGAGGGGAAATCTGTATTACCTGTCATCACAAAAAGCTGTGTATATGTGGTTGTGGTGGCAAACCTGCAAATGGCCCAAGGTGACTTAGAAACGCCGATCCTTTTGCGTTGATCTGGAATCACTGGCTGACAGACAATGTCAATGTCGCTGACTGATCGCAAGCCCCCCCCCCCCCCCTTCCAGATCACCCAAGGAAGAATCAAGCAGCAAGAGAGGACTCTGTAATCATGTTCCAGCAAATAGACATTGCTTTATTTATCCCGAGCAGACAACACCTATTCCTCGAGCTGAAGATGTACTTCTAAGAAGAAGAAAGAAGGGTCTGGCATTGGAATGCCACCCAGTTCGTTCATGTACATATCGCCCCGTACTAATTCCCGCCACAATATCACATTGCGGGACTCCTCTTTCATGTATCAACCGCTTGTCCAGTGTGGCTTGTCCAACATGGCCAGCGGAGATGAAATGTACACACGCGATACTTTCAACAGCGGTATCATGACACGTGCTCTATCCCGAAAGCTAAGGAACCCTTGGGTTTTCTTATCCCTCCCCTGCCCTTGTTTTCTTTTGATTTGTGGGTTGTTATTTCTTTGTGGCTGGGGATCATCTACTCCTCTTCCTCTAGCTAGGGAAAATCCCCAGTCCGTCCACAGCTGCAATCAAACCCTTCAGCCCCGTATCGGCATGTTTCGGTGGGGTTGGAGGTGAAGGCGACCTGCTCGTATCGGCCAGTTCCTATCTGGCAAATACCTTCACTACACCGTCGCCGCCACCGCTGACAACCCATCGCCCATCTTGACTCCAGACCACGGCACACACCCCCTCGCCGCGCATGACGCGGTGCGATGTGATCTCCTGCGTGCAACTGCGCTTCTCGAGAGACCAGAAGCGGAGCGAGGCATCATGACCTGCCGAGACAAGTTCGCGTCCGTCGGGTGACAGGGATAGAGATGAAATGGCAGCTGGGTGAGCGAGCATGTTGTAGGTGCATTGGCCTAGAGAGCAAAAAGCATTATCAGCATCATAGCCTATGATCACACAGAATATCACCTTGGGAGGTTTGCACATCCAGACTTACCGCTATTGGCGTCGAAGAACCGAACGAAGCGGTCCTCGTGGCCAGAAATGATGGTACCCTCGACACCGCTGCCTGCCATCTGCCTGCTACCGCCCGTCGGGCCCGCTCCGCCTGCACTCGAGTCGTCCTCGCTTAGGCCGAGTGCGCCGTGGTTGTTCTGGTGTTGGCTCTGGTCAAGCCCCACAGTGGTTGCGACGACTGCGTTTACGCTTGTGTTGATCGTACCGTCATACGTCTCGAGGCTCGCCATGCTGCCAATCTCCTCTCCTGTCCGGGTATCGTATACTATAATAGCAGCATCTGAGTAGCTCACAACAAACGACTCTCCAGACGCGCTGAGCGCCGAGATGCATGTCGGTGATGCGCTGGAGTTCTCGCGCGAGATGGTGTGGACCAGAGTATGGTCGAACGGGCTGTTGGAGGCCATTGTCGGCTGCGGGCTGCTGGGGAACGCGGACCCAGAGCTCATGCTGTTGCCTCGGACGCGTCCAGAGCCACCAGCTCTCCGTCCCGTCGAGGCAGGCGGCGGCTGTGGGCTCGTCATCTGAGGCGGTTGGCTCACAGACCAGATACGAACAGTACCATCAGCGGCGCCAGAGGCAAGGAGGATGCGGTCAGCAGCACCGTATGGACTGTTCTGTCCAAACACAGCGCCAAGTGTGGCGGGGAGCACGCAGATGGTCCAGACTGCATCGGTATGACCGTCCAGAGTTGCCTTGGGATCGACCCTGCCGCGCTCCCAGACACGAATAGTTGAGTCCTGCCCGCCCGAGAATATCCAGCCGTCGCCCAGAGCCCGGCCGCCGGTCGTGAAGTTGGGGGATTGCGACCATGACGTCAAGCAGAGCACCGCGCCGTTGTGTCCACGATGGGTGAAATCAGCCTGGACGTCTAGATCCGACAGGGAATTGCTATACATGTGTGGGCTGCCCCGTGGGATATGGAAGCGCTTGATCAGGCCGTCGTCACTGGCCGTACAGATCTCTGGCTCGCCAGGGCTGCCGCCTCCAGAGAAGATGACTGACCGTACCGCATTCAGATGGCCGCGCAGGCCGTACCGGAGCTTGAAGCTGCCACTCTCCGTCTTTTGCGCCAGAGAATTCAGAGACATATCCTGGTCAGAACTTCTCCGTCTCCCTAGAGAAGCCTTTCGACGGTGCACTAACTGTCCGCGCCCTGGGGATTTGGGCAAGACCTCGGCCGTGGGGAAAACATCAGTGTCGGGGCGATTCGATCCAGCGGGTGGTTGGGATTGCGGTGCAGGGTCAGGAAAAGAACCCTCATTAAAATTCCAAGCATCATGGTCAGCAGGTCCTTCCTGCTTGGGGGCCTCGGCACCGCCTTCGGTCCGAGTAAGAGGGTTCACGCTGTGATTTGCTTCCTGGGGATTATCGTCGACCATTCGAGAAGAGACTGATGGACCAGGCCACTGAACAGTATTTCCAAAGCCTTGCTGCGGATCAGCTGATCTCATGATACCCTGGGGAGCTGCGGTAGGCTGCGGCTGCTGGATCTCGGGATGCTTGACGGCTAGTTGGCTGGGAGGAGGCTGACCCTGCATAGGCTGCACATGGTTGGCGACCGGCTGCCCAGGCCTGAAGACTATATGGTTCTGGCCCTGGCGAGCAGCGGCAGAAGAATGGTGGTCCATTGGCGGCTGTGAGCTGGGTAGGCCGTACCCCTCGCTCTCCCGAAGATCTTCCAGCATCGGCAGCGGCGGCGACTCTCGTGGTGGTATAGGGTTGGCGGGCGTGATCATAAGGTAGGTGAATTCGGCCTGGCACTGGTCAAGGAAGGTCTTGAGGTCTGATCGCTGTGCCTCGTCATCGTCGGCCCGTTCCACATCTACCCCCAGGTCGTTCGAGACACCCGTGTTCTTCTCGGTTGCTGCTAGGCGGGGAGGGCATGGTCAGCGAGCGAGCGACGAGGTGGTAATTACAGGAAGGCGGTGGAGAGGAAGAGCTATAAATCAAAGGAGTGCAGACGTACAACGTAACTTGGCCTGGATCAGAGCTTCCCTGTCCAGCTTCTTGGGCTTGGGCGGCTCACCCTCGACCTTGTCCCCCTCGGCGGCAGCTTTGAGCTGGGCGCTCTGGTCCTTCACCTTGGCCTCGAGTATGGCGACGTACTTCTTCAGCGCCTTCTGCGTAGCGTCTGCACGTCGTGCTGCCCCTTCGAGGTTGGCTATGCGGCCTTTCATCTCCTGCTTCTCAATCTCCCAGGCATTGCGGTCGCGCTCGTGTCGATGCCACTCTGTCTGGAGGAAGCGCATGACACCTTGCAAAGTGTACTCGGTGGCATGGGGCTGGCCGCCGTTGGCATTGTTGATGCCACCGGGACCACCTCCATGGCCACCAGACTGCATGGAGTTGGCCATATCCTCTCCTGTCGCCTGCGGGCTGGGTGTGAGATGCGCCCACGGCCCCGTCTGGCCCAATGTGTGCTTTGAGGTCGTGGGTATTCGCGATGCCTGTGCTCGTGGGATCGTGCTTGGGTTTGAGCATGCGAGAACCGCGTTCAGTCCAGTGACCGATGCGTCCTGTGGGAGGAGAAGGAGGAAATGTGGGCTTCGTAAATCCGACCGGGGAGTGCGCCCGCTGATGTCCTGGCGTAAGGGCAGGCTATGTCGGGAGTCGCAATCGCATTTAGACACGCGAGATCTGCCAGCTCAAAGAAGTGAGCGAGGGAGGAAAAGATCGTGGTCGTGCTGGCTCGTGCGAAGATGGTCTGGCGGGCGTGGCTGGCTGATATCGAGTAAGTGACGATGCGCCGCCAAGTCAACAACCTACACAGGCCAGACAGTCCACTTCTCTCTCAACAGACCGAGGTGGCTTCGTCGCGTGGGTGTTCTGTCGGGTCGTGGCTCAGAGGAGACGGTGTTCGTATCGTTGTCTTTTCTCGTCAGTTCGTCGCGTCATCAGAACAGGTTGATTGATGTCTGGGCAAATGTTGTGAACAATTGCAACAACAAAAAACCCGTGGTTGACTTCTGACCTGATCCTGCCGTGGTGATGTCCTGGAAAGCGCATCGGCCATACAAGAGCTCTCCCCCAGAAGCCAAGGATTGGGCAGTGGCTGGCCACTGCAATGCTTGCCTGCTGCTGCTGTACCTCTGCTCCTTGCACCTTGCACCACTGGCGGGCTGCAGAGCTTGGAGCCCTGGGCTGCCAAGGGCGGGGCTGCAGACAGGGTCCACCACCAATCACAGTGCCTTATACCACCTAGATATCTGCTGAGGATGCACGGGCCAGGAGACTCGGGAACAAGTGGTCCATGCCCCTGGTTTACAAGGCCACTGCTGTGGTACGTACTTACTCAGTACTGTGTTATACTGATTGTGCTCTGCTAATGTAACGCAACGCAGTATGTAATCAATATGAAGGCCACACTTGACAGGTGTCTGTGGCAGCAAGGAAAAGTAGAGGAGCTTTGATAACATTTGTCCCAAATGCGCATTTGTATGTGTAAACATGTGCAAAGGCTGTACCAGCTTCACCAAGTACGTGATTTTGTCGGCAGCTACTACCAAATAGCAGCATGAGGGAAAGAAAGAATATGGCGCTGCTATGTAGGGTTCGGACCTATATTGGGTATTCTTCATCTCACAGCATCTGCTGCGAACCGCAGCACATCAGAACTCCAGCTCCTCGACCTCCATCCCACAACTTACACACGTCTTGACACTCTCCCCGTCCTCGTTCTCGATCGCACGCCCCCACTCGTGGACGTGACGTCCCGACCTGCCAATCTCGTCGCCGAACTTCTGTGCACTGCTGCCACCACCTGCTGCCCGCCGCATCGCCTCGGTCCGGGTCTTGCGCTTGAGCTCGAACAGCCTCTCCTTGAATTTCTTGTCCTTCTGCTTCTTCTTATTGGTCTCGCGCTTCTCGAACTCGGCGTCCAGCGCCTCGGCGGAGCCCCATTTCGTGTTGAAGGCGTATTCTTCCACTTGGAAACGCAAAAAGAGCATCATATCATGCCAGTGTGATTTATGCGGGTTGGGCTTGGAGAGATGTGGGAGAAGATCCTCGTCCCTCAGTTCGGCTGTGTCACCGTGTGTCAGTGTTGGTTCAACTGTTGTAACAGCGTGGAAGGCGGGGAGCATCTCGACTTACAGTCCGTGATGAGATAGTCTTCCTTGCACTCCGTCTTTGTCAACAGGCTGTACTTATCCGGAAATTTCTCTTTACAGGCATTGCAGACACGACAGTTAAAAACTTCGTCCCACACGAAATCAATTTCCAGGCTCCCGCACTCCCTGCACGTCTTCCTCTCCTTCTTGTCCGTCAGCGCGCTCAGACCCGGCTCAAACGGCCCGGCCTTTTGTCTCTGCAACTTCCGCAGCAGCTGTAACCTCTCCCACTCCGCAGCCGTCATGTGCTTGGGCTTCTGCTCCTCGTCCGGGCCACCCCCGTCCCCGCCCCTGGACGGTCCGCCTATGGACATGCTCTTGTTCCAAGGGTCATCCTCCGCCGACAGAAAGCCACCCTTGGTATCCGTCATGGCGCTGAAGTTGTAGTCCACAAACCGCGCGAACTTCTTGCTCGCCGGCCGCAGCGCCCCATCCTCGGCTGCAACATCTTTCTTGGCCGGTGGCCGCCCGTCGCGGTTCGAGGCCGGGACCTCAGACTGTGTGATGGACTCGTAGGGCCGTTTGTTATTGCGCGGCTGCTGCCTGGTGCCGGCGCCGACGACTTGGATGTCGGGTGTGTTCACGAATCCGGACGAGGTCTTGGCAATGGTGGGCTCGGTGCCGGTTGAGCGGGCGTGGGCTTCTTTTTGGGTACGGAGATCTTTGGCGCGGAGGCGAGATTCTTCCTGTTATTGTGGGGGATGTGTTAGATATAGAACATGCAACAATGATTTCCGTGTGGCCTGCAGAAGAGAAATCGTACCAGCTTGCGTGTGACTTCTGGTGTTGGAGGGGACGCATTCACGGCCTTGTTACTGGTCCGATTGAGCGGCGGTGGCGGAGTGGAAGGGCGCTCCATGATGGTCAAAAAAAAGTAATGAACAAAGTTCCGAGTCTAAAGAGGACAGAAGAGCAGTTATAAGATAGCTTTGAGGGTGCGGGTTATTGAGTTAGAGTTATCAGAAAGTCGTCTGTTCTAGCAGAAGTGAAGGCGAGGCTATGACGCTTGAGACGATTGGGGATGCGGCAGGCATCCACTCCGGAGATCCCGCATCTTCCACAAACACCAGTGACGGCAACTGCCAAAGAAAAGAAAAAGAAGAAAAATAGGCAATACTTTCAAGAGTGTGCTGGAATCAATGTGATTTCTTTTTATTAATGACATTGTATATTGTACGATCCTGGCATTAATTCCAAACAGATCAGCGCATGACATGGCGCTCCTCTCGCAGCAGCGGCACTAGATTTCCCAGCATGACCCGTTGCGCAAAGGCTTGCAATTCGAGCCCTCCTGGAAGACGTGCCATCCGGTGCCCGTAGCTTTAAGGTGGAGTTCAGGTCCCACAGACCCGATGCTGCACCTTCATTGTTGGTCCTAGCTCCTGCGCGCTGCCTGATTTACTCCTCCTTGGCGCCGCCGCGACCGGACCTCTCGGCAGCCTCAACAGCCTTGCGGTCGCTCTCGGGAGGACCCTGCATGCCGCTCATAAAGCCACCGGAGGCCTTGAAGGGCCTCTTGAGGTCGCCTGAGGCGGGCTGGCCGAGCACGTGGATCTTGAAGAGGTTGTTCTCGAAAGCGCCCTTGAGGGGGATGATGCTCTGGATCAGCAGCGGGTTGGTGTACTTGAAGTACAGGTGCATGACGGCCATCATGCCCACTCCCATCATCTGGGACCGGAAGAGCTGCTTGAGCTGCGCCGTATCGTATGCGTGGATCGTGGTCGTCACCAGTTTGGGCTCCTCTGAGGAGCCCATGGGGGCCGGCTCGACGTACTTGAGGGTGGTCATGTCTGCAGCAAGGATCGAGATTGTCAATACTGCCCTAGGGCCAGTCCAATCTAGGGGAGGGCAGGTATGGGATTTGGGAAAAGTGCGCACCCTTCTTCTTGTCAATCTTGGTCTTGATGAAGTAGTAGACGCCCAGGATGATCAGGTTGCTGAGGATGTAGAGGCCGCGGACACCGTTGAGAACGTTGGGGTCGTCAAAGGGGACCTTCTTGGACACCTGCATCATACCCAGTATGATCACCACGTTGACGCTAAAAGGCAGATATAATGTCAGTGTCGTTGCGCCAAGTTAAAACAGCCCGTTACTGCGGTCGCGTGCGCCGTGACCTGCACTCGAGATCCGGCGGTACGCAGCTTTTGATGCAACAACTCCTGGGGAGATGAACAGAGACATACATCTGAGGACTGAGGCCGGCCATCTTGATTGATGTGATTGATCTTTAAAAGAAAGAAAGAAAGACAGAGGTTGGTGCTGGGGAGCGAGTGTCAAAAGGACAGCTAATGCTGAGGATGGAGGAGAGGAATCGGCAACAGGCAAATGTTGAAGCTCGGCATACTTTTTGCTTGCAGCTTGTGGTTGACCACAGAAATGCCACCTCACGGCTGAGTAGGCTTGTGCTCTACTGGGTCTAGCCTCTTTGCCGGTATCAAGCCTGATTGGCCACTGCTGGCCACTGTCAGGACTGGCCGAGTCACAATGACCTGGCTTTATTCGATAAGGCATTGATAAGACATGTTGAGGCTCTAGCATAAAAACCATCTAACATCTTGGCTCTCTTTTTTTTCTTTCTTATCAACACAATCTTTTGCTGTGTGTCAGCCCTCATTTAAGAAATTGAACAAAAACATCGAGTAAATGAACCAAGCACAACCTTTTCTGTTTGTTCAATTGCTAACGGCATGTTTGCCATGCAGGAAGGTGCAGTACTTATGTGCGTGTTAATGATGGTCAAAACGTTGAATCATGGAAAGTGACATGGCCTGGTATCACCACCATAACTACTTAGTACTTAGCATTATTTTCTTCGTCTTCTTTACTACGGCAGCTTCCAACAAGCAGCAGTCAATCCTTAAAACCTTCTAAAAAGTCAGGACTGGCTCTCCTGAGCCATCAAGCCTTCCCGAAACAAGACATAGGAAAACAACAGCATCAGCTCTTCGCCTTTTCGTTCCGTCATGGATACGATCTTACCAGCGTTGAGTGACGAGCCCTGTCGCTATCCAGATCTCTGCCTCAGCCTCTCCAACAGGCTCATCCACTGTCTCACAGACATTGTTGCCTCGGCCAGCAACAGTTCCAGCCCAACCCTCGTCCTCTCTGTCGGTAGTGGCAGTGGGCTCCTGGAAGCTCACCTGCAAGCCCGTTGGGCAGCTCATCCCGAGGGCAGCAACCTCGAGGTCCGAGGCGTTGAAATCCGCACCACACCCCCCGCACGTCCTGTCAACCGTTGGCTTCCTGAGGAATATTGCAGCACTGTCAGAGGAACCTGGGAGCTCTCCTCAGACCTCAAATCCGCAGGGGCCCTACTGTTCGTCTACCCGCGAGAGCCTGGCTTGATCAGCCGGTATCTGTTGGCGGCTGCCGAGAAGCAGGACAGCCTCTTGAGCACGGTGGTGTGGCTAGGCCCCCAGGCTGACTGGCAGACCTTTGAGGCTTGCCTGCGCGATGCACCAGGCTTTGGGCCTATCCAGATCATACAAGATTGCGGGTTGGTCGAGTATGAGATGATGGCCGTCATACGCAGGCCATCGATCGATACCCTTCCACCACCATCCTAAGTGAGTGTATGTTGCAGACGAGGTCAACATCCACATTACAGACAAGGCTCGGTGGAATTCGCCTTTGCAGTGACCATGGCAGGCAGGAGAGAATGTTCCGTCTAATAAAAGGAGGCTTGAGATATTTAGTACGAAAATCTGGGCGTCCCAACAAATTAACCTCATATGGCTATCGATGGTCAGTAGGTGGGTCTTTGTCTCAGGAGGTCAAGCTATGCTATTTCTCTTATCGTGATGTCTTCTTGCTTTGCTAATTAGCATCCTCGCGCAAAGCATCCATGAAGGCTTCGCGTCGCGAGCTACCCGTTCGGTCCGCCAGGCAGCGGACAAGTGCCAGCCCTGACAGGCTACCAATGCGATGCCCAGAATCATTCGAGTATATGTCGCTCTGCTTTGTCAGAAGCTAACTCGAGATGGGTGTCGTACATGCAGCAACCAGTGGTTTTCTATGTACTTGCACCGCGGAACCTGCGGAAAGGCCCGCACCGTAGACCGACGCCTTTGTCCTCCTCGTGTGTCACACCGTTGTCTTGCGCCCTACTACAGTACTTGGACTTGGGGGGGGGGGGGGTTTTCTTCTTTTGGGTCTGAGACAAATGATGCCACGTGTGGGGCACCGGACTGGCCTACTGCTTGTCTACATTCAGTATAGGCCACAACAGTAGTGGCAACGTTGGTGGGAATATTTGCTCCACCGTGCGTGGGACTGCGCTGCTATGGACCCCTGAATTCGGCCCATCATTTCACAAGGCTCTAGGCCCTAGATTTATGGGCTCTTGCAGGCCAATGTTTTTTCCTCTTCTTAAAGGCTGCGCAGGAGATTTCGTCGTCCTTGATCGGCCGGCTATCATGTCCCCATGTGTGGTACTCTAACGACCTGATTTCCACATCGAGACATGCCTCCGTACTATGATATGTCTTGGTCTAGTGATAAGAGAGTGTATTTTAGCATCTTGTCATGTCGGTGTCCCACATATGCTTAGCTAGTTGGTGATGTTGGCAGTGGTTGGTTGCTGGCTCCTTGGTCTTGGTCACAGTATCAAACCAGACACGGTCTAGTTTCATGTGATATGTGTGCCTTGGGGGGGGAGGGGGGGAAGCTCAGCAGCTGGCCTAGTGACCGCTTTTTCTCTGGTACACGTTGAACAATGGTTCGACATGGCTCAAGTGCTACGTACGCAGCACTTGAGCTAGGGGAATTTGATCTACAGTAGTACTGTGTGTGGTATGGGGTTCAATTGTGGCCCTGTACTAGCAGACGACAGGGACAAGTTCCCCAGAACAAGGCTTGCAAGGTCAAGTTACAAGAAACTTGTGTGACAATTTACATTGGGCCCCCCAGCTCCAGCCCAGCACAATCGGGCCACCCCTCCTTCTTGTGGTCCTCTGCGTCGCAGACAAATCCACAATGCTTCGTCCATACAGGGCAGAAGTGTCGAATCAGTCCACATGGAATACTAGCATCTCCATCTGCTTGGCGTTTCCGCGTTACATCGTCGCTGGTGGCCATTGGATAGGGGCAAATGCCCACCGCATTTGGGGCAACGTTGCGATTCATGGGTCTTTCTTATTTGAACCTCGGCAGACACCCTTTTTGGATACCTTGGACCGCTTCCTTCTAGAAACATTATCCTTCCTCCTCGCTGGCGTTGTTATTATACAAGAGTCTCGATCTCAGGCACAAACTTAAACCTTCAAAAGTGATCAGTTGCTCTCCTTCCACAACTTCAAACATCCTCATCCTCATCCTCATCATCAACGTCAACAATCATGGCCGCCACCGTCAACAGCAAAGCTCTTATCTACAAGCGCGTCCCGGAGGGCCTCATCCGGCCCAACGTGGATATGGCCTTTGAGGACCGGCCCGTGGAGCTCACAGCACCTCCCAAGGGCATGGTCGTCAAGACGCTCATCATCGGCTTCGACCCGCACATGCGCGACCGCATGAGGGGCCCCACCTTTGAGAGCTACGTCCCAGGCTACATCCCCGAGGAGCCCATGAACACCTTTGCTGTGGCCAAGGTCATCAAGAGCGACCACGAGAAGTACAAGGAGGGCGATCTGGTGGCGGGCGTCATGCCCATCGCCGAGTATGGAGTCATCCCCGAGCAGGTGAGTAATGAACTCATGACCGGTTTGTGAGCTAGCAGGCGGAATGGCAGATGCTGATGGTGGCACGGATGTAGCTTATTGAGGCCAAGCCAATGGCTGCGTACATGATTGAGAAGCTGGAGAACAAGTACAACCTTGATCTCGCGAACTGGGTCGGCCCCCTGGGTCTGGCCGGACAGACCGCATGGGTAAGTTTTCCCTCAACAACCCCGCTAGATATGCCCAATCTTCGAGGGCGCAAGAGTCATGAGCCAGATCGCATAGGAGACTAACAGACGATCAAATCTAGAACTCTTTCTACGGCCTCGTGAAGCCAGAAAAGGGCAAGACCATCTGGGTCAACGCCGCCTCCAGCGCTGTGGGCGAGATCGTGGTGCAGCTCGCCAAGAAGGAGGGCATGCGCGTCATCGGCAGCGTCAGCTCGGACGAGAAGGTCAAGTACGTCGTCGAGGAGCTGGGCGCCGACGAGTGCTTCAACTACACCAAGGAGAGCTGCAACGATGCACTCAAGAGACTCGCCCCCGAGGGTCTTGATGTGGTCTACGAGAACGTCGGCGGTGATCATTTCGAGGCTGCGATCAACAACATCAACTGGTTTGGCCGCATCATCGTCTGTGGCATGGTGAGTCCCGTCCTTTCTTTCCATCTTTAACTCCGTAACGGAATGGTTTGCTAAGTGGCATTCATGACATTAGGTCTCGACATACAACAAGCCTCCAGAGGAGCAGTACAAGGTCAAGAACCTGGCCGAGATCTTCCGCAGACGCATTCACATCCAGGGTTTCATCTTCTGGGACGATAACATCTACACGCCCAACATTGCTAGCTTTTGGGAGAAGATGCCCAAGTGGATCGCCGATGGCTCGATCAAGACCAAGACGACCCATTTCGAGGGTTTCGAGAAAGCACAGGACGCCTTCCTGTCGCTCTTCACAGGAAAGACATTCGGCAAGGCCACGCTTAAGGTAGCAGACCAGTAGAGTGGAAGGAAGATGTTACTCACAAGATAAATAAATAAAAAAAACACAATATTATCCAGCGGAATAAAAGTCGTTAATTAAGCAAAAATTACCAGACTGCGGATGCGAATACAAACGAGATCCCTACCGCAGCTCAAGTGCCGATCTTGGAAACAGTGCATTAGTACTACCTGTCAACCTGTCAACCTGTCAACCTGTCAACGCTCACTACTGTGAAACGCACTGTCTTAGCCGGCTATTATTAGCTCTCGAGCGTTGAGAAAATGTCAGTGCGAAGATGCACCAACCAAGCTGAATCCGACTTAGTTTTGTCACTCTGGAGATAAAAAACGGTCCAAGAGCCAAGATGCGCTAAGCACAGACATCACCAATCCGACTACATTGGGACGGGACTGGGCTTACAACACTGTAACACAACGCTCTTTTACCTTTGCATTTGGACGAGCACAAGCGCCTGGTGTACTACCCTTGGCGTTTCTAGACCCTGAGATTGTTGTCTCACCGACTTGGCTCACTTGCATGTAATTCTTAAGAGTTTTACTTGACGAGAAAAAAAGAAGAAGAAATAGAGGCAAAAAGTAGAGGACTGCGCATGAGGCTGGAGCAAAATGTCGCTTGGAAGTTCGAAACTTCCAGTATAGTAGAAACAGATCCAAGATGCAGAATATATTGAAACGTCTTTGATTATTACAACATAAATCTTCGCCGTCTAATTCTCCAACCAAAACAGTATATACGACCGTTGTTTAGAGTACGGTAATAGAGAACAATTACTTAAGTAGATACAAGAATCGGAACATTTCTGCTCAAAGAAAGCAGAGAAGACATTAAGAAAATAGCAGTAGAGCTGAATGAGCCGATATTGGCGAGACCAGAGTATGGATCCGCGAAGGGCAACCTCACTCTTACTGGAGGATGGAAGCAGGGCAGTCGTGGCCAACACAGCACTCGATAACGCCGCTCTGGCAGGCACCCCACGAGTTGGCACCATTGTCGTTGGGGAACGTGTCTTGAGCGTAACAAGTCAGCAAGACTCAGCACAGCGCTGACAGAGGAAAGAGTACAAGGGGAACAAAGACAACACTTACAAGCAGCGCCCGCGCACGGAGCAAAGAAGGGAGCAGCAGTTGTGTCGGTGGTGGAGGCCCGCTCGGGGTTCACGCAGGCGTTCTCACCGTCGTTGTCGGCGCAGGTGATGCCAGTCGTGAAGAGGTTCGTGTTGCAGCCGACAACGTAGACGCCAGAGCACTGGCAGGTGATAGCAGCGGAGAAACCGTTGACATAGGAGATGTCGACATCAGCGATGGGGAAATCATAACCATCCGCGCTACAAGTAATCACAGGGTCAGTATTCTGGAGTATGGCAAATGACTTCCTTATGCAAGTAAGCAGGTGATAAGATGGGACCTACACCACGTAGGAGAGCTCAATAAGAGAGTCATCGCCAGTCAGCTCATAGTTGCCATCGTTGACGGCGACGTTTCCAGCATAGCCAGAGGGGACCGCAAAGGTAGCTGTAGCGCCGTTGGCAATGACGCCGTTTGCAATAGCACCTCCCGATGCGGTGGGACTGCCAGCATTGCGCGCGTGAGATGTGGTGATTGTATCGCCTGTTTCGTTGTTAGCATGCTGGGAAAAGGATGAGAGAAAAAATCTATTCAAGTGTCGAGCTCTTACCGTGGTTGTTCCACACCAAAACGGTCAGATACTCAGGGCCCTCGTCAATACGCTTCTGAAGAGCACGGTCCTCGAGACCCAACTGATCGGTCAAGCCGAGAGCCGCGTAGATAGGGTTGATGGTTGGAATAGGGTCGTTTAGAGCACCGTGGATGGCTGTTCCAAGAGTGGGCGAGATGATGCCGTCCGAGGTTGCAGTTGCTGTGGCAGCAGGGCTGGCCATGGCAAGGTTGGCAAGGCCAACGAAGGAGATGATGGCGGCGGACTGGAAGGAGTTCATCTTGACAAAAGATCTTTTGTTCTTTCGGGAGACTATTAGGAGACTTGGGGATGAATGTTTATTTGATGAGATGATGCTGTGCAAGGAGGACTGTCGAGGTGCGGTGGTGAAGAGTGATCAGAAGTGCAGATGAGAAGGGATCACAAGCCGATACTTATATATTTGACAGACAGAGAGCATCAATATCGTATTCTCCTGGACAATTTCCTTTCACCAGGCAGCAACATTCACCATGAACACTTCTGCGATGTGTGAAGTCTCGCCATTATCCGCCGCTTCCCGACGCGGAGTAGTCAAACATCATCACGGCCATTGCTCGCCCAGAAGGAAAGCATGTAATTTCCAGCCTTGTGCAGAAACATACAACCACCTGAGGGAGATGATCCTTTCCATGACAGGGGTTCATGATGCTCAACAGCCTCGAACGGCGAAGTGAAGAGGAAATGGGAGCTTGTGGCGTTGAAGGAAGGCAATAGTGGCAAGAAAAGACGCGTATTAAATTCAGAGACGGATTCTTTAGCAGACAAAGTTGGCTACTGTCATAAATGATCGTGGCTTAGCAATACTTGGATGCCTGTTATTGCCCAAGAGGGCCTCAGTCAGGCATTCGCTACCACCAGGGACAAATGAACCCCATACCATGGCCGAATCTGGCAGCCAGCAGGCTTGGGACTTTTACATATCTATTTTCAGGTCTGTCGGATGGATGTCTGCTTATACGGATCCTTCATAGAACATTCTGTTTGATATCTCTTGTGAACGCAGTTGACATGAGAAGCGCTTTGTAGTTAAACATCTTGCGTATTACAAGAATAGAGGCGTGAGCCATGAATTGCTCGGGGTAAGTTGACAGCTCGTGCCTCTTGACCACCAGGTACTACACTCCCAAGATCTAATTCCACTGAGCCTCTCAGTACTGCAGGTCGTGTTATTACTGCCACTGGCCATGCTTCTCCGGATACCGGCCGAGGTTCCAATTTGAAGGGACCATGTACACAATCCATCCATCGTTCAGGATTCACTACATGCATGAAGTAAGCCCACGGCACGATCCGAGTGGCGTGGTCCGGGGGCCTGGCTCGACGTCAAACTCAGAAAGGGAAATTCGATAGTTGATCCTCGAGCCTCAGAAGACGCCTGAAGGAGGGGTAACCTGACAAGGCTCGCGCCAACAGCCTTGTTGTGTCGACATGGGTATAGGCCACGTGCTGGTCCTCAACCTCTCCCTACCGGCATTTGATTTTGATATGTGCGTAAGCGATCTATCGTAGTAGCTCTAAAGGGGGGAGAAAGGGGAGAAAGAGCTCAACTTCCAGTTAAGTCTCACCATGAGTATAAAGCTTCTTAGCACTCTGTTGTTGGTTGGGAATAATTATCGACAACTACAAGCATGGTTTATGATAAGATACGGTCAATGAAAGCAATGTCAAGTCACGCCTCCGTTCAGCCTGGGTAATTTTCTGACCAGTGCGCGCAACGTTTTCCGGCCTGTGCTAGGCACTCATGAGGGAAGGTGTTTTACGGCGGACGAACTTGCATAGCGAAATGTTATAAATCCTTGCAATTCGGCCGCGTTATGCAAGGAAATGAAGAATTGGATATCGGTCCGAGAGAATCCAAAGTACTCGAAAAGTTATGCCCTGTTTAGGTGTCGAGTCAGCAACCGGTATCTTCCAGGAGCTGGGTTAAGGATCCTACGGATATGAATTCGCAGCCATCGTGCAAGAGCCTTGCTCAAAGTTGTTGAACGTGAAAGTGATGAATCATGAGTCTCCAGAAAAGTACCTAATCGGTGAAGCGGCGGCTTCACATAAGCCTGAAAGTTGAGGATATCTTTCTTCCTTTTCCTTTTCCTAGGATTTTGATTAATTGCATGGAAAGAAAAAAGAAGCTTACCGCTTCAGTGTCATCTCTAATCTTGGTAAGCCTCTCGTGACGGTTTCGTTATTTCGATGAGCTCCATCTCATTGCAGCTACAATATCTTTTCATGTTCAAGATTGATCACTTTGACCAGACTACATGGTGCATATCATGCTTTTCTGGCTGATGACTCAGGGTCTCGATATATACGCCGCATGAGTAGGTAACAAAGTCTTCAACTTTGTCTCGGCCAATGTTGGTTATCAGTGATAGGCCAAAGCACAGCCTGTTCCACTTCTTAAAGCGCTGTCCCAAGCACCTGCAGGTGAAGAGGGAGCGCACGAGCTAATTGGGGAAGCAAGGGCATTGACCACGTGTAGTCGATATTACAGTACAAGCCTAGCACGCGAACAGCAACCTTGCCTTGTCTGAACGAGTGAGATGTGGCGAGGTTACCAATCCCTCGGGCCTTCTCGAGGGACTAGGACTTCTCAAATGGAAATCTGTCGCCCCGACACGGCGGAATTGGACTGCTCACTTCAAGGATTCCGTGTGTTGTCGGGTTCCTTTGCTGCGCCGCAGCCCGAAGTGGCCCACCTGCAAGGAACGGCCATGGGTGCCACAGGATGTTTGTTCAGAAGCTTGTTCGCTTCGAGACAATAGTTTCTTGTGCTCTCAGTTCTCGAAGGCACCTGATTTGAGCCAGTAGATTTGACAGGATGAAATGGCGTGGTGACTACCTAACACTCTTCAAGACATATGTTTACCCTGGGCTTCCAAGGTTTGTGGCTCAATGATTTGAGGATAATTACTACCCGGTGGAATCTGCTCACGGCCGGGAAGAAACCGATGAACGCCCCACTCATGCAGACTACTCCTTCATTTAGTAAAAATATGGTAGATAAATGAATTCCTCTCTGCATGCCTAGTGTCATAGTTGTCTGGCATGCGGTTGTCTATCAGAGTGCTGGGTCTTGCAGTAAATACGGGAGATGATGCAGTGTGCCACACCTCCTGCCGGTAGACGATGCCAAGTAACATCCTAGGACGATCCATTCCGCGATCGATGCAACGCACCCACAGTCAGCCTTACAGTAAAAGATGCGGCTCAATAGGTTGCAGATACTCACCTCCTAGCGAAGTTCTTCGAAGCTGAGAACAGGGTCGGGTTGTAAACGGCTTCAAAATCACAACAAGCTATTCTTTCTTTCACTGGCAATACTGTACTTGGGTGCCTGGCTAGATGCCTCGAAGTGGATTTTGAGCCGGGGTTCTGAGATAGCAACATGGGAGTGGTACGACGTTGGTGTGTAGGATCCTGGCGTGCGGTTATTCGGCCTGATTGCATCCTACAGGCAGACTGGGATTCGCAGCTCATTGCACGGTCTTCAGAGAAAGCCATTGAGCTAAATTTATCCCGAGGGAATATCTCTTAGCATGAAGAGTACTGATGACTTCTCGCTCAATCTGGCTTGAGAATACATGTCAAAGCTGACTGCCGCGATCCGTCTGATCTCGGCCGTGTCAAGCTTTTGAATCATTCGTAATGACTTGCCACGTGCAATGAATTTCATAGCAGCATTTCCAACGGGTCGCATCAGAATTGTTGTATTCAAAGTCGAAGTCTGGGTTTCAAAGACTCGGGCGAGCTTCAGATATCATTACAAACTAGATACCTGCCGAATAATGTCTTGGCACCATCAAAGCCGCATATTTCTTCCAACACTGATTGTCATCATAGAAAGGAATTGCCCTCACTCGCCTTCTCTAGCGCGATTCATAGCATCCAAATGAATCAATTATTCCCGCTTCCTTTCTTCGTATCCCTATCCCCACACCAGCACTCGCAGCCTCCTAAAAGGCTGCACTTGCAGTGACACTTGAAAGGCGGTGGATCGTCGTCATCCTTCTTGTAGAAGGCAGCTTCTCGGCTCTCAGAAATGTGCACTGAAAGATCTGCCAGGGCGTCCATCATTGGGACGATCTGGTCGGAGCGGACGTCGAAGTCGAAAGTGTCCTTTTGCGATGTAGATCGGGCAGACAAAGTTTCATCGTTGACATGCGGCTGGGCAAATGTCGGTTGTGGCGAGAGCACCGTCGTGATGGACTGCTGACGGTATACAGCCTGGAGCGAGGCCGCAGCCTCGCAGGAAAAAACCAGACAGAGGGTGGCGAAGCTTCTGAAGGATTGCATATTGTTGGCTCCTTACAGCGAGCGTTGTGTCAGAAAGGCTCAAAGAAAACCCAATTTACGCAGTATTTAACAACTGGACACGATGAGGGGGGAGTGTGGGTGATCAATTACTACATGTAAAACATAGAGATAGAGGAGAAAGCTTAGGTCTAGTTTATCTGTCTCGATTATCAGACCTTTCACATGTGATTCAGCTAGATCTCCACGACTAAGCCTGTCTCTGCTAAAGTTGCGACGGCGAGAACGATGGCCAACAGGACTCAAGAATTCCTGCGATGACGAGCAGATTTCGATTACATCTTGATATAATGCAAAATTTGTCAAGAGCAGGTACGAGAGTGTTCGAAATGACGGGGGCTACTGGGCTTTCGGGCAGCGTACATGTGATAGCGTGCTGTCCATCAAAGCTGGAAAGAAGAAGCTGGAGTCCAGTGGAACTCTTCAATCCATAGACCTGATGCTCCGCTCGACGGAATATGTATACGTTAATGGACTTCAATTACAAGGGTATGAGTGTCAGATCATCATTCTTATTGGATTCGCACGTGTGCATATCTTCTCATTCACCGATGCTATCATTTTAATAGATAGATACAAGATCCGGAGTCCGAAGCTCGTAAATATTTCAATATTCATGACCAGTCAACCACTCCAGAGCATCACTCAGATCCTGCTGTGCCCCATTCTGCCTGTCATTCCTCCTAGTACTGTTCCGAAGCCTATGGGGGCAGCTTCGGCGCCGGCAGCGTCTTGCAAGTGCACCCACAGAAAATGATGGTGCAGTGGCAAGCACACTTATATGGGTCCTTCTGTTTGGGAGGATGGTTTGGTGAGGGATTGCCGTCGTCCGGTAGGGGGTTCGCTTGTGACTGCCGAGCCTCAAACGCGACGAGCTCGGTGAGGCTCTGGATCACTTCAAATGTGGCGCTCTTTGGAAACCGGAATTCCATGTCTGGATCTGAGCCCACTGTAGCCATATCTTCGCCAGAGTTTTCGCTTCGGCTCACTTGGATCACGGCATCGTTGGCAGAGGCATCGGTGGGAGCTGCCAGCGTCCAGTGGCCCTGTGACGCGACGAGTGCTGCAATTAAGAGGGAGTGGACTTGCTTCATCCTGAAATGACCTTCTATGAAGAGTAGAGGTACTGGCGCACAAAGAGTGTAACGAAAAAAGAATTACGGAGTTGAATGGGAAACAAAAAGGAGAGAAGTAAAGTTGCTTGGCTTGGAGCCCGAAATACTATCTGAGATCAGTCATGATATTACAGTGGCCCAAAGAGCTCTTATAGCTGGTGACGAGCAGATTAAGCTTGCCTGCCGATCCCTCTGACCATTTCCGTTGACAGCGTCGATTCAAAGCTCAAGTATGGCTCATAAGACTTAAAAATAGTTGATATGAAGGCACATCCGCGTGTGTTCGGTCTAGCCTGCCAGAACCGAGGGACGTGCTGAATTTCATGCGATTGAGCCTGGTGCAACCAAATTACATGTGCCATAGACAGCTATCAAAGATGTTAAGCTACCATCCAGATGGCTCGCACGTCACTGAGCATCCAAAATCTCCTGAGTTAGTGGTATCGTGACTTCCTTGCCCTTACAAGCCTTCAATTCATAGAACAATACCATCTCTCTCATCTTCGAGCGGCATTCTCGATATTTCTAACCGCCGCAGCATCCTCTTTGCTCCTCTGCGAAGTGCGATCGCTCATCTCTCCATAAGCCTTTTCCTCGTCGTCACTATGTCTTCCTTCCTCCAGGCCTACAGCAGGAGGGTTCTTGATGCTCTCTCGGACACCCTGTGTGAGACAGCCGAGACCCGAGCTGCTACCCTCGAAGATGTGGTCAATCTGCTCGAGGTGCAGACCTTTGGTCTCTGGGTAGAGGAAGTAGATCATCGGTATGAATGAGAAGTTGAAGACGGCCCACATTATATAGAACTTCCAGCCGATACTATTCAGGGCAATTGGGGTAATGGTGACAGAGATTCCGTTGACTGTTCAATATTCTGGTTAGCAACCTTGGAAGACGACAAGGATCTGGTTCCGGGGAAATACAATATCACACTTACACAGCCAATTGGAGCAAGAAGCAAGCGATGCACCCATCGAGCGCATCTTGAGAGAGTTCACCTCCGGAGGGTAAATCCAGGACACATTAAGGAAGCTCAACGCAAAGGCTGCGTAGTACAAGAAGTACATAACGACCACTAGAATCACGCCCTTTGTGCCTGGAATATTGAAGCCAACGCAGAGCAGAATGTTGACGACGGTCAGAGCTGCCGCGCCACACATCATAGCAGGCCGTCTTCCGACGCGGTCGATGAACCAGATGGGTGGGAGGCTGGCGATGAGGTAGAAGATGGCACCACAGCCGGCGACAATTTGGGCCAGCCGGTTGCTCATGTTGACTTGGTCCTCAAGAATGACGGGCAGGTACTGTGTCGTTCACAGGTCAGTATTGAAATGGGAAAGGAAGTGACATGAAATAGACTCCCAGTACCAGATTCGAGACCTTGTGATGGGACTGGACAGAAATAAGGGGAGACGTAGAGAGGGTTATGGACTTACGTAGCCAACTGTGTTAATACCACTCATTTGCTGGAAGTACAGAGCGCCGACACCAAGCAGCATCCGGCGGAAATTTTGCTGGCCGCCATTGGTGAAAATCTCACGCAGTGAGCCTCCAGCCTCCAATCGTAGGGCCTCCTCAATCTCTCCTTTTGACTGCTGCACCCGTGTGTCATCTTCAGTCGTATCCAGCAGACGAGCAAGTACATGCGTGGCCTCGTGGATGTCTTTATGGTGCGCCAACCATCGAGGAGATTCCACCAGAAACGGTCCGATGAGAAGCAAATAGATGGCAAACACAACTTGTAACGATATGGGAAAGATCCACTGGAAATTGGACGTCGCGTAGCTGGCACCGAAGGACACCCAGTTGGACATGACAAAGCCGATGATAATATTGACAGCCTCGATGGTGATCATGGCTCCTCGGTTGTGTGCTTGCGAGACCTCTGCTTGCCAGGTCGGGACAACAGCAGTCATGATGCCCACGCCAATACCCGTGAAGATTCGAGCGACGATCAGGTGGACGACGACCTCAGCCGTGGTCTGGAGAATGGTTCCGATGATCACGATCCATGCGCCGACGTAGATGGACTTCTTTCGACCAAGTTTTTCACCGAGGAGGAACGCTAGTATGGAGCCGACGAGACAGCCCACGTCGTAGAGGCCGGTGATGAGTCCTTGCTGTGTGGAACTTGGGTTGTGAAATCGTTTGACAAAGGATGACGAGTTGATGATGGTTCCCATAACTCCCTGGTCATCTGGAGCGATTGTAAAAGGTCAGCAAAGGAAGTACGTCTCTTGTGATCTGAAGCGGAAAAGCAAAATGTTTGGGCTTACAGCCAAAGAGCAAGAATCCCATGCTACAGGCTGAGGTGATGCCCACCATCAGCGGTTTCCCACGGAGTTCCTTCATTTTCAACCCTCACGTTTGAATGGATGTCGAGATCGAAATCGATTCTACCTAGAAACAAAGACAAGACAGACGCGACGGAACGGCAATCGTGAAACTGCTCAGGATTTGCTTCAGACAATAGAAATGGGTGATGATCTTTTTGTCAAGGCACAAGCCAAACCGAGCTGCTTGCAATCAGTTGATATGACATCAACTAATGTAAAATCTGCGTACTAAGTTTGGGGTAGAAGAGCCGGTGTTAAGTACGGTTCGACACATGGGGGAGACGAACGTCTATATATATACATATATATATTGAGAATCAAGACATTCCACTCAGGTGGATCCGCAACGAGTATGATCAGACACATCACTTGAAAGGACATAAGCACTTGGGAGTGTAACTCTGACTCTCGTAGAGGTTGAGCTGTCGCCGAGATGAAGTGACAGGTAAAACCGAGAAATATCCTGGCAGAAAACGCAGGACCCCTGTAAATCCCCAGCCTTTACTGGAGGAACAAGGGCCTCATTGAGCCGCGCACGGGTTCCTAGATCAGGTTCTCCGCAGCTTACGAGCGTAGTTTGGACACCTATAGTACTAATATGTAACAGATAAATAAGTCTCAAGTGCCCATGCCTATCCTGGTTTCATGAAGGCACTGGCGCACGACACCTGATTATCAAATGGTCCTCTTCTCTTCTAAGTGAGCCAATGTTCACCACAGTCCAAGAACCTAGGACTCAAGCGAATAGCACACTAACACAGAGAATCGCCAACCAAGACAATCATCTCGGAATGATAGGCTCGTCAAAGTCAAAGCAGAAAAGCCTCCCACCGACATTCTCCAGATGATGTCATTGCGTATGAATGGACTCCTCCCAAAAGCCAGAGGATTTGTTCACGTCTTATTCCCATGCCTTGTGAGACCCGAACCAGGACCCCGCTATGACGATCCTCGAACCAGCCCGCAAGTTGTTCACTGGCCGACCCCAGATTCAGTATACGCGAGCACTGGGCCGCACCCCATGGAGAAGTGAGAAATTTGTGGGAGCAGTGGGTTCAGTATGCTGATCATCCCCACCTCTCCCCCACCAACCTCCTCTCCTCTTCCAAAATTCGTTTCTTGATGCTGGATCTGTTGGCTTATCAGGTGGTTTCGCGGTGAGTTGACAGCATTGAGTCGTGCTATCCATGTAAAGGCAGGGTTGACCCCCGATTTGTGAGTCTTTTTTGTATGAATTATATGGAGACGTGTGGTGATTTAGTGTCGGAAAACTCGCTTCACAAGCCAACAGCTCACAAGAGTCATGAACTCGGCGGAGCAGCCCAAGTCCATACTATATAGTAGTAGGTGTTGGATGAAGCGGCGGCGTCAGGCGCTGTTCCGGCCTTGACTCGATAGAGTGATGATCTGACGACCATTCTCCCCTCTTCTCCTCTCCTTGAGAACAAGAAATGGGCCACTAACGGACCAAGAAGTTTGCACTACTGCCAAGAAAGACGGCTGGTTATTAATTCAGAGTACTACCATAAGACCAATGAAGCCGAGCACTAGCGATGCAGCCCAAGTCACCCTCGTGCCATGTTCATACCGAGAACCACTTCCACTTGTCGATCCAGCGCCACTACTGTTACCCACGCCAGAGCCGGAGCCGGAGGTGGTGTTACCACCCCCAGGCTCATAAGAGATCTTGAAAACCCAAGCATACTCATCTGCATCCCTCACGTCGTCGGTAATATTCAATAAAAGACTGCCGTTTGCCAGCAGACCACTGGGGACCACCGTGCCAGACATGTTTCCGCCAACCACAGTCACCTGGTCACCTGTCACATACGGAACCGGCGAGTTCAGGACAAGGGTATCGTTTGGCGCGGACAGAGTCGTGATGTAGAATGCGTCGGGGGTCTGAGTAAAGCGTATCTCGGGGCCTTCTTCGGGGGTGATGGTCCAGTAGGTTGTGTTGAAGATGGCCTCGGCGTGGCATTTGATCCAGATGCCTGCTGTGCGAAGGTTCTGCTGCTCGACAGCGATGATAGATCCTGTGTTTTGTTTATCAGAGACTTGGCAAGAACCGCTCAAACGGTTTTATGATACTTTTGCTTGCAAGAGGAAGGATGGTGCAGATTGGCTTACCATTCGCCTGCGGCCCAACATCCAGCAGGAAATTACCATTCTTGCTGACAATATCCACGAGGGTGGTCACAATCTCCTCTGGCGTGATATACTCATCATCAGGAGTCGCCCTGTTGTATCCATAACTATATGGATCCATACCCAGGTTGCTCTCCCACTTTCGCATCTGCACAGAGCCATACTTGGCATACTCTGGCGTGTCAAAGTCACCAGGCGTGCCGCAGCGATTGTTGGTAGAGACTTGTCTCCCCTGCTGCGCAGCGCTGTTGAACCATGCAGAGGCAAACTCAGCGGTCAGATTGGGCCCTCCAATGTCGCACCATAGAACTTCTGTACCCATGTCTGCCAAAGTCTGCATCTCAGGAACGATCAGGTCGGCCACGTAGTCGTCCACATGCACATAGCCGGTGTAAGGCTCCGTCACGTTCGTGTAAGGGTTCGTCGCGTTTCCCCCTGGCCAATCACCAAACCCCAGCGAGGCGTAGTCTGGATGGAACCACTCGGGAAGAGAGTAATACGTGGCACGATGTAGTTGAGGCTGGTACTGGGCCGCGGCGTCAAACAGTTCCTGGAGAAGATTCCTGTACGGGGGCAGGGCCACGCTGGTGCGCTGGGTGACATTGGACGGCAAGTCGAAGATTGCGTAGCCGTCGTGGTGCTTGCTGACTTGGACAAAGTACTTTGCGCCCGCGTCATCGAACAGGTCTACCCATTCCTTGGGATCAAAGACGGAGGCGGTAAAATTCTGGATGAAGTCGTCGTAGGTGTGGTTCTCGCCGTAGGTTCGCAGGTTGTACTGGTATGTTTCTTCCTTGGTGTCTGGGCCCAGGTTCATGTCGTACCAGTACCATTCTGCGTAGGTCTCGTTGCTGCCCGTATTTCCCCAGCCTGGCACGGCATACACGCCCCAATGGATGAAGATGCCGAATCTTGGTTCATTGATCAGTAACTACTTATTTGACTACCATCATGAGAAAAAGGATACAGAAGATGAAGAAAGAAAAGAAGATGAAGAAAGAGAAAGGAAAACTTAATGTCTCTCACGTACTTGGCGTCCTGAAACCAGGGCGGCGACTCGTGAGCATATATGCTCTCATAAGTCGCCTCATAAGTCTGAATGCCATATGTTGCATTGAACGTATAGCTCGTGTTCGAAAGGCCTGTCCCAGAGATGACCACAGTTGCTGTTCCACTGGTCCCCTCTGCAACGCCGTCTGCATTGACAACACCAATCTGGACTCTCGCCTGATCGCCAGGCCGGAGACGCTTGATATAGCCAGGCTGAATAGTCGTCACCCCAGCCGACTCGATCGAAAGCGTCACGCTCTGGTTCGCCAACACCCATTCGGTCCCGATGTTGTTCACTGTTGCCTCGTAAATTTGCGTCTTGTTGGTTCCCTCAAACCAAGTGTTGGTGCTCCTCGCGAGCTGCACATCCAGACTGACACCCTCGTCGGCAGTAGCAGAGGAGGCTGACAACATGGACACTGCAAAGATATGCAGTCTGGTGCCCTCCTCTTCGCCGCCTGGATCGCTGCTCGAGCCACTGGACACGTCCGGCAGCTGCAGACTCACCAGATCCCTCGTGCTGTCCAGCCACGCCGCCACTCGAAAGATCATGGAGCGGTTGTAGTCCAGGGTCTCGTTGGTCAGGTAATAAGGAAAAATGATATCGCCGCCATACGGATACGGCCAGTCCCAGAACGGATCGACAAGCACCGCGCCGCTCGTGGTCGTCCCGTCGGCATAGGTCGCATTCACGTACCCCGTGGCGATGGCACTCTCTGCCGCTGCGAGCATGTGCACCCCGACATATCTGCCCTGCGTGACGTTGAGTATCTGTCCCTTCGCCAGGACATTGTCGCTCTTGTTGTTGTCGGCCTCGTACTGAGGAAAAATAAACTCCACACCGCCATAAGTGAAATTCTCGGCAGGGAGGTACTGCGCTGGATAGCCTGCTCCTGTGCCGTCCAGGTTGGCGTCGTTGGGGCTCATGGCGAAGCCGCGGTTGTTGCGGAGGCTGGAGATATCGATGGGTTGCGAAGGTATGCTGCCACTTACGCCGGGGCTATTTTTGGGGTCGATGACCAGGCTGAAGCTGGATTCAACAGCTGTTGAACCCCCAGCCATGGCCAGGAGTAACAGAGTACAGCCTCTCATATTGTGGAATGATCTTTTGAAACGCAGCTTATCATTAATGAGTCTTGACTGAGAAGCCCATGGCTAGTAGCCGTGGTATTATCAGAGACCAAGGAAAGGGTGGGAAACAAAAGGAGAGAGATTGAAGCCCTCGTGGAACAGGCGAGAACCAGTCTCTTATGGGAGAGGAGAGAAAGAAATATGTCAAGGTCAATCCAATGGAGATTCACGCTTGCAAATGAACCGAGCCGTCGGCAAAATGTCTCTATCACGACCATTCTAACCTCCCCACAGTTGCCATCCCTTCTTCATCTGTCATGACCGTCGGCATGTTGTCAACCGGGTTAAGAGAGAATGCGGGGAAAGCTACCAGAGAGCAACACTGCTGTGGGGGTGGGCCGTGTTGATCCTCGCAGGGGTTGAGGAAGAATAAAATACATAAAATCTGAATACTACATAGTATGTAGAATTTGGGAAAGCCTGCACGCAACGTCCTCACGCTTAGACTTGGGAGCTAGATCGACCATTCTAACGAAGCATGTCGTTTGCCAATAGATGGTTTCGGGCTCGCTCTACTCTTGCCACCATTTCAAAGTGCTTCAGAACTGAATAGCAGAAATATCATTTCGAAACCGAAATCATGAATGGAAACAGGCCTCATGACTGATTATATTCACAGTAGGCCAACCAAATCCTCCTTCTGCCAGCCGATCCCGACTAGGAATATTGATAATATCACTCCTGAACCCGCTTGAACTCAACAAGACCAGTCGGACTTGGTCCAGAGACACTACCAAAATGAAAGTTGGGATACCTCTCCTTCACATCCGCTGGGAAGCGCAGGTCGAACTGGAGCACAATCCTCGCCATGATGAGCTTGATCTCGTTGGCTGCAAAAAACCGCCCAGGGCAGGCATGTTTACCAAACCCGAAGCTGGTGTTCTCCTTGGTGACGCTCACGAACTGGTACTGCTCCCGGTTCCTAAAACCATTGGGGTCGGGCGTGTCGTCTTTGGTTCGGAGGTTGAAGAACCGATAGGCGTCAAAGACTTCGGGGTCTTTGTAGTGTGCAGCGTCGTGGAGGACCGCGAGGCTTGGGGTTTCGATGAAGGTCCCAGCTGGAATCTGGGTTCCGTCTTGAAGGGTGATGGGCTTTTGGACGTAACGCCTGAACGAGTCTATGAAGAATCTCAGCTGGAATGGAAAAGACTTGGGTTACAAGAAAAATAGCATGACTGACCGACAAAGGGAGGGGTGAATCGCTGGCTCTCCCGCATGAAACTATCCAAAAGTTTCATACTGAAGAGAGCATGAGAAGTCATAACACCGTCTGTCGTCTCGAGGACAGAGGCGATCTCCTTGCGAATGTCATGAACCACCTCAGGACGCATAGCCAGATCGTACAACCTGTTACAGAAGAAAGCATGTCAATATACACGCAAGGCAAGGTGGTATTGGTACTGGTCTTTGTTCACACGGCATACTTACATCGCAGTAGCGGACAGTGTGGTTGTGTGAATAGCCGCCATCGTCAGCAGCAGCTGCATATCGGTTATGTGCTCGATATTGTTGATCTCATGCTCCATCGTCTTCTCCACCATCCACTGTAAAAGATCCTCGGGCACAGGTTGACCATTCCGCATCATCTGTCTCCTGTCCTGAAAAATAGGTTCCAGGAACGCCTTCATCCGCCGCCGATGCTCCTGGCTCCTTTTTAGCGCAGGAGAGAGCTCGAGATACGCGACAGCTGAGCGTAGCCACTTGGGCCACTTTTTGATCTCCTGCGCTGCTGTGGTGACCTCCTTTGTGTACTCGATCGCCGAGGCCAGATAGACCTCGTGTCGACAGAGGTCAGGTCCGACGAAAATGTTACCAGACACGATGGCTACTATGCGAAGGAGAACAGGAAACACAGGGACGGATGTCCAGTCTGCACAAGGTGGCAGCTCAGCGTTGACGGTTTTGTTGACTTCTTCTGATAGCCGCGGGTTGAGACGGGCTGTGTTTTGGTTTTTGTTAGCGTCAGCGGCGAGATATCAGTTGGAGGAAGTATGAATTTTTATGGTATGAGAAATGGTCAAAAAATACTCAAGTTCCTCGTCAGGTCGACCTTGACGACGCTGTTGGCCACCTCCGTTCTTTCTTTCGGTGGAAACAACTTGATGTAGTCGTTCGCGAAGGTCTGATGGTTGTCTTGTCAGCACCATTTATGTATGACTTTCGCAAGTGTATTTCTGAGGAGGTCTCACATCTTCAAAGGACTTCAAAACGTCAATTTCATCATCTGGATGCTGTCTCAACTCATCGAGATACCGATTCGGGACGATAAGGTGGTCACCTAAAAGTAACAGCACGGTGGTCAACAACGGCGAGAAAGACAGGACCTGAGGTCTGGGCGCTTATAAAACTGTAGCAGAATGACACAGGAAGATGGTAAGAAATGGAGACACATGAGGACCATACTGACCATCAGGCATCGTGAGCCGGTAGATCTGATCCTTGAATCGACGATAGCCATCTTGATACAGTTGAGCTGGCTGATACATGAAGGCCTCTATTCGCTTGCGACGACTGCCGTACTCCTCGCCGAGTAGAGGGAACTTCGCGAGCTGCGGGCCCTGTGAGGCGATGCGATGCACCAAAAGCACGATGCCGGTAAGCACCCCAGCCGCTAACAAGCGGAGGAGACTGTCTCCTGATGGCGAGAGTGTGAAGGAGCTCATCCTTGTGGCGAATATCATGAGAATTTCGATGATAAGCTGGTTCAATCATCGACCCCGCAGACCGCAAAACGAAGCAGAGAACAGCTGGTCCAGGATATAAATACGACGTATCAGCCGACGAACCGCATAAGCTGCATTTTAACTTAAAACAAGATGCGAGCCCACTCTTGCATACGTGCGTAACCACAGAGAAGTCTCCCCGCATCCCAAGAATATGTGGCATTGCTTCTTGGCTGTTGCACAGGGCCAAGAATGTCGACCCTCCACGGCTATTATAATGAAACCCGACAACATCTCCACAATCTTGTGAACACCTTGATTAACCGGTTAGAATATTTACCATTCGAATTAATTTCTTTTTTTTTTTTCTCTTTCTCTTTTTCATCTGGTATGCCAGTCCCAAGAAAACCTGCCACCTGGTTGTACCGAATGTAGGCAGCCAACTTCGACTCTCATAAGTGAAAAGCCATTGTTTATCCTGTCAGAGTTTCTGCCAAGTCGATAAGTAGAAAACATGTTGTCTGCTTGCTTAATTACTGGAGTACTTAATAAAAGAAGGGCAGTTCTACGTCTTGTCATGTCATATGACTTTGAGGTCTGAGTCACTTGGTAGGCAGCAACTGAAAAGATGCTCACGACCCCCACTAATTTCAGGCCGCCAGAAGGATGGTCAGCTTATTTATCCCTTTCCCTTTTCTTTTGTTTTCCTTCGCAGCTCATTTTCCCTGCCTACCCAACTCAGCTCCCCATTTCTTCTTCCCATCTCAGACTAGAATACCTCCATATTCTCGCCATGGCCAAAGTTACACCGGATTTCGCAAGGCATTTGGGCCTGCCCGCGATCAAAATCATGCAAAGACCTACCCAGCCCGCGATTTCACAAAGCCGCAGGTTACAGTGCCCGCCACACGACGTAAACATTCCATCGCTCGTCAATCTGGGCACTGAAGTACTCGGCATTGTAATGGAGATCATCAGGCGAGAAAGCCCTAGAACTCTCTCTTCCGTGGCGCTCGTGAACTCTCACTTCTATCACATCGCGAGATACAGCCAGTTCCACGAGCTCACGTTGAATTTGGCGAAGCCGACCGACAACAGCCAAATACCGTACCTGAACGCATGGGTTCAATATATGGATAAGGCCAATCTCTTGCAAGCTGTCCGAACTCTGACCATCCTTGGCCGAACAGCAGACCCGGACGACTGGCCACAGCTCGGTGCCCTCATCGATACCCTCATATCCAGCTTGACTGGCCTATCCGAGATCCATTGGCACCACACCGCTCCCATTCCAGACACCATTGTTCAGAATTTGCGAGAACGACCTTCCGTGCACCTAAACGTTCTGTTGCATTCATCACAGTCTTCACGAGCCCACCAGGAACCGTTGGGCTGTGCTTTATTGAGAGCCTTGGAGGGCTGCCCTAATCTGCAATCTCTTGAGGTCATTCACATGTTTTCCACTGCCGAAACTTGTCTGTGGGTGACTCGGCCATTAAAGCGGATCCTCATGTCCTGTCCCAACATACGCCGGCTCAAGCTCGATATTGGCATGCCGACAGGCGGCTGTGTTGTAAGATCTCCTCCGAACGAGTATTGTGGACTTGGCTTCCGCAACGGAGAACGCCCTCTGGCCGCTCTGGAGGAGTTGGATCTGGTTCGATACCCCTTTGGTGCCCCTAAACCAGCCTACTGCAAAGGATATCCACTTCAAGTCCCCGAACATGATTACTGGGTCGAGGCCTTTGACTGGTCACGCCTCAAAGTCTTGCGCTTTTTCGGGAATGCTGCTCTCGCGTTAGACCTGCTACCTCGCCTTACGTCTCTCCGAGAAGTGGCCTTGACGGGCGACCTGGAGAGCCTGCGCACATTCTATCGACAAGTGCCGGCTGGTCTGGAGACCATGGCCATCCGAAAGCTGGAAGATGTTGAGCTTGATTCCATCTTGAAGCACGGCCCCAGTCTGCGTACCCTCAAGATTCACCAAGACGAGATGTGGAGCATGGACAAGCCGACCATGTGGGCAGATTGTGCTATGAATATCCAGGCTCTGCGGGCGATACGTGAAGCATGTCCGCTCCTCGAAGACTTGAGCCTCGATCTCCCTCGAGAAGAAACCTGGCCTTACGAACTACTCGAGATCCTGGCCAGCTTCCCACGGCTACGCCGCCTGGAGATATGGTTCGAGCTTGGCATCCTTGACCAGGGGAACCCGATCCGCCCCTACACGACGTTCCACGCCTCACAAGACATATATCGATTCCTTGCCGAGAGATCTCCTACAAAACCTTCTCGGCTGACAGAACTTCGCATTCACTCGGGCGCACCACCGCCTTTGGGATTCGGCCGTCCCAGTCCACGAGGCTTGTGGCCGGGTAGAAATCGTGCTGAGTTTGTCTGCAAATTATCTGAGCGCGACGATGAGACGGCCGAGGGAATTTTCTCGACTATTTGTACTCAACTGAACGATTCAGACAACCAATTCCTTCAGAAGACGAAGCCGGGCTTGGATGCAAAGGAACTCAAATCGCAGTACATGCACTTCCGCGGAAATCACGCCACAATCTCGGGCTGGCATGAATTCGAAGTCTTCCTAGCTTATGTCGGGCCAAAGCCTCTTCCTGAACGGAAGTGAAACCGAGCTTGCGGTTAAGTAGGTGGCAGAAAGGACATACGAATGGAAAGAGAGGGAGATGAGCAAGGTGAGTCAGAATCCCAAGTGACAGGTCTTGGTGAGTATTTACATAGTATGATAACGATTACTAGCTGCGTTGGCGGATTAAAGTAGACCTTTTACATAGTCTCGGATCAATCCAATATCTTCATCAATTGATTTCAAGTAGCATCCTGCACTTTCTCAATTTATTCGATGTTATCAGAGCCATTATACCCTAAAATTGGCTCACTGGCATCCTCAAGATTTCGAATGACCAACCACAAAATCTTCCGAATACCCTTCTCCTCTTTATCCTCTTTCCCTTTGTCCTTGTGCAGCTTCTCCATCTCCTTCTCATGTTCCTTCACCAGCTTTTCCCTATCTTTGTCAACCTTTCTCAAGTCCTTGAGCGTTGTCCTCGTTGACGATGACCTTTTGAGCCTCACTTTCGTTTCCTCCCTTTCCAGCTTCTGCATTTCTTTCCCGAACTTCGACCTCTCTTTCTCCTGGTCCTTATTGATGTCATGATGCTTCTCCAGCGCTTTCTCTCTGTCCTTAAGGATCTTCTTCTCCTCTTTCTTTCTCTGGCCTTCGCTGGCCATCATGTGGATCTTCCCAAGGACATTGGTTGACTGCTTCACCTCCGGCAGCGGCGCCATATCCAGCGGCGCAATCCACTCCTGCAGCGAATCCAGTCGCCTCTGCTGCGCACTCAACCCCTGAGAGTAGGCTTCCACGCCCTCCAGCGGGAGCAGCACGGGCGCCTTCTTGTCAAGCTTGCCAGTCACGGGGTCCAGGACCGGAATCTCGGCAATCTTGGCCAATGCGTCCAGCCTTGCCACCTCGACCTTGAGCCCCTGGGGAGCGAACAGCTTCCGATTCGCGTCCCGGAGACACATCTCGGTCCGTCCCTTGCTGAGGGCAAAAGTCGCGACGCTGGCGGATAGTTGGACGGCGCCGCCGACAATCTGCGCGGTCGCCAGGGGAACCAGGCCGACGACCTGTGCGGCTAGTCCTAGAACTTGGACTGGTGGGTTGGCGACGGCACAACGGTTGAGATCGTCGAGGAAGCCGAGGAAGGCCACGCGGTCAATGCTGTAGCTCGTGAGCCACGGTGGGTAGGCTCGCATGAAAGGCGATCCTAGCTTGGCGCTGGTGGCTGGTATTGCGATGGGCTTTGTGAGATGTCGAGCTGGAAGGAAAGGTTGGGATCCGGTGGAGAGGAGAGCTTGCTGGGAATGAGCGTCTGGTGTGTAAACCTCGTTGCTCATATGTGCAGATCCTGCTTGTTGATTGAAGTCACAGGCGACGGTGTAAGGAGGCGGCTGCTCGACCTTTTTGATCAATTTATGGGTGCCCTTGCTGGGCGGTAATGGTGACGCTGCCTGAACTGAGTTCGTGGAGGGAGAGGACGAGGACGAGGAGGCAGCGACTGTATTCAAAGGCAACGATTGGTAAGAGCCAGAAGATCCAGCCTGTCCTGCCTCGGCTCGCATGGCATCTCTCCGTTGTCTGAGTGCCAGTAACTGTTTCTGTAGTTCCAGCTGTTCAATCTCAGCCTGGAGAGCGGTCATCTCGTCGAAAGTACTGGGTTCTTCTTGACGCATAGTGTATACATGTGTCGAAGACATTGCGACTTGACTCTTCTATTTCAAAAGCACACTGTATTTTGGGATGTCGTACGGTGAATTATTGAATATCAGCGGGTTGAGAAAGAGATACAGATAGGGAAGTGCAGATGTTCGGAATCACTGGATCGATTGAAATCTGCAACGAGCGGAGTGACCTCTTTTATAACCCATTATACGACTCCCTGGCCTTCACTGCAGACGCTGCTATTCCCGTAGCCATATAACAAAGCCTCCTAAAGCATGGCGATGAGGCTGATCGCTATTCCGTTCTCGGTTCTCGTGCTGATAGTTGTGGGTCAGCCCAATACACAGCCTACATTAAAGAGAGCTAACAAGAGTCGCGACATGATTCCCTTTCGGGGTGAGTGAGCCTCTTAGCGCGGTAATCCTTTAAGCAGCATTAAAAATTTGCCCGCTCTATGACTTAAGATCAGCCCGTTGGCTTATGATTTGCTACGCCGGCCAGCGCAGTTTCGAGTTAGGGCCGCAGAGCACGGCCTCGTCGTGGGCTTTTGGGCAGCTTAGGAACCTGGCGAAAGGATGACTCCACATCACTTGTGGCCTCCAAAAAGACAATGGCCACCACTCATTCTGCGTGTATCCTTGCGAGACCGCTTGTGATGACTAAATCAGCAACTGAACAGGAGTATCGCCCCTGCTATGCGTGTATCCACTCAACGCATAAGACTAATCGAGTAGTTGGTAAGATTTGGTAGACTAATTGTATGTGAGTAGAGGTGAGATTGAGTAAGTAAGGACATGACTTTTGGAAGATACTGCTATAATCATATTGAGATTGTATCATAGTAGCGTGCTGTAACACTATACGTACTCGAGTGACTGAGTTATCCCCCTAAAGTAATTACTGATGGAGAACACAAGCCCAGAAATCAATTAATCTGGACTTGATTTACTTATGGTGATCCGACCCATAAGCACTCTCGGGCCTCGATTGAATATGTGTGAACCTCGAGGTCAGCTGCAATGATAGTGGAAGTCGATGGACAAACGAATAAAAGATTCACACACCGACATCTCACTTTCCCCAGCAATACGCATTTATATGGAAATCCGAGCAACGGCCCCAAAACGCAAAGTAGAAATTATTCCGTAATTAGCGATCTGCTGGACATTATCCCGAACAGCCGTGGCGCGTACCTGGGATTGCAACTCTAAAATGCAACGTATGAGTGTTATTCCCCGCTCTCCAGATAGACCATGATATTGAGTTTCGAGGATTGTTATAATTTCTCGCGAAGTCTGAAATGCCTGATATCAGTTTTTCTGCCCTCTCGACGTTTGTGTGAACAAGCTCGTCCCGTATATCCTCCATAATCAAAATGTTTTCTCCTCATTTTCGAGCCGCAAGTGGCTTGATAGCAGCGCTCATAGTAACATCCAGCACTGCTCAAGCCCCTCTATATCAAGATGCCCGGCGAGATCTCAATGCAACCTACCCTAATTATCGCATATCGCCTATCGACGGATCCATCATCGCCCTGCCGACACAAGACCAACTCAACTTCCAAGACAAAGAAATGGGCATGCTCATCCACTTCGAGATTGCCACCTACATCGACATCGACGGCTGCAACGGCGTGCCGGGCCTTGTTCCGAATCCAGACCTCTTCGATCCCACGCTCCTCAACACGGACCAGTGGCTGGACAGCATCACGGCCTTCGGCGCCAAGTATGCGACGCTGGTGGCCAAGCACAATTGCGGCTGGGCGAATTGGCCGAGTGCGGTGACTTTCGAAACGAGGGAAAACACGACGAGTCCGTACAACTACAGCGTGGCGTACTCGCCTGTCAACGGCACCGATGTCGTGCAGCTCTTCACCCAGTCGGCTGAGAAGTATGGGGTCGGGCATGGATTCTACTACAGCACCATAGTGAACAACTTTCTAAACGTGCAAGACTCCCTGGTCAACGCGACATGGTCCCCAGGGGAGATTTTGGTCACAAACGAGACATATGACGAGATTGTGATGGCACAGTTGACTGAGTTGTGGACGAAATACGGCACCCTCACGGAGGTGAGCATCAAGACCGGCAAATCTTTAATAAACGCGAGGTGCAGAATTACTGACATTTTTCTTCTTTCTCCCAAGCTCTGGTTCGACGGAGGCTACAGCGAAAGCCAGACTGAGCAACTTCAGGACTTGCTTCAGGAGTATCAGCCGCAGGCTTGTATTTTCAATTCATGCACCACGAACGGGACCTGTCTCTCCAGCAATGCCATCCGCTGGATCGGCACAGAGAGTAAGTAACCACTAAGCTTTGATGAGATTGGAATTCACACGCTAAAGACTCAATTACGATATAAAGCTGGTCTATCAGACGAAGAAATATGGTCTACTGGGATTTCCAACGACGGCGGCGACCCGACAAGCCCTTATTTCGCCCCGGCAGAGTGCGACACCACTCTTCAAGCCGACGACCGCTGGTTCTGGGGCGAGGACCAGCCCCTGCGACCACTCGACGAGATGATTGACGTCTACCACCAGACGGTCGGCCGCAATTGTCTTCTGGAGCTCGATCTTGCTCCCGACCGCAGTGGGCTCATCCCAGCCCGCCATGCGGCTCTGTACAAGGCTCTTGGGGACTTTATACGGTCTTGCTATGGAAGCCCGATCGACAGCACGCATTTCAGTAATACCACTACGGCAACGGGAGTTTCTTTCACATTCGATTACCCCACGTCGATTGATCGCATCGTCATGATGGAGGACCAGACAGTTGGGCAGGTTATCCGGTCTTATGAGGTCTGGGCCAAGATTGTAGATGCAGAAGAGATGAATGGGACCTTGAACGTACCTGTGAGTGACCCTTGGCGCCAGATTTTCCCCCTCTCCCCTCTCTGCTTTCATTCTTTTTCGTTCTTTTTGTCTTTCTACTCTCTCCTCCCCCTTTATGATTCTTTTCAGCACAATATCTATATATTCCTCAACTCAAGATGTCTTTGCGAGATCTTCCACAAAGAGCTCTGGACTGCGAGGGCTTTTATAGGAGATACTGACTGGAAGACGTGAAGTGGACCTTGGTCTCGAACGGAAGCAGTATAGGTCACAAACGGATCGATCTCTTCGACAAAGCAATAACAGTCACGGATGTGACTGTAAATGCAACCAAGTTTGTGGACACGCCCAAATGGCGATCGGTCTCGTTCAATCTGTGCGGGAACTCGACATCGACTTGAAGTAAGCCTGCGTGGTTCGCTGGGAGAGGAAATGCTAGGAAGAGGCACAACAATCTGCGGTGTATCTGCACGCCTTTACTGAGAAGGATTCGCCTTTGAGCAAGAGCTAGTATCTTCCCAAACCTTACCCAGACTTCTTTATAGTGTTGTATATATTAAATTTGAACATAATCCATACCGTCTCATGCAGGTGGCGACGAGTCTGGAGTGCATTCAACTTACCACGCCGCGTCTCATACTCCATGCGAACCACAGTATTTGGCTGCACTGAAGGTGGCAAGAAGTTTTGTTACCAGTTTGCGTACTTTTATTATTGAAATAAAGGATACTCAAGATTTGACTTGAAAAGAAACCAACTAGACTATGGGAATATTCCTTTCCAGATAAGAACCCCACGTGGGCAACGTTCTCTTATAAGGAAAACCCTCTGTAGTAAGCTGCAAGTCCTCAATAGCACTCGCCCACCTGATCAGCTCCGGCTCCGCCCACGCCGTCTGCATAATCGCCAGCCCAAACGGCATTCCATCGGCCGAGTGCACCCCCGCCGGCACCGTGATCATGGGATAGCCAGCCTGCGCGGCGACCTGGTACGTCTGTCCCACATCCGGCGGCACCAGGAGACCGTCCAGCTTGGTTGTGTTGGCCGGCAGTTTCTGGCCTCCGCCGCTGAGGGCCCAGTCGATTCCGCCGCGGGTCGTGCCCTGGCAGAAGCCGAGGGCCTGCCAGTAGGTCTCGTTCTTGATGCCCTTTGTGGCCAGGGATGCGAGGAAACCATCCTGGCCGGAGGCGAAGGCCGGTATGCCGCCCTCGTCTGGGTAGGAGTATCCACCTTCGCTTCCGTCGTTGTCGTAGTTGTACTGCACGATGTCCTCGAGGGTGTGGATGTCGGTGTTGTTCAGCTCCGACAGGTATGTGTTGATGTTGTTGTAAAAGTCCACAGCCACAACCGTGTACTCGCTCTCGTTGGGATAGCCTCGCGTGGTGCCCCAGGCCCAGTCCCAGCCATCATTGCTGATAATGGTCTCGTAGTCCAGAATCTCCGTGTTGTTGACAATGGTGGCGCCAGCAGATTCCATCAGCGAGATGATGGACAGGAGAATCTGCTGCTGTTCCGAGTCGGCATAGACCCAGAAACTGTCCCAAGGCAGGCCAAAGACGGCGCCCTCCAGGCTGGCCTTGTCCGTCAGGAACTGCACGTAGCCGCCCGCAGGGGTCTGCTGTTCCTGCGCAAAAGTGTAGTTGTCCCTGGTGTCCACACCATAGATGGCATCCAGGGCATACGTCGCATCCCGAACGGTGCGCCCAAAACTTCCCACGGTGTCTTGGTGCTCGGACTCGGGAACGACCCCGTTCCGAGAAGTTAGACCAACCGTTGGCTTGATGCCAACCACACCGTTCCTCTCAGCAGGGTTGATGACGCTGCCGTCCGTCTCCGTGCCGAGCGAGAAGGCGATGGCGTTGGCTCCCACCCCAGAGGCACTCCCCGAGCTGCTCCCGCCGGGCGTCGTCGTCAGGTTGTACGCACTCCTGCACTGCCCACCACGGCCCGAGTAGCCTTCAGAGTAACTGTTACTCCTCATATCAGCCCACTCGCTCAGCGTCGCCTTTCCAAACAACACCGCACCAGCCTCCCTCAGCTGCTTCACCACAAAGGCATCGCGAGGCACAATGCTCCCCAGCAAAGCCCAGCTGCCAGCCGTGGTCTCCATGTTGTCTTTAGTGGCGATGTTGTCCTTGACGGTGAACGGGATGCCGTGGAGAGGACCTCGGATTTTGCCTGCAGCCCGCTCGGCATCCATCTTGGCAGCGATGGCAAACACGTCCGGGTTGAATTGGAGCAGCGTGTTGGCGTAGGAGTTGGTCTGGTAGGTCCGGGTCATGTAGCAGGCCACCAGCTGCTGCGATGTGAGCGTGCCGTTGGCCATGGCCGCCTGCATCTGGTCGATGGTGGCCTCCTCGAGTTGGAAGCTGCCGCAGGGGCCCATGGGGAAGAGCTCGGCGGTGTCAGCATACTGCTCCAGGGGAAACAGCGAGGCTGGCACCAGAGTTGCGGTCGCGTTTGGTGTATGGGTGACGCCCTGGACGCCTAGAATGGCACCTGCGGGTAATAATAACAGCTGCAAGGCGAACTTGAGATTGTGCGCCATGATGACTGCCGGACCACGAAGACTATGGATCCCTCTTGACAGTTTTTTCAGGCCCCAAGGACTGCAGGAAGGCTGGTAGTATTAATAAGACTTCCCTTGCGGGTATGACGGTCATTATATTTGAAGATAGGAAATACTACATAGTTAGCCTCGGCCTGAAGCAGTGCTTATCTTCTAGGTTGAGGGAACAAGACCCGCTAGGCATTGCGATCCGGCAGCCATCGGAGAGCCCCGACAGATAGGCTTGGTGTTTTCTTGCTTCTTATCCCACTGTATTACAGGCATATCGTCCAGCATCTATCTCGGGCGGATCAAGAATTTTGAAAAGAAAAAAGCTATCTAATTTTTAGTTTGGATTAATTGTTCATTAGTTATGCCTGACCGCCTGAGAATGACGCGTTCGGTTTAACTAGATTCGATTAAAAACTTATTCTCAACAATTTTCCTTCGTATCTCCTTCATATCTCCTTCATGTTGAACGGAGATACAAGTATTTTCGTGACAATTTTGGCCTGAATATTTAACGATAAATGGGTTTCCGCAAGATCTCGGAATGAAAATTCCAGTCTATATCAAGAGGGGTTTTTTTTTTGTGGGGGGGGGGGGTAAGAACAAGAAAAATAAGCAAATACAACTGTATGTAAGTTACTTAAAGCGCCGGTCCCTTTACTAGGCAATGGAGAACCATAAATCTAACAAATTTCCAAGCCCTGAAATATAAATGATGGTCTAAGGTACGACGTGTTCCATATCGAAGACGTGTTCTGTATCCTCACTGACGATTGAGGACTCTTCAAAAGGCAAGGCGGTCAAGACATTGAGACAACAGTGGACTTCTCAAAGACACAACTCTCATGCGAGATTGCCGCAGTCACTGTAGCATGCTCCTGTGTTCAAAGGATAGCCTCAGAAAGTGACAAATACTATTTGTGATAGGTGCGCAGAAAGACAGCTGAATTGATGTGAGTTATGGTGTAAGAAAAACCTGTCCGCCGTTGAAATGTCTCGCCCTGGTGCTTTTCTCAATTCGGATGAGATAAAGCGGTAATCAGCACCGTCATCCCCATTGTCAAAACCATTGCCTCTGCTGCAAGAAAAAATGAAGCTACTGTGAAACCGCTCGAGACGTCGTGTGTCTTCAGTGCGTACCCCAGACCTAGCACCATACTTGAAATCAAAGAAACGACTGTCATCATGGCCAGTGAGAGATAGTTCGGCCCTTCAACTATATAGACGCCCCATCCGGTGACATCTTCTAGGTCATTCTGACATCGAAGACCCTCTTTGAGCTTCTTCGGTGTGCGGTTGGTCCAGAAATTGTACGTATGTGGGCCACCCGGCGACCACAACATGTGCAAATACGGGACGCGCAGACAAGGATTGTGCGTGTCTTGAGGGCAAGGTTGGTAGTGATAACGACCCTCAACGACCTCTTGTCTCGGCGGTAGACAAGGTTCGTCATGAACGTCGGCGATCATCATATTCTTGGCCGGCAGAGCTCGAAACTAGGCAATTTATTCTCATCAGTGTCCTATCTCCTCTCACAAAGTTGCTATGGATCATTTCGTACCTTGACAAAATTAGCCGACTTGGGGGTAAAGAACACTTGAGCAATGTCCCAGCAGAGGTCACCGCAAAGCAGAAGCTTCGGCAAGACTCGCTTCCAAGCCTCGTGACAGGTAACGTGGTTGTAATCGCGGGTGTAGCTCCGTCGTAGCTTTTTATACTCCTTTCGAATGGCGTCAAAAAATTTGACGTCGTCGAGGTCGCCAGAGATGTCAATGCTTTGCCATCTCGTGTAACTGGGTCCATTAACACAGAGCAAGAGGAATCTTTGCCTTGTTGGCGTTGAATCGCCCTCCGGGTCTGGCACCGATGAATGCATGTTCTGTGAGGCCACTGCACCAGAACTCGAGCTTCCGTATGTTTCAGGCATGCTTGTCGGGCCAGATGATGGAACGTTATTGTGTGTCTCCTGGACCATGGCAGTTTCTCTAGTAGGTTGAGATCCCTCGGTCGCAATTGGCGTACCCACACAAGATCTCGCCGCGGCGGCGGCGGCAGCATCCCTCCTCAACTCCTGCTCCAGGCGCGCCGCTGCTCCTCCCTCTGCCTCCTGAACATCAGCGTACATAGCCTTACCGCATCCCTAGAATATTTTCTAATGAGTATGTACAGCTCCTCGTACGCATGATATTGCAACTGTCGAACTCACACAGATCCAGGTTATTCTCTTGTGACCTTCCGGGATTCGAGGCCTCATTGTGACCTGGAGAAAGCTGGCCAGGGCAGAAATCGTATTCGGAGGCAGCATTGCTCCCAACGGCCGGCATATCTTTCTGAGAAAGTGCTCAATAGTTGATGCACGATTATAATCTTGTTCCTCGGTGGCAGCTAAGCCCCTGCGTTCCATTCCATCCAGCATTGCCTGTTGAGGGATCTTCCGGTGGACAAGGTCGTCCAATTTCGCTCGAAATTTTGAGAAGGCTATAGATGCGAAAACAAATGCTCGTAGTTGATCAATTCTCGGCAGGGTGTCAGGCAGTTTATTATCCTCGTCACTGTCGTTCTCAGTGCTTTCGTTCTCAGTGCTTTCGTTCTCCGGCTTATCTGGGAAGCCTTTCCCACCCGGATTCAATGATTGCAGCCACTGCTCAAGATTTGAAGGCTGTGTATTCGTTGGTTGTCTCAAATTCGAAATCATGATATGCGTGATTGACCTAGCATTGCGTTTGACCATCTTTCCAAGCTGTTTTTGCGCTTCGTTTTCAGCCTCCTGGAGGACGTCAATAGCAAATCGCCGCACCAACCGACGACATTCTTGCTCCAGCCTCTCGAGCCCGATTGTCTCCAGTCCTTCGGCGAGTACAATTTTGATAGCTTCATCCTGTAGTAGTAGCTGCGCAAATGTGTCTACGGCTTCCTGCCGAACAGTTGAAGCCCCAGGTCCAAGCGATGATGAAGTTGTCGTGCTGGAATCCAAACTGGATGCGTGCGTAAAGACACTCGACGAGTCGGAGAATTGATCAGACTCCTCTTCATGAACCATGTCGCCGAGCGGGGGCGGTTTTTCTGGCGATAACACACTATCGTATTTTGTAAAGGCACTTTGCTCCGGGCTTTGACCAACACGATCGTCGCCAATATACTCAGAATTGCCACCATTGTGTGGATAAGCTAGCGTCGGGGGTTGCGGTCGAGCTTGGTGTATGTTCGTCGAGTCGTGAGTTGAAGAAGCAACTGGTATTCCTGGATGATGGTTCGCGCTGGGCACTGGCTGCTTGGGCTGTGTAGATGACCCTGTAGACAGGTTGTTGCCAAGCTTCTGATCGAATCTCTTCGGTGCATTTGTCCTTGCTCCAGTATCATCGTTGAGCTCTTTATATGTGAAGGCGTCGCGTTTGCTTGGCTCTTCTTTGGAACTGGTGTACACCGGATCTCTGTGACAATCTAAATCGAATACATGACCGCAATTTAGACAAAAAGGCGCGGTCTTTGAGTTCCAAGGCCCCCTGCCGCACCTGCGACACACCCACATCAAGCAGATTACTTCTCTGCCTCCCATCTTGTCCGCCTTCGAACAAGAATTTGTTCAGCCAACTTAGTCCTTCCTTGAAAGTCTCAAGGAGATATGAATGGACGCATCAAGAAATCGGCTTCAGGCTTTGGCGCTGAGAATGGTAATATCAGCCGAGGAGCCCCAAGGTAGAAAGAGAAGGGTCTCATAAGAGGAGAAGATCGTGAGTAAAATGCGCAAAGCTGTCCGTGATCTAGGGAAGCAGGAAAAGTTTACCGATCATCAAAGATGAGAGGGTAGAGGACGGGAGTCAAGTCGGATTACATGAGGGTCTGCAGCTCTTGCGGAAACAAGTTGCGTGCTTGATGAGGCTCTGAAGCAATGAGTCAGGACAGCCGCAAATGGTGCCACGTAGACCACGAATGTACATTTTGGACGAAGCACTGCCACTGTAGTCTGCTATTCGAGCGGCTGCAGGACTGCGACCAGGTGGCATTGGACTCCACCTGTCCCAGGTCACGAGGGCGGCTCTCGGAAAGCTGAGGTCATCCGTCTCACTTTGCCCAAAGCAAGACGAGTTCCAGGCAGACCAGCTGCATTTCGAAGAACAGAAAGGCGGGGGAGCGAGGCTGTGATGTGAGTGGGTATTGAGATTGCAACAGAGACAGACGAGACCAATAGGAGCAAAAGCCAACACAAGAATAAGAGCTAAGGGTTGCACGAAAATCTATGATGAGAATAAGACCATGGCACGATGAAGACGTCGATCACGCTGCCAAAACCACGAATTGGTTTATGCATTGCCCAATGGGCGAGCAAAGTCTATCCGGTCCCAGCCCAAAACGGACGAATAAGACAGCTCAAGGGCGATGAATGCTGGGGCCCGCATTGGCTGGATCGGCCACTGATCATCTCCTCCGCCTTGTCCATCCTTCAAGATACTACGGCAGCTACCTCTGTGCAAATAAAGCAGATGGCTTTCGATATGTTTCGCATCCATCGTTCCTTCAGTCTCACTCTCTGCGATCTCTGTGCTCGAGAAACACACCCGCGTCCAATCTGTATATAGCATCGTGGAAGAGATCAGGCCGCGACTGGATGCGACTAAAATGGAGCGGGGCAAAATAATTTGGTCCGCATGTAGAACGCTCGATACGCATGACCGTCCTTCTCTTGTAGATCCGATCGACATCGAACAGACATCGGGTCTCCATCTTGAAGTCCTCTACAACGCATATACCTCAACCTGTATTAGATGCGCCACCAGAGGCGGCGGCCGGTGTAGAAGCTGGAGCACCACTGGAAGCCCCCCCTTGATCGCCGCCTTTGCTCTCGGAATTCCCACCCGCAGCTCCATTTCCGCCCTTGCCGCGACCACGCCGTCTGCTGCGCTTCGCCTGTTGCTGCTCACCGTTGGCCTTTTCGGCAGAAGGGGCGGAAGGGGGAAGTGCAGCGGTTGACGAGCTCGCAGCAGCATTGTCCTTCGTGGTGCCAGGCTGGGCAGGACCGCTGGCCGTAGCCGCAGCCGCAGCCTTCTTGGGCGCTTGATCTTTGCGCTCGAGAACTTGCACAGTGGCATTGGCGATGGTCACAGGACTAGCAGCCATAACCTTGACCAAGCTGTCATGCTCGGCAAAATCGACGTATGCGAAGCCTTTCCGTCTGTCAATCTCGACGGAGCTGACGCTTCCGAAAGCCTCCATGGCCTCCCTGAGGATCGCCTCTGTGACGCCCTGTGAAGGATTGGCATGCTTCAAAAATGCTCGCGTGGCTCCCGAGGAAGGACCTGAGGCGGTGGCTTTCTTCTGGGAACCTCCAGCTTGGGAGCCCTTGACAGCTCCTGCCTTAGAGCCAGTTGGCGCGGCGGCTGCTGCTGCTGCGGCAGGCTTAGCGGCAGTCTTCGTATGAGGTGGCGTATCCTTAGCTAGTGACGATGCAGTGGCTTCGTCTTTCTTCTTCTGCAGTATGACGGGAGGTTTGACGGGGGCTGCGATTGAGGCTTCTGAAGGACCGACAGCTTTAGCTTCACTGGCCTTGGAGTCTTTACCCCTCCTCCGGCCCCCTCTTGACGTCTTCTCGCCTTGGGACTTTGGTGCTGCCGAGGCTGATGACTTGTCGGCTGTCTGGGCGGCGCTGGAAGCTGTGGCTCCTGTGCCGTTCTCCTGACCTCTCGCCTCCTTCGCTTGTGCCTCAGACTCGGCACTCTTAGCAGCGGCCGCTTCCTGACGTGATTTCCTGGACGACGGCGCAGCGAGGCCCAAGTCCCTCTTCAATATGTCACTGATGCCTAGTTTACGGCGACTGCCAGAACCCTCAGGTGCAGCAGCGGCTGCTGCTTTGATCTCCTTGGCGACAGCCTTGGCAGCTTCCACTGCAGCCTCCGTAGCAGCCTGTTTCTTAAGAATCTTGACCGTCTCTTTGGGCTTGTCCGGCTTGTCCTTGGACTTCTTTTTGGATTCCTCGGCGGGGGCTGCCGATCCTTTGCCCTTGCCTTGCGACTCTTGCCGTGCGTGTTTCCTGCTCTTGGCATTGGCAGCCTCCTTCGCCTTGTTCGCCTTGCTCTCGAGAATATGCGCCACCAGGTTCGTGACGGCCGGTTTGGCATTTGATTCGGTTGCGGTGGGGTCGTCGACGCCAGTCTCGCTCTCGTCCTTTTTCGCGTCTGGGTCCTCAGTCAGGCTGACGAGGAACTTCTGCCACTCATCATCCTGGTCGATCGTGCCCTCCTTGGGGTCTTTCTTGGGCTTCCCGGCGGGAATCTTCTTGTAGATGGCGCGTTCGACGTAGGGGGGACCGATGAGAGAAGGACTATTGAATGTGCCCTTGGCATCCTCCCACACGGCTTCGCGTACGGCCTGGGCCAGAGTCTCGATATTTTCCTCCTTGACCTGAAGGAGGGCCCATGATGGGCTGGGATCCTTGGACGCACTGCAGATAGAGTTGGTCGATTCTGTCAGTGACCATGCCAAACCATATCTTCTTGCTCAAAACGCCCCGAGGAATATACCTCTTAGGTATGTGTCCAGCAGCATATCTGTACCAGCTGACCTTGCCGCTGCGTGGCTTCCAGCTATCACCTAGGATGTTGAAGAACTCATCTTCAGTCAGGCCTGGGGGCAGCCATCGAACCTTGGCCTTGACCCCATCTTGAGAAGCAGCTGCCCTGCCTCTGGTAGGCTTAGACGTGTCGGCCTGGTTATGAGCTTGAGCTTGTGCTTGGGCAGGATTGATGGGTAGGACGCCCGCCTTGCGGCCTGAGTTGGCTTGGGTTGTTGCCATCAAGATGTGACTTGGAACACCAAGTCGCTTGTCGGTGGAGTGTCCCAAGGTGCGCTCTAAGCTGGGAGGCGATATAGAGTGGTGGGGCTCTTAGCAGTTAGACAACCTTGGGAAGAGACAAGTGCTGCTCTGATCCGGCACAGGCACTAGACCAGGGGGTCTCGGTTTAAATGATTGACCAGCTCCAGTGGTTGAAAGAGAACCAGCACTGCTGCTGTTACTGAGAATAAGGGGGAAAGTGTTTCTGGTGATATTTGCGCTGCTGATGCTCACATTGTACCACAGCAGTGGTGAATGTAGATGGAAATAGCATGGGGACAAGGCGGGGGAAGGGTGGTCTAGGCTCTGTACCATATGAAGTAGCAGGTATGATGGGCCCCCTCTAGACCCTGAGGCTCACAGCACAGTACCCCGCCAAAAGAATGATGATAATTTGCCAACTCGGCAGAAGCAGAAATTCTTGGAGCTGCTTACAGTTATTTAGCATGCAGAAGCAGAAAAAGTATCATGTTATCAAAGGGAAGAAATGGTTAAGCAGAAGAAGAAGAAGAAGGAAAGGAAGGTGTGCAACACTGCAACATCGCAAGCTACTTACATAGGCACACTCTTCTGCAGGTGAATCACCCCACTAAGCAGTACTACAATCTCAGCATTTCTTCTCTCAGTGATAGAACCTGAACGATCTAGTCACTGCTGTAATCTATCATGCCATATCTACATCTAGAGTTACTATATGAGACTTTTCCACCAACTCAGCATTGGAACAGCCCGAGACGGGCACAGCTTATCTAGCAAGTCCAAATTGGCTGCTAGAGGCAGGCACTATCTTTGTAGGACTTCGTTAAGTACGAAGCTTAGGATCAACAACAAGGCATAATACATTGTATCTCTGTTTCCTTTTTCAAGAAAGAAGCCCGAAGGAAAAAAAGAAAGAAAGAAGAAAAGAACAGAAGAAAAATAGCTATCATTTCTCCGGGGATTCTTCCGTAAGAATGAGTATATGGGAGGCTATAAGTCAATGCAAAAGCGATGTTGATCAAAGCAGACCATGGCTGAGACAGGCGATGCTAATGAAGGAAGCACTACCATACAGTAGGCGGGCCTGGCAGGCAGGCCTTGAAAACCCAGAGGGGCACCATGCCCAAGTGGGAGGCTGCTGAGTCATCGTGGATTGTGCGGCTGGAAGCCTCCCAGCAGCTTGGTAGTCTTGTACATTGGAACCCTGCCCCCATCTCCGATTCACCTTCACCAAGTCGAGGAATCTTTACTTCCTGCCCTTTGAATCAACCGAGCTTCCTGCCTTCACTTGATGCATCTTCAGGTAGGGACCTTATCGCCCACTCCTTATAAGCAGACCTGCTGACTAAACCATGCTAACTTTGATGTCATGCAGCATCCTGAAGCACGTGAACAATCCGACCTCGGTCCTCTCGCCTCGAGTCTCCCTGCCACAGAGGGCATCGACATCATCTCCCCCTTCTTCAGCCTGTCGAAGCGTCTTTCCTGACGTTCGGACGACCTCGCAGGTCTTCCCAAGACATAACACCGACTCATCATGGCGACCATTCCAAAACCAGGCCCGGCCACGTTAAGGCCTGGCGCCAGTCTGGACGAATGGCTGGAGGAAGCCAAGCAATGTCACTATCTGCCCGAGTCTGTCATGAAGCAGCTCTGTGAGATGGTCAAGGAGGTGCTCATGGAGGGTACGTGGTGTTTTCTTTCATGGACCACGATCTCCTGATGGTGCCAGTTCCCGCTGACTGCCAGGACAGAGTCGAACATACAGCCCGTCGTGACGCCCGTCACGATATGTGGTGACATCCATGGCCAGTTCTACGATCTGCTCGAGCTATTTAGGGTCGCCGGCGGGATGCCTGGTGAGACCAATGTCCAGGCGCCCCAGACAGCCACGACCGTCATAACGTCTGATGACCTCGAACCCCCAACCGAGATCACAAACCCCAAATTAAAGAAGAAGATAAAGAATGCTGGGATCCCTGGGGATGCAGGAGGCGATGCAGAGGATGACGGCCCCAACACGTCCACCGAGAGCATCGAGAAAACGGCAACCCCAGGCTCTCCTAGTGCTGCGACGGGCGAGTCGCAGTCGGCCGATACTCGATTCGTGTTTCTCGGAGACTTTGTCGACCGAGGATATTTCAGTCTGGAGACTTTTACACTGTTGATGTGTCTCAAGGCAAAGTAGGTAGCGCCGCTGCTGCTCCTGTCATCCGATTCCACCTGGAAGCTCACAGTCTCGCAGGTATCCCGATCGCATAGTGCTCGTCCGAGGCAACCATGAGTCCCGGCAGATCACCCAAGTCTACGGCTTCTACGAGGAATGCCAGACCAAGTACGGCAACGCATCGGTCTGGAAGGCCTGCTGTCAAGTGTTTGACTTCCTCGTTCTCGCAGCCATCGTCGATGGAACGGTTTTGTGCGTGCATGGTGGCCTCAGCCCCGAGATCCGGACTATCGATCAGATTCGGGTCGTCGCTCGGGCGCAGGAGATTCCCCATGAGGGTGCGTTCTGTGACTTGGTATGGAGCGATCCTGAGGATATCGACACCTGGGCAGTGAGTCCCCGCGGGGCGGGCTGGCTCTTTGGTGATAAAGTCGCCACTGAGTTCAATCATGTCAACGGTCTAAAGACCATTGCAAGAGCCCACCAGCTGGTCAATGAGGGCTACAAGGTCAGCACAACTCCACACACAGAAAAGATTCGCATCGATATCGTCATCCCACTGACATGATTTCCTCGCCAGTTTCACTTCCCGGAGAAGTCTGTTGTGACGGTGTGGTCTGCTCCCAACTATTGCTATAGGTGTGGCAACGTGGCCTCGATCATGACAGTCGACAAGACCCTGGAGACCAAGTTCAGCATCTTCTCAGCCGTCCCCGACGACCAGCGGCACGTCCCAGCAGGTCGCCGAGGACCAAGCGACTACTTCTTATAGGCGTTGCGCGTAGTTTCTCACGACTCCATTCCTCTCGGCTGCTGTAGATACTAGATGCAAGGGTTCCATGACATCGCGGAAGGCGTTTTTTTTTACGGATACAGTGGTGTCTCATATCAAAGACACGTATTGTATAATTAGGGTGGAAAGGTCCTACCATGGCTGCTGCATTTGATACCCCCTCGTTTGGAAGAGGGCACCACGAACTGAACACACGACGACACTGAATTCGAACATCCATCTGTATGACCACACATCCTGGGCCCGCTATGGTGCATTGCGATGCAATCAATCTATTGGGCCAATTTTTGATTTGATCAGCTGCAGATGATTCTGCAAACAGAAGTGCGGATACCATTTATGGTTCCTGAACTCCCAGTGACACGATACAAGATGATCTATTAGGTCATTTCGTCTTGCTTTGGGAGCCCAAAGCTCGCGGCACCAAGGGCTCAATCATAAGTCAACTACTCAAGAAGCACATCTTCTCATGGTGTAAGACAGCCTCGAGGCCTCATTTCGACTTGATGATGTCTATAGACCATGACCTGCATACTCGAGTAAGTCCGTCTATATATGTAAGAACCCGCCTCTCCTCCGTTCCATTTCCCCGTCTACTTGAGAAAAGGAATCAAGCTCTTCAGCGTATCCGAAGTCGTCGTCTCCAGCGTCGTCCACTGGAAACCCAGCGCCTTGGTTGTCTCGCTGTTGTCAAACTTGAACGTCTTGTCTGCCGGGATCGGCTCTCCACCCGTGGCGCCCTCGGCAGGGAACTTGTCTGCCAGCTCAGGAAAATTCTTCCTCGCCGCGTCGAGGATCTCCCGGTTTGAGTAGTACCCAGCCGTCGTGAACAGCCTCCTGCCCGCCAGCTCGGGCTTCTCGATGGCCAGCACGTGCGCGAGCGCCACGTCACGCACGTCCACCCAGATATTCACCCCCGTGTCGGGGATCTTGTTCTCGCTGTTCCGCCAGCCGCCCTGCACGAGGGAGACGAACCGCTCGTTGGAGGTGTTGATGGCGTCCAGGCTCGCGAGGTAGTGCACGACGGGGCCGAAGACCATGGGCGGGTTGACGGTCACGAGGTCGAAGCCGGCGCCTGCTTGGACGTAGTCCCATGCTGCCTTCTCGGCGAGCTTCTTGGACGCCCGGTAGGCGATGGCGGGGCTTTCGTGGATCTCGTCGATCGTCACGGGGTTCCAGGACTTCTCGGTAAAGGTTGCGTTGGGGTCCGTTATCTTGTCCTTGTCCAGAATCGCCGCGAAGGACGAGGTGATGACCACGCGCTTGACGCCTGGCGCGGACTTGGTGATGGCCTTGAGGATGCCGGTGGTGCCGATGACAGCTGGGTCGATGAGATCCTTTTGAGGATCGTCTGGAAAGGTGGGGTTAGCGGCCTCTAGCTATGTACTATGAGGATTTGACTGGTGAAGGGACAGGCCTTACTGATCTTGAAGTGGAAAGGGCTGGCTGTGTGCAAGACGGCCTCGAGACCAGGGGTCTTGACGACTTCGTCAAAGGCCCCCTCTTTCGCGATGTCGGGCACGATGAGGGTCTCGAGCTTGTCCTTTCCGATGCTAGGATGGGCATCGTGGATCTTCTTTGCCTTGTCCTGCGACCGAACGGTGGTCACCACTGAGTGGCCCCGCTGAAGGAGCGTCTCAAGGACATGAGCTGTAAAGGAAGCCTCTGGTCAGCGCGTGTCGAGACTCGCAGGTGTGAGTTGCTTACCGGCGATGAAGCCAGAACCGCCTACAGTCTCTTGTGTTAGCAATTGTTCTGTGCTGTTCTGTCTAGAGAACAATTGGAGCTGAGCAACTTACCAGTGAGGAGTACTTTAGTCATCTTGTCTCTTGGCGTATTTCAATCTCAAAAGTTGATTTACGGTAATTATGTATGAAAGAAACTCTGTTGCAGACACTGGCCTGATGAGAGGGCGGGAAAGATGTCTAATTTTGAGACTTCATTCACTCTCGTCGAAGGAAAATGATGTCGTCAATATATACAAATGTATCTACGTCACGAGCTATCTTGACAAATACCCTCTCCGCACGCCAGTTGAGATCCACCATTTCGCAATTCGACGTTCAGATTCAGCCTATACCTCACAGGCGCCGGTCCTAACGGGATCTCCACTGCCCAACCATACTCGTCGGATTTAATGTTAATACGATCATCGGCTTCCTGGCCGGCAACGATAACTTCGGCGCTACCGCTGTTAGGCTCCTACTTTATCGGCGATTAACTCCAGATTCTATCGGCAGAGGCTCCCGTCAGATCACTATGAGATCGGATCAGCGGCCAAGACGCAATTTTCCTGCTACTTTAGAATTATGTCAACTAATCAAGGTGGGATATCTTCATTCCTACTGTAGTACCTTTTGTTGCAGGATTTGTAATATTGCACTGGCACTCTCAAGTGGGTTTTCATTCTTACTGTGGAAGTAATTCCATTGCACTCTGCTAATTCCGGACAAGACAATTTGTTGCGGCTACATTTCTTAATTACGAGGAGTATTTACACTGGTGAACGGAGATTGGAAACAGCATCATGATGCCCCGTATTGAACAAAACACAGAACACGGAGCAAGAAGCAGGTCAACAATGTGATGGGTACACTTTCTTGAGTATTCACTGCAAAGGCCATGGGTCAGAGCTTGCTTTAGAGACTAGGTCACTAGCTACGCCTTTATGATGAATATAGCTCTTATATAACGACCTCCTTACCAATTCTTGAAAGAATGAGAGACTGCTTACATACTTGAGCAGGCACAGCATCCACAAGTGACGATGAATGAACAACATCTGCGCCCCTGGGGTCTGACGAAATTCTTGCAAAGAGAGACTGCCCTTTTCCAGTATCTAATTTGTTAAAAATTGCTAAAGCCCTGTCGATGGAGAGTAGTTGTGGGACGAAATATAAGGTATGGCCAATTCTTAGAGACTGGCAATTGTCTCTCCCACCAGGAGTAGTCAAGACAATATTATGCACATCTTCATCTTCTCTCAACCTACTGACATAACTACTGAAACATGGTCACTTTAAAGACTTCTTTTCGTCCATGTCGAATGTTCCAAATAGATGTACATTTCCAAATGCAAAGACAGATCCGATATTTACAAGTGGAAATCAGGGCTAATGTTCAATGCCACCTTGATGATAAGACACCTCCTTGGCCAATTCCCACGAAAATGTTAAATATTACTGTTTCTCAGGTATATTGTAGCAATAAGACAACTAGTCGGAGCTTCTAATGGAGCCATATCCCGTGAATAGAGACTGTTCGAGCACCATGTATTTGAAGAGGTTCATAAAAATCGCACATGGGCTCTTCAAGACATGGAGACGTTAAGCCAGTGCACTAAAACCCATCTGGGTCAATCCAACCAAATACTGATCCTTCAAGATCAAAAAAGTTGTGACTTGTTTATGAAGGCTGCTCTCAGCAGTGTAAACTTGAAATTTTGTGAAGCCTAAGGAGCTGGACACTACTACCAGCAGACTCAAAGACAGAGGTCTTGATGCATCAACAACACACTTCCTGCATGTCAGAACCAGCCATAGAGAAAAGACTACTGATACCTGGGTCTGACAACAAGGTCCCCATGCCTTATCTCAGATTCAGAGTGAATAGCATATGATGTTTAATAAGGATAGCATACAACAGTACTGACTCAAAATGGAGTGATCTATAGCTCTGTGCAAAGGGTAACATCTCACAATCAGCACATGTATAACTGACAGAATGACACGTCTCCGGGTCTGTGACATGAGTGCATTGACACCAAAGATCAACTAGAAGAGCGCTTGTGCTCTTGCAGTTTCCGCTACTCTACTTGCACCATAAACTTAAACGCTTTGAGCCCCATTCCTCACTTGAGACTTATTCCAGAGTTACCTGAGTCATTTTAGTCTGCTGGTTAATTATAATATAAAGATATAGTCTCAGATATCTCTACAACTCAAGATAAGTCCAAGCCAGCCAAATGAACTGCCCACTTTCCAGTGACTGAAGTTGATTGAGTGCACTGCATTATTGCCAGCCACCTTTTCTACACAAAATCGTCATTCAGCCACCAGCCTTGGTGGGCGGGAGGCTTTCAACGGTATCTCAGCACCCCCTCTGGCCGCTAGGTGAAAGAGTTTATCACATCTCGGATGGGTGATAAGTCATTGTTTCTCTCATTGGGTCGAAACATGCCGTGTTTTCAGGGGGTCTGGATCTGGTTGGGCTCATGTCAATGGCGGGTTGCATTGCATCTCACAGAGATTCAATTTCTTTTGGTTCGCCTCCTTAGTTGGCCCGAGACTACCAGGAACCATGATAGATAGCTATAGTGACAACAAAGTCAAATCGCACTCTTCGACAGCCAGGATCTCAATACAAAGCAGGTACCTCTGGTTCATGTCTCTTGATCCGTCACACAGGGACACAGTGATAGATTAAGTCTAGCTTGCAGGGCAGGGCCCCCATGCAGGTGAAACAAGGTATACCAGCCACACACCATCATGTCATTTAGCATGTCACCTGTCAGGGGGACTTGAGAACCAAGTACATCCTATACTATGTAGACGCAGGTCTGGATATTGCAACGGTCTGACCCGCACTTGTGAGGAATTAATGTGCTGACCTCCACTTTTCGGGGGCTTGACGGTTGACGACTTGCGCACTATGGACCTGGGATCTTTGAACAGGAACTGATGCAACGGTACCGAGTGGGTTTCGGAAAAAGAGCAAGAAGGAAAATATCTCCTATAACCCCCTTGCGAAAACTATACTTTTTGTAGAATACAATCCTATACTATGGTAAGTACTTAGCCCTGGAGGAGTACACATCTCCGGTACGGTCTCCTATACGTTGCAGCATGTAGGGACCTTTTCTCCCCCAACCATCACGTATAACACCCCTGTGATCGCCGTCTCGCTTAATCACAGGCCCAAATATGGGCATCGTTGCGACTGGCTGCTGCCAGCATATGCTCCATAAAAACCATGTAGTACTTGCTCACAAGAAGTGACCGGGAGGCTGAAGTGCAGGGATCGATTTTATGACGAGTACCTTTACTTTTTTCTACTGTGCTGTTCCCGGTGCCAATCTCGCAGCCTTCCCGAGATTTGTTTATAACATATAAGAATAGCCGGGTGGCCCGCATCTGCAAGGACAGATGCGTTTTATTGTCGTCAGTTCTCACTCCACCGCAGCCGCAATTGACACCGGCCTCGTCACCCCCCCCCCCTTCCTTTTCCCACCCCCATGTCTCAAAATGTCATCTCTCTTCTGCACGATGTCCATCAGCTCTCATCACACGGCTCAGCCAGCGCTGCTACCTTGACCTCTTTCTTTGTATTCTTTACCCATGTTGGACCACACCACAAGCTTCAGCCGGCCCCTCAGAGCGACCGTCTCTGAGAGGAAGCGAAATTCTTGAGATCTATAGCATATGCACGTCTCGTGCGGATCGTACCTATCACGGCCGCTCAGGATAAGGCACACAAGACAGGCCAGGGGGGGGGGCGGAGGCGCAGTCTTTTACTTCTCCAGGTTGGACTTTCGAAGCGATGCAACGTGATTCTTTCCCCCTGAATGTACGTATATATTATTGATTCGCTTAGCAGTCGGTGAGGAACCTGTGGCAAAATGTTATCTACTTGCATCGGATTATTGCGTTGTATTTTTCCCTCAACGTTGTCCCGTCCTTGCTTTGAAGGGGCGTAAGACCTGTGTGACCGTGGACGTGCCACATTTGGGCCTGATTCGCCGGCGGGCAACGGCTGGGATATTGAGGCCGTTTACGAGGCTTGTTGGAATACTCGTCGTAAGATCTCGTGAGGCTGAAGTGTACAGAAATGGCCTGATTGCCATTCCACTCACCCGGGCGGGCGCGCTGGATTCCGCATGGCCAACGAACAGATGCGGTGTTGCTTGACCTTTGTTGAAAGCCACAGACTACACGAAGTAGTGAATAATGAGTCCAATCTAAAGAATACCGAGTGTGTACGAATTCAAGCCATCGGAAGGACTGTGCCTAGGTAGTGGTAGGATTTCAACGCAGCAAGAACTTGTGTTGAGGCGTGGGTAATGCGCAAGGTCAGTCACCGCAAGTGTGAATACATGACCATTAAACTCAAGTGTTGGAATAGGTTAATAGCAATTATCCGTCGTATAATTGAACTCTTAAGCAGGAACAGTCTTACTTCATTATTCGTAGTTACATTTACTGTGGGTTAAAAGTCCCGTTGTTATATCTTGAGCGAATTACTCACATTCACTGACCATTGTCAACCTCGATATAATCTCCACGTTTGAGGAGCACATAGTTGTGATAACAACGGCTAAATAGACATTCTACGTTACATCGGGGATTCCTGAAGACTATTTGCCTCTCCTCGACGCCTCTCCAGTGACCGAATTGGTTCCATCTCCGAGTTATAGCGGTATCACCTCGCAGATGAGGATTCTCCCCCGCAGCGCAGCAAGCTGAAGGCCCAGATAAGTATCATAATTCATAACATAGTTCATAGCTGGTAACTTATTATGCGTAAATTGGAGTCATAATTACAGGTACGAGTTTCCGGCCTTGCAGATAACGGCTATAAAACCCCCTTGGAACAGTAGTTTTACCCGACTATTTGTGATTGTATAGCCAGCCACCTGCAGATGACCCAGGATGGGTTCGTTGCCAGTGTCGCAATCCGAATAGATCACACAGTCTACTGTAGTAGTCGCTACAATTGTTGCCAGGGCGTGTGATCTCTTCCTTGGACCTAACACCCCCATGTCGTTCCTGATCCTTCGTCCACTCTAGACCATCTCTACTACGACACTTCACCATTGGCTGGCACTCTCTTTTCAGACTATGCCTCAAAAGCAACTTGGCAGTCTCATGATGGTCTCTTCTTACAATGTGCCCAAGGAGCGGAACTGCAAGT